TGAAGCCGATGCGAGTCGATCTCCCTGCGGCGAGAAGGCTACGCTCGTGACCGAGCTCGTATGGCCCTCGAGCGTCTGCAGTAGAGAGTCCCACTCCTTGTTGATCTTTGACCTGACTTCTATCCACTCTGGCATTTCTTGTGTAAATTGTCTTCGAACAATGCTTCTTTCTGGTGCAAAGACAAGCGCGGAGTAATACACTTGTAGAGGCGCCTCTTGTATCCTTGATCCGATCCACATCACAAACCGCAGCGCATCATGAACTGTATTAGACAACATAATACATTGAGGTGCCTTAGAAGAATTAGTAGCTTTTCAATCTCCTAGTTAGCTAAGTACTTACGTTTAATATAGATTGCAGCTTCTGCATTGCTGCTATAGCTTCTGGAATCTTCTCTAACAGGCTCATTGCTTCAAGCCAGTGGAGGAGGTGCTTCTGAATGAAGCTGTGGACTTTACCATCATCTCTTAGAATCTCTTCCCCATCCGGCGCATATGCATGTAGGTGATTGACCCAGTATTCACATGCATATGCAAACAATGGAAGATTGCTGTCCTTAATACGACTTGTCGCCTCCTGGATCTGCACTCCTGGTTTCTTTAAGCTGCACATGTCTTTTTGTAACATCCTATTCATCGCGTCTAGCAGCCTATAGGTTATCCGACCCTGCTCCTCTATTACTTCACCATTGAACACCTGCTGGCCCTGACCGGATGTAAAGTAGTCTTTTGCTGATAGGTGAACAAAGGACACAGTGCCATCCCGAACAGTAAGGAATGAACCACAGCGGTGAACTAGTTCGGCCTGGTCCTCAGAAAGGCCGGCAACTATAAGAAGTTCCTCAAGCCGCAGCGGCCGGTAAGCTAGATTAACAGACTGAAGAATGTTCTTGCAAAGCTGTGTTGTCTGTAAATCCTTCTGGGCCGTAATCTGTTGCATCATACGGTCGTACAACGGGTCTAGCCCAGGCGGCAGTTCCCGCAGTACTGCTTGTGTGCGATATAGTGGCACACTCTCTAGCTCTTTGCAGACTAACGATACCCATAGAAACGTGCCCTCTGCCTTGTCACGAAGTAGCTGCTCAACCTCTGCTTGAGTTTTAGGGTCATAGCCCCGAGCAGCCGCCAGGCGCTGCACCTTGAAGTCTAAGTATGCTGCGACCGCTTTTGATACGTGGCTAGCGCTAACCTCAAGGCTAACCTGAACGCCGAGCGAGTCAGGTTGAAGATACCGCTGAATGTCTGGCAGGTTGCGGCTCGTCACTAACCACTTGACCTTTGACCGCTGGGTAAGATTGTGGTCGGTTATGATGAACAATAGGTCAGATAGACCAGATGCGCACTCATCAAGCGCGTCGACTAGAAGATAGATCATCGGCAGAGACGCGTCATTTAGGATGTCTGACAGTATCTCCCTTAGCGCATAGATCGCGTTCGGACCCTCAAACAATTGCCTGCCCGCAGCCTTGTACCGCTTCTGCACGTGCGGCATAAGGTCCTCCCTTTGCTCGACAAGTAGGTAGATGAGCCCACGCAAGACCGACGCTGCGTTGTTGAGCTCCGGTCTGTTGCTCTGGCAGAAGAAGTAAGCTAGCAGGCCAGACTTGGACCTAGGCTTGGAGCTGAACTTCAGTTTGGCCATCACCCTTGATATCGGCTTTCGCAACGGGCCGGTCCCGTCTCTTTGAACCAATTCAGCGATCAGACCCATCATCATCATCGTCTTCCCCTTGCCCGGGTCGCCCTTGATCCATAGCAGGCGCGAGTCACCCTGTGTCTTCCAGCGCTTAAAGTTGGGGTCGTCAAGGACCCAGGCATAGCAGGCCTTGAGCAGCCTGTCCTTATCCTTTTCGATCCTCGCCCTGTCTGCACTCGGGTCGGTGACTCTCAGGTCGCGGAGGCACTGATTACTAGCTAGCCCGCCAGTACTACCAGGGAAGTGCACGTCTCCATAGACATTGCCGTAGATGTTAGCCGAATCGTCGTGGGCTTGGGTATTGGTGTAGGTCTGGCCAGCTGGGACTCCATCTGCCCGACCCGCACGCTCTTCTCTCTAGATATTGGTTTAGCCTATGGTCATGCCGTGCACAAGGGGGGACGCTTACCACGGCCATAGATCTGAAGAGGCTCTGTGCAACCTTTAGCAGAATAGCAGGCGTCAGTTTAAGCGTCGGTGAAAGGGTTCACTGCTTTTAACTTATGTCGGAAGATAGGGAAGAAGGACTTGACAGAAGTCTGCGACGTGCTGGTGCTTCCAGCGAGGCTCGCGTTCTGCCGAGTCTTCAGCTCAACGGCAGATACCGCTACCTCAGCCTGGCTGCATGCCGATGAGAGAAACGATTCACTTCTCTAATCCTCGAACACAAATTACAGAAGGTACTAACTAGATTGATGGTGGCAGGTTTAGTATGTTCACGAGTTGTTTACAGTTGACAACTATAGACTCAACGGAGCGCATTAGGAAGTGGTTGGTAGCACGGCTGCTGTCTCTCAGCTACTCGACCAAGTGATCACAATCGTCCAAGAGGTTCGAGACGCAAGACCAAGAGCGTATGGGGAATCAGCTCGCCTGGACGGGTATAAAGACCAGTTCGGAAACTTACTTAGTACACTAAGGCTTGTTCACGATGAACCAGAGTTGCATACTCCAGTAATTCGGGAGCAAAGCGAGGTGATTATAACCTTAGGTAAAGTGCTGTAGCGCCAGTTAAATACCTTAGCTGCCCAGCTTGAAAGGGGCTAAGGTAAGCAGTACACACATGTGCTCATAAGCGGGGAAAGAGAAGAGAAAGATCTCAACAATGCCATGACTGGATTAGACCGAGCAAAAGTAGACCTTACCGCACGAATTATCACAGCACACGTTGGACTGAACGGTGCAATACGCACAGGCTTCGCAGCTGCCTTCGTAATCATCCAGAGGGACGATCGGAATGTTCAAAAGGTCCTTGGCGAGAGACTTACTATTGCCGCTTGGCTGGAAGGGCTGAGTCCGGATGGAGATAGTACTGTACAACTGCACAATTCTGTTTATAAATGCTAGCAACTCAAGGTAGCGCCATGATTTCTCTTACGGGTGAGGATGCTAAGGTGTTGAATCTCGTAGAAAAGGTGTCCTGGGTTAAGAATAAGGCATTTGATGGTGCGAACATGGTCTAGGGGGGTCTTATTGAATGGCCAACGTACAGTTAGAAGGAGAGGAACTACACTGGAAATTAAGGTCACAACACGAATTTTGCTCTCCATTGGAATGTGGATGCGGAGGGTCTTGCAACTATCCTTCGCGCATGCCGAGGATAGTAACATGATTGGACTGTTTGGTACAGGCCCAAAGGCTTCAGTTATTGCTTTATGTGCATTGCAAAATACTGATTACCACCAAAAACTTTAGGAAAACGATCGTGAAAAGGTACATAAATGCTAAAACGAGAGATTATGCAACTTACAGCAGCAACCGTCTGTAGAAAACTGCAATGTTTCTTTCTCTTGCCTGTATTTTTTAATATCAACTTAGATGAAATTACAGTTTAATTTCTAGTTTTGCAGTTTGTTGTTCGTCCTGTTTACCTGTGCGCGTGCATCTTTTGTATAATCTACGGGACCTTCGCTATGACTACCCCGATTCCACCGTATATTCTTGTTAGGGCACGCAGTGGCTCGTTCCAACTAAATATCACTTTGGTTATTTCCTACCCTAACCTCCACTCAAGGTCTTCGCAGCGAACTCTTCAAGGCCGCCTCATTGACTAGGAATGCGTAACCTTAGTATTCCATGGTCCATGGCGAATCTCTAGCGCAACACAAAGAAACTCCTATTGGCGCTTATATGTCTAACCCATTTTGACCGCAAGCTTGCCATGGGGAGCTAAAGCTTACTGCTAGTAATGTGTTGATCCAGTGGCAGTCCCTTGTACAGTCACGGACCAAATATCACATAGATTGGGATACCTACCACTACCGTGAACTCTCTGCGGTTCGAGTTTAATCGTGCTAAGTAACGGCTTAAGTTACTCTTGCTGCAGATTGTATCAAGGAATTCGCATTAGGCCAGCCCACACCCTGTTGTCGAGGGTTAGACACTGAACATAAGTAGATCCACCGCTTTGGTTCATTGAGAGTCGATGCTAGCCTTCTTTAGTGTCTTATTTAATTTCACAATTCTTGAGGTCAATTTTTCTTTTCCGCCTTTAGGGCCTTTGTCCCCGAAGCCGCTCTTCATGCAATCTGACAACGTATTTCTCTCGACAATACTGCAAACAAACTAAGAAAGGTGTAATAGAAACTAGCGTTACTGCTCAGGTGCCATCAAAGACAACACAGCACCACAACATCCTACCTGACCCCCAAATATGAAGGTAATAATAGTAATTCAATCTCCTCACACCCTCTCCCCCAAAATCATCCTCACCAACCCCTCATATTCACCCTCCCCTCCAGGTAGGCGGCTCCCTCTCCTCCCTCATGAATGGCGTAGTGCTCAAACACCACGACCATAGCGTCCACATCCCCACCCTCTCTCCCAACGCCCCCAGTCTCGGCATGGTGCTTGAGCTCGCCGAATTTTTCAAGCTACATGACCCCATCAATGGACCCGTCACCATTCCAAACATAGGTGTCCGTATTATAAATGCCCAGGATAAAATTATGAAGAGACTGAATGTCGCATCGCCGATGGCCAGCTGGGATATGCTATACTTCCGGCTTAGGCGAAAATTCCGACGGCCTATTGTCGAGGTATTGTCCTGAGATATAGGAGGCGCGAGGTGGGAATAGAGAAGTAGCGTATGAGACGAAGAAAACTGTTGTGAGCAGCGAGAAGAGGGGCGAGAAGGTAATTGTTACATATACCAAGACTGGAGACCCTGAATCATTTGCGTCACAAAGTGGGAGTATAGAAGCAAACATTCTGATCGGAGCCGATGGAGCCAGTCTTACAGTCAAACGTTTGGTCTTCCGTAATGCGGCGGGGGAGTATGCTAGGTATATCATATTGCGAGGATTAGTTCCAGAGCCGGAGTTTGCGGAGCATATGGCGAGTTGTCAGGGTGTAAGGGATCATCGTGCGATTTGAGTAAATACGCCAGGTACACCCACCGACAAAGTCGGGCTGCTTATACCCCATATCTCTACCCATACCTTGATGGAATAACTCTGACATGTATATCCTCGCTACCACATCCCCAGCCCCAATAGCACTCTCGCCTCCGCAACCCTCAGCCGAAGTTTGCCTAGTACACTCAGCCTCTCCCACCTCCCTCTCATCTATGCTGCTTGACACCTCAGGCCACTACCACCGATGGTCGGACCCACTCGGCAAAATCCAGCGAGAAGTCAGGTAAGACATCCTGCGCACAACATCTGAACTCCTGCCCCTCTGTGCCGCGGACTCGCGTTGAAAATCAAAGGCCCTTCATCTAAGTTGCGTCTGGCTACTACAACCCGCACGCTAGTTTCCGAGACGGCGAGGCCCTGCTTTGTAGGCGATGAGCAGACACTCGTACGACCGTATATGGGTGTTGGTGCTAGCCGAGGCGCTATTCATGCGCTGGAGTTAGAGAAAATGATGCAAAATTTTTGTGAGAGAAGACAGGGAAGTTGGGAAGTTGTGGCGAGGAAGTGGGAGAAGACGGTGGTGGAGTGGGCGTGGCTGGAGCATCAAGGAGTGTGTTGTAGAGAGAGTGGTTTTTCGGAGACTGGGGGAAGTGGTTATGGGCAGCGGTGGTGCACTAGGTGAGGGCGCGGTGGATGGAATCAGGAAATGGGGTTATGAGGGGAAAACACATCAGTCGCCTCATTGATATTAGGAGATTCTGGGCAAATCTTTGAAATTCAATTTTACTTGTTAGTGTAAGGACGGCATGCCTATTACTTTAGGGGGACCTGCTCTCACCCTTTCAGGCCGAACCCCTAGCAGTCTCGCTGCTCGCCATTCCTTCCCATCAAGCAAACACTCGGTTACTTCTTGATAAGCTTTCAAAGCCCACGCACGCTCAGCCCAAACCTATTTAAACCTAATATGGCAGCCCAAGCCTTCAAACATGGTGTTTAATATAACGTAGTACTGTTCCTACTGTTACTGATAGTAGCAATATCTTTGTAGTTAGAACGAAAGTCAACTGTCTTCTGTTACCGTACAGTTAATGAGACTCTAACTACTTCAATAACTAACTATAAGAATTAATTTCTTAGGGGTTTAACCCCGCGGTCGCGGAAAGAGTTTTTGCGCGGAGTAGTACAATAGCAAACTAATGCACCACAAAAGCTTGTTTGCAGTGCGTGCCTTCTAGCGGCTTAATAAGGCTAGAAGCTGGTAAAATAAGGAGCTAATTCACTGTTCTGTACTAATACTAAAGACTGTGACGCTTGTTGCAGCCAAACCGAAATAATCTATAGAGATCCACCTTTGCTATCTATTGCCCTCCACAGTTAAGGCTCTGCAGCTACAAAGCAATTAGGTTACTAGAGGACTTAGTATTTTACTAAGTTCTGTGACTATATTAGGAATATTGTGTCAAGATTGAGCTCTCTAGAACCTCTGGAAACACCAGTTACTGCAGTAACTATACTGAACAGTAGCTCCTCCCTTAATTGACTGGGCAGTAACCGTTACTGCCTGTAACGCCGTTTTAATTCACTCTATCCGAAAGAACGATACCCTACTGCAGCTAGTAACGCATCAAAAAGCTACTGATAGTAACAGTTACGTTATATTAAACACCATGCCTTCAAATTCGCCACCTTTCCCGGGAAGCTCAAACAGTTCTCCGCTATTGTCATTATCGTCTTATTCAAATTCAGCGGGTTGGAGATAACCGGCAAACCATCAATAAACGCAAGATTCCCTGCGGGAATGCTAGCAGCGCCTTGTTTAATCGTAAGTAGGCTCGTTATATCTGCTAGGTCTTGAAATTAGCAGAGTTGATGGAAGACAGGAGCCGCAAAAAGCCGAATATTGAGACGGAGTCTCGAACAACGGGGGGTTAGAAGAGGAAGTTAGGGACGACCCGGTTGATGGTGCTGAGGATAGACACTGTAAGGGAGACGATTGCCTCTTGGGAATGGAGCAGACCAGAAACGAAAGATCAGGCTACATGCCTGCATCAGAAGATTAACCTGAAGTTCAAATGCAGAAAAGAGTAAAATGTATTACTTAAGATCCCGCTACCGAGAAGAGTTCTAATGCTAATTCTGCTAATTCCTCACAAGATTCATAGACCGTAAATGACATTCGTCTCGGCCCATCCTACCTTGGGAGAGAGAGGAATGTCTCCAACATTTGGCAGAATTATTCCAGTATATCCGGTCGATGGAGGTCGGAGGTGACGTTCAGCAAACTCAGGAAAATCCCGCTAGATGAGGGAAGCGACAGGAAGGATGGTGCGAAAAGAGAAAGTGGATTTTTCTTCAAGAGACTGAATAGTGTGACAAAGGTTGAAATTGAGAAATTCTCAGATCGTTGTTGGGAATCAAGAAAGTCCGCATTAGAGAGGGGCCTTCAGATCAAGGTGGGGATGGTGAGTATATGCCTATTACAGATGCTGGACTGGGATCTGGAATGGCAGCACCAGCAACAGGAAACTTTGTGGGTAGCCAGTCTTACGGTGCGTGGGGTTCCTCTGAAAGCTCTACCAACAACCAGCAGGCTTTCTACGGCTCCTACTAAAAGAGACTCCGCAATGTTGCTAACCGGAAGAGAGCCTGCAACGCTGCCAACTGTGGGATGAGAGCCTATAACACTACCGACGGCAGGAAGGGAACCAGCAACGGCGCCAGAAGACCCAACCCCCTCCAGCCCTCCAGCCAAAGATCCAGCAACCGGAGCATTGGCAATGGGATTTGAAACTCTGGCCCAATCACTAGTCAGCCTAAAAGCCTAGACGCAGCCCCAGAAACGGCTCCAGGAGCACTACTCAAAGGTGTTGAGCTACCAGCTGGCAGAATTCCAGCAACACATACAACTGAATTTGGGCTCACACCTAAACGTCATTTAGTACCTTGTATTGTACTATTCTTGGAACTGACATTGAAACACTGACTCGGTAAAGCAGACAACGGAATCCCCTAGCGGCGATCATCACAAAAGAAACCTTATGAACACTCGACAAAAGAGGCAAAGCAGGGATAGAGACACTCAAATACCTCTTATCGAGCGGAGGGGAGACAGGAAGAGCTAATGTCTTTGGAAGTGGGACGCTAGGAAAACTAGGAAGATCCGGGATAGGCAAACCTTCTGGGATAACTCCGGCCCCTTTTTAGAATATAAGAAGAATGATTTTGAGTACAGCTGAGGGGAGAGGTGGAAAGGATGCAGCTGGCACAACTGGGAGAGGCAGCAGAGGGCCAGTTGTAGGAAGAGGTGGCAAGCTGGCAGCTGGAAATTGGGGGAATCTAGCAGCGGATAGAGGCAATCCAGTAATCTGGCAGCTGGAAGAGGAGGCAGCCCAGACGTATTCGGGACAAATATCGGGGGTAGGTCAGGTGCTCCGGCAGGCCACTGAGCGCAGGCGGTGCGACATTAGGCACAGGAAAAGACAGCGCTCTAACTTGAACTGGAACCTCAGCATGTCGCAACACCCCACCCACCGCTGGTAGGGAAAACCGCACAGCGCTGGCAATTGCAGCAAGCTTATCAATGCTCAAAACTGGAGTTGATGGAGCTTAAGCGCTGCTCAGTGATGCCTTAAAACACCGCCACAGCACTGAGCGTAGCTGCTGGTACGCCCGAACTCTGATAAGCCGAAAGGATGATTGCGGGAAAGAGAGCTTAAACGAACTTAAAGTTACAGGGGCGCTCGCGCCAAGAGGAAGTAGGAGAGTGACTCGGGACTCAAGTTATGGTGAACCTATGGCCCTAACCGACAGGGTAGTGAGGCCAAAAGCTTTCTTCAAGCTGATTGTGAGTGAGTCGAAGTACCGACTGTGTACGGTAATGATAATAGATAAGAAGGAGGTGTGTGAAAGAAAGAGTCGCTTGTATAACGGGAAGTCGAAAGTGTTCAGAATAAGTACTATAGCTGCGATGTAGCGGTCACGTGGAGAATGCGTATATGTCCGAACAAATTGGTCTGAGGCATACTTGAATAATTGTAAGGACTCTAGAGCCCTAAGGCTGGTATAGGCATTCCAAAACCCGGATGGGATGCGTCGCTTTACCAAGTGAGGAAACGACTAACAGAAAGTGTACTAATAAGAGGTAAATAATGAGAACGAAATGCGCTCTATTGCGGACAGCTTGTCAGAAAGGTCGCCTTTAGGAGACTTCAATCGCTTGTAAACTCCCGTTTGATCATGATATGGAAACAGACTTGCAAGTAGCAAAAGAGCGAAACGGCAATGTGCGTTAACACAGAAATTTTTGGCACCTCAAACACTTCCTCTCAAAGCAGGGCAATCCTACCAACCATACTGGGTATGAAGTCGAAGTAAGAATATGCCGCGACCCGTAGCGGCGTTTCCTTGCTGCCCTCAAGTGGGAGGTTCCCCAGTGGCGTTCAGATTGCCATAACATATCTTCATATTAAGGAATATATCCCTAGAAGCGGCTTTGATCGCGAAGCACGCAATGGCGCGGCTGTGATGGAAAGATTCGATCGGCCTGGGCCCGAGAAATCCGGTTGACTCCAAATGGACCCAACTGTGGAACCAAGCAGTTTCAATTCATCGTAAATCTTGCTTTCCACGAATTCTTGAGGGTGTCGATCTCCGTCCGCAGGAATGCGGACCGAGAAGAGCAACTACCAGCGAATCAAGCCTCAGACTCTGGTGGCCTTGACATGGAGAAGACCCTTCTAAGGAATAGTCAGACGGCAGAACCCGTCCTATTTCCCCTGGGAGCGAAGCCTTTTCCTCCTCTTCCAGGGCCACGGGGCTCGCGAATAGGTTGCTGTAGGTCACTAGGCGTTTCTGGTCGACTACCACTGAATTCCTTCTTCTGTATGTACACCGAATTGGGCTTAGGCGAGTAACTCGGATCGTAGAGCTGTCTCCCCGGATTTCCCGTGCCGGCGGGCGACTGTTCGTTACTTGACCTTGGCTGGCTATCGCGACCGCCTCGACCTCGACCCTTGCCTCGAGTGTGCTTATTCGGGGAGGAGCGACCACGGGAGTCTTCCGCGTTGAGAGTCGAGGAACCAAACAGTTTCTCTCGAGCCTCGGCATACCGCCGCTCCTTCTCCGCCCGCTCCTTCTGGGCACGTGCTTGTCTTTCAGCGAACGAGGCTTCATTCTTCTTCCTCCTTTCTTCCTCACTGTCTTCGTCGTCTTCAAGAGTCAGGCCTGCCATGCCAGCGCTTGCATCGTTTCGTGAGAGAAGCTGAGGAGGAGGTTTTCGGCTGAGAACAGTGACACTGGGTTTGAAGGTAGTTTTGAGGGGGATGTTATCGCGAGCTTCAAGGAACAGCATTGGCTCTGGCTTCTCCCTGAACAGGTGATCAGCCCATGATGCAGAAGCAGGTCGGTGCGGACATACGCAGATTCCCATATTTGGCGGTTCAATTCGGCATGCTTGGCTTTGCGCTCAGCTTTGGAAATCTTGACTGGCGCGGGTGGTTCTTCGTTCATATCGGATGTCTCTTGCTTCTGCGATCCCGTTAGTCACGCGCTCAGGAAACCAACTTTCACGGAGAGCTCCATACATCAGCAAGAGACTCCCAGTCATCATCCCATGCATCGGGCAAGGCACCTTTTCCAGGCATTGGGGGTTCTATCTAGCGAATGCGGGAGAAAGAATAGCGAGCACAGAGAGAGGACTTGGGCATGGCAGCGGGGAAGACTTGCAGAGGCCAGGATGTGTCCAATGTTCGCGCCAAGCAATTCGCTAAACGCGGAAGCTAAACCCTGGTCGCAGCTTGGAGCTTTGGACTCTCACTGCTGCCTTTCACCTCGTAACCTCAAGCTCCGCTTTCATCCATCATACAACTTGCCGCCTAACTGATTAGACAGCACGCATTGTTGTGCTTATAAGTTGCCCTAACTTGCCCATCAGAATGTCAGGTAATTATTGTCTCATCGTAGTCACGACGTGATGAAGCGACAGAAAACTGAGCGCGCAGCAGATGCCGACGGTGACTCCACGATGCACTCGTCTCCTGAGCTAGAAATAGCCGATGACGAAATGTTCCCTGACGAAGCCGCTGGCCCGAGCACACCGCGAAATCCTCCCGCCTTCTCTCTCGACCCCCCCTCAGAGTTGTCCCCGCCAAACTCCCAAGGCCCTTCACAACTGGCTGGCCGAGATGAGAGCTTCGTCGCTGCCCTCGCCCGAACCCCTTCGACATCGTTGAATGCAAACGGTAAGCGCGTACGCTCTGCAGTCATGACCGCCGGTGTCGCAGATAGTACACAGGTCGATCCTGAAACTGGGTATTGTTGGACGAAGCAGGAGGAGCAGCCGGGCTGGGAGTGGAAGAACACAAGGGCCCGGGAGGATGAGAGTAGGGCGCTGGAGCATATTCAGGATAAGGGGTCAATGATCAAGAGTAGGTTCAAAGTCTGACCTCTGTATTTGTGTTGGCTGACAATAGCAGCCAAGTACGGTGATCCACTCGATGCGTCCGTCCCAGTGAAGCGGCGCTGAAAAAGGGGGTTTCAAGGACACCGCGACAGTGAAGTCATCACGAGAAGACGCTTTGCGTTACCAACGAGGCGCTGCACCGTTATGCTCGTTCCGCCCAAGGAGCTAACAAGCCACTCTCATGGAGCACGCAAGACGCACCCTGGGTATGGCCAGGGTAATTTCGGCAGGATGATGGGCTAATTCTACCTCAGCATATACTGCAGACATATAGGCATGGAGGGAGCAGTAGAAACAATGCAAAAACCCATTTATTGATCAGACTGATCGTATTGATCATGCCGGTGATGAACCTCATGATTGGTGTTGAGACCTTCTTGGATTCCAAAGTCCTTTATCATAGCCTTGGCCTTAGTCCTGACCCAACGCCGTTCCATGCAGTTCAAAGACGTTGTCCAGTCATGCGCCTCTGTATTGTGTCGCTCGGTCACTCAGTCGCTTTCATCACCATCTTCCATGCCCTCGTCCGACGCCTCGCTCTCTCTCGCCTCGATAGGGTCTTCTGTCAACTGCTCTTCTGCACCTTCTTCTTCCTCTTCACCCTCTTCATCTTCTTCTACCTCCTCATCCTCCTGCTGCTCCTCCTCGACTGTCTCGTCCACATCTGCTTCCTCCTCCGACCCAGAAGCGTGTTCCCCGTTATCCACACTCGATCGTCTGGCTCGCTTTGCGGGTGGTGAGTCGTCGACGCCAGCGGCGTGTCCATTCGCAGCTCGAGGCTTGCCCTCGCTGGTATCCTTCTGCGCTTTCTTCTCCTCCCGGACTTTCTTGCGGTACGAGTTGCGCTTATCGGCCTGGATGGAGGTGAATTCTACCCAGGTCAGTGCCATGGTAAGTTAGAAGGCTGGGTACACGTACTAGCGACTTCGGCTTCAAGGCGAGGCAGAAAAGACTCGAACTCTAGCTCTTGCATAGCATCGAATACGTCCTTGGGCATGACCGTCTTCTTATTACTCCTCGCGGCGTTCTCAGCTGCACTGTCCGATTCGTTAGACATAGCCCTACCACATAGGTGCGTCCACGTACTAATGTGTAAGATAATTGACAAAGACGGTTGCGCTCTTGGACATAGCCAGGAGCGCATCTTTCTGTATCTGTGTGTTCGGTGGGAGGACGCCCTTCGCAAGTCGCTGCACAATTGATTTTGGAAGATTAAGTTCTTCAACACTCAGTCCGTCTTCTTTGGACGCAGCCTTTGCTGGCTCCTCTGGCGACACGGCGGAGATATTACTCTTTCTTGGGGGCATTGCGAGTCCTCGGAAGGGCGTTACTGTAGTATGCAGGTGGGAGTGGAGAATGCGACAATGTTAGTAAAATGGTTGTCGTTCAAACTCATTAGAAAGGCGAAAGTCGTGATCACCATGGTTGAAGGTTGAAGCGAACGCGTGAAAGCGCGTCAATCACGACCTGGCTTGGCACGGGGCCGCAACAGTAGCTCGGGGAAACCTGCAGTATCTGAAGAGAACTCAATTTTTGTGACTTCATATGCAAGTCTTATTGGTGTCTAAATCCGGCGCTGCCTCTCCCTCCGCTGTAAAACGAAAGGCAGTCTACCTAGCTACTTGCCTGATTAAGTCAAGTTTGACGCGAAGCATCACGTGAGGGACTTCTCTCCGGTCAGGCGAAGCCTGCGTCTCGTCATTCAACCGTCGCACCGGCATCTCACCAACTTGGCTTTGAGGTCAAGCAATCCATGCGAGATCCCGCTCGAAAGGCTTCGATTCCCGAGGATCGACTCGATCGCCTCAACGGAACATTTCATCTTTCCCTCCCAGCGACTCGGTCCGAGGTGATCCCAGACTTATCACGGCATTGAGAAACGACACGTCTTAAGTTATCGCCTGAGAAGCGTACCGTAGACGTTGCAGACAGGATGCGGTGGTGGCTTCCTCAAGGATGTTCCAAGTACAAATGTACCAGTCCTAACCGCCACCAATACCTGTCGAACCTATTAAACACATGCTGCGAGAGAACCTGTCCAGTAACACCAGGACTTTTATTCTCCAGGATCCAAATCCATGGGACAAGTGGGTATGCCGAATGATCCTCACTGCTAATCCGAGGTCTCCAGTGATCTTCAACCAAAGCAATACCATCAGCCTCAGTACCCCAACAATAGTGACAAGTGGGTGCGGGGCCAAATCAGCCGCCAAGAACGACAACACCTCCAACTGGCCTTTTACGGTTCAGCTCTAGTGGGAAGAATGCTGAGAACTGATGCAATATCCAGCATGACTACAAGGTCTGTGTCAGAAAATGGGTTGGGTTGGCCTTGCTGGGAGTCCTCAAGCTGCAACCTGCCCGCCAAGTTGCACGACGGGCAGCCACAAAAAAAGCATTGTGGAACACCTTGACGTTCACAGACCGCGGCAGATGCCTCAACCCATGACCTAGCGTCCGCCGACAGCATGCGCCCGTGGGAGAATAGTCGGCGGATTGCGGCTGTGGGGATTATTTCCTGATCCAACCATCCCTTGAGTAAACACCGACGGTAGCATTGGGGTTGCCCGACACCGCGCAACTCTTACATGTAGGCCGTATTTCTTCATTCTGGACCTTCTTCCAAGACTCTCTTTCTCGCCCAATTTTCTCTATCATTTTCCTTGTGTGCATGCCACAAGATCCCACGTCGCTTGGCGCTGATTGCCAACCGGTAAACGTTCTCCCCCAACCGACTATACCGATACCGATAAGCGTACCTAGACCGATTCGGAGGATAATACTGGAGGACTTTAACGCACTAATATTTCACTAAATCAGTCCCTGCATTTCCAAACCCTAGCCTGGTATTCACGATGCCGTTGGACCCAAATCTTCGGATTCTCGTTGATGGTGATCCATCAAGAGTGTATCACCAAGGAGACCAGGTTAAAGGAAGAGTTATTCTTGTGGTAGAAAAACAGGAACAGATCAAGGCCTTGAAACTCAACTTTCTCGGAGCATGTATCACGAAAACGACTCGGCCATTCTACGTTACCGAGAATGATCGCGATGGCACCTCAGCGCCAAGGCAAGAATACAGGGACAGAACGTACCTCTTCAACATCGAAGAGGTCCTCCTTCCTGGATATACATTGGGAGCTAAGAAGTACTGCTGGGACTTCGACTTCACATTCCCAAAGCTCACTGAAACCCGTCATTCCCGCTGGGCTCGTGGCTCAAAGTTCGCGCGAGATTTTCATCCCCTTCCGCCGTCTTTCCACATATACACCGACAACCCGGGCGGAGAAGCCATGGTCTCTTACTACCTCCAGGCCAAGCTTATACGACGAGGTATGAAAGACGTAAAGAGAGTTATGCAAACTCTAGCATTCTGCCCAAACTCACGAAATACTCCACACGAACCCCGGATAAATTCGAGAATCTTGTATGCCCAAACATGGAAGCCGACCAGAGATACAAGGACAGCAATCGACAAAATTATTAACAAAGTGTCTCGCAAATCAACGATGCGATCCAGTTCCCCCCAGATTGTCCCCACGCTTTACTACCCAGAAAAAATTGCTCCTGGACAACACATACCTCTACTCGTGTCAATTACCAACGCTCGACGAGGCTGTGACGAGCAGCTTCAGTGCTTCCTAGATTCCCTCGTAGTCACCATCTCTACCTACACGACATCGATGTGTGGAAAGCTACTCACTCAACCCCAGGACAGCATAACGAAGCATATTACATGTATCTCGAAGCACGATCTCAACCAACCGCTGTCTTTCGATGTCCGTACGAAACTCACTACGAACTTTCGTCTCGTAGATGACGCAGAATGCGTTCCAACATTTAAAACCTACACGATAACCCGCCATTATACACTGACAATCGTGGTCGGCTTGAAATGTCAGGGCCAGAAGTTTACCATCAAGTCCACGACGCCACTCGAAATTTTACCTCGACTGCCCCGAGCATACGTGAACACACAAGCCCCTGATCATCACGATGAAATACCAGTGGATCCTCTACCGCTCTACGAACCCACAGAAGCCGGCGCAGAGCTCGCCCCCGATTACGACACTGTGTATTCTTTGACGCCGGCTCCTTCCCGTCCATACTCCTTCGCAGAAACTGAAAGCTACGTTTCTGGCACATCTACACCGCTGACCCGTCTTACCACACCATCATCTGAGGTGGACCGACCAAGTATCGACAATAGAGCCAGCTGGCACCGATCAAGCATGATAGGACAAACTGGGTGGCCAAGGCCTTCTAGCCTGCTAATGCAGCGGCGTGGGATTGAGTAGCAGAGTGTATGATCCTCTTTGCAAGGCGTTTGGCGAAGCGCGTGAGGGGTTTACAGGTCTGAGGTCAGCTCAGGGGATGATTGCTTTCCACTCTTTGCAATGATACCCAGCATGATGAAAAGATTGATCAACAATACTGTCGTATTCAAGGTGATTGCCTAATCGAATTTTGCAGGCTTTGCTTTTTTGGTAAGATTTTGGAGTTTATAGTGCACCTTGCACATGGAGAGCATTCAAGCGACACAATACCCTTTTATCATTGACTTTGACGACGCGAAATCGATCGAGGGAGACCCGGCGTTTAAGGCGACTGCACCGCCTGCGATATCCAACCTCGAGGAGTTTTACTCGATAGTCTCGCTCGTCTCATTCTTTACACGACAACATGGCCTTCGACCAACGGCCTCGCTGATTCAATCGCTACACTGACGAACCGTACGCTTTATTGACTCACGCATGCCGAGTCTTCCAGCGACCATCTTTTTCGTCAGCATCCTCCGAAGCTATGTCTCCTCCTTCAGTACTTTCCTCATCGCACTACCGAAATCTGAAACAAAGAATCTCCGACACGTTCCAATACAACCACCATGTACTCGCCCACGCCTCTAACCTCACCATTGCCTCGCAAAACGACACCATTACCGATGACACTATGTCTTTGGGCTATCGAGCGAAATGATGAAGATCCTTAGGCGCATAGGTGGGTCTAGGCTCAGTCCCTCCGACCGGCTTGAGATTTATTGTGCTGCAAGGGTGCTGTAGGTTCGCGCAGGAGAGGAGGACGAAACTGTGTTTCAAATGGTTATGCATTGGTCGTCGTCTGGTGAACATGGGTAGGGATGGCTGGTCGAGTGATGGGTTCTCGAATATACTAGTGGCATTGACAAAGACATGATCAAAGCGGGGTGAAAGGTAAACGAATTCTTCAAGCACGTCGCATGCAAAAAGAATTCCAAAGGTTTGCGCAGAAGACATTAGATATTTTGAAACCGTAATGACTGAGGCATTGAGTGGGAAGCGCTATACCTTTTAACTAGTCTATTTATCTCACACATTTCGATCTTCCACCAACCGCCAAATTGGTACCTGCACGTTTACTAGCGTTTACTTTCCTTTCTCAGCTATCATATCCGGCATGCAAAAAGTCAGTTCAATAAATGTAGTCCCGCAACAATGTCTCAATCCATATATTCATACTCCCTCTCAACCCTCGGCATCTGCGTCACCCGGACGAAAAAAATTCCGGTGATGAAGCGATATCAGATACCACCATCACCATTCCCTCGAACAAAATCTCCAAGACAACATATTGATAAGGCCAAAATATCGTCTCTATAGAAACTTGAGGTAGGGCTCTCTGGTTTGTGAGGGGTTTAGTTTTGCGCATCCAGCATGTCAGAGAAGGAAAATTTGCTCTTCTATTATCAAAATGGAAATATATCAGTAACTACATTGCTTTATACCTTCGTCCTAAGACCCTGCTCTCGTGTCGCCTCACCTGTTCGTCGTCTTAATCTAACCACTTATCCTTCAACACTACCTGAGCGTCGCTTCTACCCCTCACCCTTCTAATTCAACGAGGCTCACCTGTAGAAAATTCACCTCTAAAAGTTGACAAATTAGCCCTGAATCTAAGTTATATTCCTTCTGTCTTAGAGGAAACTCCCATGTTCATTTCCCCACTAGAATAGCTCCATTTAAGCACCAAGGCGGCTGAATAACTCAAACTGCATCCTTTCAGCTGTTTTAGGACCACGAAGCATGTCACCAACTATATTAGAGCTTCGGCGGGAAGCTCAAATACAGGCTCCCCAGCACCCCTCATGTTAGCTTAGACAGCCTGTCTGAAGTGCCACCGGAGAAGCGAATTAACAGAGGCACCAGACGAGCAAAATACTCCTGATCAAGATGCTTGCCACCAATATCTCTTAAAGAGATATGAACGCTATGGCCGTGTAGTTATCCTAAGATACATATTGGCTAAAGTCTCTGGGATTAGATATGAAGCAAATGTACATGCGGTTTGATCGAGATATCACAAGAATCGAATAGTTGGTGCACAGCGAATTCAAACGACATTCTATTCTGAACCGAGTTGATAGATTCCCCCTTGGCTGATTGAATTGTAGTCTATCTGTCCATCTAGTAACTTCTGTAGTCTAGTGGGAAGATACGTGCACCTTCGAAACCGGACCAGAAGTCAATCCTATTAATTGTAAGCGCACATTCTCCAAAAATAATACATCGGCGATCTCGCGAATGAACAGCATCACAGAAAGCGGCAACGCGGGTTCCAGTGGCACGAGAAATTGTTCGGACAAGCCATGGCTCATTATTGACCTCAAAAGAACATGCTAATAATTTAGCCATATAACTAGTTATACATTAAAGGGTGATTATAGAAAATCTAACCGGAATCAACAATATAGTACTTCCCAGGTTGGAGTGGATGATCATCCCTTTCCATCTTTGTTTCACCCTCATCTCGCAGAAAGAAGGTGCTTGTAAATATGAAGAGAATCTCAACCATTAAGTAAAACTTGGCATGTGTACCTCTGACAGTGATAATCATGCCACCAAGCACAGTATCAGAGTCGCTGGCATCGTAGATATGGACGTTCCGCCCTGCTGGGCGATTGAATGGAGGCACGGTAGATGCTTGCAGCGGATTTAGAGAGTTGGAGATTTTGGAGGCAGAGTTGGGCGCTGTGGGGGACGATGACATGTTGGCAAAGGTTGCATAAGGGGAGAGGGTGGAGGATAACGGATGGGCGATGGCAGGTGCAGACTTGCACTGTGTCGAAAGCTCAATGATAAAACGAGGTGGGTACAGATAATTCAATGTTGCCGCCCTTGTACCTGAGTGTAACTATTGATCTAGAAGGGAGGGTTTGCCAAGGAAGGGACTTTCTGGTTCTTCTCAGCAGGGTCGATCGGATATGTACTAAGCAGCAAGATGTGAAAGACCGCGGATGTCAAGTCAGAGGTATGGTAGTGATCTATGGATCTGCGGGTCTAGTGGTGATTTGGCTGGGAGAGGAGGCAGATGGGAGTGCGGAGGCTATGGAATAAATTCGTGCGATGGCGGACGCGGCGGATGAAGAGTATTGGGAAGAAACGACAGGAGGACTTGTGGGGGCCTGGTGTACGCGTTTTAATACTAAAGTTGAGGGTAGTATCCCGTGTGAGAGCAGTGGATCCTGATATTTGGAGGCAATGAAATGGGAATGTGGAGAGTGGATCCCGGGAGAGCAGAGGGCGCTTCCGTGCAGCAAATGTTGGAGCTAGTCTTCGGGAAAAGTCGGTGGTAAGAGCGTGCGGGGATGCAGAAGTAATGGGAGGGATACTAGAGGAGAGTGCGGAGAGATCCGAGGAAGATGATGCTACACAGTGTATGCTGTCCTTGCGCTTCTAAAGCGTTCCTAGTTTTGACGCATATGGGTAAGCTATCATATCGCAATCCATCCATCCATATTCATGAGAGTAAGCAGCTAGCTAACATTGATTCCTATTCCTTCATAGGTTTTTCAAGAAGTTGCCTCAGCTCGCTGCATCGTAATCACATGTGGTACATCAGAAATCAACGACCATACATTTTACCTAGGCCTACGCCCATTAAAGCGTGCCTATGATGTAGACGCAGATCTACGCATCTTAGACTAGTGGCGTTCTTGATCTAGGGTGCGATATTTCGTTCAAAATATGCGTCATTTGCGAGCGCAGCGAAGCTGAATCAGAGGTCTCTTGCGGAGCTGGTTGACATGTTTCGTACGCACGAGGCTACAGATCGGATGGGCAAGGTTTATGCTTTTTTAGGAATGGTGGCTAATGATTCGACTCTGACCACCGATAACACAGGCCTGGCGTCTGACTACGCACGACCGTGGTGTAACGTTTTCCAAAGCACCAAGAACATCCTCGGAGAGAAGGTAGCAGTGGGAACATTAGACAACAGAGAAGCTGTAGTGGCCACAGGCAAGGGCTGTATACTCGGGCGTATATAACCCGTCGAGAATGAAACAGACCGGGGAATCTGCCAGAGACTAACCGTAGACACCAAGGCCTCATTCTACGGTGGAAGGTTTCGTGGACGACCCCGATGCCAGCGAAACCAGTTTGTGAAGAAGACTTAATGTGTTTTCTCCAAGGAGCACGGAATCCGACGGCTACCAGACTGTCCAAGGACCATTTTTCTATTGTTGTTGTTACGACTCTCCCACCAGATATAGTGGTGCAGGACACTACTCGCACATCTTCAAGCGTAGTTTATCGCTACGAAGATCGATGTTATGGTAGATACGAGGGTGTTGGGTGGCAGGAAATCTGGCAAATGACAACCAAGCTCTGACACTACTTCCTTGTAGTGTGGAAACTAGGGCCAGGCTGTCGAGGAGATTGACCTGGATTTCGAACTCGTCGTTCCGTCCAAGATTTCTAATCCAGAACTCGAGTCCTCCAAAAATAAACATAATGAACGCCAACACAGACTGAGGAGATTGTACGATGTAGCACGAATACTGGAAGATTAGGGAGGATTCAGAGAAGTAGAAAATAAGATTACCGAAGCGCTTGAAACCTTCTTGGAAACCAGCGAAGAAAGTTCCTCCCGACTTGTCACACGAATGAGAAGGCTTCAGCTGATCTATTCTCATCAAGAGGCATGAGAGAGTGTGAATGACGCCTTATATGGTGGAATTATGGAACTATAAAGAAAACCTAGTCTTGGAAGCAAACCCTTCTGAGCCGTCCGATTGGTTTACTCAAACATCAATGATTTGTATCCGGATAGTATGGATTTACTGGAAATGTTAGAGGAAGATTCTAGCGAGGCGACAGAGTGTACTCGGCGGCACTTCAGATGGCACGATCCCCATGGTGGTGCCCTTGCTGGTCGAGCCTCGGCGACGCAATACTAATCACGCCCGACCTCATCGGGGCATTGCTTAACTCGGCCCATGGCACCCTCGGGCTAGAGACGCTGTTGAAGTTATTCGAGAAGAGGGGTGTAGAAATGCACGTTATGTGGAGGGTGCTCAATGCCGCAATGTTCGGCGACATGGAAGATAGCGCTGCTATCAAATTCCTACTCAAACATGGCCGTGATGGAATCGCCAAAGTAACCAAAACCACGACGATCTGCCTCGACACTGCAGTCTACTACGACTTTGCAATGGAGGGCCCATCATGGTGCTTCTTGAACACTTCCATGATATCATCGACCGCAAGGCCCTGTGGAGATATTGCCGGCTGTAGGTACAGCAAAGCCCACAGCGATGAAAATGCCGTTCGGGAACTTCTGAAGTTCACATGAACCTAAACATACTTTTTTCCCTGAGATCCGAGAATTTGTTTCTAGAGCCGTTACCGGTGGGGACAAGGCCGTCGTTGATCTTCTCGGCAATGCAGGCGGCCAGGTGGCCGAAGATATTTCAAACAATCGTGGTACTACGCCACTCTACATTGCAGCGGCACGTGGCAATATTGACTTGTGCAGACGGCTGCTGTGTCGTGGAGCAAATATATGTACCTAAAATCGTCTGGGATTTCTCCTCTTTCTCTTGCTCGGTAGGAAGAGGATAAACCTAAGTTGTTGGAGCCATTTGTGCTGGCGGAACGAGATGGTACAGAGGTGTTGAGGGAGGCTGGTTCTGATTCCGACTCTGCACAAAAAGTAGAACCAGGACTAGGACTGGACCCAGAACCAGGAAAACAGCAAGAGGAAGAGAAAAGAGATGGAGACGATGTGGAATGAGAAGGAAAAAAGGAAGAAGGGCCTCTTCGAGACCACTCAGATAAAAGCTAAACAGCAGCATTAAGCTCGACAGACCTTAAGGAGTCGGTGCCGAGTTAAGACTATTAAGTTCTCGTTAGCCGAGTGGGTAGGTCTATGGTTATTTGCGCAAGGTTTACAGTCAAAGTGAAGAGCTATATAGAGCAAAATAGGTCTTCGTGCAACGCACGAAGAGCAGCCTTAATCTTGACCTCCATTCCTCTGGAATATCTGAGACTTGTGAAGCTACCTTAAACCCAACTGTCGCACTTCTTCTAATATAGTACACGACAAGGATGCTGACTTGGGCTGGGAGATTTGCGGCCAGGGCTGCGAGTCTGGAACAGGGTGCATGGATGGTGCTTGCTAGCTTACGGGAGTTATTTTGAGAAGTGGAATCGAAGTTGAATAACGCTCGAAGAAGCAAGCACGCTTGTTTATGCCTTCTTCGTAGCGGCATAGTTTTCGGCGAATTCGTTCTATGCGTTGCATGCGCAAGCATGCCGCCTGAAATGCGGTCGCCCGTTTGGGGTTATGATATCATATAAAGAGAGATAGTTGATTGGGCGTTCTTTGCTATGAGAGTCTGCAAGTGTATAAATGGGTTAAGATTGTCTTTTCGTTTGCTTAGGGGAGATTTAGAAAGCATCTTCTGGGCGTAACCTCAGCATTGCCACGACATGAGAAGATACTCAATAGTCTCATGGACAGACGAATAGAAAGGGTGATATCAAAGGACGCGTTATATTCATATCCTTAACCCACCCATAAGTACTCAATGAAAAGATCCCCAAGAGCAGCACCGAACCGTACCGTACCGGGTATATAAAAAGTCCTCAATCTTTGCAAACCTCTATCATCTCAACCGGTCATTCATCCACGGATCCCCACCGCAACCCTGGCGCACATAAAAAAAAGTAATGGAAAAAGAAGCTCGAGAGGATGTGGGCCTCGTACTTGGCAGCGAGCTAGATAGAAGAAAAATCCTTACGATGGAATAAAATCGTAGAAACGCCTCGAAATCTGTCCACCCGAAGAAACGCCGTAGGGTGAGAGCTCTGCACTTTCTTGTAGCTAGCTGGCTGTCATAGCCATGTTTGCGTGTACTGCCGTGCTGTGTCGAACGAAGTAGTGATTACCTTCCCGTCTCTCACTCCGAAAAAAGAACAGGCTAGCTAAAAGACAAATCAAGCCTAAAAAACTCCTCTTCAAACTCGTTGAATCATGCATCTCAATTTCAACATCGTTCCTATTCTGCCCTTCTTCACTAACGAAACAAAGGTCTGAACGTGTGATGGAATAAGTAATCAGACCCGACCATCCAACACCTCGAAAATGCCGATCTCAACTCGTTCGGAGCCACTTCTTGGGCGCGGCTCCAACAAGTCTAATTCGTGGCTGAACAAACATCTCTCCTCTTCCATCTCGATGTCTAGGACGCTCGGCTTGCGTCGTAGCATCAGCAGCTGGCGAATGGAATGCGTGCTGCTGGCCGAGCGATGGCTATCCGGGCTCGAGGTCCGGGTCAACGGGGAGGTAGTGCCAGTGGAGGAGCTCGGAGAGGTGGAGCGAGGCGACCGAGTCGAAAGACGGGTAGGAGAGAAGGCGGTCTTAAGTCGGCGGAGGGAGGTGGAAGGCGTGCGGACTACGGAGAAGGACTGGAAGCGGTTGGTGCGGGTGGGAGAGACCATTTTGGATGGTGATGAGTATTGTAATTGTTGCGTTGGGATATGTAGTGGTAGGTGATATTATCAATTGATTGTGCAATGCTTCGGGAGGGCGATTGCAACGGTTGTGTGGGGTTGTTCGTTGTTGCAGCGAAAGTGATGCGCCAAACAGGTCCAGCTGTCCACAGGGCGGGCAAGAGCAAGTCTTTGAAGAGAGCGTAGTATTCGGCAACAGTGTTGTCCGACAGCGAATGTGTGTGATCGAGAAACGAATTGTCGATCTCGATTGTTGGACCCTGAGGTTTTGGTAGGGTAGCGTCGTTCCACAACAGAGAGGATGATGCAAATAGCTTCTCAGAAGTGTCGGACTAAAAATAATAAACCAGCTTCCAGTATTTTTCAACTAGGAAGAAAGGATCAACCTCTTTTCTCCTCTTCTCCTCGGAATTTAGAGCAAAGGGAGTTGTGAAGGGCGAAGGGAAACGAAGGTAAGGGTTGGGATGAAAGAGGCGAACGAGAAGGGAAGAGAGGGAGATGAGGCAGATGAAGAATGTCAGAGGATGTTTAAGCGTCGTAAATGCCCCCGTAATATGGAAACCTGTCCGTTCTCTTAGCCTAGCCGGGACTGGTGTGAAGACACAAACGCACCCTGGTCGCGAACAGAGCGAGGGGCGTGCTGCGTGTCTGATCGTCAGAGAGGAGCGGGGGGGGGTGAGGAGGTGCTGCAGGATTGATGGAGGTAATAATGTCGGCCCCTCTAATATCAATATCGAATGAGAACTCAAAGAGCGCGAAATTAAGACGAGCAAAAGAATTTTCAAAATCAGCCTTTCGTTTGTCCAGTGAAGGAGACAAACAATTGCTGAGCTGTCGTTCTTATGCGATATGTGAGTTGAATTGTGGACTCCTGAACAACCCCCTCCTGCGTGTCTTGTAACCTTGGTTATCACACATGCTCTCAGGTGCGTCCGTCTCGCCCACCGTGTCACAGGTGCAGAACCGAGCAAAGGGATGCCCTAACATCGCCCGCGTAGTCCGCGTCTGAACCTGCTCAACCAGTGTATTGGGCCATGAAATGCACCGCCTTCACCGTCTCTTGAGCACTATCGCAAAAGCGACAGCCGGGCCATGCCAGCACAGGATGGCGTGTCGGAGAAGGAGTGTGTTGGGTGGCCGCTGGTGGGCCTGGTGAAACTCGGCTGTGCGTCACGTTGGCTCTTGCGCACCTCTTACAGCTTGGCATTGACCTCCTCGATCTAGGAGCACCCACTTCTCGCACCAAGGCATTCCACCACCGTGGACTTGAGACACGATAAAGCCTCCACTCAAGACACTCGGTCCCTCAGGAGCCGGCAGCCGCGTATTTTTTCGGGTCCTCGTCCACGGCAACCGTCACCTGCCTTTCAGCTGAACGTCTGGCCTCCGCCATAGACGCGTCTGCTGGCATTGCTATGCGCAAATATCCACGCCGAGACGGTTCTGATAAAGATGATAGATAGAAATAATTTCAGTTGGCCTCCCAGCGCCGTCGCTATGCACCGCTAATTCAGTGAAAACTCGCAATCCGTGCCCCCATCCGCCCCCTCCTGTTCCCCTTGGAATACCCACCTCCATATCTCCATGTTCTAAGACCATTCGTTGGCGACGTATGTGCATGAACAAGACAAAGGAGACAAATTGCCTTCCTCCGGTGCAGTGCGAGGAAGGGTGTGGTGCTGGGCCATGCCCAAGTTAGCCTTCCTGACGCCCCACGTTAGAGACATCAATGCAACCGATTCCGTATCCACATCCCTGTACAAGCCCTCTTCCTCAGACCTATTCTGAGGCCCATCAAACAGAAGCCCAAGACCATCTCAAACCTTGCACTAGGCCGTCTCCGTCATAACGTAAATCATTTGCCATGCTCTTCTTGGATGCGAAACATGAACCTAAAGACATCGTTCGACTCGAAAATATTCTCCATCATCGCCCTCCCGAACGTCGCATCGTGAAACTCCTGCGAATACTTTCGCCCCATGCAGAATTGTCCAGCACCTCCAAAACATCGGCTGCGCTGACAGAACTGTTTTGTCTGCTGCGATTGCCTGCCGGGCCGGGATCTGGTTCAAGCGGACTTGGCGGCCGACTGAGAGCAGAGGCGAACTGCCAGTCACCATCTGCAGGAGGAGAGAATGGAGACATTTGAGGTGAAGCCTTTGCTGGCGTCAGGGGTGATGGTCGTGTTGGGGAATGTTGCGGTGTCATCTGTATCGAGTTCGCCCGGCTTCGCAACGTCATTTCAGTCGGTGGTGATGGTGAGCGAACGTCGTTGCCTGATGCACGCCACTCAGCATCATCCATCGGTCTGAGATCCGCGGGGGAGAACAGAGGGCTACCGCTGGCAGAGTATTGGCCTCGTTGAGCGTCGGTAATGTCTTCGTCGTCTACAAAAATCTCCGGTACCGTGAATTGCGGCACCGCTGTCATACGTCCTGAACTCTTTTGCTCCATTGCTCGCCTGAATCGCCGTGCCCAGTACAAGGTATCGAAAAATCCTACGACGACGTTCCGTCTTACCGCCTCTTCTACGCGCTGGAGGCGAGCTCGACGACGTAGAAACTCCTCTAATCTATATCATAATCAGTATTCCCAAGTATAAAGTCAAGTAACAGACGTACCTTAGGCTCTTATTGTCATTAATGACTTTGTAGTGAGCTAAGATCATAAGAAGTGAAGTAAATGCAATACCTCTATCAGGATCGCTCGAGACAAGTACTTCTTCATAGAAGGTATTCATGCGTTGCCGCCTTACCCGAATTCCTTCTACTGGTAGTAGAGCCAGGCGCTGGTTAAGCTTTTTTATGTCGATTTCCGGAGCCGGTTCATGACCTTGGACAGGAAGTTCCGACGTTCTCCTTGAGGAGCTGCAGTCTTCGATTAATCTGCGGACTGTGAAATCGCCATCGTATATTCTCATTTCGAAAACGCCGGAGAGTTCCTATTTAAGGTCAGAATTTAGGAGGACGAGGAAATATGTTCGAAAACTTACACCAAGCAGCCGGGGAAAAGCTTCTCTTGATATATAACCCGTACCGTTTGGGTCAAATTCAGCCCACGCTTGCTTGAATCGGCGAATCTCCTCTCGACTTATGACAGACAATCCGCTACTTCGTTGATATACGTAACTGAAGCTTTCGTATATCAAGGAGACGAACAAATTGACGAAGAGGTACATGCTGATGATGTTCCAGGTTATGAAGAGGGCGCGGGCCCAATCGGGGCTTCCACAGTCGCTATCAAAATACCTCTCCCCAATTGTGCAGAATGGTGGGCGTATACCGGCGAAATCTTCCATAATTTGATTCCAGCCTTCCCCGGTGCTAGTTCGGAATAGTAGGATGAGCGCTTTGGGCACGTCCCTGAAATTGATGTTTCCGGTTTCTCCTGGGCCGAAACGTGTGAGCCCAAAGGTCTGCGTGAGCGCAATAGCATACACCAGGAACAGGACAAACCACGTGGCCAGTAAATTCGCAATTGCCGCGAGACTTGCCGCTGCCGTCTTGAATAGCTGATCCAACTGGTTATTCCGAGGGATTAAGAGCAGTGCGATTGAAACAAGACACAGCTTGTGGAGAGTCGTATAGACCCTTTCATTGAAGTTTGTGATGAGGAGAATGGAGGTGATGAAGGTTCCCGAGACCGCGAAAATGGAGAAGATATCCCATGAGCTCTTTCGAAAACGATGCCATGATAGACCAATGATGCGGATCACAACATTAGTTATGAAGATGATCGTGAAAAAGAGGAAGATGAAGTCTGATCTGTTAGCATGCGGAGATGTATGAAAGGGTTATTCTCACCTCTAGCCCGATCCCATTTACTATTGCCAGGGTACCATTCCAAGCAGAGAAGAATAAGGTGTAAAATCAAAAGTCCGGTGATGAATCTTTGCCAATGGCCAGTCTTTCGAACTGCCCGACGATAGCACCATTCTTCCCAAGTCTCTCTTTGCTTGGTGGAAGAAGGGCGCTTAGAGGGAGACACTTGTCGCAACAGCTTCCTTAATTCAAGCCATGAACGTTGGTCCGTAGTGAGAAATGCAACTCCGGTCTGTTCTGTGTAGTTTCGCATAAAGACAGAGACAAAGAGGGTCAACACAAACACGGCCCCGAGTAAGTTAAAGACGACGAAGAAAACAGCGTTCCCTTGCGATGCAAAGGGTGCAGGCTGCGTAAAGACGCCTGTAATACTCTGGGCTGCCCATGAGACATCGATCCATCCTTCCTGGGACACAATCTGGAAAAGTATGAACAGCGAATTTCCAAAATTATCGAAGTCAAAGTATGGGTTTGCGGCTTGGCGAGGTGCGAGTACATTCCAGTCGAAAGGTGAGCTTGCGTACTCGTTGACGCAGTCGGCAAGATTGGAGATGTTCGAGCCATCGTCATTACAAGCTTGCATTCGACCAACGAACAAGTTCAGTCCATAAATGGCGAAGGGAATGAGCAAACTCAAAGACACAAAGGCGGCAGATATGACCTTCCATACACCGCGAACAATGACAGAATGGAAATGGTCACGAGCGCTGTCGCTGATATTGAGCAGCCGAAGAGCTCTGAGAGCCTTGAATGCGCCGACCGTTCTGGTGATCTGGCCCTCATTATAGAGGGAGGTTGCAACGTTGACCCATAGAGTGACCAGCACAACACCGTCGATGAAGCCCCAAGACCCTCGGAAGTATGCATTTGGCGTGAAGAAGAAGCCATCCGCAATGACTTTGATTAAGGCTTCGACCGTAAAGAGCAGAGCAAAGCCCATGTCGGTGAAAACGAACCAGTTCTTCACGCTGAAGGTGTGCGTCATGAAGTAAGTCCTTTGATATAAAGGGGTGGTGACACAAGCGAGAAGCACCATTGCAATGATAGCGGCGTAAATAAACGCAGAAAAAGCATACCATACAGGGACGGATGGTGCAACTCCTTCGATTCGATCCCCACCACGGCCTGGACCAACGATTCGCTGACAAATTTTACGGATAGGATTATTTGGCCTGAAGATGAAGAGAGAAACATTGTAGTTTGGATGTGTCCGAAGGTATTCTCTTTGAGCTTTTTTGCGTTTCTCTGTTGCAGAAACTACTTCTTTGGCCATTCTTCTTGGATCCAAGTCCTCATAAGCCCGCCCAAAATCCAAAGGGGCATAGAATGGATTGGGCTCGTGGCTGCTGAGCTTACGCATGAGCCGCTGCCATAAGGTAGAGACAGTTCCTGATCCAACGATGGTAGGCATAGGTCGAATTCCGGGTTGGGGTTCCTCCCCGTTCGGGCTGGCGACGTTCTCAGGCTCGTCGAGAAAGTCTCGTACAACTGCATCCTTAAGCAACATTTCCGCGGCAGCGGACCCATAGTCTAGCGGGTCTTTACGTCGACCAGTAGCTTGCCCAAGTTTGAATATGGAGGAAAGCGATAAATTGCCGTACGATGAACTAATGCCTTGTTCCTTTTTTTGGAGGAATGCTTTGACTTGCTGCAGTCGCTTTTCGTCTTCCGAAACATCGAAATTCTCCTGAATGACAGCAATGAACATGTTCAAAACAATGAAGTTGGCGAAGATAAACCAGAGGATACAGAATGAGGCTCCAATCCAGGAGGTATTGTAGTACTTTTCGTAACTGGTGACGTTGTAGAGGATGGTGGTCCAGTTTTCACTCGAGAGAATTTGGTACATTCCAAGGAAGGAGTTATATATCGTAAAGAAAGAAATCTGAACGGTTTCTCCTGGCTGTGGAATAATCTCGCCTCGGAAGAGCTGCGCAGCGAATATAGATGCAAGAAAGACCAGGAGGAACACGAAAAGAATCAAGTTCAGCAGACCACTGACATTTCCCAAAACTATCATCTAAAACAAGATTAGCGAAAAGGTAGAGGATATAGGGAATATAGCTCACAATAAGATCTCGGGTCATCGGAACAGCGAGAACAACTCGATAGATTCGGAGAACTTGAAAGATTGTGAGCCAAGCATAGGCTCGTCCATCGTGGGCATTCTTGATGACTGGAATTTGTATCACGGTAGTGATGATTGCAATCATCAAGTCGGTAATATTGCGCTTGCTTTGGAAGAAATGTCGCCAATCAGAGACGAACCGCAAGATAATGTCAATCAGTAGGATCAATGTGACTCCCGTTTCGGACAAATCGATAAACTTCTGGCGTGAATCACTCATCGTAGCGCTCCTCAGTGACTGAACTATCAGCCCATATGCGATCACGACAACCCATATCCAGCCTGTTTTTCCGTAAAGACGTTTCAGGGCGCTAACACGTTGTTTTGGGAGTCCGTCCACCTCTTCCTCCTCCATTTCTTCACCCGTGAAAGCGCTAGCTTTACTCTCCTCACGGATAACTTGGAATGAAGACGTGATGACAGCGATGAGCAAGTTGATAAGCCACAAACTCATAATTACGATCGCAGCTGCAAAGAAGAGGGCCCCCACAAGGTAGTCGCTGTCAGCGACATGGTAGAGGAGGTCCGAGTAGGTGTTGGAGGACATTATAACGAAGACCAGTTCTAAGGACTGAAAAATATTGTCGAAGCTCTGTGTTCCATTGTGTGGATTAGAGAGTTCCATGCAAACAGAGCCCTTTGGGCAGAGGAAGCCCTTATGAGTATCCGAAACATTACCATTTGCTAGAATGTAGTTCTCAGCAATGTTCTGGTCTGTTCCGTTCTTGAGATGACCTCCACAAGCTTGGCCTATGTTGGTGAAATTCTTCTTGCCGTCGGGATCGATCCATACACAGTTTCGGCGAAAACTTGATTTGAAACTCTGGACGCCGACGATAGCAAAGAGTAGCCAGAAAAAGCTGATCAGAAAGGCGACATTCACCAATAGTGGTGCTGCCTTTTTCAGGCTTCGTAATATAACCTAAGAACGATATTAGCACCGCCGACCTTCATTGAAAAGTGGTTCGGTCATACCGAAGTGCCGCTTGTGAGATTGAGTAGACGAATAATACGCAAGCAGCTCAGCATTTTGAAGATGAAGACATGCCTGCGCGACTCGGCGCCGAGAACACCAATAGCAAAAGCTATCCAGAAGGACACTACCGCAACGAAATCGGTTCGATTGAAGGAGTGTCGAAGGTAAGCCCTATGCGCTAAGCGAATCCGCTGTTGTTGTCGTGAATCTCCTGGGCCGATCGCCGGGGTCATTTGGGCGGTAGTAAGGGTTCGAAGAACGGAGGGTTGCTGAGGGTCGAAGCTTGAGCCTACGTGTTTCAAAGATGATTGCCGCTGCGGCCCGAAAAGCTGGCGTACTTTATTCAATACGGCATCTCTCAAGCCTAATTGTCGATTGACGCTGCTGTACTCGACTGCGTTGATGATGAGCCCGGATACGATTACACGGATGATGATCTCAGCGGTGTAGATAAAAAATAGGACCAAGAGAGCGTAATCAATCCACGTGGAACCCCAGGAGGACGAGCGGGGGTGGTCAAAGACACTACGGCTGGAGTCGACGGCGAGAAGAATGGTTTGGATGACAATGAGTAGCAAAAGAAAGGGCTCGACGACTGGATGGACCAGCAGGTCACAGAGCTTCAATCTTAACTTGCTGTCTGGGGGAAATATGCCCAGTGTCTTTCCACGAAGAGGGTTTGGTGGGGGTTGCCATTGTACACTTGGTCGTCGGAGGTGGATTGGTGATGGCGGCTTCTCTACAGGTGAGGTTGGGGAGGACGGACCATCATGGAGGTACTCAGGGAGGGCTGGGAATGAGGGCGGTTCATGAAGTCGTGCATGTCGTAAAGAAGACTTCCTGCGCATGGTTCGCTCGGCGATTTCCGGTTCATTGCTGAGGTTGACGACACGCTGCGACATGTTCCGCATGATGGTTCCTGCCCGATGTAGCGGAGATTCCGCCGCACTTGGAGAGAGCGACCGCTTCCTCCCCGTTGAGGTGCGCAAGCCGCCACCCGCAACCTCTACATGGCTCAGATCGTCGCCCAGCCTGCCCGTGGACGCCGGCGTGACGGCATCTGGGGTCAAGAATCGGACGCTCTGGAAGCTTGATCTTTCCTGGGCAGTGGGGGTCGTGGGAGCAGCGCCGCTTATCGGCTGCAGATTTCGCTCGTCCGTCAGTCGCGCCGTGTCGTCGTATGCGGAAGGCGCGAAGTAGCCATGATCTTCAGACACCTGTCTTGAGACGTAGGGGTCGCTTTCGTGGTGTGGGGGATACGACTGCTCGGAAGACATGGGCGTAGGTAACGGAGGGGATGTGTTGCCTTGGAAATCCATGCCGCCAAATCCAAATCCAATGGCAGCTTGGAAGGCCCCGCCGTCCTCCAGCGGCGAATATCCTCCATCTTCTGAGGCCGTTGTTCCTCCATGCCCAGCGGGAATCGACGTGTTGAGCTGCGGCCGAGTAGCTGTCCGCGTCGGGCTGGGAGACGCCTCGGCGATGGGCGCATACTGCGGATTCCAGTGCTGCCCCGTGGCTATCGACCCCGTCTGCCTAAGCAGGTTGCGTCCTCTATCGCTGAGGGTCCTTCGATGCTGCTGCGCCCCTCCTGTCGCGTAGTGGTCCTGCTCATCCGGCGGGCGATTCAGGTCCTGGAGCGGTATCGACTGGGGATTAGTGTTATTTCTTCCGTGATCGGGATCAGAAGAGGCCATTGGAACTCCTGGCGCTCCCGTGTGGTGCAGGAGTCTTCATCTGGACGTAGCTCTCAGCTCAGAAGTTGCCAGTGTGCGACTAGTCCGGGGTTGGGGCGATAACAAAACGAGCGTGGTGATAGTCGAAAGGGCTGCGGGAGGAGGAATGTATGCGCGGCGTAAGAGCTCCAGCGAGGTGAGGTCTGTGTAGATGGAAAGGTTTTTCTTCTTCGTGTCAGATGTGGGATAGAGGTTCAAGTCTCCGGAATGCGCGTCCCCAGGTCCCAGCAGGCACAAGGAGAGCCAAGCACGGCACAGGATAGGGCTGGCGTCGGCAGGGACGGAGTATTTTTAGCGCAAGCGTAGTGCGACTGACACACAACGCCTTCATGTGCTTTTCGATATTTAGCAGACGTACGAGCAATTTCAACCGTTTGGATATCACCAACAGGGTGCGCCGCGAGATGTCATCCGCTCAGAAGACTATCGCATCTTCAGCGAAGCGGACAAAACTTGGCACGTCAAACGCTGTCAGCATGTTTCCGACCCAGCGTGGAACAAGGGGTTCGCTCTGAATCTCGGATTTGTCTGACTACGGGTTTCTCCCCATCCTGGTAGTTCAGCTCTCAGCATCAATTCAGCATATTAGCGCACTCATGGAACATGACCAGGAAGGGCACAATCCGTAAAATTGTCGTTGGAATAAGGGTGAAGGTTAAGACAATAAGGTTTTCTGTTGCAAATCACATCCCAGCATATTCTGATTGTGTGCCAACACAGGGTAATTAATCTCCCGTAACGAATCTTTAGTAGCGAATCTTCAAATGTCAGTAGAGAGCACGTCCTTGGTGAAGGGCACTTTTCCCACACCTACTAGTTTCTACCCTCAGCAACGTTTAATTCACGACGTCAAAGTCCGCTTCTGGTCCCAAAGGTAACTATTGCGGCAGCGCACTTACCTCTTTAGAAGTTTGGGCAGAAACAATGCAGCGGAGTATGTCATGATTCAAACGGGCCATTCGATGCAGACATGACGGCAATCCCCAGCACACCATTGTCTCTCACCATCGAGGATGACAAGAGAGTCAGGTGGTGATCCGGACGCGTGCCGGAGGACCGATATCAGCCTCGATCTGCGCTAACCCCGTTTGCAAATCGCCTAGCTTGGCGCAAATGATTTTGGGAACGCGACCATCGCTCGATACCTTCACCCAGGCACACCTTCACGCCCATGAGCTTGCAACCTTCCCTACGCCACCTTCACTCTGCAAATATTCCTTAGATTGCCGCTCGTCGCCGCTGTGATCCTCAACATCGCCACTTTACCAACGCCTACGGTCCTCGTTATCCCTTTTAACGCGTCGCCGTTCGGCACGCCGCCATCCTCGTCATGGTGTCCAGGAAACGGGCGAGAGACGAGATGGAGGCGGAGGCGGCCCCTTATGAACCCAGTACATTGCAGAAGCTACGCAGCATGTGGCAGTTCTCCAACCTCATGCAGTACATTAATTTGTTCGGCGATGCCCTCAAAATCGACAAGGAGTTTGACATCGAGGTACACTCCCGGTGCGCCTATGGCCGTCCCCGGATGCGCCTGCTACAATTCCGATGGATTTAAGTGCTGAACATGTCATAGGATCTTGAGGGTGAATGCCTCAAGCCCCACCCCTCGGAGAAGCTCGCGAACATCGGCTTAGCCCTGCTCAAGCATGTGTCGTCACATAAAGGTCTAACGTAGGTCACCCATGCCCGTACTTGCTACGAACACATACTCATCCATACCAGGCTTGACATTTTCGATGAATATGCGCGCCGCCAATATGTCGCTAAAGCTCCACACATCAATCCATTCGGTGCAGAGGAAGCCCCGAACAAGTTCAACGAGTTCGATATCTTCACAAAAATACGCGTGCTCCAACAGCTGTCGGTGTGGACTCTCAACAATCCCAACTCAATACGAGAGAGGATAAACGCGTCCGACAACGATCAGACGCTTTGGGTAAGCTTTCGCAAAGCTCGGAGTACAATGTATAGCTGACTCCAATCGTAGCGCATGGAGCCAACCGGATGGGATTCTGAAGAGCGCGCGATATTCGTCCTAGATGACAACCGCCTATATCGGCGGACAGACCCACCAGCCCCTCCTCCTCCCTACAAAGCAAAGTCGAAGGCGAAGTCTAGAAAGTCGAGGGGAACACGAAATAGCAAGCGGAGGAAACAGTCATCGCCAGAGCCCGAAGATGTTGAGGAAGAAGAAGGGACGGCAGCCAAAGATACAGAAGAAAAGGAAGACGACGGCTTCGGTGGAATGAAGTGGGAATGTCTCTGCATTACCTTAGAAGACTACCAAGAGTTTATGAACAGCATCCGGAGAAGCAGGGATCCCAATGAGAAGGCACTATATGAGCGGATTAAAGAGGACGTGCTCCCAATAATTCAGGCTGCGGCCGAGGAACAGGCCAAGAAGGAAGCCCGCCGCCTGAAAGAACTGGAGGTGTTGCAGAAATTGGCTACGGCAAAGCGGTCCAGCAGAATATCATCCAGGCTAGAGAAACAGAAAGAACAGGAGGAGGCGGCCGAGGCTGAGCGAAGGCGGCAAACCGAGCTTGCCATGGCACAAGCAGAACAAGAAAAGCAGCGTAAGATGGAAGAGGTATGTCTTCAACCGGGCAGGCTTATCTATATTGTGCTAATTGTTGTTAGGCTCGCGAATCACGTATGATGACGCGCGAACAGCGCGTCAAGGAACGTGAAGCCAAGCGGATCCTTCACGAGGAGGAACTGCGGAAACTCAAAGAAGACAGTGAGAAGCTAGACGCGAATGAGGCTCGTCTGTCTGAGAGGCACCTCAAGGCAGAGATGAAGCGACGTCAGGAAGAGCTTCAGAAATTAAGCGAGGAAGATGAGTGGGTCTTTGACTGTGAGGTCTGTGGACTATATGGAGAGAATTTGGTAAGCTTTCCTAAAGCTCCGGTTCTAGTTGACAGTATTAATCGATACTAGGACGATGGCTCTCACAGCATTGCCTGCGAAAAGTGTAGCGTGTGGCAGCACAGCAAGTGTCACGGCATTACAGAGGCTCAGGCCGAACGAGATGACTTTCACTTCGTTTGCAAGACATGCACCCGGAAAGAGGAAGGCGCGCAGAAACCCAAACTGCCACCTCTCAAACTGAGACTTACATCAACCTCGCCGAATTCCCGCCACACACCTAAAGGGAATGGTGTCATGTATACGACTCCTCTTCGCCGTCTAGATTCCGTCCAAACCCCCACCCAGCAACCGCCTATTCCACACTATGCTCCACGGCCAACCCCTCAACCCACGCAGCCCATGCAATCTTTAATGAATGGGCCAAGTCTTTCACCCCGCGGTCAGGCACTGGGTCCTCCTGGAATTCATCGTTCAGAAGTAGCCTATGGATCTCCGGCACATCCTGCTAATGGTAGCTCTTCGCCCGTAGCTCTGCGTCCATACACCGCCAGCCAAGCCAGAGGAATGAGTATGGCCAACGGTTTCCCGACCTCGTCACCACCTCAGTACCAGACCCCGCGAGTTCCGTCAGACTTGCACAGCAATTACAATCTCCCCCATCCGCAGGCAAACGGAAATACATTTGGCGCGCCGAACCCATTCGTGCCTGCTCCTACTCTCCCATATGCAACCAGTTTCAATCAGCCGGCTTCATCTCAGGGCACAAACGTGCAGTATCAATCTCCTGTGAAACATTCTCCAGCACCATCGCCACAGCCAACGAACGGTCTTCCAAATACATATAGCTTCACCCATAGCCCGCATTCATCTTTTCCACCCAGCTCCGCGCAACGGCTATCATTCTCTCCCACTAAACATAGCTCTCCGCCGCCGCCGCCACCCCCGCAAATCTCATCGCCAGCACCCGCTCTCCCTCACTTTGCACCTTCCCCATCACAGATGCCTGCACAGATGTTACCGAGCGCGATTCCTGCTCCAGAGAAGCATGACGCCGCTCGGCCAGTGTCCAGTCACAGCATTTCGGAGACACCAATTCTCCCACCCATCAAATCGCTCTCTCCCAGCCTGAATCCACAGATTTTAAGTCCGCCGACAAAAAGGCAGTCCCCAACGCCCGAGAGACCACAATTTGCACAAGTTAGTGGCAATGGGTTTGGAGGTGCGCAGTAATTGTCTTAGTCATATTTTAGCATTCGGCGGTACTCATTGAAATTCTTTTCTTCGCGTTGGCTCGCCTCTTGATACGCTGCGGTCGCGCGTGCAGCCCGTTAGCCACCTATTGGTGCATAAGCTTGGCGCAAACACTTCCTGGAATTTATATGGTTTTGTCTTTGCTCTTTACTCTTTACCACTTCTCATCCACACTCAATTAGGGATATGAACTGGGGCGTCTGCACTACTTGCATAGTTGAATGGGCGGTTGGATAGTCGGATGGATTGTAAGAAGGAATGACGAATATTGCATGATTGGCGCTCATTCATGGAGGTGCTTGTAGGATTCTGGTATCGCAACATTGACTCGCATTTTGGCATACTTGATAGTCGCGGAAATGGAATGAGGTTAAATGTTATTTGATCAGCGAGTGCATTGTCCACACATACCTCATATTTGCTTCAAATCCAGCTGGCCTACTCGTTGCTGAAGTAATAAGACAGTACATGTATTCTCTTCTTCAAGATCAATGCATAATAGTCGTTCATGAGGCACAATTTAATATTCACGTTAGACGTTTAGCGAGTTTCCTCTTCTTCGTTCCTATGTATAATGGGGCTTGGTACTGGCGGAAGTAACTGCATTGTTAGATTTATGTTAAACCACCTGCTGGAATAAGACAGAACGTTCCAAGATCGCAAGTGTCTGTCTTAGATCGCACCTTCCGTTTTCTACGTCAGGTAGGAAGATAGAATAGGGACTTAATTGTTGGCAAGCAAGTTCAATTAAATGATGGTCTCGCCGTCCTTGAACCAACTCACAGATCCATCAACACTCTGTACAAAGTGTTCGAAAACGCCATCTCTTGGCACTAGAGAGTTGTTCGCAATGGCCTCAGTTACATCTTAGCAAGAGCACGATATTTCCACAGCGTGAAGCCTTGTTTTAGAGGGCGATTTGCGTGTCGTTTCAATCTCACGGAGGAACAACGACGGAACCAGATTGATAGTTAGGGGTTCGGTCTGAACGGCTTGAGTGAAGGGGGAGATGAGAAGGAAGACTCATTCAAGGGCACATTCTGCAGTTTTATGGTCACTTTAAGCTGACAAGTTTGTTAATTAAATAGCTTAGACGTTGCAATCAACATTCTGTTCTCACATTCACCTTCATCCCATCTTAGGAATGGAGCACTACTGTATTCGTTCACGTTCCCTAGTATTTCGATTGCTCGCTTTCCTTCTTCTCACTCCGAAACATACGACAGTCTCCTTGGGGAATATCGATCCTCCTTCGCCCAGCTTGAGAACTGATGACCGAAGGAGTGAAAGCCCCTTCTGGCATTGCACTATCACGAATATTCGGAGAACCACCACCACATGTTTTGTAACACATCCCTTAGAGGTACACACTACACTGATCTAGGGGGGAAGTCTAAGAGTTAGTAGTGTTCGCCGTCTACACCTGGTATCGAGATACGAGCCTAAAGGAAGCATACTTCAACTGTCTGAAAGGCTCATGAGTCAACCTCCGAAAGGAAGCAGTCCATTTCTGGGTATGTTATGGTATAGAGTCGTCATTTTTGCTCCACCGAACATGAACTACATCTAACGTGTCCGCAAAGGTGACATATGTGTCCAAGATTTGTCAGATGCGGTCCATCACCACACGTACACTAATAGTATTAGCCATACATCAGCTTCCGCAATAGAGATGAATTGACTTACACAGTACCAATCATCGCCAGTAGATGGCTGTGGGTCTGGACAGCTCACAGGCCTAGTCGACTGAAGACTGTTCGGTTCACTTAAATGTAAATCAACAACACAGCATTTCTTCAGTCGCGAGCCGCAAGAACTCAATAAACGTGGGGCCTACAACTATTTATTAATGATCACTTCGCGAGACAAGCTAACGTCCCATGTAGCACCCACCTCAACACCATCCTCCAGATGCAAGAAGCTGAAAGGGGCAGCCGTTGAGCACATGTTGATTATTCCCTCACCACTTGAATCTTAGACCTGTTTGAAACGGAAATATTGAGAGGATTTGATGCGTAACGATGATGTGAGGAGCAGTGGTTTTACAAGTTGAGGGACTTTTTTCATCCCGTCATCCAGTCTAGATGTCTAGCAGCAGCGTGCAGCTAGGCGAGCGAATCAGATGGCACGAAACCAAGATATTGGGCAACGACGCATTTCGGGCCTGTAGGCACATCCCATCCGCACCCGAACCTAACCGCACACGGTCAGCCATCATGCATTGTCGACCCTATCCAGGCCTCCAGTTGACGACACTCCGGTGAACGAAAGTGAGGCATACTCAAGGCTCTCTGTCAACCACAGCCGAAGAACATCCAGCACTACCTGCTCATTAAAGAGCAGTGAGATCTCAGCAACGGTAGGGAATATGGTTTACCACCGAGCGGCCATATGGACTTCGATCATTCCCAACGCAAACCAGATCTTCACAATCCGTTCCACAAATTCAAAATTCGAAACGAAGCCCACCATCATGCTGAAGACGACTCTCGCCTCTGTGCTACACATCAAATATCCACTCAAGATGTCATTGAGAACTTCATGAACTTCCGGACGGACACCCTAGATCTGTCGATACCCCGACGAAACCAAGCTGTGAGAGACTTTCTCAATGAGGCTACCGTAAGCGGTTTGACGCAGCGGTCCCTTGATGATGATATCATCCAATCCAGTTCGAGTATAGATATTGCGTTGGTGGATGATCGCCAGAAGCACGCAAGATGTCCGAAGTTAATCGGAAGCTCCTGCACTCAATGCCAAATATTTTCAGAGAAAGTTGGAATCGCTGAGTTATACGCGAGGCTGAAGGCAGATGTAAGTCGAAGGCTGACGACCTAACTCACACAACATAGATCCTATCATTTAACTCAAATCAGAGGCTAGCACAAAAAGCTGAGAAGAGAATCATGTGAGTATTCAAGCACCAAAAGATCATCGTTTGTCGATTCTAAAGATCTAGCTTTATCCCAAATCCGACCTCTGCGCATGCTCTTTGCCTTGCATCCACGGTATCGCGGCGAACCACTATTCCTCTTCGCGACTTTCTCCAAAGATACCTAAGACGGCAACACCGTTTCTCAATATCAATGGCGAGTATTCTTAATCTTACCTATTCTAAATAAAGTATTGACCAGTCCAGACATGGGGCTTCTTTCTAGAATTTCATATCCCGTACTATGCCTTGCGCCGTGGTCTGCCAATTCCGGATCACCGAAAGCGCCGCGACAAGCCGTTGAGGACATATGAAGAACTCCCTCTCCGATCGTGTTCAAAAGATAAGGAACTTCTATTTGTGTATGAAGCACAGACGTCGTCTCTCACTCTAGGCCCCGACGAGGACTTTTGGACGGAGTACTGCTTCGTGGACACCTATTTTGGTTCAGAGGAGAAGCTTCACGAATATTTCTCGAACTGTAACCCGGGTGAGGGGTTTGATCCCCCTTTAGGTGGAGTTGGCAAAATGGATACCCCTTGTTACGATCCTCGTGAGTATTACCTAAAGAAGCTTGAGCGTCGTGTTCGACAAGTCACTCGTGAATCCACCTCTCTGGTAGATACATTTGACGAACGTATTGAAGACTATGTCAGTAGACCCCACTTCCGCTACAGCCTTTGAGCCTCACAAACTCTCTAGGAGAAGGAAATTGCCAAAGTATTTGAAGATGACAAAGGCAAGTCACACACACGCACCCTAAGCGATGTCATCGCGAAGATACAGCTCTTTGCAGGTTGTATGAAAGCTACCATTGACGCATGGGACACATTTTACAAGACTCAGATCTCGTTGTTTACTATATTTGGAGAGCAAGAATGGCAGTCTCGCATCGACAACATTGTTCAGAATATTGTGGAGCTCGATCGACTTCGGGGAATTCTCTTGACCAAGCAACATCGGTTTGAGAGCAAACTAGCAAGTGTGAGTATTGCACCGCCACTTTTACCCGATGAAATCACTATCTGATGATGTCTAGCTATCCACCGTGTCGAGCCTTATCGAGGCTACAGAAGCTACAAGACAGACAGAAGCAGCCATATTGCAGGGCAATAATATCAAGATACTGACTCAAATGACAGTTGTACGTATCATGGTCCACCGCTATTTTGAATACTCTCGTTTATGGTTGTTTGTAGTACACGGCATTCCCATTGCATTTCACAGCAGCCATCTTTAGCATGGGCTTCATCAAACCTAAATACCCCTGGCTTGCGTTCTTCTCTGTACTTTTCGTAACCTCAATCATCAATTATATGATAGCTTCACATCGAAGCCCCTTCAGAAGATGGCTTCGCCGACCTCTACGAAATCGGGCCTACCGGTCAATGGTGTAAGAAACTCTTGGCATTTTTTGAATATGTCTTATTAAGCCTTTGGGCTCTCACTTACATATATTGCAAAGGAAACTGGTGCAATAAATAAGTATGTCTATGAGTCCCTTTCATATCGCAAATGGACTAACAATCTTAAGAAAAGGACAAGTTCATTACTCCTGGTAACCTTCGCTCCCACCAAACGGCAAACGCAAGGCAAAATCACCAACGAGCCTTATTGTCACCACCATTAGCACCGAGAACAAACCTATTGCTCGTGAGTTTTCTCCATTGATGCGCATCTATGATATTATCACTCACACTTTTTAGAACTTTTCGAAGACCTCGTGGTATGGTTGCAGGTGGCGAAGAAGTTGACCACAGAGACGATAACACCCTGCCTCTCCTCCTTGGATCCAAGCCCCCCACAAAACCTAAGACTGTTCATCGACGCTCTTTCTATCCGATCAAGGCATATTGAAGGTTATATCATCCTCGGGTACGGGAGATGACATGCCTGGGCAAGGATACCTCAAGTGCCACGCGCGTTGGGCGAACTGTCGAAGGAACCTGTCGCATGATGTATCTGGGCTGAAGTTCTTGCTAATGATCCATTAGGGGTCTCCTACCAAAGGCGCGTCTCACAATGTTATTGGTCAACCTTTCACTGGTGGTGAACATGCGGATGATAGCTCGAAGGGAGACATTCTCAGAAACCCAGTAATGAGCGAGGGATTTGCTATGTCACATCTGAGTTACATCTCATGTCATGGGAGTCTAAGTCTCTGATCGCTGTTTACTGTTTTCTCTGTTCTCTAGATGTGAGTATGCGTACTGGACTTTTCTTTGCTATTTGTTAATGATTAGGCCTAGTGTTTCCTCTCTGAACCTTCCTTTAAGTACCGAATCCTTTCCCCATACCTTCGCAATACCACACCTTCCTTTTCAGCCCCAGCAGGAATGACCGAATCCACCACCATTGCGAGGGAGTCCGAGATCCTCGTTAAGTTCGTATCAATAGTGATATCTGAGCACTCGACCACAGATTCGAAAGCTGCGGCGAAGTCATTTTAGGAGAGGTAATTGACAACATTATAGGAAAGAAAGGATTTCCCTAGCGGATGATATCTGTCAGCATATCAGAAACTCCCATATGCAGGCAAATACTCCATCCCATTCCGAGATGCGATCCGAGATCTACAAGTGTCACAACCGCTGCGGAATTTTACCTTGAGGAAATGATTTTGCCCCCGAAGGTTCTGTAGTAGAGAATCCAAACTCCAAATTCATTGACGCTTTCTATTAAAGGGCGCGGGTTGTCTGGGTCCGAGATGCTGGGTGTGTGGAAGGCCATTGTTGCATTGACGGATAGTTAGTGGGTGGCTATAACAACTTGGTGCTCTAGTGTAGGATACTCCGTGCATGTTCGAGTTTATATAGGAGCACTATCATTGGTCAACCCTAGCGTAATCGATAGGGGTCGCTGTTCTTTGGTCCTTTTGCAACACATGTGGAAGAAGCCATAATATTCATGTCCATAGGGTAGGGAGGCGGTTAGTACAGTGGAATGAGAAGAAGTTGAGAGAATGTTTTTGAGCCCATGCTTTCCGTTTGTGCTACATGTTGGCTTTCAAAGTAGTCCCGAGTTTGCAAGTAAGAAGGAACATTTTAATTTTTTCATGTTCAAGGTAATTTTATATCAATACGCTTAGGTCTTACTCGCTATGATCTTGCTTGGCATTTCTCTTCGCGACACCTCAACATAGAATTCTAAAGAAGTTAAGGAAATGTATGAACTCCAACAAGCGATCACCTGCGGATTTGGCATTTGACTGGCCATTTCTTAGTCGCAACTGGATCGAGTGCTCAGAATTGAACGATACTCTTTGCATCTTTCTCAACAATGTTTTGCAATTTCCCAATTACTTCCATCAAAGGCTCAGGCAAAGGACCCGTGCTATAAGCCTTCAAGTACTTCTCCAACTTCTCTATAGTCCTCGGCTAGATGATAGCCCCATCACCGTCCTACAAGTCAAGGTGATGAACAAGTCACCGAATTGGGATGCTGAGAATTTCAATACCGTAGGGTTGAACATGGGTATAGTACCTTAACGGCGGTATGGACTGGGGCCTTGTCGTACTACGAGCGATGTAATGGGCATGCTTGAGATTTTTCTCGGTATGCTCGAATCGTGTGCCGACGATGCCAGATGGTGGGGAGAATATACGTAGGCCAGTGAGAAAGCCGCCTGCGGGAGGGCTGTACGTCACTAATTTCATACGGTTCTTACGCACTACTGGGAATATTTCAGTTTCGTGCGCGCGGCTGAGAGGGTTGTATTTGCCTAGGCTCTGTTCAGAGAGAAAGATCTGGATATGCCGTGGAATGCAATTCCTTGCCTTGATACACTGCGGGCGTAATATATCCATGTTCTTCTAAGGTGGTGATCCACTCCTCCAGCATGTTGGCCCCTGAGTTCGCACCACCAAGGAAGCTGAAATGGCCTTTCTAGTGTTGTTTGTTGAATGCTTATGCTTACTCCCAAACAGGGGTGATCCTGTCTGGTGCATGAGTGTTTAGAGAAAATTGAGCTGTAAAACATTAGCATACCTTACTCTGCTTAGGAGACACGAGAGCTGGTTACCTTCTAAATCTTCAAAGGGTTGAGACCCTGGTTGGGTGATCATCCAACTCCTTCCTAATTGTCACAATCTCCATTGGGGGAAAATAGAAACTTTCGTATTGATGAGATTACCCTGTTAGGCATACACGGCTTTGCCTGCGAATTTCTCGGAAGCCCCCGGAGCGAAAGGGGATATAACGCCGCCGTGTCAATGGCTTTTATTTATCAAACTGTACTTGACTACTGCTTCGCAGCCAACTCTTTCGTATCTTGTGGACTGCCCTGGCCCCAGTATTCGGCTCCCTAGCATCCCAGTGATGAGAAGGTGAATTGCGTATGATCAGATAATAAGAGAAAGGCAAGGTGAAGGTGAGAAGAGAGTGAAATGGGAGGCATAATGTTGGTTGTACAAAGCCGATGCCCCACCCGACTTCAACTGTTCCTCTTTGGCGCGCCTAACGAACTTTCTACCCTCAGATATCAGATTATCGGGCGCTGGAGCAAAGAGTTTTAGTGGTGCGGTATAGTCCGCCATTCTAATGAACTTGCAAGCAACATTGATAAAGGAGACAAATATGAAGAAGATGGTGAACATGCGGAAGGATGGGGAAGATAAGGAAACTGAGACTCTCTAGAAGCCCTTCAGTTAATACCACTAATCCGGCTCCTAAACTGCAAGGTATTCCGTAGCGCGCAACATGACCAAGGTAGAGTTAAGTTGTTAAAATCTCTGCCCTCAATTCCCCTGTCATGTTCCATGTTAGGTGATAATATGCAGCAAGGGTTATAAGCTCGGCTTCCCGTATGGCTGCCTGGAACGTGTTCTACAAGAGGTTGTATGGAGTGGTATCGATGAAACTAAGTAGATATCCTTTAAATATTTGTACACATTACTCGAATCGGCAACACAGCCTTTATAACGTCCTGATGGCCCCTATTTTATAGCTTGGCTTGTCGCACAGTGCATGAAAGAAAGTTGAATAAAAATCCTCACCAGATGGTCAAGAGCGGCCAGTGGCTGGTTGTTTGAAATAAGTTTCTAAATAGATAGAGCAACGAGAGCGAGAGATAAGCGCGTCCAAACGATTGGGGGTGGAAGTTAAGATGCCTAAACAGCAAAACGAAATGTTGCGGTACAATCTCGTACAATAGAAAAGGCCGGCCTTCACCGCCTTCCATCTATTGTGTGCAAAAATCGGGAAATTTCTTGGCGTTCCTTGGATCTTTTTTTTCCTTACTAAAATTGCATGGGAGATCACAATCTTAATAGAATTCCTAATATATTAACAAATCCTTCTTAAATATTGTTAGTAAGTTAAAGCCTTAAGTTTATATGGAGATACTGCTCTTAGCTTAATTTTTAGAGTAACAGGACAACAATGGGCCTAAAACAGAAGGCCAGAGCAGCCCCAGCTACCTAGACGCGTTAAATTGACCTTGGTGGCGACCCACTAGCCTATTCTACGCGTGCGAGGGCACAGGGCCTGTCAAGCAAGCGCAAGGAGACTGCTAGTAGTACTAAACTAAAGTTAGCGCGTTGTAAGTTAACCTAATAGTAAGGGCAAAGTAGGAAAAGCTTACTATATCCTAGCGCCTACTAAGAGCAAGCCTGCACCCTAGAAAGCAGTAAAAGCAACTAAACAATCTGCTCCTCCTGCTCTAGCTTAGCAAGAAGCTGTTCCTATGGTTCCTGCCTGTCACCCTAAGCCTAATACCTTATCTAATATACTTGGGGATGACCTTTTTTTGCTGCTAAGGAGCTCCCCTCTAACTTTTATCTTATCTTAGCCTACTTCTGCTCCTGCGGCTGCTAGGGAGTCTTCCCCCCCTAATTAAATAGTGGAGTTTGACGTTGCTGTACAATATTTAGTGCGCGTGAACAGTGATAAGGCTAATAGTAGGCTGGTGGATAAGGTTGTTTCTTAGGCGTTTTTCTCGCTCTTGCAGGTAGAGGATTAGGTTGATGCTATAATTAAGGGCCCTTTTGTACAAGAGCATGTGAAGGCTTAAGATTTCTGTATTACCTCGCGCGCTGTTTAATATAGGGCTGACAAGCGGGGGGCTAGCTGGCAGCTCTAAATAATGGAGGACTTTAGGCTTAGTGAAGAACAGAGGCTGTTCTCTAGCGTTAAACACTATATAAGGCGCCTTAAAGGCGCAGATAGGGTGGATATTAAGGTGGAGGTAAAGCTTGTGTGTGAGGCGACAACAAAGGCCTTTCTGCGTAACTAGTTAGTAAATGAGCCTTTATCTAATCCTCCTATTACTCTAGGCCACAGAGAAAAGTTGCCCTGGCGCACATAGCAGCTGTTAAATAAGAATTGTACCTGTTAAAAGATCTAGGATCTTACTACTAGTATTAATAGCCAGAGTTAGATCTCTTGTATGTGGGAGTGCTAGGTATTAACCTGCAATAACTTTAAGCACCTCTGCTACGTTTACTAGGCTACCTATAAGCACTTTGCTGTAAAAGACGCTGATTTAGAGTTGTAGGCTTAGGTGATTTTTAAAGGCTAAGCATATGTAAATTAGCTACTAATGGAGCTTATACAATACTGGCAAACTTTAATAGGGAACCAGCTGAGGGTGAACCCGCACAATAGGCAAAAAAAGAAGCGTTGTAGCTCCTTGTTGTCCTTAAGCAATAGGGATGAGCTTAGGAAGATAATAAAAGCAGCTAAAAAACGTAGGATCTAAGAGAGACTATAGGCTATGGAGGAAGCAGCTGACAAATGGCAGGAGGCTTAGGAGATAAGAAAGCGAGCTTTTTAACAGCAGCAGCTTTAGCAGCAGTTTTAATTAACTAACTATAATATGTTAGGTCTAAGAAATCTGCTGTTTCTGTCTTTAAATGTACCTTATCTGCTTCTTGCTCCTTTAACAGCTGCTCTCCGCCTAGAGACTCTTAAACAACCTATACCTATTCTAAGCTTAAGCCCTATTGCTGGCGGCGGGAAGGATGACCTACAGGCGTTAGTAAAGGAGTTTTTTAACTGGCTTGTTAAACAACAACTAGTTGAGGATTGCAAGGACTATATACAGGCAAGGGATGTAGTAATAGAGTAGAAGTGGACGTTAAAGGATCTTAAAGAGATGTTAATCCCTTAGAGCAAATTATATATGGTGGCAGTAGGGGCTCTGTTTAGGTTAAAGGATGGGATAGTATGTTATTTTTATAATAAGCTTTGTTAATTTAAACCTAAATATTAAACTGCTTAAGAACTATTAAATATCTGTAGAGTAACAGGGCAGAGATTAAGTGCTAAGGAGGGAATTTAATAGACTTAGGATTCTAACAGACGCAGGGTTTTTAGTAGCTAAATAAGGTTAATTAGAGTTTAATGTCTTATTGTTCTATAACCTAATATCCTTATAGTCTCTGTCATCCTGGGAATCCTTATTGCGACCCTGTTAAGCGCTGATTTCAGCTCTCACCTGATTAAGCTCCTCTGGCTCTATATATAACCCTCTGGCAGCGTACGTAAAGTGTTTCCTAGCAAAATGATTGCACTTACTGCTCCTAATTGTGTCCTTAAGGAACAGGCTAAAGCTTGTATACTGCTGCTAACAGTATAGATAGTTCCTCTTAATCTATGCCTTTAATACCCTAAAGGTTAACTTGATAGGATTATAGTTAGGCAAGTATAGTAGAAGGAAACAGACAACGTGGCTAGTAGCCTTAAGGATAGTTGTAACAGCTTTATTCTAATAGATTAAGACGTTATTAAGGACTATAACCATAGGCCAGGTCCTGTAGGTTGCTTAAAGCAAAGGAAGGAGGCGCTGCTTAATCTAATTAACAAACTTTTTATGATTAAAATATCTTTCCTTTACCCCTGTACAAGGCAGGTATCTGTTTACTGTATAGGCTGGGAGGATAGCCCACGTCTTCCCGCGCCTTATATCCTGAGTATATTAACTTTTATGGCCCACAGGCCTATAAGCCTTGTGCCGCCAGCTAGTTTTCTTGTTGAAGATGGACTTGTTAAGAAACACTAAATTGTCCTGCGTAAACTAACAGAGAGAGCGACAGTAGAGCTCTTAAAGCTCCTTATTACAAGCCTGCAAGAAAGGCCGTAAGGTACGCCTGCTCTATCTATGCTGGGCAAGGTAACAGGAGATTGTAGATCTATTAACCTTTACGCCTCTTTCTATCTATAGCTAATAGGCTTGTTTGTCCTGGTATCTCTATCTGCTGTGGATCAACTCCTTAAACAGAGCTTCGCCATCTTTATTGCTAATTTTAGAAGGTCTCCTAAGCTTCATGGTGGGTGGCTTACGGACGCTGCTATAAGCCTTGAGATTGTTCTCTACATTGTGAACTGCGTAGAGAGAACAACCCTCACAATTAGCAATTGCAGTTCTGGGCTATCTGAGCAGGAGAAACTGACAGATGTTTATACAAACGCGATTATTAAGCCCTCAGGTGCTTGGTTTGAGATATTGGGGTGATCAGGGCCGGCCAGGAAGGATGGAGACGCTATGAGCGCGATACATCGCGAACAAACGCGTTGTTACTCCTAAAAAAGTTAGTATAGGCGCTTCTCTATACAAACTAAAGGCTTTAACCTACCTAGGGCCAATCTAATTGTTATTTGTTGATATATCAGGAATTCTATTGAGATTCTGATCTCCCATACAATTTTGGTGGGGGAAAAAAAGATCTGAGGAACGCCAAGAAATTTCCCGATTTTTGCACACAATAGATGTGCTGATAATCCTCGCTTACGATAACATTATCGCCACATAATAGGTACCTAAGTTTCCTTGTAGTGTCTTATCACTGTGCCTATATAAACGTTATATATTTAAAAATCGTCAAAATCAACGGCAGAGTGGCCGAGTGGTTAAGGCGCTGTGTTTAGGCCAATTAGCTTAAATTCCCGCAGTGGGAAACCTCGTGGGTTGTTAGTGACCCTTACGCCTCGTGCAATTGATCTTAAACTAATTTTATTACAGCGAATCCCACCTCTGTCAGCATCCTTCGTTTCTCTTTTTGCTCGCGTTCGAGTCTCTTGGGAGGCAGACTCGTTTTTGTTCCACTGGAAGGCGGGGGCAGCGGTGTGTTGTGTGAGTGAGTGTGTGGGTGGGTTCGGATTTCCAACCGAGAGCCGGTGTGCTCCGAGTGGACGACCGACACTGGACATTTTACCTCCCTCTCTTGTCGAAATAAACTTTGAGGTTCATAACTAGCCTTAATTAGACGCTAAAAAACCGACTATATTTGATGTTAGAGGGACGAAGAGTCTGATTTTGGAGACTTAAGCGTTTCACTCACTCACCATCAGATCCCCATTGCAGAAATCCCGACCCGAGAATAAAGACTTTGATTTCTAGGAACCTAAGACTTGCAATATCACTGCTTTCCAAGTAACCTAGATTTATTAGTTCCTCCATCACCCTATAGTCAGAGCAATTTCTGAGCTTCGATTATTTAACACACCACGGACCATACCCGGCAAGCCACAATGGCTAACCAGCAGGACGACCTGCTTAATTCAGTAAGTTAATTCTCGACCACTACCATCTCCATTCTTGTATTTCTGGATTTTCCTGAGAGGCCTTCAATGGACCCACTAGCCCCCGCTTTATTACTTTGACTTCGCATCCTCACCGCACATCTACTCTTCAAATCTCTCTGCTCAACATGCCTCACTTTCTCTTTTCCCATTCGCATCCCAAAAATATGTCACCATCGAATGCCTCGCATCGCTAGACTCTCCAAATTCCACGTCTTTCTCTAACCCTTATTCAAGCTAACCCCTCTAGCTCGAATCCTCACTCCGAAACGCGCTATTTACTTTCGGCGCCGAGAGTCCGCAGTATCACAGCATAAAATTCATGGTTGAAGAACATATTTCCAAAACCAAGCTTCGAACCTGCCAAGAAAACCCACTCTTAAGTCAAGCTCTGGGTGTGGGGAAAGGCGTAGTTATGAATCTTGCTTTCCGGCCCAAGGAAAAGTGATGATGGTGGTGGGTAGGCGATGAAGGAGTAGAATTGATGGGGATGGGGTGGAGTGGGTTCGATAAAAGTATGTATATGACTGGGTGGGATTCTGATTTACGGTATGGTAGCTGAAGGGAATTACGGTACGAGGGTACTGAAATGCTTTCATTAAATTTGAAGACGAATTTCTCAAACGGGTGGCGCTGGTGCGAGCTACGGGACTTTCATCCACATCTTTCCCTCCGGTTTGGCACTATCACTTAATACATGTAGCGTCCTGCCTCCACAGAAGTGGGTTCGTCACTAGCTTTTACTCTTGCAAGACTCACTCCACCTACTTTTTGAGTGAATTTAACTTGCCATGACATCCTATACAACTACAATGTGGTGCGCCATTATGTCATCTTCTGATTGCTTAGGGTAGAGAACATGTTGGGTGAATGGTATTCACTACAGCCTCCTCCATCCAGCTTCCATCATCAACCCCGTTGCACAGAGCCCGTCATAACGCGGACTAATTCTGCCTCTCTACAACATACGCAGCGTTTCAAGCGTGCCAAACAGCAAACATAGCGGCGCCCAGCCCGCCTTTCTCCTCCTAACCCAATTATCACTACGTAATTCAAAAGACTGTACGTATGAAGACCTCAGCCACTTCCAAAGTATCAAGACTCCGAGAAATGCAAAGGTTCCCAAGATATCCAAAAAAAAAAAGTTCCTTCCTACCAGCTCACTCCGGGCTCCAAAAGCTCCAGTGCTGTGTGATGTGAGATCCAGATAGTATAAGCTCGTTTGATCGTACCCGTGCCTTCCGACACCGCATCTAGCACCCCTGAAACGCCTGGTATTTGCTAATCCCATCCCAGCCCAGCCCAGCCGATCCGCAATCATACGCGACACGGATTGTTCGCGCGTTGATGGTAATGCTGACAGCAGCCCAAACAAGTTTGCTAGGGAAGTTTGTTCGTGTGTCGTGGTATCTTCCCATACCATGCAATGCAATGATGTCCCCTTGTGCATATGCTTCTTTCCTCCCTCCAAGAAATCGTGCGAAATGGTGTCGTGATGTTTCTTTCTTGATTGAGCGAGTGATGCATCGACCCTCACTGGTAAATCTTGCAACAATCCAATCCCCACCGCTAACACCTCACTCAATAAGTGGCTTCCTGACACCCCCAACTATTGCCATACCCAGCGCCCTCAGCCCGTTCGATTCATTCGCTTTGATGATCGTACTGGCGGGTAACATTGGGTTATCGGGCGAAACATGTGCGGCGTCTTTGGCTGCTTGCTCTATCGCTTCCATTTCCTCCTTGCAGCCGGCGTGATCAAAGGGACATACGACGATGGGTTGTCGAAGAACGATATCTTTCGCTGATGACATTTGTGCCTGTAATCATGAGACCCTATTCCTTTCATCTTGACCGGACAGAAAGCAACTCACCTTTACTGTTAAGTAATACTCAATCTTGTACAGCGTGCCAGTAGTCGTAAAGCCACTGACCGAATACATGGGAAACTCCTTTTTCCCCCTAGGTATGATGCCATCGGAATCCCGTAAATCCTTCGCTGGAAACACCAACCCTAAGTTTGTGAAATATCCAGCTTCCGGCATCTTCACACCAACGGCTTGTGTCGTCCTCGCTAGCGTTTTCACCTTCCGCGTTGGTTCATCCCCTTCATGGTTAAAGATAATTTCTTCGTCTATGCCGATCGTGATTTTCTGAATGGTGACCTTCTTGGCTTTGGCCAGCCAGTCTGGATTGGGGCTGAGCTTGATGTACACCGAGACAGGATCCAGAGGTCCATAGCTCCACCGCGGCAGGCTTATCCCTAATGTGACGAGATGATCGGTAACACGCTCAGCACTCTCAGGTCGGTTGTACATGCCAAAAGTAGAGAGGGTGTCATATCTCGACACCGGGACCGGAAATGAATACTTCTTGTTCTCCTGGGGCCCCTGCTGCACCATTACGACCAGCTCATAATACGTCTCAGCTGTGCGGCTCGGCAGCTGTAAGCTCGCGGGGGGCACTCTCCTCGCTACCTCTTCCCCGCCACGGCCATAGGGAATGAATATAACAAACGGCAGATCCATACACAGGACGTTCTCATATTCCTTTCCAGGCGAGCACCGGAAAAGACATATCTCCTTCCCGACAACGTCGGTGATTTCCTTCCTCGGCGCGGCCAAGTGCTTTTTGGTGACCGAGTCAGCGGCGGGGTGAATAGTTTCGCGGCGCTGCAGTGATATAGTAACGAGCGAGACGGCGACGGGTGCTGTTACTCCTACGAGTGGCCGGATCTCGACCTTGCCTTCTATTCGGGGCTATCATTCATCAGCAGTTATCCTCTATACGAATACGGGGAGGACGGCAACTGAGCTGCGCAACCCCTAAAAAAACCGGCAAAGAAATCATGAAGACATACGAGTGTCGCCGATATGCCTGGATATCCGACTAGAAAGTTACTGTTTGGCGGTCCGGAGACCCGCACAAAGGCCGACATGGTATCTCAGGGTGACGAGTTCGTCGGCAGTAGCCTGGAACCGCACGGGAAGCGGCATGGGAGACGAGTGGGAGGCTTCCTCTTGGTCTATCCCCCGCCCAGATGGCGCGCTGTGGGCTCCAGGGTGGTGTACCTGTTGGTGGTTGGTGGTTGGTGGTGCGTAGCCTTTCGATTGCGGAAGGGCGGGGTGGAGCTGCAGAGCTGCAGACGCAGGAAAACTGAACTGGCGGGGTATGGGCGGCCGCGAGCTGGTCGCACAGGCGATGCTAGGTGGAGGGAGCGGCGGGTGCGCGGTGTAGGATATTGGGGGAGAGGGTGCGGACGACAGGTGAGGGAGGTGGTGGATGGTCGTCGTAGGGCTGGGCGCCGGTGGACGAGGCGGAAGCTCAGGCGGTGATAGGCCGAGGCGGGCCTGTTAATGAATATCGAACAGCTGCTAAGATAGGGCGGCTGGAGGGTCGAGTATGGATAATTGCCTGCTACAATGGCAGCGCGAGCAGCGAGAGTGTAGGAGGGACGGGGGGGGGACAGCGGCGGGAGGCGTGCTCGGAGACTTGGGTGTCGTGAGGCTGCTCCCGCGCAGTCGTCGTTGTGAGAGGGCGGGTGTTGGGCTTGGTCGTCCTCATTGGAAGCGGCGGTTTGGGGGCTTGAAGCTGAGCGCAAGCCTGGGCAGAACCTCACTCATCACGCCCGCAAAGCCACCGCCGCCCCCAGCAGCACTTGGGCGCGTGTGAATAGAACAAGCTGGAAACACAGTAATGTGCGGCACCCTGCGCCCCCGATATGTCTGTCACGGTATGTCTCCTACCCGGCTCGCATTCTCTCTGCTCTGCCCTGTTCTGTGCTGCGCTGCTCTGCACCATCCTGCAGCGCGACACCCCCCCCTTCCCTCCCCCTCCCCCCCGGCGCAGCTGGAGAGCCCAGGTCGCTCCAGACTTCCAGAAGGCGACTGACTTCTGACTGCATGCGCATCTGGCCTCGACCCATTGACGTGGACACGCTTACTCGCACTCCACAATCTGCTAACAGACGTGACAGCTGCACACGTCGCGCGGTGATCTCAAGCTTGAGATCTTCTGCGACGCCGTCCCACGCACTGCCGAGAACTTCCTCGCTCTCTGTGCCTCTGACTTCTACAATGGCAGCCCCTTCCACCGCCTAATCCCCGACTTCATGGTACAGACGGGCAGTCCTGCCTCCGATCCAAAGTCAAAGGCCTCCACGGCCATCTACGACACCCCGACCCAGCTCTTCGAGGATGAGATTCGTCCGGCCCTCAGGCATAATGCTCGAGGCATCGTCAGCATGGCCAACAAGGGTCCTGATTCCAACGGCAGTCAGTTCTTCATCACCTTTGCCCCTGCACCGCATCTTGATGGCAAGAACACCGTCTTCGGCAAGGTCATCGATGGTATGGAAGTACTGGATGACCTCGAAAAGGTCGAAGTCGACAAGAAGTCGAGGCCGAAAGAGCGCGTCGAGATCAAAAACGTCACAATCCATGCCAACCCTCTAGCAGGATGAGCCGCCCGAGGACGCTGATATGATGGCGTAGGGCAAGCCGCCATGGCTCGAGGCCGATGCCATTGGGTCAAGATACCACTTATGAATGGATTAGTGTACGCAGGCAAAATCTGATGCCGCTCTATTGTAGCTGACGACGCCTTGGTATCTATTGGCCCCCTTCCCCAAACCGAAATGCAATCAACATGTCAAATTTTTAATGTGCGTCACGTGCCATTCGTTGTTCCACCATTCGTCACTGCCTCCCCCTTTTCGTATCCTTCTGTCTTAATGTCCTTCAAGCCGAGGTGTTCCTCTTCCTCATCTGTCCGCTCGTACCCCTCCACCTTCATCTGAGAATCGGGCTCTGGGGCCGTCAAGCTCTGAACATAGCTGCTGGCTAATGGATCCTCAAGAATCATGGTAAACTTCACTTCGCCCCTGATCGCTGCTGACAGCTTGTCGAAGAATGAGTCCCATTTTTCTTTCGTTGTAGTGTCCATTGAGTCTCCCCCATCGCCAGTGTCGAAAATGGAAGAGCGGAGGTCGTCCCGAACCTGGGTCAGGATTCCCTCAATGGTGGTAAATCGGCCTCCAAGTGTTCCTGGCTCGACGCTGAGATTGAGTTCTGGACATGACATTGCGCACGATTCGGCTTTCAGAATATCCCTCGAGAGGTCTTCCTTCGTATTAACGGAAAGTGTTATTCGGCGACCCTTTTCTGGTACTTCACCACCCGTCTTGACTTCGTTACTCCTATCTGTGACCCATTAGTAGTGATCATCTCATAGTTGAATTCATATACTTACAGCCACAGTGGTCGCAAACAGTGCTCATCAGGATTACCTGCTTGAAGTGGGGAATGTTCACCATCTTCATATTTGTCGTGCATGATTTCGTACATCCCGGACAACTTGCAGGAAAAGAGTAGACCTGGTTCTCCACAATTTCGTCGTCCACATTGTTTACCATTGGCTGCGTCGGCATCTCAGGATACATTTGTGTAGTGTGATACTCCGGGCGCATGTCTATTGGTGGTGCTTCTCCTGAAGTGTCTCCCAACCCTAATGCTTCATTTTGTGCCGCGGTACGAGGGTATTCATGTCGAGAGTACTTTCCTGACGTAAGTTGTGTGGGCGGCTCAACAGAGGAGTTTCCAGTGGGGTCATCGATTGTGATAGTGAACGGCAGCCTAGCTCCGCTTGACATTTGCTTCACAGTCTGTATTATCTCCTCAATCTTTTCGTAAATCTCCGGCACAAGCTCTTTCCTCTCGTCCTGCTTCTGTTCCAGGTCCCCAGCTACCATAGCTAGTATACCCTCCACGTTCGTCAGCTGCCCTCTGCCAGGTGGGATTTCAAGGTCTATGTCCTCTATCCGGAAAACCGCGGTGTCGCTCTTGATAATTTGTTGGCTCAAGTCTTCGTCGAAATCTATTCTTAATGAGAACTTGACTCCCCGCTGTTGTATCTCTCCGGCCGGCTGGATCTCGGAGTTCTTGAAGTGGCAGTGAGGGCAGTCGAAGGACATAATAACAATTTCGCGGAAGTATGGGATCTTTGTTAACAGTAGCCGAGTCGTGCCCTAAAACATGTTAGTTCTGAATGCAGAGCTCCCAAGGCTACACATACGTCTTCGTGGCAGTTCATGCACAAGCTTTCTATCTCGTCAACAACTTTTGTGCCATCTTCACCTCCTTCCCGTGCGCTCGCTTCTGCAACCTTTCGCCCCATGTCCTCGAACAGGTCCTGGGCTTTAATTTGTTGCGCCATGTCGAGATTTGAGAGGAGGTTTGAAAGTGTAGACGCTGTTGCTGGAGGCAGGAAGCGGTCGAAAATTAGCAAGTTTTTGAGCCCCGCGCTTTGGCGGGGTTTCTAGTGGCTTTGCTGCAGCCTTTCCACCCCGGTCCGTTTTCACCCCTGCCGATTCACTGCATGAAGTCCATCAGGTCGAGCCCAAGACCTTGTTGCAGTCCGGCATTCTGCGCCTTGCTTTTTGCGAGTATTGCTTGGAGGCCACCTTTGCGGGCCTTCGCTCTTTGTTTACTGCTCACATTGGCCGATTTCAATATTTTGCTCCTATAGTCTGTTCTGGATTCCCTGGCTTCGACTGATGACGTTAACTCTTGAGGCCAATCAGACTTTCTCTTAAGGTGCATTGGCGGCCGGGACGGCAGGCTTTGTGTTGTTTTGCGGTGGCATCGGAGGCAGGAATATACCATGGCTTTCTCCTGGCTTCTCAATTGCTTTGACTTGTTCTGATTGCTTTGCTTGTCATGCTTTCTGGGAGACTGTGAAGAAACCTCACACGACCATCCAGGAATCATTAAATTTCCGCAGGCGCCGCAAACTTCGCGGCGGTGTGCATCCCATTCTTTCTTCGAGGCCCGGATGTCTGCTTCCTGTGATTGTAAAAGCCTGTCACGCTCCGCACCGAGTGTTGCGGACGTTGTCGGAGAAGCAATTGCGAGCAGGTGTGCTGCTTCCTTGAGAAATCTGAGTCGAGGCTCGAAGCCGTCGAATTTGGCCATCATTGCTAAAATCTGTTCGTAGGGGCGAAGAAGTCGAAGACGCCCATGCCCAGGTGAACACAGACCGAAACACGTGCTTGCCTGTCAAACGCCGATCTCCGACGCTACTCGTGAACCATGGAAGCGTTCCTTCTTGACTCTCAACGATTAACTTCCCGCACTCAACCACCTCCCTCCCAGGAATTCATGAACTAATGCAGAATACCTCGACTCTCCCCATGCTAACCATCCACTAAAACCAAACTCCTGGAGAAAGACTACAATGGCGGTGCCAAATCTCGCTGCAAAGCTAGGCCTCCGCATAGCTGTGGAAGGCTGTGGTCATGGTACCCTGCACGCTATATATGCGTCCATCAAGAAGTCTTGCGAGGTGAAAGGCTGGGATGGCGTGGATCTTTTGATTATAGGTGGAGATTTTCAGGTATGTTGCGGCATGTGTTTACCAGCGTAATTAACGTTGTCAGGCAGTTCGCAATGCCCATGACCTAAAGGCAATCGCTATGCCGGAGAAGTACCACGAAATGGGTGACTTCCATGAATACTACTCTGGTGCCCGAACCGCGCCGTACCTAACCATCTTCATTGGAGGCAACCATGAAGCAAGCAACTACTTGTGGGAGCTCTACTATGGAGGCTGGGTTGCGCCAAAGATTTATTACATGGGAGCTGCAAACGTCGTTCGACTTGGACCACTTCGCATAGCTGGACTGTCAGGCATATGGAAAGGCTATGACTACGGGAAACCCCACCATGAACGTTTACCATACAACAACGATGATATTAGGAGTATCTACCACGTCAGGGAGCTAGATACGCGTAAGCTTCTCCAGATCCGCTCACAAGTCGACGTTGGAATTAGCCATGATTGGCCACGCGGGATGGAGTGGAAAGGAAACCACCGCCAGCTGTTTTCTTTTAAGCGCCACTTCGAGGACGATGCTAAACAAGGTATTCTCGGAAACATTGCCGCCACTCAGGTATTAGAGCGCCTTCGACCTGCGTATTGGTTCAGCGCGCACATGCATGTTAGATATTCTGCTATCTGGGATCATAAGCATACTCCAGCTCCGGTATCCGCCTCAGCAGTGGTTAACAGCAACAGTGAGATTTCATTGGGTGTCGATGGTGTTCAATCTGCTCCAGTGCTGAAGAACGAAGACGAAATTGACCTCGACATGGGCGATGACATCGCGCCGCAGGCGACCAATTCCGGATTGGAACAGAGGAATAAGGTGACCGACATCGCGAATCTGAACGGACCGAATGGAGAATTAGATGAAGTGCCGCAGAATGTCAGAGATCTACTCCCGGAGTCGTTCGCTCACCCGCCTACCGACAGGATTGTAACACTTCCTTTCCCCGCAGAGATAACAAACAAGAGCACGCAATTCTTAGCTCTAGACAAGTGCTTAACGGGCAGGCATTTTCTCCAGCTTTTGGAGATAGAACCCCTAACTCCGGGGGATGTCCAACGTCCATTGGATTTGCAATATGATAAAGAATGGCTAGCCATTACTCGTGTCTTCGCGAGCGACCTTCAACTAGGTGATCCGGACGCACAGGTACCTCGTAACAGAGGAGACGCGTTCTACAAACCTCTTATCGACCAAGAGATGGAGTGGGTAGAGGAGAATGTTGTCAAGCCTTCCAGAATGACTATACCGGAAGATTTTCAACAGACAGCCCCAGTCTACGACGCGGCGAAGGGTATACGCGTCGATGGACAACCGCAAGAGTACACCAATCTCCACACTCAAGCTTTCTGCGATCTTCTACAGATCCCTAATGCATTCAACACGTCTGACGATGAAAGGAAGAGGATGATGCAACAGGGTCCAAGGCCCAATATAGAGCGGCCTGGTCGAGGTGGGTTTAGGGGTGGTTATAGAGGCGGAAATAGAGGGCGAGGTCGTGGTCGCGGTGGTGCGAGGGGACGAGGAGCGTTCAATCCCAATCATGAACAAGTCGGCCGAGGCAGGGGACGTGGAAAGTGATGAAAGAGTTGGTGCTGAAGCGGACCGACACCGACTACGTAGACGACGACCCATATCACACACATGACGGTAATTGCAACAGAGACAGTATTGGGTATGCCTATTGCAGGGCGGCAGATGACGGAAGCACTATTCTAGCGCCACGGCCGCCCGATGGATGACGGATTCAGAACATTTAGCAGCAAGGCGTTGGTGCTCCGATACCCGGTGTGTGGGCAGAAAATGAACAGTTGATGCACTATGATGTCGTTTGGGCAGAGACGTGCATAAGCAAAGTATTAGAACAATATTGCAAAGCACCTCTCGGAGAAACTGAATAGGATGGCAATCACAGCCGACAAGCCGCTGTATTAGCTGGTGTCTTAGGGAATTCAGCCAAGGTGTGGTCAGGAGGGCTGTGTTGTGGATGCCGCCAAAATACGTCATTGGCTATGAATACGGAATTGCCCTCGTGCACATTCTGTTGGAGGAAGATTCGAGCGAGAGCAACCACCACCAACACATGCACACACGTTTCAACAATAACAATATCAGATCTGAGAGGAAGGATAGAGATGTGGTGTTGAGCCAACGTGTTGATCAATGCCGATCACATCCGCGCTGTGTTGGGTTGATTAAGTCTTCTGCAGACTGTGGCGAAAGACATGCGCAAGGCTCTTCGTGGCTGTCGGCTGGTGTCGGTCTGCGATCAGGAAGAGGCGACGCCATGCCATCTTCCATCTAATGCATCCTACGAAGTTGGGAGGCAGTCTGATGGCACAATTCACAGCTCCTCGGGCCTATTTTCGGGTACTCAAGGGGACGGCTCGCCTCACCACGCGCTTCCCACAACCGGTTTCCTGCTGGTTCATCAGTCCTTCGTCGCCAAAGCATGCGATTATCAGCGGCACTGGTCTGTGCAGCGCATCCAGGAGCACCACTTCCGTCATCCTTGCCCAGCGTCCCCCGACACACCACAGGTTCGAGATTGGTCAGGATCAGCGCAAGAAGACCCTGGATTGACACGCGGACCCTGGGCCCCGTGGTGAATGGCCCAGTCCGCGTGCTCTCTCTATCTCAAGGTTAAAAGTCTGCCTCTTCCCCCTGAATTGGCTAGACCGCCACTTGACTCTTGACCAGCATAATATCGCGATCGTTTCGAGGGTTGAGCAACCCTTTCAATTATCACTTTTGTTATTCTTGTTCATGCGCAAGACGTTCGGAGGTCTAGACCTTGAACATTTTGTTTGGACCAAGGCGGGAATACCAGACTATCGTTTCAGCGGACACCCTACCAAAATCTCTTGTATCCTATCTCCCGACCCTGTATTTGTCAACAAACTCTACTCTCTATATCAACTCTTGGAAATCAAACTTTCGATCAATTCCCCCAAGGCCAGGCTTCGCTCCCTTTCAAGCCTTACCACCACCAAAATGACTTCCAAGTTTACCGAGATCCTCGAGCCCTCCGAGGCCCCCACCTACTCCCACCCTCACCTCAATGTCTCCCTAGAAGATATCCTCGCTGAGGAAGGCCGCAGACGATCCGGTTCAGAATCGTCTTCGAGATCTGGAAGCGATATCCCTAAGTCACTTACAGACGATTCAAAAGGAAAGAGCCCTAGGAGGAGGGCATTCACATTCGGAAGCAAGAAAGAGAGACGAACGAGTTGAGCAAAGTAAGCGGGAGAGTGAGGCTACGGAGAGCGAGCGAGAAGCGCAACACTAGCACCTAGTTCCGAGTGAGGAGAGCCGATATCCAGAGCGAAACCGCCGGAGATGCGAACACATCCCACCTGAATCCACCACAGCCACTAAGTCGACTGTCCGCTATGATGAAGGAGAAGCGCCACGCACAGAGCGATGACATGTCGAGCCCCAAGCAACTAAAAGTCTCTCTGGCAACCACCTTTCACACATTCTTGTGGCCTCTACTGTTGGCAGGAATCATCATATTTCTAATACCCCGGAGTTGGTAATGGCTTGGAGCCAATGACACCAAAAGGCATCAGAAAAAATCTCTAAGTATTGAGAGTTCAACTTCGTTGGAGAAGGCAAGCGAGCCGATTTTTCAAAAATTCCACATATTATTACTTTCAATGTATATTTTACCACTGTCTCTGTTCACTCTCCAATGTGAATGCCTCCCTTGTCTGCGTTTCCAAGGTAACTACCATGCTTTCCGATCATAATGAGTAAGGTCATCCCTTCCTAATCAACCAAAGAACCCCAGCTTCTCACCAAGCTTCGTTCCAAGACCTATCAACTCACTAACCTGAAGTACCTTATCTCATCCTTTCCTCAATTCCCATCGCATTCTTACATACTCGCTTCAAACCTACATATCAAACCACCCCCACAATGTCCGCCCCCTCCTCCACGCAACCCTTCATCGCGATCGAAGAATCCTACCTCTCGCCCGACATTCCCACCACCTTATCTCCAAACCCTCGTGACCCAGCACTCCACCTCATTCCCGCTCCCACCCTCTCCAAACTCAAAAACATCGGCCCAGCACGCATCCGTGACATGCGCGCCTCAGGCACCGCCATGCAAATCCTCTCCCACATTCCCCTCGACCTCCCTCTCAAGACATGCCAGAGAATTAACGACATGCTGTATTCGAATATTGTCACGAACTCGGATCGGTTTGCTGCAATGGCGTTGCTGCCGGTGGGAGATGCGAAGGATGCGGCGAGTGAGTTGCAAAGATGTGTTACGAAGTATAAGTTTGTGGGGTGTGTGTTGGGGATTAGGAAGGGTGGAGTGCAGCTTGATGGGACGGAGTGGGATGGGGTTTGGACCATGGCGGAAAAGTATAAGGTGCCGGTTGCGTTGAGGCCAGTTTGGCCGTGTGGGGAGGAGGTGAGTTTCTCCTTTCTTCATAGAAGCTTCCTTGCTGTTATGGATTAGAAGAGAATTAGAAGAGAAAGATACGGTCTAATGGGGTTGCAGGTCTCCGAATATACTGGCCTATATCCCCAATCTCTAATCTGCCCCCTTGTCACAGTCCTCTACCCACACCATACAACCTCTCCGCTTCTTCTTCTTCGTCTCTATGCCTCAGGCCTTTTTGAACGACACCCTCACTTGCGGCTCATCCTTTCCCAAAACGGCCACTCAATTCCCTCTCTCCTCCCACGCATCCAATCCCTTCTAGCGTCCACTCCCGACTTTAAACCGGTTCGGAAATTCTTCGAGGTTTGGCAATACAACATTTACATCTCGACAGCTGATATAATGGATGTGAGCAGTCTGAGGGCTTTGGTGGAAAGGATTCCTGTGGATAGAGTCTTGTGGGCTGGGAATTATCCATGGGAAGAGAAGGGAGCAAAGAATATTTTGTGGGAATGCAGGGAAATGGGGGTCTTGGGGAAAGAGGAGTGGGAGGAGATTGCTTGGAAGAACGCAGAGAGATTGTTTGGGGTGAAGACTGGAGTTGCGGACAAAGGAGGCGCCGCGGGTATGAGAGGGAGGAGGGCAAGTTTTGGATGAAGGACGGTTGGTATGATGGTAAAGTTGTGACTTAGTTGAACTAGAGAGTGGCTGAGGTTCTGGTCGGCTTTCCAGGGGCCCAAGTAGAAGAACAGTGTGAGCATAGCACCCTATAGGAGTCTGGGGGGAAGAAACTCGGCATCATTAGTATATCGTTCATTTATACCATGAAGACCCCATCGTGACATATGCGCCTCCCATAGTATAATCATGATTCCCGGCTCCCCGCATCCATCAAATCCGTCGAGCCCAATCACACCTATTTCTTGCCTGACTTTTTAATACCCTGCTGTCCAGTGTTCATGGGTCCTTTGCCCTTCGCCTTACCAGCCATCTCCTCTCGTGCCTTCTTGTCTATCTCCAAGTCAGTCTCCATTCGTCCAGTGCATCTGGGAGCAAATGGCAACTGTCACGCACCAGCTTGCTGCTTAGCCTTGAATGCAAGGTCATCCTCATCAAGCTCCTTGGCCTGCTTCTTAGGCTTTTTGTTGTGAAGAGGATTTGTTCCAGCTGTATTGCGCTCCTGTCAGCCTCTGAATCCTCTTGAATCCCTCTGAACCATCTCCACGTCTCCGTGTCGGAGATTAGATGGGGCGACTTACCTCCTTGTCCTGAAGGCATGTTGGAGGATTTGTGCTTGGAAACCGGGGTTTGGGATTTTACTTGAATTTGGAGGCGTTGGGTGTTGGAGAGTGGTGAACGAGGGCTGAGGTTTTTGGGTGAGACGAAGGCGGGCGCTTGTGGTGACAGAGGATCCAGATTCATGACTGGCGATGAAAAGTGGGATGGTGGGGCACGTGCGAGCCACGGTGGCGGGTAATTGTGGCGCATGCTCATGTGAAAAGTGCACACGAGACAGACTTCACTTCACCGAAGCAGTGCTTTTCAGCGTTCCACAGACGCAGTGAAGTATATCTGAATCCCCGGTGTTGGCGCCTATTTGGTTCCTGCATCTTGTTTCTCACAAATATGCCTCCTGTGACCCCGCAAATAAATCCTATCCTAAATTCTTAAGTTCGAACACTGTCCTGGACGCTTGTTAATGGCCTAACCTGTTAATGGCCTAACCTGTTAATGGTGTCGAATACTAAGGCATTCCTTAATAATGAGACCGTGTTTCTTCTACTGGGAGTAGTAGCCGTCGTCCCTTTCCAGCGAAAGGAGAGACCACTCGCGTTGTCGCATAGGTGATTCATAAGACAAATGATCCAAAGGTGCTCCACCTTCTTAATCTAAAGCCCCGACATCTCGCGATCATCATTAGACTGGTGGCGCTAAAGGGCTAAACCGGGAAGATGCCGACTCTCTGACCGTCCTTCCTCAACTACCTACAATGTTGAATCCATTGCGAGAAATCTAGTAAGGGTATCGACAACCTGGAGCATGCTAACGACTGCTGAATGCTTCTTTCAGCCACTTCCCTCCTCCGCAAGGCTTAGGACACTGGCAGCGTGAAGCAGGCGTGACAGAATGCCATGTGGGTTCCAGTCCAGGAAATATTACCAAGTCTAGGCATATCCCCCGCAAATCCAAAGTCTTCTTCCGGCATTAGCTCTCTTGCTAGTAATTAACTCTTCGCCTCGGCCCTTTCTAGGCTCATCTTCTCCCGAATCCGACTTCCCATGGTCGGACAATCTCCCTTCTCTCCATTGGTGGGAAATAAATCTCTCGGGTTGTGATAACAGGGCCACCAACCAAACAGCAGGTTTTTGGAGAAAGGCACGACACGTGGAAACACTTTGGGACCCCGGATTTCGACTACCATGGACTATTGAGTTGGAGTAGTCGTTCGGCAGAGAGTAGTAGCTATGATTCGTGTGATATTTTTGAAGGTGTACACATGGACCCAACAACCCGGTACTTGCAGCCCTTCTCTTGGTGTCGACATGGGATGAAGTGGATCCTGTGCACAGGGCTAGGTTCATATATTTATCGCATATATATCTTGCAGGCGTTCTCCACCTCTTAGTTTTGACACTCACAAACTCAGCTTTGGTTCCAGGGGTTCATGTAAACTGCAGAGTTCAAAGTTTTGTCCTTCATTCCAGAGCCCTTCGCCATTCAAGCGTTCTCTTCGGAAGGTCTGCCATCATGGTAACCTCTAAAAGAGTGTACAATTGGTAATTTTCAAGATACTCGATTCCCTCATTTCGGCTGCTAACGCCAACTAATCAGGTACATCTCTCTCGTGGCGGCATCATGTATGGTGCTATACGGCTACGATGCTTCTGTTTTCAATGCAGTCCAAGGCTCAAAACATTGGGTCGCTTACTTCAACCACCCTGTATGTGCTCCACAGCACATCGCTGGTCTTGAGATCTCATGTCCAAAAGAATTCCCAAACCATTGGAGCCATCAATACCGCATACACAGTTGGAGCGGTCGTTGCGGGTTTTTTCCTTGGAGGGCCATTGGCAGATTTTGGTGGACGTAGGATGGGCATGACTGTTGGCGCTGCTCTCGTCATCATTGCGACATTCATGCAGACTTTCTCCCCTCGAGGCAATGTTGGCTGCTTCATTGGAGGCCGTGTCCTCATTGGTATTGGACAGGGTTTGGCATTGAGTACGTGCAATGTCCTTGAAATGAAATGCGATCCTGACGTTGCGTAGCCGCTGGCCCCATCTACATTGGCGAATTGGCACCATCGGAAATTCGTGGAATGATCATGTCATTCTGGCAGATGTTCTACTCTGTGGGCTCCTTCATTGCGTAGGATCTTCCCTGAATATGAAGTCCTTCGCAGGGCTGACAGCGATAGCTACTGGGTTAATTATGCCTGCTCTAAGCACACCAAGACTCTGGGAGAATGGGACTGGAAAATGGTTGTCATATTCCAACTCCTCATGCCAGTGCTTATCATCGCTCAGGTCTATTTTATCCCTGAGACGCCTCGGTGGTACATCCAGCACGGAAATCGTATTGAAGATGCCCGGAAGTCTCTCTACAAAGTCCGGGACACAGATCAAGAGGTCGAAGACGAGATCCTCGCTATCCGTGAAGCTATTGAATTCGAAAAGGAAGCCATCTCAAGCGGGTATTCTGCTCTCTGGAAAGACAAGTCAGTGCGAAAGCGCATGTACCTTGCTCTTATCATCAATGCCGGACAACAAATTACTGGTCAAGGAACGCTCAACTCATACAGCACAATCATCTATAAGAAGGTATTTAAGGATGCCTCCCAGATTGCCTTGATTAACGCTCTCAATGCAACCTTTGGAATAATATTCACGTTAAACGCCACATGGACCGTCGATCGTTTTGGAAGGAAGTTCCTTTTGATCACCGGAGCCGTCGGAATGGCCATTTGCATGTTGATTGTCGCCACCGTGGAAACTCAAACTCCCAGTCCCAGCGGTGCCAAAACAGTTCCTGTCGGCATTTCCATCGTATTTCTGATGTTCCTATTCGCCTTCTTTTGTACGTTTCTCTATTTCCCTCCCCCCGCCCTCACGTATTTTAGCTAACACATTACAGATAAACCATCCTGGGGAGCAACAGTCTGGATCTTCACTTCTGAAATCTTCTCCATGAACGTCCGTGCACAAGCCGTCGGAATGTGTTCGCAAACCCAAAACGTTGCAAACTCGATTGTCCAGCAATTCTTCCCAACCTTCCTCGACAACTGCGGTTTCTACGCCTTCTACATGTTTGCTGGTATCAATGGGCTTCTCGCTGCTTTCGTATGGTGGTTCTTGCCTGAGACGAAGAAGGTCTGCTTGGAGGAGATTGATACATTGTTCGGTGGAACAAATCATGTTGAGAAGGGTGCTGAGATTGTAGGTGCAGAGGACCCGCATCACGCCCGATTGGAGAGTATTCATATTAGTGAAGATGGGAAGGCTGTGACGGAGAGGAGAGATACGCAAAAGGCGTAGGAGAAGAATTATCTGGCTCCTTTTCTCACATCATATCAGCACCCACTACAAAGCAGGAATAGGGTGGTATTCGTCTACTGCATTATTGGCTTGGATTAAGAGTAATTTTAAAGGTATTGGTTATAGTCTTAATCCAGATCTACATTTATTACGTTTGCTCTTTGTAGAGTTAAAACTGGCATGCTCCATCTTAACTAAAGTCGTTCTAACTAAATCTGGCACGACACAGGCTTGTGTCGTGGGACCCTCTCGGTTAGTTTTTTATACTATGTTTTTCTTTATACTTTGTTTTTTCTATGCGATGTCTTTTTTATACTATGTGTAACGATTCGCTTGAATCGTTCCATTCAAAGTTACCTGGGGAACCTTATATCTGAAGGTTCCTCGTATCTGCTCCGGCCTGGCCCTGCCCCCTGCTATACCCCTATTCCCCTAAGTATTTAGTCGCACCTCTCCCCTTAGCTAGCTTAGTAGTTTTCTAATATCCTTTTGTACAAGGCCTATAGGTGTTAATAATATTCCTAAGTCCCCATGCACTCCCATATGCCTCTGAGTGGATTCATACCGCATTTGGATCTATTGTCTTGCCTGTGCTGTTACATAAAGTTTATAACACGCTTTAGCTATAGCTAAGGTAAAATGCTTACTACTAAATGTAAGGACGGAGCTCTGTACCACTGCGCCAATACAACCAAAAAGGTGCGAATAATCAACCAACGGTTGATCTTGCGTACAGAATAGTATATATACCCGTCGCACGTAAGCGCCATCTCGGCCTTACTCTAGAGCTAAATAACTACTTACCTAAAATTAGAAAAGAAAATCTTTAGCCTAAAGGTATTAAAGAAGGTCTAGCTCCGAGTCGCTAAGGGATAGCAGTTGTACCTTTAAATACTGAGGTGACTAGGTTTGAAGAGTAGTGTAGTGTTCGCCAACACATCGTATGTAGTTTGACCTCTATGCCGTCAATGCTGATTATGCTGCACTTGTTACTCCTGGCTTCCAGTCGCAACTGTCCCGCTGATTGAAGCATTCCCCATGTCCCAATTCATCGCAGACCAGTCCACGTAATCCATCTGAATATCTTGTATAGAGAGCCCAGGTAAATCAGCGCCTGACCCCAGCCCCGAGAATGCATAGTCATTGTGCACGCCCATGATATGAGATGTGTTGTAAACATCATGGCCCATGGACGTGGACATGAGAAAGTCGGTCGACTCCATCTCCATAGCATCCTGTGGTTGCTGAACGCCAGGATTTTCTCCATCTGGTGCCATCCGTGCCAAGCGCTGCCTGATGGACAACACAATCTGCGGCGTTTCCAACGAGGATCCGGTCTCATTGAATGCAGCCTCGCGAGCGTCCCACGCCTGGAGGATAAAACTCGCTAATAATTCGAAGAAGCGAGATCCTCCAGATAGCAAGTCTTGGCTTGCGTGGTAGTTATCGCTCATGACTTGCCAGGCCGCTGTGGCCTTGGCACTCATCGGCCGCCATTTCAGATATTGAACTGTTTGAATGTATCCAACAAAAGGAAAGTGGGAATGGATCATCCAGATGAATCCTTTCGTAAAGGGTGAGGTCACAAGCTTTGTGTTACATTCAAGCATGCTGAGCGCGTAAGAAAGGGCGGCTTCCCGTTGAGTCTCAGCCTGATGTAGGGGTGAGCCAGCGTATCGGGAATGGTGTTCCATGAGGCAGAATTTCGCAATGCTTCCTCGTGTCGTCCAGATGGTCATGAAGTGAAGCGGGTTGTCTAGGTTACAAAAATTGAGATACTTGGCCTCGATTGTCTTTTCAAAGCGAACTGTCTCCCCACCTTCTGTATCAGGGCGGCGCTGTAAATCTCCGTCAGTGGGCTTCAGAGATGGACAGTAATAGCCGAGGTGGAACATGGTGTGGCGAAGGAAGTCCCCAAGTTCACTGCGCACAACGGCGAAAAGCGCGTCAGTCGACTTCCCTTGCACCTGTGGAGGCTCTTTCATATCTTGTCGGAGGTCTGAATCATTGACATTGAGAGGGACTCTGCAGTCCCACGTGGGAAGTAACGACGAAACTTGAAAATCGGCCATCTCTCCAATGCGAGTGTCGAAAAGGATGAGTGACCACCAAAGCCTTCGGCTCATTTCAGCCTCGAGGACAGTGAATTTGGCCAAGACGGCTTCGTTGTGGATGCCCATGCGTTGCGCAATACGAACGGCAACGCCAAGCATCGAGGACAGAGACTCAGGAGTTGTGTTGGGCCTGATCGAGACCTACAATCATCAGAACGAGAGTCAGTACATGCAGCCGATAGACGTACGAGATAGAGGTAGAGTGCGGTTAAACAGTCGCGGCTGGTACACCGCAGAAAGCTACTGTTCAGCAGAGCTTGTTGACAGCCAAGTTGATATCTCACCAAGAGGTCAGACTTGGGGGACGCAAACATGGCCCGACAGTCATCCTCGCTGAGACTTGAGATGGCCATGCAGTAGATGCTAAACATAAGCGCCTCCAGTTCGGGCTTGATGTTCAAAACGTCTCCTGCAGCTTCTATGATCCGTCCTTGCAGGCTTGGAGTATGTGTGACTTTCAGCAGCGGGTTCACGTTGTCAAGGTAGAGCTGCCAAAGTTGAAACACCTGGACCGGCTGGGGGTGCAGAGTATACATAGCGACAACCGTCTGGGGCCAACCAAACAGAAGGTGATGGTCATTCTCAATCGCTTCATCCCACGCCTTCTTGAATACAATTGGCTGTACTTCATCATCTGAAGAGTCGTCTTTATCGCGGTCACGGACCTACTTCGACTATTGGTCAATATAGCACGAGCCGGGTGGACACGTTAGGAGATTACCTCTTCACGCATGACGTGGAACATGCGCCTGTAACATATCAATTAGCGCATGGTGGGACATGACAGCAATTCTTGGACAACGCGTACTTGGCCTTATACACCTTCGTTCTCTCAGGAATAGGTGTGATTGTACCAGGCTGGCCATTGTCATTGGCAGCTGCAGTACTGTTTCCTAGCTCTTCATCATCCGAATCATAGGAGGCTTTCCCAGTGGAAGCGGGAGAGTTCTTGTGTTCAGTCAAATGGGGGTTGAGGTGCAGCGGTTCGCACTTGATGTTGTGCTGGTTCAGGAGATCCTCGTAGTGACGAAGACGCACTAGCAGTTCTCTCTCGGGGAATTGGCGTCTTCGGCGGCGCGAGGCTTGAGTTGCTTGTACACATTGCACCCGGGCCTTGACGCAAGTGGCGCAAGGATAGTTGTGATCGCACTTCACTTTCCGCTGCTGGCAAAGGACACATGCCAGGAGGCGTCGGGGTTTCGACTTCGTAGGCTGGCGGGATTCGGAGGCGGAGGCGGAGGCTGGAGTCTCTGATGTGGCCGGGAGCATCGACATATCGACGCGACAGTGTTGGCCGAGTCGTGAGGGTCGCCGCAATTGCGCCACGGTCAAGTAGCCGGGCGCCGGCCCGAGCCGTGTTTCACGTGATTACGGAGTTATCGTCACGTAACCGCGTAAGACCTACACGAGCGGCTTTGTACAAGGACTGGTGATCTTGGCTAGTAGACGTTCCAAGTCAATAGCTATCGTTCTATTTATTCTCTTCCAACGCCACAGGTCCTCAATCCTTGACTCGCTGAAAAACCACAGTAGGACTTTGACGAGAACTTATCTCATGGGTCAGACGCTCCCCCGAAGTTCATCCGGGCCGACCACAACGCTGTATTTCGTGGTGTAAACCTTCTCGCAACCGTTTCTGCGGTCCGTGCCCGGGGGCTACACCTCGCCTCGGCAATCGGTGTTATATTGCCTGCAGTACCAATTGCCGACACACGGTGGATCCTCAAGAACAGACCTGATTCAACAACGAAAAGAGTTCCACTTTCGTCACCACGTTCGACAACACCTCCTGTAGCTGAGCCATATCTAAATTATAATGATTATAATAGACCTCGTTGCTGAACTGAAGGTCTGAGGTGCTATGAGGTCTAAACATAGGTTTGGGACACCAAGTCCACATGTGATAGGCCAGCTCAAGGAGGGACTCAGGCTTACCGATTCCCTTTACTTTGCGCAACCTAGAGGGCTGCGGCTGCTAATCAACTCACGGCTTGGCACCTCTCGCTTATATAGACACCCTATCATCGATCAATACATCACTTCTTTCATAACTCTTGCCAGCTCCAGGCTGACAGATTGCCATCTAATCTTGGCGCCTAATACATTATGACCGACCTCTTTATCTCCCAGATCAAGTAATAGACGATGGCACGAGGAGTAATGTGTAATATGTAACCAGAATCCTTGGACCCTCATCAAAGCAGAAGAGATACCTATCCTTGATAACCCAATCTAGGGCTTTTGCCTTGCTGTCTTTAAAACTTACTATAAAGGTAAGATGTAGATCAAAATGTTGAGGCTGAAGTACGGAGTACAAGGACATATGAGGAGGAGCAGAGCTTGAGTTTCCCTATCTACCTTGCTTTCTATTGATCCCATGCAAAACTTCTCGCTTCCGAGATGGTGGATCTCCTATCCTCGATGCATGCGATAAGTTTCCACTTCGTAGCCTAATATTCTGACTGAATGTTGTTTACTCACATTGGGAACAGATAATAGAATATCGTCACACTCGACTCGTCAACTCAGCTATTCTTCTCTTCATCCGCTAGAGGGGATTTAGCTCCGTCGCCAGAGCCCTGGCGCGTACTCTTCCACTCCAGCCCAGCTACACCAAGGAAAGCCGACGCCGTGAGGATCACCCCAGCTTTGAACACGTCCTGGAGCGCCGCGTTATATGCCTTAAGAATCACCGGCTTTAGTTCTGGAGGCAGCGAGCTGATCAGTCCGGTAACACCGCCAGACGTAACAAGCAACTCGTTGAACCCAGAAACTCCGGTAAGCTTCTTCAGGAGCTGGTTATCCAGTATATTCGTCCCTATTGGGACGCCAATCGCTCCACCTAGGAGCTGACCGAAGAACAACAAGGCCATTCCGACCGGAACATCCTGTGACGACAGAACTGTCTGGATAGCGATAATTGGTGTCTGCATCGAAAGGCCCATGCCGAATCCAAATACAACCTGATAACCGATCCATTTTGCATGGCCTGTGTCGACTTCGAGTAGAACGAAAAGTCCAGCTCCAACAGCCATGATAGCAACTCCTAGGATCCCGACTGGCGTATAGTATCCAAGCTTCTGAGTGATGCCCCCAAAGACAATTGATCCGACAAGCATTGACAACATCAAGGGAAGGAGCTTGATGCCGGCTTTCACCGCAGAGTCGTCTTTGACGGTTTGAAACCAAACCGGAAGGTAATAGACTGTGAAGCAAGGTTAGTCGCAAGATTGTGACACCTAACAGAAGATTTTATACTTACTAATGACGTACATCCCAGCACCGATAAAAGACATTTGCCACAGACCTGCAACGACGCTACGTTGCTTGAATAACCGAGAAGGGACCATTGCTGTCTTTGGGAGCAACACCTGGACAGCAACGAAAGAGACAAGTAAAATTGACATGACAGTCAATAATGCGACAAGGCGGCTGCTATTCCACTACATGCTGTCAGTTCATCATGGTTTTCGCTGCAGTGGAAGGAAACTCACCGCATACGCTTGGCCTCCCCACTGAAGTGCTAGCACTAAGCAGATTACACCAGGTATGAGACACAAAGCACCAAGGGGATCCAATTGCCACAGCTTCTCTCTCCAGGAGAAGCTAACAGTTTTTGAGTTGGGGACTTTGATGGTGAACGCCCGGACGAGCATGACCACTCCACCAATGGGTAGGTTGATGTAAAAGCACCATCGCCACGTGGTATTCGAGGTGAGCGCACCGCCGATTAATGGCCCCAGGATGATAGCAATTCCAAAGACGGTGCCCAGAAGGCCGTTCATTCCTGGTTGCTTCTTAAGAGGGACAATGCGGGTAATAGTCACCGCCTATACGAGATCAATTAAGAGTAGGGATGATATTGTGACAATGGAGCACTCACAGATCCGGCAAGTATACCAGCCGCACCAATTCCTGCCACTGATCTTCCAATGATGAATGCTATCGAGTTAGGAGCAGCTCCACAGATAGCAGAGCCAATCTCAAAGAGCAAGATGCTCAGGATTAGGACCGCCTTCACACTGTACATGGAGTAGATCTTTCCAAACATGAGCTGGAAGGCGCCGCATGTCATAAGATATGCGCTTGCGTACCAGCCGATGTCAGGAAGAGATCTGAAGTCGTTGGTGATATTAGGAATGGCCTGGTCAGATTCGGTTAGCAATAACCTCCCGCGACAACAACTATACAGTCGTACTGTAGTGATAATGGTTCTGTCCAAAGCAATCAAGAACATGGCCATCAAAGATGTGACCGTCAAGAGCACAATTGTTGTGAGGGGTTGCTTCTGGAATGTTTCATCGCTGGCATTGCTTGGATCGATGTTGTTGGCGTCATGGATATATTGAGAAGTCTCTTCGTTCAGTGCCGCCTCCGATGGCGGATTGGCGACGACGTGCTGCTTCGAGTGTTGTGAGACCATAGTGTGTCTGGTGAGAGGTCGAATTTCGTGGATCTTAATATCTAGATGTGGTAGGCAGAGTATGTGCCGTGGTGTTCTACTTTACAGTCTTTGGTGTCTCAGGAGGATATGTCGATATTGATAGTTTGTGAAGAAGAGAGCGGGAGCGAGCTAATTTGTGCATAATAAGGCTGCCGCGCCCGTCAAATATTGGAATTTAAAACGATCTTATCGGTGTTCAGCAACTTTTCGGCGCAGGCAAAGTCCATTTCACGTGACTTGACGGACTTCGCAAAAGACCGATTGCACGGCCTCAGTGAGTCCGATGAATCACGTGGCGTTTGTGCTTCCCAATCAATACAACACGATGGACGGGCTATTGACTGACAGCGCCAATGGAACATGATAGGCTTCTTGATACTGCATTCAGGAATGAACCCCACTCGTTGCAAAGCAGACGCGGCTTCCGAAACAGATCTGATGTTTTTCGGCTCTCTCGACACCATTGCCAATGTCGGTCGCCATCTAATCCGTGTAGGACGCTCTATCCCGCACCGCTGCGACGAGGTCACTGGCCGCACGGTCTGGTGACAACTGCTGTACTCCGCCCGTCGATCTTTGGTTGGGAGTACGATTATATATGAGATCTGATCTTTCCCGCCGCAATCCGAACCGTGGGACGTTATCGAATACCGTATATCGTTCCATGCCAGAATACTTCTATAGATTCCTTCTAATTGGCTGGAATGGAATCCATCAAATTTCGCACACGAAAATGCTCTCCAAACTTCTTGGCACTCTCCACCCTCTCAACCCACATACTACACTCCTGCCTCAAGCTTTATTCCTCTCCTCCTTATCATCTTTGCTTCTTTTGTCACATTCCAATTCCTACAAGATGCTCTCCTATTCCACCATTTGCACTTCCAATGCCTGTAACCCACTTCGCTTTCGCTGTTTGTCTGAGAGAGCCACGACGACGATGACGTCAGTGATTATTCTCGTCCTTCTCGTCCTTCTCGTCCTTCTTGTGTTTTCTTGGCTTATACCTTGCATGCGCTCCAGTGGAACTTAACACAAGACAACGGAACATGCCCTAACTCCCTTGGCAGCTGTTCTCAGATAAACTCCACTGGGTGAAGATCCTACTCCCAAGCCTTGTCCCCATCTGTCTCCAAGTCTTTCGGTTTACGATGCAACTTCTCGGCGGCGGGGACGGTGAAGACTCCACAACCCAAATCAGTATCGACAAATCAGAAGTCTTGAATGCTTGAAGATGGTGTGAGGATCGGGCATACCGTAATAAGTAAATTTTTTATTAAACAGTCTTACTTTATTATATCTTATCTAAATTAGTTTTAAATTAGCTTTAAATACTATTTAAACACTATAAATAAAGACTATTAGTGTAACAGCGCAGGCAAGACAATGGGTCCGAATGCGGTAGGAATCCACTCAGAGGCATATGGGAGTGCGTGGGGACTCAGAAACCTGGGAATTCCATTGACACCTATAGGCCTTGTACGAAAGGATATCAGAAAACTACCGAGCTAGCTACGGGGAGAGGTGCGACTAAATACTTGGGGGAATAGGGGTACAGCAGGGGGCAGGGCAGGGTCGGAGCAGATACGAGGAACCTTCGGATATAAGGTTCGCCAGGTAACTTTGAATGGAACGATCCTGTAACGGCGCAGGCAAGACAATGGATCCGAATGCGGTATGAATCCACTCAGAGGCATATGGGAGTGCGTGGGGACTCAGTAACCTGGGAATAAAAACGCCCCCTCAAACGCCCTCCTGACGCTTGCCCATGGATGTCCAATCAGGTTCTATATTACTAGGAAAAATCAACTTTCTGAGACGTATCACGGACTGTAAGGGGACCTCTCTTAGTCGTACGTTACGATTGACAATCCTCTTACGTTTGTGGGGCTCACGTGACCGTAACTATTCACTTTTCTGAGTCGTAGTACGTACGGTTGGAAGTGCTGCAGGCGACGAATCGACAATGTTGCACCTAGAGCCTACGCGGGTTAGTCGGAGCTTGGTTCTCCTATGAGAGAACACTCAGGAGCCGTTCTTCAAAGACCGTTGCGGGTAGTTGCTGCCTGAGGCCTCCCGATTTACTAGGCGAGCATTTCTCCGCCAAACTTGTCATCTTCCAACCCTACGCTTTTCGCAGAAGGATAGCCTGCTTGGCAACGATAATGGGTGCATTCTTTTTTATCCTCCCAAAAGATCTAGTCTCCATTCATCTCATGGAATCTGAACACAGAGTTTGACAGTGCCGCAGGAACGATATACTTGGGCTATCGTCACTCAGATGCATACGACACGGACTGCTTGGAACTTTTCTCTCAAGTTTTGAACGGGGTCCTAAAAGGTAAGCTGAGGACAAAACTTCGCTGTGGATAAGGATAATTGAACGCTCTAGAGATTCCACACTCGATGCTCTGTATGAAAGCCTTCGAGTGAAATGGCAGCTGCCATACGATGCCTTCTATCCTTTCGGCGACCATCGTAGAGCGGGCATTGAGACTGTTTGGACCTTCGACCTGGACAATGACATGCTTCTCTTCAGCAAAAGGGATTGTGGCGGCCGCCTAGCTCTTCCACTTGTTCGCCAGCGCCCTATTACGATTAGTGACTTTGAACCGCTTGAGCCGCCAAGTCAGCCGACTTTAGGCTTAGGAGATGATTTTATGCTTATGCCGCCTTACTGGGAACCCAAACTCCACGTACTTGAAAGGAACAAAGCCTTTCTCTCCCGTGTACTGAACGATTTCGGCTATCAGTGGCGGCACATCCTTCGGAGTCGATACAACGACCTCACCTTCCGCAAACTGGCCCGAGACGTCATCCGAATAGCAACTCTAGACTTCAATGTCGTAGAGATTACGAAACCTCGACACGGCCAAACATCAGGGCCAATGGTGTGGATAGACTCTCTACCGGAATGGGATCCTTTTGATAGTCATTTTACCCGGGTTGGTCAACTATGGGTTGCAATGTCTCAAGATCTAAAAGGAGGTCTTTCACTGGTTCGGCGTCACATCTCCACAAAAACTGGAAATGCACCGAATTCATATCCACAATCCGCGGACGTTGTGGACACATACTTGATTCTATCGGTAAGGCATATTATCTTATGCCGCGCCGGTAGAGACAAAGTAGAATGGACGCAACCAGAGCCCTGCTTCAATGGGGTAGACAGTCTCTCAGGCCAGGCATTGGACATGCTCCTCTCAGCGACTTCTACAAGTCCGTGCCAAACACCAATCCACAATCTCCCCACCGAGATCCAAAACAAAATCATCCAATACACGTCTCAAGGTTCTGTAGAAGCAGCTAGGATGGGCTGCATTTTAGGGCTTGGCTTACCCTTTTTATGGAAAGATGGTGACTTGCCGCTAGAGAGAGAGGAAGCCCATAGAAACCGGAGCGAGATCACTCCAGCCGAGTCGCAACTCTGGTTCGATGGCTACATGAGTGGAATTTCATACAAAGGAAATCGACATCTGGACATCGGAACATTCAGCGACTAGGGATCGTGATTGAATTGAGGCATGCTAGGGCGAGAATCTGCGCAACTCTTGTGAATGCCGGCGCAGAGGATGAACTTGGAGAAGAACAATATCTGTTACCAATATCCTTGCGCTTCGAGAGTCAAACTCTGCTTGGATAGGCCATGATTTGCCATAGGCACTTGATCTAATTATTGAACGCTTTTAAATTCAAATAAAGCAGACCGTTTACTGAATGTTTACATTCAAAAACACTGCGCGATGAGAAAACAAAAACTATTTATAGCACGTCCACCCCAACTGACCGAGCCCCATCAAAACAAACTTGTCCTTCTGAACTCCCATAACTAACGCCAGCATCATACACTTCACCCTACGCTCCGTACCACCCTAACCACCAAACTTCTAGTCTCCTGCTCATCAACTGCATCGAGTAAATTAGACAAATGGGAGCGGATTCTGCTTCAGATAATGCGCCCATCGGGTAATACTATGTACGTCCCTTCGCAAGTGCATCCTCTGAGTTAGCGGTGTGAGAGTGCCGCGATCCGCCCTGTATATCTTAATCTCCATTCCGATATGGACGATTCCATAGACCTGTTTGGAGGCAAAAAGAGGACTAAGATTCTTGTCTTGGATCAGATCCCTGTCATGACTTTTTCTGTCTTCTAATCTCTTCTAGCCAGTCCGCATCATTTACAGCCTTCAACCAGCTCGAAATTCTCTTGAAACCCACTCTTGGCTCAGCCTCTACCCCTCGAACCCTTCATCAAACAATGCAGTCCCCGCAGCTGTCCTCTCCTCTTACTAGACGAGGGTAGGCTTAATGTTGGTGGAATTGAAGAGTATTACGAGCTACAGAGGAAGTGGCCTGATACTGTGTCCATTGACATAGATAAAGAAGGTGGAGATGAATCCTCGCATTGATCAACCTTTCATCCGAGGTCACTTATGGAAGGAGGGTCTACGTAAGCTATTAGGGGTGTCGTGTGCTTGACGTGGCAATGTACGTAGTCTAAGCAAGCTTTCTGAATATTCCAACCTCTGCAGGCGTCATTTCTAGCAATGTATGCGCAGAAAAGATAAGACGAAGTGAATGGAGGATTGGGGTGCCTGATTCAGCCCTACACGAACTCCGTCAGCCACCCGTACACAAGCTAGCACGTCATCTGCGCCAAGATGCATTCAAAATTTCACAGGGAAGTTGCGACCTCAACTTTGATTGGGGATTGACAAATACTCCCAAACAATTCAAATAGTCTGCAGATTCTCTCGTATTCTGCTACCACGCTCTTCCTCTTAACAGCTGTCAATTATCCTCTGTTTCGTCCTTCCGAGGACTAACAGCTTCATCATGGCGACGTATGCTTCTTCATACCCCTCTTCATACCCCTCCTACACGCCATGCCCCGCCACAATGAAGAGGCCGGTTCACTGACAATGAGTTCAGGAACATCACATGGCATCCATCCCTCTCCCGCAGCGAGCGTAACACGTACCGCAAGCAGCGCGGCTTCACAATCTGGTTCACCGGTCTCAGCGCGTCCGGAAAATCCACCATTGCAACCGCCCTCGAACAACACCTTCTGCACCTCGGACTTGCGGCATACCGTCTCGACGGCGACAATGTGCGATTCGGGTTGAATAAGGACCTAGGTTTCTCAGAGAAGGACAGGAATGAGAATATCAGGAGGATCGCTGAGGTAGCGTGTTTCTGTTACCCCATGTTATCCCACGATGCCCCCACGTTGGCGGCATTCACATGTGGAAGCACGCGAGCGTTGGGAGCGGGAAGGCTCATCCATGGTGTGGATTGACTTAGCGTATAGGTTGCCAAACTCTTCGCCGATTCCGCAACCATTGCCATCACGTCCTTCATCTCGCCGTACCGGGTTGACCGCGCCATCGCACGCGACCTGCACGCTGCTGCCAACGCTGCACACCCAGAGGACGAGCCGCTACCCTTCATCGAGGTCTTTGTAGACATCCCGCTTGAGATTGCCGAGCAGCGCGATCCCAAGGGACTGTACAAGAAGGCTAGGGAGGGCAAGATCCCAGAGTTCACAGGGATTAGTGCGCCATATGAGGAGCCGGAGAATGCCGAGATCACGATAAAAAGTGCGGAGAAGAGTGTGGAGGAGGCGGTACAAGAGATTGTTGAGTATCTGGATAGCAAAGGATTGCTTAAGTTGAGCAGTGCCGATGGGAGAGGGTTGGAGTATTGAATGAAAAAGGCATTTTTAAATGATATGTGCACGGTTATGCAAAGGGTTAGTTAGCCGAAGACATCACGTTGAGTAAAGTAGACTTAGTTCCATTATAGATTCATAATGACGGAATTGAATCTTGTGTTATAATTCTCTTTCATTCGTATCGATAACTATGCAGGGCAAACATGACTCTGTTCAGTAATGTTTCTCATTCTTCTCCTATGATGATCACCACTTTCGAGGTTAACCAGTATTTCTCCAACCCCTTCCCACAACGCATGGCCATTTTCACATACGCCTGATCTCCCCGTGTTATTGATGATTGGCGCGGAAACTCCGGTAATCTGCTCCTCAGATCTAGATTACAAGCAATGGTTCACGAAATTTTAGGAGTGAATGGGAATTCTCAAACACACGAACTCTCCACCAGGTTGAGAGCTTTCCCCCCCAAACAACTATCCATTTCGAGTGTCGATGCTTGGGATTCTTGTTTTTCAGTAAATCTTAATTGGAAGTTGAAGTTAAATGTTTTTAGGACGCAGCATCCAGTGCAGCTCTAAGAAACTACACAACAGAGTAGAAATGAAAGGACTATCATTATTAGTCCCATAAATTTAGGTTGTTATTTTTTTTCAACATCAAATTTGAGAATGCAGTGTGGTTGGGGAGCCAGAGTTGTAGTGCGAGTGCGCGCGCTTAGGTAGGTAGAAGGGAGAGGGAAGGCGGCGGGAGACACAGGGTCGTGTGGTGGACACCTTGGCGACCTCTGCCCAGGGATGAGGGCTGCCTCTTCTCTATCTTCGAACATTCATTACGGCAAAATGACACCCTGCTCCATACTCTTTTCAGCACACAAATTACATTATGTTGTCTTCGGGAACGCCTCATCGAAAAATTCAGCGCGGCAATCAAGCCTGACGGCACGCGGTATTGGCACCGAAAAAGAGGCTTGAGCTTTGACAATGTAGCTTTTGGTCAAAACCTGGGCGCAAAAGATATCATGAGATAAGATGAACGACGGAAGCTCGATGTAGTCGAAACTCGATGTGGTCGAAGAAATGAAGAGGAAACTTTTTTTTCCAAACTTTTGCACAACATGGGGAGTATCTTGAAGACCCAAGGATATGGCCTACAATGAGAAAACTATAGATCGATGAAGAACATCTTCACCTTCAAAGCCAAAAAATGAAAACCTAAAACCTAAAACCTAAAAGGTCAGATATGGCGTTGACGGAGAGAAGCGCGGCACTACCCACTTCTCGCATGATCGCGATCAGCACGAAAGAAGAACGATAACGTTAAACTGATACAAAATATTCACTTTCACAACCCTGTAGAGCCTCAGCATAATTTACACATTCCCCCTGAATGCACCCCCCAAAAGCATCCCAAAACACGTCTCCTCGGCTAACCCTGGAAAGTAGCAAGTTCCTCCAGACCGCTCGCGAAGGCCGTTCTCGACCATTGGACACGCCGGGGAAACCGGAAAACAGTACTCGGGCCGAGGCGCGGCATCGGAACAATTGAAGGTGTGAGTGGGCAGAGAATCGGCTGTGTCGGCTGCTGGCTCGGTTGTTGGGGGAAAACGTGGTGTAGGTTCGCAGTTCCTTTTCCCAACGTTCCGGGTTTGATGAGGCGACTTTTGAGGCTGGGCTCGAAGGAAAAAAGCATGAGGGTCGGGGAACGGGGACGGGGATAGGGACGGGGAAATTGGAGCTGGGAAAAGCAACAATGTTATCTGTCTCGGGGGGTACGGTAGATAGGAACAATGATGCTTGTGATGATTGCAAAAGTCGTCACAAAAATGCTGACCTGGTTCGCGATACGAGCAGCAGCAAGTTCTCGAGACCAAAGGGTCCGTTTCAAGGGTTTTTGGATCAGCTGTCACAACAAGCTCACCCTTGTGGTCACTCAGGAACATGCAGCTGTGGAAAAAGCAACGAAGCTGGAAGGAATAAAACAACAGGTCATTGGTTGGATGACTCTGCCGCGATGAATTTTGCGATCTCCACGAACCCTCGCAGATTCGGTGTGCACCACGGATCTACACCTCTCTTGTCATACCCATCATCTCCACCCTAATCCTGTGCCTAGCTTGAACAAACAATAGAGAGACATTACCTGGAGGAGAGATACCTCCTCCTACGACATTATATAAAGAGTTCCCCCGATCTGTTTCGATCAAAAGGAGAGTTGTGATATCCATGAGTAGCCCCACCCAGTAGCATGCACATGCAAGTGAAAAACAAAACGATTTGAAAACACAGCGAAAGCAAAAGTAAAAGAAAATTTCCCAGCCCGGGCCATATATCCAGAGTTCTCCGATGAGAGGAAAAGAGTCGCCGAGATATTTCCCACACGCCGCGCCATGAATTTGGAATAGACAGGTAGAGGGGGTGTGTATTAGAATTAGTAGAAAAGCTGGAGGCGCGTGTACAGTCGTTACGCACAGCCACCGAATAAACCGCATATTTAGAGAGAAAGTGAAGGAGATGTACCCATTTTGTGTAAATCCTCCCAATATGGAATGCAGGACCGAGGGCGCTGGCAAGGTAAAGAATAGTGCAGTTGGGGTTCTCCACTCGAGGTGCGAGACCGGGTATATCCCTAAAACCATGAAATCCGAACACGAAGATGAGCTAGTGCGCTTTAACGCCGTAGCCCTTGAAGAGCTCAATAATAGGTGTCTATGACCTGAAGTCCCGGGGTCCCTGGTTGGCAAAGATATAGGATTTTGGCTGGGGCTCGGTGACTCTTCGAAGAATCGGACCAGGAGCGGAGCCTTGAGGGTTGTACTCGTGTACAAGAAACTCTGGCATCGTGACGGGTGGTGCGAATGGGACGTTGTGGTGAATGCCGTTCAGATTGATGTCCTTGAATTGCTGGTCATAATTCAATTGAAAGTCACCAAAATTATCAGTGTATGACACCTGAGGCACGTCTGAATGGGGATGGCCGCCATCGGGTAGGGAGGGCCTCCTGAAGTGTGACGGCTTCGGCTGCACGATAGTGAGATCTGAGGTTGAGTGGAATCCGGCTCTCATTTGCGGCGGATGCATGAATGAGCGAGGGAACGACTGTTGTGTCGCTGGGGCCGACTGGGGAGGGGTATCCCGATACAGGTTGTCGTTAGCAAAGCGAGCTTGATTAATTTGGGCAACGTCCAACGGTGTGGATGGCGGCGACGCAGTGTTCGACGAGTACAGTCCAGCCGGCTGAGGTTCTACAGACCAAGGGACATTTAGGCTTTCTGGGCTACTATGTTCGGGCATAGGTGGGTGACTCCTGATGACTGTATTGCTTTGCCAATAAGGAAAGCGCCCCATCTCGTTAGGGGTCGAAGGAGTAGGAGGGGCAAGACTTCCACCCTGTCCGACAATAGCAGTGCTGGACGCGGAAAAGGTTCTTTGGAACTTCGGAGACGCTGCGGCCTCTGCAAAGGTCAAGGCCATTGGCGAGCGCTGCGCCGAGCCTGGAGCAGGCTTCTGGATGCGGCCGGCGGAACTTGGAATCCCAGAGGATCTGATCCTTCGGAGAGTGTGGTCGTTGTTACCGCCTGGCGAGGGCATGCCGTTGGTATACGAGGAGCTTCTCAGAGTGCTAGGGTTTAGTGCGGTTGGGCGCTTATGTCTCCGCGCGGCAATGCTTGAGGGTTGGTTTGGCTGCTTGAAGCCGTCTGGGGTATGTCCGTTCTGGATGTGGATCGTCTCAATGGTATTGGCCAAGTTGGTCGTTGATGAGTTTCTTCGCGAGTAGGCATCATCAGCGAAAGCAGACGGGGGATCGAAATCTGAATGGCTTGTGCTGAGCTTCCGATCCTCGGCCTGACCGGGAGAAGACAGGATAGCATGGGCAGATGCATTGGCGTGTTGGTACATGTCAGCCTGTGAGAATGACTGGCCTTGTCCGTTTGGCCCCCAAAACGGTAATGTGTGCTCGGACGCCGAAGCCTGGGGCATGTTGTATGGTTCATCAAACGCATCGTCGCCGGCACTGGCTAGCTTTATGTCAGGTCCAGAGTTTTGCTCGTCCGTCCAGCCGGAATAGACCGAGGCGAGCGAGGCCACAGAAGAGGCATTTGGGCCCGTTGATGAGTGCGTGGTGCCCGTGGACTGAGCCCCCGAGAAGGGCGATGGCTCAGATGAGAGCGTGCCTGTACTGTTCTGCAGCTCAGCAGAGGAGTAATCCAACCCGGAGAAATCTGAAAACCCATTCAGGGGATCATTGCACGGGGCGGGCTCATTCGGAAGCGTAGTCGGCATGGAAAACGCCAAGTCGTTCGGAAAGTCTCGTGGGAGGCCAGTGTTGTCGTACGAAAATCCTGATTGTTGCGGAGGGAGCGAGGCTGCGTTGTGCTGCATGTAGGAGGCCCCGGCGGTCGCGGCCATGAACGAGTGCATGAGTGCGCTCGCGTTGTACGACATGGCGCGGTCGGTCTCTGGGATAGACCGAAGCGGGTGCATGTCGAAAGGCTGGTGGAGTGAGATTTGAGATCCCAGGTCTAGGGCTGACGGACCCTCGACACTCTCGACTGGGAGACATGTCGGGCTGATGTCAGCATTGACTGGGTAGAATTCTGGGGCCATCGGCGGCTGCGGCTGTGGCTGGTGTTGCTGCTGCTGGTGGTGCTGTTGCTGGTGCTGCTCTGTGTGAGGAGGAAACCGGGACGTCACGATAGGTATCTGGGGCGGGCCGTAGATACCCATGCCCATGTTGTACTGGTTCAGCTGCTTCTTCAGGTCCTGCTTGACCTTTGCGCGACGGTTCTGAAACCAATTCTACGCGTCATGTTAGCATGGCTGCTCGTCGCTGGGGGAACTAGATGGGACACTGACGTTGATTTTATCGATGGGTACGCCGAGGCTCTCGGCGAAGCCCTTCTTGACGCTGGTGCTGGGCTTGTGCTGTTGCTGGAAGTGGGCTTCGAGGATGTCGTGCTGCTCCTTGGTAAGGCGGGGCTTGACGTCGGCGCAGCCATTGTGGTGTTGCTTTGGGGGAGCTTCTGCTGCAGGCTTCGCGTTTGCGGGTGGATTTGATTGTCGCTGCTGGGCGGCGGGCTCGCCGTTGGAGTTCGCGAACGACCGCATTTGGGAGCCAAACTGGTCCATCCTTCGCGCGCCGCGAGGAGGCAGGCGCCGTCGTCAACAGCGCAGGCGGATCTCGCAGCGTCCCAGGAAGGAGGGGAATTTAGCGGTGCGTGTGAGTGTGCAAGAGCGAGCAGCGGTGCGGACAGCGGACCGCTCTATCAAAGACCCAGGCGATGCTCGCTTGCACGGGCGCGGGCGAAGCGGAACCTTGGAAATGAGAGGACGGAGTTTCAGGCTGCGCGGTGCGTGCAGATGCGTGCAGACAGAGTAACGAGCGACAGTTCTACGACACCGACTCTGGCGTGCTTCGCAGCAGTAACGAGAGAACTACCAGCGGATTGCACAGAGGCTGGGGATAGCGAGCGTGGTGAGGGCGAGGGCGAGGCGGAGGAAGAGGTCAGGAGAAAGCATAGTGCGGCTTTGCAGCTACTTGAGAGAGGCCGATGGGGCCCGCACGCGGCGGGAGAGGATGATGGCGGCGCGGAGTCTGTGCAGGGTGACGGCTCTGGCCCATCGCCCCCCATGATTGGCCCACGCCATCCAAGACCGCGCGCAAAACTCCGTTGGCATCCCCCATCCCAAAGTCCCAAAATAACCCCACGCGCATGATCGCCTACGCTTGTTGTCGACCACTCGCGAGGCCGTGGCCGTGTGCTGAGGTGCTGAGCGCAGCACTCCAAGTCGCTGGGGCATCATTCACTCCGCAGCCAAGTGTGGGAGCCGCTGATTCGAAGCCGGACCCCGATGCTCTGCGAGTGACTGCCACTCTGCTCGCCCAGGCCGCGAGCGCTTCAGCGGACCCTCGCGCTGCTCGCACCACTCCTGCACTCGCAACCCACGGCCCACGACTCGCGAGCCTGGGGCCCCAAGCTGGCCGAGGCTGCTCCTGGCGGCGGATGCACTGTCGTCGACATTCCGGCCTCGAGCGCAGCGGGGCGTTCGCGGCACAGGGGAAGACGCAGACACCGTGCCGCCCCATTGGTCGAGCGCGCCGCCGACGGCTGATCTGCTCGAATGGCTGTGGAAAGGGGAGACCAGTGCTGTTCCTTTTGTTACGCGAGCCTCTCATCTCGATACGCAGCGTGCCCACCAGCGTCATGCCAGCGCAATTCCGGGTGATGCGCACATGGACAGCGGCGATGAGGAAGGGGGCATGGGCCTCTGCCATCGGAGAATATTTCGTCTCCAGACCTCCCTCCACCACGACTCTTGAAGAGCGCAGTTCGGAGTCTGGGTCCTGCATGCTTCACGGCATTGCCGCAGTGGGTGAGATGCGTACGCGATGGGCGAACGAAGAGGCTGCGGGCGCTACTCCTACAGCCCCCCCCCCCTCCACCCTTCCCCCCACCCCACTCCTCAACTCTCCTATCCCTTTTTTCCGACTTCACCTCAAGCGCCGCCCCAGTATCTTCACCCATACGCCTCTTCCATTGCTCGTTGGCGGGCTACTGTTGCTCGCTCTGTTTGGCGCCCTCTGTCCTCCCCGCGCTCGTTGGGCAAGACCTTCGCCTTCGCCTGCCGTCATGGGCCTGACATCGTTCTCTCCACAGTGGCCGCTGATCTGCACAATCAAGGGGCACATAGTGCCTCCCGTCTGGCTCTCGGAAAGCGGCGCAGGGTGTCTGATTCCAGTGTTGAATTGTACCTTGCAGCGCCCAATCCTATTTGGTCTCTGTGCAACTGAACAATTTCTACGTGAACTTGGACTTGTCCGACGAATGCGGGTTCGCTGTTCGCCATTTCGGGAGTAACGGTGACCCTAACTTAGCTCGCTAGACATCATCCATGTATGTGCTGGCTGCGACAACACCACTTGCGGTGGCCAAGACTAGTTCCACCACCACCAGCTGAAGGGACCGGGGCCGGGGAACTGGTTGCACGGCAAGGGAGCACAGCCTCTTGTCATGCGCTTCGACGCTTCGAGGTTGGGACCTGTGAAAACCCTCGCGCGAGCACCTTACCTAGGCAAGAGATAACACGCTGGTCGTGATTTCTCTCTTCCAACTGACCTGCCAACGTGCCCAACTGCGTTGCACGAGAGTGACGGTACTCTTCTAAAGCAAGGAGACTCCCAGCCCCAACCTAGTCTTCTAAATGACGTTCAGCCATGCACTGTAACCTGTAACCGTTCTAGAAAATGGAATATTGATCAGAGTGGCTCAGACTTGTTCAAAAGGAAAAGACCATGCGATGCAACACAACCGTACGGTTAATGTGAGAAGAGTCTCCAAAAACCCCACAATGCCCTGGCTGTTGTCGGACGACATGGCAAGATGACATCGAATGAAAAATCAGCCTGCATCCTTCTTGTGGCTGATTTGATGATGGTTAGGCTGTGCATGCAAAAGCACCCTGGAGAAACAGTGGATTCGCAAGTTGTTTGTGAAGCTCACGTAGGGTCGCAGGAAATAGCATGGATGAATTGCCGAAGGATTCGGACACCGACAGCAATTCCCCGCTTAAAAAGGTGTCGCGTACAGACTTCTGACTGGAGGATGGGTAGGGCACAACTCCCACAGGGCGACTTCAAGTGTAGACGGTGAGACTTAAAGGTGTGCCTATAAAAAGCGACAACTAGCTAAACCGCCATCAGATTAGTGAGTTTTGGAATATTCTCACTTTTTTAGCTTCACAACCGTGCAAATTTTAAGTTAATGGATTGAGATTCATCAGTTGCTAGACGAGGGCATCCACGATTTCGACCTGTGCTTCCCCAGTTGTTTTATCCCATCCCTTGAGGGTCACGCTCCGCATATCACGGACAATCCAATCCGCGCCGGCTGCCTGCAACTGCTCCAGCGTATGCGTTGTCGCAAGTGCAACGACTTTGAATCCCGCCGCTTTTCCTGACCGCACCCCCGCAGGAGCATCCTCCAGCACAAGGATAGTAGGGTTTCGGTGAGAGAGATCGAGCTTCGTCTGTCCGAGTTCATAGCATGCAGGGTCTGGCTTTCCAATCTTCACGTCCTCTGCCACTACAAGGTTCTTTGGATGTGCTAGTTTCATGATATCGAGCCAGCCAGTGACTAAAGGTCGAGTTCCAGAAGTCACAATGCACCATGGCACCGAATAATGATTGAGCTGGTCTAGTAACGCTCGGGAACCTGCAATCTCGACAGCGTCTGAACCGAACTCTTTCGGGATCAGACCTTCAATGTGACTGATGTCTATCGCGCGGAATTAGCCATTTTCTGAGCTTGAATTTCGCCTAGTAAGAGTGTACGCACACTCCCAGTTCGCCAGTTTTGGCTCATAGATCTGCAACACATCGATTGATCTCCGGCCTGGAGCAACATGCTTTAGCTACCATGTTGGAAAATAGAGGTGGAGCCGAACCATGAGACGTAGCCAGGATAACATCAGGATCTACTCCGATCTCATTCCCTATCCTGAAGGGTTAAGCGACCAGGGCCGAGGCAGCTTGAGAGGGTCATACCGTTGCCAGTTTTTTATCACTGCTTCGGTAGAATCGATTATCGTTCCATCCATGTCAAACAGCTAAGGAAAGGTCAGTCACATGGTTAATAAGTTTACCGTTGTACCCTAGATACTATCCCGCCAACCCACAGATAGGAACTAGAAGCCACTTGTCTTCGAGGAAGTGCCGCTGGGTGTGGAATAAGGACAGGTAACTTACCAGGCCGTGGCATGGTAGGACTTGGGCTGGGGCAGAAAACGATGGTGCAGGGACTGGGACTGTCATTGTGATATTTTGATGATAGACGATCTTGGGAGTGTAACTCTGAAATCGAGGCTTAAGTAGACGAACTAATATCGAGACCCAGCCTTCGACGTCTAGGCAATGCTGAGGCGAACACGACAGTGAGTGAAAAGAAAAGAGCTAGAAATCGACAACCTAAATGCTAGATCAGGGAAGCCTTCCAGCCAATGACTCTAGCGTGCGCGGAAAGTATTCCGACCTGAGGAAGGAACGGGCCAGATACTGCCGCTTCAGACCGCCTGAAATCTTGGCGTGCCGGGGTCGATTTTGCGAATTTCGAGTGATTGCAGTCCCCACACACAACAACCTCGAATCCTACGCAGCCTCCATGAAGGTCGGAAGTAAGCGTCTTTATCTCTGAAGGCGCCCATGGCTGTACTGATGAAAAGTCCAGAGCCTAAATCTAAGCGCGTCCCTGTGCGACTGCGGCAGAAGATTGTGAAAGCTTCCGCAGCGAAGCAACGGAAAGCACGAAAACTGGCCAAGAAGGTGGGGTTAGAATACTCTGCTATGATGCTCTCGAGGCTGATGATATGAAAGAACCCTGAATGGAGATCGAAAGTAAAAAAGGATCCTGGAATCCCGAATCTGTTTCCATACAAAGACAAGATCTTGCAGGAGATTGAGGAGACGCGAAGGCTAAAGGAGGAGGAGAAGGCCCGTCTTCGGCAAGAGGCTAAGACGCAGAAGTCTTGTCTAAATGATCCGGCAGATGCCATGGAGGACCACTTGGACAACTCCGAGTCAGATGAATTCGCCGATGTAGATTCTACAAACGGAGATTCCATGGAAGTGGTAAGCTTTGCGCTCGCCGTTATGACTCCACATACTAAAAAATACCTAGGATGATTCAAATCCTATGGCCGCGCTGCTTGCTTCTGCAAAAGCGCGCGCTGCCCAGTTTGACGAAAAGAAGGCACATGACGGAGACGAAATGGACGAAGATGATAACGACGAATGGGACGGCTTTGATGAAGACAACGGAAGCCCTTCCACCGCAATGATACATAAAGATTCATCCAGAAAGGCTTTTGACAAAGTATACAAGCAAGTTGTTGACTCTGCGGATGTTGTTCTGTACGTGCTCGACGCGAGAGACCCAGAGGGCACCAGATCTAAAGAGGTGGAACATATGGTCATGGCCGCAGACGGGGGCGCTAAACGCCTCATATTTGTTCTCAACAAGATTGATCTTATTCCGCCAACGACACTTAAGTCTTGGCTTGTCTACTTGCGCCGATCCTTCCCTACATTACCACTCCGGGCCTCAAAACCAGCGTCGAACGCAAGAACCTTCGACCATAAAGAGCTCACCATCAAAGGAACATCTGAAACACTGTTCAAGGCTCTTAAGACATTTGCGGAATCTAGGCAGCTCAAACGGGCCATCAAAGTCGGCATTATTGGTTATCCGAACGTTGGAAAGTCATCGGTCATTAACGCTCTCACTTCAAGGTTAGGGGGTAGGACCGCAGCATGTCCAGTAGGAGCGGAAGCTGGGGTGACCACCAGCCTACGTGAAGTCAAGCTGGACAACAAACTCAAGTTGTTAGACTCTCCTGGAATCGTTTTCCCAAATTCTAGTGAAGGCTCGAAAGCGAGCAAGGTTGAGGAACAAGCAAGACTCGTCCTCCTCAATGCTATCCCTCCGAAAGAAATCCACGATCCCGTTCCCGCGGTCAACCTCCTTCTAAAGAGGCTGTCCTCTTCGGCTGAGCTCTTTGCGAAGCTAACAGATGTTTACGACCTCCCACCTCTGCATACTGTTAACGGAGATGCGACAACCGACTTTCTGGTTCAGGTTGCAAGGAAGAGGGGTCGACTGGGGAAAGGAGGGGTGCCAAATCTTCACGGTGCCGCACAAGCTGTGATCACAGATTGGAGGGATGGTAGGATCCAAGGTTGGGCCGATCCTCCAACTATACCTGTTGTTAAAGCAGGGGCAGCACGGCCTTCTACCACTTCAACAGGTCTTGTCGTGGATCAGAAAGAGATTGTAATGGAATGGGCTGCTGAATTCAAGCTGGAGGGACTCTGGGGTGATGATGTAACCGCCGCAGTTGATACTATGGAAATTTAGGAGGGCTTTTGGTATTTCGAACGAATCCAATGCCTAGGTATGGCATTTCAAGGCGTTTTCGGACTTAATTGTCCCAAAATGGTAGACGACGTGAACAGCAATGCGCGTCCAATTGCACTTGGTAGACCCAACGATAAATACCAACTGAGACTGCAAAATCTTCAAGCGCGCTCGAAGAAGCAGAACTCGTAGTGAAGGGAAAAGACGCATGTGGAAGGCGTTTACCCCATTCTCGGTTAGTCGTTTTCACCCCTCAAAAACCCCACCCCGGCTTCCATCGGCTCTAGATCACAGCTCCGGATCACAGCTCCGTCACCATCGTCTACATTCAAAGCTACAAATTGCAGAGTACGCTCACCCAGGTTTCCAGTGCCATATACGCAGATAATTGCCTTCTCTATGGGTTCTTCAAAAGGCTTTCTATCTTTGTTTCAAATTTCAAAGTCCATCAATAACCCGTATGCAGCTTACTCTAGCGTGCGAACAGCTCCAAGAAGAAGCATGGCATCAATTGCAAATTTCAAAGTGCCCACGGTCAACAACGAGCCAAATGTAAGTTTCAGGTAGCATCATATGCCTTTAAAGCTAGTTGTCCTGCTTATGATAATACTAGAAACACTATACGAAAGGCTCTGAGGATCGTCAGAAGCTACAAGATGCTGTTGCAGCACTGAAGAAGCAGGCGCCACTCGAGGTTCCCCTAGCGGTCGGAGGACAATATGTAGGCTCTTTGCTCTCTATCGGACCTGAAGGCCCCTAGCTGATACCTTTCAGATCAAAAGTTCATATATTCTCACGCAACACGATCCTTCCTCTCACGCCGACATCGTCGCAAAGTATTCAAATGCAAGCACAGCAGAAGTAAATAAGGCCATCGGCTCGGCATTAGCTGCGAAACCAGCATGGGAATCCCTCCCGTTCGCCGATCGCGCCGCAGTGTTCCTAAAAGCGGCCGACCTCATATCCTCCAAATACCGATACGAGATCATGGCTGCAACTATGGTCGGACAAGGCAAGAATGCGTGGCAAGCGGAGATCGATGCCGCCGCAGAATTGTGTGACTTCTTGAGGTAGGATCCTTGACTACTTCGAAGGACAAGGCTAATGCAGACCAGGTTCAATGTGAAGTATGCCGAGGATACTTACGGACATCAGCCGGTACACAACTCTCCAGGGGTTTGGAAGTATGTCCCTAGTCTATGGTTAGCAGTGATGTTCCTGACCGTGCACCAGTCGCGTTGAGTACCGACCACTCGAGGGATTCGTGTACGCCATCACACCCTTCAACTTCACGGCGATTGGCGGCAATCTTCCAGCAGCACCAGCTTTAATGGGCAACGTCGTCATTTGGAAGCCATCTCCATTTGCCGTTGCTTCAAACTGGCTGATCTACCAGATACTCATTGAGGCCGGGCTTCCTCCGAACGTGATCCAATTTATTCCCGGTGACGCAGAAGAAGTTACCAAAGCAGTGTTGTCCCACCGGGAGTTTGCAGCTCTCCATTACACGGGGAGCACTGCAGTCTTCCGGTCACTGTACGGGAAAATAGCAACAGGAGTTGCAGATGGGAAGTACCAAGGCTACCCTCGCATTGTGGGCGAAACTGGAGGCAAGAACTTCCACCTGATCCACAGCAGTGCGGATATCACCAATGCAGTAGTACAAACTGTTCGCGGAGCCTTCGAGTACCAAGGGCAGAAGTGCAGTGCCTGCTCTAGAGCATATGTTCCGAAGTCGGTTTGGCCTCAGTTCAAGGATCATCTCGTGTTGGAAACCCAGGCGCTTAAGGTTGGCGATCCTTCAGACTTTTCGAACTTCATCGGTCCAGTGATCCATGAAGCAAGTTTCAAGAAACTCTCCGGTGCCATTGAAGATGCGAAGAATGACAAAGAGCTAGAGCTGTTGGTTGGTGGAAAGTATGATAGTAGCAAGGGCTACTATGTTCACCCCACAATTTACCAAACCACAAATCCTGACCACTCTCTACTCTCCCGCGAGCTCTTCGGCCCTATATTGGTCGTATATGTCTACGATGACAGCGCCCCAGCAGAAGCATTCCAGAAGATCTGCAAGCAGATCGACAAGACATCCGAATACGCTTTGACTGGAGCCGTCTTTGCCAAGGAAAGGGAAGTGCTAAGGTTTGCGGAAGAGGCGCTGCGAAACTCGGCAGGAAACTTCTATCTCAACTGCAAGTGTACTGGTGCTGTGGTGGGCCAGCAGCCATTCGGGGGATCAAGGGCCAGCGGGACGAACGACAAGGCGGGTAGTGCAAATCTCTTGGCGAGGTTTGTGAACGTGAGGGCTATCAAGGAAGAATTCGTGGCTACGAAGAAGGTTGCATATCCAAGTAACGAAGTATGAGACCCTAGTGATGCAGAAAGAACCCCGCTTGTCAAGGGGGATATGAAGTCGGCACGTAAAAGTCTTTTTTCCGGTAAAGATTGCTTACGGCCTTAAGCCAATTATATGCAGATATGATTCTTAAATACGAACTGTTAGTGCTTATTACACAGCACGTCCTTCCAAAACACAGAACATGACCTGGGCAAATTCTAGTTGTTATACCCCTTGCTGGAACCAGGGAAGATTACAAAATCCTGTCTTAGATTATCCTATCTTGTTTCACATTAGGCGAGAGGGGCAGTATCAGAGTTCGTCAGGGTCTGATATGTTTCCTCTCCCTAGATGTTGTTGCGGAAAATCGTCCCAGATTCATAAAGGCTCCCTCGGCCGAACTTATGATCTTTGTCTTAGCTCCTTACGAGATCCAGTCCCAGAATTTCGGGAACGCCGCCCGCCGCGGCTGGCAGCTATTCCTTATTAACCTTATCATCATCCCACGGTCGCAAGTCATCGGGACCGGAACTACAAGCTGCTTCCGATACCACCCCATACTTCCTCAACCCACGCTCCAGAAGTCTGAGGCTTCAACTACCGAGGCCTAGGGTTTGAACACCTGCAAACACCTGCAAACACCTGCCATCCCACCCTCCGCCTCAGTCCCTTGTCTATTCTCCCAGCATTCGTAAGTCCGTACTCAACACCAATAGCAATGGAGGGTGATGGGTTTGGGAGACTTGGGGACATTGGTGACAGATCACGCATGCGATTTCTGGTTTCTGCATTGTGTGGTGAGTGCATTGTGTGGTGAGGGTCCTCTGACTCCTTGCCAATGAGATATCGGAGGGGGCCTATCGAGAAGCTGGCGAAGTTTTGCGAAAGCATCTTGAATCTCCGACCCTCCGTTTTGAGATTTTCAAGTCAACGTACCTCGGCATTACCGCATTAGGAAAGCTCAGCCCAATACACAGGCCGCAGGCCGTCCCTGATGTCAACGATCCTGGTGACCCTCGCCGTGGTCTGGCATGCTGCTGAGCACCAAATGAACGGTGCGGAATCGAGAATTTTACGATTGGCTCAAGTTACCTTTTGGCGTCTTTGGACTTTGACGTCTTGGTGGCTTGGATGTGTATGTTCGGCCGAGGGCATTCGTCAAGGCTTTCAGGAGGAACCATGGAGTTAATGGTTGTGTCATTGAGAGGGGCAAGCATTTGATATTGAGAATGCCGCGTGGGCTATACTTTCCACGTGGACTTCTTTATCTTAGTCCTGTTTCCCTCCAGCCTCCTTTCAAGCCTTTGAAGTCAAATCCTATCATCCTTGTTCACTTTACTTCTTCGATACCTTCATTCACGGCACCGGCATGGAAAAGAGTGATGCCGATCTTGAGTCTGGGCAAGAGCCACAAGGAATACCCCACTGGAAATTGATCTTAGAGCAAGGCGTTGTAACTCAGGAGATTTCAAAATGGGACTACGAAGGCTCAGGGACCGAAGATGATCCATATGTTGTCGAATGGATTGAGAATGATCCTCGAAATCCGATGCAATGGGCGCGCACAAATAAATGGGTCATGTGTATAACTATGGCATTTGCGACTCTTACCGTGTCGTTCTGTTCGTCAGCGTACGCTGGAGGTATGTACGTGTCCTACAGTACAGAGTTTGGATGATGGGACTAACGTGGTATAGGTATCGGGCAAATCCTACAGCAATTCCGTACGAGCCAGGAAGTTGTCACTCTCGGTATCTCCCTTTTCGTTGTCGGTTTTGCCCTCGGGCCATTACTGTGGGCTCCCTTTTCGGAACTGTACGGCCGCCAAATCGTGTTTTTCGGAACCTTCGTAGCTTTCGTCGCTTTCAATGCCGGCGCTGCTGGATCCCAAAATATATGGACGCTTATTATTCTCCGGTTCTTCAGCGGTGCATTCGGATCTAGCCCTCTCACGAACGCCGGCGGTGTTGTTGCAGATCTGTTTACCGCAAAGGAGCGTGGCCTCGCAATGAGTGCGTTCAGTATCGCTCCATTCATGGGGCCTGTATTAGGTCCAATCGTAGGAGGCTTCTTGGGCATGACTGAAGGATGGAGGTGGGTCGAAGGTTTGATGGCCATTTTCTCCGGAGTAGTGTTCCTCGTAGCCATCCTTCTAGTCCCTGAGACTTACCCCCCGGTCCTCCTTCGAAAACGCGCTAAGACTTTGTCGAACATGACAGGTAAAGTCTATAGATCGAGGGGGGATATTGAGCAAGGTACTGTGACGATCGGGGAGGCCTTCTCGACAGGTCTGAAGAGACCTTGGATTCTGCTTTTCCGTGAACCCATTGTCTTTCTTCTTAGCATTTACATGGTCAGTGTAGCCCTCTTCTATGGCTATTGGGCGGACTTGTAGCTAACTGCTCTGAAGGCTATCATCTATGGAACTCTATACATGCTCTTCGGGGCCTTCCCAATCGTTTACCGAGAAGGCCGTGGCTGGAACGAAGGCATCTCTGGCCTCCCTTTTGTGGGCGTTGCTATTGGTATGGTTGCTGCTCTGGTCTATACGATCCTCTACGACAACAACCGTTATCTGAAATGCGTCAAGAACTCCCCGGCCGGGTTTGCGACACCCGAAGATCGATTACCACCTGCGATCGTTGGAGGTATTGTTCTCCCTATGGGATTGTTCTGGTTCGCCTGGACAAATTATCCCTCACTTCCTTGGGCGGCAAGTGTAGCGGCTGCCATGCCGTTCGGTTTTGGTATGGTGCTCATCTTCCTGAGCATCATGAACTATCTCATCGACGCTTATACGATCTTTGCTGCATCGGTCTTAGCTGCTAATGGCATCATCCGATCTCTCTTTGGTGCAGCGTTCCCTCTTTTCACTATTCAGATGTATCATAATCTCGGTAAGGGATCTTCTCCTCCCTGTAGTGCAAAAATTGACAGGACTAGGCATCCATTGGGCATCTACTATACCAGCATTCCTCGCTCTAGCCTGCCTCCCCTTCCCGTTCCTCTTCTACAAATACGGCGCCAAGATCCGCCAGAAGTGCAAGTACGCAGCCCAAGCTGACGAGTTCATGAAGCGTCTTCATGGACAAATCGCCCCGAAGGATGACGCGGTATCCGAGGAACATGAAGCATCCATCCAATCTGAAAAGAACACAGAGCAAGAAGTGGCGGGTTCTTACGAAGAGGAGACGGAACCTCGCTTTGCGGAAATGAAGACTGAAAAGGAGACACGCAATGACCTAGAGAAAGTCAGAACTGCCAGGAGTGGAAGAAGCGCTATGAGCGGCATGACCGGGATCAGTAGAAGAACGAGCGGAACAGGAGGAACGGGAGCGACCATGGAATACTACGACAACCCTTACGAGATAGATCGGGTACATACAAGGGAAAGTTTCAGGGAGGGCAGAAGCCGAGCCGGAAGCATGAATGGGAACGAAAGAAGGAGTCGAGCAAGCAGTTTAGTTAGGGATCCTGCTGCTGGTAGAAGTCGGGCTAATAGTAGTGCAGCAAAGTAGTTTCACATTTTATGGGAGAAGCCTAATGCTAGAGATGTGGTTTTTTGGGAGCTTAAGCATGGTCACAGTAGGGATCGAAATAGAGAGGCATATATGGCATGAGATACCAGTATTAGATTCAGCGTGCTAGAATAATTCTCTTCAATTGTAATATTTCATTTTACCACCTGACATGGAGCATGGCATGAGGGGCAAATCAAACAGAAATTTTATATGGTGTTGGCTTTCTATGTCATTCCCACAAGGGTTTAAGAGATAGAGCTTTAACATAATTATTTTCTACTTTAAGTGATAGTTTACCGTTAGTTAGTCCTGTGTGCAGCTGATTGGAGGACAAACGAGCGCCATTCTATGACAGGGGGCCTCAGCTGGTGGGGGCTGACGTTAAACCACACATAAATGGGCCCCAGGCCCATTTTTTGAGATTCGCTGCGCTCAAATATGCGTAGGTGTCACACCCAATTCTCATACGACGATGAATGCTAGCGTTACAAAGATTCAATTAGAAGGGAGGCCCGCCGCACGGCATGGACTGTTGAAGAGGGTCAACCCAACTACAACCCTTTCGCACGGAAACGGTCTCGCGAATCTCCAGATGTCGAGAGCTCCCTTCATGGGAGTCGCTTAGAGGAGACACGTATGGAGTCTTCGAGTACAGCTCTTGAAAGAATAGAGAGCGAAGAGCGAACCCACAAGCATGCTAATATACCACCTCCGACATGGGAATCGCATGAGCCATTAGAGATCATTGCTGAATTGAACTCAGCTGACAAGTCTGAAGAGAAAGAATCGTCGGGATTAGCAGAAACGGGAGCAAGCGGGGTATCGAAGGCAAGAAGAAGGTGGAAGCCTAAGTTTTCGAAAGCCTCTCAAGAGACAAATTCGGAATTTGAACACAAGTCGAACTATGTCGGAAACCCCACTATTTTGTTGCAACTTCGAATTATTTTCATAAATTGGATTAACATCCTTTTACCACTTATACCGGCTGGCTTTGCTGTCAATTACACCCATCAAAATGCAGTCATAGTATTCTGCATTAACTTTGTCGCTATTATTCCGTCCGCATTCGCGCTTGGTTTTGCGACAGAGGAATTATCGATGCGAGTTGGAGAGAAAATGGGAGCACTTCTGAACATGACATTTGGGTAGGAAACTACAAATTCACACGAGGAGCGTCACTGATTGTTCTTCAGCAATGCCATTCAACTCATCACCTCCATCCTACTCCTCAAAACCCGCCAGATTGACGTCCTCAAGTCGTCTCTCCTCGGCAGCATACTGTCGAATTTACTCCTGACCACCGGTCTGAGTTTCTTCCTTGGTGGCCTGAATCGTATACAGCAGTACTTTAACGTCACACTAGCCTTAACAGTCGGCATGCTCCTCTTATTGGCGGTGTTAAGTTTATTAAGTACGTAACTCAAGGGTACAAACACCATGATCTATTGCAAAGTCTGTAAGGTGCCACTCGAGTGGCGGTTCAAAAGACGCTACACAGATAAGGCAGTAGTTGTACCATAAAATTCCACTTTAGAGAATTGTACTGACTTTATACCCCTACTTAGTCCCCACGGCTTCGAAGCTCATGAACGACAACATCACTACTGATGACATTGCGGCTCAATCTCGAGGCACATCGTTCGTCCTTCTGTTCTCGTACGCACTCTGGCTAGTGTTTCAACTACGGACACACAATGAAGTATTTAACGAGCCATCACAGAAAGTCCCGAAAAAAAAGCCCACGAAAGTGGAAGAAGGGCAAGTTATCAGGGGCCTCGCGCAAATGGGGGGCGCCACTGCTGCCTCGAGTGGAGGCGGGATCCATGGAGCACGGCTGGTCCGTACACGTGCTGAGGAAGAGGAAGAACCCGACGAAGTCGAAGTGCCCAGTCTCAGCTTGCTAGGTGCCATTTTCACCCTCACCATCTCTGTCGTTCTTATAGCCTTCAACACGCAATTCGCAACCGACAGCATCCAAGGCCTTCTCCAACACCGCCACATCTCACAAACCTTTCTTGGCTTGGTCATCCTCCCGCTCCTAAGTATCGATCCGACATCCATCGCCGTGGCCATCAAAGACAAAATGGATATTAGCATTGCGCTCACGCTTGAGCGGTGCATGCAAACTGCGCTCATGATCGTCCCGCTCATTGTTCTCTTAGCATGGTGCATGGGCATTGCTGATATGAACTTGCAATTTGATGGCTTCTCAATCGCTGCATTGTTCGCATCTATCCTCATTGTAACATATATGGTGCAAGAAGGGAAATCTAACTGGCAAGTGTTTACCTCTTCAACGTCCCACTCGCACGTTTTATAGAATTCTACAGGCTAATTTCCCTCTTCTCATAGGCTTGAAGGCGCCCTTCTCATCAACGTTTTCGTCATTATTTCTGTCGCGGCTTTTTTCATTCGTTGAATAGATTTGGCTAGAAAAAGTGGAATCCAACCCATTCTAGGCTACCTTGCCCTAGCCGCAAACGCATGCTACCCCCATGCGTGAAATGACCTTCGCACAGAAAGACAAGTGGGTGTCACCCATTAAAGATATTTATTTCGATGTACGATAGTATCTCATTACACCATGGACCACGACTTAAATGAATTTGACCTGTCAAACCTCTTGCGAGTGAAGGGGGATGTTGAGAGGGGAATAATTTCTGTTGCATATCAGATCCTCGCTGTGCTCCGCTGGAAGCATCAATATAGAGTACAGGTAAGTCAGGCTCAGATGCAGATTCAGGCTGACATGTTGAGATGGATTGCCCTCCAAAGGTCATGCATCTCACTCGTACTTTCACCAAGTCACTCTTCACTCACTCACTTCCCTATTCACTTACTAGCCTGCTTACCCACCTCCTCACCCTACTTTCAAAAGAAGTAGCGTTAAAGGAGGAGCAGTCATGGCATCAGACTTAGATCTGAAAGTTAGTTAAGCAATTGAAGTTAGACACATGCAGGCGAATGGCGGCCATCCCAATAAAGCATTCGCAAACGGACCGGATCCAAAGGTCTTTGCCAAGTAAAGGAAAACAAAACTTCATATAATTTACTTTCAGCTAAACATTCAAAATTATTTAGGTGGGTATTGAGCGTCCCTATCCAGCTTAGGGTTGGATCCGTTATCCCAAACCACCATGACGCTCGAGCAGTAAGATCCAGAGTTCCCGATTTTGTGAGATATTCGCCCAGCCGATGAGAGAATTTATGTGCTCAGTCTAAAGCTCCAAACGATACGCGCCCACGCTCCTCAGATATTTACATTCACTTAGCACTTCAAGCTGAATTTGGTAGTGCGGTCGGACTTCATAGCACCCCAGGTGGTCTCATCGGCCTTCTTTCCGTTGTCGCCGATAGAGGCAGGCTTCCATGGCTCGTCGAAAGCCTCGAAGTAGAAAGCGTTGAAGCCCCAGTCGAGAAGGGAGCAGAAGCCGTTCTTGTAGAAGGTCTCCGCGTTCTTAACACCACCTTGTGCTGCGCCGTAGTCGGTGCCAACTATTACACGCGTTAGCCGCAAGTATTGCGCGAGGAGAGGAAGGGGATATGCGTACCAGCAGTAGGCCAGCCAGTCTCGCCATTCCAGATCTCAGGGCATTTGTCGTGGCCGCCAGCTTTGGCCTCGATGTGGGTAACAGCCTGGAACATATCGTCGAGGTAGACGTGTGTCGCGTTATCGGTATCGGCGCCCTGCCAGAAAGCGAAGGCGTTGACCAGGATAATATCAACGGTGCCGATGATGGGATCCGCGGTTCCGTCCGCAAACTTGTTCCAGCTGTCTGCCGTGCCGACCTTGATGCCGCTAGGGAGTGCCTTCTTCACCGTCTCGATCTTAGACTTCAGCTCGTCGCCAGTGAAGTTGCCGCGGTAGAGTGTCTCAGAGCCGACTGTGACGGCGTAGATCTGTTCGGTGTAGTCCTTTGCGACCTTGGTGATCGCATTGAGGTCGTTGTTGAACGACTCATCAACGTCGGGCCTGTGGAGCTCTCGTCAGCGGGTGTCCTCCCTCAAGTGCGGCAGGCCTGCTGCCATACCAGATGCCGAGCATAACCTTGAAGCCCTTGTTCTTCGCAGCCGGGAGAATGTTGGTGGTGAAGTTGCAATCGGACGCAGCATATCCGCGTACGACCTTAGCTCCAGCATTCTCGGAAATTGCCTTGAAGTCGTCCTCGTAGTCCTGCTGCGACTTGCACTCTCCACTAGCCTGCTTGGTGCCCAGAGCGAAGCCCATTGTGCCAGCGGCGGACACTATGGCGGGTGCCGCTGCGAGGGCCGATGCTGCAATCGCCGAAAAACGCATGTTGGCAAAGGTATACTCGCAGTGAATAAAGTGTTGGATAAAGTCAGGAAGGGCGGGTGGCGAAGGATCGAGCGCGTCAGAGGACGTGTGATGGAAGGGGAAAAGAGGTCAAAGGAATGACGAAAGAATTACAAAAGACAGACGAAGAGGTGGAGGAAAGAGTGACTGTACACAAGGTACGGAAAGATGTGAAGGTCGAAGTGAAGAGAGCAGGTGAGGCTTGCGAGAGATGAGCAGGAGAGCCCGGAGTCTTTCACCCTATCCTGTTTCGAAACGCCACCCATGCAGGAACACGCCAGGACCAGCCAACCACCGCCGTGAAGTTCCGTCAGGGGCGCCGCCTTATTTTTAGCTGTCCGGAACTATCTAACATCACGTGCTAATGTCCGCCGAAATTCACGTGTTGAATGTCCCTGGAAACATGGCGCCAGAGAGGCTGCGAACATGATATCGGCGATTTGGTTCAGAAATTGACCCCCTGTTGACGTTATACCCACCTCATCCAAGCAAGGGTGTTGGGACATACAGGCTGCCCTAATTATGTTCCACGTTCCGCCCATCAGATCCTGTGGTTTGTGGCTTCGGCGTTGGGAACACACTTAATAAACCATTCCCGCGAGTCGCTCCCTGCCCCGCAAAACTCTCTGCGTCTCATCTCATTGCGCAGCGGCACAGATTGAATATGCGCCTTTGCACCTAACCCATTCTTAGCTCGAATAGGTCTGCTTTTCTGCCTTCAGAAATGACAAGGCATCAACTCCTTGACTGTCATTGCAAGACCTAACCAGCAATGGCTCGTATTCTTCGGACGCGGACCATCGCCTTTTGTGCTGTTCTCATTGTCCTCCTCTACCACTTCTTGCCCAGCGAGAATGCGCCCTCGTTGCTTCCTCAAGCCGACACAGTGTCGCGTGCAGGGACACAGATACTCGCGCAGTATATGAACAATGCAAATGCAATCCCCCACATCGTCGCTACAAAAAGCTCCTTCCTGTGGAACACAGTTAAGTTCACGTATCCACCCGAACTCACGCCAAAGCTACCTCCTCCCGTATCGAATCGGCCGCGAATACAGCACGACTTCGGACGCGAGTCGTATAGTGTGACAGCTGTGCAGGAAAGAAGGCGTGAGGAGGTCAAGAGAGTCTTCGAGAAGAGTTGGGCAAGCTACAAGAAGCATGCTTGGATGAAGGATGCCCTGAAGCCGCTCTCTGGACAGTATGTGGACCAGTTCTCGGGCTGGGCTGCAACTCTGGTGGATTCGCTGGACACATTGTGGATGATGGGCATGCGCAGGGATTTCTATGAGGCAGTCGCAGCTGTGGCGACAATCGACTTCGGAAAGAGCACCTCCGGGTCGGTCAACATGTTCGAGACATGTATTCGATATCTGGGTGGCCTTATAGCGGCTTACGATTTGAGCGGTCACGAGGCGTTGAAGGCCAAGGCAGTCGAGGTTGGAGATCTGCTGTATGCTGGCTTCAATACAGAGAACCGCATGCCGGTCGACTTCATCGCGTTTGAAGATGCTAAGGCCGGCGGTGGACTGTACGTGGAAGACACGGTCGTTTCTGCGTCACCTGGCACCATCACCCTGGAATTCAGCCGTCTTTCGCAAATCACGGGAGATTCGAAGTATTATGCTGCCGTCTCTCATGTCATGGACACGTTCTCTGAAAACCAAAACAAGACCAAGCTTCCGGGAATGTGGCCCATGCACGTCTCGATGCGAAGGAAGGACGTCGTTTCTGGCTATCAGTTCACCATTGGTGGAAATGCGGACTCAATGTACGAATATCTCCCGAAAGCTCATGCACTCCTCGGATCCGCGTCTCCCTCCTCTGCGAAGTACGCAATCATGTCCCGGACTTTCATGGACACTTCTATGAACAACCTCTTCTTCCGCCCCATGGTTCCTGGCAATGAAGATATCCTCATCTCCGGCAACTGCGACGTAATCGATTATGAGGGTACGCCAACCCCACGCCTAGATCCCGAGAGCGAGCATCTCTCCTGCTTCATCGGTGGGCTTTTTGCGCTCGGGGGCCGTCTGTTCGAAAATGAAGCCTATCTTCAGACTGGCGCGAAGCTTGCTCGTGGCTGCATATATGCCTACAAATCGTTTCCAACCGGGATTATGCCGGAGCGCTACAACATGATGCTTTGTCCCGACATAAAGAACTGTAAATGGGACGAAGAGCAATGGGTATCTGAGCGTGCAAAACGCAAGGAATGGGTAGAGCATCTACCTAAAGGCTTCACGACGGCGAAAGACCCTCGATATATCCTAAGGCCGGAAGCCATCGAAAGCGTCTTTGTCCTTTGGCGGATTACTGGACGAGACGAATTTAGAGAAGCTGCGTGGGACATGTTTCAAGCCGTGGCCAACGCAACAGATACACCCTTTGCGAATGCAGCTGTCAGCGATGTGACCGTCGTTGGGAGCCAGCAGCAGGATTACATGGAGAGTTTCTGGATGGCTGAGACGTTAAAGTATTTTTATCTAGTGTTTGCAGATCCTGAACTAATTAGCTTGGATGAGTTTGTGTTAAATACTGAGGCGCATCCATTCAGGTTACCTAAAGCATAGGTGGACTTTGGGGGTGAAGGGATCGTACGGCATATTCGCACCTATTGTAGTACAATGGCAGAACAGGTTTAATTAGGTTGGCCTCTTGCTGGAACCAGAGAGAACATCGCAAGATCTAAACTTCTGTTCTCAAATTCCCCTGCCACGGCGTGCCATAGGGTTATGTATTTGCAGTTATCTTGATTTAGAATGCAACCCTTATCTTTATTATTTTATCACCAAACGTGGAATATGACTAGGGTAGGGTCTATCCCTCAAACCTCTTGCTAGAATAAGGAGAATGTCAATAAGATGCAAATCTCTATACTCAACGACGCCACTGTAGAAAAAGCGGTTGCTATATAAACACGGTGAGACGAGTGATACGAACAGCCTTCAAGGTTCGCGTTGGAGGGCCCGAACCATTCCGGAACATGAACACCGTAAACACTGGGCACCCACCCAAACTAGTCTTGTTGAGTCCATCCTCGCAGGCTTCTTTGTACGCTACATACATAGCTTAATTCTTGAGGAAAGAGTGTCGAGTGTAGAGTCTGCAACGTTGAGTAAATCCAGAGGGTTCCGGGTCAGGACGTACAAATATGGATTTTTGAGTGGAAGTAGTACAATTCGATGCTCAAGATGAGGTGTCGGGGCAAGGACAAATAGGAACAAGCATCTTAAACATTCACCCATGACTAACCGGCTGTTGACTCAATTAGAAGACAGCCAGTCATACAGCACCAAGTCACGCATCAGGAAAGAATTAGGTTCACGGACCATGCGAAGAGTCACGATGCAAGGCTGCAGTCATCAAATTTTCAGAAACAAACGGTATATAAGCTAAAATCGACCCTGTGATGGAGACTTCAGATAGAAGAAACCCCATTCCCTCTTCACGAAAACAATACTCAGCTAAAGGACAGTGATAAGCATCCACAAATCCTGACTCGGGAGCCATGGATCTAGATTGCTAATAGCCGTTACCAGGAGGAGTCGATCAACCGAAGGGAGACTGCGCTCCGGCCGGAAAAGACAAACGGTAAATCAAAGCAGCAGGAGATCCCATCACCAACGACCGAAACCGAAGGAGAAATGAGATACAACCTGAAAAACACAAAAAGAAATACTTCTGCCAAAAGGCAAAGGTGAAGACGATGCTTCACCAGCTCCTCAGAACCTCCAACCGATTCGAAAGAGACTGAGACATTCATGAGGCATTGTAACCCTGAGCGAGAGCAATGCTTTTCCACTTCTCGACTTCCGCCTCGAGTTCCGCGTTCCGCTTTTCCAGAGTCGTTACATGGTCGAACTTTCTCTGCCGAGAGTCACGAGCAGCAAGAGTATTACGAGCTCGTTTCAGAGCCACCTTGTCATTGGGATCAACGGCAATTGGTGGGAGAGGGCCTTTTCGACGACGAGGCTTGGAAATAGATGCGTTTGTGGCGGGAGAACCATTGATGGACGATTTCCTCCGATGAGAACTATCCAAGACAACAGGAGAGTTCGTGCTAGACGAGCTAGATCTTGCCATCGAGTTGCTGCTCACAGTTCGCTCTAGTGCAGGAGCGAGAGGAGCAGTAGGTTTCATGTCATTGGCGTCTTCTGGGAACAAAGAGAACCAGTTGTCGCTTGACATCAAACCATCACCTTGGAAGATAGGGGATGTATCATAGCTGTCCGTAAGGAATGGAGATTCGCCGATATCAGGAGAAGTCAAGTCGGTGAACGCTGTCGATGGGGGTGCAGATCCTAGAGGGTCTTGGAACAAGTCCTTAGGAGATATCGTCCGCGTAGACCCAGAAGTAATCGAGGGGTCGTTGATAGTTGTGAACGCGGATGTGTTGAGATCGCTCCAAGACATCTCGTTACCAAAGGCGGGCCCAAGGCCAGCGCCCATGTTGGAGTCAAACGAGTTGTTGCTGTTCAGATCTACGAAGCGTGTGAGACTTGGCTGTGGGCGAGAGCGACAGGAAGGAGCATTACCTGCCATATTGACGTGCGTATTGTGTTGTGGAATGTTGCTTGCGCTAGAACTAGGGAACAAAGGGACCGGTGGGCGTTGTAACTGAGGCTGTTGTTGAAATCCTGTTGTAGATGATGGTGCACTATTTGCGTAGAAGTGCTGGCCGGTGTTAAACGTATGCCCAGATTGAGGAGCGCTCGGTTGACGCTGAGGACGTTGCGGGGCCGAGGCGGGTTGGTCGTAGAGCACGAAGTCCGTCTGGGGTGGGACGAAGTCGGATTGGGACGGTTGCAGTGGTTGCCGCGAGGCTTGGGGAGCTGGTGAAGGGAGCCATGTTGACTGTTGAGAAGCCGTGGTGAACGACGTAAAGTCGAACGTGGGAATGATTGTTGCGAACGAACTAAAGCTGCGCGAGGCTGGGCTGTAGTTCAGAGGTTCCGTAATGGAAGACTCTGAGGGTTGAGTGGAGAGATGGGTGGAGGTAGCGTGGGAAGCTATAGTGTCGGCGTGAAGTCGACAGATGAGGCGCGAAGAAGACTAGAAGGCAGCCATATTAGTGGATGTCCTATGTGTGCTTTGGTGTGGTGTGGTAAGAGAGGTGATGGAAGGAAGGAAAGAAAAAAAGCTGCCTGACGAGGGAACATGGGCTATTTGAGTGTGCGCAGGCGCCGTCCTTGGCGCTTTCCTCAACTATGAGTCACGCAGTAAGTCGCAACCCGCAAAGCCGTGCTGACGTTCCACTTGAGGGAAAGCGCGACCGCAACCTCAGCCAACCGACCAATGAACTCCTTGATGTGCTCCACCGCTGCGCCCGCACCCATCGTGCGACAGCACCGAATTCCAGCGAGATGCAGTCGTGAAAACCGCCACACCAGTTGCAGAGCGAAGAGACTGCGATCCTGTTCCAAAGTTGATTGTTCAGCGCATTTTCGCGACCCTGTCTCTGCAGACGACGTTCGGAGGATCACTGAAAACTGTCGGCAGGGAGGCGCAATTCTGTCGCAATCGCTGCTAGATTCGTTTCGCTCAGCTCGCCCGCCTGCGCGCCCTGCAATTGATTACGAGGGCTTAACACCGGCCCGGAATGCCTCAAGGGCTGTGCAACGCAACAGCGCCCTTTTCAACTCCGTGCCTACAGCTATCAAAATCAGGCATCGAAAGTGAGTGTGGCAGTGTCCCAAACCGTTACCTCTGATCGTGGGGAGAAGCGGTGAAGGGACTTTGAAACGGAATCCCGCATGCATTTCAACCTTCCCCACGACGTCGATTGGTGCTGGGAATGACTCACCCGGAGAGAGAAACATAAATTATTCGGCCGCCTCCGCTCCGCTCCCTCATTCTGAAGCATCTCAGCCGCAATTCCTGTTGCGGAGACATTGCTTCCGGTGGGGGAATGCTAGCGAAATCATGAATCTTGGCACCTACTCTGCCACCTTTCGTGGATGAGAAAAAGGAATTATGTAGTCGCTCTCCAGGGGCTCTCCAGGGGCTCCCTTTCACTATCACTTTCACTTCCATTCTGCCCGAGGTGACTGTTATTGTGTGCCTTCACATGTGCTATCACCGCAAGGCTATCATCTCACGAGCCACGGCCGCGGATTGCATCCCCCACACCCCGAGCATTGGATACCCAGATTCGTCTGGGATCTCGCATGTGATGCTATGCAACCGGTATGGCCTCCTTCACTACGTGCTTACGGCCGGCTTGATGCATCGAACTCTTCGATGCACCGAAGGTTTGAGCCGGCTTCCAGCAGATATTCTTCGACCTCCTCGGTCCCTTTCCTGAATAACTGGTCTGTTTGTTTCGAAATCCTCCAGCAAATCTATTCTCTCAGTTGTAGGAAGCACATTGCGAGCCTTGATACCTTGATGCCTTGATCATGAACCGAGAAGGCCCCGGTTCATGCGATTGGCTGGTGTTGAGGCACCTAATATTCCTTTTTTGAAACTCATCTTCTTGTCGACCCCGCTTTGAAATCCCCGCAGATCCCTCGAAACATCACCATGGATATACCATTGATATCTGAACCACCATCGATTGGCCTGTTTATACCAATCTCAAGAAAATCCTGTTCTCCCAGCTGATCTCCTCCAGTTCCGCAAGCATCGGATATCGGACTTACTCCGCATGTTCCGCATGCCTGGGTCCATGCGCTGAACTCCGTCACGACCGACTTACGACCCATTTGTTCACGTATTCACACCGAGTGCTTAGGCGACGCTAGTATTCATTTTGTGATGCCTCACGGCTTTCCTAAAATGGCAGTTTTAGTTTAACAGTCATGGCATTCAGAGTGCTTATTTCCTGTGGATGCATGAGCGGATGTGACCGATCCCGGAGCGACAGACAGAGGAATGAGTGGATGGTGCTGCTCGGGCCAAGGCAATTATCGCGCACGCTTGAGGGGAACTAGGTATGGACTCGTCTCGAGGCCGTTTGAGAGGTAGAGTTCTTGGGATCTATAGTCCGATAGCGGGGTTCTGAGGTCGTAGTGAGAACTCAGGCAGGTACGCTTTACTCACAAAGATTATAATGATAACATGCGGTTTTTGATGCTTCGCTTTCCAACCTGCTGGTGTGGAAAGTCATTTTATATACGCAGAGATGCGTTGTAAGTAATAACCCAAAGTCAGAAGCCCTGGGGTCCGATATCGCAAATGCAAGACATAGGGGTATTATGTCAAGCTTCTACAGCATGTTGCCACATTACGTGGAACATAACTGGGGTGGACTATCTGTTAAATCTCTTGCCTGAATTATGGAGAATGTTAACAAGATACTAATAGTTATCTGTTATAATGCAGGATAAAATCTCTGCGCTAGGAATGTAGTCAGTATAGAACTAGTGCAAGCATATTTTGGAAACCTCCATATATTTTGCTCAGACAAGTGAAAGATCCTTCCTCTATAGGGGATCTATGTAGACCCATAGTCTTTAGATCCCGAATCAGATAAAAAGAGACACTTGCAAAATTTATTGATGAAAAAGGACAGTCTGGACAGGAGACTGTCTTACTACGCACGGTTGGTCACCCTGTGAGACTCACTACACTTGTTTGGGCTTTCTTTTAGCTTTCTTTGGGGTAAAGAGACGGATCAGTTGAAAACCGATGTGTCTCTGATATACTCTAGGGGCATTTTTGCACATATTAGCATTCAATATCGTGAAATGCCGCTGTGTTTAGTGAAGTAGTCAAGTTAAAATCGTGAACAGCGAGGCACGTGCACTGGAGTCATCGGCTAATGTTGATCCCGGTGTCTCTTCGGTGCTTACATATAATCAGCCCTACGAAACATCCATCCAACTCAGATTACCGACAGCACCCAACGCTCATCTAATCCTCCATTCTCCTATATACATTTGTTTCCTGAGATCTAAGGACTACAAACGCGTCTTAGCAAAACCTCCTATGGCAGAAATCCCGATCGAGAAACTCCATGCTGCCTGTGATGAGTGCCGTGAGTTAGGCAACCCTTATCGGAGGTATTCATGTGACTCAGTCGTTATTCAGGAACAAGAAAGCTGAAATGCTCGGGCGAGACCCCGCAGTGCAGTCGCTGCGAACGAGAAGGCATACGGTGCATCTATTCACCCCAGAAGCAGATGGGACGACCTAGGAAGAGGAGACGTGACGAAATAGACCAACCAACTACGCAAACCTCCACTGCTGCTAGCGATTCCAGCTCTAGCAGCTTCCCAAGACCTACCCTCACTGACTTTGGATTGATTCCTTCACCGGAATTGGCAGAGTTTTCCGGATTCTCGGATTTCCAAGCGATTAATGGTCTTGTAGATTCACTCGGGCCAATTCCACATGATGATTTCGCTCTTGCACATCCTTACACACGAGGACATACTCCCGATCTCAAGTAAGCTTCTAGCCAGATATGTCCTTGATATGTTTGACGTTCGTGCAGTTTTGACATCGATCCGATCATAGATCCTTCCCTATGGGATGCCCAGCCAATTGGGTCGAAACCAAATAATTCGATCCCCCTGGTACCAGATCAACAGCCGGAAGGACCATGTACATGTCTTTCGATCATGTACCTTACTTTGTCTGACCTCCAAGCTATGACCTCGTTCTCGTTCCCAGCTGTGATTCCAAAGCTTCGGCACGCTATGCGCGCCGTCTCTGTAATCGTTCACTGTGAGAAGTGTCCCAAGGAGCCATTTTCAGCCATCCAGAATGTCTTGACGATCTCCTCGCTCTTAAGTGCCCTCGCAGAACGATTCCACAAGGTTCTTCACGAAATTGATCAGGAATGCAAGAGACTAGAACAAAGCGGCGAGAAGAAACAGTTCCGTGTAGGCGATAATAACCCTGCCCACCAGCATCTTCATACCGGTACACTAGACTGCCCAATGGGCTTCGACATCGAACTAGAAGCTAAAGAATGGAAACAGCTTACCAAGAAAGCATTGAAGACAGAGGTCCTTGGAGGTGGCAGTAATCCTATCCCTCTTAGCTCGCTTATTGATCAGATGGAGGAGAGACAGAGGGGATGGCATACTAATCGCCCAAACCACGAAGAAAGAGCTCGGATATTTGGTGCCCAGAATATGTGCTCTAGTAAAGGTGACGATGCAACATGTTTGAGGATGATTACTCAAGTACGGACCATGGTCAACCATATGGCCTGGGAGTGAATGTGTTGTGCTTAGTTCTCTTTTGTTTTCGTAGGGCTTTGTTTGCAATATCCTTGAACATTGGCGGGCTAGAATGGGAAAGCACAAGGCGTCGGATATCCGCCCTTCATTTTTATAATACTCCTCAAAAAGTCCGCAAGAGTTTTCGGAATCTCGCGATTAATGGCGTTGCTAGTTAACTGTTTATCTTACAGTACCTGATGTGACCATAGACTTTGCACTGATTGAAGCTCCCTACATTTTCTCAAGGTCCTCTGTGGTCCTTATAGTAGGTCTTCTTCTAGACATGCAAGACGGACTCTTTATATGTTATGCTAACATCAGACAGCCCCCGTATCTTCTGCTATTGCTTGTTTGGAATTGGTGATGCTCATAGCCTTGAAGGGCAAAGACCGATGCTTACACTGAAGAGCAGATATGTTAATAAACGACCTCCAATCCAACGAGGAGCATGAGAAAAAGCTAGCAATCCACCGATCAGTGTCTTATATTTAAGCATCATCTTTAATTTGAGGGGACACCTGAGGTATTTGTACTGGATACCAAAGGTTGCAACTTTGTCTGATTCCTCGATTCTAGAAATGTAATGGAAAATGACATAGAGCAGGTGCTTATTGAACACCTCACGCCTGTCATACAGCATCTTTTGCTTGACCCTTCCCCCTCTACCTATTAAAAGGCCACATCTGATACCTGGTTAAGATCCAAGGATACAAGAACCGACACGCTCCGAATGCGACGATACAACATACTAGGATGCACCTCGGAGTCGGTAGGCACGAAAATCTTCCGTGGCCGTCCTATTTCCCTCTGTTAGTCCGGATCCAATAGATGGGGCCGTGAAGCATTACCTCCCAATTTTGAACCGGCAGTGAGTCTTGCTTCTTAGCCACAAAGCCTTCCTCTAGATCAGCCGGCAGCGACACTGCCTTGATCGACTTCAAGGTGAGCGAGAAGTTCCCTTCCTGGTCACCAAAGAAACTACACATGTGTCATTAAAGCATTCCCCGGAGGTAGAAGAGAGTACAGAAGTAACGCCGATGACAAATGAGAAGTTTTCAGTCTACCACGAAGCAAATTCCTTAGCCTAACTACTCCCTCATTCAAAACCTAAAATGGTTCCAGAAGTCTATGGGAGTTCAACATACCTCCTCATCATGATACTGATTCGCCGTATATCCTTTTTGTTGAGCTTGGGCGCATCCTTCTCCTTTCCTCGATACGTTGGCTTGAAGTCCTCCCATGGAATGAAAATGAAAGAACTCTTAGCCGATGCCGCATTGGATGAAACTATGAAGTCAAATTCGTAAGAGGTAGTGGCTTGTTCCCTTCCGTCCGCGGGGTTCTTCGGCAGAAGCTCATCTTTCATGATGAAGGTGTACTTCTTCCCATCTGATCCCCCAAGCTCAATCTTGATGCCGTCGTAATCGGAGAGATCCCAGGATCGGTCATCGCCAGTGGTTCGTTGGCTGGCGAAACCGGCACCTCCGAGAGTCTGGATGTCGAGAATGCCATGGAAACTGGCCTTTGACTCTATGCATTCGAGATAGGACTGATTAAATGAGTAGTGAATTCAAACAATTGTACTCCGAGAGCTTTGACTCACCTGAGATGTGCCCCCTCGTACTCGATCATCGCTTGCAGTCCAATCTGACTGTTTCCAATCCCTACAAAGCGTTATTGAGTGGGACTTTAAGTGCCTGGACACATAACGAAAATAACACAGGACATTCTCAGATGCGAGTGTAGCATTCACACCTGCCGTTAAACTTAGGGAACAGACCATAGGGTCAATATATTTAGGTCTTGATTTACAGCGCTGATGATATTGTGCACTTTGGTGTCTGCTAAAACTAAAGAAGGGATATATACTTATCGCCGCCAAATAGCGTGAGCTCATGCATCTTGCCCATGCTACCTCAATTGATGCTGTAAGGATAATACGTTGCTTTCGAAAGTGGAAGTATGTTAGGAGGACGTTGAACAAAGGAAATATGAAAAGTCCTGTGTTCTAGATCGATGATCTCACTAGTCACTGCCAACTTGGTCTGTGCGCCAAGTTACCTTAAACCTCCAATGATGGCCCTTCCAACTTCAACACTTCCATTGTTGACTTCATCAACCGGCCCCCGCTCCCACGATCACAACAGGGGAAAATGGATTTCAGACCTTTGAACAAGATGGATTCTTCCGACCAGGCGCTTCTGGAGGAGCCATTTAATCCGTTCTACAACATTCTCGGAGTAATGCCCGTGATTGTCAAGCAGTCAGCTCCCTTGTTCCTTGCGTGCTGAGAACCATATCTGACCACCTATAGGGATAATGAGTACGACCGGGAAGTCTTTCGCGAGAGGCCGCTGTTCGGTGTTCTTCTTTTCGACAACAACGCATCCGATGCCAGAGATCATGCCGCGAATGAACGGAGTAAGTTTTAACACCTCTGTAGTTACCTTGAACCTGTTACTAAGCCCTTGGGCAGCGTTCCTCTCATGGCTTCGATTGTCAGTTTACATGGCCATTGTATCCGTCGCTATAGTAATGTCCTTCCATCTCAAGTCAAAACCCGGTGACATAGGTAACTTCCTTTTCCAACACGTCTGCTGCCCCTCTAGCATTCCAGCACGTCACAAACTTCTCCCTCTTACACCTAAAACCATTCGTTCATTAGGCTAAGAAATCATAGAAAAGAGAATAGCTCTCCCAGTTGGGATCGTATTCTGGCTGCTCGCCGTGGCTTGCCTCATGTCGGGTCTAGCCAATTATATTCGAACCGTGACAAGGTACAGTAGACGGGCTGCGCTAGTTCAGGCGGGATGGAAGACACAAGTAGTGTTCACAGTAGTTGCAACGGCCATTGTGGCAGCTTGCGTTCTGTTCCTCTCGACGAATGCACAAAGCAGTCGGTAGAGGTGTGCCTTATTTGGATACTCCTAATGCATCGTGACACCATCTACTTGAGCATCATTCATGACGTTACGTCCATTCCCTCAACATTGTCTTCTCCCGTAAAGCCGTCAATCCATGTTGAGAGTCGCGTGTTCGTCCTAAATAAGAAACTCAATGCAGAAATACAACCTAATTTCAATCTGCTTCAAGGACAGCCCAGGTCTGATCATCGACAGTGGTGTATATGAGACCACCAGTCAGCAATTCGTCGCCAGCTCTTGCTACATCAACAATCTCTGCACGTAGACTTGCCGCAATTTCCTGTTGATGAAGGCCCTCGTTCGTCTGTGGTGCGACCCTCATATGATTGTACACCTTCCGTGCCATTGCCGAATATGCTGACAAGTTCTCTCCACCCATTGCGCTAGCGTAACTGCTAGCCGTGGTCTGTTCCTGGCCTTGTGCACCATTCATAGCAGTGCCTGCCACGCCTGCTGCGCCTGCTGCGCCCCCAGGTGGACCCCGCGTGAAGTACAAATGCACGACTGTGGCTTCAAGGAGATGGTATGAGACCTCGTTGAAATCTTCAACGGGGCGAATGATGTGTGCGCCGACATGCTTCTTGTTGTTGAAGCACCTCGGCTTGCCCCATACCCTGCAGTATGCATTTTCCACGAGCTTAGGTTTGCTGGAATCGGGCTGCTTCAAGTCGTCGCTGTCAACCCAAAGCTTCACTTCAATGCTGCCGGTACCGTCATCGAGTTTATAAGTAATATTCGTGGTTTGACTTGAGATGTTCCGGATTTGTCCGACGAAGGTGAGCTATAGCAGTGGATCAGCGTAGGGTAGGAAAAGGCATGAGGAGGTATGATTATTTACTTGCGCGATAGGGGTTCCGTCGATTTTGAAGATTTCATCTGTTGGTTGCTGCGCATCGAGAATCTGCTTGATGGTGACAGGTCGGAGAGAGTCTTGAGAAAAGTCCTTTCCAGAAATGTTAGCAGCCTTTTAGATCATACAGCTTAGGTAACAAGCATACCCGTCGTCCGCTAGGGCTTGTCTGGCTGCCGTCGCCGGGGATGAAGCCGCCGCCGCCCGCTCCACCGCCAGTTCCGTACGATGTGTAGGACGTGTCGTAGTTGTTGTAACCTAGGCTGTTAGCACAGTAGGGTCATTTAAGCGCCCAGGGAAAGACGTACTCATTGTCCTGCAACTATACGTCGTCCAGGTGGAGGTACGCGGAGAGGGTGATTATGGTGTTGAGGTCGCCGCAATCGGGTGGAAGACGCGACATGAGACGCGCTCAAATCGCAGAACGCAATCTCGATTGCACGTGGGCATGCCAAGACTCGGAATGGTTGGTCCGAGCTTCTGAAACCTTGAAATTTCCATGCGCAGATGATCCTAACCTCGAGCATCAACCACTGCGAAAGCCGAGGGCGCGAGTGACCTTATACGAGTGTCAGCCCATATTCTGTCGTCTTGAAATCGACCATGGCTCCTCGAGCGAGCTCTCCGGCTCTGTCGGAGAACGAATTCGACATATCGAACGCTCTTTTTGGCTGCGATGATGTCCTGGGGAAGGAGAACGGGCTTGAAATCGATATTGGGATTAATTTGAGCCCTGGAGAAGAAGGCGGCTCAGACGATGAGGCTTTTATTGCCGCTCACCAAGCAGCTTCAAACCGCAAAGCTTCCAATTTAAAGGGCAAGACGGTCAAGAAAGGCGGAGGATTCCAAGCAATGGGGTTGAACACCGCACTCCTCAAATCCATCACAAGAAAGGGCTTCTCAATACCCACCCCTATTCAGCGCAAAGCAATCCCGCTCGTTCTCGATGGTCAAGATGTTGTGGGCATGGCTAGAACTGGTTCTGGAAAGACGGCGGCTTTCGTGATCCCAATGATCGAAAAACTGAAAGCGCATAGTGCTAAAGTTGGAGCTCGTGGAATCGTTCTTTCCCCTTCACGGGAACTTGCACTCCAGACTTTGAAGGTCGTGAAGGAGCTAGGAAGGGGAGCTGATCTAAGAACGATACTCCTAGTTGGAGGAGACAGCTTAGAAGACCGTATGGATATCAGACTCTACACACAAATTTTCAAGGTGCTAATCTTCGATAAAGAGTTCAGCTCAATGACGACAAACCCCGACATCATCATTGCAACGCCAGGACGATTCCTCCATCTCAAAGTTGAGATGGGCTTAGATCTGAGTTCTGTGCGGTACATTGTATTTGACGAGGCCGACCGTCTATTCGAGATGGGCTTTGCAGCGCAACTATCTGAGATCCTCCACGCCTTGCCTACCACTAGGCAAACCCTTTTGTTCTCCGCAACCCTTCCTAAATCTCTTGTTGAGTTCGCAAGAGCAGGTCTTCAAGAACCGAAGCTGATTCGGCTGGACGCGGAGTCTAAGATCTCTCCCGACTTGGAGAACGCTTTCTTCACTGTCAAGAGTGCGGATCGTGATGGTGCCTTGCTACATATCCTAGAAAAAGTCATTAAGATGCCGGTGGGAGAGACAGAAGTGTCGCAAACTGTGAAGGAAAGAGGGCAGAAACGCGACAACATCAAGAAACGGAAAAGAGCACCTGAAGAATCAAGAACAGTTGATTCTCCGACTGCCCATTCGACGGTCATATTCGCTGCAACGAAGCATCGTGTAGAGTACCTCTCGAGCCTTCTACGAGTTGCGGGTTACTCTGTATCCTATGGTAGGCACATGTCCTTCTAGGTAGGGTAAATATGTTAACGAACCTCAGTGTACGGAAATCTGGATCAAACGGCCCGAAAACTGCAAGTCCAGGACTTTAGAGCTGGAATAACTAACATTCTGGTCGTCACTGATGTTGCAGCTAGAGGTATCGATCTCCCAGCGCTAGCTAATGTGATAAACTACGATTTCCCATCGCAGCCCAAGATCTTCGTGCATCGAGTGGGACGGACCGCCCGAGCGGGGCGCAAGGGTTGGAGCTACAGTCTCATCCGGCATTCCGACGTCGCCTATTTGATAGACTTACAGCTTTTTCTCAGCAAAAAACTTGTCTTTAACAGAGGATCAGTCGAGACCCCAAATTTTGTCCAGGATATCGTTGTTGGGAGCCTGGTACAAGATCAGCTGGAACCTGCAGCGGAGTTGGTCACAAAGTTGGTGGGTGAGGACCCAGACCTCGCTACTCTTCAAGATGTGGCAGCTAAAGGCGAGAGCCAATACATGAGGACACGAAATTCCGCCTCCAGTGAGTCGGTCAAGCGGGCTAAACAGTTACTAGCCTCTCGGAGTCTTTCGGCCACGCACTTGCTCTTCAACGATGACAAACATGACACTTCATTGGAGAGAGAAAAAATGTTGGCAAAAGTCAGCTCATTCAGGCCCGCTGAAACAGTGTTTGAGATTGGCAAGCGTAGTAGCGGCGGTGAAGCAGCCGAAATCATGCGCAAGAGACGACAGCAAATCGATAACAAGAGACACAAGCAGGCAAAGGAGTCCCCACCAGACTACCCCACCCCGGATCAGCCGATCATACTGCCTGACACCACGGAAGATGTTGATATTGATACACCGGATAACGCACGGGAAATTGCAGATTCGGAGTCCGCATCTGATTCTGATGAGCTAGAAGTTTCCTTTTCTCAGCCAACATCGCGTGCGTCAGCGTTAGGCGATTGGGAGAACTCCGAATACTTCATGTCCTATACCCCGAAGGGCGCGAATCAGGCAGAGGACCGCGCGTATGGCGTACATTCTGGTTCATACAATACTGCACGCCAAAATTCAAACTTTGTGGAAGCTGCAAGAGGTGCGCAGATGGATCTTACAAACGACGAGATTCGCGGGTTTGCAGAGCCTAGCAAAGCTCGAGGGATGCGCTGGGACAAGAAAAGCAAAAAGTATGTGGCAAGAGTAAACGACGAGGATGGGTCCAAAGGCGTGAAAATGGTACGAGGAGAGAGTGGACTGAAAATTGCCGCAAGTTTCCGTAGCGGGCGATTCGATGAATGGCGGAAGTCAAACAAAATTGATCGCCTACCGCGCACTGGTGAGATGGAGGCAGTGGGTAAGCCTGTGCCTCGCAATGGAGGCCGTTCCTTCAAGCACAGAGCAGAGAAGGCACCCAAGGAGGCAGATCGATATCGCGATGACTATCACGTGCAGAAAAAGAGAGTTGAGGAGGCCAAGCAGAATCGAATCGGCAAATTCAAAGACGGCGGCGCTAAGAACGAGTTGAAGGGTATTGATGATGTCCGGAAGCAACGAAAGCTCCAGGAGAGGCGGCGTGACAAGAACGCCAGGCCGTCCAAAAAGAGAAAACTGTAGATAATGGCAAGTGGAGGTTGAGGTTTGCTTCTATAAGAACATCGCCGATGTGAAACAAGTCACCAAATTGTCGATTGTCTCCACAAATAACGCAGCATCGGGGTCTGCTCCGGGGTCGAATGTCTAGATCCCCTTCATGCCTTTCTTCTCCAGCAAAGTGATTAACGGATCAAGTCCTCCCTGTCAATATTTCGTGATGGGCGTCACCATCAAGCGTCACCATGGAGTATTTACCCAAGCACTTGGTGCGGTCGATGCGAGACTAATTGTGATAGACGAGGTGCATCTCAACTTGTAGCGTGAGGGCGACGGGCTTTTATTGATGTCGGGTAGATTAGACACTTGACAGGCGACCGCGTATTGAGTGACAGCCCCAATATATTAGCATATTGGTACCAAGATTCTAGCTAGGGAAAGGCTGGCAGCATTGCCAGATTGGTAACAAGGAGAAAGCAGCGCCACAAGCTGCCTCTGATTACGTCTGTTTTGCCATCTTGTACATGCCTAGACCGTTCAACGACGTACCGGCTAACTTGTAACGAGATCAGAGTGAAGCATAAACCCTGTTTCGCTCCTTCGTGTGCGTCTGCATGCAGTAAAAGAAAACCCCGACCAGGCATCAGGGGTTTTTGGTAAGCGATATTTGCAAAGAGCACATGGCGAGGTGCGCACGTCATCGCAGGAGATTTTTGACGATTCAAATTCACCCGAACGAAATAATCCGCACTATCCAGATCTATCTCCCTTTGCGGCCAACCCGGGATCAGCCGGTCCTGGCGATGTGACTTTATTGCCTGCTGCGTGGCTGCTCTCAACACCATTCCGGTTGGGGACAAGGCCAAAAGTGGACTACGTCCTTCTCGAAAACGCCACAAGTTTGTTCTGGGCAGCCAAGAAAAGGCTGCAGCAACGCCGTTTTCACCCCTCTGGGCATTGCAGGGTCTCCCTGCTGGAGCGTACTCGAGGAACACCGGGCTCTTATATTGTTGTTCTCGCTGTGTCACGCGCTGATTTCCTTCGAGGAGCCTAGAGCGTCTCTTCAAGAAGCTGATTCAGGCGCCACTGTAGGACAAGAGGATCAATGGAGACAGTGCAATCTTATTTACACGTGGGCGAGGCATAAACAACAAATCTTAATAGACTCGACATCCCATGAATCGTCTAATGAATTTAGCATGGTTTGCAAAAGTCAATTCAAGCGAGGTCAATATTACATGACATCCGACAGCGTACTGTACAAACGGATTCTGGCGACTTTGAAAGCTTGGCCTGTCTAGTCCGACTCACATGTTTTCGTAAGTTGGAGTTTGGTTAGAGTTCTCCCTGAAAGTGTGCTACACCGAGGAAGCTAAGCAGGCCGTCGATTCCCTTACCTTAACGCTACCTCCGGAAACGTCTCGCTCCGCTGTCCATCATGCGATTTGTCCGGTCTACGGGATCCTTCGAGGCTGGCGCATGATTCTTTACGGGTGTTGCAAACCAGGAACCGCAGCAACGGATGTCAAGATGAACGCCAGAGAGAGCAACACGTCAGGACAACATCGACAGCTGGCGGGCTTTGTTGGAAAACCAACAAGGCTGCCTGCTCGGGCCGCACCCAGTCGCATATCGAGAATGGTCCCACGACGGGCATGCCGCATGCATGCAAGGATCTGGCTGCCCATGTTGGAGGATGGCCAGGGTTTCTTTCAATAATGACAACCCCCGGTCACGCTACTTTTGGCACAACGTGTCAAATGCCCAGGAACCAGTTCGCAGATCCCGCGGTTGAATCACCCGTAACCTTTGTGTCCCCAGTTAATTAATCCTGGATTGCGGAATCGGGATTCGCAAAGAGCGGCTGGGGATCCAAAAATGATTCAGGAGGGAAGGATCAGCCCTGCACGACGGCTGCATGCAGTGCGTAGAGGGTGTTTCGGAGGAGAATAGCAGCTTGTTGAAGTCGTCTCCAAACAAAATCACACTGAGCAGTGTCACTGCTGCAAAGACTCTCTAGGAAGGAACTTTTTCCCAATTCCCGAGAACAGGGCGCTGGGCAAGCCGTTGGCCGTGGAGGTACAGCATGGAACGACGTCGCTATAGGCTCATTTACCGGGTGGCCTCTATTGTGGCCTCGCTTGATCGTGTCGAGAGATGAGCCAATAAATGGGGCGTATAATACCTTCTGTTATTGTCAATATTTCCGCTGCCATTTTTGGATCAGGATCCTTTAAAGGCTAAATTCCTGGATTTTGTAGGCCGACCGTGGATGGTAATAAAGTTCCGCACACTGGGATCACTGCCGCCTCGGTCGGAGTCGGACAGCATAATCGTACGTAGGGATGAGCAGGCGCAAATTGGCTCGAGAGCAAGCACCGGAGGAAAACTGGCACGTTTTTCTACGGACTTTGTCTGCCTACCATATTCCTCCTTTGTGCGAAGCGGGCGTTCCGCCGGCAGACTCAGCTTACAGGACCGGAGATTCTGAGGGCGCGGGCTTGGCGAGTTGGTTGCCATTCAAGAAGAAACGCTCCTGCAAGCCATGTTTCTTATTTCTTTGTCTTTCCCAGAGTGCAAGACAGCAAAAGTACTTAAGCGCGGGGGCGACGGAGTGCTGTGCAACCCACTGCCGTTTTCAAGCTCCAAAAGTGGGCGGTCAGAAAGTCCGCTGTTGAATGGAGGATGCATGTGAGGGAAGAGCAGAGTTGGGATATGCCAAATTATGGTGACAGGCCCTGCACATCATGCGCAATACAGTACAACAATATTCGCCATGAGCTATTCTTAACCTGCGTCAATATAATCGACCCCTCGAGCCTCAGCAGCGGGTTATCATATCAAATCACGGGGTTCGCTTGGGATAGGCTGCCGCCATTCCGAATTCAAGCTTCTGACCTGGAATCGTGGAGAGTTGCGCCCCGATCACTTCCGTTGCGCAAGGCCCCGACTTGCCCTCGTACGGGCAGATTTCGTAAATATCATGGCTATCCATATTTGCTCACTATCATTAATTCTATTGGGAATGGATTGGAGGTTCGCGTCGCGCATCCGTTCTCGTCACCTGCATCTATTATTCAACTATCGAATTCACCCCATATCTACAGCAATATATGTGGCACATTTGCAGGCGTCAGGGCGCCGGCTCCGCTTTTCAGGGCTTTCTCACACATGAATCATTCCAATCTCCGTAGTGTTTTCGGACGTTTTTGAAGATCATCGACGGCAGCAGCCAGGATCGATAGCAGCCAGGGCCGGAGCATTTTTTGGGCGAGATTGCCGTCTGCTCAATGCACGAAGGCCACCAGGGCTCCAGCAGGCGTCGATATAACGGTTGGCTGGTTTTGGATTTCATCAACAGCCGGCAGCGCGCTGCTGGGACTAATGGGGTGGAGATTGGACGCCACCAGCCTAGTGCATTAATCCTCAAGCATTTCCGAGAGCGCTGTCTTGCGGGGTTTTGGACGCGAGGGCAGGATCATCTGACTGCAGCGAGTCCGTTGTTTGACGGACGCTGGAAGGAAGGATCAAGTGGACAGCCATTCGAGTCCCAGGACTCAGTGGACGCTTCGGCATCCATCGCGCTCCCCGAAGCTGTGGAGATGGCACTGGGTCCAAAGGGGACGGGCGCCCTGATATGCAGCTAGCCCGCTCAACTTGCGTTTCTTTATCCAAACGGCACAGGCAGTGGTCTGCCAAGATCCATCACCTGCATGGGTCAGGATGGTCTGGAAGAACTGGCGCCGCCATGTGGCTCAGCTGCGCTGATGGGATGATAGGACGGGGGGTTCTGCAACAAAGAGAATTTACGTTTCAGGCGTGCGCAACTGCGGACGCATACGGTATGACATGCGGCTGCCGCCGGGCGTCGTCTGTCCACTGAGGCCCGAGAGTCGCCAGCGGCCTTCTGGCGGCGCACTGCCAATAGCGAGCACAGCAATCTGTATCGACTGCGGGCGATCTGGCGACTGGTCGGCCGCAACAGGAGGTGGACATGTCGTCAAGCCCTTTCCGCAGGGCGGCGTCGATCAGAGCGGTGGCTGCAGCGACGTCGCCATCAGCTGTGTGGCCGCTAGTGGTGCTCTCTGGCGAGGGCATGTCCGCTATGCCTACACGCCCGCTGTCGAGACCCTGAAAGGCTCCCGCGGCGAGGTTCTGAGTCTGCTGCCCCGCGACCTTCGCAGGCGCGGCGTGCAGTCTGCAAGAGCTTGGGAGTGTGAGCGGTGATCCGTGGGCGTTGGGTCCGCCGGCGTGGTGGTCGCGTTGGCGTCGCCCAGTCTTGCATCTTGCGCCAGAAGCCAGGCCGGGAGCGCGAATGACAAGCGTGGTCCATCGCAGCGGGCCTGTCAGTGGGAGCCACATTTCGCAATTTGCTGCGGGCCTGCTATTGCCAACCCTATTCGTTCCTATCGGGGAACGAACCGGGCGATCAAAAGGAAACGCGCCCAGCCCGAAGCAGCACGCAGCCAGCTTTGTCGTCGTCGGCGGCGGTCTCAAGTACGCCATCAGTATAGGAGCGAGTAGCGGAAGGAGTGAATTGTGAGAAGGCATCGGTTCTGACAGGGCTGCCAGGCGAGCACTCGGTGGTCGTCAGTCCTCCACCCCGGTCCCATGTCTCTCTCCGCGCCGGCGACAGGGTGCATGCTAAGCCATGCTCCCGCGGCTGCACTCGACCGTCTGGGACAGCAGCGGGCTGGCTCTCTCAAAGAACGATCAGCCGAACGAGGCCAGCATGTCCTCGCCGACGTGCAGCCTTCCCTTGCTCTCCCATGCTTCCCATAGCCCGGGGCTCTGTGTGGCCCCGAGGGGTCATGGATGGCTGTCATCCACCATCTGCAGGTGTAAGCAAGGATGCCAGAGGAGATCTGTGAGCAGACTGCTGAGAAGCGATCGAGTTATTACTGGAGGATCTCCGCCGAGCTAGCTGTGGTCCTCCTCTACCTTCCTGCGTCGTGTGCTCTTCGCACGCACCGCATTGGCTCCGTCATCCTCACCACCTTCGACTTTCTCCGACCCCTCTGCCTACTGCCCCGGCCACGCAGAACAGAACGAGCTGTGGCTCCACGCCTCGAGCCCGCGATTCCTCGTCACTCCTGAGCAGAGCCGAATGCTCAAGCTGGCCAACGACTGGCAACGGGTAGCTAGCGACTGGATGACTTGAAAAGCAATATCAAAAAGGTAGGCCGTTGTTCGAGACTCTTATACGCACGTTTATTTTGCACCCCTGCATCCTTTCGGACTTCGTTTTTCTAAACCTGACCCTCTGTAACTCCGTAAGGGGAATAACATGTAAAGTACGTAGTGCTGCCCTGCCACTGTCCTGGATTGAGCGTTTCCTGCTGTTTGCCGCCGTTCGTCGTGGTTTGCCTCTTGTCGATCGTGGACTCACCTGAACCCGACATGCAGACTCAAAGCCTACCCACCCTCCTCGACTCGTCCCACCGGGGCCCGTCTCACCACCAACACAGAGGAGCAGTGCCGCCAGCAGCGAACCCGTTCGGATTCCCCGCCGCCTACTCACAGCATTTTGCTCCAGCCGCAGCCGCGGCGTTCGAGCACCGCGCTGGACGAGCGATGCATGTACTAGCCTTGCCTCCTCCGACTTCACTTCCTCTCACGCCGTTTGGGCGACGTCAAGAGCCCGGGAACGGCCTGGTCAAGTTTTCGTCGCAGTTCAGTCCCGGTAGGTCTGGACAGTACAGCTATCCATCACCTCCCATGTCAGATTCCCAATCTCCCGCCCGCCGCTCAGCCCAGCTTGTTGAATCCGAAGGCCAACCGTATCCCACAGCAGTGAGCGAAGCGCGCAGAAGAGAAGGGATCCCGCCGCCGCCGCTAATTCTCGACCCACGCGCAGCGACGTCTACTCAGAGCATCCTGCATCAACGTCCGCTTTATCCGGGGGAATCCCAGCAGCGAGGTCAGCCACTTCACTACCCGCCAACTGGCCGGGAAGTGGAGCATCATTCGTACGGTGGTGTGCAGCTTCCTCAGAACTATGCATATCCGTATCCAGGAGGTGGTGGTGGTGGTGTTCCTTCCTTTCTCGGAGCCCAAGGGCCGGGTCCCCAAGTTCAGCCGACGGCTATCATAGCTCCACCACCTCTCAGACCGAACAAGCCTGCGAGGAGAACGAAGGCGCACGTAGCGTCCGCATGTGTCAACTGTAAAAAGGCACATCTCAGTTGTGATGTACAACGGCCATGTGGTCGGTGCGTTGCTTCTGGAAAACAGGTCAGTTCCCGCCCTAACCGTGCACTATGGATGCCGGCAGAAGTCCAACCGCACGAAACCGACTGACTTCGTCTTGTAGGATTCGTGCAAGGACGTGCAGCACAAGAAGAGAGGAAGACCGAGACTAAGAGACGACAAGGAGTTTGGAAGGAGCGATGAAGGAAGACCAACGCCTACCCAGCTTCTAGGAGCCCTACCCGTGCCCGGTTCGGAAGCTTACTCGCAGCAAACCTCGTTTCCATCCTCGCATCGTGCGACGGACCCACTCAGAGTATTGAGAAGACCCACGCAGGCGTCCGAGGGTATTCCAAATATCCACCCACAGCCCATCGCGCAGTCCGCGGGAGGACGTCCAACAAGCGTTGGCAGTTATGGCAGAGTGTCGTCCTCTCCGTACCTCGTGGGACCCAGTTTGACGTACCAGGCGCTCCCCGTAGCGTTTCTAAATCTAGATCTAGTCGTCTTGAAGTCAAACCAAGCGTTCCAAGATCTAGTGCCGTTCCTAGGGAACACGCGGGGAAAGAACCTCAGTGAGCTGCTGGAATCGCGGCAAACGGACGTCCTGCAACGACTACGTAACGAACTGCGCGATGAGAAAGACGAGCGAGAGCCTACATTTATGCCACCTATTACACAGAAAGGGCAGGATCTTGTGCAATCGGTGGCAGAGAACGACGTCGACCAGGTCAGTCAAGGGTACACTGACAGAACACACCTCCTCAACTTCCGACTTCCGAGCGGCCAGTACCAGTCTCTCCAGACACAGATCCGGCTGGCGAAGACATCATTGTACTTCGTTACTTTAGTTGTGCATACTCCACCCCGACCTACGGGTCCTCCTCTTCTAACGCAGCAGCTGGCTCCACCGACACCAGTTCGTGCCTCGCAAACGCTGTCAGCCCCTACGACTGCGCCCGCGAGGGACTTTGGACCATATCCTGTGCGACCGCCATCTTCTGCGAGTTCGGCCCCAACCTCCCCCTACTTCAATTTCTCCTCAGTCCGTACTTCTCTTCCTCAGGCTCCTCCTCTTAGCTCAACTAGCTCGTATGGAAGTAGTCAATCTTACCAATACTCGCCCACCGCTGGTCCTGAGCAAGGCTACTTTCCAACAATTCAGCCACCGTCACAGCCAGGAGCGTATCCGTCCCCCTACCCTCCAGTCTCTAGAAGTATTTCGGGCTCTATGGGTTCCCCAAGGGGACAGGAACCTTTACGTGACTCGAATAGACCCCCCCGACTCGAAGGGCTCCATCTCCCACCGATTCGAACAGCGCCTCCCCCTCCTCTTCCTTCGCCTTTGGGGCAGGAGTTTGGGGAAAGCTCGCGAGAACGTGTACGACAACGCGAAGCGTCACCCTCGACGACCGCCGAACGAGTAGACACGCCGGACACGGGAAAACGAAGAAGACTAAACATTCACGAAGTGCTCGAATAACAAAAGAAAGAAAATGTTACATACTTGAAATTTTGGGCAACACCCTGCGTAATTCACCCTGCGTAATTCACCAACCCCTAGCGTAATAGTCCCTCCCCAACATCGAGGGACGACAGAACGTATATATACCGTTAATTGATAAGCCGGCCTTGTCGTCCTTCGATCACGTTCCCCAAACGCCGTTGTAGTGCAGCATCATATCCATTAGGTCGGTACAATAATTTTGTCCCTTGCATCATCGAGGGCGTCTGTCGTTTTTGCGTTTCCTAAAAGAAGAGATACCACATATTTCATCGGGGCATATTTTCCTTCTGTGTGCTTTCCAAACACGGCCCGCGGGTTCAGGTACAGAGGTTATTTTCGGGCTTGGGGCTTTGGCTTGCATTATAGTTACGCGTTTCGTCGTTCCATGCTGGGTATCCATAGGGGTACTCTGGGGGCGAGCATACGTGGCGTTCATTCGACGATTTCTATATTGCACGCGGCAGAGTTTGACTAGGGGATGTCAAGGGACGGTGCAGGAGCTTTGCGTTTCGAGGCACACAAGGGTTACTTTGAAGTTGCAAAGAGTGGTTGTGGAGACAATCGGTCGGCCCTGTCGCGATAGCCATTGGCTCCGTTGGACAATTTCCATCGATCGCATGCACGCCATGTACACCCCCGACATGCCCTAGCTCCACCCTCCCGACTCCCGCCTCTTCCTCCTACTTCTTCTCCGTCTTGTCCCACCTCGGGACATGCCATTTCCTAATCTACATTCCTTCTTAATTCCATGGAGACACGGCTGCGAACGCATGGCATTTAGACGATGGGAGATGTGGACGAGGGGCTTCTTTGGAATATGTATATACCCTTCGAAGCTTGGATCCTAGTGTAGTAGTAGTGAACATAGTAAGGCGCATTCGGCCTTGAAAATATGCATGATTCCCACTCCAATTGTAACCCACCTGCATATGGCCGTAAAAGTGCCAAATGCAATAATGAAATGCCCACCCAACCAAACTCCATGCTTCGCCGGTGCGCTCGTGTGACAGGAGCACAGGATGCAAAAAGCCTCTGCTCGCCATGAAGCTTGGGCACAGGCCAGCAGCAGGATCACCGTCCGCGAGGCTCTCATCTAGTAGAAGATAAGCACGCATCTCACGCCAACGCTTTAATCTTCTTCTTCTTCTTCTTTCCTCCATCATCGGCTCCCTTGGCTCCCTTCTGAAAGTCCCTCCAGCTATTGATGCGAGTATCCCTCGTTTGCTCCCATGCCTGATCATGATCTCGCTTCCGCTTGCGCTCCGCGATCTCCTCCTCCTCCTTCCGCTGCTGCCTGCCCTCCTCCCTCATCGCGGCTTTCATCTGCTTCATTTTCCGCTGCTCATTGTCCATGATGACCCACTTGGTCTTCTCCCTCCACGCCCTGGCAAACTCCTCGCTCTTCACCTCGTCGTCGTCCTTGGTAAGCTTCTTGTCGCGCATTGTTAGCATACGGGCATCGGCAATGGCCTCGTCCAGACTAGTGCGCTGCTTTTCGTCCATGAGCACGGTCTGGGCTTTCTTGAGACGGTCAAAAGCTTCGGGGGCTTGGGGATTTGGCGTCTTGTCAGGATGGATGAGTAGAGATTTGTTGCGATAGACTTTCTTGATGTCGGACTCTGGAACGCCGGGTTGAAGGTCGAGGACGGCGTAGGCGTCGAGCTTAAAGACGCCGAGGATGCCTTGGTTTAGTTAGCTGGGTGTCCATAGGGAACGCGCGCAAGTTGGGCTGGTATGTGAAGGTCTTACGCGCGATCTCTGCATCCTGTGAAAGCGTTAGCAATCTAGGTACACAACTAGTGACGACGGGATGAAGCTTGCCTTATCGAACTCCTTGCCGGCAGCTTCGAGCTCAGAGAGGATGTCTTTGTCATCTTCAGCCATGACCGATTGCTGTCGTGCTCGCCTGGAAGATTAAATTTTGTATGGTTGGTTGAAATAAGTGAGGGAGGAGCGGGCGTGTGCCTGGATTCGATGGCGGAAAGATCCCCGCGATGCACGGATCACGAAGATTTCCGGCTTGACGAAATTTTGGACCCGCCTTGGCTTCATCACCTGCGCTGGACCACGATCTGTCACGAACTTGTGGCCGCCTGGCAGTATCTTCTTGAAATGGTCGCTAGCGGGATTACTGGCCATACAAGGCCGACCAAGGTTAAGAAGCGAGCTGCTTTGCAGAAGAGAAAGCGCGATGATGTAGATGTGGAAAAGTTGGAGCAAGCAGTTGAGCAGCTTGTGAGACTGTGCCCGCTCGTAGACGCTTCAACCTTCGCTGATATGCTCAGGACCCCAACAATGGCTCTTATCGGCACTTCACCGATCTTCCCCTCTCCGATCCTACAAAACAAGGCCTCAGGTCCGCCCATTTCGCTGTCATGACTGACATCCAGGCCAGAGCACTCCCTCTCGCTCTCAAGGGCCATGATATACTAGGTGCCGCGAAGACAGGAAGCGGCAAGACTCTGGCTTTTGTGGTACCAGTCTTAGAGAATCTGTACAGACTCCAGCATGTTGGCGTCGACGCGGGTTTGGGTGCTTTGATCATATCCCCTACCCGAGAGTTAGCAATACAGATTTTCGATGTTCTGTGTAAGATTGGGAAACACGGTCACGTGTTTGCCGCCGGACTCGTCATCGGAGGGAAGAGCTTGGAGGCTGAACGACAGGCTTTGACAAGAATGAACATCCTGGTTGGTACGCCTGGACGTATCCTCCAGCACCTGTCGCAGACTGTGGCATTTAACGTGGACGATTTGAAGATGCTGGTCCTGGATGAAGCAGATCGGATCCTTGACATGGGTTTCCAGAGGGACGTGGACGCCATCGTCGACTACCTGCCCAAAGAGAGACAAACGCTGCTGTTCTCCGCAACACAATCTAGGAAATTGTCGGATCTGGCGCGCTTGAGCCTCCAGGACCCGGAGTATATTTCCGTTCACGCCGAGGACAAGAGCGCGACCCCCCAGACGCTTCAGCAAAACTATATCATCTGTCCACTCGAGGAGAAATTAGATACATTGTGGAGTTTCATTCAAGCGAGCAAAAAATCTAAAATCATTTGCTTTTTCTCGTCTGCAAAAGCCGTCCGATTTGTATACGAATCCTTCCGCCATATGCAACCTGGTATTCCACTCCTTCATATTCATGGCCGGCAAAAGCAGGGGCAACGATTCGACACGACCGCAAAGTTCTCAGCTGCAAAATACTCTTGTCTTTTTGCGACAGACGTTGCAGCTCGAGGTCTTGACTTCCCAGCCGTCGATTTTGTAATCCAGATAGACTGCCCTGAGGACGCTGATACTTACATCCACCGTGTCGGTCGGACAGCCCGGTACAACCGACAAGGACGAGGTGTTCTATTCCTCACACCCGGCGAAGAGGAGGGCATGTTGAAACGCCTTGAAGCTAAGAATGTTCCCATCGAACGAATCAATGTGCGCCAGAGAAAACGGCAATCAGTCAAGGACCAATTAGTTCATATGCTCTTCAAGGATCCAGCGCTCAAATATCTCGCACAGAAGGCCTTCATTACTTGTGTCAGGTCTCTCTCTCTCCAGAAGGACAAGGACATTTTCCATCTCACAGAATACGATCTAGAGGCATATGCGGCAAGTATGGGCCTGCCAGGAACACCTAGGGTCAAATTCCTGGAAGAGGGCAATGCAAAACAAAAGAAGCAGACCTCAAGAGATGAACTTGCGGTATCTGGGTCCTCGGGTGAGAGCGAAGATGGCAAAGACGGCCCCGCGACAAAGAAAGGGAAACTTGTCCGAACAAAATACGATCGCATGTTCGAGAGGCAGAACCAAGATGTTTTGGCGGACCACTACAAGAATCTTGTTAGAGACGATGATGCAGAAGAAGCACCCGAGTCGGAATACAATGCTTATGATGATGACGACTTCCTTGCTGTTAAGAGACGGATACCGGCCAGACCTGATCTCTCGGATATAGCATCTGAAGACGATGCAACTGCCACGAGGATGCGTAAAGTTGTCAACCTTGAAGGAGCTGCCCAGCCTCTTATCATTGACAGCAACCGTCGCGAAAAGCTACTCAAGTCGAAGAAGAAACTACTCAAGCTGAAGGATAGGGGTAAGAAGCTCGTCTATGATGACGATGGCAATCCCCACGAGGTCTATGAGCTCGAAGACGAAAACGATTTCAGGGCGAAGGGCTTACCGGAGGATCAGAGGCAGAAGTTCCTCCAAGAGGCAAGAGAAGTCGTTCAGAATGCAGATGTAGAGGATAAGGCTACTGCGAAAGCGAAGAAAAAGGAGAAGATACGGAAGAAGAAAGAGCGTGAAACGATGGAGAAGGAAGATGATGACAACGATAGCCGTGTTGGACTTGAAGACAATGAGGAAGATGGTCTCGCGAACTTTAGAGCTGATGCGGAGGTTAGTGATGTTGAGGCTGATGAAATGAAGAGATCCAAGAAATGGTTCCAGTCAGATTCAGAGGACGAGGACGAAAGCAAGAAAGGAAAGAAAGGAAAGAAAGGAAAGAAAGGAAAGAAGACGGGGGCTCGCCAAATTGTGGAGGAGCCTGAAACCTTGGAAGATATGGAGGCTCTTGCCGCAGGTCTACTAGGGTGAAATTTCCTCAAATCGACTGTGGGTCGATTCTACGATACAAAGGCATCCCGGGATTGCACGTTCCCAAGAAGTGTCAGGTAACGGCTCCCGTGAAAGGGAGGCTAGATTGTAAGCACGAAACGTCTCAGACAATAAGCAAATCTAGGACAACGACGTGGCCCGTTTAGTCTTGGTCGCACTCGACTAGCGAATAAAGCCCCAGTCAACTTCTGCTCTCGCCTGCCGTATTTCAACATCACATCCCCTCGGGTTCGTGTCAGTAGGCGCCTTGCTCTGTTTTCAATCCTTCCACAATATTGTATAGCTTCAATATATTCACTTGTAATAAGGCTTTGTAGCTACTCTACGATGATGTTAATCACTGAAGTATCTTTTCCGTGTTTTCGAACATGTTTGCGACTAAAGTTTCAAGCAATTAGCAGGTTACAAAGGAGACTCCTTTCACAAACTTTACTCAATAGTCCGACAACGCATGTTGCCTCTGTCTGTACTTAGAAAGCTACCGTCTACAAATTCCTACATACTACCACCCTTTTAACCCTAAGACATGCATACCCGTATCCGTATGTGGCCCTCCCTCCGCAGCATCTCCCTCTGGGCATTTTCGCTTTCTTAAACAGGACACGTTTCCACCCGAAAGACTTCATAGCGCCAAAACAGAATTATTTAGAGAAAACTCCTACAACGCAGAAGACTCATAGCTCGACGACAAAGTCCCCCCTAGCCTTGGCGGCTGCAGCTCCAGCGCCTCAACTACAATTCCTAGCCCATTCGAATCCAGATAAAGCTGTCATTTTCCGAAAGAAAGTGTGGGAGTGGGACATATGGAACAAAGAGGACTCGGCATACAAGAGACATCCTGACGGAGGATGTTCCTGCTATTGTGGCTCCTATTTTAAGCTGCTTACAGGTAGCTCCCGCATCCCGCACCACGCCCCGGGACCCGTTTACTGGGTGTTAGCATAGTCGACCTCGGCACGGGTCGGATATATCCGTTAGACTTGCTACCAGTAATCAGAAGAAGGAGTGTAGATCACTTTATTGAAATCCATAAGCACTAGTATTCCTCTCGTCCTCTTCTCTGGTGTATTGGCACCGAAAATGAAGGTTCATGTTTCAGACAGGAATTTGTGCCTCCTTTAGGAATTGCTTCAAAAAAACACAATCAGATTCACCCTTCCAAATGCTCTAGAGTATACGCCAACATACTGTTGCGAAGGCTGAAGGTCTCTCTAAGTTCCAGCTACCGTGCTTTACATGTCTCCTCAAGTCTGAAGTCAAGATCAGTCTTTAGATCATACTTTTTTTTCACATACAGAGGTATTTGCGTATAGGATGCTCTCTAACGTTAGACAAAGTTCTAACTAAATGCCTCGAAGAAGTTCCTGGTTCCGAGAGTACGCCACCACCTCCACCTACAACGCCTAATTACTCACTTCCAACAGACAAATGTGCAAAGCGACCACATCCGCCATTAATTTCCATTCAACATGCCACAACACAATACTGGATATTGTGTCCGCCGAATCCGTATCCTTTACCTTCTGGCTCCACACGACGATCTTTATTAGGGATGGAAGGACCAGTAACTAGTTCTCAGAGGAATTCATTCGGTATTATAGACAAACTTTACAAGTGGTCCAGCAAGCTTCACCAAGAAAGGCTGAAGAGTACTCAGATGTATTTCTCCTTGCGCTAGCGGCGTTTACAGCCTGTGAGGTAGGTCAGATGGCCTTTAAATGTGGCGGCAGCCGGAACGGATAGGACTTTATTCCAAATGCTCGCTGACGGGGTGTGAGAGGACCTTTCAAGCCAATGTCAGGCAGCCGAAATCCATCAGGACGCCATGTTCATGGCTATTTGGGACTGGGTCTCGAGAATTTCAACCTAGGGACTCCGAAGGCGATGGCGTGGTCAGTTCTTTCCTTTATCCTGTTTGCAAGCTTGTCGATCTGCAATATAGGTGTGAGATTCACGCAGTCGCCTAATCTAGCACTACCGAAGCCTCCTTAGCTACAGGGCCCTAACAGACTATTCTCTCCTGCCTCTGGGCATCTTAAAAGCGGAATTCGTACCGGTGTAAACACTCGAGAAACTTCTCACACTCTCCGATCATTCCCAAATACCATCCTCCGGCTTCATCAACTCAACCGCCCACAAGTTACCCCACCATTATCCCCTCGTACTTGGCTAGGCCACAGCAAGATCGATTCCAACGTGGCAGGAGCCTTGTACGAGACTGTGTACACACTGTTGGAGCTGTTGGCCGCATGAACAGAGCCAGGCTATCAGTATTCACCACTCGACGTCACAACCGAAGTATGTCAAATATTTCTCTGAACTGCCGCCAGATTTCTCCTAGCACAGATGAAAATGTGTGATCTCTTTGTTTCTCGACTAAAGGCAGCGTTGATCGCTCTGCCCGGTGGGATACTAAATCTGGAAGTGACGGTAAGATCAACATCAGCTAGTTCCATTACTGAGACCAGGGGAGATTCAGATGCTTCGGGAAGCACAAAGTTGGCGTCAGCTTAACAGACACTGTTCCCAACAGTAAACGTCTAGATACCGCCCTTTTCTAGCCGCTCCTTCTCGGCATACTCGTTTCTAGCATTCGAATTAGATCGTCACGTCCATGGCTCAAGGAGCATTTTCTCCAGCATATAAAAATTCGGGCCTCTTTAAGGAGGATCTATAAAATTTCTTCAAAATTTCTACTTTAATCTATGGGCTGAGTTGGGCACAGTAAAGCCCAGAAATGGGGTGTGTTATTTACAATTATTGGCGTAGCCATGAGCCAAGTTTGACCCCATTTCTCGTCACCCCATCCCCACAACCGTGGATCGTAGATTCCTACCGCACGACCTTGATATGCCGAGCCAAGGTACTGTATTAACCCACGATATAAAGAATTATAGCACGCTCGTCTTTTTCACTTCACAGTGCAACACTGAGCTCGACACTTCACTGCGATTTCTACCTCCACCCGCTACACACTCTACCAAGCGAGAAGGCACTACGTAAAATCCAGTCAACTCACACCTCCAAAACGTCCTAGAGTCGCCTTCAAAGTCATCACGTCCAAAAACCTACTCTTCGAACCATTTTTCCACCCTTCATTCCATGCCCAATCCAACACCAAGCTATGAATTTTTGCCGCAGCCTCAAGGACTTAGTTAAAGTCAGCTTTAAATGCTGCTGCTGCTGCTGCTGCTTCAAATTTTCTTCCCGAAGTAGATATCAGGCTGACATTTCAGTCTCGAATCCGAATGCCAATGTCAATGCCCCTGAGCCATTCAGGATACCGCGTCACCACGGCAGATTCCCGAACGGCCAGCCAACTCCTCGTCCTCCACTACGAGCGTTAGGAACGAGGGCCATGTCTTTGCGATCAGGGGACAGTGCGATTCCGGTGAAAAGTCCTTGGGAGAGTGAGGAGAGGGTGTGGTAGATACTGCATGATGGTAGGTGACGTTGTCGAACTATAAAAGCTAGAGCTCAAGACCTGGATTATCATGGATGGTTTTTGTAATATCTATACTCGGCAACAAATATGATCAGATACTACTTGACGTTATCGGGGATTGTTTACGTACACAAGGCAGGGGGTTTAGCTTAGGAGAGCAGATTTCTTAGATAGCGGCCGAATAGAGTTCAAGATCGGTTCCGCTATATTCTGAATACTTTATCCTCTGCTAATAAGAGGGGCATCCTACTGCTTTTGTAACAGGAACTTGGTTACATACCCGAAATGGTCTAAACCCCTGTATCTAAGCTGCGTTATCAGAGCAATAGCAGACGCGGCTGAGTCTTGCTTCTCTCTGGTCGAGAATTCCTAGGCTCGGTATATCTGATAGAATGTAGCATCTCCTCTTATCCCCCCATACTGTTCCTGAATAAAGATTTCGTCGCGTGGTTGTGTCCTAGTCCACTAGTGACAGGCCCCCGCCAGAGAGAGGCCACAAGGAGAGACCCAAGGAAGCGTTTCAGAAAATAGGGGTTGGAAGACGAATGGCTTTGTGAAGCCCCGTTGTCCAATCACTCTCTTTTCCTAGTGACAAATCTTAAGATAATGGGAATGGAGACCCTAGAGTCCGCGTAGTAGGGCTTCAATCTTACTAGGTTCACCTGCGACGGAACTCTATGGCAGTCGCCATACGACTAAAGCTCAACTAGCATGGATGGGCAGAGTAGGCAAGTAATGCCGGAGTGTAATAGCGCCGACGACGAAGGTCGCAGGAGGACAAGGGAGGCATGGCAGTGATATAACTGTATGAGCAGGCCGAAGGAGAACGGCAACTGAGCGTAGTGGTCCTTCCTTTCCATGCAAACATCCCGGTCTTTCGGTTGGTGCTGAGGAAGACAGGATGATGTGCGTCTTGCCTTTGTTAAGGTGTTGGACATGATGGAACGCTGGCATGACCCTCTGTAGGCCACTTTCCAAAAAGTATAAACCCCCACTCCTAGGAGGGGACTTCGCAGTGCTTGCATCTGGATACTCCTCCTCTCCCACCTCCAGTGGTCTTGGTCGGAGGGGATGGATGATGCTCTAGAGGCAGAGGAGGGGCCGAGAACATGACCTTCGACAACTCCACCAATCTCCGAAAACCGATGTAGCGAGGGATAACGCCTAAGGCAAATGCGCCTTTGTTAGTAGTCTGTGGCTGTGTTTAAGGTAGCATAGGCTGGCTTTCGTGGATGAAGTAAAAAGCCAGCCTCGTAGACAGGACTAGACCTACCTGAATGCGACAAATCGCAGCGGCACTGTCAATGTGGAGGAACGGCATTTTCATATTTTTCATTGCTATTCATGCTCAGTTTGCCTAAGGGTATCATGAGGGACTCCGCCTGATTATGCACCAAAAAATACCACCCTTTGGCCTCCGCCCACTTACGCCTTTCTTCTTGTTTATAAAATCAAAGTAAAGATCCATAACAAAGCATGGTCTTCGTCAACGCACGTTCAACCATCCGAATTCTATGTGAGCCAATCCCTTACGCCTTCGAGGTTTGCGGCGAAGCAGAGCTGTTGGCTTCACGCTCGCTCTCCTATCAATACCCAATACCAAAATTGAGTCTGCCGATTCCAACCAACGCCGTGTAACGAGAACGTCCAAATTCAATACCAAGAGTGTTTTCACCGCCGCACGCCCCCGACCATTCCGATTTGATGTGCTGCTCCAAATCCAAGCTTCGGTCTTTTCTTTGGGCCGGCCTCTTCTCCAGCTGTAGAATCGGCATCGTCTGCGAAACCTTCGGAATAGCCAACAAAGCTGGTGTCCTGGTAACTCCTCTTTGCGCCTGACCGCTCCGGCCTCACGGATCTCGGTGCTGGAGAAGGAGCGCTGGAAAAAGGCGTCCCCGGGTTCGGGGGTAATCCCCTGCTTAATTGCCCCTCGAACACAGGTTTCGGTTTCGCCTCGTCGGTCCCAAGATATGCTTTATAGCGTGCGTTATCTGGATTTGGTAGCGGTCCTGGTGCCATGCCTGCCAATGCACCATTTAATAACGTTTCAAAATCTTTGCTGAGGCCACTCTCATCGTCATTCAGCGCGTTCTTGATCTCCCTGCCTGCAACCCTCGCAGCATCGAAGTCCGAATCCGTATAGAGGAGGGGCCCAATAAGCGCCCCTTCCATCTTAACTGCCTTTGGTCTGCCAGCTATTTGCAATGCCTTGATGTGGCCCTCGTACGATTTGCGGAGCTTGTTAATTTTTTCTCCAGTCCTTGGATCAGTTCTAGCCACAGTGCTGGCTATATCGTTCAGGCCGTAGAGCTCGAACAGGTTCTGTGAACCATGGGGTCGTGATAAGGAGTGCTCTATCCAGCAATCTGTGTCAACACATAGAGCAAGACAGCACTGCACGTTTGAAACCTACCATTTTCGCCAACCTTGAACAGCAAGCTGCCAAAAATGCCCTTTTCGCCAAACACAACAGCCTTCCCTTTCCCTTGCCGGTTGTGATTCGATCGCCTATTTCCCCCTGGCCTCGTTGCATCGTCGTTTGCATCATCCACCATCATCGCATCACCGTCGCTATCGACATTTGCAGAGACAACTCCAGTGGTACTGGAGGGGGTTGGAAACGGAAGGGGGTTTAATGCCGACGCCCCCGGTTGGGAGACCTGCTGCGACATACTCACCGAGGACGGCGGGGTCATTTCGGACGATGGAGCAGTCGCAGAAGCAGCAAAACCTCCATTTGGCTGCGAATTAGTCGACATATAGGGTGGGGAGGTCGGGGTGTTGGGATGGACAACAGGTTTTGTCTGCTGGTCGCTCGGCTTGTCCTTGTGATAGGGTGGGGATGCTGGTGAAAACGAGCCCGTCAAGCGCTGTCGCTTCGGCGGATGACTCGACATATGGGCCGCCGTTCTCTCGCGTGGGAGTATTCGGGGGGGGGGGGACTGCGGTTGCGCGTGTTCGAGGAGCGGAGGAGGTGGGTGAAGGCGCTGACCGTCGGGGCCCTTGGCGTTGGTCGCGAGCGGACCGCGGCGTCTGGCGTGGGCGGGGACCTAGGCGGTGCGCATTCGACGGTAGACGGGAGTATCGGGGTGATGCTGCGACTAGAAAGCGCTGGCTCGGCTGTATCGCGCAGTGCGTGGTGGGGACGGTGCGATGGGGACGTGGTGTGAAGAGGGAAGAGCAAGATCGGGGCGGTTGAGGCTGAATCGACGTAGCGGTCATGTGACTGTGTCTCGGCACCTGGGCAGCCATCAATTCGCTGCCCATGTACTTGTATCTGAGCCTCGACGTCTACTCCTCTCTGGCTTCCCGTCCAGCATCTGCACTCAGCCCAACCGATGCCTGCGCTGCCATACTACGGCCAATATGGATGAAGCTGGCCCGCTTAAAGTCCAGCAGCCGAAGCCCCAAGCCTTGCCCTCGCGATCCGGTCCCAGCTCCATCCTCGTCTCCCCGCGCCAAAAAGGCAACCCGATTCTAAACGGCGTTCGCACTGTTGCTTGGGAATACTCAGACATTCCAGCAGACTATGTGCTGGGTGCTACAACATGCGCGCTTTTCCTGTCGCTCAAATACCACCGTCTTCATCCGGAGTACATCTACAACCGCATTCGTGACTTGAGGGGGCAGTACAGCCTGCGCATCCTGCTCACCATGGTAGACATCGAAAATCACGAGGATTCGCTGCGGGAGCTCTCAAAGACTTCACTGATTAACAATGTCACGCTCATGCTCTGCTGGAGTGCCCAGGAGGCTGGTCGCTACCTCGAGCTCTTCAAGACTTTCGAGCACGCTGCCCCAACAAGTATCCGCGCGCAACAATCGACGAGCTACTCCGATAAACTAGTTGAGTTCATCACGGTTCCTCGTAGCATCAACAAAACAGACGCCATAGGATTAGTCTCGAACTTTGGAAGCATCCGTACCGCACTCAACGCTGGGCCGGAGGAAGTTGGTTTGATTGCTGGTTGGGGAGAGAAGAAGGTGCAACGCTGGTGTAATGCTGCCAGAGAGCCGTTCAGGATCAAGAAGGCTGGGAAGCGAGGCGTCGGTGGCAATGACAGTCGAGCCACCATGTCGAGGGACGTGTCTAGGGCAGATGGGGAAGACTCGACAGCAAATGAGCTTGATCCAAGTGTCGCAGCACGCCTAGGAATAGGTAATGCTCCGATAGACTTGGAGATGAATAGGCCTGCCCACCCCATAACCGCAGAGGCAGGTGCAGACCGGCGGCCTGAAACGCAGGTTGCAGAAGAAGCTCCTGCATGGGGCGAAGACGAAGACGAAGAAGCTATGCGTGAGGCAGGGAGCGGTGCTGTCCAAATGGACAAGCCGAGGTCGACTGCCTCGAGCAGTGGGAAGCAGAAGGCGGGTGACGCAGAATTGAGTGAAGGAATCATGGCCGCCCTGAACAGGTTGCGGCAGCAGTAGAAGAAGCTTTGCAGCTATGCGTAATATCCTCTGTAGTAAAGTCCGTTTAGTGACGCTTGCTCGAATGAGGTGACATTCAAACGTTTACTGTATCTTATCAGCCAACGTGGAACGTGGCGGGGGCAGTTCAAAACCGAAGTTTGCATCCTACAAACACTCTCCCTAATTCCAGTAAGAAGTTTGATAGATGGACTCTGCTCGAGCCATGTTCCATGTCGTGTGATGGTACACGGACTCCTGTTTGTCTGAGCACTCGAGCATTACGGCCTCGGTTAAACCTGCAGTTTGCAAATTGAGCCAAACCCCTCAACCTCATCTTGCACTGCCGCCTGGAGCCTCAATCAACGACATTATTTTTTGTGTCTATCTCAACTCGAGATTACAAGGCTCGGATGTCTTATTGTTCTGTCTACCATGGGTTTCGCTCGAGTTCCTGCGGAGCTTCAGATGGAAATATTCGGATTCCTCGATCGTCCAGGTATCAAATCTTGCAGAGGTGTCTGCAGATCATTTCGCGACAACGCATCACCATGTCTGTTTGGAAGAGTCCTTGCATGCCCTCGATATCAAGCGCTCGGGGCACTACAGAAGATCTCGTTGCATTCCGTTTATCCAAGATATGTCAAGGAGATAGTCTACGATGGCTCGGTCTACGATTCGTGTCTTGCTACTAACGAAAACCGCTATCATCAATCCGCCGAGGAGGAGCCTGAAATTCGCCAGGGCTTCCCCTGGGAGAAGCGCCGTCGGTATGTAAGATTTACTCGATCAGCAATATAAACTGAACGCAGGTTCAGGTTCAAGCGCTACCAAAATCTATATCAAGACCAAGAGGATATGCGCACTGGGGGCGTGCTCCTTCAGACTATAGCGCGAGCGCTTGAGTGGATGCCGAATGTCACCTCCGTGGTTTATTCTCCCGGTCCACATACAGTTCCTGTGGAGGCTAGGCTTATGAAGGACCTCCTCCCTCGTGGTGTGTCCGACACCTCAATGTTTCAAGGCGACTCTTTGAGTTCGTATATTGAGAGAGCTCAGCATGGTATCCATCATCTCATTGGCGCGATTTATGCCTCTCAGTACCCCGGAATTCGCTCGTTCCGTGTGGAAGCAGCGGAACGTGGCAAGCGAAATGTTGGAACTGAATTCACGCACTATGTCTTCAATTTCCCAAGCTCCAACCACTTGGATGCTGGCAAATTCTTCTTTCGTCATCTACATAAGGTGGTGATGAATCTCTCCCTCTTAATACCACAGAGAATAGCGCGGGATCCAACCGACCAGATGGAAGAAGCGATGATTCATACCCTCGCGGCCTTGCTGGTGGAGGCTAAAGAACTAACAGAATTGTCTTTTCGCCTTTGCCATTGGCGCAAAGATGCCAATCAGATGTTCGGACATGTCATTTTTGACGAGGAATTATTATTTCCTAGCCTTGGCCTCAGGCACACCTGGCCGAGATTGCGCAAGCTTAGTCTTGGTGGCATATATGCATCAGGAAAAGAAATGACCCACTTGATTATTCGTCACAAGACAACGCTTAACATGCTCCAGTTCGATCACTGCAGTCTGATCTCGGGAGCATGGGCCGACATCGTCGATGAAGTCGTCTTCAACACAAACATCATAGCATTTTCGCTTCATCTTGTCAACGAGACAGACATTGGTGATACGCGTTTCCAGGATATGGCGTCAGAGGAAATGGAACAGTGGCAATACCAAGGCAAACTGAGGATAGATTCTGAGGGTAGACGATACTTCGTAAGTACTCTAGTAGTAGAGCGAAGCAGATGTGTACTTACTTTCCTAGGATGAGCCTGACTACAAATCGGTATATGCGAAGCGAGGCGTAATATGAGAAGAAGAGTAGATGTCTTAGGTGAAAGAAAAATTGATACGTTGTTCCTAAGGGAAAGGCCATTTTCGATGATTACATCTGAGCTGCTAACTTCATGTGTGATATTATGTAACATGCCACCGCGGAGGATAGGACTTAGATATATGTAGAGTTTTTTGTTGAACCTCTTGCTGGAATCTGAGATATTTTCAAGAAGCTGATATCTACCTTAGATTAAATTCTTGCTATATCTGCTATAAGTGTTATCATGCAGGAGCTACATGGTCTACGAGTAAGTTGTTGTATATATGCCTCATCGTTGCTCTCAGTCGTCGCCACTGACATTACAAAGATTTTCATAGTTGCGAAAGTCAACCTAATACGCTTCATATGCATCTGCATACTCTAGTCTCGTAAACATAGGCCCAGAAGAGAGCCAGAGCATAGGGGTGCATGCTACAAGTAGGGAGATACGTTTTCACTTCTTCTTAACCATTGAACAACTACAAGAGGCTTCAACTCTCTTTCTTTAGTAAAGCGTGTCATGGTACCTATGGAAATTCCTATTGCCAGACCCAGTGAGAAGTTACGCTAGTTCACTCAATTCTATTTTTATCTGAGCCTCATCGCCCAAACCTGAGACATCTCACGTGGAAGTCAACGTAAGCACCCTTCCGCCTGCCAATTTCCTGGCAAATCGATAATGCGCATCTCTAAAAAGTTTAAATCTACATATAGCTATGAGCTTCGTAAATGCAGCCACCGCGAGTTCTGTCAAATACCAGAAACGGTAATCGCATTTCTTTCAGCTTGTTGCGCACATCGCGTCCACCTTCTCTCGCAACGACGTCTTTCTATTTTATTATTCGCATAGCGCACGCTTCTATTTTGGTGCATCCCAGTAAATCAAGGAACTTCGTTGCGCTGCAGATGAGGCAGAGGAAGAGCCGCATCGAGGCGGGCCGTCGCCGCTCATCAAACCAAGCTGAGCCGCAAGCACAACGAAAATTAATCCGCATCCGAGAAAAACATCTTCAAGGGCCTCAACTTCCCGCTTAAGGCTCTGACCTACAGTGGATTGTCTCACTGTGCCGTTCACATAACGTCGCTTTCACCGGAATTTCCCCCGATAGGGCTTCGCGGACCAATTAAGGTACCGAGCACGAGCGAATCCAATTACGGTCTTGTTCTTTGCAATGTCTTGGGCTGATATCCAAATAGAATTGCGGGTTGGCTAACCCAATTATTTAGTTGCTCAATTGCGCTCGCCCTCTTGTTCGCCCCTGGCCACGTCACGGCTGCTTCCCGACTCAACGCTGCCGCCCTTCCAACGACAAATGGTTCATGGCGTTCACCCTATGAAATGTGCTCATTTGGTCACGAGCCGACGCTTGAGACGAGTCCATCTCTCCCTGCTACGTTTCTTATGGAGGACTGGCCGGCGACGCCACGCTGCTCTTCGTCCTGGAAGAGCAAAATCACGCTCTATCTTGATTTTCCTTCCTGCGGGATGAATGCAAAAACGAAGCATACAACATGAGTCAGACTAACCATTGGCAAAAAAACCGATGTCACGAGAGCAGGGGAGGAAACGTGAGGTGAGCAACAGGATGCTGGTTCGGGATCATGACTTGTTGCTAAACATAACAGTCCTGTGGAAGGGCGGGTGCCTGGAAGCCTGGGGGCACATGGTGAGGTGGACAATGGGTGAGGACTGCCAATTCTGTTGTCGTTGGTATTATTCATTATTGCTCTGTTCCCTCGCCTTTTTGCAGTGTGCCACCTCTCATCCATTCTAAAATACCCTGTTGTAGGTACAACTGCGCTTCCTTTCCCATTGAAAGTGCCAGGTGTCTACCAACTCCATCGCTGCCCTACACCTAGCTTTATCACAAGCTATAGCCACTCCGCCTCGATAGCTTCACGCCACAGGCTCAGCCTTACGCTCAATATTAGTTTGGCTCTCGAGAGGCCAACTGTGCTAACGAGGAAGATGCATCCAAGAGAGGACCAAGCCAGTAGCCGTCCCCACCACGTCCAAGAATCCCATAGCTATGAGCGAACTACGTCGCCTGGCGCGGGTCAATCGCAAGGCACTGTACGTCACCCTTAACCATCCCTTTTGACAAAACGTCCTGACAATCAACAGTCTGCAAACTGCTCGTTCACTCAAACCAACGGTACTAGTCCATCGCAAACCCCAACACAGCAGAACGGCTATTCATACAATCCCTCGCCAGCACAAGGTCCTGGCCAGCCATATATGGCGAGTTCCTACTGGCACCCCGTTCCGCGCACCTGGGGAGCTGTGAACCCTGAAGCGTACCTCGTGACGCAAAGTCCAGCGCTGAACTACCCCTTGACCGCACCTCACCAGAACCCCGCTCAGCCAAACCTTCCAAACCACCAGGCACCCCAAAATGCTCCCCAAAATGCTCCCCAAACTCAAGTTCCAGCTACAATCTCCTTGGCCAACCTTAATCAACTAAACTCCAACCACTTGTCCTCCAGTACCATGGCAATATGGATGAATGAGGGCCAACGCGAAGATGCATGGCACAGTACTGGATACGTGCCAAGGGAAGATGAGGGCTGGCGTGAGAGGTAACAGATGGTTGAAGACCTTCACAGTGCTTGACGGGAGAGACGAGGGGCCCCAAAAGACAGAGAGGTGTGGTTCTATATATCTAGCAGATGGATGCTAGGGCACGTACAGGAAGGCTAATTCTTTGGCTCTGTACTGTGATTTACAGCAAGGCTGGGGCAGTGCTAGGATATAGAATCAAAGTATTGAAGGCGTCTCAGGTCTGGCTGAAGCCTGTGGACACGGCTAAGGATCTCGGTCTATTTTTTTTAGTGGGGGCGCAATGGGATTGTATTGATAGCACTGTTTTGGGCACGAAATGAGCAGTGACTCGAATGACACAGTCCTACATCTTCATTTCAGCTAATGGAATTTAACATGGCCCAAGGTATTAGTCAATAGAATGCAGCGTTTGGGGGCTTTGTGAGGGAGCGTCATGAAATTCGGGGTATCGCTTTGCCGTATAGAGTCGTATGATAGAGTGATGTCCCGAAGGACTGGAATTCGCAATCAGGTCTGGTCACACTGTCCTCTATTTTTAGAACAACCATCCTGCTCTAAGACACTGCTTAGCAAAACACGTAGCGAAGCTGCTATGAGCTGTGTGATAACTGCATGATAGACTGAGGCCCCGATAGCAAGGACACAACTATCCTGCAATTCCGATGCCGAAATTTAAGGTGTGAACAAGTCAAAGCAAAAGAATGTAGCTGATTGGAGCTACATAAGCAAAACAGTCCTCTTTGATACCTGCACTGACCTGCTAGCTTCAAGACTTCGAGCAGGACCAGGATCACACCGGCGTAGAGGACGAAGCACTTAACTCCCATTTGAAGGATCTCACAATACAGCCTACCTAAATTGGTTACTCCCCAGCCCTGTTTTAATTCTGTGGCCGAGTCAAAAGTGTTGTCCAGAAACGAGAATATTATGCAGTGACGTTGCCGGCGGTCCCACAGAAACGGTGCTCCAAAAGGGCGAAGGGCTCCAGTCGCACTCCGCGTCATGCTTTTTCTCCTCCTCAGAATTCCTAATTGACAGCCAAACGAGTGACGCCTGCCGCACATTGAATTCGCGTAACCTCACACAGGACGAGACCCAACAGTGCGACTTTCAATGTGGACCGATGCTGGGCGGAGAGTGATGCAATTGCTTTGCGATTTTTATCCAATGAAACACGAGCACTGAAACCATTGTCAAGTTACAGTTAGCAGTGTCGGGTCAAGATCTTATCGCCCTCTCTGCTGGGGCGCGACTCGGGCGTCAGGGCGACTCGGGCGTCAGGGCGAGGCGAAATGACCCGCTGGGGTGGTTCTGACGCCCGGATCAACAGGTGGGTTCAGCAGCGATAGTCCTTGAGCCAGAAGCGGGGAAATCGCTGTCTGTGCATTAGCTTATTAGAACGACAGCCTCGTTGCGCGGGTATCATTCACGCGCCCGCAGCCTTGTTGTGGAGTGTGCGTTTCCGGTATGGGGCGTGGGAGAATCGGGGGGAGTGCGGGAGCCAGGCCAAGTGTGCGGCGGGAGAACAGAGGGCACGCTGACACCGGAAGCAGGCAAACGGCGGCCTCCTGAAGAGCTCGCTTTGAGACGAGAGGCTGCTACCAAGACGAAAACGGCGAGAAGGACTGCTGGTCACCTGCTTACCAGTGCCGATTCCTCTTTCTAAAGTTAGTTCTTGTGTCCTGGAGGACTCGAGAGGGTAACTTGGCACAAGTCGCCGAGTCCTCCCCTTCAATGTGTCAACCAAGTCCTGCCTTATCTGGGCGCGCGGGATGGAATGTGTGTTACGCAGCCGACGCTGGAGAGCCAAGCAGTTGCGCTAGACGAGAAACACCTCGACAGGCAGATTAAGCTCCAGTATTACCATCCCCCATGATGTGCCATCTGCGTCCTCGGGGCAACGCAACAGCCAGAGCGAGTTGGACGAAGGACTGGTAACACACCGGCCCGATATGCAGACCCAAGGCTCAAAATTTCTCTGGCAGTTTTGAGTTGGATGTTTCGTGAAACAACTAGACGTCAATTTGATGTGCAGTGCCCTGACGCAATCGAAGCCTGCGAGGGGTTTCAAACGTCAGTGCTCTTTCTTTCGCCGAGTCTACTAGTTTGCCACACCTTGGGCTGTCTGCCTCGCAGACTGCCTTACAGCTTGCAAGCCTGACAAGGCTGTGTTCGTTCAGACCATAATATTCACTTCTCAATGGGGCTGAGCCCCGATTGGCAACATGATATAGGATTCATGCTCTGCTCTTCTCATCTTGGAGAGAGAGTCTGTGTGTTTGCACCGTGCCGCCAACTCTCATTGTTCCTTTCTTTTTGCAACCGAAATGTTGCGACGACGACCGGTCAGCCCATTATGGTTGCCGCAGGGATAGCGACAAAACCGCAACTATTATTCCTCCAGAAACTCTCAAAATCTTGCTGCAGCAACCTTCGAAGTGGTAGTTCCATCAACGCCTGTATTGGGTTGCAGGCCCCTCGGAAAGCCCGCGGCGCCATCCGCTCTCCGACTTCGCGCTTTGCTCTGGTAAGTGTGATGAGGGCTGACTGCTGCATATTTGCATGACGAAACATGTCGGCGTCCATTCCGGTCAAAGTCCCCCCAACGTCTACCCCGCCTTGGACACCGGAGAAAGCATGTAATTTTGACTTAACAAAATAGAACCTTACTGGACCTCGCAGGTATGCCTCACTCATATACCCCATCCTAATTGCACCACTAAAGTATCTTGAAAATCAGACACGGCCATCATTTCATTCTACCCCCCACTCGCTGCCATGATACGCTTTTAGCTGGCTTGCGCTCCGCAGGCCGGTTAGAGCCTCCTTCTACCAAACAAGGCAACCACACGGAACTGATGGGTAACTTGCTGTTTGCCCTCCCAGTGCGTCTCAAATAAGAGGGATTAGCTCGTGCCACGTTTGCCCTCCGCCTTTTTCAGGCAAATAGAGAACCTGGTTGTCGCTATGGCAACTTTGGTTAGTATCTATCTAGAATACTTATCCTGGTGTCAGTCCTCCTACCCCACGGAGGAGGAATGGGTTGCTCAACCAATCGTCGCTCTGGCATCCGTCGAAATCACACTTTAAGAGCCCACCTCTTATGCCATGCAACTCCAGTCCACCAGGACTAACATGCAAGACCATCCAGCGGCGTGATCCGGTCTTTCCCGTAGAGGTCGAGGGTAGATATAGTCCTTCTAGTGCCGCGGAATTTCACCCCCAGATAACTGAGCTGGGTCCCTATATATTTGCAACAATGAGACTATTAATCGAAAGGCCTAATCGCTGGAAATTAGAGTTCGTACGCATGCTTCCTTTCCCGTCTTTTGACAACAGGGCCATACTTACCTGAAACAGACTTACTAGCTCAAACATCGAGCACGGTGCTCGCAGTACTCATCAGCAAGGTGAACAACCCGCTGCGTTTCCCATTATCTCTGGCGCAAGCATTCCTGGAGGGCCCGAACTGAGCTTCAACCTCTACCGCTCCGATACGGGTAATCCTCAATCCCAAAGTCAACCAGCACAAGACACCTCGGTCAGGCCATCTCATTCCAGAAGCATACGGAAACGACTTGGCAAGTTCGTCTTTCATTTTTCCCCCCATCGGAAAGCCAGAACGGCAGACGTCGAGCCTCATCCAATGTCGCCCATGGAACTTGAAGCGCCGCCAGCCGAGCTTGATGGTAGTCATGGATGCGCCTGGGAGCTTGAAGGGCACGTGGGCCAGGCGTCCCCTCACCATGGGTTCACCCCAAACAGCCCCCCAGACCAGGTATCCCCTTATCCATATGATGTGCCTTTTAGGAGTCAACAGAGTGTGGTTGACCCACGCCTGCAAGATTTCGCTATACGAGCAGGTCGGTCCCCGCCTGCGAGGATGGATAATACCCAACGTCAAAATGTTCACCAAGGCCACGTGAGTGCACCACTTGTGCGGTCCCCCATGTCATCAAGCGCTTCTTGGATTCACGCAGCCACTGCGCCGGCACACGACTCTCCGCAAGCCTATAGGGCAAACAACACGGGGTACACACAACCGCCATCCTATGGGCCTATATCCGGCAACTCGTCGCCGGTTAGCCCCATCGACTGGAAGGCCAGTACCGGCCCAGATCGTCAGCCTATGCCAAGCTTCCGCCAGGGTTCACTATCAGATCCCTTCCCATCTACATCATCATATCCCTTGAATTCATTTGGACAACCTGCGTGGGGGGCTGCTGTCTATAGTCCAGTGCTATCCCCAATCACCACCACTCGTCGAAGCTCCACTACGATGAGTGTCGGACAATCCTTCTCAACCTGCCCAGCACCAGCACGTGGCGCTGTTGACACTCTTTCTCCTACCACCCATGGAAGTGGTAGTATACACGAACAACAGTTGCGGTACTTTGGAGATGCTTCTGGGACACCAAATTCCCCTCTTTCGCTACCAGCTACTGGCATTGCCGTGCCATATCCCTCGGCGGAAACCGGCTCAGCTGTAAGTGGCGCGGTGGCTGCTGGCGGCGAAATTGGGAGCTCAAACTATTTAAGCAACTGGGGGGGGCACTACAACAGATTCCAAAGCCAGAGCGCGTATGGATCTAATGCAACACGGGCATTAATTCAACATCCTATTGTCGGACCTACGATATCGTTCCCTCCATACAACACAGGTGAGGCACCACTAAGTTCCGCTGGTGCAATCGGTTCTCGTTCCCCTTTGGAACAGCCCGCCTTTGGAATGAGACAGGGTCAAGAACACAGTGTAGCCAGTGCGTTGCCAGTAGAGATGAAGAGCAAGGGGGAAAAGCAAGCTGCCGTCCAAGGTAGATCTGGGCTGGCAAGATTAAGCTCTCGTGAAGAGGTGACTTCAGCATGTGCTCCACTCTTCCCTCCGGTCGCATGTGGAATCTGCGGGTCGACTTTCAATGGGCTTTACCGGAATGGCAACCTGAAAAGACATATTCGCCAGATGCATGCAGACTCTGTTGAGGTCAAGCCGGAAAAAGTGTGCCGGGCCTGCGGGAAAGTGTTTAATCGAGCAGATGCCCGTAGAAAGCACGAATGGAAAAAGCACCACTTCTCTGATGCGAAGCCGAACAAGCGACGCAAGGACAAGGGCTTCGAATCCAACTAGTCATCCGCACTGTGGGCTGAAATCGACCCTACACCTCTCGTTTCGAAAGATCATCGTCGAACAACTCGAAAGCCTGGGGATTCACTCGTTAATACGACCACACGACGCTCATTGAAATTCGAACCAATTTGGATCTTGCTGGACAAGCTGGGACACCTTTCTCCTGTCACCAACGCTAGCCATTAAACTGGGACGTTTTGCTGGGCAAATGCGCGTTTGCTTCTGTAGATACTTTACAATTTTGGATATATTATCAGATCTTTCGTCAGGCGGGAGCTGGAAAGTTGAACGATTGACGAGTGGACGATAACATCAAAAACAAAAAGCACTCCTTGGCCCATTAGAGTTCTTGGAGGCCGTAATACCTGGAATTGACTTTTTGAATCGTACTTTTAAATATTAATTTGGCTTATTTGGAAACCCCGCGTCCTGATATTGTGTATCAATTTGTGGCTCTCTATGCTTGCCCATCCTTTAACCAGGATAAGTGAGTTTGGCACTGTCTTGGTCGACTGCATAGACAACACTGTCGGCAGTACTGTCAAATGAGTTAGAATTTCCTGTGCCGCATCTCAACTTCACTCTCCTGAAGGCGGACATTGGGGCTTGGTGAGCTAGCGTAGAGCGCATTTGATGCTTGCCCCACATCAATTCCTTCAGGAATTAGTCCTAGATTTCGATGAAAACATTTAGACTTTTCTTAAACTGGAAGATGATAGTTGGGCCGATGAAGCAACGTGTCATCTCATGCCAGCAGGAAACCTGAAGGGGAGGGCGGCCTCCGGGGCACTTCAAGGCGAGAGATTTGGGCCGAGATGGCGCGAACAAGCAACAAGGCGGAAATCCATGTCCCATTCTCGCGGTGACCCGACTAAGGCAAGAGGCAGATGGGCATCGGAGCTCTTTCTGCCAACGAATCAGGGGAGGGCATGGACAATGCTGACTGGGGCTGGATATTGTGAGGCATTGAGTCCCTTCGTTAGATGCGAAAAAAGGCCCAAGGTTTTGTCCTCCTACGACGGAAAGCGGGTGGAAGAATTTGCCTATGTACACAGGACGATAGCTGCACTGATGGTGTGAATTAAGCAATAGACTGGAATTTTGGGTATCCGCGGGTGTTACCCTCGATCGACTGAGCGCGGAACCCAAAGGCCTGGGTTGAGGCTTACGGCACCCCTCCACCGAGCTGAAGAATCCAGGAATTGAGAGCAAGTCTTATGATTCAGGTGAGAGTATGACTTCGATATCGAGGCTGACATCCTATTGTAATTACCCAGGCCTGTCGCTGCATATTTGCGCATTCTCGCAGTGAGGCGGCGTGATTGATTGTGCCCCGAACCCCCCGCTCGAAAGCATTTGCCTTGCTAGATGATAGCAGAAGCCCGGAAGCGATACTGTTAGCCGAAAACTATAGCAGTGAAGGACTAAAGTCGGTGAAGATTCCGCCTAAGCCTTTAGGACTTGGCGAGGAGAGAGTAAATGTTGCACAATGTTCATAACTGGCAGGTACACGTCGTTTTCTGTGGCTTTGAGGAACGTAAAAGGATGTAAAGTAACACCACCCTTGGATGCAGCTCCGCTATCGGGAACCTTCTCATGGCGGAGAAGGAATGTACATGTTACCTAGAATTGTATTACGCTGATGCCGATTGAATTCTGTAGTCCGTGTCGGATGACTGGCAAATGAACTAACTGAGGCCCTGCCAGCGGCTCGACTCGAACCAGGCGGTTGGACCATTCTGGAAGCCGAGCGTGGGTTCCAGGGTCAGTGGATGGCGAAAAGCGGGGTTATTGACTGAAACTTTGTTGTGACCTCAGCATCTCAACCTTGTCGACTTTAAAGTGTGACTCTTTTCGCACACGGATTCCATGGATTTCCTTATTTCACATCGCGAAGGCCGGAGACGCCGGAATAAGTCGGAAGTGTAATTAAGTTGTTCTGTAGAGAAACAAGGCAACGAGGACGCCTGAATCAGGCAACATATCTGGCGGAAGACGAGTGTTGGGGGCTCCAGCATCGGAGGACTTAGATCTCCGCTTGTGGGGCTCGTTCTTGCCTGCGGCCTTCTCGGAGGTTGTGTGCGCTGAGAAAATGTCCAGATGTGATCAGAAAAAGCTTAGGAGTGCTTCATATAGTGCTGACGAATTGGGTACGCTGCCCAAGAGTCCTCGCAAGGACTAACAAGTCGTCTGATCGAGACTGTCCAACTAGCAGCATAGCCGCCTCTGTATCATGGAAACTCCAAGGAATGGGTTGTTGTACATGCATAAGCAGGGTAGTTCCACAGAATGGGAAGATTCCTTCATGTAGTGTTGGCTCTTGGTGTTCATGCTCTTGCGGTAAATTGTATGCCCGAAGGCTCTGCGATATTTTCGGCGTATGCCTCGCGGAATCCGCGTCCGAGTAAGTCTTCTGGTCTTAGCTTGAATTATAATTGGAATATCGCGATCAAGTAAGATATTTTGCAGCCGGTACATAGCATTGGCCCCATTGGCCCCATCGTACCTCCCGATGATATGGAGCTCGAATTTACATGATAAATACTCGTCTGCTCGCCTTTGTGAGTAAAGAGACCTAGACGCTTTCGTTGTGTCTGCACAAAACTTCCTGTTGAACAGAGAACCGGTGAGCCGCATTCGCGTCGAACAGGGATTGTGGTTTAGGATGCGGCATTCAAATGTCCCGCGGGCCGTCTGGTTAATTGCTGGTATGACCAGTAGCAGTGCGCTCAGTTTGTCCTGTCTTCCCTGCATCTTTGGTGGTTTTGTCTTCGACCGTCATCCCGAACGGGAACTCACAAACTGGACGATTTGCCACATTCATTTAAGGAGGCCTCCTCCTAGCCTTTCTCGACGCGTCCGAAAGCAGGCGGTGCTCGTGTTCCTCGCAAAACGAAACGAAGAACACTGGCGACTACTTCATTTGCGGTACCCAGATTGGTAAATGGTCTCTCATTTGAAGACTCCCTCTCGAAATCGAACGTGGAGGGAAAGTTTCCATAATTTTTTTTTTGGCTGAATGGACTGCATTTCTCATGTGAAAAGCAGCACCCTATCATTCGACGGAACGACCGGCAATCGGGATCTCGGCGGCAGGACAACGCAACCATGTGCCCATTCCTGAATTGGCAATTCACCTCTCATACATGAAGAGAGGGCAACCAAAGCTTGAGAGAGGGCGAACGAAAGTGAAACAGGGATGTCTAGCAAGTTGATGGCAGCCTTGACCATATCGTCGCCCTTCGTCCCACGCAGGACAACCTTTCTATGGCCTATGGCATTGGTAGACAGACGTCGTGGACTTTCTGCCACACAACTGGCGTCGTAATAATTAAATGCGCCTTATCGATGGCAGAAGGCCCAAGACGTAGGGATGAATGTAGGCGTGAGGACTGGGTGGGAGATAAACCTATGTTGCACATCGCAACACCTCATGGAGTCCTCAAGCAGGACACAATGCTTGTCAATTGATGGTATTTTCGGGGTTCTGTGGAGTCCATGGTGAGTTCGATAATAAAGTCCTGCGATGGAGTCCAGATAACTTTCACGGTTTCCCTTTCTTCTCGCCACAATGAGAGTTGTACTTGATCAAGAGAGCCCATGTGCTGTTACGTTTGTACTTCCTCTCTTACCCTTTGTTCCAAGCATGCGAGATCTGACTTCAATTAGAATCCATTATTGTAATCACGAGAGAAGCCTGGGGGTTTGCCACGTACATCACTTCCCTGTTTGTGCTGGCACTCCTTCAAGGCGGAATACGACCATTGATTATCGAACACTGAGTGAAGTCGGGGATTGCCGTACGGAGGTGCGATATTGCATATACCCCACCGGACCTAGGGTGAGGTGTGGTTGCAGGTTTAACTCTAACCGCTGCCCGCCGTACGAGGAAACCGCTAAATATCATCCTCTTTATCACGGCGACGAAGACGACCAACGACCTCATAGCTTTTTGAACTTGAGGAGGCGCGTCCGCAACATGCTACGCGCGATGCGTTTACCCAGCCTTCCAATTCCGTCGATCTCGAACCCTCTTCGCCCAAAGAAGCACCTAACTAGCAGCCACGCTTCCGAGCTTCCGAGCCACTTCTCGGACATTGTTGAAGCCGGTGATGAGTTCAAGTACTGGGGAGCATCGGAACTCGATGCGGACCGACAAGAGAGGGCTAGCCTACAGGAGAGTCATTCAAAAGACATCGTTCCCATTGTCGAACTGCCTGACTTCCCCTCCCGGGAGTCCGCTGAGAACGAGGAGCCCTGGGAGCTTGGGGCAACCCGAGGGGCGTCTTTCCACAGCGGCGTTCTTCAAGATACAGAAGCTCTACAAAGAACCCGGTTGGCTGAGGGACTATCTATGCCTCCTAGTAGCGGTGGTGGCCGGTACGAGGAAGCGCCCGCACGCCAGCAAATATTCGACTGCAATCCGTATCAAGCCGACATTCACCATCCGGGACAAGGCCAATTTGTCGGATTCCAGGAAGGAAACTACTCACTAACACACCGAACGCAGCGACCCAGCCTTGTAACGTCAACTGCAAGTTCCCTTCCCATCAATAGCTTATACAACAGCGCGGGTTCATGGTCGTCAGATCGCGATTCTTCTGGTCATTCATCTTCCAGTATCTCCACACCATCCCTCAACTCTGCAGGAGTCTCTTCAACCACCAGTCAAGGATCATGTGGGTGTGCTTCTTGCGCCAGGCCTTGTCAGCGGCTTTGGAATTCTCCAAACGCTTCCTGCTCCTCCGTAAACGAGCTATGGCCGCACCCTTCCAGCGACTCTCCGTCGGCACCTCCGTTTAACAACCTCCAAGGATGTGTCGAGAGACCTAGTAAGGAAGTTGACTATAGCTTCTGTCGTCTCCCCACTGGACTCAATTTTCCGATCCGGCAGATGCCTTTGAGTATCCCAGAGTGTGACACGCACCCACCCCAGCAGCATATCATGGTACCGAGACCGACATCTGTCTATGAGTATGACCCGCCCGTTTACACGAGTCCGTCAAGTGCAGTCCGCCGCATTCTGTGGCCGCAAGGATGTCGCCCTTTCGAGGAAAATGTGAACAGCGAGCCTAGTGGCGGGACTAGGATAGATATTGACGGACCGCAGGGCAGATGCACTACGGTATTCATTGAGGCAGATAGAGCTGTTCCATCAGCTGATGACTCACAGATCGAAACTTGCTCATCGATCCAATGTTATCAGTGCCAGAAAAGGTTCACCGGCGCGTACGGCAGAGGGAATTTGACCCGACACCAGAGAATGAAGCACAGTTCGTTGAACACGAGCTTTCCATGTTCGATATGTAGCCGAACTTATAAGAGAAAGGATGCGGTGAAGAAGCATGAATGGGAGAAACATGGACGTGGGACGAAGCCGAAGAAGAGGCATGAAGGCAAGCGGCCAGTCCTGGGGATACTAGGGACGTATGAGTTGCCGGCACCCATGCAGTAGTCCGCACAAGCAATATAGCTGGGCTAGCAAGTCAAAGAGCAAGACCTCTTGGTCAAGACAATGACACGGCGATTGGCCTATTATTCGACCAGGGTACCGAAATTGTGTTGCATGGGTTTGAGGAGCTCGGTCTTTTTAACATATTTGAAGGGGACGTACATGCTACCAACAGGTTAGAGACTTCTTCGGATGTCAATGAGCTTTGAAGTAGCCTTTTTCGTTCTGAGTCCTATTGGTATCAATGAGTCGCAGAGGGTTCCAAGATCAACCGCGATACCGGGCTTGATTTCTATTGATGCCGGCTGTCCGGGGAGAGGAGATAATTGATGGGTGATGATAAGCTTGGGGGACGCTCGTTGCCACGTTCTGGACTGTCGAATGGTAGTAATGGTGAACCTTTTATAGCGGTTTTATAATTGACATTCGAGTGCAGAGCTGCTCGACTGGTTTCATATGCCGCTGCGCTGTTATGTCTTCCCTTGCGCTAGGATGCATCCCGATGAAGTCTCTCCATGATAATCCTAACCCGATGTCAGTTACGACTAATATCTTTATCTCCCAATTTTCTACAGGGCCGACGGCTCGCAAACGCAAGGCACGCAAACGCAAGGCACGCAATCCCTCCGTAGATGTCGCTCCGTCTTTGCCACCGGGCCGGCCCATTAGATACGTGCGTTCCGTGAGCACTAGTGATATTGCGCGATGTGTCGTGGGGTGATTGCTACAAGCGCCGACTCAAAGGATGCGGCTCAATTCCATTTCTCTCGATCTTCTGAGGGCGACTCCAAAAGCTGTGCAATCTAGACGCTTAATCCATGCAGGGTGTGGCCCCGACCCCGCTTGTTCAATTCAATTAAATCAAGCGCAGGTGTGGAAACACTTACAGGGGAGTTGGGGAGGGTGCACTGAGAACGACGCGGATTAGGCGGGACGGCATCTAGGGTCAAGTGTGACTGACAATGGCGTCTGCTGGCTATATAGTGGCGGGCTTGGCACCCCAATCTCGTGCCGAACTGTTTGTGTTGCTTCTGCTCAGAGGATTCTCTCAGCACTCCTCGCCAGTTGCAAATTCTACCAACAGGTTCAGAGAGTAAGAAGTAGGTCGCGAGAATATTTGGGCACTGAGAAGAGAGTCCGATCTGCCGTTCCATCCCAATTTTTTGGGTGTGGTCTTACCTCCGCAGCCACTGGCATTCAGACGAATTTGGTCTTGGAAATGGTTTGCAGATCGCTCCGCGTACCCCTGTGGAAGCCAATTCTATTCCAAGATTTCTTGCTCTGGCAAGCGACAAATTGCGCAACCCCACAGCGGTTGCGGACCGCCTTGCAGTGATGGGCCGCATCCGACTCGGGTTCATTCGCATGACCATGTCTAATCTTTGACCTTCCCCAAGGAATGCAACGAGAATTGAGGCTTTATCGCTTCTCCAACCAGCTGAAGAGTTGACTGCCTCGATGCCGAAAGAACTTTATGCGTATATCGAAGGCGGCTCTGAGAGCGTGACTCAATTGGCCCAATCTGCCTCTCTTCAGATGAATTCCCTCGCTTGGGATGGGTCACATACCTTCCAGATGACCACATACGCGCTGAAAATGCTACCCTCACGGACAAGTGCTTCGTCCCCTGGTCACAAACCAAAGACCCAGGTGGAGGCGTGAACTCAAGGGCTTGTCAATACCATTTTTGGAACTGCACTTTATTTCTTCCGCGTAATTTTCGCTAATGAAGACCTGGAACTGGAGGAAGGGGTTGACTTGGAGAGGTGTTCTAGGATTATTTCTTTTGCTTTAGTTGGAGCTGACTCAAATCCTCTGGCACTAAGGCGTTCGCAGCTGCAGACCTAGGGTTGGGGGCGAGCCGGCTGAGGTGTTGTCAGTGGACCCCCGTGGATGACCCCAGCCACAAAACCAAGTTGGCATACCGTAAGGGTTCATTCTGTCTGCACCATAGGGTGAACGGTGAGCAAGGCTTACTGAATCAGCGTCATTGTATGGATTATCTGAACACTGTGGCTGCATTCACTCCACACCCAAGGATTGCTCTGGCTCGTTGTGGAGAACGGGGGGTTGAGTTCCGGTTCTTGTGCATATGTCTGCGCTGATCGGGGAGCACTAGGCGGCGGCGAGACGCGGGAGCAGGGCAACGGGAAGGTGTTCAGGTAGCTCTTTAGAGCGAAGGCCGCACTAGGCGTACCCTATTTTGAGAAGATGGTGTGCTCATATCTTACCGTGTGATCTGTAGTTCCCAGTGTTAAAGGGGATCGTCCCAGGGCGCTACAGAGCCTCAAATACCCCTTCTCCTACTCATACCCCCATAGTGGCCTCTATTATTATTATTATTTTTTCAAATGTTTGTCTTCGCTACATTCCGTCCACCCGCGGCCGTCTTGCCAAAGGCACAGTCGAGCTTTCGTTCAGATGTGTGACCAAGCGGTTGGCCAGCTGCACGGCTTTAAGAAACACAGCACAGTCCCCACGGACTCTAGTTCATGAAATAACTACCTCCAGTATACCTCACAAGGCCCAGGACACTGGGCACCCTTGAATAAGATGAGGATGCTGGCACAGGAAGAGTAAGCCTGCCGCTGGCCGGATACAGTCGCGCAATGGCTACGAGCACATACACAGCCAGGCCATGTCCCCTTCGGTCGCTCCCGACGTGGAATTAAGGTACTTCATGCTACTCCAGCGAATGGTCTGCTGGTCCAGCATATTCCTTGGAGGGTGTCGTTCAAAATGTTGGCTCTAGACACTTTGGTGGCCGGGAAAAGTGGCATAGTTTCTGGAGATATTGGCTCGTGAGCGAGGGCAAACCAGTCTAAACTGAATGGGATAGAATCCGAGGTCAAGTTGGGCTCCCTCACCGCTCAGGAGGTACACCATCCAAAACGACTTGAAACAAACTCGAAGTAGATGAATGACAAGTTGTCCAGAGCCTCCATTTGTCTCGAGAAACACTGTTCACCACTCTTCCCCTTTGAAGACCGGCAAAAACAAGATACCTATCGCGATTAGTCAGCTCCCCATGAGGAGCAGCCCAGTACCGGCGACCATTTGAGGCACAGAGAAAGTGAAGCTGCAGAGCGAAGACCCTTGCAAAAATTCGCAACAACCCTCCTCGGGGGTGTTGAGTGCCCATCTGCGCTGACAATTATCGTTATTGTTGTTGTCGACATCGCCAACTTGTCGGCTTCTCTGTATCGGTTTCGGGGTTTCTTTTCACATTTTCAACCAAACTTCAGATCTGGTTCCGAAAATCTTCACCATCAGGGATTAGAGCTTTTATCGAAGTGTGTTGGAGTCCTCCGGCTATCCTTCTCTTGTGATCGCGCTATTCAGCAGCGGTCCTGCTGCCGAGAGAACTCAGCCTGCCACCTCACTAACTCCAACCCTATTCCACGATCGGTTCTGGCTCTTAACATCCGACTCTTTCATCTACACCGCGATCTACAACGCCATCTATCGAATCTTCATCTTGAGTTGGTCTTCTTAACGCTTTCTGCCTTGCCAAGGACAGCCGAAGTTGCTTCGAAACCAACCACGGCCAGGGAAAAAGGAAGCCCCTGGCTCGCACCGTCTGACTCCGTCAAGTGTTGTGCACAGAATTTCAATTTTTGTTTTTATTTTCAACCTATTGTCGAAGGCGTCCTTGTCATTTCGCGATCAGGGCCTTGTTGTCGTTCTCCGAAGACCACAGTTATGGGGGACCGACACCAACCCCACTTTGACCGGAACGACACCTACCATCTCACTAGGTATGATGACGCTCAGAATTCCTCTGGCGTGTCCTATAGCTCCGCTGTTTGTGTTGATTCTAATGCCCACTTCTTCAGTACCCACGTTCCAGGAGATTTAGCGTCGGTGTCAAATCGTAGCCTTGGAGAGCATAGATCGACCCCATGGAGGGAGTACAACGCTGCTGGAGGGGTAGTTCCGCAGAACATAGTCCAAGCCTCCGACAGTGCCACAGCCGGCTCTGATGAACAATACGGCCCCAACTTTCTCTCATCTCACCATGAGCACCCAGGACAGGAGGTGAATTCCCAGCCTTACACCATGAGCCAGTCGTATTATCCATCATCGGCTCGTCTTAGCCCGTCGGATTTACTACCACCCCCCCGGAATCCTGTGGAACAGGGGGGGATGCAGTTACTTAATTGTGAAGGGCCTTGGTCCCAATGGAACCTCCATAGCACGTACACACTGAGCAACGAGTTTGGTGTCCCTGGAACTTCGGAAGGAGGTTACTTAATAGGTACGAAAAGGAGTACTCCGTCATCGGCCATGTTGTTTGAGCCTGAAGAGATGGCTGCGACATCGCCTTCTCTTGACCAGAATGAAATGAGGACCATGACTGTGGATATGGCAGCCATTCGGATAGGCAAAGCCGCCTTTGGAAATGTTTTACAGCCTGTGGATATCCTTCCTACAGATTCCGGACCTCTCATGTCCGTGGACAACCGGTTGAGCCCACAAAACAAATGTGACGGCTACCATAGTAGAGGGCAGTTTAAGTCATCGTTCGACCAGGGATATGATAATGAAGGTTTTGAAGGCCGCTCGCCGCCGTGAGTCCTAGTGCCCCAATATGGCTTTTTGGATACTAAGAATCGATAGTGCCGAGACGAATTATGATCACTTGGTAGTTCCTCATACTCAAGCGTCGAGCTCTGTACATTCATCTTCAGCCGCTTCCGAACCGGTACCCATGTCGCCGTCTTTTCCAGGTCTTCTATTCTGTGAGGTCGAGGGATGTAGAAAAAAGTTTAACGGAATTTACCGGAAGGGGAATCTAGCTAGACACAGGAAAACACAGCACGGGGGTGCCTTTGGATCGAAACGAACTTTCCCTTGCGAGGAAGATTATTGCAAAAAGGATTTTTGTCGGAAAGACTCCCGTTTGAAACATTATCGGACCCACCACCCACGATTAGCCACACGTCTCATTAATCGGAAGCCGCAGAGGCCATAGTTTCAGGTGAAGTGATCCAAAGGGTCAAGCAGGTTTTTTTTTTTGAGAGGTAAAGCCAAAACCGTTCTGGGGTTTCTGGGTGGCCTTCTAATTCGCTCCAGGAGAATGAGTCTTTTGTGATTCAAGAAAGTGACGGGATCTTCATGACACGTAAAGTTCAGTTGGCGACGAATAACTCTTGAAAAAAAACACATCCACAATCTCTCTTCATCCTTCTCAATATATGGCGTCATGGTAGCTTTACGGCCACAAAGGAATCCCGGCAATACCACTGGTTGACGACCTTCGATCTTAACCAATTATTCTTATCAACAAGACCTCCAGCGTTGGTTGCCAGGTGGTTCCATGATCTTCACGTCTTTCTTCCTGTTACACGGTGGCTATTTGAATCAAGGAGGAGTATGGGTCCAGCCGGCGTTGATGAGATGGTTTCTCGAGGTTGAGATGAAGGGTTTGGATTTTTGGCGTTTGGGTATACGTTTTTAAGGATGGTGATCCAGCGAGTCGCTCCCTTAGGGGAAAGAAGAGAAGGGTGAGGCTGTTGGTTAAGGCATCTTTCTTGGGCTTCGGGGGGCATCGACAGCGTTACAGGGGAATAACGCTGAACCGAGGTGATCGATAGCTCGAATGTAATATGACGCCTTCAAACCGCATCTTCATCCAGTTTGCATGCGAAATGGCGTTGCCTAAAGCGAATGTTAGTTGTCGAGTTAGGGTGGAGGTGAGATTGAAAAAGAGGCTAAAGGAAACCAAGCCAGAGAACCACGGAAGGCTCTTGGCCTCTAACCCCTTTGAAGACCCTTGTCCGCGCCAGCGTTATCCTCCAACTTCTTTGTCGACCTCAAGCTAGCTACGACCTCATTGCGGGAGAAGGACTCTGGTGGCCTTCCTCTGCCCACCGACCCGACACGAGCAAGCTTTTGTAGCGTTCATAGCAGCTCTTTTACAAGTCGACTGGACCTCGTCGTATACCCACCTAGCAAGGCGAAGAAGATGGGGATGAACAGAGCCAAAAGCACAAGCAGAGGGGTATGGTGTTACGATGCAGCCGTGGAATCAAACGTGCTGTTAGGGGTCAATGCGGAAATTGAAGGACCGGTTTCATCATTCCTTTTCGATTCTGAGGTATGTCTTCTTGCAACTTCGCGCGTATCACTCGGACATGTAGAAAAAAAAGTTGGATCCCGTCACTCTTCCTGCTGGCTGATCAATAATGCCAAGGCCGGCCATTAGGATATGCCTCCTCACCTGAGTCATTATCTTTTCTCCCTGATTCTGATCTGCGTCGAATCAACCAGTAGTTCCGGTGGTGAGAAACCTGCAAAGAGAGCTCTGCAAACCCGTACGGTATATCTAACGACGTCAACCAAAGAGGGAGGCGCGAAGGCCATTTTCAGGCTACCCTTGATCCAGCAGGTTCCCAAGAAAGTTACAGCCTCACTTACGTTGTTTGCCTCCCATCATCATCTCATCGCCACTGTGAGTCAACTACTGGATGCCCAATCAAGTGCCCTTACTGCGTGAAGGCCTTCCTCGTCTGTGTTATCCATCAAATTCATCTTGAACCACTCGTCTGCCTATTCAACGCGACAAGTCACTCGTAGCGAGCTAAAGGGACTGATAGCTTTCTTGGGCACCGCAGGACCAAGAGAAAGCCCTTCCGCCACATCTCTTCGCGCCTGATTCACTCATGCAGCCTCAGAACACCACTGCTACCCTAGGCTACAGGGCCATGCAGCTCAGTTATTGATGGTGATGACTCCTTCCTATCAATAAGCTACATGGGATCCTTTCGATCTCGGAACTGGGCTTCTACTTCATAGTATCCAATCAACTAGCACGAGATCATGTATCCCAATTTCCCTCATAGACCCCATGACCATACACCATCCCAAGATCACCAAGCAGTATTGCCCCTTCACATTCGTGAACCTTCGATGATCCTCAATCGCCTCATTGCCCATGCTTCACTATATCCCGGTTCTGGGAAGGGGACTGGTGAAGCCCCTATTTCTGGTGGCGAAACGCTACCGAGAGAGTCCTCAGGGCGAGTAGTCGCGTGGCGGTGGCATTCGCCGATCATTCAATGACTGATTCAATGACTGATTTCATAAGGACACGTTAGTTCCTATAGTTCCCACTCATTCGGCAGTATTCAAAATTGAATGTAGGACCTTCGAACGAAAGTGTTGCAAGTGGCTATGGTGGTGCAGTATCATCCTCTGCATCTGGACATGGTCTATCGCTTACAGATGCGCGAATCGTCAACCCAAGCAATCGTTTACCTGAAACAGACGCGAAGTCTAGGGGCGACACAAGTAAACGCAGAAGTTTATCTTGACGACTTAACACAATATTGCTTCTCTACTCTCCTCACCTGACTTTCCCTACCATTCCCTACCCTCTAATACTTGCACTCTTCAGTCCGCACGCCACTTGCCTTACCAGTCAAGCTCGTCGAACCCGACAGCCAATGATGGAGTCTCTTGAAGCCTATACCTCGACAAAGAGACGTCGAATGCCAGTCCGACGACGCCCAGAATAATGCCCCACACCCTAAAATCCTTGCAAAGCCCAGTTTCCGACCAGTCTATGCACTTCTACAGCCAACAACTCAGACAGGTCAGAACTTTCCTCCCCACAACCCCAAGAAAACCAATACCAGCCCAAATTCTTTGGCTTTCCGGTGCGCTTCATCTCCACGTTAGCCAATAATCAGACTTGGCAGATCTACCCTCTCTACAAACCCAAAGACCGCCTGCATCAGCCCAATTTCTGTGACTTTCGCTACGCTTCACCCACACTCCAGCTCCGTCTCCCCTATTATCAATCACTCCGGTATCTCCCCCTCCTCGCCTCTGCGTCCTGCATGCACACTGCAGAGCCAACTGTTCAAACCGAGAAATCATACGTCCAGATAGGAAAACATTCTTTCAATTGCTTTTCACCTCCCAGCCCAAGCGTCCTCCATGGCAGCGAACGAATCAGATACCATCACTAAGCTGAACTGGGAAGACCATGCCAACACCACAATCGGTGCAGGTAAAAATTCTCCAACAACCCAGCAGAAAGAGAGTCACATGAACGATGCGTGCATTGTTCTCATAGTCTTTCCCCTCTTTCTCACTCTCCGCCCTACAGCCTCACGCCGACTACGAATCTAACATGGAAATAATAGAACGTCGGAACATGATTCTAAAATTTCTGCCCAGCCCTAATTTATCACATATTGTAGTCCGCTAGACTCGCGGTAAGTGGAAGCCTCTCGACATCTTAACCTTGTCCTCAACGCCCTTGTCAACACACGCCCCTTTCGTCCCAAAACCACATGGACCATGATGCTATCTTGCATAATAAAAGACTCTGATCAGAGAATCAAGACACAGCTCATCTTCCGAAAGGCCCACTTGCATTTCCACTAATGCCCCTCTTCGCCGTCTTTGCGCCATAGCCAAACCCTCCCAAGTTTCTCGGCCCCGCATCCAGTGGTTGTCTTGTTGCAGGCGAGGGCTGATATGAAGGACCAACGTCTGGGGCTGAGAATGCGTTTTGGCGCGTACTGCCGAGGACTGGGAGCCGGGAACGATGACCTTGAGATGGAGTGCCGCCCATAGGCGCCGATTCTGGAAATCACGTTAGCAGAAGCTACATACGGAGTCGAGCTGGCTGCGAGTATGCCCGAGGCGATATTGCCTTCGTATTATGGAAGAGTAGACTTACGACCGGTGTAGCCTCTACTTCCAAGACCTTGGCCTTGCACCTGAGAGTTCCATGCAGGACCGAGATTAATGCCTCCCCTTTGGGCGCCACCGCTGTCAGAACTTCTACTTCCATCCATGTTGTGTTGTCTGCCAGCTCTAGCTTGCTGGGGATTGCTAGGCTGGCTGAAGTTTGCCGTCCCTGCCCTTGTTCCTGGAATCCGATCGATGAAGCGGTCACTCCTTGCGGTGTGGAGTGAAATGCTGGCCTCTTCCCCGGCAGCATTTGCTACATGAGACGCCATGACCTGTGCCTTTAGAGATTGGTAGAGCTTCTGGACTTGTTGTTGAGCACGACTCTTCTGTTGAAATGCCTCGACAAGCTCGTGGTTCTTCTGCTCGAGGGACGCCTGCTCGGCTTGCATTGCTATGAGCCATGTCAGCACCATTGACGAGAGGCTGATGACCGAGTTGACGATTACCTTGCATCTTGTCCTGCAGCACCTTGATCTGAGAATTCGCGTCATGAATGAGCTGGTCCATTTGCTGGCTTAAATTCGTGTACCTCTCGGTAAGGTTCTTTGCAAGGTGTTCCTGATAGATAATTTCCTGCGATGCCTGATAGCTGAAGAACGCAAGGCCACGACTTGCACACTCCATGATGACTGTCGGACTGAGCCCACTGAGTACACTCGTCTTATAGTCCTCAGTCGGATTGAGACCTGCAACAACTACATCGTCTGGATTGACAAGCTGTGTACCACAGGCTGGGCATGTGCGATTGGCATTGGGTGCTCTGGAGAGCCCAGAGCTGTCGGAGCACTGGGTGCAAAAGACGTGACTTCCCAATCAATCAGTGGCAGATGCAAGAGGATTGACCTTGGGAGAGACGACTGACCTGCAGGTTGTGACGACAGCGCGATCATGCAGCTGCGAGCGGCACTTGAGCTCGTTGCACCGGAGAGCGAACTCCATAGTCTCGTGCACAGGTAATGATTGAGGGCGAAGAGCAGAGGGAAGGAGTTAGAGCAGAAGCAGAAGCAGAAGCAGCGTTCTAAGAGAGCCGCACGTCCACGTGAACTTCCAAGTAGAGCAAGAGCTCCTCTGAAGTATGAAATATTTAAAGAGGCCACAAAGGATCTTAGAACGTATTCTGAGCAGTGGTGAGGTGTGCACTGGGTCAGAGAGAGGTTCCTCATCTGAACCACCAATTTGCCTGTGTAACCCATGTCAGTAAAATATACCTAACTGGATAGTCTAACATAATGCTCACCGATCCATTGATACCCTTTCCAATACCTCTAACGGCGTGCCACCATCCCAAGGGAATATAGAGTAGATCTCCGCTTCCCAATTCCGCCTCCCACCCCTTCACATATTTGTCGACCACCCCTTCATCCCTCCATACCGCGGCCTCCAGTCTCTCCATCTCAGTCCCAACCATCATTTCGTCCCCTCTCATGTTTGCGTGTCCATCTCCAACCCTCAAGCGCTCATAAAGCCAGTTCCCTGCGTCCGGCTTCATCAATCTAATGACTTTCTTGCCGGCTAGTTGTACAAAGACATTGGGGTTGGGATCGCGGTGAAGTGGTGTCCGGGTTGGAGGCTGACCAAGCCAGAGACTTGAACCGTAAATGTCGCCTCGACCCATGACGGAAATGAGGGAGGGTGTTGGCAGGTCAGCTTGGAGATCTACCGGCAAGTTGTCAAGAGAGCATTGGGCGAGGTAGAGGTTCGTAGACGAATCTTGAGTGGATTTGATATAGGAGAGTAATAAAGAGAGTGGTGCCTCGAAACGCTCAAATGATGATATCTGCAGGTCGTTCGATGGGCTAGAACTAACCTGTGTCAGCTCAAGCGGTACAATAGTATCGCCATGTTGTGTCAAATAGGATACGTTGAGTTCATGGAAGCCTGAATCTCCTTTCTTGGAAGGGTATGGTGTAAACCATTTCGAAATAGCGGGTATGGAGCGGAAGCGGCCTGGAAGGATGGCTGGTTCAGCGAGATCAATCTTGGGTGTAATGTTGTCCAGGACTTTGACAGGGACAAAGCGTTGCTTCCAATGTGAGTGGCATCGATGCTGTGGTATAAAAAGTCTGAATTGAGGACGCAATGGCATAGAGAAGTCGTCCAATTGAGGAAAGATGTAGTGGAGTGAGATCCAGAGAGCTGTGAAGCTTGAATTCAAGCTCCACCAATCACGCATGCTCACGTGGTGCATACTCCTGCTTAGTCAACACAAGTTCACCAAGTCGATTAGGTACTACACAACGAAACACCTTACAAAGGACAGCATGGCGTCGAAACAAGGACAAGGCCCGGGCCAGAGTCAAGGGAGTAGGTCTTTTATTCTCTAGTCTTCTAAAATCACAATATTCTCTCCAACTCCCACGCTAACTTCTAATTACCCCACAGTCGAAATAACCTCCCTCCCAATCTCGCAGCTTCAGGAACTCAAATCTCAACTGGACCGCGAGCTTGAGCACCTCAACACCTCTTTCCAATCCCTCCGCATCGCACAATCCAAATTCCGCGACTGCTTGAAATCCATCTCCCAGGGCGTGAATGCCAGCACCGCCGAGAAACCCCTCCTCGTGCCCCTCACCTCTTCCCTCTACGTCCCCGGCAAGCTTTCCAACCCGTCCACCGTTCTCATCGATATTGGTACCGGGTTCTTTGTCGAGAAATCTACCGCCGATGCTACAGATTTCTATAACCGCAAAGTCGGGGACTTGGCGCATAGCTTGAAGGATTTAGAGCAGGTGATTAATGGGAAGGTGAATAATGTTCGCCTCGTGGAGGAGGTAATTCGGGTCAAAGTTTTGAGTGCCCAGCAGGAGGGCGGGCAGGGTGCTGGAGGAAAGGACGGGCCAAAGAAAGGAAGCTGAAGCCCCCGAAAGGAAATGAGAGTGACGTTTTAGCGTGGTTAGTAGAGCGGGACTCGCACCATGAAAGAAATTTCTGGAGCGAGGTAAAGATTTTCAAAAGTTTATGCATTTGATAAAGTGTGGTTATGGGGCGTATGAGACATTGAGAAGGACAATTTCATGCCCTCAAAACCGTTCACTAACAATCTTCGAGCCCAAGTATGCACTTAAGAACATTTGGGATCATCTAAATTATGGGCTAACGCCAGAGAGAAGATCGCACTGGTCCCCAGTATCTGAGACGTGGTCCAGCAATGCAGGCCCAATGTGTTCCTGAAATGTGAAGAAGTTCAGAGGGATCAGCTAGTAACCATATCCATACATCTCGTGAAGAAAAGTTGGTCAAGTGTAAGGAAGATTTTCAATGAAGGAGTGGGTGAGTTATGGACCTAATTTGGGGGGGCTTTGCAGTCGTTGATGACAACGGAAAGCCTCATTAGCGCCTTGACGAGAAGCGTGATACCAGTAACATCTGGTTCCCTCTCCTCCACGTCGAGATTTTGGATTTGCGGCATGTCATTGCTTGATTCAGCAGGCGCAGCTGAGGTGCCTCCGTCACCAGGGAAGAAAGTCTTGGCCGTATCACCGAATTGGACTATTCGCCCAGAAACAAGAGTCTCGAGCGGATTCAAGTGCGTAGACCATTCGCTGTGGCGAACAACGACACCCCAGCACGGGGCTGTCTGGCACGGATACCACATTTGTCGAGCCTCGACATGGTAGTTCGTATCACGGATGCGGAATGTATAAACCCTGTCCAATCGACATCCTTTCAGTCGTGTACTTGGAGTTGTGCTCCACTGCGCGAAGCTCTCTTTAGAGTGTAGGTTCGCCGCGTCCCCGGACCTCATCCTGACCCCGTCCGCAAAGTTCACGACTACAGGAGACAGCTTCGATTTTGGGACGACCACCATGGATTCTAGGCCTATGTGCCATGCCTTGCCTCTATGGGAAGAACACGTCAGTTGGTAGAAGATGGGGTTCGAGGAGCTTAGGTGCGTGTAGCTCCGCGGGATATACTTACTCTCCTAGTTCCATTAAGTTGATGTCAAGATGTTCCTTAGGCGCAATCTTGCCCTCTTTCACATGGTAGAATCTTAAAGGCATCTTCTCGAACATTCCTTCCTCGTCTTCAGTCCAATCAATTTGCACCACAATAGTCTTGGGCTGAGACGCAGTCCGCTGATCTCGAGCATTCGGATGGACTGGGCGCGTGCTGTTAGGATCTTGAAGCATCCATGTTCCCTGGAAGGTGGGCCGAGTCTCTGACAACTTTGAAGGACCTCCTATCTTGGCCGGCACCAATATGTCACCTGCCGCCATCAGTCTGGCAAGCAATCGCTCTCCAAACTCCTGATCGCCTGCCCTAGTAACAATGTTAGATGAAGTCAAGAAGACAGTCAGGGAAGAGTCCACACCATTTAGTGACTAGGCAAGTCACCCTCGTCCCGCAAATGCTCGTTTCAAATACGGGTAATTTGTAGGTTTTCCCAATCTCCTCGTCTGCCATGCCTACAAGTCCAAGACAACCATAGCGGACCGTCAGGTCGTAATAGCCTCGCTCGAATCTTATACATTCTAGAACTTGAGTGATTTGTTTCTGAATCTCAACCAGGTGGCTAGGGTCCAGGGACTTCTTCCGAAACTCTCCTTTAGTTTCTTGGTTTCCTTGTTTAGGGGCTACTGGCGGCACAGCTGGAAGGAGCTGAGGATATATGTTATAGATTTTGACAGGCCACCAACTAGGGATCTTCCTCAGAACAACTTCAGTGCCTTCACCTTTATCTAGAACGATGTTGATGGCTAGGACGCTCAGTGATCTTATGGTCTGAACCTTTTGCACTAGGTTCTCATAGTGCTCTAGAGCAGATGCGACGTGAGCTTCTTCGTACCCTTGGATTTCGACTTGTAGGACTGGACCACGGTGTGGACAAAAGGAGATATATACTTCATCATCCATCCGAATTGGGTTCAGTGCTACTAATCCATTACCGAAGGCAGACGCTGGATCGATCCCGTCACGACGTAGCTCATCAGGCCAGTCAACAACCACCTGAAAGGTTGTAAGTGGCTTATACGGGGAGTTTTTGTTTATTTTTTATATTTTTAATTTTTAAATGGAACTTACTCGAATAAGCCCTGCTTCTTCTGGCGGCTCGCCCTTAAACTTCTCTTTGCGCTCCATATCCATCTGCTTCACCGTGTCATAGTACCACTTATTGGCATGAAAAGCACTCGTTTTCGGCCAAGATGATGATGCAGGAGTTTTGGAGGGAGCATTTTCGATCCACCGATTGACAACTTTGACCGCAGCCTCTAATTGAAGACCTTGACCGAAGATTTCGAATTTGGTAGGCTGCCGATTTTCCATCCTTGGAACAACCTCACAGCCAGATTCCACGCTTAGAACCTTGCTAATACGCTCCAGATCAGGCCAAGACATACTAGGCTGATACTCAATTGGAACGTTGACAGTTCGATTCGGCTTACGGGCAGGAGGACCGCTCCGGCCCCGAAGAGGTCCATTCCGGTCATGTTCAACGGACATGATTGATGAATATGACAGCATATAGTGTGAACTGCCTTTTCTCACAAACGGGTCAGCTGGTTGTGGGTTATCGAAGCGAAGTAGATTCTCGTGCGATAGAGAGTGGTGTGATAGAAGGTGGGGTAGTCAAGTAGAACTGATTTTGTGATTGCTATCAAGTCAATTCGCGGCGGCTGCCCAATGAGGTAGTCGCGTGCGTGGGTTGTGGCTGACCTGGTTTGCCGACGCAATTGGGATCAAAGAAGGAAGTGGCTTTGATTGGGGTGACAGGGTGATGGCAGCTCTGAACTAGTCTTCATCAAAGAAGCTATAATCAAGTTATTGAGCAGCGTTCGTAATCGGTTGTTAGATCAGGATAGTGGTGTTTAGTGTTTGAAGATTTCGAGAGAGTGAAAGATGAAGGCTTTGAAGAGCTTTTGGAAAGAAGATAGTTTTGACTTTGGTGAGCCTTAAGAAAGTGAAAGATGAAGAGAGTGAGAGAACTCTCTGAACAACATAGACGCAAAACGTTCACGAGTTTACACAGCTTCTCAACTAATCAAATGGTAAGTCAACCATTGGGCGTCTCTCACATGAAGAAGAATTTTAACCCTCGCACTTGTCGCCCGTTCAAAGCCTTACATGAATTTCAAACGCTTGCATCTGCAAGCTTAGAGGCGCCATAATAGAAGAGTAGAGAAGAAAACGGAGACGACTCTGAGGGAGTGGGCCACTGGGCGCTATTGGCAGTCTAGAAAAGGTCCCTTTCTACTGTTCACATGAGATCTCAATGGTTCATTCATAGTACCCGCAGAGTGGCATGAAATGGAGAAGAGCGAGCTAGAGCCAAGTCTAACGTCGAATTGGAGATGAGGGCCAAGCACGTGACGGCGCCTCGCGCACGGGCCCCCTCAAATGTGAAAGGTTTCTTGAACATTGAGTGATGGAAGCATCCCGCCATGGCCTCCCGATAACGCATCATACACTCCTTTGGCCAGCACAGCACTCCAAGTATCTGATAATACTTCAAGGGTTCTGTAGGAGCGCCATTGGGACCCCCCTCTATCTCTTCCAACCCATCACAACACCTCACGCACGATGACACGCACAACTGCACGAATAGCTTCGTCTGTGATCACAGTAAAAGCGAACCGTCCTCCACCCAACCTTACAATCCTGCGCAAACTCGAAAAAGCGTTAGCTAACGATAAACTCTCCCTCGAGAACAAGAAATGGATTACAAAGCCATACTACCAGGCACTTTTCAAACTCTCATCACAAAACCTTGCGTCGGAACAATTCTCAGTTAGCTGGGTGCGGCAGCGCTATGTAGAACAGGAGACCGCAAGAAGGGAAAGACAGGCAGCGAAGAAGGTTGATGTAATAAATCATTTCCGAGAGAAGAGACAGCGAGAGAAAGGGCTTAGGGCCCTGGCGACGCCGGTGATACGGTTCGGCGAGAAAGAGGTGTTTCTGTACGCTGGTTGAAAGCCTCTGCTACGAACGACGCTCTGCTAATAACTACGCCGCAGACCAAAAGCTGTAATAGCCCTACTACGCACACCGAATCTTTCCCCATTTCAAGCACGCTTCCACGTCCCTCTCAACTTCTCTAAATTCGATCTCCGCGATTACCTCTATCACGGCTACGGCGTTAAAGCCATCAACATTACCTCATATGTTGAGCAACAGCCGGTCCAAGACCACGTTGATGCTCCACGACGTTGGTTCCGGCCTACGGCGAAAAAGTTTATGACAATTGACATGGATAGCCCGTTTGTATGGCCCGAGGACCCAAAGAGCTGGGCGCCCTGGGGAAAGAAGGAGAAAGATGAAGAGGTGGAGAGGAATGTGGACGAAGCAAGAGAGCCTGGGCAGAAGAAGGGGGATAAGAAAATGTTGAAGAATCAAGCATTGGAGCTGCTGAGGGGCAAAGTTCAGTGGGAGCCGACGAGGAGCCCATTGCAAGCTCACGGCGAGTATAAGATTAGAGTTTGAGTAGACTTGAAAGAGAATTATCGCCTAGAAGAGCGATAGCTGGACGACGTCGATTCAACTGAGACAAGAAGAGTACGCGTGTTTGATTAGATGAAGATCATGAACGGAGTGTATTATGAGTGTATGTATCCGGTAGACTTGGACATTCATAAAGCGAGCTGTGGATGGCTTCGCTCAAATACGAATTTCTGGTATGCTACTTGTGCCACGACGCATTACTAATAGGAAGGGGTTGCTTTCTAAAGCCTGTGTTAAGGTTAAGGGAGAACGTCAGCTTCTGTCTTAAATCATACCTTGTCATACGCAGTCAACTCGACACATGTCTTAAACAGGATGCACCACGTCGAGGTGCTCATTGATTTCTGGTTCGACTACTTGAACGCTACGTATTGGACACTCGACAAGGACTCTCTTCTCTACGATCAGAACCTCGCCATCATCATCATCATCATCATCAGCCCTTAGCCGTTTCTGGCCTGCAGTAGAGCTCTTGCCCGACGACGAGATTATCTCCGTCTTCCGCTTCCCATTGAAGATTCTGGCTGAGGTTTTACCCTCCCCATTTCGTTCGACTGGGCTAGCAGAAGTTTTGCCCTCTGCGCCCGGTTTTCCCGCCGCTTCCACCCTCACCCATCCATCAATCTTGTTTTTCTGCCGTCCAGCCCTTTCCTTCCTACTCAAAGCCTCCTTCTGCTTCCTCGTAGGCTCCGGCTCCTGAATCTTCGTATAGACCCCTCCACACTCAGCCTGATGTCTCGACCACCAAGAGTCGGCCTTTCCAGGGGGCCGATTCATACTCCGCTTCACCAAACCAAAGTACGGAGGTTGATTTCTACAATGACCATCGCACTGCCAAACGTGCGTACGATAGCTATCCACCTCGTCATGGAAGGTGTGATATATTGTTATCTCGTAGTTTCCATGGTTGTTGATTGCGTCGGCAAGGAGTTGAAAGCCGACGCCATGCCCAGTGCCGTCATCGCCGCGGAAGTGTCGCCAGGAGGTAATTACGAAGAAATAGGCGTGGATGGCCTCGTGGAGGAGCGTGTTTATGGTGTCTGAGCGAGGACGGTATTGCAGAAGTGGCGTGGACATTTTCAAGCGGATGCGTGTGAATTTCCCGGTGGAGGGGTCCTTGGAGAGCTCACATATTCCGGCGCAGCTACAGGGCGGGGATCAGCTTGTGCGTTGGGTGCGCGCAGGGGCGGGGCCAGGAAGGTTAGAATCCGGCGGCATAGCACCAGGTCCACCGCCTTGAAGTCTTGTTATGAAACCCGCGCCGTACAAGACTGGAAAAAAGGAGAATGCACAGCCGGATGGATGACAAGGTGAGAAGACATTGTGCTTACAGGGTCAATCGCGGTGACCATGTCACCTCAACTCGGGGTACGAGGAGGTCTCGGAAATACAGAGTGTTGTAGAGCCTGAACAGCTCATGGATATCCACGAATGGTTCATCATTATTCAACATGCTGTTGATGGAGTCCAGGGCGGACTTCTGCTCTTCTGAGAGGCATTCCAGCGCTGCTATGGCCTGGAGCGCGGCGTCCTCGTCCGTGATGGGCATGGCGATGACATGGATTGTTTCGCTGAGGGGCACAACATGGATTGTGGTGGTGCCCTGACGTGCAGTGAATGTGGCTGGAGGCTGCCCCATCCGAAAGGGACAGGGGTGCGCCTCGCCAGGCCCAGATTGCAGGAGGCGGTTTCTTGGGGCGTTGAGGCTTGATTGCGAGAGGTGAAGTTGCACGTTTTGACAAAGCGCAGAGCACATCCCTTACTGGGCACTTAATTGTTCCTCCACTCTGTTCTCCAGCCTGCACACAACACCTGCTGTCTCCCCCGCCTCTTCACGTCCTTAACGTACAGGAAAGTGCTTGAAAGCTGGCCTATGGACCGCGCACATTACGCATACCCTGGCTGCCCATGACGTGCGCCGTCCCACATGTACATGGACATCGACTCATCAAAAACACGCACAACGCATTCACTACTCAACGTGCACCATAACCACAACGTGCAAACCGTTCACCCTATAGCTGCCGCCTTGGCGCGGATGATCCTCCCTATACACGACTTGGACTGAGATGGCGGCCATGGAATCCCCCAGTGCCGTCGATCTCGTGCGCACCGCTTCCCAGAATTCCACCACCTCGGTCAGCAGGAAAACCAGCACCGTTCGAGTGAGACCGGCGAAGCGCACCTCCAATGCCTCGCTGCAGCGTGCCCCCTCTCCTGCAGCCGACACAAAAAGCCTGACGTCGTTCCCGTCGCTTTCGCCTACCCCAGACTCCTCTCCCGTACAGTCCCGTGTCAACGGCTGGTTTCGCGCTGCTGTCGGGGCAGGAAATCCTGGCGATCGAAATGAAGAGAACATCCCTACCAGTTCTCCGGACACTGCGAAACCTACTGTGCCAACCGAGCTGGGCAAGAATACCACGCCTGGCTCGACGATGAGGAATGTCACCAAGTCGACCAAGCAGATTGTGGGCAGTCTCGTGGCAGTGACGCCCTCGGCCAGGGAACGTTCTGCGCTGTTTGACGACACGCCACAAGAGCCGGATAAGGTGCCCGGGAACCTGCATTATTCGACTAGTCAAGACATCGAGGATGTGTTGGAGCATACCGGAGCTGTCTCGCTAGTTAGGCAGTTAGCCGGAGACTTGGCACAGAGGGATGCGCAGATTACAGCATTGAGGAGGAGAGCTGAGGAGCGCGAGAGGATCCTCCGCAAGATGTTGCAGGAATGTGAAGTGTCGAATATGGATATCGAGAACAGGCTTCGTGAGCTCGATAGGATCAGAGAAGAGCACTGCGATAATAAGAATGGGCCAACGAGAATGAAGAGACGAGGGAGTGAAACCGGACTGTCCGGAATGCACCCCGAAGACCCCATGGAGCAACGGCTGGCCCGGGCTATCGAAGACGAAATAGCCGAATACCCTGATGAAATGCACTTTGAAGCTACCAGCACGCTGCATGGGGCGGATACTGAGTCTATTGACTCTACCTCGGAACTACCCCGTGAGACAGGCCGAAGCAACTGGAGAAGCTATCTGTGGAATGGGCCGAGTAGGAAAAGCAGCAGGGCCCCTTCTGTTGCCAGCAGGGTTGACCGAGATGCAGAAGCTCTTTCGATACACACGCGGTCACGAGCATCAAGCGGAGCGCAGCTACCCCGAAAACCCATTACCAACGATCTGTTTGTACCTCCTGGTCCAGTAGACAAAAGCGCCATTCCCACGCTGCGTCGGCTTCAAAGCCAAGATCGAGAATCAGGACTATCGTCCCGTCGATCCTCCGTTTCTTTGACAAACTGGGCGCTTAAGATGGTGGCTGGGAATAGTCAGGCCGTTCGGAGCTCTGATAAGGCTAATACTGCTCGAGGCCGTAAGTTCAACTCCTCGGATCCTGCCGATCGAGCCGCTTCAATGGATTCTACCAGGACGTCGCAGTCAGCTCGAGCCGCTTCGGCCAATGTCCCAAAGCGCGGCGGAAGAGCATCCCTTGGGCCTAACGGAACCATTAAAAGCATTACAACAGAAAACCCCAAACCCGTGGCTGCGAGCCCAAGCCCTCTACTGCAGACCCGTGGACTTAGTAGCTTGGGTCCTGTGGAGATGGACAGAATCCTACCCGAGGAATCTAGGCCGCCGACCCTCGTCCAGCATCACAACAACTTCCATTCGAACAGTGAATACTTGACGGACAGATTTGGTTTCATATACGATCAACGGCGCAAGAAGAGACAAAGTGAAGCAGCTTCCGCACTGACCAAGCAAAAGCGGAGCAGTCATGTTGAGTCACTGGGGGACACTCAGTCCGTTCTTAGCGCCTTAGGTTTCAACGAGAGATCAGAAGCTGTTAAGCCTCAACCCTCCGATGCCAACGATGATTCCAGGCCCCCATCTCGACCCGGCAGCGCAAGCTCAGGCGATCAAGGCACCGGGCAACCTTCAACAACGTGGCAAGATTATTTGAAGCTTGCGACATTTCCTACCGAGTTGCTCTCCCATACCCCATCTGCCATCCCCATTACTGTAGTGGAAGCACCTGAGGCGGACCTTGTTCTTCCGAAACAGAGTCAGCTCACTGTTATTAAGCGCGGCTCCTTACCTTCCACGAGTGCTAACCCTGAGCCTTCGCCATCTCGTGTCGTCTCCGGCAACGCCGAGTTCGCGATATCTTCTCCTTCTGCAGGGCCGGCGAGTCCAATCAGTCCCCACCCTCATCAAGCCGACCCAGTCAAGGCTCTTTTGGAGCAGCTGACCGAGCTCCATGACTCCTTGCAAAGAGATAAAACTGTCAAATGGAATGAATTCCTGCGCAAGGTTCGAGCTGAACGAAAGCGGGAAGAAGAAGCAGTCATCACTGGAGAAGGTCGACCGAAAGGCCTAGCCATGCCTGAAACAAACCTCGCTGACGGTGAGCTCGTCGGCATAGCAGGTCTCGGTAACAAAGGCAAGGTTGGCCGAGCTAAGTGGAATGAGTTTCGCCGCCTTGTCCTCGGCGGCATTCCCGTGCTCTATCGTGCAAAGATATGGGCCGAATGCAGCGGGGCCTCGACCCTCCGGGTTCCAGGGTACTACGACGACCTTGTCAACAATGGCGAAGACAACCCCTCGATCATTGCACAGATCCAAATGGACATTACCCGCACCCTCACCGATAACATCTTCTTCCGCAAAGGCCCCGGCGTGCACAAGTTGAATGAAGTTCTACTCGCTTACTCGCGCCGCAATCCTGAAGTCGGGTACTGTCAAGGCATGAACCTTATCACAGCTTGTCTACTACTCATCATGCCCACCGCCGAAGACGCATTCTGGGTTCTTGCGACCATGATTGAGAGCATCCTACCGGAGAAATACTATGACCAGCAGCTACTCACTTCCCGCGCCGATCAATCCGTTCTACGGTCCTACGTGGTCGAACTCCTCCCTAAACTCAGCGCTCATCTTGACGTGCTCGAAATCGAACTCGAGGCCCTAACATTCCAATGGTTCCTCTCCGTCTTCACAGACTGTCTATCTGCAGAAGCCCTTTTCCGCGTCTGGGACGTCGTCTTATGTATGCACGATGGCTCTACTTTCTTGTTCCAGGTTGCGCTAGCTCTACTCAAGCTCAATGAGAAGGCGCTTCTGCAATGCGATACCCCGGCTGGTGTATACCACTACATCAACCACCAGATGACCAATCACGCCATCTCCATTGACGGCCTAATCCAAGCCTCAGACGCCCTTAACAAAGTGGTTAAGCGCAAAGACGTCGAAGAGCGACGTGGGCGCGCCGTAGCGCACGAACAGGAAGTCATGCGGCAGCGCGAGGAACTGCGTCACGGACGGGCGAGGAAGCGGGCACTGAGAGATATCGAGGACAATGTTCAAGAGGAAGCAATGGTGTCGACGGCACCGAGTGTTTCAGTTAGTCTAGATGCAGAGCTGAGTCGGCATACGAGTCCAATGCGGACTCCGTTAAGTATGGCGACGAGTAGGAGCGAGGAGGAAGAGGATGCCGAAGCGTTGAATCAGAGTCTAGAAGAGCTAGCTAATCGGACGCCAATGCCGATTGAAGAGGAGAGCCTTTGGAGAGCTTGAAACGATGCATCCGTTCATAGGCCACCTCAATTTCTTATGTCTTAGCATTTTCCTTGGTCATGGTTGGTTGGTTGTTGGGGCGCGTGTTGTTGGGCTCGGTCTTGCTTGATACCCCAGACAGACAGACCACTTTCATTCCTTCTGTACAAGATTTCCTTGATCTTCCCCAGTCCTCAATCGAGGCGTCGTTCCCTCTTCTTTTCCCTATTGGTTTGCATGGACGGCGCATGGTACAGCATATATACCCTAAGAACGTGCGTTCGATGTCGCAATCAGATTGTGGCGTAGGCTTGGTTGGGAGGGCTGACCTTTCAATACCGAAGTGAGTGGTTATGGAGTAGAGACGAGGAGTTTGCACTGCGAAGGGAGATTTGAAAATTGGTGGAAATACCCGGTCTTGAGTCACCGACTTCAGTTGACTTTCAGTGGGTTTGTGGAGGGTAAGAGAGGTGTAGTTAGAATTGGAACATGGTTAATTCTCAATATATGTGTTCGTGGAAGTGAACTCAAGCTGCGAAGGGGAGACAAACACACCATGTGATCACAATTTTAAAGGCTTTCACATTATGTTCGACTGTATACAGCGTTCAAAAATGGTTACGTATATATCATTTAGCAGAGTCAACATTCTACCAGCGCATGGATATATGACTTCCCCCTCCCTCAACTTCCAACCCAAGGATGAAACAAAAGGATGAAGAAGAGCAAGCACCAGAACGCGTCTCGCTATGCAAGCAATGTAGCAACTAATCCCCAATCTTCATACATCTGCAGGGTCATCATTTGAGTATATATCAAACCATCACTCTTACAGCGCTGCCCGTTCCTCCCCCAGCTTCTTCCCCGTCAACACACTGAAATATTGATCTAGCGCCTCACACGTTCCTCTCCCTTCCACAAGCTTAACCACACACCCTACATATCCATCCGGTCGCACGACAACAACACCACCTGTGGACTCATCCAATCCCATCTTAGTATGCGCTGCCGCCTTGGCATTAGGGACTCGTTGATCCCATACATCATCTGCGTAGACATGGTCTCTGTAGCATGCAAGGGCCGCAGGCAGCATTTCGGCAATGAAGATTTGCGGCCTCGGGGCATTGAATATGGTGCAAAGGGACAGGAAGTCTGAGTGTGGGTTATCTCGCTCGTGGTACCGGTCCTTAGAACTGTCTTTGTGTGCGAAGATGCTATAGAAGGAAGTCGGGTTGGCCATGTATGTTGCGAGATCTTTCACAGCGGTCGTCGTCTGTTTAGGCAAGCCTGCAAAAATGTACATTCGGTAGGAGCCGTTGAGTGGGATTTCCTGTTCGAGATGCACGACGTTAGCGTCAACGACGCGGGTTACGGTAGCGGGAGTGAGGATTCGGCCTGTGCGAAGGTTTGTGCCTTTTTGGTAAGAGAGGAAGAGTGGATGTTGGGCTGGGTGTCCGGGACCCCAATTTATGATGTTGGGATTGTAGGCGACGCCGTATCCGGATGTGAATTCGCAGCTGGCTTTGAATGTCTTGACAAACTCGTTTTCCTCGGGTTCGTTGCTTGCGGCTCCTGCTACTTCCCCCGCAGAAGGGATGCGTGTGGAGAAGAGCTTTGCATATTTGGCGTCGAAGTCGAGCAGGTTCTCGGCGATGAGCTTACGTTCAGGTTCGTAGGTCGATAGCATCGAGCGCGGTGAGAAGCCTGATTCGACATGGTGGATCTTCCAGGCGAGGTTAACGGCATCAAGGAATGCTGTGTTCATACCTTGTCCCGCTTTGGGCGAATGGGTGTGGCAGACATCGCCACCCATGAAGACGCGTTCGTCGAGTGTATACCGCTCAGCAATGCCTTGGCCGATTGGGTAGACTGAGTACCATTCTACACGGTCCCAAGATATGGTGTAGGGCTTGAGGATCTCTTTTGCGTGGTTCTGAACGTCTTCTTCTGTGGCGGTTTTGCGGGGATTCCAGTCCGGATCTGTGGAGGAGGCGAGTTGTATGTACAGTCGAACCATGTTGTTTTCTCTCGGAATGACCATGACGGAACCTGCGTCTGAATGGATAGTGCATTTCATCTGTGTGAAATTAGCAAGTCTTAAGCAGTGGTAAATTAGTGGACGGAACATACCTTGATGTCAGGGAAATTTGTCCGGACGACACCATCCATGACTCCCCACACATGGGCAATCGGATCTTTGTGATGAATCTTTATTCCCAGCTGATCTCTAACAAAGCTCCTCGCGCCCTCGCCACTAAACAGATACTTGGCTCTCACAGTCTCCCTCGATGTCCCGTCCACGTGCGCCAAGCTCACCTCAACCGGGTAACTGGGATCTTTCCCGTCGTTCTTAAACCCAGTAATTGTCCATGGTCTCCGGATCTGGACCCCATTTTTTTCGATATCCTCAATAAACACCCTCTCAATCAACCCCTGGTGCAGGAGTGTAGTAAACGGGTATCTGGCGTCGATGAATTTGGGACAGGACGCCCACGTGCCCGTCCGGTGAATACCCTTGGGGTTTGGATCCCAGAATGCTACCTCGTACACTTTGGCGGGGTCGTGTGCCATGATCTTACGCTTGAGTCCCATGTTGCGGAGAAGGTCCAGGGATCGGGGTTGAATGCCATCTGCACGTCCGGTTAGGGTAGGCTCTGGTCGGTTGTCGATGTGTCTTATTCGGTACCCCCATCTTGCAAGACAGGTTGAGAAGGCCAAGCCTACTGGCCCGGCGCCTATTATCACAACATCGTACTTCTCCATGATCTCCGTAGCCTAAGCCGAGGGTATGGATAAGTCCTGAAAAGAGGAATGAGAAGCTGGGGGTAAATAAAAATAGATATCAAGACCAGTGAATGGGACAATGATGATAGTGCACATAAAACAGAGATGAGAGCGAAGCAGGTCTTAATACATGATGGGTAGTGTACAAACGACGGCCGAAGCTGAGGTCAAGAAGAACCATGATTAGAAGCCGACGATGACCGGCAATAATATCGGGCTTTGATAGCGAGGTAGTGCAAAATTACTGGCGCCGATGATGATGCCGCGAAGGTTGGCCCAGTGTGCGGGGAGCAACGAGAAGAGCAGGCGGAAGTCGAGAACGGCAGTCAATGCTGATTCAGCAGCCGCTTTAGGTCTAAGTGTGGCGCAAACACCTTCACTCATGCTGATGACTTCCCACGTGAAGGTTTGACGTGGACGGATGTTGTGATACGGCTCTCCGTGATGACCTCGATTTCCCCACACCTTAGCGAGATTTCTCCGAGATGTGTTACCTTTTTGAGACTCAAATTCGACTCCATCTCATGCCGGCATCCAACAGTTGCATTCACGGTTTCTACCATCTCGGCCGAGCCTCTGCACATCTTGACGCCAGGTCCACGGCCAGAGGATTGGTCGCTCCAGGATGTCATTACCCATATGTCCGCATTCACGATCAGACTCCAAACAGCTGCGCCAATAGGGAGCAAGGTCTAGTAATCCTGTGGTTGACGTGAAGACCCCCTGGAACGGAAACAAGCTCATGGCTAGTCTGGCCGATCCCCCATACGTCTTATTTCCTTCTTGCCGCCGTGCATTGTTCGAGGCCCGACAAGCCCAATCTTGGACCAATGCGGTAGCACTGTGCAGGCTCTGAATCGCTGCTATTATGTTGCATCAGCATGGTATGGGTCTTTGTAAGGAAGCTGCAGCACCTGTTTCTAGAACAACCAGTTCGTAGGGCGACGGATGAGCGAAGGATGAGTCTCCAGCAAGTGCATATTAAAGTCTTACGCTCCCCTCTTCAGGCTCCAAGCCATATTTCTTCCTTATTAGATATAGTAACAACTCGAAGTGAGACCTCTTTCAACCATGACGTTCGAACCTGTAACGACAAATCTTGCCGTCCTGAATCTAAGCTTTCTTCTCCATCCATTGGACACACTTCCAATCACCGCACCCCTATCCTATGCCATTTACCAAGGCTGCTTTTCCCCTCTTTCCAACACCCCCGGCCCATTCCTCGCGAGTCTCACAAGATGGTGGCTCGCCAAACTCTCCGTCGCCGGCAACTACAACACTTTCATGGCGTCTTTGCACAATAAAGTACGGACCACTCGTCCGCATTGCTCCGGAGGAAGTCAGCATAGCAGATCTCACAGACATCAAGCAAATCTACGGCTTCGGTTCCAGATTCCAAGAGAGTGACTGGTACGGAGTCTGGCGAGGACATCGGAAGTTTAACGTTTTCGGGGGCCAGGATATGCAAGTGCACGCGCTGCAACGAAAACTAGTGGCAAGGGCTTACGCGCTGGAGAGCTTGGAGGATTTGGAGCCGTATGTGGACAGGTCGATTGAAGTGTTTATGAGGAAGATGCATGAGCAGTTAGATCAGGAGATCAATATGGCGGAATGGGCTCAGCTTTCGCTTTTGGTATTCCCACCTCCCTCCTTTACTAACCCATTTTGTCCCTTTGCTGATGGTATGGCGTGGTAGATATCACCGGTGAGATTACTTTCTCTAGGTCATTTGGTTTTATGGAAGCTGGACAAGACCATGGAACCTTCCCTTCTATCGCAACTCACCTGGCTAGGGCAAGTCCCCTGGCTATTCTGGCTCTACGGCCTTCTCATCCCGTACATCGGTAACTACCTAGGTGTAAACATGCGCCACGGCCCGCTTCGAGACTACGCTCTAAAAGCAGCTGCCGAACGGCAAAAATGGCTAGCAGAAAAGAGAGACATGATCGGCCGCTTCTTTGAAACCAGTGCCACCAAACCTGAAGAATTTGACTACAATGCTATTGTAAGCATGGGTACTACGAACATCACAGCCGGTAGCGACACCACAGCCGTCTCAACTCGAGCAATCATCTACCACCTACTCAAGAACCGTACCGTAAAGCAGAAACTGCTTGAAGAAATCGACGAGTTGAGAAGGAAAGGCGAACTGGGCGACCCGGTCCGCTTTGACAAAGCAAATAAGATGACTTACCTCCAAGCCATCATGCAAGAGGGCCTTTGTATGCATCCCGCAGTTGGAATGAACCTACCACGTGTGGTTCCACTTGGTGGAACGGAGATCAACGGACATTACTTTCCCGAGGGAAGTGTTCTAGGTGTTATCGCGTGGGTTGTGCATCAGAACAAAGATGTGTATGGTGAAGACGCAGATCAATTTAGACCGGAGAGATGGCTGAAGAAGGATGCACATGATATGAGGAAGTCCAATTGCAAGTGTGCAAGCGCCAGAGGACCAGACACGTGCTAATCCATTCATGCCACAGACCGATTCTTCTCCTTCGGCGGCGGGTCTAGAAGCTGCATTGGGAAAAGTGCCCACGATACACCTCCTCCTATATATAATATGTCCGGATTCTAACTTCTACTTAGATATCAGTTAGCTCGAGATGTCCAAGCTCATCCTAACGCTCTTTTTACGCTACGGCATTGAACTCGCCCTGCCATGGAAGGACTGGACGCAGATGTGCTAGTAAGTGTCCCCCCTCTTTTGTCTTGTTCTATTGAGGCCAATGTGAGCTTATTCGAGGTTGCAGTTTCTTCGTGTTGAAGAAAGACTTCTTTGTTCGATTAACACCGAGGAAAGATCCTGCTACCGAAGCACGAGCAGGAGGACTGTTGAGGAAATAGGCAAAATCGTCAATACCAAGTATTCAATTTGAAATAGGGGGGTTGTGGTAGCAGATGAGCTAGAAATTGGCGATAGTCATTCAGGCAAGAAAGGATAGGTGACTGATTGGATCTTATCGTGTAACAGGTAACATGACAGAGGTATAATTCAGGACAGCAATTGGTCTCCTATTAACTCTCTCCTAAATCTAGGAAGAGGTTTAATAGATAGATCCCATCCCTAGTCGTGTTCTACCTTACGTGATAACATGCAGGAGACTGTTCGATGGCAGTTCCTAGCAATCATAGCGCCAAATTTTTGTGCTTAAAATAACGCACAATCCAGTTATTAGGAGGACAAGACGGCAACTATATGCGATTTCGTGTACATTAGCTAAGGTAGCAAGAAGCCGAAGCAAATACCAAAACGCCAGACACCGGATCTCTCTGCCTGCGGTAGGCGGGATCGACTGGTGAGATGCAGATCTTCCGATCGCTAAGATGACTTTTAGACACCCCAGCTTTTCTCCGTAAACATAGTCGATCTTGACGGCAGTCTTGTTTTTACTACGCCTTCCTCCGCCGTGTACAAGGCATCGTACATGCTTAAGAGGACTCGACTCTCATTTCCTCCACCTCCACCCTTCACGGTTGGTTATGGCCGCTCTCTGACGGGTGATCTCACGATGCTCCAGCCTCAGCCCCAATCTGGGCTGCCAACCTTTCTTCCTCCCTCCTTGATCGCGCGGCTTCCGTCTCCCGTCTCAGGGCGTCCAGATTCCAAGCTCCAGATTCGTCGTCATCGCTTTCGTCATCACTGTTCTGCCAGTCACCCTTCTCGAACATGGCACGGCCAGTAGCTTCTTTCAAAGCCTTGGCCTGTTCCTCTGCGGCCTTCTTATCCATTCTATTCTTCTTCCATATTGCGAAGGATTCGGCAGTAACAGGCGTGAGTGTACCGGTAAGTTTATGGCGCTCGGATTCTAGGAAGTCTTCTAGTGTGAGCGTAGCAAGAGGCGATTTGTCCATGAGAGCCTTTTCTGCAGCGCGCTGTTCTTTGGTCTTGAGTACAAATCTAGTCTTGTCAGCATTTCCACTCGCATATTCTCATACAAGCAGAGTGAAGACCTACCCGGGTGGCAAACTATGTTTGTACATGCACTTGTCGCCCCCATTCGGACAAGTCCAAAACCAGCCATATTTTCCATTCTCAACCGCCTCGATAAAATATTTGCATACCTTGTCCGTTGTGGTTCTGGGATTCCCATGTTTGCTCAACACCACGTTCCTCAGTTTTTCCTCGTCCCAGTTTTCCATACCATCCTTCTTCTTTGCCTCCTCTTCCTCCCCCTCCTCACCATCCCTGTGATCTGTGTACAAGCTCTTCTTTTCTGTCTTCCGTTCCACTGCCAAATCGTGGCTAAACTTGCACTTTTTCCCCTTCTCACAAGTTCCCTTCTTGAAGAATTGGCACAACACGGTCTTGGGATCGACACCGAAGGGAACCTTTTGGACTTGCACGGGTTTGAAAAGTTCAGCAGCTTCTCTGCGTGCATCTTCAGCGGCTTTCTTTTCCTTCTCCTTCTGAGCCTTTTCGGCGTCCTTGCGTTTCTGCTCCGGGGTTTTGGACCCCGCTGCCGCTTGCTGGATTTGTTTGATCTGTCTCTGTGCCGCACCGCCTTTTTTCTGTCGTGCAGGGGTTAGTGGTTGTGTGAGGAGTGGACGTGTGCGATCGGGTACAGATGGCGTGGTGCCCGTGGAGCTGTAGGTTTGAGGAAGGATTATGGACGTACGTTTTTCATACCGAAGGTCTAGACTTATATTAGCCTCCCGAAGCCCTTAATTCGACTCATGAGCGCATACCTTGTCCACGGCGGTCTTCTGAGCCTTTGGCTGTTCTTTCCCCTTAGGCGCCATGATGAATCCAGAGTCGCTGTCTTTACAAAGATATTGTACGCATCCAAAAATAAAAGTCGCTCAGAGAGTGTGGGTCAAGTTAGATTGGGTGACGCCTAGGAGTAATGTTTTGGCGGTAGTGACTCCAAGGCTGTGAGGTCAGAGGGAGAATGGCGGCGGTTTTTGGTGGGGTGGGGTGGAATCTTGTGCGGAGCGGACGGGCCATTGGCGGGCGGGAAGGGGCACGTGCGTCACTGTGCCAAGATGGACCCGTGAAAGCTCAAAGGTGGCTTCACATGGGCATAGGTGGACGAGCCTCGAACAATCAGCCGCCAGCTCCTGGTTCCACCGACGTTCATTGACAGTCAGCACCTGAGCTAGAAGTATGCCCTAAAGAACATCTCTCTATGAATTGTCCCTCTAATTGACCACAGAAGCTCCGCAATCCGCAATCCGCAACCCCCCAATCCCCCAATCCCCTCCTCCACCTTCACCGAACGCGTGGCCAAGATGATATCCGACAACCAACTCTACACGCTCGCCATCTTTCTCGGCACCGCTGCAATGCTTCTCATAATACTATACCACTTCCTCGAGGTCAACTCTGAAGACCATGCGCCAATGCAGAAGCCGAAAGCTGTTCCGGGCAAGGCAAAGAGCTAGACTTGGCATATTCTCAGGATGAAGGGAATGATCAATGGGGACGATTCAATTGTGGGGAAGACAGACTGTACCTATGGCATCGTGAAGGCGGTCTTCTAGGACTTCATCAAACCTCATCTACTTTGTACTGTGTGCCAAAAAGGAGGGTCTCATCAGCAAATGGGAATGGGCAAGATCACCGAGTGTCTTAACACATGGAGCTCATGGCATATAAGCCGGCAAATACAAGTCCTATCTGCCTCGGAGTATACTTACATCTATACTCATTCCCACATTATTGCATGGAGAATCGCTATGCTGTAAACCCCACAACTGTATCCACTCGTTGCGAAATCGCTAGCCAAAACGCTACACTCTGAGTCGTGTTCGCGAGAGGAATGTCATGATGAAGCTCAGGCTCTCAATCTCGACCAAATGTGTAGCCTTTCCAATGCACTGTAGGATTTGCATCTTCATGCCCTTCAAGCAACATTCGTCTCCCTAGTCAGAGACATCAACCACCTTATATCCGCCTTCTAGGTCGTCCTGGTCGACGAAGCCTCTCCGCCGCTTCTCGTTGGCGAGCGTAGAGCCGCTCTTCTCCATCCCCGGCGCGCCAAGCCGCCTCTTCCGAGCGATTGCTTGGTTGAGTTTGTCCTGCGCTTCCTGCTTGGTTGTAACTTTTCGTGGCCTGCCGCGGCTCCGTGGAGTTGTCTTGAGGGATTCTTCGCTGACATGTGAGGCATCGGCGGTTATACGTGGAGTAACGCGGCGACCTTGCGCATCACTAAGGTAGGCCTCGGAGGCAGGATCATTTGCGTCTATTCCACCTGTTAGCAACCAGAACAACGACCGTCGAAAGGGACGTTACTCACCTGAGAGGCCACTAGCCGGCCCATCACCTTGATTCCACGAAAGCGGACCAAAGTGCCTCAATTCCAAGTGTTCTCTCCATTTACCTTCGTCTGGGAAGCTGAATGGGGTGGCCTTCTCAACTGTAAACCCGGTAACAGTATCCCTGCTGGTGATTTCCCTCCCACAATCTCCCCAGAGACACTCCAGCATTCCCCGTAACGTCTCTTTACGATGCACTTTTTGGACGTGCTTCTTGAGGGTCTCTAGATTATGCAAGTCGGCTTGACAACCCTGCCACTTACACTTGAAACTCTGGTATCTAGGTATAGAAGGGCGGTTGGCGATACTTGGAGACCGGGAGCGGATCACAATCGGGTGGTCGTTTCCAGTTCTGACATTGCGGAGACTACTAGGTTGTGACGGAGTCCAGTTCTTTGGGCCGGCATGTCCATTTGCGGTCGGCCTTACTTGCGCAGCAGCCGAGCCGTGAATATGTTTACGCCACCCAACTGGTCGTCCCTTCTTCTTGGGTAACGGGTTCCCATCCGGTCCGACACTCTCCGTCGTAGAACGGAAAGCAGAATAGCCGACTGCTGCTGCATTTGGGCGGGGTGCACTCATATCTTTAAGGGGAATGCCAGAGGAACGGCGTGGGATATTGATGTGTTGCGACGAGTCGCGACTGGACTCTTGTGGGAACGAGTGTCGGGGTGGACGCCCGCGTCGCTTGATCTTGAATGGATTGGTGGCTTCGGGAAGCGCACGGACCGTATCACTCACTCCACTATTCCTAGCCTCCTGTCGCGCCGGGGCACGTTTCTTGTCTATCCCGCGTTCATCTTCACTATCTTCGTCATCCGCATCGTTCACTTCCAAAATTTGAGATTGGTCTTTGTAAAATCCTCTCGGAGGGTCCCCAGGGTCGATAATATCCCACCTAAGTGTACTTAAATCGCTGTTGTTGTCCACCTGCGGTAAATGAATTTTAAGGATCTCCAAGTGGCCATTCAATTGTCGCTCATCTGGGTGCCTTCCACAAGCCAAGAGCACATCTCTTGCAATTGTTTTGATGTTGTAAGAGTTTCGGCGTAGAGCATTCTTCTTATCAATCTGCTGAACGATGTTCCTCATTTTTAAGTCATTTGCCGGTAGTGAGGAGACGTGGCTCATAGTAGCTGGCGATGGAATGGCTGGAGTAGGAATGTGTGTACCCGTCATGCCGTCGCTGTTGTTCATGAGGTTTGCGGGAGTACTTCCCGGGGAAGTGTAGGAATATATAGTAGAGCTAACATTTGACTTTTTTGATGGTGGTCCATCCTCCTCCTCAGACGGCAGGGTTAAGTCGATTAGATCGTCGAAGGTGCGCTTCCGTGCAGCCTCTTCTTTGTTTACTGGCGCCTTCAACCCTGCCTTGACGGGGACCACTTCGGCCACCGCCACAGATGAGTGCGAAACTTCCGTGTCTGGAAAGGGTTGGGGCGGAGAATATTCGAGAGGCTTAGTCGTTAGCGCATATCCCGGACTGACTGCAGCAGGAGTAGCACTATTTCGGTTCTGGGGAATAGACTGGTTCTTTAGGTGGTGGGGTGAGGCAGTGGTGACGGCAGGTGACTGAACCTGCACTCGATGCCCAATGTTACCATTTTGTTGTGAAGTACTGCTAAGTGAATGCCGCTGAATTTGAGCCTTTCGGGCTTGATTGGCCTGAGACTGGCGGGGCCCCGAATTGACATCCGGAACTGCGGTGAGGAGATTCTTGGCGAACCCGGCTCGATCCAGCTTTAGTTGCATCGACTCTAGTTGTTCACATAATTCAATGTAAGAAGGATTGCTATCCAGCATACTAAGGATAGTCTCACTAGTTATTGGCTTGTCTTTGTTCCGCAAATTGAGATAACTGGAGGCCGCATTCGCAAGCTGGGCCTTCTTCTCAGGTGGCCAAATAGTATTTCCAACAGGACGAGACGAAGATGGCACAGCTGGCACAGCTTTGGTGGAAGGAGTAGATGCAGGAGTATGTGTTTTGGTAACTGGGGCCATAGTTACTCCCGACGGTGCATGAGAGTGGGAGTATGCAGAAGTGGAACTTGTAGTTGTCTCCTTGGTGACCACTTCCTGTGGCTTTGCCGTTCTAGATGCATTGGCTTGCACAGGCTGCGCGGTAGCCGGTTGCGGGGTAGCCTTGTTCTGCACAGTAGGAGATTTTGGACCTTTCGCGCGCCTCTCTTCTTCCCAAATACGCGCTAGAAGCGCGGGATCTTTTCCGCTCAACTCCCTCATTTTGGACAGCATGGCCCTCATTTCAGCTTCTAGGCTTACAGCAGCGCCATTGGAAGACCCTCCAGCGGCTGGGCGTTCGGATGCAGGGGACTGTTGATGCAGGGTTGTTTTGCCCGACGGGCCCTTCCTTGGTAAAGATTGGCTCGGAGGGAGTGCAACTGGCACTTGTGCTTCTATTTCCCGCCTCTCCTGCTCGGTCTTCTCCTTTTCTTCTGCTTTCTTTCGCTCTTCCTCAGCGCGGGCGGCATCCTCGGCGGCCTTTTGCATGCGAAGAGCTTCTTGTTTCCTTTGATACTCGGACCAGGGATCATAGACTGCAATTGGGTCCACTGTTATTGTGCTCGGGTTGTTGTACTGTTCCGAAACGGAAATAGATGAAGGTGTCTGTTCAATAGGAGCAGCAATCTGCGTATCCCCGTATGAATACGACGGGGCTATGGCAGGGTTCAGCACCTTCTGCACCTTCTGGGCGGTGTCCACGCTTGAAGGCTGCCTAGGGCTGTAGTCTTGGTATTGAGTTGCCGCCGTCATAGCCGTGCTCACAGGCGTCATGGTGCTATGAGAGTACTGGTCTTGGACAGCTGACGCGGACTGCTTCTGTTGTTGATTGTAGAGAGCCTGTGCTTGCTGAGAGGGATATCCGGCACTGGTCGCAGGAGGCGGTAGACCACGAGACGAAGTAGACTGCGAAAGGTTGGGGCTTACGCTGCGCGGACGTGGCTGGGCTTTTCCATATGTTGTATGTGACGCATGAGAGTGTTGCTGCAACGGGAGCTGCGGCGTGCTTGTCGAGTATCCCGTTGAAGCTGGTGCACGAGTCCGGGTGAAACCTGAGCTACTCACCACTGGGAGTTCAGTGCGAGCGTATGCGGTATTACTTAGACTCCGCAGGGCTTCCGCCGCGCGACTCGACAAATCGCAATTCTCCCCATAGCTCCCACTACCCCAAAAGCCATCCTGTCCCTCTCCATTCGTGTTTCCTTGTTCACTATACGAATTGTAACCCACATACTCTTGGGACTGAGTTGTCGCTACCGAAGGCGTCTGCTGGTACTGCCGTGATGGTTGCATATCGTTGCTCGAGGCCGGCGCAGTTTGATACCCGCTATACTGCTTTGCGGAGGTTTGCTGGTTGTTCTGGTAATAGCTACTGTTGGACGACATTATTCCAGATGCTCAGTTGGTCAAATCTCCCCCCAAAGCGTCTTGATGTGTAGCCCCAAGCAGACACATGGGTGCAAGGTTCGCGCTGGAAGAAATATTTATTGACAGTGATGGCAATGGGACCGAACCGAGTCAGAACGTTAGAGAGTCGCGCAGCACACGATTAACGGAAAATCAAACTAGAGGGGGTAGGGCAGATAATGATCGTCCTAGCCCGAATGGATCCGGATCGCGCGTGGTGGTTATCCGAACAAGTGCATCAAAGATGTCTGAAGAACGCGTTGTGAGTAGCAGAGAGGAACAAGGAAGGCAAGGCTAGCTGAGCGCGTCGGATAAAGGTTAGTCCGCACCGAAATCGCGCTAAGCCGTGTAAGCGAATAGCCTCATTTTGGCTGCACACAACTCTCAATTTCGAGCCGAGGACTGCCACCAAGACCTGCGACACCACCCACACCTCCACCATGACCAAAATCAACCAAGGCATTGCGAGCTCGCGCCGCAAGTCGCGGAAAGCTCACTTTGGTGCACCTAGCAGCGTGCGCCGCATCATCATGTCGGTCAGTACCCTCTTGACTATTTCCACGAGCTGCCCTCACCATTTCCCCAGGCGCCGTTGAGCAAGGAGCTCCGTGAGAAGCACAATGTGCGGAGGTAAGCATCTCTTTCACTTTCGGCATGATCGGGCGCTGACACGAGTAGCATTCCCGTCCGAAAAGACGTATGCATACCAAATTTCGAATGGGGAACGCCCAACACTAAATGCATTGCAGGACGAGATTATGATTGTCCGTGGAACGCACAAGGGCCGTGAGGGCAAAATTTCTTCCGTATACCGTCTGAAATACTGCATCCATGTCAATGGAGGTGTGTATGCCCTACTCTCGAAATCTATTACTCCCATTGCTAACCTGAGAAATAGTGGTCCGAGAGAAGAGCAACGGTTCGTCTTCACCCCTCCGTTTAATCAACTAAACTACTTACACTCCCAAGGTCAATCAGTCCCAATCCCAATTGCCGCCTCCAAAGTCGTCGTCACAAAGCTCAAGCTAGACAAGGTATGTTGAGGAAGTAAAACTGGGAGGGGAAAGGATTGCTAACGGGACACAGGACCGCGAGAACATTCTGGAGAGGATAGGTCAGGGCCGTGAAGCGGCGAAGAAGTCGAAGGCATAGATGGCAGTTAGCTTTTTTTAGGTTGACGACAATTTCATGGCTGGGTTGCCCGGGGACATCGGCGCGGGCTGTACCTTTTTATCATCGAGCGAACGGAATGCACAACACCTCTTCACCAATTTCGAGCTCACAACAAAGGCATTGAAAAGTGGTGTGGGGGCACTATATCGACTTATTGATTGAAGAATGGACTAGCTGACAAGGCTGGTATCATCATAATCATCCTCGAATGGAAGACCACTCGACTTGCGTTTTGGATGCTCTTGTGCAGCGTTCCCATCTGCTACTACTAACTTTCTCATTGGCCGAATCCCAGGGTTGCACTGATCCACGTCATCCGCTAGAATATCTACTCTTCAACCCGCCCCAATGGTTGCATGCAGTTATACGACTAGCGAAGAGCAAATCATATGACATCCTCGTCATGCTTACCTGCAGACCGTTCCGAGACCCTGTCGATGAAGGAGATGGTTTGATGGTGAGAAACACGTTTAAGCTCAGTACATAGTGGATTGCTCTATGCAAGAGACTTTCAGGTTAGTAACAGGAAGTATCAGAACATAATCAACGGTAGTGATGAGACTCGATTCACTTTCATAGACACGGTGATATCTCGACGCCGGACAATGCTTTACCCATCGACATGTAGCCTTGGCAAATTTAACCCCTCCTTCCTGCCGCTCTGCTTGCTTATATCGTTCTCTTGGTTCTGGAATCAAACCTAGAGGCTATAGCTAACGTATGTCAAGGTCTGATCGGATGTGTTTGGAGGGAGAAGTTGATTATTAATACCGTGGCGAGTCATCGTTCGGTCTTACGCAAGTGCGACATCCGCTTTATTGCAAATCCACATATTATGCAATTCTGACCCTGTCTTTCACCACAATGCAAGTTTACTAATCGTGCTTGGGACTTTACATATTGGAGCATAAATACGTTCGATAGGCCTGGAGTATTTCCGCTTACTCTGTTTCCCAGCCCTTTCAAGTAGCCCGCTACCCACTTACCAAGTCTTTAAGTCCGACCAGCCGCACGTCTATCATCATGGCATCGAAACTCATCGCTATCGTCGCTGGTGTCGGGCCTGGCACAGGAGCTGCAGTCGCTCGCAAGTTCGCAGCCACTTATCCTGTCGTTCTGTTAGCGAGGAAGCCAGAGAACTTTGAAAGCCTAGCAAAGGAGATCAACCAGAGTGGAGGGAAAGCCATTGGAATCAGTACGGATATCTCAGATTCAAAGAGCGTGAAAAATGCTATCGATGTTATCAAGAAGGAGTTTGGCTCTGATGTCGGAGCTGCGGTATGTTAGAACAAGCATCTAGATTACACGAGGAAGTGGTTATAATGGGTTGTACAGGCGGCTATCTTTAATGCCAGCGGCGGATTCCTCAGGAAACCTTTCTTGGAAGTGCCAGACGATGTCTTTGCAACATCTTTCGCTGTTAGTGCGACAGGCGGGGTCCTCTTCTCGAAAGCAACACTTCCACTACTCCTCAAGGGCGTGGAGCTCAAATCCCCTCACCCACCATCGCTGATCTTTACAGGCGCAACAGCGTCAGTCAAGTCCAATGCTCAGATGGCATCTTTTGCGGTTGGCAAGTGGGCTTTGCGAGCATTGAGCCAGTCTCTTGCGAAAGAGTTCGGTCCGAAGGGAGTGCATGTCTCTCATGCTATCATCGATGGCGTGATCGATATTCCAAGGACGAAGGAATGGCTGAAAGACTTGGGGCCTGAGGCAAAGCTGAGTGCTGATGGGGTAAGTGCAATTCCAGGGGCGAGGTGACAGTTTGCTAAAGTTCACAGATCGCCAACGACTATTGGAATCTTCATACACAACCTGTGACCAACTTCACTTGGGAGATTGATTTGAGGCCTGCTGTGGAGAAGTGGTAAAGTCAACTCGTATCCAAATATGACAACGTTGCTGAGCCATGCAATTATAATGGACGTGAGTCCAGGTCACGATCACCAGGTGTTTGCTCGACTTAAGACCACCTTCATGTAGGTCAAATATTCAACAGTGGAGGATGCTCTTTCAATGATGGAGTTGATCATGAACTGTTCCTGACGTCCTTCTCTTCATTCCAGAGTTTCTCGGTTGCACTAGCGCATTCCCAACGTTTTGTCTACTTAACTTCGTTGGTAGTTCAACATTCATTGGATTGAAACTCCACGTATTGTCTAGCTTCTTCAAATTCAAGTAAATGCCACAACTACTAAAAGCCCTGCCTTCTCAGTAGAGACGCTGTACCATGAAGCTTCTACCCAATGTCCTCGCCCTACTCCCTCTTGTAACGTCCTTTCCAACCCTAATTCGCCACCCCCAAAGTCCAACCCTCAATCATGGAGAATGCGATCCCAATATGGCCCCCGCAGATAGCGGAATGTTTACATGGTCCGACGATGGCAACTCTCAGATACAAGACAACCAGCAGCTATGGCACACATGCGCTGTCAATGGACGGTATCCCAACTGTCGAATACGTCTCGGGGGTTTAAGATATGCGATTACTCCTTTCGCGCAACTTAAGCCAAAGCCTAGGCCCACCCTCAATACGAAAGTAAAGACGAAGAGTATAAGTCCAACACAGTACCCTTCGATGGTGATTATCCAGGATCTAATTCTTAAACCTTCGAACCCGAGGTTCGAATCTAATCCTATGGAAGGAGGCGAACCGGTCGCCCTCACTGGACCGCAAATCCCACACCCAAGCCAAAAATCGCAAATTAAGAAGACAAGCCCCAGCCCAAGTCTCTCTTAAACCCATACGCTGATGATAGAGCCTATGGCCAAACTGTCAGTTGTTTGAATGAGTATTCTGTGCGTAATCATGGCTATAAAGGATGGGATAGAAATATAGTAAGATGGCAGAACTATCCTCAAGTTTTAAGAGTGTATATAGATGCTACTGCGGCTTAGGGTCGTGTTTGTGACAATATGTTCTGCTGGGAAGCTGACCGGGGCGAGGGACGATTTAACCATCGTGGTTACAGTCTAAACATATCTGGCTTAGTAGGGGATGTGGGTGCGGGTGGCAAATTGCCGATGCGGATGAGACCAGGGGAAGAACTGGAGGAACTGGTTTTGCGGGCATGCTGAGAGCTAATCTTGTTGATGCTAGAAAGAGTATGTTAATACGTTGACTTAACGCCTTTCAAGTCGGGTGCGTTGGGAAACGGTAATTTCCGACTTGTACTGCCTTGTATTACCTAACGGAGAACATGATAGCAGTAATTTAGGACAGAAATATGCATCCTGTTAACGCTCAACCTAATTCCAGCAAGAGGGTTAATAGGTAGACTCTACCCTAGCCATGTTCCACGTTAGGTGAGACGGTGCTAGGGTAGAGAAAGATAAACAGAATAGTACTGGTAGGATACCTGTCCATGTCATTTTATTTAACTTGTTCGTTTTCACTCCACCATCTATGACGTCTCCAAATTTACTCAGAGTCCATCGTTTGCTTTCACTCCCGTTCACCACGCGTCCACCCACCAGCCCCACATCTCAGTCCACTCCACAGTCACCACCAAAATATGGTCTATAAATAGTCAAATGCTTCCGCCCAATTCATATTTAAACAAAATCAGGCCGATAGCCAAGTGGTATGATCCTACTGTTGTTACATTGTAAGCCATTAATAGTCAAGATGCCTTATGCTTTTGATCGAATATCTTGTGGCCTTACTTCCTTCATACTGTCCAGAAAGTGCGTAGTTGTTGTCTAGGTGATCCACTCACTGCAGGCCACATTGAACCTCCATCTCTATACACCCTCGCATCATCTGCTGAGTAGGTCATTTTTAGTTCGAACAGTTCAGTCGAAGACCTAGTCTCAAGAGTAAGAGTAAGAGCAGAGTACGACTTCAATGTTATTCGTGCGACAAGGCTTGCTTTTATGTGGCGATTCAATGGGTACAAATCACCCCTCCGACTTGACGTTGATGCGACCATTTAGAGTGGTGAATATCTGGCTGATACAATAGCACAACTGTATTTGGTACTATAGTGAATAAACGGAATACTAGGTCTAAGCTCGAAATCTGGCGTCCCCTTCCATTAGTACCGCATAATATTCCTGTCGTTTCACTCTACTAAAAATAGATCACCAGCTCTCCAACCCATCACCCTCTGAAGGCTTGAGAATTACTCTGGTGGGTACAGAAACCTATATTGCCAACAGATCCTTTGGGGTGAGTATATTCTGCCTTGTTCCTTCCCGAGGTTAATATTAACTAGCACAAAAGTCAAATATCTAAATTCTTGCTCCAAGATCGTTCCCACACTCTAAACTATTGTCGGCCCGTTTTGGTACTATACACACACCATCATATCTCGTCGTACCTGCCAAAGTAGGAGATATTTCCTGATTTTTTTTTCATGTCCTAAGGTGAGCATCCTTGTCACTCTTTCACTCCACGGCGTACCACAGAATTATTTTTTCTCAACAGCGAAAGGCACAAGTACGTTGGTACTCCGTTTGCTAGTAACAATACCCAACCTTTAGCTGCCCACCTCCCTTCTCACACCAGTGAGAAGAATAATACCAGAGCTACAAGCAGCTCCTAGCTGAGCCAAAGAGCAAGGAAGCGTTCAAAGAGGAGTGGATCGCTAACCCGTGAAAATCCATCCAGAGGGTTAGAACTAGAGGCGGCAACGAGATAGTCGAGGTCGTTGGAGTAGCGCTCGCAGACGGAGCCATGGCTTAAGCGCGCGAGAGTTCACCTCGATGAGAATCTCCACCGTCGAAGTCAAAAGTTAAGAGCTGCCAATTTAGCACCCCGCCTAGCACTTCTGAGCAGACAGAGGTGATTAAGAAGATTTAAGAGGAGGCTGCTGTTATTTTTCGGTGATCTGCGAGCGCTAAGTCGGGTGGAAATGGAAATGTCGAGGGAGATGGTGTGAAGGCTCTTGTGCATCCTTGTCAGCCCTGCAGAAGTCCCAACGATCTGGAACCGACCCGAAAACCCGGTAGGAACGATTTTGGTCTGTTGTGCTGAGCGAATCAGAGACACTGAAAGCTGATCGCTTTCTCCAAAAGGAAAACTTGGAGGTTGCCTTTTTGTACAGCCCATGAGAGTGTTTCAAAATCCCTCGTCTTGGCTCTCCAAGATCAAATTGGCAGAGCGTGTAGAATCTAAGAAATTGCAGTGGCATCGACTGCAAGCTACAGCATGTTACCACACAGTATGGAACATAATCAGGGTGGAGTCAATCTGTTAAATGTCTCGCTGGAACAGAGGAGAGCGTGGACGGAGTGCAAATCCCTGTCCTGCGCCTACCCCCTGTCGTGTTCCAAGCCAGATGGCATGATGCAGCACCTTGGCATTAGTAGTATAATCAAGATCATCTTACTTGTGCTTCCTGTCTGTCGTCTCATGAAGGCCCCAGCGTTGTGAAGCTGCTCGATCAGAAACCTCGTGAAGATCTCTGTGAAGATAAATCAAGAGATCAAATTAAAACTACACGGGTAATTGGGAAGAGGCATGGAAGAAAATACCGTTCGTTCTCATTCAAGGGCTTCCCTTCAAGAGTGACCATGCAAGCGGTAACGCTTCCATTACGCATTACATACATTGGCCATATCTACATATCGTTTTAAGGAGCGTTCCATCCATCACATCATCACATTATCCATATCATAGGAAATCCGTCGCAGTCACCCATAAAGACGCTACAACGAAACGACGAGCCTGACTTTACAAACTATCGACACCAACGCAAGCTCAATACTAAAGCATTCATTTATCCTTACCTAAATATCCCAAATCGCACGTCGACCAATGGTGTCGTTTGCCACGTTATCCCATTCACGCGCAAATAGAGCTGCAGGGGGAGATGATCCGCCACAAGTGTCTTGCACGATGCAGACATTTCTGGTACAGCAAGTACCCACCGCACACACAGCACCGAGAGGACAGTCAGCGTTAGTGGCACAGTCTGCTAGCCCAGAACAAGGAGTTGTCCCACTGACGCAGAATCCAGTGCCGTCGACAATAGAGGCACAGACGCAGCTACCTCCGGGGCCGCATGGTCCGAATGTTGAGCAGGTTTGCCCAGAGCATGAATTGAGAGAGCATGCGCCGTTTGAGCATGTTCCGGAAGCACACTGTAATATAGAAGTTAGAATAGAGAGCTTCTGGGTTTGCTACGGGGGGCATAATCATTCTTAGAATTCTAAAAGAGTTAGTGTGAGATGTGACTCACCACAACGCCACAGGCTCCGCAATTGTTCGGGTCTGTCTTGAGGTTAACGCAGTTCCCGCTGCAAGTTGACTCTGCCGGGCATGAAGGAGTCGCTGACGTCGTGGACGTCGTCGAAGATGTTAGTGGAGTGGATGAATTTGTAAAAGGTGGTCTGGTCGTTGTAGTTGGAGGAGGAGGCGGTGTTGTGGGTGGTGTTGTAGGCGGAGGATTAGGCGTTGTAGGTGGAGGATTAGGCGTTGTAGGTGGAGGATTAGGCGTTGTAGGTGGAGGATTAGGCGTTGTAGGTGGAGGATTTGGTGGAGGTACCGATGTTGGTACAGATGGTACTAAAGATGAAGTCCTGGGGTTTACTATGAGATTCTCCAGGCCCTTGCAAGCCTCGCTAGAAAACTGGTCCGCAATCGGGTAGGCCTGGCTAGTGAGGTAATTGCAGAACATGCTCGCTCCAAAGACTGAGAGGAACTCAAGTTTAGGCTTGACAGCAACACTATCGTCATAGATAGCTGTGATGCAATTGTCAACCACAACCGGAGAGAAGGACTGAGCAGCCCCGCCAGAGAAGAAGTTTTGACAGATCGTCGAAAGCGTATCTGAGATAAGCTTGTCTGCAAAGACTTGGCCGCCACTTCCTTGGCCTTCATTGACCTTCTTCGCAACATAACCCCCAAGCTGTTCAGCGAAAGTTCGGGTGTTGTCTGACAATGCTCTGACCCGAAGTTTGTACGTGGCTCTCCTTTGCGTATCAGGACCCATTTCATGCTCCACGAGATATGCTGAGTTTCCTTGAATGAAGAAACCGAGAATAAAGAAGAACAGAAGTAAAATCCCTGTTTTTGGATGACGATGGCGGATTGCGCTCCCCGTAAACTGAGCTGGTTGAGATTCTGTGGGATTTGGAGAGCCCGTTGGAGGCGTACCCGCCGTTGTTGAACTTGCACCCCCCCCTATTGCGCTGCTGATGGGGCCAACAACACCTGGGGCAGATGAAGACGCCGCGAGAGGTGCCCCGGAGCTTTGTACACCACCAGGTGCCGAAGATTGCGCCGGAGGAACCACAATGACAGACGATGATGCCTTAGGAGGCTGAGGAGGCTCACAATCAGGTCCGGTCGTTCTGGTTAAGGAATCTACGTTTGTGCCCGCACTCGTCCCATCACTTTGTACGTGGAGTCCTTTGCAATTGGGCAAAGTGATGTTCTGTTCTTGAGAGACCTTATGGTCGATTTCCGTGGAAGGCTGAGTAAACACATATTGACTGATATAATTGGAGTTTCCAGAATCGCATCGCGCATTACTTTTGAAATCCAAGTTATTTCCACTGTCGGTAGCCACTCCTCCTGGGAATTGGTTCAGAGAGCCGCAGCTAGGTCCAGCGCAGCTAAAGTCCAGCTGAGGCAACTTGCCAGGGCCGCAATCCAGAAACGACCCTGTCAGCGCTGTCCCAGACATCTCTTGAATGTTCAGATGGAATTGAGTTTGTAACGGCCAAAGGAAACACCGAAACCATGATTATGACCAGACATACGAGGTCTACTTATACTTGGCTGGGCTAAGGAGCCTCATACGCTATAAAATGCCAACACACCTGGGAATCAGTAAAGCCCACGATGGTGGGGTCTCATGATGCCTGTTGGCGAGAGACTCCTCTCCCACGGCTGCCTCAAGATTCGGCCCAGTCATGCTGGATCGGCTTAGCTTTTGAGTGCCTGGACAAAAGTTGGTGATGGCGTTGATGTCGGGCGGTCGTTGGAGGAGGGATATGTTGTGGCGGAGGCGGGGTCCTGACAACTATTCCCTTTACAGCTATATGAGGCTGTATTCACCCAACCTCGACTAATGGGAGCAAGTTCATGGCGCGGGGGGCTGAAAACCCCTGCGATTTCTCAATAGCCTGGTGCAGAACGAGCCTTGACCGGAAGGGCTGTGGTTAGTGACAGGCAGGCGTCGTGGATACAACCGGCAAAGACCACACCTCTCCCCACCTTTGGCAGATATCGATAACCCCATGTTAGACACCTGTTCCTGTGCCAAGAATAGACTCGGTTGCATTGTGATAGCGCCTTCTCAGACTGTCCAATGAGCAAGCTTGAGAACACGAGGGCTGAACATCCTCCGAATGGTGGGCTGAGCATCTTCGGCGAAGCTCTAGATTGACTTGACAAGGCGAAAACAAGAAAGCACACCACCGAGCGTGTTTGATAGAGGAAAGCGAGGAAATAGTAGTGGTGGGATATGGATGGACTTAGGGGAAGAAGAAACACAAAACGATATCAAGAAGAGTTCGTAGTTGGCTCAGGACGATTCGAAATGTGCGCACGATCCTCAGTGGTTGTCTGCGGCGGGGTAGCTTGTCCAGGCTGAAGGTCGAAGGGAATTGAATCGCGTAAAGGCTTTGGATCATAGAAACATTACTAAGGCGGCAACATTCGGGTTGGAGAGAACAGTGGTGTGCTCAGATCAGATCAGAATAGTGCCTGTATTCGGAACCAATACACGTACCTTGTTGTCCTGACTCAAACCTTGGGTCTGGACGTTTCTGATAGCTCTCTCTTCTAAGGAGAGTAGGAAGGACATTTTTAGAGCAAGGCTGGAAGAAGAAAAGGGAGGAAATGTAAACGTATTGTTTTAACAAGCCTTGTAATATGTACAGAGAACTTAGCTCTCATGGAAGCCATGGACAATATATGAGGAAGATAACGTGTGATAGAGGAGAATGAATGATGAGAGGCGATTGCTATACGCTCGAAATAGATGCCTCCACGTACTGAGAGCATCGACTTGAAAAGAGAATATAGCTTCATTAAGGACTAAGTCCCAATAGGATCGGATGAATTGAAGTTGAAGAGAAAGAGAAACCAGAAAGGGAGAAAAGGTGAGCATTTAGCCCTACGAAAGAATCTAACCCAACTGGTAACCTTCCCTGCACCAAACACTAAAACTAATCCGATCCGTTTCTGTGAACCTAGACTACTAAACCTCTTGTGTACCGTGGGCCTATCAATCGTGACCGTTTCTCCCTTAAACTCGCAGACAAGGGCTGTTTTATTCGATAATCCTACACAGCACCGCCCACGCCGTTAGTGTCCATCGGACTCCCTTCTCCATTCCCTGAACCGTTCGCTCGTCTCCTCCTACCAACAACCCTCTTCCTCCTATCGACCTGGAAGCCCTTTCCATCTGCTGCTACATCCACCATATTCATATCGTCGTCATCTGGCCTGTCGACATCCTCGGCACCATGTTCCTCCCAATATCTCCTCGTCTCATCTAGGTCCGTAATATCCGCTGGCCGCATCCTCAGCCACTTCATTCGGGGTCCTGACCTTGCTCGTTCGCTAACCCTAAAGCCGTATATGCGAGGTTCGTAGATATTTCCTGGGCCAAGGCCAGGCGCAAGGTTGTGCGGCGCAACGCCGTTGATGGAAGTGACATTAGCAGGTGTGGTAGAGGAATTCCGGGCCTTGGCCTCTGCGTTTGCGGCTTGAATGGCGAGAAGGGCGTCGGCCGCGCCGGCAGATGATGTGCGGGAGCCGCCGATATCGAGATCTGTGAAGGTCATGAAGAAGAGGGATCCAAATGTCGTTCCGAAGAAGGCCCCATCAACAGTTTGAAAGCGGGAATTTGGTGGTGTGTAGACATCTAGACAGGATGGACAGAACAGTTTGACCGTTTCATGGCCTGGGGTATCGTTGAGCCCGACTGGCAGGACCTTGCACGAACTGCAGTAAACGCGTGGGCACGTGCCGAAGTGTTGCATCTCGTATTTCTCCGACATTTGCTGAATGCCGGGCCGAGATGTGATGTAGCGCTGGTGTATCAATCCATACAATAGTTCGGCAGAGCTCTCTATCACGCTGAGATCTGATGCTATCCTCAGATGCCTTCGGTCGCTTGCCCTCCGATATCCAGTCGGCCTCTCGTCACCCAGGATCTCGTCATCCTCTTCATCCTCTTCTTCTTCGTCCTCCTCGTCCTCGTCATCTTCCGGTTCCACATCTAATATCATTTCTAGTGCCTCCTTGTACATAGGCACCTGTGACTGCAGACCCGTGAGATTGAAGTCGTCCTCGATGAAGTCTTCAGGGACCTCGGCGAAGTATTCGTGACCCAGAAGGCCGCAGAATGACGATATCCATGACTCGGTGACCTGTGACGAGGAAGACATGTTGGCTGGTGAGTGTGTGTATGTGTGGGAAAGCGTCGCTGTGCTGGCGCGGCTTTGGCTGCTCCACGCGAGAGAATGTCTCAGGGTACCAATCGCGCGTGGATAGTTTGTTTGATTGGAGAAATGTCAAATATGGGGCCTGGAAGAGTGGCCAATTCTCCTAAACCGAGAAGTGGGCTGGCCCAAATTTGAATGTGGGGAAGAGGGCGGGGAGGGGGGAGTGTTTTCCGGGAGTGGAATCGGTGGGTAGATGTGCTCGCGGACAAGTAGCTTATATGCCTTGTGACCTAATTCATGAAGGCGCGACTACGACGTGCTATCTTATGTAGGCTATTTCTCGTGGCGTGGTTGCGATAGATTTGCGCTTGAGGAAGCCGTTTGTGGCTCGGTCGGCGAAGGGATGGGGAGGGTAGTGATCGAGAGAGGGAGGGTGGATGGTTGGAGGGTGGGTATGTATGCTATCAGATGCGGCCCAGCGACAGATCATCAGAATGGGCGGCTGTTACATACATGTTTTGGCAAGTCGTCGGGGCGTCTGTGGCAGTGGAGGTTCCTCGCCAGCCTTGGCCCGTCTGCTTCCAGCCCCGCGCCCACCACGTGATGTGGCTTGGCACGAACCCCTCCCGGAGTCCAGCCTGAGACATGACCTCCTTAATGCCGGTTAGGATTGCAATGTCGCTATAAAGCCTACTTCCATATTTCCTCTGCCAGCCAATCAACGAACAGCTTCAATAGCGAAAGCCCCCCAGCCCTCTCAGAACAAATCCCTCATAATGCGAGAGAGCTCATCCTCATGCCCAAAGACACTTGCCAGCTCTCCATTCGACAGTTCTGCAGAAGAGAGTGCATAGCCATTCTGTAACACACTCGAAAAGCCACCGGCAGCCTCAAAGAGACTTGTAAGATCTGATGCCATTCCATGCGGAGTATCCAAGGGATGGCTATTTCGGCCATTCGAGAAGATGGCCATCTCATCCACCTGATGGCCCGCAAGACCTGCCATCGCCACTGCTGCCGAGGAGTGCGCGTCTGCCGTCTCAACAGCCCGGACATTCAAGCCTAGCCTTGGTCCGACCTCCTTCAGTACCCTGATCGTCTTCCATAGTCGTTTCGAGACATATGAGTTAGCCGAAAACCCACGCACCAAATCGAGAGCCATGTAGAACTCGTCCCGACATTGAGAGCTGAACTCAGCTGGAGCGTGTGCAACAGCTAGAAACAGAACCGCCAAAGCTGAGATGAGGAAGTAATTGAACATTGTTTGTTGCGTCCGGTAGATGTCTGATGTTTGGTTGATGTAAGTCAGGATGCGAATTGTATCTTTGGAGACCTTTACAACAGTGTGTGCGAACTCAAGGTTCTCCATGATACTTGTTGCTGTGTGTAGTACTGGCCGGTAAATGAGGATGCGCATTTGGTTTGCTCGGAGATAAAGCGCCACCTGAAGACGATGAATTCCTCGAGAGGGTGGGTCCGCTGATCGGCCGCTTTCGGGATGCACAAATTTCAAAGATTCTGGAATCGATCGATGCCAGTTCAAGACTTGGAAATCGAGGAAGCCAATATCCTCCTTGTTGATATTGTTCTGCGCCCCATCGGAGTTGGCAATGGATTTCCACACCTTGGATCCAATGGTGCTGTACGATATCATTGCATTTAAATAGGGTGTGGAATCGTCCTGGCAAACATGTTATGACAACTCACCAAGGTGAGCTATGGGGAACTTACTGGTTTCGGCAGATTCGGGTCAATATCTGCGTCTTGCAGAGCGAATGGCATCCCGGTTCCAAAACTCCAACGACGATCGAGAACGTAAACTGACCAAAAGGTGCGAATCGCGCTTGATTGTTCCTCTGGATCAGCAAAGACAGTGTTGTAAGTCTCACGGCGATGGAGGCCTAGCTCTAAACACTGTCGGGCTGCTAATCCGATAATGCGCCAGGCGAGCGCTTCATCATCCCTGTGGAAATGGTACATGGCCTGACACGCATTAGCATTTAATCGAAATTGCTATAATTATGGAACTCACAGTTAGCGCCAGCATATTAATACCCTTAAGATCAACAGGCTCGAGAAGGGTTCGCTCTATGACTTTGTGCACATTCTCAAACAGTTTCTCCCCCAGCGGATTCTTTCCATAGCCCTCAAGAATCAAGGCAGTCGCGAGAATCAATTTAAGAATACTGGTCTGAGCGTCCATGATCGCGTCGGCCCCAGGAAGGCCGCCTTGCATAAGACCAGATCTTGTGGCTGCCTCCACGAAGGAAAAAAGCATTTCGGTGTAACGAACGACCTTGGAAATATCCATAAAGGGATACATCATGCCCATTTCTTCGTGCCAAACATGCACTAGGCGGATCGCCTCGTGCTTCGTGAGAGACCAAATCGGATCCTTTTCTGCATGTAGGACGGGTTTTGACAGCACAGCGTTGGTCGCAGGCGGAGAAGCCATTGGGGTAGCATCTTGGGTCACCACGCCCTCGTCCAGACCGTCCTCCGGTCCCGTAATCCCCATTGTCTTTAAGCTCGACTTAGCGACTCCCAGATTGAATGCGCTTGAAGTCGGCCCGTGGAATCGTGGATGCTTTGTGAAGGACTTGCTTCGCTGGTGGGTTGGAGACTGAGGAATGATCGGCGTCTGGGCCATGGAAATGGACCGGGCATAGTCCTGCGTGTTGTACGGAGTGCTCATCGAGCCCGCGCTCTGGGAATCGACCTGGGTCTTGAGGGAGTTGAGGTTCGCGAAGAGCTGATCGACCTGCTCTTGGAGGGATGTGATGTGCGCCGTCATTTGCTTGAACTCACTGAACGCAGTTAGACAAGTTGTGTTTGCGCATTAAGGGGACACTAACTCTGATTCTTTGAAATTGTTGCAGCAATTTGGCGCATACAGACACTCGAGCGATAGGTTCCCGCATCGCTGGCACGGAGTCTGCCCATTGCACTTGATCTTGCGCCTCTTGCACTCATTGCTAAAGATATTATCAGTACGCAATCCATTCCTCCGATCATATGCAAGCCACCTACCAAGCAATCGAGATATAGCGATTCCGCTTTGCCCGTGGCTGCGTGCTGCCCTCCTCGCTCTTCCGCTTCTGTGGCCCGCTGGCCTCGTTCGGTGGACTCATAGTCTCGCTACCGTTCACTGTTGACGTTGAAGCCATGTCCGCAGGTAGTCCGAAAGCGGTTGGTCGCACGGCGAGGGAGCGAGGGAGGGAGAGGTGCTGTGAAGTTGGGACCGGGTTCACCGAGCTCGGGCCCGTCACTTCTTCTGGGGTTTATGCGGGGAAGGAACCCCGAGGTGCGAATGGCGCCCACCCACGTGATGTCCGCAGCTCACCAATGAGGGGTAGTGTGAAACACATCACACTTGGTTTATCGTGGCAGTGAAGACGGGTATATAGGCTACGTTTGGCTCCTATGGTACTCTACGAACGTCGTCAACTGCTTTAAGCAGACGATATTTGACCCTTTGCAACAGTCAAGAGTTGGATGGCTTGAGCCAGCACTTCTTGTACACCATGTTGCAGCATTGCTTTCACATCACGTACTCTTAGCCCCCTCTTTCGGACATGGTAAGACCCGACAATCAACAGAGCAACAGTAACAAGGCGAATAACCCGCTTCGTCTGCTTCTTCGCCAGCCCCTGCTTTGTATACGCCACGTTCCAGTCATTCCACTTGGGGAAGACACAGCGACGGTAGAAGTCAATCTGGGTGTATCTAGGCCAAGAGAGTCAGTCTGAGTTGGGGCTGTGTATACTTAGTAATACTTACGGATAGACCGTCGAATTCCATCCGTCCTTGGTGTAATACCAACTCGAGCATCCGCCGTTCATCCACACTGTGTTCTTCAGACTCCTCTGGATCTCCGCAGTGTATGCAACCTCGGCTTCATGCTTTACATCCACAGCGGTTGCATCTCCGTTCAAGAGTAGCTTGATGAACTTTAGGGAGTAATTGACCGTGTTCTCGCTCGCCATGACGACGGAGGAATGCCCAGTAGCGGTATTGGGCCCGAAGATGATGAAGAAATTCGGGAAGCCGTCCATTGCAGTGCCTTGGTATGCTTGCGGCCCACCTCGTTCTTCCATCGTTTCGACGAGATCCTTACCTCCCTTACCTGCAACTTTCAATGGATGCAACCACTTCGTAGTATCGAAACCATTCGCGAGGACAATCACGTCAGCGGGAACCTCCCTCTCGGGCAGGTTTGATTTTGAATCCTCTGGATATGACACCCCGGGCCCAATGATGACGCTGTGTTCCTTGACCGTCTTCAAAGGCTGAGCCGTGAGTTCTATCTTAGGATCACTCAGACTCTCGAACCACCTCTTGTCAAAAATCCTTCTCTTGCAACCAACTCCGTAGTTTGGTGTCAAAATCTCATGATACTTCTTGGGCACCATCTTCTTCATGCGTCCCAACATCCTTTCTTCGTACAGCTTACGGTGCTTGGCGGCCCATTCAGATCCACCAAACAACCTGAAATCCCATTCCCCACCGGCGAAGATGGAGAATCGAAGGGCCGATAAAAGACCAGGGATCCTCATGAGTCTTACACTGTTCTTCTCCCACCACTCGTCGCCTCCGGGAGGTGGGAAGCTTGGAACTACCCATGGAGGCGATCGCATGAGTTGCACGACTGATTTAGCATTGTAAGGCGCGTTGATGAGTCTCGGGACGAGCTGAGCGGAGGAGCATCCAGTTCCAACAACCACCACATTCTTATCCGTGAAATCGACCGTGTCATCCCATCGAGCGGAATGGAAAAGAGGGCCTTTGAAGTCTTCGAATCCAGTAGCGTCATCTGGCCAGCCTTTCGGCTCCACGAGGCCGCCTACGCAACTGATGACAGCTTTGGCACGGACAAGTTCGGTATCAGAGTAGACAGCTGCTTCTCCCTTTTCTTTGACGACCTTCATGCGATCCTTAGCTCCAAGATCGCCCATACCAGCAACCAGTCGCCGAAGAGTAACCTCCCAGAGCTGCTCGTCTTCAAGCCACCGGCATTGTTCTACATCGGTATCGCATTGAATCTTATCCGTGATTTGGTATTTCTGGCAGACATGATGGTAATATTGAACGATTTCGCGGCCGGGAGGATGAAAAGAGGTCCAATTCGGATTCTGTGCGAAAGAGAACGAATAGAAGGCGCTGGGAACATCGCTGTGCATCACAAATCAACTCTAGTGATTCTGTTGCTCGAGGATCGTACTACTTACCACGCAACGCCGGGGTATCGATTGATCCACCTGCGAGAAGATTGATTAGCGACAGCGCTTGGATGTGCCTCTGACTGTGAGCTTACCATGTGCCTCCGATCCCTGCTTGACGATCAAAGATTCGGAATTGATCAAATCCAAGCTCATCCTTTAGTCTACATGCCATAGCTATCCCTGAAGCCCCCGCGCCAACGATGAGGACGGGGTAGTATGTGTAAGCATTGTTGTCGTAGCCATTGACGCGACGAATGGTTTCCCCCATGCTGAAAGTAGGTGCTAAAACTATAGAGGTATAGAGACCGATCGCAGAGAAACTGCCTGGTAAAGGAAAGGGAAGGAAAGAAGGTTGCAACTATAAACTGACGTGGGGCTTAACCGCACCTTATGCACGCTTCCACCGATTCAATCCAGGAAATGTGGAACACCTCTGAACTACCCGTTGGCCGTACCCGAATTCTGGAACTCGAGCTAGTTGATTCTCCCGACGGTCTCATAGCGAGACCGAGCTGCAGATGCAGGGGCAGATGTTGCTAAAACGAGGGCGGGGAGTCTGGCTTTGTTCGTTCTCACAGAGGTTCAAACAACCTCGGCACGGACGATTGACCAGGTTGCCTGAGTTCGTATGCGATTTCCTGGGCCAAGATTTGGATCCCCGCATACCTCTTACGATGCTGATGCCATTTTGTGTCGTCAAGGCCTACTCATCCAGGAGGGAGAATCCCTCGGCCCAGGTCTCTTCGCTAGGCTGCCTATCGGCCATCTTGCTGTTGAGCGATGCTCTGAATGTGCCAGGCTAGAATCGGCATTAGATGAATTAACCGTTTTTACGTGCATGTCACGAGCGTTTCACTGCAGCAGGTAGGGATGACGTTTGGGAATTCCTTTTCCTGGGGAAGATATACCGAATCCGACCATCGTGCTTCTGAGATGCGCGTACCTATCACGTGAGAACGCTCCAAGGCTGTGCGTCGACCAAAGCTTAACACTGGCTTCCAGAGGATCCTGTGGTTCACCTCTGATGCTCAACGCACCAGTGCATCAACGCCTTGCATTGTCACAGTATACAATTTTCCTGTGGCATTCCTCTATACATAATGCTGCAACTTCACCCGTAAACCATTTGTAGAATAGGCTTATAAATAAGACTCAGGCAGACTAAGATGAACGCCATTGACGGCACGGATCGTCAAATAAAGGCAGACGACAGTACAATTCTCCTCACGCTCAGAGGACCCGATAAGATTAACAACTTCTAGGACCCCCGCCCTCTCTCCTCGCCATAGTCCTCGACACAAACCCGCATGCCTGGGCCCACCTGTCCTCCGTCCTACCCCTCTCCGCCGCCATATCTAATCTCCTCGTCTTCATAAATGCACACCTCGCGTCCGGCAATGCAAACGAAATCGCCGTCATCGCATCCCACACACACAAGGCTGAATGGCTATACCCAACCCCCAAAGACAATCTACCACGCAGGCGTCCCAACGGAGCCGCGAACGGAGATATAGAAATAAACGGCCTGCCCAAAGAGCCCAGCGTACCCGAGAACCCGAACAAATACAGGCAATTTGCTGTGCTTGAAAACGCCATTCTCTCAAACTTCTCCAAACTTCTGGACTCGACGACCGAAAGGGATCTTGCGTCCACACCCACAACCCAGGTTGGTGGCGCACTCTCCCTCGCCCTTTCGTACGTTGCAAAATCCACGCTCCTCCATTCCCCCGTAGACTCTCTCGCAGGCGACAATCCGCTTTCTGCACTCGCAGATTCAGAGACAGTGCATACAGCGCGTGTATCACTGACCTCGCGGATATTGATTGTCTCCGTCTCTGGCGATTTAGCCAACCAATACATTCCAGTGATGAACTCGATATTCGCTGCACAGCGAAAGCGGATACCAATAGATATTCTCAAGTTGGCCGGGGATACGGTATTGCTACAGCAGGCTTCGGACGCCACAGGCGGGGTTTATATGAAACCCGAGAGACCGGAAGGGCTCCTACAATATCTCATGATGGCATTCCTACCAGACTCGACAGCCAGACGAAGTCTCATCATGCCCAGCACCAGCGGCGTAGATTTCCGTGCCGCATGTTTCTGTCACCGCAAAGTAGTTGACATTGGCTTTGTCTGTAGTGTGTGCCTTAGCAGTAAGTCGTTCCCTTTCTCTTCCGCTTCCCCCACTTCCTCCCCCAGCCATCACAAATTGTAGACCGTAAGCTGTAAGCTGTAAGCTGTAAACTGAATTTTGTAGTATTCTGCACCCCAGATCTACCCTCCAATCTCTGTCTGACATGCGGATCCTACCTCTCTCTCCGCAGTGCCCAAATTGCTACCCCGGCTCTCATCCCCCGCAAAAAGAAAAAGAAGAAACGAGCCGGTGGCACCGATTCTGCGACCCCTGGTGGAAACACGCCGGCAGGTTCAGGTACGCCTATGCATGCCTAGCGAACTTCTCAGAGGCTGGGTGATGGGTGTTTTAATGTATGATCTAGAGAGCATCCAGAGCTGAGGGAACTCGGGCGGGATTGCTGTGTTCGTATTGTCGGTACTTTCAGGCGTTGGAACAGGATTATCATCATGCTGTGACTGATTAACGTCATGTTTAGAGAGCTAGAGTCTAGAGTCCATGCAAAATCTTTGGCCACAGTATCAGAACCATTATAAATGAAAGCCTAGGTTTCTATTCTGCCTCCTCACCTATACATTCGGAGCATTAAGAACCATTAATGTGCTCGACGAAAATGAGATGCTCGTAAAGTCCGCGTTGGCGAACCCCTGGAAGCCACGAGACTCAGGTAACATATCACAACAACATAGCCAGTTTGCGTGGCGGGCCCAGATTAAGAAAGAAATATTTTGTCTTTTGTACTACCTCCCATTCCTTCTACACCACGCCGAGTTTCCATGGCCACCCACGGCCCGAGAAACTCCGTACAGGAATCATAATATGATAATAAACCAATTGCTAGAATACACTTATGCCCACATCCTTCCATGCATTCATATGCCGAAGCCTCCGAAGCCGTCAGCGCTATCAAAACACCAGGAAATGCTCGCTAAAGTCTGGAGAGGAAGAACACATCGCATAGGTGAGAGAAAAGATGTTGAAGTAAGGTTGTAGGGGTGAGAAGTCTTATGTCGTTTGCAGAATGCCGCAGTACACGAGTCGGTAAGTCCTTGAATATGACCGAGTTTGTTCAAGACAGGGAAACTGGACTAGTATTAGGGGAAACTACTAAGGGCGGACAGGAGTTTTCGAGGTAGTCTAGGAAAGAATCATTGACTGTTTTGCAAGTTCCAAGATCCCGGATCAGATATGGCTAGGCCGTGCATTTGTGCGATCGAGCCAAGTTGTAGTGGGTACAACTCTGGACGGAGAACGGGGGTTTCCTAAAACCCCCTGTAGACCCCGGCACTATCGTGAGATGACAGTGGTTTTCTTTCTCCGCCGATATCGTAACATACGTCCGCCTTGGGCGATGCTTCCGTTACCACTGCTGCGTGACATCGCACACCATGGCTTCGATTCATCTGAATGCATGGACGCCATTGCGAAGGAATCTGTGTTATGGCCGTAGTAAAGAAAGACGCCATCAACTGTCTTCTTAACACCTAGTATTCCAATCGCACCAGCGGAATTGCTATTTTTAACACTGGGGTGGCCTGTGAATTGTAAGCATAAAGCAGGGGAGTCAATATCGAGCAGTAACAAACTCACCCATGAATTCGTTCTCAATCATGTTCTTTAGGGCCTCGTCCTCGGTTACGTCTTGGTATAACCCTCCTTTGGTTCTTTTGATATTCTGGTATAGACGTTCGGCGCTTACTGTAGCGGCCATTGTAGTTGCCATATGCTCACCGGTGCCACTTGTTACTGTAGCTACGGTTGTTCTCTCTGGATCATCTTGGTCAACCGGAATCACAGCGGTCCCGATACCGATAAGAGCGGCTGGGCCGACCCTCCCTCGATGTTTCATTCCGATCCCTCCAGAGGAAGCCCCACATGCGATGTTGCCCCAACTATCGACTGCGATGGCGCCAACAGTGTCCGTAATGTGATCTTCCTGGTCCTTCGTGGGTGAAGAAGAGGGGACAGCAGTTGGTGGAAATGGTGCAGTTTCATGGACATGATTCAACGGAGTTGGCCATCTAGGTGTGGGGTCCTCGATGTTCTTCTCCGAAGGTGTCTCTGGTAAAGGCATCTTCATTGCCGCAGCATGTGGTGAATCAGGTGAGGGTTGTATTGTTTTGGCGCTTGATGTGGAATCAGAGTCATCTGAAGAACCATCACCAAACGATCTACGAGCTGAAATATGCCCAACACGGTGTCTTGGAGGGTCTTCAGTGTCTTGCATCATAGAGTCTTCTGCCAGAAGTTGCGGTGTAATGTCTCGTAATGACTTGACTGTCGGAACTTGTTGGGTACTATTGATGAATGCATTCCGAGAAGATTCCATTATGGAATGAGCAGGAGCCATAGGTTGTCCCCGCACTTGCTCAGATGTAGGTGAATCTGGAGTGTTCATGGCTTCGTCGCTGTTCCAGGATGTTGAAGAGTCAGATAAAGGTTCGGACGGGCCTGATGGGCTCGTGGAATTTTCTTTCGTCGCGAAAAAGAGCGGATCTTGATCTGAGTCAGGAGGAGATATTGATTGTTGCATGAGAGCTCCCTGCTGGAGCATGTTTTGCGCGTGCTGGTCCCGCATTTTTTCTCGGACTCTCTCTTCTTCACCGGCATCCGGGATCCTCACCGAAATCCTCATTGTGGATGTATGAGCACCCTGCTTCTTCGCCTTTCGCTCTGCTGCTTTGAGATCCGCTCTCCATCGGATCCATCTCTCTTTGGCTGCTGGTGAGATATTTGCGTCCATGGGAAGTATGGGGATGCCCATTTCGATGGCAAAGTTTGTCGCCCCTTGCGCCACTAACAGGTTCGGCGGAACGCGGCGAAGCGTTAGAGTCTGCATCGAGTGACTGAGGACACATCGCGCCAATGATATTGGATTTTTTATTTCTACTATCAAATTAGCATTGGAAGGGAGGTATATTGAGACCACATACGAGCTACGGCGCCGACAGCGCCACTGCGGCCATGATGGTCGACAATGCATGCATCGCACTCCACAACGCCGTCCATGGTGAGGTTGCTTCCGTAACCGGCATTCGTGATCTCTCGGTCTTCTAGCACTTTGACGGCAATTTCCACCGCGTCAATTGCACTACCTCCATTACGAAGGATCATCATGGCCATAGCAGCAGCCCTATATGAAAGTGAGTCATTTCCCAGAATGTTAACAACCTAGCTGAAACGAGCAATAAGAATAGAGCGAGAACGTACTCATTGCATGCCTGAAGGTGGATCCTCTCATTCTGAATGCTGTGATAGCCGGCCCCAGCGTGGACAAATATACAACATACATCGTCTTGAGGGGGGCTTTGGCTTGCTTTGCGAGTGAGCGGCTCCGTCTGGGTTGCACCGTCGATAGTTCCGAGCTGCTTTGGAAGGGCCGACATCCTCTTGTCTTTGAGGGAGAAGCGTCGGCGGAGGTCCCGAAATCGACCGAATTTATCCAGCTTTAATCACGGGATCTACCACCTCTTGAGTAGTGAAGATAATCTGGGGTTTGCTGGCGGCTGATTTTTAGAATATTTGTCAGCAAGGGACTATTTGGGGTACCCTCAAGTTTGGTAGGCTAGAAGACGAGAATTGAGTGATGATGGGGGGGTGAGTTTCTGGTGTTGCTTCGGAACAGGAGAGATGGCGGTGGAAGAGGTGGGGCGGGCGTCCGGGATAGCTGGAGTGGAGAAGAGAATACTTGTCATATAAGGAGCGACTGAATAGGTACTGAGGCGTCAAGAGAGGAGGTGAAGCTTAGGTAATTGAGAAGAGGAGAACTGTAGGGTGAAGAATGAGAAATGGATGAAAATCGCTCTAGGCGATGCACCGAGACTCTAGCGGGCTAGAGCTGTGTCAGAGAAATGAGAGTGGTGAATGCGGTGGGAGGGCGTTGTAAGCGCTGAGGGGGAGGTTAGTTGGAGAGCAGATGTGAGCAATGAGGGCGAAGAGTCAACGGAAACCGCTCCTTCCCTCAGTTAGGCTCGGAATGTCGGTAGGCCACGTTCCCAGCAATTACATCAGTTCACTCTGACGGGAAGGTATGACATGGTGACCAAGCTTCCAAGTGTGATGGAAGCGATGGGGCTGTCGTGGTTGTTGCCTTCGACGAGAGAGATATCAATGGCCTGCCTTGAGCTTGATCCGCCGCCCTGCGAGATTCCGCTGTGGCTTGATTGGCGGGGACATTTGGCGGAGCGGGGTCGCCCTCCCAGTTCCGTCTGTGCGCATTTCGCGCGCCCACATCCAGCAACTCCGCCATCCCACTCTGACGAATCCAACCACCTCTACCAATTCACACCCGTGCCTTTCTCCGAAGGAACTCCTGAGCTGCTCCTTGCTACCATTTGTCACAGTGAAGAGCAGCGAAGATGGCGTCCCAAACCCCCGCCGTTGTCATGGACAAGTAAGGTCTCCAGCAGCCTGCGGGCACTAACACGCAATTGCACTGACCAACGATTTCAGCGGCACGGGCTACTCGAAGCTTGGTTCGACCCCCTACTCCAAGAAATCAGACACCTGTATACTAATTCTTGCGCCTCGCAGGTTTTGCCGGCAATGACTCTCCATCCTTTGTCTTCCCTACCGCAATAGCAACCAAAAGCCAGGGAGGCGGAGCGGGCGGTTCAGGCTCTGGGCGGCCAGCGGTCGCGAACAAACCATCTTTCTTGACTGGCGGTGCTGGTCCTAGTGGTCATCTTTCTGGCAAAAGGGGAACTGAGGATTTGGACTTCTTCATCGGCGACGAGGCGCTCTCTGCATCAGCTGGCCCAGGATATGGAATCCACTATCCCATCAGGCATGGCCAGATAGACAACTGGGTTTGTCACAACATTATCCGGGGCTTACAGGAGATTCTTACTGTTAACAGGACCTTATGGAACGCTTCTGGTCAAACTCTATATTCAAGTATCTAAGAGTCGAGCCAGAAGACCACTATTTCCTACTCACTGAGCCTGTAAGACACGAAAATTGTGTACTCCTTGGTGCGGGACTAACTATTGGGTAGCCTCTCAATCCCCCAGAGAACCGCGAGAATACTGCCGAAATCATGTTCGAGTCCTTCAACTGCGCTGGCCTCTATATTGCGGTGCAAGCGGTGCTCGCCCTTGCCGCATCGTGGACAAGCTCTAAAGTCCAAGACCGCTCCCTGACCGGCACAGTCATTGATTCCGGCGCAGGTGTTACGCACGTTATCCCTGTCGCTGAGGGTTACGTCATTGGTTCGTCCATTAAAAGTGTTCCCATCGCTGGCCGCGACATAACCAACTTCGTACAATCCCTACTCCGAGATCGTGGCGAGCCCGATTCCTCTCTCCAAACAGCCGAGCGCATTAAGGAAGAGTACTGCTATGTGTGTCCTGATATCGTGAAGGAGTTCTCGCGCTTCGATCGTGAGCCCGAAGATCGGTTCCGAAAACATATCGTTAAGCACCCAAACGGCAGATCAGTGACGGTCGATGTTGGCTACGAACGCTTCCTAGCACCTGAAATATTCTTCAACCCCGAAATCTACTCCTCAGATTTCCTTACCCCGCTGCCCAATATCGTCGACACAGTGATTCAGAGCTCCCCCATCGATGTTCGTAGGGGTCTTTACAAGAACATCGTCCTCTCGGGTGGTTCGACACTCTACAAAGACTTCGGTCGACGTTTACAGCGTGACATCCGCCATATGGTCGACGCGAGGATCAAGGCTTCAGAAGCAAGGAGTGGAGGTGCAAAGAGTGGTGGCCTTGAGGTCCAAGTGATCACACACAAGAGGCAGAGGCATGGACCCTGGTTCGGAGGTAGCTTGCTAGGCCAGACGCCTGAGTTTAGGAGTTACTGTCACACGAAGGCGGAGTACGATGAGATCGGACCGAGCATTGTTCGGAGGTTTGCATTACTTGGTGGGCCAGGGAGCACGTAGAGGAAGTGAAGTCATGAGGTCTGATGAAGAGCCTAGAAGGACTCTTGAGCGTGTATGGGAAGGGTGAAAAGAGCAGTTCCTGAGAGAAGAATCATATTCCGACATTGAAAAGCCTCTGATCTTGGTGCAAAGTGCGTTATCAATGCAAGAGAATATGACTGTATGTGAAACGGAGGCTGATTGTTCTACACCGATATGAATACTTGAGCATCGGAAAAGGGCAAAATTTATGTATAGATACAACCCTGAGTGAGAACACCTTGACCCCTTTAGTAGTGTTGGAGGACATAACCAGTGTTTGACGCTTGCAGTGATTAGTCAGCGGAATGAACATGAAATGCCAAGCGTCTCTTTCACTCCGCCATTGTGGCTTCATCCGCTCGCAAGGCCGACTTTCTCTTGACCAACTTTCGCATTTCCTCTCTTTCTCCGCACTATGGCAGACCACGCGCAGTTGCCAACGGCAGATTCCAACGTGGAGATGAATGACCTGCTAGACGCATCGGTCGAGGCCGATATCAACCCAGACGCAACGCAACCAGACGCCATGAACCTTGACGGCGGAAATGATGTCCATCCGCCCGTAAGGAATGGTGTACCAGAAGTTACCGCTCAATTGGAGGCCCGAATACCCGCCAAGAAGGATGCGACTTTGCGCGAGTTCTTGGGGAAGATGGACGACTACGCTCCCATTGTATGCCTTCACTAGCCCAGCAGAAGTACCCGGTAGGAGGAAAGTGTCTTACTGACTGTCATTAGATACCTGATGCAGTCACAAACTACTACCTGACCCTCGCTGGGCTCCCGCCGCCACCTCAAACATCCCCGCACCTCGCCCGCCTCCTAGCGCTCGCAACGCAGAAGTTCATAGCCGATATCGCCGCAGACGCATATCAGTACTCCCGCATTCGGTCATCAAATACTACGAGTAATAATCCGATGGGAGGGTTGGCTGGCGCGGCAGGAGGGCCACAGGGCGCAGGAGTTTCTGGTGGTACCCAGGGCGGCAAAGACAGTGCGGCTCAAGCTAAAGGACTGAACCTCGGCGTACAGAGGCCGGGCTATGGCGGTGGTGGGCAAGGTGGCAGCCAAGGGCGCACCGTCCTAACAATGGAGGACCTAGGCATGGCTGTTGGCGAATACGGTGTGAATATCAAGAGAGGAGAGTTCTATCGGTAATGCGAGACAAAAATATCTACCGCGCAGTCATCCAATTCCATTCCACGACATCACTGTAGGAGCAACACTCAGAACCGATAACTCCTGCTATATGAGCTGGGTTGGTTGCGGACTGCTGGCATTCAGTGTTTTCTCATTCTAAACATGGTTGGCGTTGGGAGTTTTCATTTTCACTGGCATTCACAAGGTTATTTGGGATACTCTACCCGCGATGAAAGGGTATATCGTATTTGTGTAGTAGTAGTACAGATGAGGCTATAGAAAACCTCGCAATGATACCCAAACTCCTCTTGATACAAGAACAACCCAGCCCATTCACTTGTTTTTTGTCTGTTTATACGTGAAGTTCTTCCTAGTTCTGTATAGAGGTCATCAGCAACTCCGTAAATTCATGTGACACAGATCACTCCTTGCATATTCCAGGATCCGTGAGGTTAAACGTACGGTGCAAATTCCCCCAGCTTGTGTCCAACCATATCTTCTGTTATCGTGATGTCCAAATAGTTCTTCCCATTGTGGACTTGGAACTTCAGACCGACAAAATTAGGTAGTATTGTCGCCGATCGCGCCTGTGTTTTGATCGGAGGTACTCGTTCGCCCGGCTTTGGCCGCACGATGGGGAGGCTTCCAGTTGGTCAATATGGGAATGGGCAAGTGCATTGGGAGCGGCTTACGGGACGATATTGGGGCCTGAGTGTTTCATTTTAGCGGTGACCTAGACCATAGAGAAGCAATTACTTACCCTTCCAGACGGATCGCGCAAATAGCGCCCGTGTCGGAAACATTGGGATTGGCCTTGACGAGGTAAAGTTCTGATGCAGTTTTTGGCATGCGGATTCAGATCATGTGATAGCGCGTCCTTAGTCAGCTAGGCTGAAGTGCGTCTGCGCGACTTCGTGAATGCCATTTGGTGACCGTGTTCACAATTTGCGCCATTTTAAAGGGCTGAGAGGGTACCGAGAGACTTTCTCACTCATTTTTTGTGCCGCATATCGCACTATCATCGGCCGCAATCCGATTTAGCGGTTTCGCTCTGTAATTCTCTTCCCCGCATGTCGCCGCGAGCGTACCCCAGAGGTAATTACCCCTCGATTCGCATTATAAGTCCCTCTAACAATGATCATCTAGGGCCGGACACAATCCGAGTCCTCGTCGCAACTGACAGTCATGTCGGATATAACGAACGCGATCCCACCCGAGGCGATGACAGCTGGAAGACGTTCCATGAGGTGATGTGCCTAGCGAAAGAGCATGATGTAGACATGGTGTTGCATGCTGGAGATCTTTTCCATGAGAACAAACCGTCACGAAAGTCAATGTACCAAGTTATGCGGACTTTGCGAATGAATTGCCTCGGGGACAAACCTTGCGAGCTTGAGATGTTGAGCGATGCGAGCGAGAACTTCCAAGGGTAATTTATTGTGGATGTACTTCTGCGCTAGAACTTGAAACTAACTTTCACCAGGGTATTTGATCATGTGAATTATGAGGACCCAGACATCAATGTTGCTATTCCAGTTTTTGCTATCCATGGAAACCATGACGATCCATCTGGAGTATTACCTCCAAGTCGCAGTCGCTGAGATTAAACATGCTGATGGAACTTAGATTGGTCACTTTGCCGCTCTAGATCTTCTCCAAGTTTCTGGTTTGATCAACTATTACGGCCGGAATCCTGAAGCCGACAAGGTCTCCATCAAGCCAGTCCTTCTGCAGAAAGGTCGCACGAAACTTGCATTATACGGCATGAGCAATATCCGAGATGAGAGGATGTTCCGCACTTTCCGAGAAGGACAAGTCAAGTTCTTTCAACCAGGTACGCAGAAGGACGAGTGGTTCAATCTAATGAGCGTCCATCAAAACCAGTAGGTTTTCTCCCAATTTTACGGATCTAGAAGCTAACACTGTAACAGTCATGCATACACGGAAACTGGTTATCTCCCTGAGAATTTCCTCCCCGAATTTGTGGATCTTGTCGTCTGGGGACACGAGCATGAATGCCTCATCGAACCGCGATACAACCCAGAAATGGGGTTCCATGTTATCCAGCCCGGTTCTTCAGTAGCAACTTCTCTCATGCCAGGAGAGGCAGTGCCAAAGCATGTTTGTATCCTAAGTATTACCGGAAAGGAGTTCACTTCTGAAGCCATTCGCCTCAAATCGGTACGCCCCTTTGTCATGAAAGAGATTGTACTCGCCGAAGAAAGAGCCATGAAAGAAAAGGAGCTTTGGAGAATGACTGAGAATCGGACCAAGGTCACTCAGTATCTTGAAGGTGTTGTTGAGAAGATGATCGAAGAGGCCAAAATGGAGTGGCTTGAACTTCAAGACGAGCAAGATGAAGGAGACAGCCTCCAAGTGCCACTTCCACTAGTTCGTCTCCGAGTTGAGTACTCGGCTCCATCCGGATCGTTCGACTGTGAAAACCCACAACGTTTCTCAAACCGATTCCAGACCAAAGTGGCGAACACCAATGATGTTGTGCAGTTTTATCGGAAGAAGAATGCAGCAAAACGTAAGTTGAATTGAAGCCACGGGAGCATTCCCTCCTCCTAATGCTTAAGCCAGGGACCTTAAAGCAGAACGCGGAGCTTCCAGACGAGTCGGTTCTGGCTCAACTTTCGCTCGATACTGTGAAAGTGGAGAAATTGGTTAGGGAGTTTCTCGAGGCCCAGTCCCTTACGATCTTGCCGCAAAACTCTTTCGGGGATGCTGTCACTCAATTCGTGGATAAGGATGATAAGCACGCTATGGAAATGTTTGTCAACGAGAGTCTGGCAAATCAGCTGAAGCATCTGATGGAGTCGAACGATGTAGAAGAGGATGACATCACAAACGAAATGGAACAACATCGGGCGAAGTTAGAAGAACTCTTCGCTTCTGGACAAATGAAGAAGAGTGTAAGTCCCCTGCTGCGTTAATTTCTATCTCTAACGTTAGAACAGAAGAAGGCCAGACTCAAGCCAAAGCCAGATCTATGGGATTCTGACCTGGATGGAGAGTGGGCTGACCAACTTGCGGCACTTAATCATACTGATGCTGAGGATGTAGATGAGGAAGCTGCTGCGTCTGCTGCATCGAAGAGGCCTCCCGCACGAGGACGGAGTAAAGCTGCTGGTACTACTCGCAAAACTGCGACCGCACCTAGGAAAGCGTTAGTTGCTAGAGCTAGACGAGGAGAAAAGAAGGTTGTGGAAGAAGATGGGGACGAAGAGGAGGATGACAACAGCGACGTAGTTATGGGCGATGATGACGATGAAGAGGATGATGCGCCGCTCTTCGTGCCGTCAATCCGAACCGCTGCCAAGAAGGCCTCGACCAAAGCTTCAACGCGAGCCAAATCGCCAGCTAAGAAGACAACCACACGTGCATCTAAGCAGTCGACCCTCAACTTCTCTCAAGCTCCCACACAGCGCAGCCAAGTACCGGCGCGCGTATCTCGGGGAAAGAAGATACAAGAACCGGTCAGTATACGTGCACTCGGACATACTCTTAACAGTTGTTGATATTCTATGCAGAGCGAGGACGAGATATCTGATGATGACGATGCCTTCGAACCTGTTCCGACTTCTCGAAACATGAGGAACAGGAGGTAGATTGTATGAAGTATTGTGGTGGAACTCGTTATGAATGCTCTGGGATAACTTCACTAAGTGCATAGCGTGGGTGTTCATGGGATATGTCTAGCTTCACGATTCAATGGCAATAGCGGCAAATTGTGCGGACGATACAAGTTCAGCCAGCGACGTATCATCCTCCAGACAACAGACTGGAGAGGTACGAAAGATATATATATGCCCAAACCCTCCACCGGTTCTAAACTCGCGCTCGTAGGTATCCTCTCTCTTCTTCTCTTGTTCATTCTTAGCAAACCTCATATGACGCAGCGGAGATGTTCGTCGCTGCCTCGACCGCTCTTTCCCTTCCAGGGGATGCCCGAAGAGCAACTTCCATGCTCTCGCTCTCTTCAATCTCTTCTGTCCTTCTCTTCTTCAATCGCAGTCCCGCTCGCCTGGGCAGGCTTTCTTTCCGTCATCTCTAGTCTCATCACAAGGCAGGAGCGCCGGCATGGTCTCTTATATCCTTCCTGTGAACCCGCTGCTCTTCCACATTTCCACAACACACTCATTTGTCTTCCATCTTCTTGTTTCAACCCGTCTTCTTTCGTCATTGCTGCTCTACGGCTTTTGGATAGCTGCCCGCTCGTTGTTCGTTCTGAAAGTCAACATCAGCACTGAGGTAAGTGATGGACTGATGCATCATCCTCTTTACATCTGCTTCTATATTGGCTGTTTGGAAGATTGACTGAGAGTTCTAGGATATTCGCATCACATCCATCACTTGTCTCGTTGCTCTTTTGAAAGTTCCCTCCGTTGGTCCCATCGTTCTCGTAATTGCAGGTTGTTGTCAACGTATCGCGCCCTCTGCAACCAAGCAGGTGACGCGCCATGTCCTTAGCATATAAAGTGGAAGAGTTGCTCGCGCTAAGGGACTCTGTCTCTGAGTCGGCGGTGTCGATTGATAAGTTTGCCGACGAGGATGTGATCAAAGGTTGGTTGGTTGGGTTGCTTTCACTCTTTTGCGCCTCTGTCGCCTCAACACCATGACCACTATCACCACTCGAAACTTGCCCCCAGGATCTGCGCCGCCGCTCGGAAAAATCTTGCCCCAGCTCCGCCTTCGCGGGGTGCAATCCGCACTAAAGAATTTTCTGCCCTCACTTTTTCTTCATGTCGCACACCAGGGCGTCAGAAAGCGTTTTTTGCTTCAGCGTGCCATCTGCAAGTTGAACCACCCGCTAACTTTGCTTCAGAACACGTTTTGCGACCTTCTGCGTCTGCAAACGTCATCGGCTTCAGTTCCGAAAAGGCTTCACGCTTGTCAATGACACCTGGAGTCGCGTCCGCAGCAGCCGGTAAGAAGCCATCACCTTCGCCCTCTGTCAAGCGAGGCAAGGCAGAGAAGCTTCTGAAAGAGCACGGGAGTCCCCCGGGCATGCGAGTAACCGCCGGTGGTCGCGTCGTCCCCAGTGATCTGCCACCGTTGGGCAGTGCTCGTTTCGCCAGCAACGGCTTCAAGCCTCAACCTCAGAGAACTGTTACCCCCGGCAACGTCTTGCCTGGTCAAGCACAACTGGACGTCAACAGCCTGTCGCAAAGCATTCAATTAATCGGTGGGCAGCCAGTCCTCTGCGTCGGAGACCGCATCTTCCAAATTCCAACGTACGCTCAAAACCAGAACGCGCTAGGCGCTTTTGTTCCGACACTCACAGATACCACGAGACCAACTGGCGATACAACGATGTCGTCTCTTCCCGTCTCATATCATGGTGCCACCGGCACCGCCTCTCAGGTGAACGGTGGTGCATCAGCAGACGGTCAAACACCACTATCAACATTCCTTGGTGTTGACCTGAACACATTGAAGCAGCGCCAGCTCTTCAAGAAAGCAGAGCTCAAGAACTTGGAGCAGACGGAGGTGCTGCAAGCCTCCCACCAAAGCGAGGCCTGGAGAGCTGCTATGATCTCGAAGAAGAAGAGCCTGATCTTGGAGCTCGATGCCTTACGCAAACAAGTCATGGCTCTTGAAGGTGCTACTACTTCGACATCCCAAACGGTCGCTCTACCACACCCGAACGTGTCGGTCACTGTTCCTCCAGGTGCCACCTTTATGCCTCAATTCGGACAACAGTTCGTTCCGGTCAATATGCCTCCGCCGCTGTATCAGCCATATGGTGGTTCCCAACCTCTCACGACAAACCCGCCGCAGCTCCTTAGTGACGGGGGTATTTTCGTTCCAAACGATGCTTCCATTCGAGCAGCCTCATACCCCCACGGCCCTGCCCCCCCAATAAATACTGACGTTCACCCTCAATCCCCAGGCTCTGCCACGCGCCGTTCCCATGCAATTGAGATCAAGCCGCCGAAGCAGCTTGGCCAGCGCTCTACCTTGGATCCAAAGAGCCCCACATATGAGCCGGCTTTCAAAGCAGCGGCAACGTTCGAGAACTCCAGAACACTTTCTCTTCGAACGCCGTCTTCCCTCAAGCGCTCTCCAATCCCCTCGGGTGATGGCCATGGATTGCAACTCAGCAAGCGTGACGAGCGGGTTGTTACTCAAAACACAAGCACGTCATCCATTGACACGACGGATTTCTTCCCACGAAATACACATGAGCACTCCTCCACACGAGTTGCACCTGGTAAGGTTTCTCCATCAACGCCACAGAAAGATTGGCCCCCGAGTCCATGGAACCCGCCCTCACGAAGTGGGAGTAATTCCAACTTGTCAGGACCTACGGTTCAGGCATCACCAATGAGGAGGCCGCCCTCACTCACAGAGGAGTTCAGCAAGTTAGGAGCAAACTCTCGTCGAGTCACCCCAACCATACCGGACTCAGGATTACCTGGCTTAGGAAAGGTCTCTGCCCAGCACACTTTTACGAAGCCGATTAGCTTCTTGCTGTCCACCTACCAAGAGGGCTACCAGGCCGGCATTTCCCACCTAGGACTGCCAACCAACCGAGAGGTGCTCCGCGGTTTCCTTGCAGGGCTCAATGACTACTTGAATAACAAGATATCCCGTGGTCCTTCGGCGGGCAACTTTCCTTTGTCAAGCACACTATCAACGAGTTCGTCTGTCCGAGGTCAGGTTATGAACACTACTCCACGTGACTCCGGTGTGAGTATGTCGTTCCCGCGCCCAGAGTCAGCGTTGGTAGGACAGGAGAATATGCGGTCCATAACTTCAACCTCGTTCTCCAGTGTTGGATACCCACGCCAGCTCTCTGGCAACCAGGTTGGCAGGGGAACTCTGCCTACTAATTCTCCATTGAAACCCCACTATGGGCCAACGAAGGAATATGCTACTGGGGCCGCCTTTGCGGATTTGCGTTCCTTCTCAAGGACCCCTGGAAATGGACGATTATCGCAGCTGGACGGCGCAATGGATGACTTGGCGGAGCTTCTTGACGACGCCCAACTCGGTGGCCATAAGCAAACTGACGATAAACCCCGTACGGAGGCCATTACGGAGTCTGTTGATACTGAGGCGTCATGCTTCGGTAAAGGAAAACAGAAAATGGATTCGTCTCCAGCGAAGAAGTCTGAGACTTCCAACAAGTCTCCAGCCAAGGCGCGCCTAGGTCAATTGACAAACAAGCTTCGACGTGAGCGAGAAGACGATCCTCGCCATCTTTCGCCAGAGGACAAGAAGAATCACAAGGACAAGTGGCACAAACGGTTCGGAATAATCAAGCGCACTGAGGACAACAACGTCCAAGCATACCTTCAATCCCAAGCGGAGGATCGACGCAAGAAGTCGAAGAAACCTTCCAATGAGAAGAAGAAGGCAGACGGGGGCCTAGAGAACCTTGACGAGTGAAGATCGGTGGCGTCCTCGTCTCGGAATTGCGCTCATCTGGGTTGCGTATTTGGCATCCTCTATGAATCGAGAGCTAGTGATTGGAGGCCTGACGGTAGATATACATAGGACTTGCCTTATAACTTTCCTTTGCATCCTTCAGCCTTCTCCTGGATTCCTTTCTTTCATTCAACTTATGTTCAACATTTTCTGGACCTGTATCCTGTACGAGGCCAGCTCTGGAGTCTCCTCTGGGAGCGAGTGCAAGGACCTCTCCATGGATTTTCGAGGACCTTCTATCCGGCTTCTTACTGGCTCTTAATGCTTACCTTTTACTTCCGACACTTCCGACACTTTCGACTTTTGTACACTATCTTCGCCGCCATTGGTGGACATGACTCTAGTTGTGGAACACTCCGATGCGGCTATTTGGTGGACTTGAGCTTCCAATTGCCCACACCTGTCGTTGTGGTATTCGATGGCTTTCTTTTCTTTCGCCTGTTTGCACAATACTTCCCGGATTATATGTGTTGTATGGCTTGTCGCAAGCTGGTGCCAGTCTAAATCCGTCTTAGGCCTCTCGATCATCGATGGCTTTCTTTTCTTTCCACCTGTTTGCACAGTACCTCCGGGTGATAGTACCGTATGGCTTTGTCCAAGCTGTTGTTTCTCTACATCTGTATTCGGCCTCTCCATGGTTTTCCCTCTAATCTCCCTTTGTACAATACGTCCAGGCTTGACTGCAAAAGGCCCTTGTCTTTGTACGTTTGCCTCGACTCCGTTTCTGTTTTGTTTGTCTTTCCTTTCCCCCACCTTTCTCAATGTTTACGGAGTATCGATTGCATGGGGGCAGGATTGACTATGGATGGCTCTTCAGTGCAAAGACGGACCGCCCGTTCTTATACTCTCCGCCGACTTTTCTGTTCTTCCCCCGGCCGGCATATTTGCCTTATGGATGCGTCGATACTCGGGTTTAATTAAAAGTTTTGTATGCACATGTTTTGTTTGCTTCGTGGTTAGGATAGTAAAACTTTGACCAAAATGCCGGTGCCTACTGCGTTGGTAATGGTGTGTTGTGTTGTGTGGTGCCTGTCAAGGAGATTTCAATGTTTAGTAAGGGGGGCACATGGGTGCTCCTTCCCGATTGGGGAGCGTTCCAGAACAAGTTGGCAGCGGGCAAATTCGGTGAATTAGGGACTGGGAGAACACTGGTTCATGCAGGAGATGGCAATTGCATCGAAATGGACGCGCTGAAGCAGGAACGAAAGCGAGCAGGGGATATGGCGATATCGCGAGTCAAGATGATAGTATTATGCCGCTGCTCAGCTGCTGATAAATTCAGGTGCAGTGACATCGTGGGGTGGAAACATTTGACGAGGCGCAGTGCGTGCTCCAGGGAAGGTGGAAGTCGGAGAGGCGCAGCCAGCAGGGCAGCCATTTCTCAGCTATTCGCAACGCAGCTTTTGAATAAATAAACTCCATTGCCAGACCACTGCAACGTCAGTTCTCGTGCTGTATTCCATAGATATTGTTTGACTCGGTTGGCCTGCAGTCGCCGTCGCGGCTTCACAGCGCTTCTCGGCAGCTTCCACGAAGGGTTCTAGCTCCCCACTCGTCCTCCGCCTCGATTCGCCGCCTTCACGTTTGGCGGCGGTCACGGTCTGCGCTTCTTCTTCTTCTTCTTCTCCTTCTTCCTCCACCGTCTCCCATCCATCGACGGTGTGTTCGACATTCTTTCACACCACCGGCCAGACACCGCCGGACGCAGCCGTCACCCCCTTCCCCCCCGGCACAGATTCATCAGCCACGGCGTCGAGAGACCCTGGACACCGACATCACCGCCAGAGTGACCATGGCCCGCTGCCACTGACCCAGCCCCCAGCAACACGCCTCCCACAGCTTTGGTCGCTCCTTTCTACTAGCGAGAGCCTACATCTGGGCTTGACCGTCGCTCTTCTCTCTCTGCATCCTACCTCGACACAGTAGTTGCCCTCCATGACCCAACTCTTCAGCTCATCGTCGAACCACTCGGCCTTGGCCGAGAAGAGAACCTTCTCCGGCCAGCTGCTGTCGTCGAATAAGCAAGTCAACGGCTCCAATAGCCAGGTCTCACAGAAGATCAAGAACTTCTTCCGTATAAACAGCCTCGGCAGCAGCGATAGCAAGGACCGCAAGCATTCCGACGATGGCACCTCTACCCCCAAGAACGACTCCAAATCCTCCTTTCGTCAGTCGAGATTTCTTCCACACATCACCCGCAATCGTTCCCAGACTGTCGCTAGCGAAGGTAACCCGCTAGACGATGGCATGTCACCCACCGCCCACGCGAACCCGTACTTCATTCATCAAGGCCCGCCCGCCCTGCGACATCACAATGAAGGCAGCGTGCCTCCGTCTCCACCTGATACTCCCCCGATACCAACGACGAAGATAGAGGCCGTGAGTGGGCCCAATGACCAGGTCACAACAGCTGGAAAGGAGGAATTGGCACGGAAGCTGCGTAGGGTAGCCTCCGCTCCAAATGCTCAAGGGCTCTTCTCATCTTCAAAAAACTCTGATAGACCACAAACTGCAGAGCTCGGAAAACAGCCATTAGTACAGCATGCTAACTCGTCAGCTTTGAGTATGGTGGAAACCGCCACTGCTTCCTCCAACCACCTCGTTCCCGTAGCCCCCGCCAACGGTATTCCATCTCCGGGCCAGATCCGCAATACAGTTGCCTTCCGGAGAACGTATAGTTCTAATTCAATTAAAGTTCGAAATGTGGAAGTCGGACCAGGAAGTTTTGATAAGATCAAACTAATTGGGAAGGGTGACGTTGGGAAGGTATACTTGGTTCGAGAGAAGAAGTCAAGTCGGCTCTATGCCATGAAGGGTATGTCTGCGCCCGATAATGCACGAAGCTCGCTAACCCTCTGTAGTCCTGAGCAAGAAGGAGATGATCAAGCGGAACAAAATCAAACGTGCTTTGGCTGAGCAGGAGATTCTGGCGACCAGCAACCATCCGTTTATTGTTACACTCTACCATTCGTTCCAGTCAGAGGATCACCTTTACCTGTGCATGGAATACTGTAGTGGTGGAGAATTCTTCAGAGGTAAGGGTCTTTGCAGATCTGTTCCAGGGGGCCTGAGCTAACAGTGGTAAGCTCTGCAAACTCGGCCAAACAAATGCGTAGACGAAGATGCAGCGAGATTTTATGCTGCCGAAGTCACGGCTGCCTTAGAGTACCTCCATCTTATGGGCTTCATATATCGGGACTTGAAGCCTGAGAGTACGCGCTTCCTCACAATCTTGATTCCTAATTACTAACCTAAGTAGACATTTTACTTCACCAATCCGGCCACATCATGTTGTCAGACTTTGATTTGTCAAAGCAGTCTGACCCTGGAGGCCGGCCGACTATGATCGTCGGCCGTAACGGTACCTCGTCAAGTAATCTTCCGACCATCGACACGAAGTCGTGTATAGCGAATTTCAGAACGAACTCATTTGTAGGGACGGAGGAATATATCGCACCAGAAGTGATCAAGGGATGCGGCCACACAAGTGCTGTGGACTGGTGGACGCTCGGCATTTTGATATATGAGATGCTTTATGGAACAACACCGTTTAAGGGCAAGAACCGAAACGCTACGTTCGCAAATATCCTCCGTGACGACGTACCCTTTCCGGAGGGATCTGGCACCCCGTCCGTGTCTAAGTAAGCTTTCCCCATCCATCCACACATAACTTCTGCTAACCCTTTCAAGTCTTTGCAAATCACTCATCCGCAAACTTCTCATCAAGGATGAGTTACGTCGTCTCGGCTCCAGGGCCGGTGCCTCAGACGTCAAAACCCACCCCTTCTTCCGAACAACGCAGTGGGCACTGTTGCGTCATATGAAACCACCCATGATCCCCCATCAAGGCCGTGGTGTTGAAACACCAAATTTCCGAAACGTGAAAGAGAGCCAGAGTGTGGACATTAGTGCTGCAAAAGTTAAGGGAGTACCCTTAGACTCTGGCCTTGCTACACCTATGGGTGAAGTTGCGGATCCATTCGAAGAGTTCAATAGTGTTACGCTTCACCACGATGGCGATGACGATATCCGTGACAATTCGGAACACCTTGAGCTCCAGAACACGCATTCGCACCGGTGAAAAATAATATCTGCTTAGATCATTTCCTGCACGGGAAAGATCCGGTCGTCGGGTGGCATTTCTGTTCCAAAAAAACGCAATTTCTTATGGCATTCCTTACTTTCAGGAGATCCGGCGTTCCGCTATCTCCTGGTCCACTCCTTTGCTGGACTAGACAAACGGTGTTCACAGCAACTTCTTGGTTTTGGCCACCACTTGTTTTGAAAGGACATACGGCGTTATAGGTTCCTGTCGCAAGGCATTATATTTGAATTTCTCTTGTGTCCCCACTTTCATGTTATTATTTTTTTGGGTGAGGCTTCTGAGAAATTTTGTTTTGGGCGCCTATAGTCGAGCCCACGGCTTGTCGAGCCAACTGTAAATTGCTCCGGCGTTCGCTACTGTACCGCCATCACTGGAGGATCGTCGTGCTCTCTTCAAGTGAGGAGATGGTGAGCCCTTGGCATCTTCGGGGTGTGGTGTTGAAAAGGGTGATGGGTGTGGGATTGAAGAGAGTTGAGTATTGAACATAGCACAGCTCAGTTGATATGTGCATGGAGCAGTGCGTCGATTAATCCGTGGTTTTGTCTTGATTTCTGTGAATAGAATCCTAAGTTCATGTCTTTTGGAGAGCGCCGAATGCCAAGATTCCCTCCTGACTCTGCACAGACCGCGTCGCGTCTTTCCCCGCGATATCACTTCATAGTCTTAGGTTTATACTATCAACATTGCGCATCTTCGTCTATTACATAGTCTACCCAAATTTGCAGTACGGCTGTGCAGACACACTATATTGTCACTCCTCTTTGACCTTCTTGGTCAATCGCAGCAAACAATTCCACACGCACTCGACTCCACACTTTGTCTCGACAATAAACCTCTTTCAACACACGCAAAGGCCCAATCCGTGCCACAATTCAGATCCGAAATACCATTACAATATCCAGAAAAATGTCAATGGACACTCCAGACCAGCACCAACCCCACCTCTCGGCCTCCCAACCCTCAGCACCATCTCCTACAGAAACACTCACCCCGCTCGAACAAGAAGTCCTCGATGAATATGCGCGGTTGCTTGGGAATCTGAATAACGTATCTCTCCCCCTCTTCCTCCCATTTCTCCCGCTGTCCCTCCCTCCTCCCCCGTCCTACCGAGGCTTGTGTCCCCCATTTCATCACTACTAACGCAAAGAGTCGCAGATGTCAACCCTTCTCTCCTCACTCGCCGCAAACCCATCTGCCGAGGTCCTGGACGCGCTAAGGGGACTAGAACGGAAAACGAGTCTCGTGTTTACGCTGCTAAAGGCGAGTGTGTATAGTATTGTGTTGAATCAACAGATTCAGGATCAGGAGCCTGAGGGGGAGAGTTTGGGGCAGAGTCGGGGGAATGATGGGGGTTTTTGAGAGATAGTGTGTTGCATGAGTTGAATGGGAAATGCCGTCCGTGTTTGTATTGATATGGTAATGGGATAAGGTGGGACGGGATGAGATAGGATGGGATAGAAGGCGTTTTATGATACCCGGATAGATTTGGGCGAAATGGAAAGGGAAGGAATGGAAAATATGGCTTGGGATTCGTGAGTCTATGGTCGGCAGAAATATACTACATGTTTGAGCAATGCTCGCTCATATCCTCATCATGATGGTAACTATACAAGGTACATCCCTCCAACTGCACGATATATCTGACATAATATCATCTCTGCCAAGCGACGTCTAATGTACACTTCCACCATAATACACTTTCCTCACGTCCACAAGCTTCTTCCCCCTCGCTCTCGCAATCTCGTCAGGTAGCTTTTGGCTGCATAGTGCCTCCCATGTAGCCTTGATGACGTTCATCTTGTTTCGGGAGCGCGGGGTGCGGGCAGCGAGGTCCTGTAATCCAGCGGCGCGAGCCATTTCGAAGATGAGATGCTGGACGCGGAGACCAAAGCCTATATCCCACGGTCAGAAACTCAGTCGTCCAAACCATCGTAGTTCAGTTTCATGGACAGCACTTACCAGGCGGTCTTGCAAACAATTGCACTTTCGTGGCTGCTACTTTCTTCTCTAGGTCTCCATATATCGTCCTGTTTTCGTATCTAGGCACCGGTCGAAGGTTCCTGATGGCTGCCATGACGCTCTGTTTCCTACCCTCTTCAGGTTCCACAGACTTTCCTTCTCCAACACCCAGTAAACCATTCCCATTTCCAGCAATCGTGAGATAGTACAACGACCTAATTTTGCCCATGCGCGTTTGATTCGTGACGCCATGCACAATCAACGTCTTCACGCGTATCGAGCGCAATTTGTCCTTGTCCCAATCTAGATACTTCAACAGCCGTTTCTGCCTCGGGTCCTCTTCTTCCTCATCAGCTAACCTCCTCGTCTGTCTCGCCATCCTGTTCTCTATCCTTGGTAGGTCTGGCAAGATCACTGAGTGTCGTGGATCTGCCAATGCCTCGAGAGCCCGTGGATTGCTACCCGTATATACAGCCCGTGGATCCATCGCCGCTTGCGTGAACGCAGCCTCCATGTTCTCTTCCAACTTCTCCTGATCTTTGCGGCTTAGTTGCCCATCTGGAACACCGTCTGGATACATTTTGGCCAGATTCTCGTTGGCAATACGACTCATAGCTTCATCACGTTCCACAGCGTTAGCGAGCCGAAAGTCCTTTTTGCCAACGATAGCTGATGGTGGGAGTTTGTCGGCGTGATCTGTTACGGGGTCCACATCCGCCAGATCATCCTCGTACGGCAGTCTCCAGGGATCCGTACGTTGCTGACCTTGGGTTAGTAGGTCTCGTGGATCGATGGCGGCTTCTGCGGCTTTGATAGCAGCGATTTGTGCCGGGGTATATCTTTTTCGGAGAAGCGCTGTTTCGTCGGTGTTGTATTTGGGGTAGGATTCTGAAGCAGCCTGATTGAGAAGTTGGAGGTCAGAGGCTTTTATGCTAGGGTAGTGCGGCCGGCGTCGCGCAGGTCGGGGACAGCTTGAATGGAAGGGTCGGGGTTGGTGCGATGCAGATGTTGAAGCCGAGGGCTTAGGGAGGGTGGTGGACCTTGAGAAAAGACATCTTGCAGGTCGCCAGACACTCATTTTGTGTCCCAAATTAGAGCCAGAGCTCAATTGAGCGCAGATTAGGAGTTGTGGATGTGAGAATGGCTTTGCCAAGCTCATCAGACGAATGCTGAAGTTCGAGGAAAATTATAGATGACTAAGCACAGCTGCGCTAGTATGTATCTAGCAATCACAATCTGAACTGTGTGAAATTCTACATGATATCCCGGGTTTTTCAACCATCGCTTCGGGCATTGGTTTGCAGTGGCCGAGGAGCATATTTTGCGAGATACAGAATGGCCTCTCTCGCTGCAGATGTTGCGTTGGCGGACAGTAATGGTGCGAAGAGATATGCTGAGACTCCTCCGCGGAGTGAGGAGCAAGGGCGGGGAAGCTACAGATTCAAGAATAAGAGAATGAGAAAGGGTCATGGTGATAGTAGTCAGATCCTGCAAACAAATGGGAGTAATGAGGAGATTCTCCTGGAGGATGTGAAGGACTTGTTGAACAGTATGGATTTGGGAAAGGAAGAGGGTATGGAAACCGTTCTCCCGGAACGGCTGTCTGAGGTCGAAGTTTCCATCAAGCAAATTTCTTCTACTGGAGATGGACTGGGCTTTGCGAAGGATTCAAAGCAAGTTTACGTTGTCCCGTTTACAGCACCCGGAGACAATGTCACAGCAAAGGTGTTCAAGCATTTCGAGAAAGAAGGATACTCCATGGCCGATTTCATCCGCGTTAATAAGCCTTCTCCACACCGGAATGAATCTCTCATTAAATGTTCTTACTTTACGACCTGCTCAGGGTGCCAATTCCAAATGCTTCCATACGACTACCAACTCGCGCACAAGAAGTCTATTGTAGAGAAGGCATATAAGAACTTCTCCAACCTACCTCCGGAACTTATCCCAGCTATAGGCGACACTATTGGATCACCTTTGGAGTATGGCTACAGGACAAAGCTAACACCACATTTCGACGGCCCACCAGATTCCCGCAGGAGCGATGGGAGGAATGGAATCAAGCGCACGTTCAAAGAAGTCCCACCCATTGGCTTCATGAAAAAAGGCACCCGCCAAACCATCGACATCGAAGACTGCCCCATCGGCACCTCCGTAGTTCGAAAAGGCATGTATCGGGAACGGCAACGCATAGCCCAGGAAATCGGAAACTACAACAAAGGTGCCACAGTCCTCCTCCGCGAAAACACCGCACGAATTCCAAAGTCCGAATGGGATGAAGCTCAAAATACCCCCGACTCTGTGATCGAGGAAAAGGGAGAATTCATCTACAAAAAAACCTGTATAACCGACCCTAAGGCTCAAACCACAGAACACATCCCCCCCTATCAATTCACCAACCCAGCAGGTGCATTCTTTCAAAACAACAACTCCATCCTCCCGCGCTTCACCCAATACATCCGCTCGCATATCCTTCCTCAAACACCCTCCTCTCACCCCAAAATCCACCACCTGATCGACGCATACTCCGGCAGCGGACTCTTCACAATAACTCTCTCCTCCCTCTTCACAACTTCTCTCGGTATCGACATCTCCCCCGCAAGTATCACTTCCGCCACCCAAAATGCAACCCTCAACTCTCTCCCCGCCTCGCGCGCCAAATTCATCGCAGCGGATGCCTCACATCTCTTTAGCTCGATCACGACGCCTGCCCGCGAAACCGTGGTCGTCATCGATCCACCCCGCAAGGGCTGCGACGAGAGCTTCCTGCGCCAATTAGTCGGATACGGACCCGCGAGAATCGTGTATGTGAGCTGCAACGTGCATACGCAAGCGCGGGATATAGGGGTGTTGGTTGGGGGGATGAAGGGGGTTGATGGCGGGTTTGGGGTTGGTGAGGGAGGCTATGAGATTGAGAGTATTGTGGGGTTTGATTTCTTTCCGCAGACGGGACATGTTGAGGGTGTTGCGGTCTTGAGGAGGAAGACGGAGTGGAATAGTGGTGGGATGGAGGAGAGTGAGATCAAAGAGGATGATAACAAGAATGAGGAAAAGACTGAAGGTGCTTGAGTAGGGAGGGCATCCCGTCCCATACTATCCATCCAGATATTTAAGCAAGGATATCTGCTAAATATGAGTTGAGAGCGATATAAACCAGCCCATCCAACACATATAGTTCTAACCAGAACACATATCATGCTTTGAGAGTTATGAATTATTGAACTTGTCATGTCTTGAAATACTCCAATGCCACACTACCTCCCCTTGCCCGTCCTATCATGAATTTTAATACCCAGGTTATCATCGACTTTTCATAATGCTCGGACAGGCAGACCCCATTTCCACAGCCACCGCCGTCACAAAGCTTAGTACGAAGTCGACGAAGCGGTATGAGAGTCAGACCGGCTTGTCCAGAAGCTACATCAAGTGCACCCTGACAAAATTTCGTAACATGACGTCATCACGAAGCACCAACCTTGTTAAGGCCCTTCAGCGATCCCAAGCTCAAAGCCAAACCCTGTGACCGACTTCGGATACGTACGAAACCTGTAATAGGACCGTTTTCGCCCTCCTTCTCAATGCTAAGGTTAGCCAGAGCATCCTCGCCTACACACAATCAGCTCCTCGTCAAACTCGAATGTTACGTTGAAGGTACTCACCAAACACACTTCTCGCGTACAAATTAGCGGACAAGAACTGGCAATCTCCCTTCATAGAAGCCTCAGGGGTAAGACAGCTCATATTGGTGCAAGCCATCAATTGCTTCAAGAATTCGCGGAGAGATTTGGCCTTGGAATTGATATTGACTTTGTTTTCCCACTCGAACTCGGTCCACATTGTGCGGAATTGCGTCTCTGTGCAGTATGCGGGTTTGATGTAGTCCATAATGTCTACGTGTACATCGTTTAGGATGACAACGTTGGAGTCAACTCCCTTTTCGCTATTCGTTCGTTAGCGTAAGTCGCCGATGGTGCCCTCGCCTCAACTTACCCTTCATATATGACGTTGCCGAAAATTACTCCGGTGTCCGTTGAGGACACCTTGATGGTGGCTTGGATATTAATGAAGTCGTGAGGGCCGACGTTCTGTGTTGGAGGGCGCTCTACGACCTTAAGGTCGCCGAGTGTTGCGAATTCTACTGTAAGATTCTGAAGAGTCTCGGTCGTTTGATTGACGAGAAGAACGTCGAGAACGATGTCGAATTGATGCACCTAACCCGAGGTTAACCAAAGGGCCGTGATTAAGGATCGGATACATTACCTTCACATATGCTTCGCCATAAACAGGATCTGAGAAGCCAGTAAGTTGCACAACCCGGCTTAGCTTAGAAGTCAGGTCTTCAGTAGCTGTATCCCCCCCAGTTGCCCTCTCCAAATCTTGTTCAATTTCGTCAGTACCATCTAGTTCTTTCTTCTTTAGTTGTCGGATTGAGAATGAGTCGTCAACATTGACTGCAGATTTTGCCTTCTCCACAGCTTCCTTGGCTGCCCGCTTCTTTTCTTCCGCCTGGACCATTGTTCGGAACGACCTTCGCGTATCTTCCAGAAACACAGTCTCGAGTTCCTTTCTCTGAGCAAACTCAGAGAGAGACCGGACACATGTCATGATTCGGTCGACAGAGTCCTCGTCTATGAGCGTTTTGACAAACTGCGATTGTCCAACTCGAATAATAGATATCATGATGAGCATAGCCTCGGCCCGGAGAGCATTTGTTCGCGCTTCATCTTTGGATATCTCTGAGTGTCGCATGACAAGTTTCGTGAGAGTACTGGACAGAACCGTCGCCAGGTAGTAATCACCATCGAGGATCAGTTGGCGTAGTGGAGGCTTCTGGGAGTTCTTAACAGCCTCCAGTTTCGCTTTGGCGGCTGCGGAAGTGAGCGCGCTTTCCGTAGCATAGGTACCATCCGCAAGAACTTTTCGCGATCCTGATGGAGCTACAGGTTTGGCGTGGCCGTTCACTTGTTCCGTAGGCTCTTTCCCTTCGGAAGCTTCCTCCAGTAACCGCTGCTCTGAGGCAAGGATAGGGATCTCGCCAAGGGAAGAGCGTATCCCTTTCCATGCGTCTCGAATGTCCTTTGCTTCCAGAGAGAATTCACCAATAATCCAAAGAACACCACGATAGACCTTTCCAGCGCGAACCTCACCTAAAGTAGTCACCAGGCGTTCGACAATTGATGCCCTTAGATCTGGGAAGCGTTCCACGACCTCTTTCACGAAAGAGATCACGTCAACAGCGGAGGCGTTGCTGCTGACATCTGAGATAAAGTCCATGAGCGAACCCACAACGCTCGCTGCAACCTCGGGGAACTTAATGGCAGACTGGTGGATAGAGGAAATCAGGAGTGTTCGGTACTCAGAGTTCTTCTCGTACTGCTCGTCAACTGTTTTCATGAGTTCTTTCTTGAGGAGAAGAACGACTTCTTCGACATTTCGGCTAGAGACCATCTCCATGGCAATCTTGAGCGCCTTTCTCCGTACATCCAGGTCCGGGCTGGAAAGAACACGAAGAACTTCCATTGTCAAATCATCTAAAACGCCTTCATTCTTTTCCCGTAATTGATCCACTCTTTCCAAAACGAGGAGTTTCACATTGTTGTCAGGTTCCTTGATAGCCAGTTCAGTGAACTTCCCTGCTGCGGCCTTGACAGCTACAGGATTGTTGGTGAGGGTTGTCAAAGCATGGGCAGCTTCGTAGATGACGGTGGATACACTAGATTCGAGGAGATCAAAGATCAACCGAAGATATCTAGCCTTGTTCTGAGGATTTACAAAAGCATCTCGGCGAATAAATTCGAGTTCAGCAAGGAGCACAAGCTCGTCGTGGTTTGGAATCGAATCAAAGACAGTACTAAGGTACTCGAGCGCTTTTTCATGACTGATAGAGGCAAGAGCGGCGAAGGCGTTGCGCTTGCAGGTGGCGTCGTTCTCCTCGTCCAAAAAGGTGGTCAAGAGGTCGGGAGCGTCCGGAAGCAATTCTGGAAGATGCGTGAAGATTGAAGCGATTGCAAAGGTGGCGTTTTTGCGGACGTATGCATGCCGATGAGAGAGGCATTGGCGAGCCGGTTCTTCATAGCACATTAGCATAGGAACATCTCCATACACTGAATAGAGGTGGGATCTGCTCACGTAAAAGAGGCTCTACTAACTCGGCATCCCTCAGTTTGCAGCTGTTTCGTGGGTGAGCAAAAACGGTACAAAAGCGGGGGAGCGAGCCCGTACAGAAAGCGCAATGTGTTCCCTCGTACGTATTCGTTCGGCGCCTGGAGATCGAAACGGATAGCATTGCTTCCCCATCATTAGCCGCTGGCACCTCGCGAGATATGTGCGTTAGCACCTACCACACCAATATCCACTCCTGTCGCAGCTTCCCCTGCGCGTCGTGCTTTGGACATACCTCCAGGAAGAGATACATCAATTTCTTCAGGGGCTTCGACTTGCTAGGCATGACGAATCGTATTATGTGCATGAGCAGGCCTGCTTGGGGGTCACCGTTCAGCATTATCGAGAGGATCTTCTTCTGTAGGGTTGTCAGGCCGGTGCTCTTAGGGCATCGCGGGGCAGCTCAATGGGTATATCCGCACCATAGTCTCGATCTTTGACTCATCTGTCCCCTTCTCTAGAGCTTGCTTGAGCTCATTCTGCGAGGGGACATCGGCAGCATTGTCCTGGTGGACCTGTCCGGCAACGTAAGTGAAGGAGACCCGCAATAAACGGCAGAGGATTCATACCAGACTGTATGAATTTTCAAGGAATGTCGCCATGATGATTGCTAGACCAATCCCAGCGCTCCTTGTCGAGTTATTTGTTTCCTCTCACGCCTCCAGGAGTCGGCCGGCTGCCGTCAATGCCCGTGGTGTCCAGAACAGGTGGGCTGCAACGTGGATTCAACGAGGGGAGGTGCGAAATTAGCGGGCGGGTGGAGAAGGCTGGGGTCCAGTGGAGGGCGTATCCGGAGAGAAATTTGGGCTGCGCAGGAGTGCAGCGTCAAGTATCAACAGCATACACTGCTTCAGTTGAGCAGCTTGTCCGTCCAGGTGTCTCCTCGAGAAAGTGGTCCGCAAGGCTTGGCATTTTTCGGCTAAGCGACCAGGGTTCGCCGCATCGTGAAAACGACACCAAAGTAAGTCACCAGCTGCCAGGCAACGCATCCATCGCTGTTGCTTCCCAGAAGCCTCCATCTTTCCTCTCCCCCACGGTCCGGATTCCCTCCTCGCCGTAATGGAGCCCGAAGCTAGCGAGCCGTTTTATTTGCGATACTAGTAATCCTAGCCTCATCCCGAAGTGCACGTGAAATTAATACTAACTGCTTCACACAGCTCTGGCCATCAAGGGCGATTTGGACATGAATTCCTAGGTATGGCTTCTCTGTTGTAGGCGGTGCCTTGTTTCTAACCCTTTTCAGAATTCGATTTTCGTGTCCTTGGGGACGGCCGCAGCGCTTCCGCGCGATATGCGAACAACTCCAACTATCGAAACGACTCCCTAATTCGAAAAGAGAGTGAGACTGGTCACTTTACTGCCTCTTCTGGCATGTTGCTAACGTGGCCAGTGTGCGTAAGCCATCTTATGGTCAAACAGATCAAGAAGATTGTCAAGGATAGCGAGATCATGAAGTATGTTAAAGGATACATTTAATTCACACTACTGACCTCGTCGTAGAGAAGACGACACGAACTGGCCACAGAAGAACAAGGACGGCCGCCAAGAGCTGGAAATCCGCATGGGCAACGAGCACATTTCGTTTGAGGTTCGGCGACTCGCAGCCTTCACAAATTTAGAACTGACATAGATATACAGACCGCGAAGATTGGCTCATTGCAAGACGTAACAGACTCTCAAGACCCAGAAGGTCTCCGTGTCTTCTACTACCTCGTTCAGGATCTCAAAGCGCTGGTGTTCTCCCTCATCGCCCTGCATTTCAAAGTAAGGCTCCCCTTCCTTCCAATTGTGGAGACGAGAACGTGCTCATAAATTTACTGCAGATCAAGCCTATCTGATTTTTTGTCTGGCATCTCCGGATGGCGTATGGCGCCTTGCTTTTGTCGCCGACAAATCACTTCCGACCGTATTACTGGCGGGAAGATCTCGGTCAACTAGTGGTCTTGTGGGGAATGCACGTCTGGAGTCCAGAATCATGTCCTGTGGGTTTACACGCCGCTGTCAGCCGTCTGAAAGTCTAGCGATCCCATTTCTCTATCATAGGATGCAGATTTTTTAGAGTCTGCGCGTTCTGCGTTGATCGCCTGTGCCAATCCAAGCGGCAGCGCCAAGGCTGCACGCCATTCCTCATTGCATCTCTCGTTGTCAATCACATGATGTTGGAAGCAGTGTTTCATTCGGACAAGGTCTGTTGAACGGTGAATTGCGCGCCGGCAGTGCGTCCGTGGCGCTCTAAAGCCCTGGGTGACTGCGGCAGCCGTGGGGTCGGTGCAACAGAAGGCCATCTGGGGTCTCCATTTGCCTCGCTGGTCCACGTGAGGCTAGCGTTCCTTCCCCGCGTAAGCTGCAAGCCTCGCAGGCCAAACCCTTCACTCTCGAGTCTCAAGTCCACACAATGGACATCATCGCTCTGCACTCGTCCAACTAAGCCCCGAGTCTTCCTATATCTTCTCTAGTGTCTGTCCTCCATCTCATGCCTGCTCAATTCTCGTTTGGTCGTGACTTCTGAATTCCTTCTAATCTGGACTATGCCCACTCCTGATGATGCGATGCTGTCGCCGCCATCAGAGCACGAGAGTCACCTGGCTGGCCGCACGACATGTCCGCCAGAAGAATCCCGCATCCACACCGCGCTCGATATGAATGTCGAGCGACCCCTTCACACTCAGAATGATGTCAATACCTCATACACCCCCCCGATGCAACAGCCCACTCCTCCACCCGCCGACCGAGACATCTCCGACGCGCAACCCCAGGATGAAGAATCGCATAACAAAGGCCCCGATGCAGAGGTAGACGGCCCAATCCGCGACATTCCCACACCGGTGAGTGCGACAGACGAGGGCGCAGACGAGCAGCGGAATGCCCAGGTCTCGCCGCTCTCAGCGTCGGCATCTGTACCCGTCTCCTGGTCTCAACCATCGCTCTTGACATCACCATTTCCAAGCTACAGGGTCAGTATCACTGCTCGCAATGCGCCGCGGTCATCCAAGTCACCGTATTTACTGATGGCGGTGCGCAGTTCCTGCCCAACTCGTCCTCTTCGCTTCTCCGCCACGGAAGCCGATTTAAAGGCAATCAAACGTCAGACCACCAGAAATACGAAGTAGAAGTCGAAATAAAACATGTAGATATGCGGGAATCGTTCCTGTGTGGGTACTTGCGCATCAAAGGTGCCTGCGACCCCTACCGAAACAGTACCAGCGCATAACTAACGCTTCCCCAGGCCTAACAGAAGACCACCCTAGTCTCACTACATACTTCGAAGGCGAAATCATTGGTAACAAGTACTCATTCATCACCCAACACCCTGAATGGGGCTCTAACGAGAAGGTCGATCGGCAGCATTGGGCCCGGCTCCCTGCACACAAGCAGAAGTTCTCGAATCGCCAAGATCTTTCAACGAAAGACTGGATGCAGAAAGAGCATATTTTTATGCGGTGGAAGGAATACTTCCTCGTCCCAGACCATCGGGTGAAGACGATTAATGGCGCAAGTTTTGAAGGGTTTTATTATATCTGCTTTAATCAGGTCTCTGGGAGTATTGAGGGCATCTACTTCCACGCGAAGAGCGAGAAGTGAGTTGGTGTTGTTTGCATTTCTGTCAGGTGTATGCTAACGATGCCCAGGTATCAGCAGCTCAAGCTCGAGCACGTCCAAGATCACGGGTGTCAAGGCGCAATGGAATTCCGATAATTACGATTTACGATGGGGAACGTGCATGTATATGATGGCCGGTATATGGGACAGCATTTTGGTCATGAGTGGTCATCTTTTCAAGTTGGGTTTTCCATTGTACAGACTTTATGGGTTTCATGACAATTTTGGAGGCGGCCTCGCAGTGCGCGATGACGGCTGATCTGGCATTTGGGTTCTGTAGTGTCTAGAATTACTTTTGAATGTTCTGATGTTCCTGGTTACGTCATTCGACATAGTCATCGTCATGGAATTGACGATAGCTAATCCCCGATCCTCCACAAATTTCGCATCGTGTGATGGGCTGCTTATGGGTCTAGCGCAAAGCTTGACTGCACCTCTTCGCTTCGCCGTGCCGAATTTATCTCTTGCTAGCAACACCATCGATCTTGTAACCACTACCACGGATCAGGCACGATGCCCGGCGAACCGAATAAGCGCCTGAAACGCCAGGAGTACAAGAAAAGTCTCAATACCGAGCAAAATGCAGCGCTGCCGAAGAAGAAATTCTACCGGCAGCGGGCGCATGCCAATCCCTTTTCAGACCATTCCTTGACCTAGTGAGACAATTTTCCACGAAGTTAAAAACCGTGTACTGATAAGAGGCAGCCCGAAGAGCCCGGCAGAGATGGACTGGTCATCTTACTATCCTGCACACACAGTCGCACAAGAGATAGAGAACACCGCGCATGAGTCACATGACTTAACCAAGGACATGCCCGCGAAGGCGATCACGAAGCCGGTGGAGATTGCAGATATTGGCTGTGGGTTTGGTGGACTACTCTTTGCTCTGGCGCCGAAACTACCTGACACCCTGATCTTGGGTATGATATTCTGCTTTCTCTCCAAAGATTCCACTCTCTCGTCTTGAGCCGTCTTTCGCATCAACCATCCTAACTTTAAAACTAGGCATGGAAATCCGCACCTCAGTGACTGAGTACGTCCAAGAAAAGATCCGGGCCCTCCGTGCCCAGAACGCCTCATCCAACTACTCCTACCAGAATGTCGCCTGCCTCCGCGCAAACACCATGAAATTCCTTCCCAACTTCTTTACAAAATCCCAGCTCAGCAAAATCTTCCTCTGTTTTCCAGACCCGCACTTTAAACAACGGAAGCACAAAGCCCGCATCGTCTCCTACACTCTGAATTCTGAGTATGCATATGTGCTACGGCCTGGAGGGGCTGTGTACACTATTACGGATGTGGAAGACCTGCATCAGTGGATGGTGGAGCATTTTGAGCGCCATCCGAGCTTTGAGAGGGTTGGGCAGGAAGAGCAGGATGCGGACGAGTGTGTGAAGATCATGCGCACAGAGACTGAGGAAGGGAAGAAGGTGGAACGGAATGGAGGGGCGAAGTTTGTGGCATGCTTTCGGAGGTGCGAGGATCCACCATGGCCGTGAGATAGGGAGTATTTGGCAGAATAAGTAGGAAGGATCACGCAGATGTACGGTTCAAATATAAGTCAAGGATGATAGATTCAAACGGTTCTCACTGGACCAGGTATCAGAAATTTTAGGTCCCAAGCCAAACACTTCTTTCCAAACGCCTTGCCAAATGATACACCGGGTACAGATCTTCTAGTCCTCAATGCCGCCCCACTCCTCATCCTCATCCCCGTGCTCACCCATCTCCTCATCTCTATCTCCACCTACACCCTCCCCCCTCCAAGCCTTCAATCTCTCATCATCAAGCACCTCCTTCGCTGCGTTCCTAACACTCTTAACCTTGCTCTCCTTCTGAATCCTCCTCACTGGCTCCAGCAGTTTCTCTCTAGGCACCTCTTCCATTTTCTCACCACCCACCTTCTCCAATTCATCCACATAAATATCAAATATATGGTACCTCAGCCCATTGGGAATCTTCATATCCGTAGGATGTAGTGGTATATTCTCTAGTATCTGAACCACCCGCGTAATACCATCGATATTCGACCATCGATCGCGCGAGAGGTATCGGAACGAAGCGTTGAGGTATTGTCTGATTAGGTATAGGTATTTGTCCATCCTATAACCCCAGGATTTAGTCTTAATTCAACAAAATAGGGTAAAGTTGAGCATGTAGTGAGAAGCACACTGACCGTAAAGCATCAATCCCACCCCACTCCCTCGCCATCGTTTTCCAGAAACATTCTACAAACGGTAACACCACACCCGCTTGTAAGACTTCGATTAGGGAGGCTAGGTCGCGCGCGAGACGTTGTTGGTGGACCGGCTTGTCCTGCATCCACATGCCTGCAGCTCAATATCAGCGTTTATGCTCCGACTTCGATAACACTAATGAAGATCTGGTGGGGCTCGTACAGTAGAATAAGCCCTTCCATAGCTTCAACAAATCAAGTTCTTCTATCTGGGACCGTCCACTAAGATACGTGCGTAGAGAATCAAGAGCGTTGTCGCGCGTCGTTTTGTCTGCCAGAGAATTAGTGCTTCGGGTCGAGAGGCGGGCACGGGCATGGGCATGCCGCTTGATGCGAGATGTTTAATGAAGGGGCTGTTCTGTGAATCGGATGCCATGATATGCGATTGTGTGGAAGAGGAGACGCGGAAGGTCATGTGGAGAGAGTCGGTGATTTGAGTAGTGGCTTGGAAACTTTTCTTGAGATGAGGCGAGAAAATAAGGTTAAATTTAGAGTTATCGATAAGGGCACGCCGTGGAACTGTAAGAGGACACTTAGGCATTGCAATTATCGGCAGTCATGGAGGGAATGAACAGAAAGATACATTTCTAGGGTGTTTAGATATTTGTAGAACTTAAAAGATAGGCAATCTGCTTAATCTGCACAGGCCTTAAAGCTAGCAACGAGGAGGTGTTTAGATCGCCTTGTTCAGACGATTTCCGTAGAATCGAATAAGTAAAAAACGCTAAGAACTCCTCCCAGCTTTATTAGAATGTGATACAAAGTAAAGTGATGAAAGGATGTATTATGTATTATGTATTTAATACTAAGAGTCGGACTCTTTTAAGTTAGTACCTGTTCATATTGCGAGGGAATTTACTCAAGCATCTACTATCACACCAAGGACGACGAAACGTTCACACGATACGAACGAGATAATTATAGCAACGAAACATGCGTTCTTTAACAACAGTTTGCGTTAGCACAGACCACACCCCTTTGAGAACATTTTCGAGCGATTGCACAAACTCTAGTGCTAATAAATAGAAGTAAAATGCTTAGAAAGTAGTTTTCTAGTTTAAGCCTACTAACTCTTAATAGGAGTTTATTTCTATGAAGGTTCAGTAGCTATAGTTACTATAACAGGTGCTTGTTAAGCGGCTTGTTGCACGTGATAGGTATCGCTTATTAAGCAGGTTTCACGCTAATAGTTGAGCTACTAGACTGTAGCAGCTTCTGCTAAACTCTAACCTAGTAGCTACGCAATCCACGCCTACATAAGAGCAAAAAAGTAGGTATATTTGTTAGAATTACTATTCTAACTCTATTGCTAATATTTTTATAGTTAGTAGTAGCTTATTAACGCGTAAGTTACCTGGTTGCAGCTCTACTAGAGCCGGTTACAAAACATCGCATTTATGTTAGAAGAGCATTAGCAACAATTAATAGGCTTCATAGAGTGTGCTAACATGACGTGCAAGCTCGATGCCGGCGATGGTTGTCATTCCGACAATTGGGCGAGGACGTCGCGTGTTGGTGGACCAAGTAAGTCACACAGTTCTACGATTATTGACGCGTCGCTAATAAGTTCTCTTTTTCAGGTCCACTCAATTGTATGTCATCGGAATAGGAACGAGGTTAGTAGCTTTCCCTTGGCTTTATGGGAAGCGCTTAACTAATCTGATATTTCTGATCTAGGAAGAACAATTTTTGGTGTGCTGGAAGACAGGCTCGTCAACACAAACCCCGCCCCTTTCATGGCATAGCGTGGGGGAGCTGGGACGTTGCCTAGAATTTGTGCAAGACTATCTTGATAACAAGGCTAGGTAAAGGAATTCCTTAACTTTATATCTTTTAAATGTATTACTAATTATACCCCAGGCTTCTAATGCCTGCACTTGCTCTCCTGTCCAAGAAACGAAAGACACCGGATTCCGATACTGAGTTGGAGCTAAGACCCTCGCCTATTGACCGCCGATTCAATTCGTCCAGCAGAACACCATCCACGGAACGCTCTCCTTCAGTCTGGTCGGCGTCTCTTGCAATACCAGGACGAAGCAACGTCACTGCATCGTCGCCTTCACCATCGATTGATGTATACAATGGCGTGTTGGATTCGAAGAATGGTTTCATCGTGGCCAACATTGTAAGTAAAAGAGCTCAGCGCGCCCCTTGTACTACTAAGACAATTCTAGGCATCTGGACCAGATATTCCTGAAATTAACATCCAGAATGTACCCACTCCAGAGATGGCACACGCCGCTCGACGGGCTAAGACAACGATAGCGGAAACCCTTATTCGGGCGGCATATCACCGTCGGCTCGACAGGGTCATAGGGAAGAAGATCTTCCTCGTGAACACAATTGACTCTTCGACCCCTTCCCTCAGGTTCCGCTACATCCCCGAGCACGTGCTCTGTGATGGTGTGTTCAGAGTGTCCCCGGAAGCTCAGGAAGGATGTGATAAATGTTCACCACATATGGGCCGTGGCATTGGCTGCGAGTACACGAAGAAGTGTCGTTGCCTGGAGTATGCCGCCGTCGACGAAGCTCGCATGGATGATGAGCAAAAGGAGCTTTATACGAGGATCAAAGGGGGCTATGAAGCTACGACCGACGAACTCTTGTCACTGCCCAAGCGGTTCCCTTATTACGCCGAAGGAGCAAAGAGACAGCGTGCTGGCTGTCTCGTTCCCTTCTACCTTAACTCTCGCCGTCCGATCTACGAGTGCAACGATAATTGCAAATGCGGACCCAACTGCCGCAACAAGAACGTGCAATTCGGCCGCACTGTCGAACTTGAGATCTTCAAGACCGCCAGCAGCCGGGGCTGGGGTCTTCGTTGTCGTCAGAAACTCTACGAAGGTCAGTTCATCGATACATATCGTGGAGAGATCATCACGGATGCCGAAGCAACCCGTCGCGAAGAGGCCACATCCTCGAAAGATAAAGCTTCATATCTCTATTCTTTGGACAAGTTTAAGGAATCGGAAGGTCTCGAAGACGAAGATATCTACGTTGTGGATGGCGAGTATATGGGTGGTCCTACAAAGTTCATGAATCACTCTTGTGAGCCGAATTGCCGGCAGTACACCGTGAGCTATAACAAGCATGACCCGAAGGTGTATGATCTTGCATTCTTCGCGTGTCGCGATATCGAGAAAGGCGAGGAACTGACTTTCGACTACCTTGACAAAGATGAGGGAGAGGAGATGGATGAGCCTGGAGACGACGCTATTCCGTGTCTTTGTGGCGCGAAGAAGTGCAGGAAGTGGCTTTGGACTTGAGCTAGAGGTTTGAGTCCTCTTGAGGGAGGGTAGGGGGATAAGAGGGAGTGGATTTGCAAGTGATGGTGGGAGAATATCTTTGTTCAGAGTCTACTAGTGGATCAGAATTATCTTCTAGATTTCTATCTTGAGGATAAGCCGCTCGGAGAGTCTCCTCACGTCTTACTCCTCAGAATGTTTTCTAGTAGCCTTGTGACTACGGTCTGCTCTGGAGTATAGTAATCTTCTACTTATACGTTTCCTTTTAATTATGTAGTTTTACTTCTCCTCTATCCCTTCCGTATCTCTGCTAAGCCTGTATGGGATATTAGCTTCTTGACGAACTCCCGCTAGCAACTAACTAGTATAGGATGGAGATTATAATTTTTTGGGTTTCATGCTTGGCATAGGTAATGCGGGTATTGATGAGTTCTTTACATGAGCCTTCCTGTTCCATGTGAAATGTCATAATGCGGGATATCTAGATCAGATTCCCTCAATACTGGACTCGCAAACTAACTCACTTCTTTAGAAAAGGGTCTCGTTTTGCTCGAACACGGAGCCAGGGTTTTCAAAAGTGTAGGTCCGCTTGGTGGGGGGTACAAAAGGCATAGCAAGTCTATTTGGGCTTCTCTGAAGATTTATCAATGGAAGTATGATGTAGACCTGAAGTCGAATTTTCTTTGGAATTTGAGTCATGTATATGCATGTACTTGCTTTTAACTGCTTCGACTTGGTCCGTTTTTGAATAGCTTGACCTGCAGTTCAAACTGGCTCACACTGTGGAATAGGGTTTCTGCTCCATACTATCTAGCTTCAGTCTGAGTATGTCTTTTAGTTGGCATCCAGCCCTCATCACATGCGCTGAATTCCAGGGTTAGAACTAACTCGCGATAGCTGATGTGGTGGATGATGGAGTAGTAGATTCCGGAACCATGGCGGGCGTTACAGCAGTAGGCAGCTGCAAGTTTGATTCAATTCTGGACAAGTTACCCGAGCGATGATCTCATCCGAAGAAATTGCATTGTCTCGTGAGTGTGATGGTAGAATTGGAAAGCTAGCAGGTCGGAGAGTACACGAGAGAAACTACTGAAAATGGAGCAAGAACGTTTCCTTTGGTGGGAAGATTGTGAGATGGAAATTTTACACGATCCACAATGAGAGAATTATAAGCCTTTATTGAAAATGGCAGTTTCCTTTAATGGGGCTTGGGAAACGATAGCTAGTCCTGGTCCGCTTTCGATGTCTTGTCGATGCCCTGTGGTAAGTTGGCATTGTGTTCTTGCTCGAAGCAGTGGGTGATGAAAATGGATCTTTGTGAAGGCATCGAGTATGAATAAGGGACAGTAGGTATTGAGGACTATGACGGAGCTTATATAGACCAACCCTGTCAATGGCATTAAGGTTAATGAGAGAAGCAGCACGTTGTCCCTACAGATGTTTGTGTCCGAATAACTTGCTGCGCAAGAGAAGGGACACGAAGAGGGTCATGGGCAATGAAGAGCGAGACGTGAATGTCGATTGCTACCCTCAAGCATTTACCTCCCATTCATAATACCTTCCTTTCACGAAGGGTAAACGCAGTTCCCAAAATTTAGTCAAATTTATGAAGAACCTTGTACGTAAATTTTGTAAAGAATCTGTGTATCTGCACATCCACTCGTGTTCTGCTCTCCCCATGGGGAACGACCCCTCAGTGCATTTTCTCAACCACATGTCTTCAGGCGATTACGAATCCGCAATGTTCCAGCCAAAATACAAAAATAGCTCGAAGCCGTCATCATTTATACCCAGGACCCGGAGATACTATATTATTTACATTGTTAAATATTAGTGTTTAGTAAAATGCTGCTCAAATGACGAAAAGAGGAGACAAAATATGAGTAGGAAGCCCAGCTCATTGGTGTAAGTCGACGACAAATGCCCGCAATCTCTAGACGGATTTGCCTCTATCGAATGTTGCGGGAGGATTCTATTTAATCCTGGGAAGTGGAGGGTCGCGATCTGGCTCCGGGAGAGAAATAGAGTATCCGCCGGGCATAATGCCGGTTTAATATACCCTATCACAGGTGAGTACTCGGAATGCAGGCTCTTCTTTCTGGGGGACCAAGAAGTCAAGTGCCCGCCTCTAGAGCAACCAGCACGTGGAGGGAAGAAATGAGAATGTTATATTTAGTGGGGATATTTCTCAGTTTAGAAGGGGTCAACAGCTTCCGAGGTCCGTAAACTTTTGAGACGCGAAAATGAAGAAATCTAGGGTAACAGCTCGATCCCAAAAAGATGCTTGGAAATGAAAGCGTACGTAGCGCGCAGAAACTGTATCGATTTTCTATATTGCAATCTTGGCTAAATCGAGGCGACCAGAGGTAAGAAGATGAGGGGACGGGGTGGACACGTTACCAAGCTGAGAATACACACATTCTCTGAACATGACGCCGCGTGCTCGGGATGCCAGTCCCAAGAGTTATATACTGGATGATCGATATGGGTGGGCATATTTTTGGCATGTGGCTGAGACAGGGTCGGACCGGGACGAGCATCGTGCGGCATGCGTGGTGATTGTGCCGGGCATGAGTGGCCCGGATCGGATCCTGGAAGAAATGCCTTCCAGTTTCGGGTGTGGCTAAGTTGATGGCTCAACAGCATGCTTGGCCCAAGGCACAAGTGTCTCCGAAGCTGCATGCACTGTCCGTGATACAGGTGGAGCGTCATCGGGTGGATTTTTTGGAAGGCGAGTGACGAATACCTGGTGTGTCCTTGGGGGTTACACGGACTAGTCATGTCAGCTGGAGACCGAATATAACCCTTAGAGTTTTCCTGAAACAAATGCCGCAATGGGTAACTCAGAGAACATGAGGTGGTTGGCAAAGAGTGTGCGATAGACTAAGAGACGTCTCAAGATTTCAGTAGATGCTTTGAAGCATTGAAAATCCGAATCTGAACGCGGCCGATGCGGTTTGAGAAGGGAACAAGACATGCTCGATGACGCCTGGAATTTGGAAGAAAGGTAGCCCTATTGTTTGTGGCAGAATTTGTCTTCACCCAGCGGACACGGATGTTGAAGAGATATCAAGGTCCCGCTTTCTCCCGCCTGCCCTGTGCGGTTGAAACGCATATTGTTTGGCAGGCGCAGTTTGGAATCGAGATTGGATCTTCGATGAGGGAGATCGGTTATGTCCTCACATTGCTGGTCTTTGATCTGGCGCGGATTCACAGCATGATATCAGATCCACATCCAACGAAATGTTTGCTTTTCGTGGCTCTTCATTAGGGGAAGAGAAGAAGTAAACGCCGCAGAGGCGAGAGCAATAGACGAGATTTCAATATGACGGCCAAGTTTGCCCCAAGCGAGTGATGCATTTGCCAGCTCAGCGTGAAATAGAGGCCGATTCGCTGATGATACGGCCCTGGAGTAATCCCCCTGGAAGTCGACGTGTCGGTGGAGGAGCAACGCTCCCTTGGCCGGAAAAGCAGACGGCAGGGTCCCAGCAGGCGCAACGGAGTATATTTTATAGCTATTTCGGCGCGTTAGACATGTCGTCCCTCTAACCGGCAGGTTGCGGCAGGTCAATGGGAGCATTCCGTTTTTCCGTGAGGTCAGGGGTTAGATAGGCCGCTGCCGAGTCGGCGTTGGAGAGCTCATTAACGAGTCTCGAGGCCGACCATGCGCAGATGCTGAGCAATTCCCGGCTGCCCTGGAACACCTGGTCGGTTGCAACTGCTGGCACGCATTATTTAAATCGCGGCGCGGGTGCTGGGGCACGGGAGCATGGCGTGGCGTAGGCAGAGGCACAGAGAGGCAGCACTACGGTGGTGATGCCGGAAAGCGTGCAGAACCGAGTGAATGCCGCATCCACTAAAAATAATGAGTGCACAGTGAAAGAAGACAGCAGCACAAAGGGCGGGCGGTTGGCCGGGCAGAGAGGGGATTTAATCATGCGTGTTCCTCGGGTTGGGCTTGTTTAGTGGTGAAAAGCAGCCGAAATGCGGGCCAGCCTGCGCTTCTTCGGGTCTGCTAGAGGCTCTCTGAAAAATTCGCTCTTGAGCACAACCTCTCCCCTCCGACACCACCCTTTGCAGCGCACACACGACCTGTGAAAATCGCCCGCCCACGCCCGGGACCTGCGACAGACACTCTGACGGCCTGTTTGGGGCGCTGCTACCGCTGCTGCGTCGCCCTCACCTGCACCTGTACTTGAGTGCCTGGAGCCCGTCCCTCTCTGCCCACGGGTACATCCCAATCCCACGCTCCCAACCGACCACGTCTCTGCGCTGCTGCGTCGGCGTTGCCACCGCTCGACCGTCTCCTGCGGCATCAAAAGTACGCACATCGTCCCGCCAGACTCGTCCAGGAGGTTAGTTTTGCCTGCGTCGTCGCCGCCGTCGTCCCCAGGTTTGCTGAGTGCTACCTGCTTCCTCTGCGCCCGGAGCCCACGACAAGCTCAAAACGCCATCTCGATTGCACATTCACGCTCTTGTGGGCCGTTCACCGCATCTGCCTGCTTTCCGTGGGTGTTACTTGTCACTGGCACGTGCCCTGCTCCCCACACACGCTCTACTTGAATTTCGCTGCCTCAGCATTTTCTTCTCCGCACGCTCTTGTTATCCCCCTCGCGCGCCAACGTCCCCGCCATCCGCTGCGGGCATTGCTGCTCTCTAGTACTTCATGCTTGCTGCCCTGCCGACGCGCTCTGCTGACTTCCTTTCCAGTACTTAGCTCGTGGCCTTACCCCTTCTCCGCGTCTTTCGACCCAAAAAGTCGCCCCACTGAAGCTTGTCGTCTCGACGCTTAAAGCCATCAGCACCTTCGGGTATCGCTGCTCTTGCACCGTCTTTGCCTCGAGAGACAAGCTCTGCACAGCTTGTTCCACGGAGCTAACCACGAACAGCCAACCCAAGCCTTGTGTGGGATCTCGGAATATTCGGTGCGGAGAGGTCAAGCATTGCACCTCTCCGGACGCGTCTACAACCGCATCTGAATTGGCCAGCTCTTGGGAGTGCTCCCTCCAGGGATCACGAGCGTCTTACAACACCCTCCTCTTATCCTTCTGATCTTTGCTAAGAGACAGAACCTCCAACACCATGGCAACCCCGCCGCCCCGTCGTTCAGGCACTGATCTTGCCACCGCCCCAGTTCCATTCTCCTATGCTCAAGCAGCCAAAGGCTTGTCCACCGCGGCTTCCGCAGCGGCCCCCAGCAAGTCAACCACTGGGACGATAACGCCATCCAAAGATGCAAGCCTTGCAGTGTCGACAGCACCCGCGACGTCGGCCCTGAGCTGGGCTGATGATACCGAGGCGGATGACCTCCCACCCCAGAAGCCCTCAATCTCACGAGAGACCCAAGTGAATGGAGCACCAGTGTCGAGTAAGCAGGTCATTGTTCAGCAAACATCCGCGGCCTCGAGTGTCTCCTCACCAGAGCTGGGCACTTCATCATCCTCAACAATCGCCAAAGATGATGATGTCTCATCGATTCAAAACACTTCATCCGAGTCGACCTGGGAGAACAAGTCACAAGCATCAACCTCGGTTGACAAGTCCGCAGAAGCAGGAGAAAAGACGGCAGACAAGTTCAAGGGCAAAGATTTGGATCGATCTACATTTAAGCCTCTTCAGGAGGCTCCAGTACCAGTTGTCAATATTTGGAAACAACGGGCTGATGACCTCGCAGCCAAAGCCAAGGCAGCACAGAAGCCCGCACTCCCTAAATCGGTTCCGGCTACGCCCGCCCCAGCCACTCCAAACGGCGTAGCGCAAGGTCCAAACGGGATCGCGGCAAGAAAGAGTAAAGGTGTCATAACTGCCGACTCGGCTGATGTTAAAGAGAAAGGATCCCCTAGCGAGAGCAGGGTGAAAGCCCGCGAAGATGATAGGACTGTCCAGGCTCGAAGAGAGACGAAGACGGAAGCCGATACTGAGAAATTCAGAAAAGGCGGAAAAGGCAGGACTTCAGAAAAGGACGTTAAACCAGTCACAAATGTCCTCCCTCTTCCACCTGCGCGTGACCAGGAATCTTGGCCAACCCCCGACAGTGCTATCGATGAAGACAAGAAAAAGGCGCAAGAAAAAGGTGAGAAGGGTGAGAAGGAACGTAACCCGAGCACGTCTAGTCGGTCGCATGGGAAGCAAGAGTGGGTGACAGTCCCATACACACCAAATGTGATATTCAACACACCGTTACCCAACACTGCTCCAGGAAGAAGAGGCGGAAGAGGCGGGGGTCGTGGCGGGGCTCAAAGCGGTGGGAGGGGTAGCACGTATGGAACAGCCAACGGTGGAGGGAATTCTGAAAAGGATCTCCCTACGCCCGCTACTATGCCTAGTGGTGACCAGCTGAAGCGTGGGCGGCCGGATGGACCTACAGGGCGGGATTCCTCTCCTGTCAAGGGCAAGAGGACGGTGAGTGCCGGGTCTGCATCTTTGAAAGACACGAAGTCCCCCGCCTTGTCCGGGGAGAAGCTTTCGAAGGCTGTGCCTTCCTCAGACATGGAAACGCCATCGAGGCGGGCCTCTGTCATGACCGAACCGACTTCAGGGTCCCAATTACCTGGTCAAAACAATACATTTCCGCGTCCATATCCTTCGAGCCGGCCAAACAAAGGAAGGAGGGGTGAATTGCTAAGTCAGAGCGACAAGAGGAAGGATGCTGACCTGGTGTCGCCAACCAAGGATGCTATGTTCTCGTATAACCGCCAAATATCTTCCGCTACTCAGACTGATGGTAAGTGGAGGTACTCAGGGCAACCCGCTCAGCTCTATTGTATCCTATTGTAGACCTTGCCGCTAACAAATTCAGCTCCAGAAGAGGCGGAACGCCGATCGTCAACTTTCTCAGATGGCCAAAATGGTCAACCGAAGGGAGGACCTACTGAGCGTCGTCCCTATGGATCGTTTTCTCTCCGTGACCGCGTTCGTGGTGCCCCACGTGGAGGCCGAGCGAACTACCAGAATAGCCATCAGTTCGCGAATGGCCATATTCCACCACTTCAGTCTCCTTCAACATTTCCATTACCTCGATCTCCAACCTCCTTCCACCCTGATCAAGCTGCGTTCTTCCCCAACGCACCCTCACATGGTCGGAATTACCGAGGCAACGGACCACGATCACAATCGGTAACGACCGAGAACATATACGGTCGTGTTCCCGGCTACTCCGGAGGACCTCAAGATATCGCTCCAATTTCGACCTACATGGGTGCAATGTACGACTATCCTGTTATGCAGCCAATGAGTGCTATGCCATTCAGCCCATACTCGGTCAACCAATACACCCTTGTCTCTATGGTCACAACACAGTTGTATGCCATATCCCTTCTTTCCGCTAACTTTCGCTAACCTCAGACAGGGAATATTATTTCTCTGTTGAAAATCTTTGCAAAGATATCTTCCTTCGCAAGCAGATGGATTCAAAAGGATTCGTATTTCTCAGCGTAATCGCTGAGTTCAATCGCATCAAGCAGCTCACCACGGACATGGAGCTGATCAAGTTTGTCTGCTACCAATCGAGTGTCATTGAATTCCGTGTCGGTAAAGATGGGAAAGACAGGCTTCGAAGACGAGAGGGGTGGGAACAGTGGGTGCTAGCGAAGTCCGAGAGAGCTTCTTCTGCACAGAACGATGGCCCAGAAGAACTGCATAACCCCCCCATTCCCCATCCCGCTGGCTTCGACCCAGGTATGCCTCGTTATACCGAAATATCCGCGGTTTCCCCGACTGGTCCGATCCCGCTCCCAAGCGACGGAGGGTATCCTGGGACAAATGGCATCCATCCAGGTGGTTCCTTAAACGCTCCTCTGGCACAAGCGGAGAGCATTCCAAATGGTCAGGTCGTGGATGGCTTAAACGATTCCATTACTGCCAACGGTCAACCAAACGAAGTATCTACTCGGACTGTTACTGGTGAACCTGATTCCTTCTCTGACGAGCAAGTGGAAACCTTGAGCATCATTGTTCGCAAGCAGGATCAACCTTCTGCACCAACCTTGCCTCCGTCTGCCACTCGTACATTCTCAAATGGTTCCATCGATAGCAGAAGTGGTGTGTCGGACGAGGCTGAGAGGCTCAGCTCCCGGCTTTCCAGCCTCAAGGTTAATGGCACCGGTCCTTCACAGGGGTAAGCCACACGTGGCAATAGCCTTCACTGGCAGGATTTCCGCTGATGCCCGTGAGATTGTAGTGTTGACAAAGTTCAAGATGAACCTCGGAGAACCTCGAGCCCTTTTTCACCTTCCTCTGCTTCTGCTATGAACCCGGTTCGTCTCTTCTGGGTTAAAGGCAAGGAAGGCCCCGTTGAATCTCTTCCTCTTGACTCCACATATGAATCGTATACCCACCTTCGATCGAAGGCGCTTGATCAGCGCCAGAACGCCCTTCCTGGTACCTGCCCGTATGATATGGACGTCCTTTATCAATTTTGGTCTCACTTTCTCATCCGGAACTTCAACACGCAAATGTACAACGAATTCCGTCATTTTGCTTTCGAGGATGTTACGCAGAAAATGTCTGACGTCGGCCTTCGAAATTTAATCAAGTATTACGGAGAGTCTCTTTCATCGTCACAAAGCCTAATACGAGAGCGAGTTGCTCGCCACTACGTCGACCTAGTTAGATCCGAGGATGAGAATCAACGACCCGCTTTCAGACAACTCAGGTCGGCATGGCGCAACGGAGCTCTGAACTTGAGAAATCGAAAACGTATCGGCGACTTCCTCGATGAAGAACTGAAAGGTTCATTGGAGCAGTAGTGGCGTCTTCGACTTGTGTCTTTCCCCCCTTTTTTGGCTGGATGTGTACCTATTTACGAGTCCATACCCTGGCGAACTTGTACCATCGCCGAAGTGCTCGGCATTCCCATCGATTATCCTGTTCTCGTTCCCCAAACACTGTTACCCCTAATTCCATTCCCTTTAATCCCTGGCGGCTGATAGGGTTACCGTGTGTTTTCGTCATAAAAGTCTTGATTGGGCGTTTGTGAATGGCATGGATGGTGGATGCATCAATTTCCCTTATGAAATAGACTTTAGCGGATGAATGGCCCCGGGATCTTACGTTCACGACTGTTTCGGACGAGAGATACCTGAACTTGGAAATCCGGGGATTACTTCTATCAGGGCTGGGGAAATGGCATGTGTGGCGTCTTGCATTTCATACCACAGGGCACACCCAACTCTCCCGGTCTCTCCACTTTTTACTCAGCATAGCGGCATTGTTTTCACCTTCACGGAGCGTGCCCAAATTCCCACCCTTTCTTATTTGTCCACCATCGAGAGGGCCATTTGTTTTGGGGATGCCCAGTAAATACAAAAGCTGTTCGCTCAGTGGCTACATGTTGCGTTTTGTAAAACTATAAAAAAAACCAAAGTAGATGCATGATCACATCAAATATGTTTGAATCTTGAAGACCCCACATTGCTTCCGAGGTTGAAATGAGTTGAGGCTTCTGTTGGGACTGTTCACGTGATTGCAAGGGGTGTGAATACTGTACCAAGCCACATCTCTTCCGGAAATCTCCGCGTGGCGCAGACATTGCCACCCACTGATGACTTCTCCACGACCCCACAACTTCACGTTCTCCTCTCTCACTGCCTAGGTATCCGAAAGTACTGGCAACCGTAAACTGCGTCATGGCGCCCGCGGTGGCCCATCTGCATAAACTGGTGGCCAAGAACGCGAAAGTGCTCAAGTGAGTTATTGGAGCCTGGATTGTGAGAGTTCCTTTACTGACGACGGAGGTAGGGCTGCCTGGAAACATGCGGCAAGTCTTGTGCAAAGCCAATTACCACCTTCTATACGACCTACACAGGCCGAATTACAGCCCATACTTGCACGCAATACTCCCCGGCATCCGATCCATCCCGCCGCCTTCCTCAAGCAGAGCAAGGGCCGATGGTATAGTACTCACAGTGCTATCAACGCTACTGTCCGACGTTTCACGACATCTGCCCCAAGATCCTCTGGCCTTGTACTCAAGTATGACCGATCTTCTTTCCCAAAGTCCCGTATTGGTTCCGCCGTCAACAACCTGTCCGGCCGTGCTCCTTTCGCATCCACCCTTCGACCGAACCTGACTGGAGGAACACTCAATAGGACCGCTGGAGGATACACGTGGGGCTCTGGGCGTTCTGGAGGTGCCAGGCACTTCTCCCATGGCCCAGCAGCTCCCGCCCAGGTCATTCATAACGTTTCTCAGGCGGTCCGTGCTTTCATGGTCTCGGGCCAAAAAGCACAATTTGATGGTCTCAACCCGCAGACCGGTGAGAAACGGTACAAGACTGTCTCAGCTTTGCAAAATAAAGTGAACCGCACACTCAATAAGGCACCCAAGGCAACTCCGGGATCTCATATCAGCTTCAACATCAATCCTACTATCACGGCCCTTAGCCCGTTGAAGGCTGTCAAGGGTTTTTCTTCTTTCGCAGAAGAGAAAGATTCTCTTAATCGTGAAGGTCTCCTAGATGTTCTTTCCGTAGATTTCTCAAGGGCAGTTAAAGAGCTTGCTGCAGTCCTCAAGGATTTGCAACGACTCTCTAACTTAGGCGACTTACCTATTACCTACGAGAATTCTACGTTAAAGGTTCATTTCCCTGGCTGTGATGCTGGCGCCGTGGAAACAATCTGCAACGAGCTTGGCGTTCAACGTGGAGTAGTGTACCAGGACGAAGATTTCGATACTTTTGTCGGGACGGATATTGCCCTTCTGTTTCCCTTTGCTCCAAGCCGGACGCCCTCAGAATGTTCTTTCTATGAGAAACCAATCACCGGCAGACAACAGCCAATCGATTGGCAGAACATGTTATCACCTCCAGTCATGAGCCTCGACGAGTATTCGACTCACTCTGAGGATGGATTAGACTTTGAACTCTTTCCAAACCCGTGGGTCTCGTCTCCATCTGGCTATGATAGCTTGCACACGAGCGATGTAGAAGATACAATGGCTTTTCCAGATGAACACGACGTACATACTCCTCTCGAGTATCAGGGCATAGAAGGCATTTACAGGTTCATGGAGCAGTGCGAGTCTAGTCACATATAAGTATGTGACTGGCGTTCTGTGGGCTTACCAAGCAACAGTTGGCTACAGATTGGCCAGACTAGAGTTTGCGGATTCATGAAACTTTGTACGGTTGCACTAGTCACTCATTCTTCTCCTATGTACACATGATTGTATGTCTCTCTCCGTAATTGTTGTGATCATAGTTCCCAAGCATCTGTCCTAAGGGGATCACTCCCCGCTACCCCCAAGTTTAAGTCCATCTTCATCCCCAACTCGACTCGGCAGGTCGATGCGGCATTCCGCGGGTATGGCCGCTAAAAACAGATCCACAGATGCCCCGCAGATTCAAGCGCCGGCCGGCAAATGGGACCATGACCGCATCAGTGCCGCCAAAGGCGTGAATGGGTTTCAAACTGACCAATAGCAGCCGCTATTGACGATCCATCTCGTAAAAAAAATCCTTTATTTCCGGGGAACCAGACCGTTGCGAGGAGTCACCTCGGTACCTTGGCATCTTCAGGTCAACAAAATGGAGACTGTTTGCAAATTTCTCATCATCACACAAGAATTTCCTCAAGTGAAATCCAAGTTGTGTGTTTCTATAAGCCTTCCATTGCAAGGAAGTGGCGAGGACTGAAGACGGACGATCCCCGTTTTCTCATTCTATGACGGAACACCATATTTTCAAATCTCCCAAATCGAAGGATTTTGGCGATAGCGATCGGATTTGGAAAGACGAAGAGGAACAAAGTATTGCAAGAACCGAGAAGAGCAGCGATGAGGAGAGGAATGGTGGCGTGGATGAGAGCGAGATAGTCGTTGGGGAACAGAAAGAGGAAGATTACCCGCCGAATGGAGGCTATGGATGGGTTTGCGTGGGATGCACGTTCATGATAAATGGGTGAGTTTGATATTTTCATATTATGTTGTCCTCTCCTTTGACGCTCACAATTGTGGACACTTCATATTATTCTTTGGGGAAGGTTTCACACCCTATCATGAACCCTAATTTCTTATAGGCACACCTGGGGCCTTAATAGCTCATATGGCGTCTTCCTCGCCCACTATCTTGCGAACAATATTTTCCCAGGTGCGACACGTCTCGATTACGCTTTCGTCGGCGGCCTCTCTATCTCCCAGGCCCTTGTCGTGTCTCCCGTAGCTACTCTCACAACTCGACTTTGGGGAACCCGAACCACACTTCTCATCGGTGCCTTCTTCGAGACATTATCTTTGATCGGCGCCTCCTTTGCCACTAAAATTTGGCACCTATTCCTGACTCAAGGTGTCTGCTTTGGCTGGGGCATGGGGTTCCTCTTCGTTGGCTCAGTCGTCATTGCTCCACAATGGTTCACCACTCGACGTAGTCTCGCCAACGGCATCTCAGCCTCTGGGTCTGGCATTGGAGGACTTATTTATTCACTCGCCTCGCAAGCAATGATTAAGAACATTAGTCTATCATGGGCTTTTCGAATCCTAGGAATTACCGCTTGCGTGGTAAACACAATTGCCGCGCTCTTGGTCAAGGATCGAAACAAGCAGATTGGAAGTTCCCAGCTTTCATTCGATCATCGATTGTTCAAGAAGATCGAGTTTTGGGGATTGCTGGGTTTTGGGTTTTTGAGTATGTTGGGGTATATTGTGCTGTTGTTCTCGTTGCCGAATTATGCAAAGACTGTAGGTATGACAGCAAAGCAAGGGTCGATCATTGGTGCTGTGTTGAATCTGGGACAGGCCCTGGGGAGACCACCGATAGGGTACTTCAGCGATTCTTTTGGCAGAGTCAATATGGCAGGGACTATGACTTTCCTCGCGGGATTGTTTTCCTTGCTAGTTTGGAGCTTTGCTAACAGCTTTGGAGTGCTGATCTTCTTCGCTATTGTTGGAGGCACTGTAGCAGGCACTTTTTGGACTGTCGTCGCGCCGGTTTGGACGGAGATTCTGGGACTGGTAGACTTGCCGTCTTCGCTTTCGATCACTTGGATGGTATTGGTATTACCCACTACTTGTAAGTCCTCCATCTAGGGATTCTGTTTCTACGCTGGATTGCTGATGTGTGCAGTTTCCGAAGCGATCGCTCTCGAGATTGTCGACTTCGATGACGGAAGCTATACTGGCGCGATTCTGTTCACTGGCTTTATGTATATTGGTGCTGCGGTATTCGTGTGGCTAGTACGAGCGTGGAAGATCGGTGAGATGGAAGAGAGGGCAGCAGCGAGAATGACTGATCCGCAGGCTATCGACCTCGTAACTGACAAGCCTCGTGAGGATGAGGGACGGGAGGCTTTGGATCCCGCTATGGTACAGAAGTCGTCTTTTATGCGGAGATTGTTGGTGTGGAAGAAGGTGTAGAGGATGAGGGGAGGGGATAGACGAAAGTGAAGATATGCTTGTATATTGAAGCATATAGAGAGATGAAAGTATATACACTCACAGCTTTAACATAACTTTTGCGGTGGACATAGTGTATCATGTCCCCCCATGTGGAACCTGGTAGGGGTACTTGAGGACATATTCTTCATTATCTTAGCACTCTGCCTAATTCTAGCAAGAGGGTTAAGGGATAGACTTTGCCCTAATCATGTTTCACGTTGGGTGAGAAGATGCAGGTCATTCCCATCACGAGCGCTCGGGAACCACTGTGGGAACGTGCTAGCCCCCGCTAGCTTTCCATGTTGCATTCACCCTCCAACGGTCATCCCAGCTTGTCATCGTACGGTTTTCTCGAAACTTAACACGTTGAATGCAAAGAACCGTAACAAGTACTAGCCAGTGAACGTTGTGTTTCAGCGGGATGCTAAGAAGGTAATGGAGCCTTTCCAAGATACGGGTCTCCCTTTCGTCCCTTGTCGAGGAGACAAAGTGCATGAAGCGGTGTTTGAGGGAGCAATTAAATAAACAAATGAGTGAAATGCGACGCGTCGTGGCACGGAGGGGAATACAACAGGGGTTGTACCCAGATGCTGCAATGCCGCCTATCAGTTGCACTTCCAGGAGTTCTTGTGGTGCTCCGGCCCCGACACTGACCCAACGGTATTCGGTTCCTGCAAAGATGCCGTAACAGATGTTAAGGGATGCGCTCCCACCAGCTCTGCTCATTTGTGTGCGACCCTCTCCCGCGTTCGCCTCGGCTTCAAGTCGTACCCCTGCACACTCCTCCACTGGGCCCCTTGCGTCCATGACACGTTCTCTGGTCCGCCACCACAGCCAATCGGTAACGGCTGACTTAAGCCTCGTCTCCTTTCTACAATTTCAGTCCTTCTGGCGGGCAGCACACCTCTTCACAGCCGCGATTTTCGTCCTCTTCCTGCTGCTGCTACGGGTATGGTGTCTCTTCCTGCCAACACGTCAGTGCTATCCAACCTCATGTCGCTCTTTTAGCCACTCTGCTCTGATACTTTCTTTTGTAAACATAATCACTGCGTCATACCTGGCCTTCACGCCTCAAGACCTCGCAACGTCCGCACGCGTTGCCTGCCCTGCCAATCCGACAAACGCCGTTTGGTTGACGAGGCCGAGCGATTCCCGTCTTGCTCGTCGCGTGCAAGTCGTCCAAGGTGCGCGTCTTTCGGTGAGACACTGTCTCCGGGGCTGGCCGTTGAACGTTGAATGCCAGCGCGACGCATTTCCTCGTCCTCACTTCCCCCGCCGTCATCTCCCCCATCGGCTTTCCGGCAAGACGGAGAAGTGAACGGTCCTTCAGAGGCGCGTGGTGTGCCCTCCCCGGCACAGACTCTGTGGACAGCCCATCCCTCGCCCACGCAGACACTGGGCCACTCTAGCCCAGAGTTACCCCCTCTCCCTGGTTTTTCGACGCTTGGGAGCGCTGAGCGGACGCCTTCAACGGTAGCAAGGCACGAGGATACTTCATCCTATTACACTGCAAGCTGGGGTAGCCCGTACAGACACCCTCCGCCGTCGTTCAACCGAGGACGCAATCTTTCGGCGAATTCTGGGAGTGACGATCTTGAAGAGGACGCGTCAAATCTTCAGTTCGGACTTGAGCACCTTCTTCCGCGACTGCCAGAAGACGACGCGCCGAATCCCGCGTTTGGTCTCGAGCATCTGCTTCCCCCGCGACTGACGGAAGACAATTCCCCTAATCGGTTCAACCTAGAGCATCTGATCCCTTCTCGACTGCCCCCAAGCTTCGCCGATACGCCAACGAAATCCCATTTCCCTTCGGATAATACCCCGCGATCAGTCCCCTTTAGTCTTCCAGCATCAGAGACAGTTGACAACCCGTCTGAGAAGTGGGTTCAGCAGTTTCTGGACGGAGGCTGGAATCACGAGGCAAGAAATTGGCAAAGCGACGGATCGACTGACGGCGACGACCAAAGGCTTCTCGTAGAGAAACCGCAGAAGAAGAAGGGTCATAAGTCAAGGGCCAACAACTTGACTTTGACACCGCAGGATTTCTGGTCGCATATTGGCAAGACTCAGCAGGAAGAACTCGGCAAGATGATGGCATCAAGGTACGCCGATCCCCAGGCGCATTCGCGTCAGGGGTCTGGTGCGAGCTTGAGGTCCCAGCTGAGTCGGAGCATGCATGCGGACAAACCCCTGCCAACGCCAGAGGAAGAGAAGGCTCCCGAGTCTCCGAAGTTTGTGGTAGATGCTCAGGGAAAGCCGCAAACTCCAACCAAGGCTGTCTCTCCTGCACCTACCCCTCGCCAGCGTAAGAGGATCCCCGTAAAAGGCAAGTCGTGCTGGATTTCGATACCGACGGATATTCCGCGAGGCTCGCCTGGATTTCCGCCCAAACCAATGAGTCCGGCAGAGGTCGAGTCAAAATTGCAACATCTCCAACGAGCTGGTTATGACACACGGGGGTTCGGGTACTGGAAGGGAGCTGATGTATCAAGTGGATTGTGTCTTCCTCAAAATCGAGCCATCTGGCCCGACGAAGGCGAGGTGCGAGCAGAGCGTTCGGGGCAATACCGTGTGCGTATTCCCAACAAGTCTGACTGGGATGCGTATGTTAATCACCTCCTGGAGGCGAAACTGGCTGCTCTCGGTGTCAGTGTAGGAGGCGAAGAGGACGACAATTCAATGTCAAGACAAACTTCCGCTTCGCAACATCCTAGCATGCCATTTTCGCCTCCACTCCCTACATCGTCTGCGGGTAGTCACCGAATCCGACAGGGAAGCATCGTTTCGGGTTCCTTTCCCCTCGGCCCTTCTCCTGGACACGCTTCACGGCAGTCAATGGCATCGCCAATCACAGCTTTTGGCAATCAACGTCCGAGCATGCACATGCACAGACATTCCACCTTTGGTTCACCTGCAAGTTTTATTCAACACCAGGCCGCTTCGCCATCCGGTCAATGGTCACCTAACCAGTACTTTGGTGTTCAAGGCCCTCGAGGCGGCTCGCCTGCTCTGCCTCCTCTTCCACCAAGCAGACCCGATCCTGCCGATCTTGCATCGCCCAACTCTCCATTCGGGTTTAGGTCTGGCCAGCAATTCCCTCCTGCCCCAACTCAACGGGATGAAGTCCTGGCTCAAATGCAACAGCAACAACATCAGCACAACCTTCAAGCCCAACAACAGCAGCAATTGTTCAACCTCCGACCATCTTCTACGCTTGCAGAAGTACCGGAGGATGAAGCCGAAGAAGATGAAATGCCAGAGTTGAAGAATGCGGCTAAGTCTGGGCCTGAAATCGCTGTTCCAACTCCTCGCGGCCATCGCCATAACATTAGTGCAAGTCTTGAGCGTGAAGCTCGCGAAGCTGAGTACCATCTGGAGGAGGCTATCGATAAGCAGTTCGAGGAGGGAGGGGATTTCAGTACGGAGCCTGAAAACAACACCCAGTTCAAGCACTCAGCTCCTGTTGCTGATTCTACTTGGGAGGAATCTCGGCCTGTCCTGCACCAACCTCAGCCCCACAGCAGAGCGCACTCCCTGACTAAGCCTCAGCAATCTTCGTTCTCATTCGGCTTCGGCCCGCAACAACCAGAGAACCCACGCGCAGATGTCAGTGACGGGGCTAGAACCAATATTTCTGACGTCACGAATCCTAGCCTAGGGGATGGAAATCGCCTTGACGCTGCCAACGGCTCGGCACAGCACTCTAAAACTGCATCGCAGGTCAGCAGCTCATGGAAAGACACGAAACTTGCGTTCGGGAAGCCTGGTTCAGCCATGCACAGCAAACACACGTCCCGCTCTTCCATCTCTAGGCTCAACGTGGAAGCTAAGGAGTTCAACCCGTCGACGACGTTTAGTCCGAACTCCTTTTCTTCCAGCTGCTCGTTTTCGCCCGGCATCAAGCCATTCGGCCAAGATGAAGCGACAAGGAGCAACAGGGTAAGTATCGATGGCTTGTCGAGCCTCAATGTCGCCGCACCCGTGTTCAAGCCTGATGCGCCTGTGTTTAAGCCCGATGTACCTGCATTCAAGCCGGCCTCTGAAAATCCAACGCTCAAGGCTGCTGTCGAGGCTCCTGTTTTCAAGCCTGGCCTGATGAATGGATCTGCTTTGCCAAGCAGTATCTTCAGTTTCATCTCCGAAGGATCTGTTCCCAAACCCGATGCCCCAGTCTTCACCCCGACCAGTGGTGCATCCATGGGACAATCCCCCACCGCTCCGACGAACTTTTCTTCAAAGATATTTGGGAACGTTAGCATCTCTGCAACTGATATTGTTAAGCCTGCGAAACGTTCCAAGGCCATTCCTATCGTACGTCCTGATGCTACACGACAGAAAACCCCAGAGGAGGAAGAAGACAAAGACGATGAGTTTGGACGAATTATGCAAGCTGATGGGCGAGAGAAACGCGCTCGACACGTTCATGATGGTGGTGACGATGTTCCTCAATTTGCGCTACCGTCCCAACCCTTGGCGGAAAGTAAACAACCCCAGGCAGCCAAACAAGACCCACAGATTGAGCGCGAAACGGCTCCAGAAGACAAGGAGAATCTTTCGCCAAATGCCGAGAGACCGAAGTCTAAGTCAAAGAGTCCCGATCCTCTTGTTACTATTGGGCTGAACTCGTCCTTCGAACCGAGCATCCCTACTCCTCAGACTGAAATGTCCACGGGATCCTTGTCAGACTCCAAGACGCCGATTGATGATAGGACGCCGCAAGAGAGCGATGCACCCACACCTACGGTCGATGAAGCACCGAAGCCATTCACGAATAAGCATGCCCACAAAACAAGCTCACTTTCTGCGGCGGCGAAACCATTCGAGTTTCGACCCCAGTTCGGCACTTCCGGCTTTGATTTTGGTTACCACGTCACCAAGCCTTCCGTCGCACAGGACGACGAACATAACAACACCCATATTAGCCCTCCCCGTCACTCAAGCCGTAGCCCAGCAACGACTTTCCGACCTAGCGACGATGGCTCTTTTAAGACTGCTCTGGAATCCCGAAGACACGTCCCATACGCCGAGAGCGAAAGCCTCGACTTCGACAATTTTGGCCAAACATCATTCAATGACATTGACGCTGTTATTCAGCATATGAATGAAGAAGGCTCCGACTTTGGCATCGAACGAGACGATCCTACTTGGGAGCAGTCTTCTCCTAGGAGATCTCCCCACCAATTCGAACGCCACGATTTAGCACCGAACGTTAATCTGCGTAGTGATGCACCTAGCCCTAGTCCCCGCAGACTATACGCTCCTAGGAATCTGAACGCATCCTCAACATCAATAACGCATGATCCTTTCAGCGACGATCGTGCTGGCCTTGCCTACGAATCTCCAGTTCATCGTCTCAATAACGCAGCCGAGGTTCCAATGAGCGATTGGGATGAAGGTCTTACGTCGGAAGGCGAGGATAAGATTCAAACACGAAGCCGATTCTTCGATAGTCATGTCGATACCCTCATTAGCCGCCTTTTGCAGAGTCGCCTTGGTCCGATGGAGAAGAACCTGCAGGGCATTCAAGATGCAATTGTTACGATGTCTCAACGTCCCGGACGTGGCCGACGCAGCATGTCTACGAACGGACGTCTTGACAGTGACGCCGATGACGAGGACGACGAGATTGGAACCGACTCGCATTTCCGTACCCGTTCTCCCAGGAAGGACCGGAGGCTCGAAAAGATTCGATCCATTGTCAAGGAAGCACTCGAATCCCACCAGCCAGCCGTCACTTCCCTTCCTGTACCTGTTCCTGCTGTGGTAGAACCCATGAAGCCGGATAACGTCCGAGAAATCATCATGGAGGCTCTTGCTCACCACCAGCCTCAATGGACGCCGCCCAAATTCGAGCCTGTTCCCGCTGAGCAGATCCGCGCTATCGTTGAAGAGGCAGTTGTCTCTCATCAACCGACAGCTCCCGACCCTGTTGTGGAACCTATCAAGCCGGATGATATCCGCTCCATTGTCTTGGATGCACTTGCTTCACATGCCCCAACGGCATCCGAGTCAACTTCTGAACCTGTGAAATCGGAGGAGATTCGCTCAATTGTTATGGATGCGCTTGCTACGCATGCTCCTCAGCTCGCTGTCGAACCAATCCGACCGGACGATGTCCGGGCAATAGTCACGGCTGCTCTCACCGAACACGCTCCTCAGCTAACTTCCACATCCGCTGTTGAGCCAGTTCAGCCAGATCTTATTCGCTCGATTGTTATGGAAGCTTTTGCAATGCATGCCCCCCAGTCCGCCCCTTCCCCAGTTCCCGAGCAATTACGGCCGGATGATATTCGATCGATCGTTACAGAGGCCCTCGCCGCGCAACAGCCGCAGCTCCCACCTGCACCTGCTGGTGGACCTATCGAGCCGGACACGATTCGCTCTATTGTTGCGGAAGCTTTAGCATCTCACAAGCCCGCTGCAACTCTAGAGCCTCCAGTTGATATTCCCCAACCTCAGGTTGATATGTCTGAAATCTTTCAAGTTATTGGCAGCTTGAAGGCTTCTATTGCGCATGCTACTTCTAGCCACATCCAGGCCGAGGATATCCGTGAGGTGATCGAAGACGCTTTGAAGCGTCAAAGCGAGGAAGCTGCAGAACGCGAGGAAGCTCGGGCTATTGAAGAGAAGGACATCCGGATTGCTGACCTCGAGGCTATGCTGAAAGAAACCTCTCTTCGCCTAGACACCGAAGCTGAAGCTCGCAAAGTCTTGGAAGCTCGTGAAGTTGACGGCGCACGCCTGCTCGAGGTCACCGAGAAGGAGCTTGCTCTCCTTCGTGAAGCTGCTGGCGACGATGAGAACAAGATCCGAGCACTCCAAGTGGAATGCGAGGATACCCGCGGCAAACTTGACTCCCTCCATAACAGTGACGAAGAGCTCCGAAATAGACTTGTTGCTCTTCAAACCGAGAACGATGAGCTCAAACTCAAGGCCATTGCATTTGAGAGCAGTGAAGATGACATCAAGAAGAAGTTAGATGTTGTCTCTGCTGAGAATGAGGCTCTGTCGTACACCCTCGAGGAACATCGTATGTCGACTAACAAATGGAGGAACGATATTCAAGCCGCGAACGAGGAGAACGAAAGGATGCGCAAGACTATCAATTCTTCACGACTCCAACATGAGGAAGCCATAAGACTCCGCGAATCCATGCGTACCAAGTTTGAGAAACTGCAGCAGGATATGATCATCGCTTCTGGACAGGCTGCTGCTGAGCGTGCTCAATGGCAGAAGAGTGACGAGGCACACATGAAGAAGTACGAAGTCCTCAGCGCCAGGATCGAGGCCGAAGGACGGACAAGAGAGAGGCTGGAGAGGGAGTTGGAGAGGCTCGAGACTCAAGAGCGAGAAGGCATGAAGCTCAAGGTTGCTCTAGAGCAGACACAGAAGGCTAACGTCAGACTGGAGCAAACCCTTGACGAGCTAAGACAGGAGAGTGTGGAACACCAGAGAACGGCCGAAAGATATGAACGTGAGTTCAGGGAGGCAAGAGAAGCCGGACGCGTTGAGGTCAGACGCACGCGCGTGCTTATGGAAGCGGATATTGATGCCGCCAACAATCAAGTCAACATTGTCCGCGCCGATCTCGAAAGCGAAATTTCTCGAATACGGGCAGAGCTCGACCAGGTTCGCATGGATACCGATACCGTCAAGGCTAAGCACGAGGTTGAGATGGAAGCTGCCTCAGATGCGAAGAAGCATGCCGTTAAAGAGGCTTTCGAAAGCAAGACCCTTGCTCTTCAAGAACAACACCAAGTCTTTGAACGACGTTTCGAACGCCTCTCCCAAGAACACTGCCGAGCCCTGGAGATCGCCCGCGAGGACAAGGAACGAGCGGAGACTTTCCACAAAGACCGCATCTCGCTCGCCGAATCCAAGATGGAGCACCTTCAAGACAAGGTCGCTCTGCTCGAGGAGAAGCTTGCTGTTACTAAGGAAGCAGCCAGTGCCGCCGCGGCTGCCGCTCAATCTGTCAAATTTCCGGCTATTGTAGGTCCGTCCTTGTATGGTTCCGGTTTGCCCGAGAAGATCTCGCCTCAAGCACTAAGAGAGTCAATTGCGGTTCTCCAAGAACAGCTTCAAGAACGCGAATCTCGCATCGAATCACTAGAGCACAAGCTCGCCGAAGTTGATACAGAGGCCCCAGCAAAACTCAAAGAGCGAGACACGGAGATTGGTTGGCTGCGAGAGCTTCTCGGTGTACGTATTGATGACCTGAACGACCTCGTCAATTCGCTCGCTCAACCTACCTTTGATCGCGAGATGGTCCGCGATGCGGCTATCCGCATCCGAACGAACCTTCAGATGGAGCAACAGGAGAAGGAACGCCTTGTGGCTGGTGGCCAGTCGTTCCCAACACTCGCCACACTCTCCAATTTTGCATCTCCTAAGGCTGTACAGCTTGCTGCTGCCATCGGAAATTGGCGTAAGGGTCGTGATAATGGATCCAGCTCGCTAGTTGGCGGTTCAAACAACACATCTCGTAACCAGACGCCCTCGAGAATTGCTCCTCCGGCGGCCCAGTCTTTCCTGTCTGGGCTCATGACCCCGCCTACTTCGAACCTCCGCCGCACTCCAGATCTACCGTCCTCGGCCATTCGACCACAGAACATCCGTTCGAACTCGTCGAGCTCACGAGGTTCTGCAGGTTTTCCTAGCTTAGGAAAGCAGCCGGTGCCCAGCACTCCGCCTCTTCTTCATAAAGCAGCATATGACCAAGATGCCGAGGATGGGCATTTCAGCGAGAGCGGATTCTACGATGACGAAAGCACTGTTGATGGCGACATGACACCGATTGGTCTAAACTTTGGCCAGGAGCTGAGGCGGTAAACGTTTGCAAGAATACACATCACCAAATGGAACATCCCAGATTATGGATGAGATCAACCAAATTTCCTTTGTACACAACAAAAACTCTCCTTATGTCGCCCGCTTGCACAGGGCATCCCCTCGTTTCCTGTAGCTTAATTGTTTTCATGCGCCTCGATCCCTCGTTCACTCTACTTGCTGTCTTTACTTAGCGATGATAAGCATGGATGGATATACCCCCAAGACCGCACCGCCTGGTATAGGGCAGGATCATTGAGATTGGATTGGATTGGATTGGACTAAATTGTCAGATTAGTAGATAATTCCCCTTTGGATCCGTTTCTTTTGTTGAATAGGGTTGGTGGTGGCGGAGAACGTAGATATACTTAGCACAAATTGTAATAAGGGTTAGAGCTTAGTATAAGTTGATATAAGAATGCGAGACTGAAGTGGAGGTTTGAAATGTCCGAACCCGTGCGAGACAGGGAACCTTAGAAGAGCACGGGTGCCAGGCGCGTGCATTGAGGGATAGGCCTCGGCTCGCCTGCTTCCAAGGTTGGTTTCAACGCGGCCATGTTTCCCTTTTCTTTGCGACGCCAAACCCTCCGCAGCATCCGCTACTTGTTCACGGCTGCATGGGGAAGCTCATGCTGACGTCCTCTTATTGACCTCCCCTCCCCCCTCAGCGATGCAAAAATACTGCTTCATTCATTCATGACCATGGCGCTCGCTGGGGAGGACGACCCCTTCAAAGACCCTTCGCTAGCCGGCACCCAGACGCCGCTGTCTCAACAGGACCACGGGGACCGCGTCGCGGGTACGACACTCGCTGTAGGCAGAAATGCCTCGTTGACCCTAGGCACAGACTCTTTAATTGTCTTAGGTACAATTCCTGATGTTTATCGCAGATGCGCGCTCACAATAACTCCTAGATGAGGGCCTACTCGAAACACGAAGCGCAAACTGCTGCGGCATCAGTCTGACCCCAGGCAGTGAGTTTCGCGCCTCTGGCGTGCTAGGCACCAATTGCTGACAAGCCGCTAGAGAACAAAACCACTCGCTCGATCCCTTTCTTCAACATTCTCTGGGCCGAACATTCCGAAGACGGAGAGATTGTCATTCACTATGCACATGCCGAGTCAAAACACGCAGTCCGTCCCGCCATCATTAGCTATGAACTCGAACAGAAGGAGCGCGAATATACGGATGCATGGATAGCGAGTCTCCTCGATCGCGCGTACGGCCCCTCGCAGCGTCGGAAGCGGATTAAAGTCCTCGTTAACCCGTTCGGCGGGAAGGGGAAGGCACAGAAGCTATACCATAGGCGCATTGCGCCGATATTCGCGGCTGCACAATGCGAGCTAGACGTGGAGAGAACGCAGTACAACGGACACGCTGTTGAGATTGCGCAGAACATTAACACGGAAGCATACGATGTCATCGCTTGCTGCTCTGGCGACGGGGTCCCGCACGAGGTTTTCAACGGGCTAGGCAGGAAGGACGACGCCGCTCGAGCGCTGGCGAGAATTGCTGTCGCGCAGCTGCCCTGCGGTTCCGGAAACGCTTTAAGTTTAAACATGAATGGAACGAACAGTCCCAGCCTTGCTGCGTTAGCCGTCGTCAAAGGCCTTCGCACGCCACTTGATCTGGTGTCTATAACGCAGGGCGACAAGCGGACGCTGTCCTTCCTCTCCCAGTCCGTTGGTATCGTCGCCGAAACCGACCTGGCTACCGAGCATCTTCGGTGGATGGGAAGTGCGCGCTTCACCTGGGGTTTCTTTGTCCGTCTCGTTGGAAAGACAATATATCCAGCCGACATCGCCGCGATGGTCGAAGTTGACAACAAAGACGCAATTCGAGATGTCTACAGCGCCGAGTCTTCAAAGCCTCCCCCCAGCTATGACGACCGCCCCGTTCCCGGTACCGAAACGCGCCTCCCAAACCTCAAATGGGGAACAGTCAACGACCCCTTACCCTCAGAATGGGAGCTCGTTCCCCACGACAAACTGGGCAACTTCTACGCCGGAAACATGGCGTACATGTCGCCCGACGCAAACTTCTTTCCTGCCTCTCTTCCTTCAGATGGCTGCATTGATCTAATCCGCATCCGAGGCGACATAAAGCGTCTCACGGCTATCGGTACTCTCCTCGCTATTGCCGAGCACAAATTTTTCGACCTCGATCACGTTGATTATCAGAAGATCTCCGCATATAGAATCATCCCTAAAAACCAACCGGATGGCTATATCAGCATTGATGGAGAAAGGGTGCCCTTTGAGCCATTTCAGGCGGAGGTCCATAGAGGTTTAGGGACGGTGTTGAGTCGGAGTGGGCATATGTATGAGGCAAAGGGGGTGTGATACATTGGTGGGCTCGGAGCCACGACTGGGTAGTGCTGTAACTGTTTTGGCGTTTTTATAAGATTTGAGGGGTTTTTGGTTTGCACTTTTGGTGCTCTTGGTTTGGGTCGGTCTGGCCATTTGTAGACTCTTGAAATACCCTGGAAATATGGAGGAGCTATGTATAATCTCTGGTTTTAGATATTCTTGCTTTTAGAAGCCTTTAGTGTTGTTTTGTGTATTAATTTGGCTGCTATGCTATTATCGCTTCACTTTTGATGTTAACTGGTTGATATTATTGCACATTCTACGCTCTCTTTGTCCTTCGCTACCCGCACCGATCCCTTCATGTGACTCAATCGACCCACAATCATAATCCACATTTCCCCACTGCACTCGCTACCGCTCTTTGACTCACCAATCGTACCACTTTGCATCTGCCCTTCTTCTCAGTATTTTGAAATGATAAAGAAATGAAATACCATATATAATAGATATTATTTCTGAAACATTCATAAAACAAATCAAAGAAGCTAAATGGCGCAGCGGAAGCGCGCCGGGCTCATAACCCGGAGGACGCAGGATCGAAACCTGCTTTAGCTAGGATTTATCTTTTTTGCTCTTTTGGGGGCATAGAGGGAGATTGGAACGGTGCTGCTAGTGGGGACGGGGTTCGAGTTGTGGTATGGTAGTTTCCTTTGTAATTATTTTTTTTTTTGGGAGGTAAGGGTTTGGGACGTGGGAGCCGTGATTGGACGGTCAACTAAAGGATGAAAAGTAATCATTGAGAAGAGAGAATCTTGTTTGTTTAGTGCTTTTATCCATTCGTGCGTTCCCGCTCGTACATGAAGTTTTTCTCCTGCTTCTTCCAAGGTTAAACGCTATAGAAAAAAAGTATATGACTAACGTGTATCCCGTAGGAACGGAAAACCCACCAGGTGGGAAATTAAGCGAGGTACCTCAGCTTCAAGTAACCACGATTTCATATAAATGTGGAAATAATTAACTATGTGGTATCTGTCGAGTGCTGGAGCTCTTGTTGTATATAGAAAACACTTCGCGTACCATAAATTACATGCGTGTCTCCATCTTCTTGCGAGATTTATATGTCCGCTTCTTGCGAAGCATCACAGCATGCGCTGCTTAAATTGCGTCTAACAAGTCGAAAATCCTCAATCACATCGGGATATGTCGTCCAGTCAGTCCTTGAAGCCTCAGTATATCATAACGAATGTTCTCAGGCACGCAACAGCGTTGTGGGGAGGACCCTCATACCCAGTCGCTATGATTGGCGGTACCTCCGTTGGGGCGATTTCTAAACAGAGTTAGCACATTGCAGTTACGTAATCAGCTCACTGTAATATACATTCGTCATCTTCCCCTGGAACTTGTGGCTGTCTGGCTGTGGCTGTTCAAGTCAGCAATAACCGCTGAGCACGTCCACGCAAACAGGAGACGCAAACCGCTTACGGTTTGCCCAAAGAGCCTTGCGGAACGAAAAAATCTAGATTTAGGAATTTTCAAAGAAAGAATCAGCTCTGTGAATGAGGGAATGGATGGTGGGTATGTGGGGGCAGGACTGGTAACCCTTTTGCCTGTTGCACGGGAGGTTTTCTGCAACTCGAAAGCCACAGCCACACGGATGTCAACCGACCGAACCTCGGGCCGCAATTGAATCTCCATCGCTGCCGGTAAGAATGTGATACTGCAGGCCGCGGTCTTGAATGCGCTGGGACTTACCAATGAGTATAGGATCGTGGTGGTCGCCTAAGAAGCTTAGGTATCAGGCGTTTTGGAGAGCAGCATAAGGCCGGGGAATGCAGTCACAAGAATTCGGTTCCGGAAGGAGCTGGCTTCAACCTGCCTACGACTAGAATTCAGAATCAACCCGACTGAATGGGTAAGGAAAGTCATTACCCGCCTAGCGAATTGCCCAAGTTCTCTCTGCGTAGCTCGACAAAACCTCGATACACCCACACAGCCTTCTATCCATCTCCCGGCTCTGTCCTGTTTTATACACGGATACGCCAACAGCCCCTTGATGCCTTCCGGACAAAACCTCGGGAGTTGGACCATTTATTGTCTGGTCAAGTTCCATCACAGCTGCATAGCGGTGAATTGTATGCAGAGCAAGAGCGTCATGATGCAGAACTAAACCCAGCAGCCTGTGTGAGTCGGACATGGAGCTGCCCGGTCGGTTTGTCTCCAGCGAGCGACCGAAATTTTCGGTAGACTGCTGGTGCGATTGCCATTCCCCTGGCTTCTCAGTGATGTGTATGATCTTGTCTGTTGAGGGGTCGCAAAGGACGAAATCCCACGGCCGGCGGACGAGTTCCTTTGGCGCCCTCAAAACATATCCCGGATAGGAAACCTCGAGACACGGGCATTCGGTCTCCATGTGATGGAATCTTCTGTTTCGTATTTTCCCCACGGTGACGCCCAGTCCAAAAGCAGCCTTGTCCAAAAAGGAGTGAACAAGCCATCGGAACCCTTCCTGTGGTGACCTCGGCCCTGGAGCGAAGATGACGCGCCGAGGAAACTCAGGCAGCTCAGCGATAACTGCACGCATCCGGTCCTCAGCCGGGATCTGGAACATGTTGGGTGGTATGACGCCGAGCATGTTGCTTAGCACAAGCGCCTCGTCCGTTCTCCGCGTCGTCGACCGCCAGCTCATGTCCCTGAACAGCCACGACAGCTTGCTACTCGATCCAGGCAACGCTCTTGCAGACTGCTGGATGCCCGTTCGCATGGCAATCGGCACTAGCGGGTTAGGCACCCACGGCTGGGCCCACAGATCCTTCCGCAATGTCTCCAGCTCCTCCCATAGATGAAACACCCTTCGCTCTTTGAAAAGGACGGAGAGCCGCTCTGCACCGAGGATACTCTCCTGGAGCGTCCATAGCCTTCTCATCCAGTTGCTGCAGATGAGTCGGACAATCGCTTCAGAGCTCGTGCTCGGTAGATCTGTGTGGTAGAGCTCCGCGTCGAGAACTAGAACGGTAGTGGCTAGCTGATATGGAATGGCCATGCGGTCAAGAGCCATGCGCCGAAATCTAGCAGCTGCGGCACCACGCGGGACGCAGATTGTGTCGATCCAAAATGTTGCAGATGGCGTGGTCGTCCCGGTGCCATCCACGTCTGTTGACGAGGCATTGTTTCGATGACTGGTGTTTCGTTGTCTTTGTGCAGCGTTGACTGCCTTGATAAGAGCCGCGAATTGACACTGCGGTAGCCAGCTGTTATTTTCATTGCCTAGACCATCTGACCAGACGTGCGAGATGGCGGTATATTCCATTCCAGTCTTGTAGTTGATAACCTCGACATTAACAGTGCCGTAGTCAGACACGGATGCCCTGAGAAGCGGCAACCCCCCTTCTTCAAGGATGACAAGTATGTGAGCCTGGGTCGGCTCGATCTCAGGACACCGGCCATCACAAGGCGGGTCGCTGCTATCGGAGTGCCTGGTTTTGTATGCTTTCGGATTGCGGACCTTCCCCACCATACACGCATGAACAGAGCAGTCACCATGATACCCCATCCGCGGACGGTCTAAGGAGGCGGCATAATAGAGAAGGATGTTCGTGGAGGCGGGGGGATAGTTCTCCAAGAACGCGATGTGGTTCGGACACCATTGTTTTGGCTCCAGCAGCAGCTTGTGCAGGATCATCCTGTTGTATCCCCATTTGTTACGAGTGTCAATGTATCCTCCGGGGGCTCGGCTTTCGAAGCTTTGCCGTATCGAATAATGGACTTGACCCAGTGTCTCGCCGAGGATGCTGATGGACAGGCGGATCTCGGGCGTAACGAGACAGTCGGGTCGCTGGGATTTGTCTAGGAGTGAAAAACGGCAGACGCGCGCTGCTAAGAGATTCCGCTCGGATCTCATGAAGCAGTCGTGGCGCTGATCATCCGACATCGCGTGGACGTTCTTATACCACGCGGATGTGTAATGGGGCAGCCTCTTTGTCGTCACGAAGCCGTCGACCACGAAGTCTTGAATCGCAATTTCGACACTAAGAACCTCTGTTAACATGCCGAAAAAAAGCCAAGCCTGGAAAAAGGAGGACTGTTCTTGGGCCGACCGCCCGGCAAGTCTAATTGTGTCTGGCGTCGCATCGGATGCATCTTGCCATTTTTTGCGGACGGGGAAGTCCGCAAAGCCGAGTCCATCGTATTCTTCGTTGCCTAAGAAAGGAACACGTATGTGTTCCCAAAGGTGGCTCTCAACACACGGAATATGGTCCATGGCGTGAGATATGGGAGTGCTAAGCCAGGTAGGAGCGATCTGTTTGCCGTTGTCTCGCAAGAAGGATGTGTCGCATTTCACGTATGGTCGTGATGCGAGCGAGGTTTTGGAGGCAAAGATTCACAGGTTGGAGACTATTCTCATTGAGATAACAGGCTCTCTTGTGTTCTACTAGTGTGTATAGGAGAGTTGTGTCTGGATTGTGTCTTTATGCTCCTAGTGGGAGCTGTCGGATCTAACGAGCCTCGTTTTGTGCGGCTTCTGTACCAGGAAATAAGCAAAATAAATCAGATCACTGACTTGCAGGCACAGACCCGATCTTGCATGGATCACAATCCTAATTGCCTAGATGCCTCTCGTCTCTTCGTTCCTCAAGGCACGCTATACCTAAAAGAAATCATATGGTTGCGGTGGAGAGGAGGCTACGATTCGGGAGGCGGCGGCGGAGGCGGAGGCGTGGGGGTGGTCTTTTCCAGACGAGCAGCTTTAAGCAGCCAAATTAGCACGAAATAAATATCAAGGTCCTTCCAGACGAAGCGGAGTAGATGTGAATGGTTCTCAAGATGGTCAAGGTCACGAGAGAAAGAGAAGAGATATGTTGCGGCCTAGGCATAAGTCACGGGAACTTGGTGGTAAAATTTCAACAACGCTATGCTTATTTTAGCAACGCTATACCTACTTCATCTACACTTTACCTAAAACAAGGCATATGTGACGAACTCGAGGTGTGGCCGTACAGAGTGTGGCTGTAGTTTTTGGGGGGTGCAGGTCCCTGTTAGCCTTTCGTCTCTTCGTTCCTCAAGGCACCGCTCGTCTCATTGATTCTTACGATCGTTCTAAGTACATAAAACTGCACGACTCTCAATACATTCCATCAGCTCACAAGTACTCTCCTAATACATCCGCGCTACTGGTACCTCCAGGGCTCTGGTGACTTTGCTGGCTCAGGCACCCTTGCTGGCTCTGTCACGTCGCTCTTTCGCATAGCTTTTTCCTTCCGCACTGGTTTCGACAGATCCGACTCTACTTCCTGTCCTTGCTCTGAGTTGGGATTTGACTCCGGACACTTTCGCTTACGACCACGCTTTCCCTTGCCCGCAGTAGCTTTGGCATTCTCCTTCTCAGCACGCTTCTTCCTCGCCTGCTCAAGGTCTTCGTAGCTCATTACCTTCGCTTTCCCCAAGACAACAGACCTGGTCGATCGGCGGACCTTAGCTTCTTTGTTTAACTTCGACAAGAACTGATTCTGGTCCTCAAGGAGAGCCTGTTTGGCGAAGGATACCTGAGCGGCATTCGCAAGTTTCTGTACGTGTCTCTGCAGGCGATGTTTGCTTGATTTGTCGGAAAGTGTGTGGACATCCCGCTGGATTAATTCATGTAAAGACGTCAGATCCTCCGTCATTACTGGCGTTACCGGCGTTTTCAACACTTCTACTTGCGGACAGGATTCCTCGTTCAAAATACTTGGCTCAGGAAGAGGCTTTGGCATACTACGGAGTACCCTCTCTGGATTGAATGGAAATAATCCCGTGGCTGCCCACGAAGCGGTGATGTTCCTTTTAGAAAACGCCTTTTCTCTGGCAGGCTTGTAAAGGGAGGTGAAATGCTCCTTGCCGACGTTGTCTAGACCTCCACGAAGCAGTCGTTCAACTTCGTCCCGATAGGCTGCTTTTAGAGGCGCAAAGACTCCAACGTCGCAGGGCTGGAGCTTGTGAGAAGTATGAGAGGGGAGACGACATAGAAGAATGTTGGCTTTGAAGCAAAATTCTAGGATCTCAAGCGTTTCATGGCTCCCAAAACCGTCGCAGATTAATACTCGCGGTCTTCCGTTAGCCCGCTCCCGAGTTTGGGGGTCGAACACACGGGTCAGCCATTCTAAGCTGATTTTAGAATCGTTATACCCATTCTCTGAGTGCGCATAGTGCCAGCCAGGCGTCGGATACGTTGTCCAGTTGCTTCTGTGGGTTGAAGCTGGCCAGATAACAAGCGGGAGCAGCGGCCTACCATCGCCACTCACACACTCAACAACAGTTACTACCGTTCGCTTGACGCCTGCTCCTCGATGTTTGCGCAGGTCATCCTTACCTACAAGGACTTTTACAGAGCCAAGCATGCTTAGCATGACTCCTGTCTCTTCCATGTTATAGACATTCTCGGGCAGGATACCTGGATCCTTGATTACGGGTTCAATTACATCAAACCACTCTACAATCTTCGGGTATGTATTGTTCCCATGACGCTTCCAGTCTATTGCCTTGACCGTTCTCGCCTTGAGTTCGGGATGGCGTTTCTCGAAGGCTCGAGGCCAGTTCTTGCCCGGGGCTTTGCGGTGGGTGAACGCTGTCGGGCGAGGATAAGGGCTAGGGAAGGTATATACTTGATACGGACTGGATATCCAAGGTTAGACATTAGTAATAAGAATGCAACCAGCGCTTTCTCTTCTTCTGGGGTGAGGTATTGCTGTTTCCGGGCTTTTTCCTTCTCGGAGGGCCGTCCGCGAGCGCGGCAATAGAGCGTGGTGAGAGGTACGCCGGCATATTCCGACCGGGCAGCCCATGTCTGGGGTAAATCTGCGGGGAAACCTTCTGCCAGTGCCTGGCTGGCCCGGTCCATGTCTACGACGGTGGGCGTTGTGATATGATGGTGATAGGGACAGGCACAAGCCCGGACCGGACACGTATGCAGCAACGAAATTGCAGCGCTCTGTTACCAAAAATAGATGGCCATATACATTTTGGGGCAAGCGCAGTGAGATTGATCGAGTTAGTAGCGTTGACTAGCTAAGCAGAAATAAAATACTGAGTAAGCATCACAAAGATCCCGCGCTAAGAAGCCATTTTACTTCCTTTCTCGGGGAAACTTTTAGAGTCTATATCGCAGCAATTTGAACAGCCTAGAATAGATTCTGACCACTGGGCCTTGTTGCCGCAGCGTCCGAAGGATTCCGAAGAGAAGTAATACAAGTCCTATCGCAGTGCGGCAGGGGTAAGAAGTCCATGAAGTTATAGACGGATATAAGTAATGGCCAACAGGTGGATCATGGCTTCGTAATTTTTGGTTGCAAGCCTATCATTTAGTAACGGCTGTATGAACAATGCTCATGGTTCGATTATAGGTTGGAAAGACCGTGGAGTGGACGACAAATTGCTCTTGTGGTTTTGCCATTTCTGCACTAGGGGTTTTCCGGGACGTAGGGGGGAACGTTACAGACATCAAGCTCGAGCGCGACTTTGCAAGCATTATCGTAGATCTTGTTAAGAATAGCCATAAAAGTGAGTCCCTTTTCAAATTCGTCATGGCCATTTTCACCAAGGTGTATGGTGATTTGTGTTCAAGTGAACGCTTTCATCATAAAGGCATTACGCACCTGAGTAGTCAGACCATAAAGCCAGCAAATGCTGTCTCAATGTCCCAAGAAGAGAACAAAGAATTCTTGCACGATCCAGGTTCTGCGGAACCAGATGCTGTCGAGTATTTCTAGTAGGGAATCCCACCCTTCAAGCTTAATCCAATGTTCAACGATCTCCAGTATCTATTGTTCCAACTCCGACCAATGCATTTCATGTTGAATGTCTCGTGGGATGCTTCCTGTGTAATATTTACATTTTCTAGGGGTGTGGCGAATATCGGAGGGGATTGTGCTTCTTTCAGTCGGCCTTTCAAGCTGCGCTGTCAAGCAAAACAGCATTCGCTTTGTTGATAAACATATTGGGCCCACGATTTTCCCTGGCTATATCTCTCCGGTAGGTAGCCCTGGCTGATTTATAACTCATCTCTCGCAAAAGAGCCAGCAAGTCTTCCTAGGCAGATTTATGGCACTAACCAAGCTGCTGTAAGACATAAGAGTACAAAATTAATCATAAACCATGCTTTTTATCAGACAATTTATTGTCATGCAGATATAACATAGGGAAGGGATCTTGCAGCCAAATCAAATTAGCTCACCCCAAACGGGCTCATCGTCCTAACCTGGCCTTCCGTCCCAATCAACACCACAGCCTCACGGATTCTATCAACGGATATAGGGCTTCGCAGAATCGGCTTCGCTGTTCTCATTTATGGAGATTCTTTTCAAATCATTGTCATACAAGAGGCCCTTAACATACGCCCAGCCAATTAATATTCTAACTTAAGTTGAACCTAAATAGTTACATGCAAATACATAATATGGGAAAAGTAGTTCTGAATTTGAACCTTCCGAATCATAAAGTTCTGTCATCCATCCAATAATTACAGTAGGTATCTCAGAAGACCTTTTAGCACAAGTTTCTGGAAACTCAATTCAAGAAGGATACTGCCGTAGGGGTGACCCGGAAGGAATATTGTCTATCATCTGCTTCTGTACTTCGGGGGTTCCAGTAATGCAGACGATTTCGAGTAGAATTCCCTTTGGCATTGTTGGAGGCGAGGCCGGTGATGTTGAAGATGATTAGGTGGGTGGCATCTTCGGATTTGGTACAGATTCTTAAAGGGTTTGTTAGAAAGGAATTGAAAGACCATCGGCATTTTTTTTACTTATCCTAAGAAATGAGGGCTTTGTTTACTGTGCCCTCCTGCACTATATCTTCCTGTCTAACGTCAATGGCGCTTGAGGTTAGTGAATGGGGCTATGAACAGTCCCCTTCTGAAATAGCCAAATGGATATCTTAACATCGTCAATCTTGAGGGGGATACTTCTGAGCCTGAGTACATAGGACAATTGATAAAAGAGCTTCGTTAAGTTCCTAGGCTATAAGAATAGTAAAGATAGTGTTGAGGCAGCGAGCACTGACCTTAGGAATTGTAAATGAGCTAGCCTATATTGGAATAGTTCAACTTACCTCCAAACTACACTCCGGTGTCTTCCCAAGCCTCCTTTTAACTTACTATTATGCGTTCGTGAGGCTAAGTATGACTAAAAATTTAACTGTAGGATTTCTAACCCTTTCCCTTACATCAATTACCCAAATCTTAGGCGACAACGGCCGATCGAGTTGCCTGCTAGATACGGTCGTCAAGAAAGTTGGGCCGCACCATGGAGGGAAGCTTGTCCAATGAAGAGGTAATACGACCCGGATGAGCCGCCCTGTTGATTGTGAGTGGCCTTGTTTTGGAGAGCGTGGAGGTGTTGTGTAAGCCACATTTGTGTTTCTGGTAGTTTCATCGTTTTCCCTTCAAGCCTTTCTTATCTGCACCTATCGGTTACATTAGGAACTGATTATCTTCCCAAAAAGGACGTATGCCGCGAAAGGCTGAAAAATAAACAGACGCCTCGTGATGCAAAACGGCACGTTTGTATGTGCTTCCTAGGGTAGAGCTCATTGCATGAGCGGGGGTACATCTTCAGACGCTTTCTTAACGCCCAATGGCAAGCGAACCTTGATCGCAGTGTTTAAATTGGGCAAGTCTCAATCTAGGTGGCGAGGCACGCGCAGTTCGCCGTATGGGTGCCATATTTCCTCGACGCTAGGCTATTCAAAAGACCCACTACCCAGCCCACAGCCTAAGGGGAACCATCGTTTCATTCCTCGTCATGAGGGTCGCCGCAAATCTAGTTGTCATTGTGGCTATCATTCTCGTCACACTCTGTTCAAACGGAGTTGTTGCAAAATCTGCCGGATCTGCAAAGGAAAACAGTCCAAATCGTCTCGATGCCCTCAGCCTTGCCATAGAAAATGAAATCAATTTGAAAAACGCGACTTTCCAGGTAGACCACCCTCACGTACAATTTGGACCAGCTCAACTGCCAATTCCAGAAGACCAGAGTCCTAATTATTTGATCCCGAGGGAACTTACGAAGCTTTTTAAACGCACTTGTTACTTCCCTACCGGCGGTGGCCATTGCGGTGATGGCCAGATCTGTTGTACTGATCAGGGCGACTCTAGTAGTAATTGGTGCTGTAAAGATGATACACAATGTGTACCTAGGCCAAAGCAGAATCCCAATGGCTGGCAATGTTCTTGGAGCAAGTACGTCTGGCTTCCTTTCGAAGACAGTGCATCTGAGCTTTTCTTACGCTAGTGATTGTGCAGAACCTGGGTAGTCATATGGTACACCTCGACGGTATATACAACTAAATCTTCGACGGACATACGGAACGTCGCCGAAACTACCAAATGGTCAACTATTTCGTCGACCAGTACAGTCGTAGTGACTAGATCGGACGTCGATACTTCGACAGAGGTCAAAGTAGTGACGGTTACTGCGAGAGTAAATAATAGAAGACGACTGGGCCAAACAAAGGTCGCGCCATTGACATCAGCACTCCCTGCAAAACCAACCAAATCACTTCCAATTGCTTTGGTTGCCCAAGCGAAACCTCAGGGACCCATTGCACCTCTGATCACCTCGGGAGCTCAGCTCCGTCCTCGGGGTTGGTTCAAGCGCACGCTTACTACTGAAACGGCGACAACAAGTTCGACTACGACTAATGTTCAGACACGAGTCATCTATGTCACCAGTGTATCCTATTACACTGAAACGTCCACCACTACTTCAACATCAACGAGTACGTCCACGTATGTAGCCAACGCCAAAAAGACCGTAACGTCAACAAGCACAACCACGCTTACGCTCACACCGGGGCAATCAGCTCCTACCCCCGCCTCCACCAAGTCGGCCGGCGGTGGCCAAGATCTCCAGGAAAATCCTCCCACTCCCGGGGGTGGTGGTGGTAACGGTGGAACTAGTCTAAGCAAAGGCGCACAGGCCGGCATCGCCACCGGGACAGCGAGTGGTTCACTCATCATCTGCATCATTCTAGCCTTCTGCATCCGCCGTCGCCGTAAGAAGAGAAAGGAGGAGGTCGCCGAGCTGATCAATGCGGCTGTCGCGGCAGCTAACAACGCGCAATCTTCTGTCCCTCCCCCTGAGAAACCTCCCCACGTAGGAGTCTATGCGCCAGCTGCACCAGTCCCCAGTCCGCCTTTTCATACTTCGTCGTACTCGCCTAATGGCGCACCGTACGGCAGACTGAGTGACTTGGTGCCAGTTTACAGTCCGTCAGATAGTACTGCGAGGAATACCCCAGCATCAGGACTTGGAAGTCCGACGGGACTCGAAATGTCTAGCACACCAATAGCGGCACCCATCTCGATGCAATACCAGTATCCAAGGCCAATGAGTCCGGAGGGTTCTTATGAAATGTATCATCCGCCACCAGAGATGCCATCAAACTATCAGTATCCTATGCAGCGTAACCAGCCCGAATGGAGGCCTTAAATGAAAGGAAAGGTCGAGGAATCATATATTTGATGATTAGAATGGGAGTGATGCTTCCAATTTGTACTTTCTCGGTATAACTAAGACCAGAAACTGTATGGGAATGTAGCAGCTATATAGGAGTACACATCAATACATTTTGCCTCATGACCTTGTCTTAGATGGACCAAATGAGTTACAGCTAACAGCAGCAAATTAGATACTGGTCTAAACCTTGCTGGAATAATGGAGCAGCGCCTTAGCTACTGCGCATATAAAGCCACTCAAAGCCACATACTGCAGCTTATCACCTAACGTAGAACATGACCACAATAATATAGGACATAATTTAGCGTCCCATGGGCCTTATATGTTTATGTTACCAATGATTTTAATAGTCAAAGTCTATCCAAATTATGTTCCACGTAATATGAATACATGCAGTAGTTCTAACGTCTATATCTCCATCAATATTCAGCAGATTATTATTATTGTGGCGTTAAAGGCGAGCATTGCAGGCCTAAGAAAGCCCGGATTTCAGCCCAATGCCCAACGTCGAAGGACGCTGTAAGTGGGCAACGAATTCAGCCTTAAAGGGTAAGGACTGTGTGAAGGACTTCATGTATGCGCTGTACGTACGAACAACTCGGCGAATATTTTTACTTCACCCTTGTGAGAAGCGTAAGGATCTTAAGAAAGTTGACATGTGAAATCATATATCTTCTCGGGTATTAGTATGCACACAGCCTCCAGGGCGATGTCATGAGATATAGGAAGACTTAGAAGCAGCCCTTTTGACTTTGTAGATTTCGCGGAGCCTTCCCTCTAAAACCCCCACAGGAGACTACATTCCAGACTCGTGCTGGCTATAGCAGTTAGGAAAAGGAATGCCCCCTTCTAACAGCCTGGCCTAGAATCGAACAACAACAAACACGCCGGAGATGTCCGAATGAAGACAACAGGCCCAAAAAACAGTACCGCAAGCGCCGACCCCGTGATTGATGAAGCGGCTTTGCCCTTACTATGATGGAACAACAACGACAAATTGAATATCTCCCTCTGGGTATACGTGGCTTAGAAATATACTCAAACCGCCCCGGAGACTCTGCACAGCCAGTAAATCTTCAGCCTCAAACACTTATCATCGATAATCGGCGCTTCGAGCTCCATGAGCATCATTCAAGCCAGGACCGGCAATTTTACGAGAATCAAGTCGCACGCCTCCAGTCTCAGCTTGATCGGGCAGAGAAAAGAGTTGTGGATGCTGAATTCGATAGAACACGTATTGAGCTGAAAAATAAGACATTGGAAGCAGAAAAGACAAGCCTAGAGCAGAAGCTTCAAGAATCGAACCAAAACTGGAGTACCTATTACAACCTATATCAAACGTCGTATTCGAACGAGCATAAACTCCAACAAGACCTCCAAAACATCGAACAACAAGTCAAAGAATTGGAATCTCAACTCGCTACTTCTGCAGCAGATCTTGCATTATGGAAAAGTTCGTCCGAAAAGTGGGAGACCTCACATGAGGAGTGGCGAGACTGGGGTTTGAAGACAAAGTCAGAGCTGGAAGGAGTAAGGCGGGAGATAAAGGAATTGAAAAGAGGCAAGTCGGTGGGGGTGTGACTTCTAGGGAAAGATTATGAAAATCCAAGAGGATGTTCTTAGACTTGGTCTTGACGCACCGTATGTGCATGAGCAAGGTTAACTGTATCATCTAGCTGCTAAGGTATCTGACTACACATCTAAGAATGAGAAACGAGAGAACGCCAGAATATTGAACGGAAAACTCTTGAGACTCCAAACAAGAGTGTGGGGGTTTAGTAATAGAGGGATGTCTCTTTTGAATTGCTACGGTGTTTCCGGGCGAGGCTGGGTCGTAGCTTTTGCCTTTGCCATACTCTTTTCGCCCTTGCTTTGCAGGAACTCCCCAGTCTTTCTTGACGTCAACCCAACACGAGCCAATCTTATAGCCTTGTCTTATTCGCAATATAATGCACCGTTGATTTTTTTTTTCTTCAATGCCTTCCAAAGCTCCTTCCCCGAGTAGTCGCACGTGCAAAGACCCACTTCATCAATAATAGCCCGTAGAGTATCGTCAACAAACCGAGAAGTATCCAAAGCGCGACCCATATAGCGGGGCTGACAGTTGCGCTGAGCATCTACCTAGACACCAAATGTACCGACCAACTAGACAGCGAAGAGGATTATTGTGATGAAACTCTAGGTTGATGAGAAACCCTCTTGATGCCGACTTTCCTTAGCAGGGATGCAGTTGATTTCCTATAAACGGGATGTGTTTACTTGGGAGAAGGGAGCCAAACTATCACCGACCTGGTGGGGACGAAGTAAATCTTGCTGTTGCAGATAGCATGTTCCGGTATTCATAAAGGTATGTATTGCTAAGAGAAAGAGTGAGGAGAGCACTACCCAGATCATTACCATAGTTCGGCGCTTGCCTTTGAGACCAAAGATCGCCTTGGAAGTGTGGATGATGCTCGTAACTTTCCGTGATTGAGGAATGGTTCTGTAAAAAGTTGAGGGTCGAGAGGCTCGTGCTCCGTTGCCTCCATCAACAGCTGACAACAGCCCAATAGGATTTAATCGCAACAATAGTGGCCTGCCCGCCGAGGCCCACTACCAACAGGATTCCAAACGAAGTCGGTAGGGTTAGTTTCTCCAGAGTCCATGAACCAGTTGTTAATCTCAGAAGTGCTAAATCCTCCAACATAAAGTCAGACTCAATGGCGAAGGTCACAAGCATGATACTCCGGAAACGACAAGGACTAGCACACTCTTTCTTTATGGCTCCGATATGATTTCAAGATCTAGATAAGTGCTATGGCTTGAACGAAGTCTCAGCTAATTTGTTCGGAGGGCACTGACTAGTTGCACCTTGAGTTGCTTTGGGGATGAGGCGCTAATCCTTTTAGGGAATAGCGGTAAGCGTGCAGGGATCGGCAAGGTACATGGACCAGCTCAGCTCACTAAGGCGCTCGCGGACTCTCGACGACCTCAGACGCCCTCTCTTCTCATTATATCCTTTACGGGTGCGTGAGAATTATAGAGTAAACCCTTACTGTGTTATTGAAGTCCGCCTGCTGGGTCGTGCCCTTACAAACGAGAATAAAAATAGCAACTAGTTCCGCGTCTACCGATCCACGAAGTCCCCCGGGCAACAATGTGGAGCCACGACTCATCACAGCCTCACACAAATCAGATCAGGGCATGGCTGAAGCTCTCAGGCGCAGCGAAACCGTCATCACATGTCCTAGCAGAAGGAATTCAGAGCTGAACTCCGCTCTGGCTTTAATTGCTCACTTACCCACCACTGACACCTTTGCACCACCCACCCACTCATTGCACGACAACAAAGCTAGCAATCAAACACTCGTTCTATATAAGCTAAAGGTACGCTTTACCTAATTCCTCAATTCCCTAGCTTCGCATGAACTGACTTCTAGAAGACTTCCACACCCTCAGAATGTCTTCCGTCCTCTCCTCCGTCGCCGCCAACCCGACCGGTGTCTGCAGCACACAGGCATACAGCCAACTCCCCGGTGGTACGGACAATGGCTGCGCAATCGCCAGCACCGCCGGCCTCCCTAGCAACTACTCCGATGCCATGAGCAAATGCTGCAAAGACGCACCCGTCGAGAAATGGGCCAGTGATTGCGCGCTGTGGTGTCTTGCTTCTGGCCAATCCATCGGCGACCTTACCACTTGCCTCCAGAAGGAGAGCGTGGTCGCGAACATGATCTTCTGCCGCGGGAACACGACTGCAACTGCTACGGGAAAGGTTAGTGGGAGCGGGACAGTAAAGGCCACGGGAACGAGCTCTCAGACCGGCACTGCGGCGTCGAGTGCATCGGGCAAGAGCACGAGCTCCCCCGGTGCTGCGCCGAGATTGATGACTCAGCAGAGTGTGTCGAAGGCTGGTGTTGGCATGCTCGTTGTGCTGTTCATCTCTGCTGCAGCGGGAGCTTTGATCTAAGGATATGGATAAGTTGGTGGCTGGAGCGGGGCTGCGTCTAGTACAACTTAGATTGCGTTGGGTTTCTGATGGTGGTGCAAATTGGGAATAATATCGGGTGTCTTTTCTAGCATTGGAAACTCATTATGAGATTCGGGTAATGATAATATGACTTGTGTGTAGCTTTTACCCTCGACACAATACACTAACAAACACGGGTGATTGGCGTACATCACTTCTTATGACTTCTGCCACATCTCCATCTCTGTGCTGGCAAACATGAAAGGGCCAGCTCCCTTCCCGTCATTCTCGCTCAACGGAACTCCAATATAGTACTATATGCATTCATCAGCTCAAACGCTAACCACAATAGGACCTCAAAACTCACCTCATAGCTTCCATCTTGATCTAAACTCCCGACCCGTACAGTCCCCTCCCAGCTCAACGTCCCGTTGGATTCACGCTTCACAAACCTATCCACCATAAGCTCATACGCCTTCATCGCTGTGTCTCTATACTCCTCATCCAATAGCCCCGTCCTCACACCCTTCAAATATCCATACGCAAACATCGCCGTCCCACTCGACTCAATATAATTCCCCTTCATCCCTGGATACGGTTCATCCATGACTAACCACCACCCCCAACTCGCATCCTGTGCCCTCTTCAGCCCCGCCGCAAGGCTTGTTAGATACCCCTTTAACCTCGAATATCCAGCCAACTTCTCTGGATATACCTGCAGCACTTCCACCAAAGCCATAAAATACCACCCTACCGCCCGATCCCACACATGCGGGCTTGCACCCGTCACCGGGTCCGCCCATACCGCCTTCTTACTCTCGTCATAACCATGAACTAGCAGGCCAGACGTCTTGTTCCGACAGTGCTGCTCAATCAAATCGAATTGATGTGCGATGTCCTCCCATGCCGTGATGTTCTCCGGCTCGAAGAAAGATGTGTATGTTGCGTAGAAGGTTTCTGCCATGTATATCCCATCCAACCACATCTGGTTCTTGTACTGCGGATCCCGGTGCCAGAACCCACCCATCGGCGTCCGGGGATATCTGTCTAATTGCTTGCGGAGCGAGGTAGCTGCGGTTTTGTACTTCCCTTCCTTCCTGCCTTCAGAATCCCAGAAATATAAAATGTTGTTGCCGATACGTATGTCGTCCAGGGAGTAGAAATTAGGGTCCCAGCCCAGTAATGTGCCATTTGAAGCGACGAGCGAGGATACGGCAGAGGATACGAAGGAGAGGAGCGAGGAGTTGGGGTGGAGGATGGCAGCCTTTTGCAGGCCTTCGTGTAGGACAGCGGCTACGTAGTGGCGGTCGATTTTTTGGGATTTGGAGAGGAAGGAGGAGGCCATCCATGTTGAGTATGGCTGGGCGGGTTTGGGTGCTGCGAGGGTCGTCGAAGCATATGTGAGGAGGGCTAGGGATAGGGCTGGGAGGTGCATGGTGACTCTAGTCTTGTAGTGAGAAACCAGGGAGGGGAGGAAAACTTGGGCTGCGGTTCACATGGAGAAATATGCGATGCTGATATAAAATCCATTCTTATATGTCTACGCCGATATACATTTATGGGTTGCGAGAGGGAAGTGCGAATCTAGGCACTAGATGTCTAGATTGAGGGGCTCGCAGGTGATCACCCGGAAATTTATTAATGGAAGAATGGCCTCGGGGAAATTCGATGCGAGTGTGAGACAGAGAATGTGGACTAAAATGCGGAGACTTGGGAGAACCTAAGACGGAGAAATATGCCTATTCTCGCAGTAGTCTTGCATTGACTTCGGCACGATTGGGCTCATCTTTAAGGTGTTGGGGATGGTTATTTGGTGTGAAGACTAGCGACGCCTTTGAAGCTGCGTGACTAGTATCCGTGGACCCTATTATTGGACAGGACCAGAATATGCAGTGCTGAGCTCTGTTTGTAGTTGAAAGTATTGACAGACTTCTTGGGGATGGAGTCAAAGGAAGGTTTGGGGAATGAACAGGGCTAATCTAGATGAAGACTAGTGGCATCGCAACAGCCTTTCCTCATGATCGTCCCGAGTATGCTCACAAGTTCTGTGCAGCAAGTGCCTAAACGCGTATTCTAATCCTGTCAAAGTTTTACCCAAATTTCTGTTGGCTGTGCATGTCATGATGAGGGTCGCTGAGTGCAGTATGCAGATGGAGTGGAGCTGGTTGGTATAGAGGTAAGTATAGATACGGTAAGGTAAACATTAAATAGCAAAATCTCAAGTAGAATACCTCGTTTTCCAGCAAAGATCAGAGTTGCTTCTTAAGATTAATATCTCACCTAGTAGGTTTCATGCACTTCGAACGGTCGTTGGTGGTGCTGACATAATTTCCCCCATGCAAGATCTAATCTAATCTCATCACCGCTCCGACATGCACAGAGGACACAGGACCAAGCTCCCAGGAACGCACATCAGTGAAGAGCAACACGCTTTCACTCCTCCTCCAGCACCCCACCACACCGCTGAAGTTTCTCACCATACACAAATAATGGCAAGCAGCACCCCGTGAGCGCCTTCCAAGAATTCCTTCATCGTTAACAATCTATTCTAGGCGAATGTCATAACAAATTCCGGCCACGATGACATGATTGTATGTCCCCACCTGCGCCTCCACCACACTTCTCCTCTGCAGAATTGCCGCCGATATGGCCCTTCCACTTCCGATGGCGCCGAATCCCGTAGTCGATTTGCTGTCCTTCGAGGCTAACGACATGCAGCATGATGCCGTACTGGACTACTATGGCAGACGGTTAGCCACATGCTCGTCGGACAAGACAATCAAGATCTTTGAGGTTGAGGGCGAGTCACACAGACTGATTGAGACGCTGAAAGGGTGCGCTTTTTATCCTGTGCACATACAGGCATCTGCTAACACGGGCTTCGGAATAGTCATGAGGGAGCAGTCTGGTGTGTAGCATGGGTAAGCGTCTACATCTTTCCACACTCTGCCCCAACAACTAACAGATATAGGCGCACCCAAAATACGGCAACATCCTCGCATCCTCCTCCTACGACGGCAAGGTCTTCATCTGGCGCGAACAGAACGGACAATGGCAGAAAATCTACGAAGTCGCCCTCCACTCCGCCTCCGTTAACCTCGTCGCCTGGGCCCCACACGAAGCTGGCTGCCTCCTCGCCTGCGCCTCCTCCGATGGCAACGTCTCCGTCCTCGAGTTTAAAGACAACACCTGGTCGCATCAGATATTCCAGGCGTGTGGATCGGGCGTGAATAGCGTGAGCTGGGCCCCTGCTGTTGCACCAGGCCAGATGACGAGTGCGAGCGGGAATGCGACGGTTGCGGCGAGAAGGTTCGTTACGGGTGGAAGTGACTGTCAAGTCAAGCTTTGGGAGTACAGTCCAGAGACAAATTCGTACACGAATATTCAGATCCTGCCGGGCCATACGGATTGGGTGCGCGATGTCTCATGGAGCCCAACGGTATTGTCTAAGTCGTACATTGCGTCTGCGAGCCAGGACAAGACGGTCAGGATCTGGACATCTTCGGACCTTAGTACGGCAGCCCCTTTCATTCCCTTAGCGCACGCCGTGGAATGTTTTGCTAACGAGATTTCAGGAGAATGGAAATCCACAGTCTTGAACGTCGAGGCTAATGCCTGGCGTGTGAGCTGGAGTCTTAGCGGTAATGTCCTCGCTGTCAGTACTGGTGATAACCGTGTCAGCCTATGGAAGGAGAGGTTAAGTGGTGGATGGGAGTGCGTGAAGACGATTGAGGAGTAGGCTGCTTTAGGAGTTGTCCTCTCATTCCTTCAAAATATGCACACACGGCTCGCCAAGGTAGTCTGTTAGCGCCATTGGCTATGGGATGGCTAGAGTATTGGGTATGATGAATATACCGACGACTCGGTCTAGTTAGGTCCCGGGCTAGAGGCCTTTCATTGGACGGATGGTGTTTAAATCATAGTGGGAGTCAAATCACAGATATCATGAAGTCAAATCCATGATATTCAATTCCTAAAATTCCACGACATGTAAAATCATGCGCTCTTGTAAACATACGCGTTTTGCCTGCCGAATTAGCCACCCCATTGTTAGCAAGGTCGGACATAATCCATCCCTTTTAAGCTTTGACCTTGCCCATACCACCTTTATTAAAGCCCATCTGCCTAGGTATCTCGTTTCTTTCCCTTTCCTCAGCAAACTCTACCTTAGCTCTCCCACCATTGGGTGCCAAAACCCGAAATTCACAAGACTTGAATTGAACCACATGTGTCCACGCCTTTCCTCCCTACGAATCCCTTATCGGCTTCTTATCCCCATAATCTTGATTCCTACCTAAAACTACCAGCCTAAGTCTTTCCCACCCCAAGGATAATGGTTAGGAATGAAATTTCAGCGGCGTACATATATGGTAGTGATGTGTACACGTGCTACGATATCATGTCCGTCTACCTCTATTTAGTTTCCTATACTGACCTCCCCACTCGCGCTACCCAGGCAAACAAATTAGTTATAAGACCTAGCTTCATGTCTCCCTGTTCTCTAGGAGCTCTTTTCCTTCCCCCGCCGGGCTGGCTCTCGAGAAATGTACCATCCTCGAAAAACAGCAACTCAGCTCAGTCACAGATAAGGACAGGACTTGTGCGCTGACTGACAGATTCCGGTTTGCAAATTCTTCAGTTCTTCGGGTTTAGTATTTGGTACTGTAAGCACCATTCACACAGCAGTTTTTCATTAGCACAACGAACGTAACCATCATTTTAGGTAGGGGTGGGTCTTCACGGCTCCCCACTACAAACTCCAGCTATTCACTGCAACGTTTGCTTCTGCTCTAGCATTCTTCCTTCTGCCCCCCCCGTCTCCACAAGGCTTCTCACGCCTAGCTCTTCACTATTCACTCTTCACTCTTCACTCTGTTGTATCAAATCGACTGTCCTTCCCCCAACCTTCTTTTCTCCGGGTGTCCTCCATTTCCTCTCTTAGCCACTTATTTAGCCCTTCCTTCTTTCTATTTATCATTCTTCTGTTTCGTTAAGCACCTTGTTCCTCATTCTTCTCGCCTAATTCGATAATTCTAGTATATCGTCATTACGTCCACATCACATCATACACCCTCGACATTTCAGAACCACCAGTTAGAATCCAGTCACATTCAAAATCACACAACCAAACCTCACACTGCGTAGTCGATACGGACCCACTTGTTATTCATTCATTCATTCCATCACTCACTACCCAGAAACCCCAGATCACCCAGCACACGCACCCAAAAGTTAGCAACCCTCTCACCCAGAAAGCCCCAGTTAGTTCCATCAAGCCCTCAATATAAAAAAGCCATACCCACATTCATTCCTCCATCCATTCATCCCGAAACTAGACCAAGGCGGCCAGACACCAGACACCAGACACCATGCATAACTGATGCACATTGGTAAAGTCTGGACATTTCCACCCACCCCTAACCATATCCGAAACTGCTTCCTGGGGGCACGATTCCAGGGCAAAATGTCGGCATCCACCGAAGGAGGGGGAGCAAAGAGGCTGGCAGCGCCACTGTATTGAAAGGACACTGTAGTGCATGCCGAATGTGGAAGGAGGCTGAAAAAAAAGAAAGAAACAGGAAACCCTTGGTTATCAGGACTTCTAAGAGAAGAGTCAGGAAAAAAAAGGAAAAAAAGAAAGAAAAAGAAAAAGGAAAGAGATCCAGCGCATTGCCATGCCGGATTAGTTGAAATACCCCACACAGGGACGTATATGGGAGCTGAGAATTAACATTTCGCGGTTATATGAAGCGGATGGGCGGACATCGAGTGAGTTTAGAAACCGTGCAAAGGGCAGCGCCGATGCGGGGTGACAGGGCGGTGTGCTGGAGATCCGGGAGTCGGCCGTTGCGGGGGGAAGATTTCATCGTCGAAGACGGCACGCCTGAAGCAGATTATTCGTCGCTGGAGTCTAGGTCTAAGTCCGGCTCCGGGCCGACAGCCCAGAAGATGAACGGTCCGCTGTAGTTGCTCTGTGCGCTATCAGCGACTCTGCCCGATCTGCAACATACATAATGCATAAATCTTACACCGGAACCAGCATTTTCACCCTCAGGCACAAGCCACCATCGGCCCAGGATCATTCGCCCGCCGGGAAGGACCACACCCTCATATGCCCACAAGTTATCCTCGGCATACTGGTGATCATCATCGATGAAGTATTTCATAAAGGTAATCCTCTGCCAACCTGGAATCTCGATACCTCGTGGCTGCGCAGGCAAAGGATTCAACCAGCCTGAAGCGAAGAAGTGTTCCTCTGCGTCGTCACCCTGACCAGTGAAGTGTATCGAGACCGCTTCGGCGTCAGATGGAGACATAGATCGCTGCTGAGCTCGAGTGCGGCGGCATTTCATTCGAGGTTTAGACTGCAGGTGCTTTTCGAAAATAGTTGGCCAGTTGAATTTGCCCGACTCTACGCACTCCAACAAGAGCGTCTACCTTCTGTCAGCGACCGGATATAAATCACAACATGAAACAGGATTCGAGGTCCTACCTGGATTTTACCGTCGCCCTCCATATTTCCGTCAATGAACACATCATCCTCGTCTGCATCGTACGAGGAATTTCGGAGCTCCTGAAGTTCGGGGGCATCGAGGAATGCTAGCGGATTTAGTCAGGCTGTGGGCAAGAGCGTAGGAAAAGAGGACGCCACATACCGTAAGTTCCCTTCCAGTGTTTGCTCAGTGGGTAACAGCCATCTACCAGTTGAGCTTGCCAATGGGAAGGCTTCTGGGTGACATCCAATGCATCCATGATAGCGTGGAAGCTCTGCATAGACTTGCTCACCATGTGATATTTGAAGAAGTTCAAGCAGTGGAGAAACCACTCCATGTTGACCTCTAGATTGTTGTAACCTCCGTAGAGGGGACGGTCGGCGGCGGTGTCGTACACAGCCTTTTGGGAGACCTCGAAACAGTATATGTTGTGCGTCTGCTCCTGTCCGAACAAGAAGTGGGCGCACATGAGCTGAATGGCAGCGAGGGCAGGACTAGTATACGGCTTCTCATCGTCCTCGGCATTCTTTCGCTTGCGAAGGCGCTTGATGTCAAGAAACGTCTTCGAGTTCTTGACGAACTTCACGAGCTGCTGCTGGTTCAAACAGAAAGGGCGGCCATACTCATCAAGCCCATACGGACCTTGGAAGGACTCTGCGTGGCGTTAGCACCCGCCTACCCGCTTAGCGGGGATAGCGACTGACCAACGATGAGATCCCGAAGAACCCTAAGGACCTTCTGTTCTTGCTTGGTCCAGCCACGGTAGAAGTCTACACCTGCGCCAAGCCTCAAGTACCGCTTCCGCCGCTGATACTGCTTCTTGAGGACGTTGTTCGAAGAGCCTGGCTTCATGGCAAAGGCATCCCGAAACCGGGAGCGCCAGAAAGACAGATTATCGCCATCGACGGCATGGTTCGTGTTCTTGCAGATAAGGCGGAAACTGCAAATGTCTCTGTCGGTGTCGAGATAGTGGACGATCTGCTTGTTGAGCTGGGCGGAAGGCACGGTTAGCTCAGGGTAGGAAAGCCTTTTCGAGTGCCTCACCTCTATGGGCAGCTTGTTAAAGGCCGCAGTGGACGATGGAGTCTGAAGATCCATCCTTACAGGCGCCAGAACAATACACTGAAGGGCAGCGCGGTACTATCCAAGATCTCCTCCAACGGGGTCAAGAGGAGGGTGAGGCCAGTGGGAACGGCGACCGGATCTGATCACGAGATTGAGGTTAGTATTCGTCCACAATAGACTCCAACTGGCGGTCTATCTAGCAAACAGGCTGGTGGTGAGGCAGCCTTGTCTGTGGATGTTCTGTCTAGGTGGTGAGGTAAGCGGATTGTAAAGTCCACGCCTTTTGCGGTGAGTGCGCCGAATTTTGATCAGGCCGTTAGCGGATGCCGCCAAGAGGCGGAGGCTTTCACCGAAGGGTAGAAATGATGGTGATGATGGTGGTGATGGGCGGTGAATGGTGGTGGTGAGTCAAAATGACCTCAGTGAAGAATAGAGGGCCTAAAGCGAAAGACAGGACCCGGCCAACTGCCAGCGAAAGTGTGAACCAAGGGGTCAATGTGGGCGAGCCAAAGAGTGAAAGATTGACAGAAAATAATGTGTCGAAATTCTTGGATTGCGTGTGGTGATGTGGTTGGCAACTTGACATCGGCCTCGTTGTGGGAACGGAAAGAACAACCAACCTTCAACCATATGCGGCTTCTCAACACATCGCTAAGAGTAGCCCCACTACACGTAACAAATGAATGCATTGCCAATTAGATACCTCAGCTCCATGGTAACCTTTTCTCCTGGTCGAACCGCGTTATACCAACGGCAACGCCAACATGCCCACGAAAAGTGCAGCCCATGGGCCAGCCTTACCAAAATCGTGCACAGCACTCCCTGAACTTGACGAAGATGGCACTGCTCCAGTAGCTGAGGGTGGCAGCCCACTACTAGGAGATGCTTCGTTTGCTGAGCCATTTACCGGAACCACGACATAAATTTCGCCCGTCGTGTCGCTGCTCATGAACAGTCTGCCTTGACTATCCCACGCCAGGCCAACCGGTCTGAAGCAATCATCAGGACACTTCGTGACATCGGGATTCGATACCACGTCGATTGCAGCCGTACTGCTGTTTGCTGCGTCTGTAGGTGAGCCATTTTCAAACTCTATGACAGACAATTTGTAGCCGATAGGCTCGTCTCGATTCCTATGTAATTCAGCGTGTGCTTTACTCTGCGGAAAGCTACTAACGATTACCATGAGCCGTGAAATGTCACCCACGCTGCGGTTCCATCAGCGTTGAACTTCATGTCCTGTTCAACGTGAGCTTATGACATATTTCGAGTCACCAAAGAAACATACCAAAGGCGCCATGTGCGCAGCAAACGTCAACCTTGGCGCGATCCGGTCATCCCGACAAAATGTATCATTAATCGTAGCATTCTGGTCCCCGATCGCAAACTGCGTTCCAACCTGAATCCCCTGATTCTGCGGGATCGAGCCCACATCCCAAGCCGCATAGCAAGACGGATATCCATAATTCTGCCCCTGCTCTTCAACTCGAGTGCCATTTAGATATCCATGGAAATTCATTTCTTCCCCAGGATTGTTCTGGTGAATGTTCTGCCCTTCTCTTTCGAAATTGTCTACGCTGTTTTCCACCGAATAGATGGCTCCCGTGATTGGCTCTTCTGCCATGCCTACGGAGTTTCGTAGGCCCCAACCAAGCAGTAGCCCATCTTGGGCGTAGTTGTAGGATGAGTCAGTAAGATTGGATACGTTGAACGCTTTGATTGTCGAGACTCCAGTCGTGATATCCTGGGCTGCTGGATCCAAATTCGACATGCTTCCTCTGCTAACCAAAAGCATACCCTCAACCCGTCGGGACAACAACAAAGTCCTCGTTACATGGCCATCTGCGGCACCCATCTGGCCGATGAGTTCTCTTGGACCAGAAGTGTTTCGGGCTTCAGCGGCATCATAATCCCAAGAGTAGACAGCTTGCGAGGACGACGCATACAGCGTCTTCCCATCAGCCGAAAGTTCGATTCCATGGTTCAACTAAACACTGGTATCAGATATATATTCAGAACTGAGGCTCAGTAGATCATATCGGGAATCGGGCCCGGATCGGCTCACCCCAGAAGCCACAATGATATCTTCCGCCTTGCCATCGGCTCTCACACATGCCCCAGAATCATTTGTCAGTCTCAAGCTTGAGATACCGTAGCCCTGCTGCACCACCAGCAGATGGCCACTGGAATCGAAAATGATGCCGCGAGGATCCTTGAGCCCCGATGCAACCACCTGGACGTTCCAACCGGTTGCAACAGACGGCAACGCGTTCTTCGGAGCAATCGTGCTCGCGCACGCTGCAGTGCTCGTCGCGGAGCTCTGACCACTGGAGGCCTGAACAATAAATAGAAGGGCCAGTAGGCTTTTAAGTCCTCCCATATTGAACCGTTGAAAACGCGGGGGGCGAGGAGGTGGCAGGGTACGGGAACTATCGCGACGAAGCGATGCGCAGGTACAAATTGACCTTGTAAAATGTTTCCGGGTGCCGTCTCTTCCCTTATTCCTTGTAGGAGAAATGGCGAGACGGTCTGACGATGCGAAACTAAAAAACTGGCAGCAGACAGAGGGCAAGTAGAACTGAAGCAAAAGCGGCAACGTCAGTCATGGAGGCTGAGCATTCTTGACCGTTTTTGCTTTGCGATCTGCTTAGGAAGGTGCGTCATTGTCCGAAGCATGCCGGCTTGCTAAACGCCTCGAGTTTCAAGCAAGAACAGCGGTGGCATTGGCACCAAGAAAACCCTGCGATCCGGTAAGTCTGGGGACATCTTGGGCGAGGTCGTTTCGACGCGTCCGACGCGAGATACGATAGCCGAAGGATGCAGATGTGTGCTGAGCACAAAAGTGAGGGGAGTGCAGCATGCAACGCGTGGAGAAATCTATGCACTCCGCGTTCGTGCATTTTATCGATAAATATGCTAGCAAAAGAAACATGCCCTGTGACTGGGAAAATCAATTGTGATTCAATTGATCGATTCTGCTATTCAATTCCACCATTGACGAGGATTGAAGTCGTCGAGAAGCTCTGGACTCCTCACATGCGAGCTTGTGAACACCTCGGTGGCAGGGAGGATTCCAGCCATCCGTCCATATAAGTAGCACGGATAACCATAAGAGAAGGGAACATCCTGCCCCGAGCCTGGGCATTTGTATTTCGGGTCAACTTTATTAAGGCACCACCGAAGAAAGCAAGGAAGATCCTGAAGTTCAAGTTAATAGCATCGTGAATAAGTGCAAGGGGCGGGTGAAAAACTCAACATCACATCACTAGCAGCACAGCAGCAGGGTCTCGCAATTTAAGATGTTCAAAGGTTTTGGTTTCATGGTAACAAGCAATGCAATGGCCCTCTAGGAGCAGCACCATCATTCAGCACAAGGACCACTAATGGAACCAACCCTTTTTGTACATGACCGATAGACAAACACATCCCGTCACGCTCGTGGCATGATGAACGCACGGCCTAGCCTTTCCAAGCATCAAAATCCGGTCAACAGCCCCAAAACTCCAATTACGCCTTCCTAATCAAGAGGAAATACTGTTGCATCCAACATGCCGGATCAAGGAGACATTGAAGGAATTCTTTTTGCCTGCACCCGTTCAAGAATCATCTGCGAAATCCACAACTGATGTATCCGATGCCAATGGAAGAAAAAAAGGAGATGCTAAATCCGCTCCAATGCAGGAATGCTATGGTAGCATAAGAAATACAGGACGGTGAAGTCAAGGTGTTGTTTGGTTGCCGCTCGAACGCAAATCCAGAAGAAAGAAAAGACCCAGAAGGAAACTTTTATCCGCCCGCCTTTTGCTGTTCTCGTGACTGGAATAGTTCCGGAGCGAAGACCAGTCCGCTCACGATGTTGCATTACATCGTAGCTGATGCGTCTACATGACTGTCATTAGTTTCATTTGTGTAGCTAGATCATTGTCCGCTTGAAATATCTTGCTGAATGGGGGGTCTTTTGGACTCGTACTTGGGCTGGGATAGAGACCCTCTGCTTCCCTCAACGCCTCCTTCACCTTGCGTGTCAGCGTACTGACATATGGAACGATACGTCGAAGGGTAGCAGTGTCGAATGGGACTTTCTTCGCGGCCGGCGTGAGTTGCACATCTGCGACAGGTTCATGTGTACTCCTCCGCTTTTGTAGCGCTTCTATCACAGAACGCGCTTTGGCTTCCGAGTCTTTTCGAGGCCGTGTCGTGGGAGATTTTGGATCTGATGGGGTAACAGGTGGTCCACGTTTCGTCGTCAAAGGGGTTGGAGAAGAATGAGGTCCAAAGATTCCATAATTCGGTGGAAGTATCGACTTTCTCCTTGGACGATTGGGCTGGTGGCTGGCGTGCGCGAGGTTAGTGCCAAGATCTTCGCTCGCTAAGAAACTTGACTTGCGTCTTCCTCGACCATGATTGGGGCTAGGACCAGACACGTCATCAAAAGCGTCCTCGTCGAATCCGGGAGAGGATGGTGGTGATAAGCGAGGGATACCGTCATGTTCCGCTTCTTGGTCTGCGAGATCTATCATCGCATCAACCTCTTCCCACATGCTGGCGTTTGGTCCTTCTAGTAAGCCAAGAGCGACAGCTCGTATTCTCTGCTCTTTCAGCTCCTCAATGAGCAAGCCCCACTCCCGGAGGAGACCGATGTTAGCAAGAACATTACTTTGCTGCTCTTGAATGTTCTTTGGTACGAACATTGCAGTACCGCTGTCAATTCGCTGAGACTCGGCTGCACCTTCCGCGGCGGGTTCTTCGTGAAGGTCGGAGAAATCGAAGTCATCGTTCCAATCCTCAGTTACGCCCTTGCTTCCCACACCCCAGGTGCCGAATTTGTTGGTGACCACTGTGCTACGTTTACCAGCAGCATCTGGGACAACAGGCACACTTTGGCTGCGAGCGTGCAACCCACTCGGAGCTCGACGACCAACTGATCGACTGCCTCTTCTGTCTGCATCCTTCTTCCCATGTACTGTCCGAGGACGTGGCGGTGTACGATTGCCCGAGCTTTTATCAGTTGGCTGTTGCTCTGACCAATCAAATATGCTGCTTCGCGCGTCCCTATCGCTGTGATCAACGAGAAGATGTTGTGGTGTCGATGGCTTTGGACTAGACCCAGAACCGAGCAGCCGCGGGTTGTGGCGTCCAAGAGAGACTGGTGTGGCGATGTGAGTGGCTGGCGGGGGATTTGGGAAATCACCGCACGAGTCCTCTTCCTCCTGTTCATCAAAGGACCATCTGCTAACATCGTCGTCTTCAGCTCTTGAGTCCCATTCCAGTGTCCCTAGGGATAGTGGCTTTGGCATATCCGGAGGCGACGATGGGATCAGGTTTGGAAACAGAGGAGCAACGTGCGATCGTGGGAGGCTTGGTGAATCGTTGATTGCTCTCTCCGGTGCCATTGTCCGGACAGGTGTTGAGATGCTTTCCTCCTCCTCTGCAATGGCCTGGTGCCCGGGAGCACCATCCGCCGTTTGCTCCCGGAAGGTTCCTTTGGGAAGAAGATCTCGCAGACCTGTGACCTTTATTTTCGAAGGGGGGGACTCGTCAAATATCGTCTCAATGCGTGGGCCTCGGGCGCCAGATGTACTTCTTGTTGCGCCAGTGCGCAACGAATCAAATACGGTCTCACTTTGGAGATCCGCGTCGTCCTCATCGCCAGATCCAACACCACGAGCCTCGTTATCTGATCCGACCAATGTGGACGCTTGTTCGGACGGGGTCACCGAATGACGGGACGGGCGCCCTCCCGCTTGGGGAATGGTTGGTGAGGGAGGGATGTGATTGGTGCTAAGCGAGGCCGACGGCTTAATGTCGCTTTGATGCATTGACACCGGAGTACTGTGAGCCATTTCAACGGTGCGATGTGAGGGTAATGCTGGCAATGGTGAAGAAGAGGAAAGATCAAGCAGTCCATTTCGTGAATTGCTCCGTTGGGGTTGTCCGGCGGAGGTTGAAATCTCTCGTCGAGTAAGGATGGGGTCGGTTAAATCTCGCCGCGCATGGAATGCATTAGATTCTCCATGTGCGGTATTGCTCTGCCTGTTGCTCATCGTATGAAGTGGAGCAGAACTCACCCTCCTGCTTGACTTGCGTGCTAGTTTCGTTCCGGGGACCTTCGTCGTTCGCTGCTTTGGTGAAAGGAAGTCACTGATGGAGAAGGAGCGTCGGGGTCGAGGCTCATCGTCGACTTCTGCGGGCGGGCCGTGCTTTGAGAGCACGTTCTCGACTGAACTGGGTCCATCGGCTTTGGCCGATATGACGGCGGTGATGCTCATCGGTGTCCCAGGTCGACTCACGAAATACACGCTTTCACCAGCCTCGCTAGAGCTGTCATCAATCTCGTCGGCGCCAGCTGTTACCGATTTTGCTAATAATAAGGTCGGTTTGTGTTTGTCGTTGGGGGCAATCCTCTTCACGCTCTTGCCATTCACGGTCGACCCTTTTCTCTTAGATAACGTCTTCTCTTTTGATACCTTGGCGGTAAAAAATTGGGTATACTGAACATCATCTTTCCTACCCACAAGGGCTGGCTCGTCTGTGGACGAATTCTCTACAGTCATTTCCATGAGGGCAGCGTGGTGTTGCATCGTGGCAGATCTCTGATGACTTGTGGCTGGGCGGCGAAGGGAAGGGAGAAGTGAGCCGGAACTTGGGGTAGGAGTCTCCCGAGGGATACGGACCGACGACGACCGTTTGACGAGCTTGTTGGGGGGCATTGGCGACGGTGATCGCTTGCCTACCATGGGAGCAGTGGAACCATCATGAGAGAAAGCCATCGAGCCATTGGAGCACGAGACTGAGGGTGAGAGTGGGCCAGGGCTCGAGTTTCGACTCGAATTTTGGGATGTCGAGATTGTTGACAGGCGCTTCAGCCAAGACGGACGCGATGATAGACTTGCCCCGTGGTCTATATCCATCATGCCCCAGTCGCCAGAAGGGGGCCTGCCATTGACCACAATGCTGTGCGATTGGAAAGACGTGTTGTCGCTCGTCATCCTCCGTACTATTCGTCGTTGCGGGCGTCCATCATGACTATAGCGGGTCGCAACCGGGACGCGGGACGAGGCAGGGCGCGGTATCGGGGAGCTAAAGGACTGGGCCGAGTTTATGGTCGACGACGTATGTACAGCTGAGTGCATTGGACGCTGGTCCAACTCTCGTGCTGAGGTGGCTTTCCTCTTGTTTGAAGCGTGGTCGAGGGGGTTCTCGCGACCAAATGACAGACCAACCGCAGATGCACCAACGACAGTGGCAGTGGCACAAAGCTGTGGAACGGTGATGCGTCAGTCATTGCACCCGGTGAGACTTAGATGAGAGATATATTGAACCGAGATAGGCAAAGACGCCCGCCGCTCTCGAAAGGAGAGCGGCGAGGCGTCGAAGCCGCTCAAAACAATAAAAAGGCCGGTCAGGATGCGGCCGCCATGCACAGGAGAAGGAGGAGATGAAGGGGATTACCGTTGGAACAGTTTTCATTCTCAATTACAGGACAAGCCGCCAAAAAGGCTCACTCGACGAAGCACTCGTGACAGCGCGGTGGGCATTATGGCATGTCGAGGAGACAGTATACCATGGGTCGAGGGCTGCAAGGTGGGAGACGGGCAGCGCCGGGGGCTCAATCAAAGCGACCAGATGGACTACTGCATCACAAAGCAGGCGAGGGGAAGTGGAGAGGGCACCTGTAGCGGGCTGTGGCAGAAGTAGTGGAGGAAGAGGCGGAGGGGAGGAGAAGAAATCCGTCGCTGGCCCTTCGTCCTTCGAGACTTGGTGCTGCTGGGATCGACATACAGGGCTTCCCAGCACACCAGCTTGGGCTTAGCGAGATTCGCAGCCGATGAATTGGTTTGGCGTAATGTCAAAACAACAAACCCACATGCACCGAGCCCTCACCACGGCTCTCCCAATTGATCTCTGCATTGAATCCGCTGCTGCCTTGCTGGCCACGCTGCAGCAATCTGCACTGGGACGGCCACAGCGTGGTGTACTGCGAGCGTCCTGAGAGTCTAGGCCAGCTGCAGTAATCGGTACCACGTAACAAACTACGACTCTGTTTGAAATGGCGCCGCCGAGTAACAATCAACAATCATGGACGCAAGAGGCGAGCTAAAGATCCCTCGTCGCTGCCAGTGCTTGCAACCCAAAATAGTCTACCAGAGCGCGGCGGCACGGCACTTTGCCGGGCAAGCTGGTGATTCGCTTTGGCCATCCAGACGAGGATCGAACTGCTCGCGACTCCCATGCAGCGAGGTGGAGATTGTTTGTTGATCACGGCCGCAGAATCAGCCGGTCATCACCGGGCGCGGAGCGCGTGTGTTTTGCAGCATTTACCGCCGCCTCCGGGGCCTTTTCTTTTAGGCATCTCTGCCTTTAGTAATGCTGCAATCTGCAATCATCCTCAAACATTTGACGGGAGCAGCGTGGAGGGATTCTCGTCAATTCTGCCCAAGATACGGACGCCACTCACCAATGGCAGAACTGGAAGTACATTTCCTCGCCCAGCACCCTGGCCGGCCGAAACAGCGAGCACGTCAGCCCCAGAGACGGCGGAGAAGACATTGGGACAGAGCGGGACAGGGGAGGAGGGGTTTGTCGGGACTCGGAAGGCCAGGCCAGTAAGGGCCAGTAAACTCTCACACTGGAAACGGATGGCGAGTCCCTTCAGCCATGCGGCGACGGCGGTGTGGTTGAGATGTCGCCGTCCGCGGTTTTGATATCCTGCTAGCTTGGGCATGTCAAACCTGTGCCGCCAGCCAAGTTGAGCTGCATCCGATGTCGAGCAGAGCGAAACCCGAGCAGTCTGGTGGCCCAGGCGGTGAGCTGGTGGTTTGAGTTTCATTCCTTTTCGCAGCTCCAGGCCGCACAGAGGCTGTTGGACAGGCGCTCTGCACGCTGGATGAGGCGATGATGATGTTCGGCGGAGACACAAGGCGCGGCCGCAGATGCGTGCTGCCGGGAATCCTGGAGACAATCGTAGTCCATCGCACGGCGCTTATCCGTGTTCGGGAAGAGGGCGGTTCTAGCGCGTCTTCCACCCCAGCCTCTTAGATGCAGGCGTTGATGACGGCCAGCTCGAACGCGTCGAGACGTCCGGATTGGCAGTTGCGCGTTGGCGGCGGTGATTGGCCCCGAGATCCTCCTGGGAGCGAAACCGCGACAATGAACATTGCAAAGGCCTTCCTCGACGAGATTCTAGCGCTTTCATCTTGGGCGGCTGCGGTGCTACCGAGTGCACACTCAGGTAAACGCCCAACCACCGCCGCACCACGCCGCAAAGGAGGCTGCATCGGGGCGGCAAGCGGCCAAGTGCGGTGCTTAAGCAACCTCGGAGGCGATCGCGGTGCGCCACACATCAAAATTGCCTCCAAGCGAGAGCGACTCGTGGGACAAGCAAGGCACTATCCACGCTGCCCGTCCACCACAGCCAGCGCGATGGAAGCTGAAATCAGAGCTCAAATCCCTAACATCGACCCCATCCTGTCTGACTACTCGGTCGGCTACCTGACCCATGCCTCCAATGCATTCACGTCCGACTTGGACCCCAATGCCCCTTCTCCACTTGAGGAAGCCGCCGCAACCGTGGCTGCCCTGCTCCTGTCCGCTTCGGGTGACCTATCCAGCCAGAATGAAACAAACATCCAGAATCTCGTCGACAAGTTCATCTCCCGTTTGAATGCAGCAAATGGAAGTGATGGCAAGCGCCGCCAGATGGCCCCGTCGGCCAAAAAGCTGGATCAGGCAATCCATGTAGGCTCGCAGAGGAATATATCCTCGACCCTCGGTCTGACCGGCGGCGGTGTTGATCTCGAGTCCGCAAACACTCGCAAAGTCGAGTCTCGAGTCGACCGCAAGAAGCTCGAGAAAGCCGAACGCAAGCTGCGTGCCAAGCAAGACCGCAAGGTGTTCAAGAACGTCGAGTATGAGGCCTCGAGACTACTCAACCAGCCCGATGAGACGCAGAGCTATGAAGAGTTCTACATGGCCGTCAACCCTCTACAGCTAGGCTCTGACTCTAGCTCTAAGAGCAAAGACATTAAGATTGATAGCTTCGACATCTCCATTGCCGGAAAAAGGATATTGACTGATACTGGCCTGACCCTAGCATATAGCCGTCGATACGGTCTCGTAGGTCAGAACGGTATTGGTAAATCTACGTTGCTTAGGGCTCTCAGTCGCCGAGAAGTTGCAATCCCTACCCACATTTCGATTCTACATGTGGATCAGGAGGTGAGTCAGCCGGAGAAAGTCCTTCAAAGGCGCGTCTGTTGACCAGATTTCAGATTACCGGAGATGATACCCCGGCTCTCCAAGCAGTCCTTGATGCCGATGTTTGGCGCAAGCATCTCCTAAAGGAACAAGACGTAGGTTCAATAATTCCGAAAACGAACCCAGCCTAATTACTTACAGAAAATCACCAAAGAGCTGGCGGAGCTCGAGACCGAGCGATCCACTATGGCGGATACGTCTGCAGATGCCGCGAAGCTGGATGCGCAACGTGAGGGCTTGGATGTCACCCTCAGCGACATCCACGCTAAGTTGTCCGAGATGGAATCTGATAAGGCTGAATCTCGGGCAGCCAGCATTCTTGCCGGTCTAGGTTTCTCGGCTGAGCGGCAGCAGTTTGCCACGAAGACGTTCTCTGGTGGATGGAGAATGAGATTGGCTTTGGCAAGAGCCTTGTTTTGTGAACCTGACTTACTCTTGCTCGATGGTATGTGATTTGACGTCTTTGCTAGATTCGACTAACGTGTGACAGAACCGTCCAATATGTTGGACGTCCCATCCATTACATTCTTGTCTAACTACCTCCAAGGCTACCCTAGCACTGTTTTAGTCGTCTCTCACGACAGGGCTTTCCTTAACGAGGTTGCTACAGACATTATACACCAACACTCGGAGCGGCTAGACTACTACAAGGGTGCCAACTTTGGTGAGTGGTTGAATAGCTACGAACTTCAGATCGTGCCTGATATGCATAGACTCCTTCTACGCGACGAAAGAGGAACGTCGGAAGACGGCGAAGCGGGAATACGAGAATCAAATGGCCCAACGCGCGCATCTACAAGGTTAGTTCATCGAAAATCGCATCTCCATATTGTGGCTGACTTAGTGATCAGCCTTTATCGATAAATTTAGGTACAATGCCGCAAAGTCATCTGAAGCTCAGTCTAGGATTAAGAAGCTCGAGAAAATGCCGATTTTGCAGGCGCCGGAGGCTGAGTACAGTGTGCACTTCAAGTTTCCAGAAGTGGAAAAGCTGTCTCCCCCTATCATTCAGATGAGCAATGTTTCGTTCGGCTATAGCAAGGACAATATATTGCTCAAGGGGGTGGATCTCGACGTCCAGCTCGATTCACGTATCGGTATCGTTGGCCCGAACGGTGCTGGTAAGACGACGGCATTAAAGCTTCTCATCGGCGCCCTCCAACCTACGTCCGGCCTGATATCCCAGAACCCTCGTCTTAGGATGGGATTCTTTGCACAACACCATGTCGATGCGCTAGACTTAAACGCAAGCGCGGTGGGTTTCATGGCCAAGGAATTTCCGGGGAAGTCGGACGAGGAGTACCGCCGCCACCTAGGAGCATTTGGTATCACGGGGATGACGGGACTGCAGAAGATGGAACTCTTATCCGGAGGTCAAAAGTCTCGTGTTGCATTTGCATGTTTGTCCCTAACGAACCCTCACATCCTTGTCCTCGACGAACCGTCGAATCACTTGGATATCGAAGCGATGGACGCGCTCTCTGAAGCGCTGCAGAAGTTCCAGGGCGGAGTTCTCATGGTCAGTCACGACGTCACTATGCTGCAGAACGTTTGCACGAGCTTGTGGGTGTGCGACCACGGTACGATCGAACACTTCGACGGCACGGTGAAGGATTACAAGCGCAGAATCACCGCTCAAGCAAATGAAGCGGGCGTTGTGCAGAAGCACTGAGGGGTAGTGGCAGCGGGAATTGGGCAGATAGCGGGCTTACCGATCAAACAGGGCTTTCGTTGATATTGCTGTACAACTGTGACTGGGCCCATGTTATGCGTTGAGATGTGTTCGGAGGCATTCACACGCCAAGAATTGTAGAGCCGGGCTGCTCGCGACATGCTGTCTTGCCCTTCGGCTGTACGGGGATATCCTCTGGTGATGTGAATATGCTTCGGTGTGCTATTCCCCGACCGCGGTCAGGTGAAGGCAGTGAAAGTCTGGTGATGATAGCACGGTGGGAAATGTTGCCTGCAGGTTCGGTATGCGACTGCCCGCTAGTCCCAGAACGCTTGGACGCAGATGCTTGTCTAGCCCAGCCTCAAGCACTACCAACTTACTTCAGCACCTCATCACACGCCTGAGATCGCCAACATCACCACCTCGCCCGCAAGCAAACACGCCCGCCCGTCCATTGCTGATACTCCAATGCTCTCGGCCCGCTCGTGACCTGCCAGCGCCCACGTTCAATTGACCTGAACTGCTAGCGCTGCCCCCCTTCATCCAGCTGCTCCTTCCCAACCAGGTCTCACACACAACCGTCACCTTGTCGCGGACGCAGGCTTCCAGTGCAAACGGCTTGTCCGTCCCAGTCGCTCCTTTGTCTCCCCACGCCAACCATCGCGACGACGACTCCCGCCCGCCTTACTCCGTCACCGCGCCCACCGCCGACCACGCAGTGCTGACAACTGCCGGCGAATCACCGTACCCCCCTCCCTTCTCCTCCCTCTACTTCTCCCCTGACGACCCTGCCGAGGACCCAAACAAGGCTTGCGATACCGCCTCGCCAGACGAGTCTCCTCCGGCGTTTGCCCCTGCACCCCCGTTTACCGAGTCTTCATCCTCCGCTGCCGCTGCCGCCGTTGCTGAAACCAAGGCTGCCCTCCCGCGCGACACCAAGGAAGGATCTAGCAGTAAGGATATCGACGACGGAGAGCCGCCGCCACCATACAGCGAAGGATCAAGCCCGCTCGAATCGTTCACATACGTCATGGCATCTGCAGGAGGCCCCGCAAGTATTATCACCCAGGTCTCACAACAGAGCGGCGGACCGCCAATAAACACCCTCGGGGGCTCTGACGAGAACATCACGTTGGAACTAAGGTAGACAAATTATAGTTGTATCGGCGTAGAGTGCAAGGACTAACAACATATGCAGGGGAACTCGATTCACCCTCTCCCGAGACGAACTTCTGACCTTGCCTGAATTCGTACTCTTATCTCTATTTCCTAATGGCCTTCTTCCAGACGGCCATATGAACTCGTACCACGATGGTGATGTGTACCCAGTCGATGTTTGTGCCCCCGATCTCTCCTCCCCTGCCCCTGGCAATATGCGCGCCAATTCCATTCAAATGATCCTCTACCACCTCTCCAACCCTGCATTATATCTATCTGACAATATCTATTCCTCTCAGTACGACCCTCAATCGCTCCAATACATGCTGGAGTTCTTCCGAAATGTAGCCCAAACCATTCCTACCTCGCCCCCGTCCCCAGCCGCAACCCCAGATCATCCTGCCGAAGCGGTACCGATCGAACCAATGCACGGCTCCGCGAGAGACATGCTGCAGGACAGAGCTGGCATAATCGTCCTCCGGGAAGATCTCGACTTCTATGCCATCCCCCCGCGCCGCGATATCGACCAGCCGGAAATGATCGAGGTCAAGCGAGCTGCTGGCGAAGCGTTGTTGAAGCAGGATGGAATCTTCTCGGGGTTGCGCAAGAGTGAGGAACCGGGCACCACTGAGCAGCACCTCATCGAGATGTTGACCGCGGGGTACGAATACTCATTTCCATTTTCTCTACTCCCATGCTGATACCTTGTGCGTAGCGGTTTCAATCACGATGATCGGTGGGGACACCGAGCCGGCGAGCCCAACAAGGCCGTGATTTGTAGCATTGCATTAGCAAGGCTGAGGACCGACATCAAAGGCAATGACCTTGCGAACAGCAACGCTGTCGGAATGGCCCAGAAGCTTCTTCTCTTCTGGAGAAAACCAGCTCGACGATGCTGGTGGGAAGGCGTTGAACTTGAAAACGTGAAAGGCGTGGAAGGGGGGAAACTGAAAGTTTGGATTCGACGAGTCTGGACGCTCGAAATGGTAAGCACTATGTTCACTTATTCAAATGAAGCGTGGCTGATATCTAAATTAGAGCGTCATCGGGTTACGTTAACCGGTACATTCACATTTCCTTTGTCACCAGCGCGTCTTTTTCAACAAACTCCATATTCCGCATTCTCTTCATCGACAGCTACACAGGCCATCACCATGTCATTCTTGTCATTTTCCCCTGTATCTTGGAAACAAAAGCCAGGCTCTAAGGGTTCTAGGATGATGAGCGAGTTTCTTCTTCTTTCTGTTTTTGATACCTCATCTCTTCCCTGTGCTGGATGGATGTTTCGAACCCCTGACTACCAAAGGCAAACGCCCGGTTTTCAATTGCAAGCGGCATTATCATCATGGACGGCGATTATCCAGCAAAGACTGTTTGATTCTGGAAGAGATTTGTTATAAAGAAGGGTACGGTGGTAGTAGTACATAATTCTGTTGTGCAGTAGACTGAACATATCCTCATGGCTTGTAGGGCTGTAATACTTGTCGAGCAGTCCTTGGCCGTGGTTATTTTTACTCGATATCTTTCTTCACCCTTGGTTTGTGTCTCTGGGCTCACGGAGCAACATTACAAATTGTGCAATGCAGTACGTCCTCCAACATACGATGTTCTCAGACCACCTCTCTTCCTTTTCCTTACTCCAAGCCACACACCTGCAAGCCTACCCGAATTCTCCACCGGCCCTCGTATTCTTACCACGTTGCATGTTGCATGTTGCACGGCGCGGCGAGCCGCATGCAGATCCGCAAGTCTATGTCGGCAACGAACGTTTTCGAACATGCAGTCTCTGAATTTTCTAAAACATGGTATTAGACCCACCTGCATGTAGCAGGATTTAAAAGCAGTATTGACGCCATGCGAGCGGGCCCTGAGCCAGGGTTAGCATAGGTTAGATGTAAGGGTTGCGGGGATTTAGGGTTGGGATTGGGGTGGGAGGTTTAGGGGAGATGGACTTGGGTATATGGAGAGTAAATTGTAGATGGAGTGTAAGGAAGCAGGTAGAAGGAAGAGACTTTATCATCATCACCCATCTCGAAGTTCCGCCTAGCTCCAGAAACAATACTAATGGTAAGTTCGGCAAAGTTTGGGAACTATGGTCTCCAGTACTGTCTTGTGGGGCTTGGCACCCCTGCGGACTCGAGCTTTTCTAGACTTTTCCTGCACTCACACAATTGTCTGCCAAATGAATACATCATTAAAATTGAGTATTTGAGACTCTTTCTTTATATTCCAAGATACTAGGTAATATGCACATAATCCAGTTAGGAACAGATATCGAGCCGACCTTCAGATTACTAAGAGGACCAATGACGATTGGACCAGTGTGTATATGTACAGTATAGGGATTCTCAGCATGAAACGAAGAGTAGCCCGTCGTCCGAGCCTCCAGCAGGCTTCTCGAGTCAAGTCATCAAGCAACCTCATTAACAACGGGTTGAAACAAGATTTACAAAAGTGGGGGTGCTTAATATGCGACACGAACACAGCAGTTGATCTTTTCTGGTATGCATGGCATATTCTGAAGATATTTTATGCATGGCTCATGGCCATGTTCCTACGCTCCGAACAAACTATTCACTCCGTGAAGGAAAATATAGGCCAGCTCAGAACTTCCGTATGCAATGATATGAGCTCTAAGAAGCTTGCAGAGAACAAACGCTACAAACAAGCCGAGAAATAATTCCAAGGGATGAAGGCGGTGATCGAGAATGGCAATACTGCATAGGTCGGGTGGATATGTGAAGATTGGGAGGTGCTGGGTACTTCCCTAATATTTCGTTCAAGGCGCTTGCTGAGCAATGAAATGCGTCTAGAAAATTAAGGAAGAGGCCTCGTGTCATGGTCCATCTTGAAGGCATGGTGCTCCCTTGAGATGATTCATTCATGCGTCAGATCTATCAATCTGCTCACCAAAATTAGTGACCGACAGCGGGGCACAAAAGTATTGTATGTTGGAGAGCTCAGATTATACAACTTCAGTCTGCTGACAATTCATACCGGCACCCAAATTCTACGCCGGAGTCCGAAATGCGCAAGGACCAGTGATTCCGAGCGTTGACATCTGGTCGCTTTGCTGTGTGTTCTCCATGTCAAGAAGTTGGTTGGTTGGTGTTCGGCTTTCAAGGCATATATCAATACTAAACTGTACGACAGAAGCTTATAGAAGCCATTATGAGCGAGATAGCAAGAGACCCATGGAAACGCAAGATTGTAGGTGGAGACTTGCTCCATGATGAAGAGGGTGTAATTGATGTAGTGAAGCAGTGGCATCAACGTCTTCGAATCACAACACGCCAAACAGGTCACATCACGAAGGATCTCTTGACATTCATCAAAGCCAAATTTTATTGGCAAAATGCCGAATATCTGTTGTAAGTCTTTCCCAAGTATTGCAGGACATTCTCACGAGGAGCACGGGACAAGCAACTCCACCCGAAACAGGCAATTTTGATTACCACATTACTAGAGATCGATGAAGTCGCCCCAGGGCTTCCAACGGGCCGTACTACGGTCCGTACAAAGTGAACCGTAACGGTCACGTGTTCAGTACGAACGTACCGAGTTCGTGAGCCGTACTGTACGTTTAATGATGCCCTAGGTACGGTACGTAGTACAGATTGTATTACCCTTTTAGGAAGTTTGTATAGGGGTTCTAGAGGGGTATGAGGGCTCTGGCGAGCAGGAGGCCTGCGGACGCTTAAATCTCTTTCTAAGGGTTTTAATCTATCCATCTGTCTGTTGTCTTAAAAATGCCTATTACAGACCATTTTCTATTGCAGAGTTATCTATCCACGCCTCTTGCAGCCTTACATGCCTCATCTAGTCCTATCTGCTCTTGTTACTAGGGAGAACTAGTTAATTAGACCTTAATCTTGCGTCTCTAGAGACCTATAGTCTTAGCTGTTTTAACTAGAGTACGGCGTACTTTAATTAAATTGTACTACTCGTACAGATCACGTGAGCCGTAACAGTTACGATACGTACACCTACCTCTCCTCCTCCCTGTCGTACGAACGCACACAAAATCTCACCCGTACAGGCCTCAAAATCGCCCAATCGTACAGTACTACGCCTCGTTGGAAGCCCTGGCCACACCAGCGGTAGTAAGCTTGTATGGCCGCCAAAAGCCTTACCCGTAGAAGGGTAAAATATGGCCAAATTTGAACCAACTACGGCTACGTTACGTCTGAAAATCTACTACGCTACTTATAGGACCTAGACAGTACTGCGTCGGAAAGTACTGAGCGTACTACGGCCCGTTTAGCACGCTGAACTTATCATTACCGGAACTTCGGAAGCACTTGACCTTTTTTAGGCGTTGATGCCTTGAGTCTGAGCTACTGACCCGCGTCCGACATAGATGGTGTCTCCATATCTTCAATCTATGTCGTCTATGCACTGTATGTAAAAAACTGTAAACTATGTTTGCGCATTCAGTTTAGCTAACAGAGAGTTGTTCGAATTAAAAAGAGAACGCAAGTTCACGGGAGAGAGCAATGCCTTATATATTCATATCAGGGTTAATGGCTCAGAATCACTCAGAGATCCACGAATGCTTAGACTATCTCAATTAAGGTAAAGAAACCAGTCCACCTATATGGTATGACTCTTCCACATTGCTCTTTAATTCAACCTCGGTGTAGTCAGTCCACCGTTGTAGATACAGATCAACTTTGAATATTTTACTCCTAAACTTAGCTAATTTGTAGGTTCCTTAGTATAAAGAGCAGTTATTTCTAGACTCAGAAGCGCTCATGAGCGCCTCCCTCAGCTAACCCGACTTCGAGGTCCGCCTGGGCAATGGGATAGAAATGATTCTAAATTTAGACTACAGAGACCTTGGAAGTGTGCGCAATCTACGGTATCGCCAGTATACTAACTATTTCTAAGGCGGCATTCCTGTTCGAGGTCTACGGAGAATCTATTATAGTGTCCGCTGTTGAAAAGCTCTTAATCCTCTGGCCTCTCCAGTTCAAATGGATGGGCATATGACGAAACAATCCGGTCTTACAATGGGTAATCATGCATTGGTTCCTATTGTCGTAGTTTTCTTGTTACTACTTGCCAGTGCTGTAGGGGTGGTGTTGCAGTAGGAATCCTGGGAAAAGTCTTCTAAGCGAAAGTACGAGGCGCTCTCCATAATTGGAAAATCATTAGCTTTCGGGAGCCATAGTGTTTCTTCTGATACCCCAGATAAATGACGGCCAATGCCGATTAGCCCGGCGCAAGTAGACGGATCTCAGGAACGAACGACAGCGAAATTCGCCGAACCAACAGGGTCCTCCATCCGAATACGGAGCCCGCAGATGAGAGCTTCGGGATGATCTTGAAATAGAATTGGAGATGTGAAGACTCCAAACGACATGTTTCTTTTGTTTAGGACTTGCCATTACGAGGTTGTCTGACTGCCGTTGAATGGCTGGAGTGATGCAGATTGTCCCAACAGTCAGACATCAAAGGAAGCGGTGAAAGAGCCAATCGCAAAACGGAAGCTGGACCGTGCATCGGAGTTTGAGGTGGCGGGGCAGAAAACCCAACCCTTCAAATAATTGCCGACGTCCGTTGCAGACCTTGACCTTCCTCATCCATTCCCCCTCCCTCACCTTTTTTCCCTTCTCCTCCAGACCACCCCAGAATACCTAATTCCCAGCTCCCCTGAAATCCTCACCCGCCAATATGTCTGCCCCCGCACACAAGTTCAAGGTTGCTGACATTAGCCTTGCGGCGTTCGGCCGTCGTGAGATTGATTTGGCCGAGAATGAGATGCCTGGTCTGATGGCTACGCGTGAGAAGTACGCACAGGAGCAGCCATTAAAGGGAGCACGCATCGCCGGATGTCTGCACATGAGTACGTCTGTCCCAGCAAGTCCCGTGACAGCGACTAACCCGACTCTCAGCCATTCAGACAGCCGTCCTGATCGAGACGCTGAAATCACTCGGTGCCGAGCTGACCTGGACGAGCTGCAACATCTTCTCCACTCAGGATCATGCTGCTGCTGCCATTGCCGCTTCTGGTGTCCCGGTCTTTGCCTGGAAGGGTGAGACCGAGGAGGAATATAACTGGTGCTTGGAGCAGCAGCTCACCGCCTTCAAGGACGGCAAGAGCCTCAATCTGATCCTTGACGACGGTGGCGACCTTACCGCGCTCGTTCACAAGAAGTACCCAGAGATGCTCAAGGACTGCTATGGTGTGTCAGAAGAGACCACCACGGGCGTCCATCATCTCTACCGAATGCTCAAGAACAAAGAGCATGGTCTTCTAGTGCCAGCGATCAATGTCAACGACTCCGTCACCAAGTCCAAGTTCGACAACTTGTACGGGTGTCGAGAGTCGCTCGTCGATGGTATCAAGCGTGCTACCGATGTTATGATTGCTGGCAAGGTCGCTGTCGTTGCGGGTTACGGCGACGTCGGCAAGGGCTGCGCTCAGGCTCTCCACAGCATGGGTGCCCGCGTCATTGTCACTGAGGTCGATCCCATCAATGCTCTTCAGGCCGCCGTGTCCGGTTTCCAGGTCACCACTATGGAGGAGGCCGCTCCTCAGGGTCAGATCTTCGTGACAACGACTGGCTGCCGTGATATTCTTACCGGTGCCCACTTCGAAGTCATGCCCAATGATGCAATCGTCTGTAGTAAGTTTACTGAAATCTTCTGGCAAGGTGTATGCTGACTTTGCTAGACATCGGTCACTTTGATATCGAAATCGACGTTGCATGGTTGAAGGCCAACGCCCAGTCGGTCCAGAACATCAAGCCCCAAGTCGACCGTTTCCTCATGAAGAACGGCCGCCATATTATTCTCCTCGCCGAAGGCCGTCTCGTTAACCTAGGATGTGCCACCGGCCACTCTTCCTTCGTCATGTCCTGCTCCTTTACCAACCAAGTCCTTGCCCAGATCATGCTGTACAAGGCCGGTGACGAGGAGTTCGGCAACAAGTACATCGAGTTTGGCAAGACCGGAAAGCTCGATATTGGCGTTTACGTACTTCCCAAGATCCTCGACGAGCAAGTCGCGCTGCTGCATCTCGACCACGTCAACGCCAAGCTCTCTAAGCTCACTGAGGTCCAGGCCGAATACCTCGGCCTGCCCCGGGAAGGTCCTTTCAAGAGCGATATCTACCGCTACTAGATTTCTTTTTCTTTCTGTGTATTGGGTCCGGCAGGTTTCAACACGACGTTATGAATTGGGATGATACCACTTCCAAAAAGTTGATTTGTCTTCAACGGCATATTCAGGGAGCATTTAAAAGATGGTGTGTGGGTTTTTTCTCTGGTCGGTTCGATCTAAAAGGCGTTGCTAGCATTGTCACCCTCCTTGACCCTTCAACCTTGGTCAAGCATATTCAGTGTTTCTTGTAAGAGTGCGATTTATATGGGGATATTAGGGGAGTTCAACGATTGAAGTGAGTGGAGGCTGCTGCATTTGATTGCGCAGAACAGAGCGGCTACGTATATAAGTAGTAATAGCTCGTCCGTACACGGCGGGGTGAGGAATACATGAGTGGCGGGTTCCACACCTGCCCTGTGAATCATACATGTAGCTCATATGATGGGATGGAACGATCCAATTTCACAGCGAAATATCCTCTCAACGTTCTCCTCAACTCTAGCTAGAGGATTAAAATGTCATATGCGCCCTGGTCATGTTCTATGTTATGCAATAGTATGCTGTATTCATAGTTTATACTTCTTTTCGTAAGACCTCCCTTGCTTCTCCATCCTAATCCCCTAATCCACCAACCCAACACTACTCATTCCTCATTCCCCTCCCGGCAACCCTCCCTTCTTCAACCACTCCCCCAAAATCCCATTAAACCTCTCATGTTCAACCATATGCGCAAACGTCCCCCCACCTAGCACCCACACTTCGTCAACTCCCTCCCTAACCCCCAACTCCCTCTCCCACGCCTCCGCCCCCGGAATTGCCTCTGTACAAACTACTAACCTCGGTACCGTCCTCTTCTGCATAAACGCCTTACACGCTTCCGTCTGCCCCATCACACTGTCAAAAATATCGACGATCCCATCAACACATCCAACCAACATCTCTGGTTCGCAACCTAGCACGCGCCGGATTTGCCATGTTTTAAGCCATGATGGGGTTTGGGGCGTGTACATTAATTTGGAGAAGAAATCTGCTGCAAGGACAGGAATTTGGGCCGGGGATGAAGAGGAGAGAGAGCGCATGCGGGCGGCCATGAGGGGGAGTGCGGGGGGCACGCCGCTGTAAATGGGGTGGGCGAGGATGAGGGCGCGGATGAGGGTGGGGTGGGAGATTGTAAGGAGGGAGGCAATCACTGTGCCCATGGAGTGGGCAATTAGGATTACGGGGCCGGTGGATAGGTGGGTGAGCAGGCTAGCAGCGTCAGAGGCTAGGGCTGAGAGGCTGTATCCTGAGGAAGAGGGAGGGGGAGGGGAAGAGTTGAGTTCTGATGAAGGTGATGATGGGGGTGATGGTGAGGTGGATCGGCCGTGACCTCGGTGGTCCATGGCAATGACGCGGTATCCGAGGGAAATAAGGAAGGGGATTTGGTAGCTCCAGTCGTGCGAGTCGCAGGCCCAGCCATGGAGGAAGAGGACGGGTGGTCCAGTCCCTTCTGAGTCGGTGTAGAAGAGGGAAACGTCGGAGTTTTTGTGGAATGGCATGGTGATGTAGCGTAGTCTACAATTTGGGGGGGGGGTGGTGTGGTGTGGTTTTGAGAAAGGTTTAGGGGCTGGTTGGTGGTGGTTAACGGTATTGTTGATATATCAATAAAGCTATGGCAAGTGCGGGGTGGATTCATGTGGGGACATGCTCGTATCCTGCAGGTATGTGGCTCCGGATTTTTACAATTAAGAGGATCTGTATGCACAAGGTTGTTAGAACGTGCAAACATGATTGGTCAATTAGGAGTAAAAATGCTAAAGACAGCTTGATAAAGATGACTGGCTCCTGGAGGGTTATGTGAACACCACAACCATTACTGCGCACATAAATCGTGCTACAGTATGTTAGCACCAACACGGAATATTAGCAGAGAGGATATGAATCCATTGGCTTCTGGCTAGGTCTAGGGAGAGGAACATGAGGATGTAGCTTTCTGTGAGAATTTAGATCCTTATCATGTTCTGTAGTATGCGCCAATATGCCCTTATTCTCATACCCTACCTCATGTCTCTAGCTATTCTGGCTCATCTTTCTATATCTATAGTTCGTGCAACACTGGGAATGACTTCATGATTTGACCCTCTAATTCGAGCTCCGCATTCTTGACAGGGTGCTTACTCCATTGGCTTGCCGCATTCGCCGATAGCGAACTGGATAAATGTCAATCGGTAGCTTTTACTAGGTTGAGGAATTTGGTGGGAGAGGATGGTTTCTTAAGGGATGGATGAAGGTGTCTAGTAGAGATAGAGGAAGAAGGTAGTAAGCGTACAAGGCTTAATACTCACCGGATGCCTATTTTTATAATTATACCAATGCCCCATATGCGTCGCGACCCCCCTAGTCTCACTCACCATTGCCTGCTTGATAGCAGCGAGTCTTTTTAAGAGAAACTGCTTCATACCACTCCGGCGGCCCTCTTTCGTGAGGCTGTGATCTATTCTCGTCTGTGTTCCTGCCGCTGACGCTAAAGAACAAGTGCTGTATTTAGCCTTTATGCATCGTTACAAAGGAGAGGAGAATACCGTCAGCAAGCTGCTTTAATTCCTCCCACGAGTTGCGTATCTCTGAGGCTGGTTTCTTTTGTGAAGGGCAAAGCTGCTGAAACGATATGTTCATTTCCAAACCTCGCCTACTATCAAACGAGACGTGGCTAATATAAGCGTGTGAGGATCATGGACATCCCGGAAATCTCCAAATTTTAATTTGGGGTTCCAGAGACTGGCCGGATCGTTCTCGAAGACGTGTATCAGGCTTCCGAGAGCTTCTATCGATTCTCCGAATGTGTCGTGTCGAAGAAGTCGGAAGTGTGTATCAATATGCCGTTCAGCTTGGTCGTGGAGGACATGAAGCTGGTCCAGATCGGTTGATGGGAGGAAATCTGCCTCTTGGCCTTCTCCCTCTTGGGTAAACAATCTACTTGCGCGTGCTACGGTTGCACGTATCTCGTCAATTTGGCCAAGGACGATTGGAAAAGCCAGGGATTGGGCCTCTCTAGTGACGACTTGGGCTGTATTTTTCATCCACTTGATTAGAGTTGGAAGGTCCTAATTGAATCTGGTGCGGGGCCCTCTTCTAAGAAGCTCGCGAAGGGCGGTTGACATAGCTACAAGCGCCGTCTCAACGGCAGTGGGTGAGGATGCAGCATTGAATTGGGATTTGACTAGTGTTTCGCAGAGATGCTGGAATGAAGGGAATGGCGTGGGTACCGTTTGCGCTACTGACGGAGTTGTACAGAAGCCCAACGGGAGTATTAGAAGAAAGGCAATCTAGGAAAGAAGAGTGAGTAGTGACAAGAATGAAAGGCCGGACAAGTCGAACATACACGCCATAGTCTTCGGAGAGTGTCGGCTTATCTATCATGTTCATGATGTGCTGTGGACCAACGTACTCCTCATCACTAAGATCTCGTCGGAGCATTTGTTTCCATTCTCGTTCATCTCCGTTCAGGGTCGCAAGATCACCCTGCCACGGCCGCTCCGCGGTCCTCTCGTTCTTTGCCTGTGGATGGGATTTGGTGAATCTTCTCTAAAAACTGTAGTCAGCTTTCGCTCGCTGTTGCTCTGGCGTCTCCTTGGGTCTCGGGGGGTGCTCTCTCGGTACATGTTCATTATTTCCACTAGATGAAAGATTATGGGAGAACTTGCATTTTGCCTCGAACTTGCAAGAGCCAGTTTGCTGGAACTGTTGACAAATCCCATAGTTTGGACCACGTGCACTTAACCCACCTGTTTTTCCGCCCCGCTGTCCTTTGCCTTTCCCATGTCCGCCTCCAAATCCCTGACCGCGCCGTACAGGGCCAAATAAGCTCATGGCGTTTGATAGAGGCATTTGAGCTTAAATGATTCAATTTGATTAGATATTAGTTCTAACAAGAGTAAAGGAAAGAAAGAGATAAAGATAGTGAGCGCGATAACTGATAGCACCCTAAACCGCAAGCAGGCAACAGCATCAAGCTAAAGTGTCGACAGTGTCACGGAAGGTGAATTGCATATGCAATGGAAAGGTAGTGAACTGTACAGCAGGTTCTCGCACAACACGGAATATGACCAGTAGCCCATTTGCTAAACTTATTACTAGAACAAGAGAGATCTTTAGGGACGCCAATATCTGTCCTAAATCAGATTCTTGTCGTGTTCCATCATTTTTGCTAATATTCAGCACGAGTAGAATTAGGAGGATATGCTTGCAGGCTGCTGGATCGCCCATATCGTCAGTGTTCTTTCCTGAATCAAACTCACATTTCAGCATTAAGATAAAAACTTAACAAGTGAGCCGTTGCTGAGTTAGTGCATGATGGCGGTGACACGTCACTGTGAGATCATGTCTTGATTTGGGGTCTTACAGTCTGGTACTTCCAGAGGCTCCAGGGATTAGTCAGCCTTGTATTCCACAACTGATCCAGACAGATAGACAACGGGTAGCAAACACGCCTGCAGCTGGTTATGGGGCGATATCGGAACGCCCAGAAGCCTCATGCGGAGGGTGGAGAGATATCGATTTTGAGAATTCCAATGGGCGGTATGCTTCAATCAACACATGTAGTGACCCGCGCTTAGTATAGATGCTCTAGTGAATCTATGGTGTCGGAATAACTCAAATTTGCTAGATCAGCCAAAGGCTAGATTGTCTGCTGTGCAGAACTGGCTGTGGCAGTAAACTCGATTGTGCAAAGAGAAAACGCAGATCAAGAATCGGTCAGATAACTGAGTTCTTCTATTGGACCAGATTTGCTACGAACTAGTTATGCATCATTACCATCCACTAATGACTTAGAACTACAAGGGAGTGTATACCTCAACAGACCGGAATTTTAACGAAGAAGCACGACAAGTTCTACCATCCGTCAATTCCTGGTAGAGAACCATACGTTCCACCTCAAAGCGAGTTGAATAGGTCATCCGGTACCAATCCCTCAAAAAGTGCACTAGAGCCATTTAGTTGGATATCAAAACTCGTTGCTGATACAATGAAGGAGTTTAGGGGACCATTTCGTGGTGTTGAAACATACTATGTACTTCAAGCTCGGGCCGGCAGAAAGTCCGTGGAAAGCTTGATTGACTATCGGATCAACACGGACCACCTACTTCGTAGGCTGGTCTGTTCTCAGGCACGTGCAAGGTTACAACTCGGCTCTCCTTCAGCCGACCCTCACCGCTTCCTCCGTGATCGGCGATTGCTAGCGCCAATTCGACGCAAAACCTGCTCATGGGCCCACAAATCCGTTGCACCGGGCAACAGGCAGCCTCCGAAACCCCGCCTCTGACGCCTATATAAACCCGCCCTCGCCCTTCTTTTAGAAATCAGCTTTTCTTTGCCTTTTGGCTTAGATCAAGTGTAGTAGTGAGTTTCAATTTCCTGATTCGGACAATCTTTGCATTTGACGGCTTTGGGCTAACGATTTTCCAGTCTGTTCTTTTCAGTTTAATCTCTGAAACGTGTCTACGGACACATTTTCAAGATTATTCCTATTTTTGAACGCGGTCCTCCTCTCACTGGGCTTGCTCATAGTTGCGGACACAGTGACGCCGGCCCCAGCACTACCGCCGGCTGTCGCGAACCTGCACTCCTTTTCATTGATGCATCTGGCTGTGGCTGGGTGATCGAGGAAGAGGTTTTGCTGTTTTGTTTCGTTTGTACTTTACGCTTGCTGTAATGAGAACTCTGCGTATCGACTGCCCTAGCAATCCTCGCACGGTTAATCAATTGCTCTACGCCCCACTCTGCCGACATCCCACTATGATATCCATTGAGGTTAAGGTCAACGGGACTGAGGAGGAGGCCCGAGTCCAAATCGGCATCTGGCTGAGTGCATGGCACGAGCGGGTCAGCCAGCTTGGCGCCAATGAGGGTCACCGGGTTATAACGTTGCCGGTCATCATTGTGCTAAACCACTATTGGTATCTCTATTAGGCGGTTGATAAGGGGTCACACATCGTACGCGCATTCCAATCATCTGCTTGTTATTCTTTAATACTAACTGTGTCAGGAAATTCTGCAGTTCACAGAAAGCATAGGCGATACTTGGTCGCTTGTGAAGGTTTACCGGATCCTTGCTGTGCTACGGCGTTTAGGCGAGTGGGGATTGGAAACGTTCGAGCCTTGGTTTAAGGCGACGTTTCTCGACCTTGAAGGGTCATGACTGCTGGCTTTTGAGTCTGTAACTCTTTGTACATTAATCTCGTGCCTAGCGTGAAAAGTAGGCGTCACACAGTCTTAAACTATTGGTAAACCGTGCAAAAACAACCTAGTTTACAAAATAGGTCATGCTGTATACCATGCTGCTAGTAGGGGGGCTTTGAGTTAAGTCGTAGTGGCAAACACTAATTAAGCTTCCTGCGCTCAAATTGACATGCCGAACTGCAAAGGAGTCTTCTTTGGGTTTGAATCCGCAGTGGACCTTGTTCCGACGGCCCGGTTCCAGATCCTTTGCCGAGATCTGATCTGGTGATTGTGGCTAAAGTTGTGGCCGGATTCACTTGGCGCCCACCTAGGTGGGCCGATGATGCCTACAACCCCCTTCCATGAACAGGCTGTACCGCGCGCACAGGCCCACGAGTCTCAAATGCTCTCAAAATGCAGTTTTCTATGTAAAATACATACAAATAAGCATTATATTGTCACATTATCTCACCACCTTGTATGTCCTCCTTTAGCCTAGATGACTGCCTAACAGCGCTCCCTTGTTAACTTAATATACTTATTGTAATTACTAAAAGACAATTTCTCCTATTCTTTAAGAAGATACTGCCTTACCTTATTATTAGCCTTTAGAAAACGCTTCCCTAGGCAGTACTTTAACATCTGCTAGACGTTTTTAATAGGGTTTAGGTTAGGTAAGTTTACTAGCCATAAGATCTTTAAGATACCTAGAGCCTGCTTAGCAGCTATTGTAGCCTTTAATGTATAGATAGATAAGTTATCCTCTATTAAAGCTAGCTCCTTGCCTGTGTACTCTGTGTACGCGTCTTAGAAGGCTATAACTAGAGGCAGGATGTGCTTAATATATACGTCTAAGTTAATTTACTGCTTCTTATTTATACACTAGCTTTTCTTGTATATAACTAGAGGGCCCTTTATATCTCTAGATATTATTGCCCACACTATGCAGCTAGAGTAACCCTTAAATCTAGCAATGCAGCAGGCAGGCAGGAAGCGCTCCTTGGCGCGCCTCGTCACCCACACTTCGCTGGGGCCAGCCTGGGCGCTCATATTGTTGCTCTAGCCTATACTAGCCTATTGATTGTTGCTCCAGTCAAGGTGCTCCTATGCCTAGTAAACCCTATCTGCCTTGTGTTGCTTAGTAAGGAAGGGCTTCTCTATAGCCTTTTAGCAATGATAATGTAACGGCACAGGCAAGACAATGGGTCTGAATGCGGTGGGAATCCACTTAGAGGCAAATGGGAGTGCATGGGGACTTAGAACCTGGGAATTTCCATTGACACCTATAGGCCTTGTACGAAGGATATCAGAAAACTACCGAGCTAGCTAAGGGGAGAGGTGCGACTAAATACTTGGGGGGGAATAGGGGTAACTGCGGGGGACAGGATCGAGTCACGGTCGGGGCTGATATGGGGACCCTTCGGATAGGTTCCGAGCGACCTGAGATGGAACGATTCGTGAGAATTGTTACAGATAAAGCTCCTTCTTAAAGGCCTTGATAAGCGTACGCTAGCAGACTATTATCCCTAGCTCTTAAGCTATCTCCTTTTAAGTTTTCTGTTGTTGCTTAGCGTTCTCAGTCGCATGCCGTACAGGGGGGATTCAGAATAGAGTAGATAGAATAGGAGACCGTCCCTTAGGCTTTGTAGGCGTCTTAGGCGTGTGGAGGCAGAGAGAGACTGTAGAAAGAGGTATCCTAAGTTTCTAAGAGATATCCTTTTGTTTCCAGCCTATCTCACGTAGGGTGTGGATCTGTATACGCTCCTTGTACGTTTAGTTGTCAGTTTAGTGTCTTTAGCATTATGGTAAATCTTGTTAGTGGAGTGAGCTAAACAGTGCACGGAAGTTTGTTAGCAAGCTGCTAACAGAGGTTTGTAGTTAATTTAGAATGTTCTACGCACGGATGTCGGTTTGTGCACGCGGTACAGTCCGCTCATGAGAGCCCCCTGTATAAAAGCGAGGGAGATTTTCGCAGGGCGGACGGGTGGTGGACAAGGTCATATTTGTGGTGCCGCTGACAGGGACAACAGTAACGCCGCGGGAACCCTAGGGAAAACCAATAAATAGGAAAAACTAATGAAATAGGTGGCATTCTTTCTAGCTTAACACTTCTGGCTCTGTGGCCTTCCTACCTCAATCCACCATGGTCCTTGGTCCAGCTAAAACACGTTATAATTTATTCTTCTCGCTAAGATAGTTTTTGTCTTACCTGAGCATATGCAGATATCCAGTTGGTTTTCAGCGTTGTTGTGCACGCGTCTATCAAGTTTTCCGCCCAGATTGAAACTGTATACCTCGAAAAGCACCATTCTTTATCGCTCTAGGTTAAGAAGGTACAAGTAAGCACGAGGATAGATACACTGCTACGTTAACGTACTGTGTTTTCGGCCCACACGCTGCTCGACGTGCGTGAATCACAAAATAATGATTTCCAAGATTTGGCCGGGACGCAAAATGTTTGGTCCTTAGGCATTTCCTGGATCGCATATGTGAATCCTGTATAGTCGTCGACGTGGGATTTCATATAATTTGCGCCGCAATTCGCTGATGTAATGCCGGCAGAGGCCACCGAAATTGCACCTAGCTAGGAATACTATTAGAGTCCGGCTGCCAACAGGACGATAGAAACTGTACCATAACAAGCAGAGTTGATAGGAAACGCATGATGTTTTTTATGATTGTCAATTTATGTGTGAATCCAAAAAATAAAATAACAATTTAACAATTAAGATGTCCTTTAATGTTACTCCTTGTTCATATATTTATATTCTAATCGAGTCCCCAAAGTGGAGCCAGTCTCCTGGCCAATTTTCTTGATAGAGGAGAGGGCGAATGCACACGGCATCTCCGTCCAGGGCAACTCAGCCGCACTAACAACAGAGCCTCCCAGCTGAAAGTTTCTTAACCGTTAATTGGCGGTATAGCGCCAAGGATGACACGAGCTGGCACTCGTCTCCACAACTAGATCCACAACGCGCTGTGCACAGCCCGCGTTAGCGGCATTCAGGCAAAGCCTTTGGCTATCTGACTGGGCTCCGAAGAAACCACCCACTGGATTCTCTGCACAATACCAGCCGGACCCACTTTGAACTGCGACCATACGGATCCGTATGCAACACCGTATACGGATGTAGTCATTACATTTTCTCCACTCCGAGAATTAGTCTTGGCATGCAGTAGTCTTGTATCCTCACCGCCACTATTCGATTGCTCCGATTAGAGGTCGACCAGGTTAGGGAAATAATTCATGATGAAGAAGTACCTTTGCATTTACTCGGGCCCTTCCGGTCACATGCGTGATTATTCGGATAAAGAAGCCCGTGCTTTGCACAGGCTTACTAGCTCAAGGATCACGACACACGCGCTTCAGCTCTCATACAATTTTATATAGAAATTGGAGCACCAATGTCGCGCAAATTAATAAAACATATTAATAATAGTCTCCTCCACAATAGCTTTCAGTTTCAATATCAACCTCGCCGTCATTGCTTATATCATCCAGCTCGCTTTCAATAACCGTAGTCTGCGTATCTTGCTCCTCAATGGCTCTAATACTAGTATTCTCATAGTATTCTACCCCTTCTTTTGCTTTAGTATTAGCTGTAATCTTTGCACTATAAGGATTGTTGATGCTACGCGTGACAAGCCCTTGTTGCACCGCCGTTGTAAGCATATCCTCAGATATATCAAAGCGGGGTCTATACGGCCCCCTCTTGGTCAGCTTCTTCATACAAATTGCTGCTGCAGCTTGACAATCGTTGGGACTAAGTAGACGAAGTCCTTCCGTAATAAAGGTAACTATTTTTGTAATATTCGGCGGGTCTGCTGCTGCTGCTGTTCTTCGTACCAAAGCTAGTTTATTTAGGGGAGTCAACAATCCTGCCTGTCCAGCCAGCCAGAACATCACGAATATTAAAAGCAGATCCCTCGAAAATGGGGCAGGCACATGCGGACAGGCACTGCTCCACTAAAGCTTCATCTCAAAAATAGAAGTTCCTCGCCTGTATTAGAGCTCGTCATCTCGTCATCTTGAGCATGCGATCTCACCAATCAGACAAAGCAAAGATGAGACGAGCCGCAAATAATAACTATAGGAAGCTATTAGAAACGCCTGGCAAAAAGTTACCCAAATTGTGTCTAGAGTATAATGCAGACTTATTCTTTCTTGCGTATCGCAACGGCCGATTTCGTTCCATTACACCTTTTGAGGAGCAAAGAGCCACGCACAGAGTCCTCTTGAATATGGTTTTAGACGCTAAAGCCGAATCGACATTGCATGGGGAGGCAGACCTTCCAGATATGGATTTGCTAAAGGAGAGATTGGTATGTAGCAAGGTCACAGTGTAATCGGTATATTACTTTGAGTCCCACTGGAAACTGATGGCATCGACCGGTTGCCTGAGATGTTCCCGTTTGGTGAGTCCAGCTTGAGGATTGGCTTTAAAGAGAAAGTAAAACCAGCCGTCCTGGCATATAGGGGTGGGGGGATGTCAAGAGTACGACCCTTTGCCCTCTGCTGGATGTCATTGACCCTATCAGGAAGTATCCACTGGCGAAACGGTAACCGGCTCAGCCGTTGTATATTCTGCAAACTTTCCAGAATCAGTAAGAACGTTGAGGGAAGGACTCCAGGAAATTCTATTAGGATTCCTTGCACCTTTTAACAGCTCAAGCAGACTGCTATTACTATATCCATCTAATTATAACTTGCCAGCTTTGCAGTAATTGTGCCTTGGTAATCTTCTTTAGTAAGACTATAGTTTACCCTTGTGTCTATATTCTGTAACGGCGCAGGCAAGACAATGGGTCCGAATGCGGAGGGAATCCACTCAGAGGCATATGGGAGTGCGTGGGGACTCTGAACCTGGGAATGCCATTGACACCTATAGGCCTCGTACGAAAGGATATCAGAAAACTACCGAGCTAGCTACGGGGGCGAAGTGCGACTAAATACATGAGGGAATAGGGGTAACTGCGGGGGACTGGGTCGAGTCATGGTCGGGGCCGATACGGGGACCCTTCGGATAGGATCCGAGCGACCCGAGATGGAACGATTCGTAGAATCGTTACAAGTACAATAACTTTAAGGCGTTTAAATAACTTAAATATCTTAAAATTGCTAAGAGTAAATTTGTCCTCGATGCCGGGCAAGCTATCGGGGACATCTTATCGTATAAGCTGATAGTCGGATCGATAACCAGGACAGGGCCTTTGACTGAGTTCTTCTTTAGAACCAAATTTGCTGCAACGTAGTCGTGCACCATTGTCTCCCCCGAGGACCTAGAAATTAGAATGGATTATTTAGCTTAACGGGTTGAAAGTTTGGGGGTGGCACGAATGGCAGAAGAATGCAATAGTCGCGGTCAAATATCCTGTCAGATATGCGCACCTACTGTCAAGACAGGAGGAACGCTTGACGAAAGCTGCTACATAGTACGAGCAATAAGCTCGAACAGTATGTTGCAGCATGTTGCAAGCTGGTCGCGCATAGGGCAAGTGCGCGAGGGACTCGGATCGGCAAAACAAAAAGCCGAGCAACACGAGTAGAGCAGAAAAAGGATCGATAAATCAATACAATCAATGATCATCCCATACATCATATCCAAACCCATCATTCATCTCAGGAAGCCCAGAAACAGTGCTTCAATCTGACATATCCTTTGCGCAGGGCGAGAAAGCTGGGAAAGACATACCAGTTAATCCTCGATTTAACATAGCTTCCGCCTCGAAGATGTTTGAAGACCTTATCCTGCAGTAATTCCTCAACAAAACGCACTAGAGATGTAAAACCCGTTGCAGATACAAGATGGGATTTCAGGATTGCGGAGAGAACATTTCGTTGTGTTGAAACATTTTCAAAGCTCGGGGAATCCAAAGCACAGACCACCTCCTTAACAAGTTGGAACAGGCCCGAACGCTGCCAAGGTTACAGTGTCTGGCGTCACCGCTCCTCCGCGATCGGCGATCTTTTCGCTCGATGTCCTCGCAAAATCTGCTCATAGGCCCACAAATCCGTTGCACTGGGCAACAGGCAGCCCCGAAATTCCCGCCTCCCACACCTATATAAACCCTCCCTTCCTCGCCCTCCCACCGGTTTCTCTTTTTCTTTAGCTTTTCTTTGCCTTTTGGCTTAGATCAAGTGTAGTAGTGAGTTTCGACTTCCTCATTTGGCCAATCTTGGCACTTGCCGGCATCGGGCTAATGATTTTCCAGTCTGTTCTTTTCAGGTATGTTTTTTTCCGACTCCCGTTTTTCGTTTTTCCATTGTGCTAACCTTCTCGTCGCAGTTTAATCTCTGAAACGGTTTTACGAAACCATTTTCAAGATTATTCCTATTTTTGAACACGGTCCTCCTCTCACTGGGCTTGCTCATAGTTGCGGACACAGTGACGCCGGCCCCAGCACTACCGCCGGCTGTCGCGAATCTACACTCTTTTCATTGAGGCATCTGGCTGTAGCTGGGTGGTCGAGGAAGAGGTTTTGCTGTTTTGTTTCGTTTATAATTTACGCTGTAATGAAAACTCTGCGTATCGATCGGCTTGGCGACATATGTATGACTCTAAGCAAGGAGGTCTCGATTCATAGTAAGTGGTTTTTCCATTGTGAGGAGTTTGATACAGCTGATAGCATTGTAGCACATGACAAACCAAAGATTAGAATCAGAAATAAGCGTTAAATTACGATTTTCACTTTTGAGCCAATTGTAATTTTATCTCACGATATCAAGAAAAGACATCTGGGAAGTGAGTTTCGCACCAGCCACATTTCCGTCGTGGCTTTGCTGTCATCTCTGACAGTGCGATTCGAAATGACGGTCAGGGTTTTTTGGATCTTATAAAACGTATTAGTCAGCACACAGACTGCCTGAATACAGAAATCGTATTTGGTGCTTGGTTTCATATACTAATCCCAATTCAGAATGTCGCTTCATGGGCGTTTCTGGCTCTTTGTCCAGCAACCGAAAGCTCGGTGCATGCCATTGAACATGATCGAGGGCCCCCCGTGCTCTTAGCTTTACCCTCATTCCTCTTCAGCCTGTTGTACTGCAAGTGTTTGGGACTTTGGCCTTACACAAACCTACATACATCATGGGCAAAGCAACTTCCAGGGCATCAAAACTGAAACTTAAGGGTATCTCTCCAGCTTCGTTGCAATCAAAAACGTATAAGAAGATAAAAAAGCGAATTTCTCCTGCTACGCAGATGAACTATGACTATGCACAGCGATTGTGGGAGGAGTACAGCCGCCTCCCTCCTTCTGTGGACAAAGCTAACTGGGACAGGTTCTGCGACTTCACTAAGAGACCTTCCACCCTGCAACCCGGATCTCCAGTTCCCGACAATCAAGTAATCAAACAATACCTGACTTGGTGGGCCGCAAGCTCCACCGGCAAGATCCAGGACACGGTCAGCATCACTTCTACTAAGGTTGTATGGCAGAGGTTTCAGGCCATCATCTTCCGAGAGACTGAGAATCGGATGCCGCGGGAGCTGAATGAAGATATCAACGCAGTGAGTGTGAAACTAAAATTCAGTTTGAGCATTCCTAAGCAGAGCAGTGGACTCAAACGGAACTTTACGACGAAATGAATTTAACCCTGGAGAAGAGGAAAAAAGGGCATGTGTGATGGGGCCGTATACGCCAACCTTATGAACCAGCTCTTGTGTCACGATGCTGATGAGTTCGAATGGGAACGAGGCCGCGTGCAGCTCGGGTTAACGCTACAGTTCCATGTTTTCTCTGGCGGAAGGCCAGGGGGATTCATTTCTACTGGTTATTATCCTGATCTTTGCTTAGTATACAGAGACGTGCAGTTTATTCTTATCCGCTTGCAGGATGGGCAAGAGAAATTTGGTATAGTCTTAGTGCAAAGGTGGAGGAAAGGTGAAGAGGAGAAACTAGATGAAAAGTAAGTATTCGTAGAAAGTCACATGATTCAGCGACTGACGAGGCAGTTTACATGTTCTGTGGCTAGAAGAGGACGACATCCTCAACTGCCCTGTTCAGCAATTCTTAGCACTAGCTTTTGCAGATGGAGCGTTCGCATCCATAACGAGCCGTTCAGATATTCAAAATGCGAAGCTCGATAGCGATGAAGATGTTCGAACCTTCCAGTACAAGCCTGAGATGCCTGACCAGCCATTTCTGGTCGATCCGAAGGGGAAACCCCTGCATTATGCACAATTCTGGTACAATCTGAAGTGGCTTAGCATCAGAGCTGGTTATATCGAGCACATTCGCCCATATGACATACGCAGAGGTACTGCAAATAAATTAGACGGTAATCAGCAAAGATCATTCAATACATTCATTATCTAACCCGCACGCAGAGGCGGTTGAGGTATCTACAAACTCCAGGAACCGGCTCTTGGGTCACTCGAGTGACAAAGTTTATCAGAAATACTATCAATCCAATATCTCGATGGTTGACATCAAAGGTATCGTGCTGCGCGACAAGGCCGATGAAGGGTTCGACACTACAGCGCTCCGGCGCAATCTGAGATTGAAGAGGGTGCCCTCAAGACTTCCATCACGAGCCAACCAAAAGTTCTTAACACAGTTCAGGATGTCGATGATAACCGAACCAGAGATCACGAAGGACGTCTTGCATAAACGTGCTCGAGCGGCAGCATGGAAAGACTTTCAGGCTTCATGGACCGAGCGTTACGAGACGATAGAACCGCCTGAACACCAACATCTATCACGGATCAAAGACTCTGTCGAGCACTTAGGCAACTTGGATGACCCGGAAACTAAAAGTCGAATCATGATGCGATTTGATGAACATCGCAGGCTTATCAAAGAAGAGGTTGGAAAGCCGGGCTACAGTTTGCGGACGTCACCCGCCTTGGACAGTCTTGTCTTCCTAGCGCGGCGGAACTACACGCATTCTGCTTTATATTACCCTGGGACAGAGCCTGAAGAGAGCACTTCTGGTGCGCTAAGATGCCGGTTTTGTCGTATTGATCTCGTTGGGTAAGTAATCCCTGAGCCTCCCACCCATTCGCCTTCTTCGTTCCTTGCTAAAAAAAAAAGCAATTAGAATGAAAAATAGTATTGTCCATATTCAAGAGTGTGCTGTTCGTCATAAAACTCTGTCTATGGAGAGAACGTGGAAAGCACGACAATGCTATCGTTGCAGTGCTTGGTTCAACCAGCTGCATAAATTCCGGGAACATTGTCAGCATCACCTAGAAGAGCTGGATTCGTACTGTGGAATACTGAGGCTGCGAAATATTGTTGTATCAGCTGGCAGATGCCCTTTTTGTCTAGGGGATCCGGTATTGAAAAGATGGGGTGAATATGAGAAAGTTGTGACGAGCTTCACAACCTCGGCAGCGTTCACAAAGCATCTGAACAAACACATCCAAGAGCTTCGCATGGTAGGACTGAACCAGCATGGTGCTTGCATCAAATGTCCACATCCGCGATGTGACCAGCGCGATGTTTGCAGCTGGAAAGACCTTCTACACCACTTTTATGATGACCACGGTATTGAAGAAAATCTCTTCCCAGAGGAGGAACTTCCCCCGGTGACTGAAGTGGTTCGGCCTGTGACTCGAACGGTTCGGACGCCTGGACGTCGGTTTATTGCGTCTCCGTACGAAAGTTCGCTACCCGAAACTCCCCTAGTGGTTCAAGTGCCCCGAACTACTCCGTATGAGTTCTTTCCATATTCTGGAGCGCACTGACGAAGTCATGGTTGTTGAGTTTTATGGAATGATCCGCGGGTGCCGGATTTCGAGGTTACAGCAGCACAAATGTCGGAGGTGGTTTGGGACATGGATGACAGGGTATGAGTGATGATTGAAGAGTGAGGAATGATAAGTGATGAATGAAGGTAGATGGTAAAGATATGTTTTGACGTAAATGGAGAAGATGTACTGATGGTTGGTATATAGATGTATTGATGGGAGATGGTAGACGATATATGGCTGATTGTTGAGAGGAAATGGAGGAAGTAGTGCCATCATCAAATGTGCGGTGCGGTGGTGTTAAATATCATTTCATTTGGTCATGGCAAGCGCCTAATAAATGCACTGCCTCCGAGAAGATGCCTTACAGTGCTAGGGTCTCCGCTAGATACGGATTCGTAAGTCAGAAACCCGAGACTCGAGGTTACTCCGCCTTAGTTAGGCCTGTCACAATGTAGGCAGTCAAGGCGCAGGTTCGGAGTGAGAGTTTCCCATCACCCAACGTGTGATACTGCAGTAGGTCCCAGTCACTGATGCTTTGAGACAGTCGCAGTGAACCATAGAGCATGACCAGCGTTTCCAACAGGAAGTAGTACAATTAATACTTTTGCTCCACCTATAATTACATAAGGCAAACAAACATAACTACATTTTTAACTATTATAATTTAATTAATAAGGCTTAAAAGTAAGCAGTATATAATTAAGGTAGACTTTTTTAAGGTTGCAGTCTCTAACGCGCGTAAGGGCTAGGGGAGCGTGTTTGTGCCACTATTTACATGTTAGTATAGCCTTAGAGCTTACCCTGTACTACAACAACTTTTTAGACAACCTTATTATAGCAAAAGATAACAGTCCCTTGTATAGGGAACCTCTAGATTAGTAGCTCTAGGTTAGTTAGCGCAACTATCCTGTACTCTTTAAGATAGCGCTTAATTTCCTATGTATACCCTCCACAAGCTGCAACTGCAAGAGAGCCTTTAGCAGAGGGAAAAGGACAGTTACTTGTAACTGTAATTATCTCTTAGGCTCTATAATTAAAGCTTTACAACTTTAGAAAAACTAGCTACATTATAAAGTTATTTTTAGTAAATTAAATAACTTTACATGCTATAATAAAAGTAAGAAGGACTTTACTACTTTAAAAGCTTTAACAGTTATGTTGTAACTTTTAGTAAAAAGTTAAAAAGTATAAGCAGCTTTAATTAAACTGTAACTTAATTATATTAACCCCTACTGTTAGGTGAAGCAAACAAAAGTATATAATAAGTAAGACATAACTTGTCTAGAAAGCCTGAGTCAAATCGTACTACTTCCTAATGGAAACGCTGAGCATGACGGCAAATCATAGAAAAAGCTTTTTTAAAATTTTAAAAGCGTAAAATCTCAGCCAATATCTAGGGTAATCGCAGAATCTAAAGGTTGAATCATGCTAAGTACTAGAAAGCCTTCATATCCTTGATGAGCTAAGATCCTTCGTATGAAGTTTATTGTAAGCTTTCCCTGCAGATACTGGCTTTCTGATCCCTCTTTCCGCAATCTAAAGCACCGCATTGGCAGTTCCGTTAAACTGGACACGACGATGTCAGTGTCTCCACATCCATGCACTAAATCCATAAGCCTGCGATTTATATATAGGATCCTAGAGTTACAACTGCTGAAAGTTGAGAAATAAGCCCGAACATTCACATGAATACAGCCTCTGAATACGGGAATCCATTTAGGAATACTATTAGAAAGAGTTCCTGAAAGATACAGAGCACACAAGATCTACTTTGATAAGGTAGTGATGTTGTAGGAAACACTTGAGGAAAAGTGCTTTTGCAGCTCCTCTATAGTCATGTTGTCTGGCACTAGATGTTGCTAGGTCTCGCATTGAAAATCTTAGAGAAGAGCGGGTAAATTTGGATCCTGTCCCTTAGGACAGCCGGTTACCACCACAAATATATGGAAAGGACGAGCATCTCCATTTAGAGATGAATGACTGCAAGGACCATGTAGTCTGCGCTCCAATCTCTTTAAGTCCGCGCCAAATATCTGTACTGTTATGCCTAAGTTTCTTATCAGGGTCAGACCTGACGTATCCTCAATGTAGGCTGTCATGCTTAGGATCTTGCCGCCTGCGACACAAATCTCTCTATTGTGGCCACGGGCTTGGATCTAGATGTGTGAAGATGGGAACCTGGACACCTAGTTCTTTAGTTGGTTGAGCCTTGGCCTGCCTGGTCGTCTAGTGAGGTGTCAAGGGATGGGATACTGAGCTTGAATGTGCAGGCTTGAGGCGAGTGAGTAGACGTGCTAGTAATAGTAATGGTAGATACACAAGCCGGCCCTCTTGTGTGCTGGTAGTCTTGCGCCATGGCGTGCGGTTTGTTGTCGTGGCTTGGACGCATCCACTCCGAGCAAGAGAAGTCAGGATGTTATGGAATTCTCAGCGACTTTCATCGATCCTATTTCTGGGACGAGACGCGCAGAGGCTTTGCTATTCCTAGTAGTTCTACGCTTGATTGAGGATATCCTATTTTCGCGCTAAAGATAGCAGAGCCGGATTCCAGGTATGGAAAGGGTGTGTGGGATTGAGAAGTAGCATTGGGGATGCTGCAGATTATGAGGGTGACGTAGCCCCCGGACAGTAGGTGGGATTTGGAGTGCTAACTCTGAAATGCTGCTGAGGGATGAAGTGCGAAGTTCTCTATTATGGTCTTGACAGAAAGAGCGCTATGGTAAGTCTTTTGGGGAGGCTCTCGGCTGCTCGAAGATGTTTCGTGGCAAGCTTGTATCCATATATATCACTAATTTCCTTTGTAAAGTGAGGACGTATTCACTTCTATTCATCTGATAACCTGCCTTGGCGAGCACACCCCAAGGCTTCGGATATGTGATGGGCAGGTATTAGATTCTCACATATATATATACTATCGCAGCTCGTCGTAGGGGTTCTCATTCACAATTCATCCTTCACCCTTTCATTCCCCTTCTCCTCACTTGGAGTCTTCGCCTGCTCAATTAATCCTTTCCTCACAATGCTCGTCAAAATTTCATACGCAACCTGCGCCGCTGCCAAACTTGTTGCCTCAGTCCCGCCATCATAAGCAGGACTGACCTCGACAATATCAGCGCCTACCACATTCATCCCCTCAATACCCCTCAAAATCCTAATCAACTCTCTTGTCGTCCAACCTCCGGGCTCAGGCGTCCCTGTTCCGGGTGCAAGCCCAGGATCAATGACATCAATGTCAATAGAGAGGTACACAGGAACGGATGTCCCCACGCGCTCCATAATGGATTTTATAACGCCTTTGACCCCAATTTCATCAATATCATCGGTGGATATCCGGATCCAGTTTTGAGCCGTATCGTCCTCAAAGTCTTCTAGATCATCACCTGAAAGTCGCGTGCGGAGGCCTGCATGTACGGACGAGCCGTTTGCGATGAGTCCTTCAGTCGCCGCAATCCAGAACATGCTTCCATGGTTGAAGAAGGACTGCGTGGATAAGTCTGTCGGATCGATCCATGCTGACGGGTATTTTGCAGGATGCCAGGTATCCAAGTGAGCGTCGAAATGCACCACAGCTATTGGCTGTCCGTATATCTGTTTCAGGGCGCGGAGAGCGGGGAGGGCAATGCTATGGTCTCCACCTAATGTCAACAACTTGGGTTTGTGCAGGTAGGCCGTTGGCGAGGAACGGGACTCTGGGGTTGGGGTTCTGGTGCCTAGTTCGACGAATGCTTCGCTCATTTGGCGGAGGGCGAGAGCGTTGTCGAAAGGCGTGATGGGGATGTCGCCGCAGTCAACGATTTTGGCCCAGGAGGTGTAGGGATTGAGGTTGGCGCGTGGGTTGAAGCCGCGGAAGGAGGTCTGTCTGGAGGAGCCTGCTCGGATGGCGCGGGGGCCGAATCGAGCTCCTGGATAGAGTTAGGTGGATATTGGAGATCTCGAGGAGTAGAAGGGCTCAAGAGGTTAAATAGAGGGGGTTGAACTAGATATGACAGAAGAAAGCGCTCGGTGACGATGCGACAACGCATGAATACATTCACCATAGCACCTACCTGGCCTATAGCTGACTGCCGTATCAAAAGGAGCCCCAATGATGCCTATATCATAATCGGTTTCAGGATGACTTAAGCATCGGGTGTGAGGGAGATGGGCAAATGTCGATATGCCCGAGAATCCCCACTACAAAGGAATTAATGCTTGGAGAGCAAGGCACAAGAATGCGAGTAATTACATCTGTTCCCCATTTTCTCTCGAGCTCTTCTAGACGCGGATGTGAGAGTGGTTCTTGGTCTTCTACATAGTGGGTTGAAAGGGTGAGAGCGAAGCGGGGTAGGAAAGCAAGAATGGGAGTTGATAATAGAAGCATATTCAATAAGATCAACACATTGAATAACTTTGAGAAAGGAAGAAGAAAGAAGATATTAAAGTAAAACAAGTTAAGAAGTCATGAAAGGGCGCGAATTATGTAACAGCGTCTTATCATTGCGTCCCTGCTCCGAGGTCCCGCGTTAAACTGTGACGGGTGGCTCAATTTGGCAATAAATTGCAGAGACTTCCATGGTCAACATCTAAGAGTAGAATTTCCTGTGGAGAATCCTTCGAATGCCGATGGGATGATACGATGCGGAGGAAGGAGGAAGCGTGGGAGTCAAAAATGGCGTGGACGTGACCAATAGGAAGCTGTGGGGCGACACCAACGTCCCCGGCCCCGTGAGACCGCGCCCTCGCGTCGTGCCGTTGTCTCGCCAGGAGCTTTTACTCCAACCCCCTCCAGTCTATCACAACCTCCCTGTCCTGCTTTCTCCGTTGCGAATCACTTTCACGAACCCTTCGATCCAGATCATTGTGCAGAAATATCTTTAACTCGAGTAGGAGCCTATCAATCCGGTATCTCCTGCGCGAGCGCGTCTTGAAGCTTCATCATGCCTGAGGTATCATCTGAATAGCCTGCAACCAACGAGCAGTTCGCTAACATTGCGTAGATTGGCGAAGTCGCGCGTATCGTGCATTACTTAAAGAAGCATGTCGTTGGTAAGACAATTGCTGCCGTCAAGACACAAGAGGATGCTGTACGTACTCTTCCCAATACACACTCCCATCCAACCCCCATCTTTACTCATACTCTCCAAGATTGTATACGGCAAGGTCGGCACCTCGGCATCGGCTTTCCAAGAAGCCATGACTGGCAAGAAAGTTGTGGATGCCCGACAACAAGGCAAATACTTCTGGCTGGAGATGGAATCGCCCCCGCATCCACTGATACACTTTGGCATGTCGGGATGGATAAAGTTCTCAAACGATGACTCTGCGTACTATCGACCTACTAAACCGGAGGGAAGCGAGTGGCCGCCGCGATTCTGGAAATTTGTTCTTCAGATTAAAGAGGACCCTGACTGCGAAATAGCATTCGTCGATGCGCGACGACTGGGTCGGGTTAGACTCGTAGACGCGAAGGGAGATGAGATGAGGAAGACAACGCCATTGAAGGAGAACGGCCCGGACCCTGTCATTGATCCTGAGATCCTGACCGTGGAGTGGCTGAAGAGGAAGTTGAGGAGCAAGAGGGTTCCCGTCAAAGCACTTTTGCTGGATCAAGCAAATATCAGCGGTATTGGCAATTGGGTCGGGTAAGTGTCGCCTGGTCTACATTTCCATCTGATCATCAGCTAATTTCTACCAGAGATGAGATTCTCTACCAAGCCCGCCTCCATCCTGAACAATACAGCAACACATTCAGCGACACCCAAGTCAAGGAGCTCCACGATGCCATGGTCTATGTTTGCAACACCGCTGTCGATACACTCGCGGACGCGGAAAAGTTCCCGGAGGATTGGCTGATGCGGCATCGTTGGGATAAAGGAAAGAAGAATGGGGGAAAGCTGCCGAATGGTGCCAAGATAACCTTCCTCAAGGTTGGTGGGAGAACTTCTGCCGTCGTGCCGAGTGTTCAGAAGAAGACCGGAGCTGTTGCTGGTGATGTATCAGAGGATGTGAATGGGGGTGGGGAGTCAGATGAGGACGTGAAGTCAAAGAAGGACAGCAAGCGAAAAGGCAAAGCTATAAAGGGGGAAGACGAGGAAGAGGAAGAGGAAAAGCCTAAAGCGAACTCGAAACGAGGTCGCAAAAAGGTCGAGGAGAACGGGGCAGTCAAGGATGAAGAGCAGGAGGAGTCCCCTGCCCCGAAGAGGCAGAGAAGGGCTGTTAATAATGAAACTCCAAAGAAGGGAAAGCAAACAGCGGAGGAGAAGGTTAGAACCGAGGAGGTCAGTGGGAGGCGGAGGTCTGGTCGATTGTCGATGGGTTAGGTTTGATTATGGAGTTCATCTAGCCATTGCCCTTTGATTCATGGTGTTCATGAACAAACGGATGCAAACACTTCGAATTAGAAGAACTGTATTGCCGGTTGCAGGACGGGGCGTCCAATGTACAGTAGGCTTGATCTTTTAGGGAATCACAAACAATATGAAATATGTAACATGCTGTTCTCCCACTTGAACACTGATCAATACACTATTGAAGACTTTACCACACCAGTTACAATCCTTCACCCAATTGGAGGAAGTCTTGGCAAAGATTTTGGCGCTCGGGTGGGATCGAACTTCGAAATTCACAGCTCCCCACTACGACCTTGTTCAGCTGTGACCACTCCTCCCCCATGCTCGGGCTGGGCTCATATTCTGCCATTTGAATTGAAATGATGCCGACTCTCATGTAATCCATTCTTTGCATTCCGAATCCTCCGACTTTGGCTGAATCGCCAGCCTTACCCGGCGCCGTTAGTTCCGACCTGGAGGCGCACGACACCACCTTCAATCTCGATACATAACACGACTCCCCACCATGCAGCCACTACCCTCGAAAGAGAACTCTCTCTTTCGGTCTGTGGTCAAATTCTACGAGTCTAAGCAATACAAGAAGGGTAATAGAGCCTTGTTGTTGCTGTCATAGGCTTCCTCTGACACGTATCAGGCCTCAAAGCTGCAGAGCAGATTCTGCGCAAGGTCCCCAACCATGGCGACACACAGGCCATGAAGGCCCTGATCCTCAACTCCCAAGGCCAGACAGAAGAAGCCTTTGCCCTCGCCAAAATCGCCCTTCGAAATGACATGAAGTCGCATGTTTGCTGGCACGTCTACGGCTTACTCTGGCGCTCGCAGAAAAACTATGAGGAAGCTATCAAGGCGTACAAGATGGCCCTCAGGATCGAGCCGGACTCGCAGAATATCCTCCGCGACCTCGCCCTCCTACAAATTCAGATGCGGGATTACCTAGGCTACATCGAGAGTAGGAGCACTATGCTGAGCGCGCGACCACAGTTGAGACAGAATTGGACAGCATTAGCCGTGGCACACCATCTTGCAGGTCACTATAAATCTGCGGAGCATGTCCTAAAAACCTTCGAAAATACCCTGAAGAGTCCGGTGCCGAAATCGGACCTCGAGCATTCAGAAGCTGTCCTCTACAAGAATACGTTAATTGCGGAATCCGGGGAAACACAACGAGCTTTGGAACATCTTGAGGATATTATGAAGGACAATCTAGACCGAACCGCTGTTCTGGAGCTGAAAGCGAAGTACCTGCTAGAGCTAGGTAAGAATGCGGAGGCCGAGAAGGCTTACAGGGCTCTGGTGGGCAGGAACAACGAGTACAGGGCGTACTATGACGGACTAGAAAAGGCCCTTGGACTGGACAGGTCCGACCCCGGATCTCATGAAGCACTCATGCAAATCTATGACTTGTACGCTGGGAAGAGCGAGCGTCTAGATGCTCCAAGGCGGATACCACTCGACTTCCTGAAAGGTCAGTTGCTCTATATAACGGAAACTCTGAATGCTAACGTTCAACAGGAGAGACGTTCAAATCAGCAGCAGACAAGTATCTCCGACGGATGCTGAACAAGGGTGTCCCTTCGACCTTCCCTAACATCAAAGCCCTATACGCCGATGCTGACAAGAAGGCTATCATCGAGGAATTGGCACTCGGGTACACTTCGGAAAAGAAAATGAATGGTTCGGCCTCAGGAGAGGTGAACGGGCAGGTCTCAGATCGCTTCGAGCAATCCGTACTTTATTTTCTCGCCCAGCACTACAATTACCGCCTCAGCCGCGATTTGGAGAAGGCTATGGGATACGCCGATCAACTGCTTGAGATTAATCCGAAATCGGTCGACTATAATCAGCTCAAAGCGCGGATATGGAAGCACTATGGGAACACGAAGAAGGCTTCTGAAACGATCAACCACGCTCGCGAGCTCGATGAGAAAGACCGCTACATCAACACCAAGTGCGCCAAGTACCAGCTACGAAACAACGAAAACGAGGCCGCTTTGATCACGATGAGCAAGTTTACACGAAACGAGACAGTCGGAGGACCTCTTGGAGATCTCCATGACATGCAGTGTATGTGGTTCTTAACGGAAGATGGAGAGGCCTACTTACGGCAAAACAATCTCGGTCTTGCTCTAAAGCGCTTTACTGCAATTGCCGATATATTCGAAATATGGCATGATGATCAGTTCGATTTCCACAGCTTCTCGTTACGAAAAGGGCAGATCAGGGCGTACATTGACATGGTGAGATGGGAGGATCATCTGCGCGATCATCCGTTCTTTACAAGAGCCGCGATATCGGCCATCAAGATCTACCTGATGTTGGCTGACAGCCCGAATCTCGCTAATGCTACCCCGACATCTAAGGAATTGAAAGAAATGGATCCGGTAGAGCGAAAGAAGGCGCAAAAGAAAGCTAAGAAGGAGCAGCTGGAGAAGGAAAAGGCAGAAGCCGAGAAGAAAGCAGCAGCGGCCAAAAAGCCAACTCCCACCGGCGCGGATGGAGAGCCCAAGAAAGAAGACCCCGATCCGAAGGGTCTGAAACTCATTCAGACGAAGGAACCACTAGAGGCCTCGTTGAAGTTCCTGGGTCCTCTTCTTGAGTTTAGCCCGAAGAACGTTGAGGCCCAGAACCTTGGGTTTGAAGTCTACTTTAGGAAGAGTAAGGTTCCGCCGAACGTGACTGTGGCATATGCTAACCTCGTGACAGAGAAGTGGGTACTTGCCCTCCACTGCCTCCACCAAGCCCAAACCCTAGATCCCGAAAACCCCAAACTTCATGAACAGTTTGTCCGCATGCGGCTAGCGCGTAAGTGCTTCATTTGTCCTAGAACCATGCCCAAACATCTTAATAATTTTGTATTGCAGTAAATTCATCAAGCGACCTCCAACCCAAGGTCTCCGAAGTCGTGAAGGAGACTTTCACCTTTATTCCCGCCGACGGCGACCTCAAAACGTTTAACTCCGAGTTCGAAAAGAAGCACGCAAAGAGTGTTTCTCATTTGCAGTCAGCGTGCAACGTGCGCTATCTGCTTGACAAGAACGCAAAGAGCCAGGCCGAGGCAGATGTACAGAAACTCCTCGATCTCCCTACTATCACCATGGAGCAAGCTATCGCGGGTCTCTCATGCCTCGACGAATGGTCTAGCGACGACAAAACAAAAGACACATACCGGGCAGCGGCCTCAAAGAAATGGCCGGAAGCAACCATGTTCCAGTGAAACTACGCATTGACCCATGATGCCTGGTATTTGAGATGGTAAATTAGGAGAGAGATCGAGGAGGAGCAGTGTACGTCTTTCTGGCTGGGTGAGGTAGAAATGGATGGATGGATGCATTATTTAGTCTTTTATGTTGTGTGTGGCTGTCAACTGGCATTTAAGGGTCTTTAATCACAATCAAGAATCTTGCTGTTTATCCAAATGTACGTTAGAGTGTCGTGCCCTGGACCCTTTGTTAGATAGCATGAGCTGAGCGGAGCATTGATTTGATATGATGTTAAATGCAGGCAGTGGGAAGGAATGGGTGGGGTTGGAGCTTTTTCTTGCCGCTGGCTTCTTACGGGTTGGTTGTAGTGGATAGGAATGTAGGTGGGGATATAAAAAGCTTACATAAATAGAGGATTTTGATATGGATGCAAATTATCGCAAGCATATGTAGTCTTGTATGGGTTGATTTTTTGGAATTGTAAGAAACACTTTCTGATGCCCCAGCGCCTGTCATCGCATATTGCAGAAGGGACTGGCTGAAATCGACGGGTCCTAACACCTTTTTATTTAGATGTGACCAAAAACATTTGGCACCCAGCAAGTGAGCGGTGTAATAGACGTCTCAAGCCTCCGACGCTGAATTCTTTCAGAAACGATCTTTCTAAATATTTCGCGTCTGTGGCAGCGTGATTAATTTCATTGTAGGATTCCTTATGCTGCCTACGGTATCTCGAGAATCGTAGAAGTAGGTAGGTAGCCTGTGGGAAAAGGAGTTTTCTCTGACTTCCTTTGACGAAAGGATTGGATTTTCTTGGGAATGCAGAACGTGGAATCCGAATAGACTTCTACGAAAGCGCTAGGAAGGGGAGGTCGGCTCTTATACAGCTAGTGATGTTTTCTCTCGCACACACAGGCCTAGAAGATCCCAAGGTTTTCACTGTAAACTTCACTTAGCTCATCACATACATCATGCAACGAACTCAAATCTTAAATCTCAAAATCGCCTAACCTACATGCATACACGCATGAACGGCTTGGATATTCATTCACACCACTAAACTCCGTGACCAATATGCAGCCCAGAAAAGAGAAAAAACCAGCTCAGATACCTGAGTCCGTCTGCTCATAAGGATGATTACCGGGTTTCCAGTAATTACCCCACTCGGTACAGCCCTGGTTAAAGCCATCTACGTTTCCTATGGCGCCCCCAATCGAGCCCCGGCTTTCGAGGAATTGGACTGAGAGACCTTGGGACGCGTGCCAGGCGATATGGCAATGCATCACCTAATCGCGAGTTAAAAAGGGTTATGTGGAGGGTATGGGTTAGGCTGGGAGAAGAGATGATGAAGGTGGGGGGCATGGGTGAGTTTAGAGATGAGGGGAGAAGGCATGACTTACCCAGATTCCCGGATTGTCGGCCGGGAAAGCCAACAGCAGATACCCGCCAGCCGGCAGCGTGGCGACATCTCGACGTGTTGGATTATTGAAGGTAAGGCCTGTAGTCGAGCCATCCCACGTCCCTGATCCCTTGCCAACAATGTAGAAATCATGGCCGTGGAGATGGATAGGATGGGGCAAGGCAATGAAGGTTGTAGTCTGGACCCACCACAGATACCACTATAGAGCAAATCAGATACTGCAAATAATACAAAAAAGAGTAGCAAGTCCTTACGCTGCCAGAGGTCGTCATCTCATGGACATTGGAGTTGTTTCCAAAGTCATTTCCGGCATTCAAAATCGTCTTCAGGGTTGGCTGGTTCCAATTGACGATCTGCGTGGTGCCATCAATGGTCCACGTGAAGAGGTTGTTTTGGGCGGCATCGATATTGTGGTTCAAGTCAAGCTCTCCAGCTGAAGGTACAACAGATGTGGGCACGGTATTTGGCACAAATGGAGTCAAAGTAGTTTCGTCATCGCAATCTGTTTTCAATGTCACCCCACTTGTCGTAGGCTCCGCATCCGGGGCGCCTGAATAATGCAAGATGGCGCCGAGCTGTATGTTCGAGCTCAGAATGTTGTTGTTGCTGCAGGCTGTACCGTAGCCAACACGGAACCAATAATTTCCTGCTGTTTGATTGGCGTTTATGACAACATCGTATCGCTGGCCTGCACACAGGAAGTACAAGGTCAGCAATTGTTGGCGAAGCTCGTCTGGGGTTAATGAAGCTGCAGCTGAAACGAATGCATACCGATATTTATAGCTAATTGGTCGGTGACGTAAGGCTTAATGGGGACCTGGTAGGATCAGATTAGCGAGTGGTCGACTGACAGGGGAGGTGGGGGTCGTACAAAATCAGAGGTAATGACTGTGAATGGATGACCGTCGAAAGACACATGGAAGTGCGAATCAACTGCCGTGTTTATAAGCCGAATTCGGTACTTTTTGCCCTGTATGGTGGTCAGCTTTGTTTGAAGCTTGGTGAGGCTGAGTTCAGAGACGTACCTTTGTGACGTTGATCTTGTAGTAACTGCCGCCTCCGTTGGCGTTTTTATGGGTTCCGTTGACAAGGATGTTGTCTGGAAGGGGTGGTCCCGTTAGAGAGTGCAGTGCCTGTTCATTCAGTTCGAACGCTGGTTTGTAGTACCAATCTGTGATTGGGAGGGTGCCTAGATCAAAATCGTAGTTCGCAGTTGCTGGACCGTCCTTTAGGCAAGTAAGTTGAGTATGCGCGCAGATCTTCCAGGTGTGCTTACAATGATGAGTGTGCCAACCACGCCCGCTCCGTATTGCGCACTCCAGTGGCTGTGATACCATGTCGTCCCAAATTGTGTGCACTTGAACACGTATTGACGAGTCTTGCCCGGAGCAATTGGGCATTCTGGAAAGTATTCAGAGAATGTCGGTGCTGCAAGAAAAAATAACATACCAGTAACGCCAGGGACCCCGTCATGCTGACAAGAGCCCAACTGTCTAGAGAATGAAAGTGTTAGCTGTAATAGTCAAGTGACTGCTTTCCCGATTGGGCACGGAAAATCGGACAGAGCGGGCAGCCAAGTACCATCCAATCACGAAACGCTATGTGTTCAGGGGTGCATACCTAACACCATGCCAATGAATCCCAGTTCCGTTGTCTTGTAACGAGTTGTGCACTATTCCCACATCAACTTGCAATTCACTCATTACAATAAGTGCACTGACCATTGATTACCAAAGTATCACCCCAAGATGCTTTCCAAAATCAGTCTTTACAAGTCATATTGTTGCCAGGACACCAAACAAACCTCGAATGACAGGACCGGGATATTTGCCGTTAATAAGCTACATCCAGTCAGTGGCACCGAATAACAAAATCTCGAAGTTGGCTTACCATTACTGGCTTATCACCATGCCCATCCGCATTTATTGTCGTATTTGAAATGTCCAAGTCGTACTTAAATTATGTTAGAAGAGACACATGATAGGAGTCCATGATAGCTCACAGTGACAGTCTTTCCAGCAGGTGGCGCTTTAGCATCGAAATCGGTCGATATACTGAAGCCGCTGCTCCAGCATTGTCTTGTTAGAGGACCGTTTGTGCAAGCACCGTCCTGTCTTTCTAGAAGCACTGAATTGGATTCCAATTGAGCAGCATCTCGGGGTATAACACCAGCGAGAGAAAGGGATCCAAGGGACAGCCAAAGAGATATCCTCTGGAGCAACATGGTTAAACGACAGTCAGTATGATAGAAGATGGATGCTATGAAAGAGAAATGAATATTAAGGGAAAACAACTCCTTTACAGCTCAAGGGAGTATGAAGACCCAGGAACCAATACAAGGTGGGAAGAATCAAGTCCAAGACATAGGTGGCAGATATATATGAAATCCTCTAACATCAAATTCCAGAAAGGATAGGACGGCCTGATGACAAGAGCCGTATGCACACAGCTCCTGGGGCCATGGCGCTCGCAGGTACTCAGCCAGGCTTGTTGCACACGTTCAGCTACAGGAAAGTATCTCGTGGCTTGGAGTCCCAGGTGCGCGAGATCAAGTCTCCAGGGTGTGTCCCATGCAGCGATTATTGCCTCCAAGAGCCCCAAGACGAAGCGGTGACAATCTTCCGGTCAGAACAGACACGAGTTTGGTTCGATTCATCCAGCACTGTTCCAATTTAATGGGGAAAACTCTATTTTGAGAAGAAATGCCCAGAATCGTGGCGTAGATACCAGGTTGAGCTGAGGCCCTAGGTGGGTACTGGTGTGGGGCTTCCAAAGCCAACAGCTGCGGGTCGAGGATCTGAGCATCCCTGGGACAAGGCTGACATGTCGGGGGTGTGGTTAGTCATGTGAGGTTTACCTGGAGAGGTTACCAGGACGCGATAGAGGGCGTCGAGAGTTCCTCACTGTCATGACTAGGTTGGGTAAAAGAAGCGACTTATGCGGGTTGAGACCCTGACCCCAGGTGGTGGATCCCCTGCAGGCTCGCGTCAGAGAGCCTTAACCTGTAGCATGCAGCACCATATTGAATGCAGACCTAAACCCCTCAACTAAGGGAAGAATCATCCGACTGTGCAGTTCTACAAACGAGCTGGAGGAGCCAAGGTCGCGTGGCTAACGCTGCAGCCATGGAGCTCGCCGTGACTTCCCACGTACCGCTTCAATATAGCGCTTCAAAAATGTCAAAGAAACAATAGGGCCACGACAGCGCCGGTATTCGAAGAGGCTAAAAGCTAAGGAATACACGAGCGAATGGCGGAGTCGGAGGCTGCGTGGAGAAATAGAAACTGTGGAGAGAATACGAAAGAAGAAGTGAACTCCAGAAGAGGATTGTTCCGAGCACTGCTCCGAGGTCCCTTCTGCAGAGAAACAAACAGGTACCACAGCCAGCCGCAAGCAAAAAGCAAAGAGGAGTCAGATTTCTTGGGCAATCATCACCCGAGTGTTCCTGAGAAGTGAGACAAGAGGAAACATCGGTAGGGCTGACATTTGCAAGAAGGCGGTGGTGGTCCTGGTATCTCGCTGCTGACCAGTATTTTTTTGAAAACCGATGTTCTCACCAAATGTGTTTCAAGTAGACTTGAGCATATACGAAGTTGGGGAACAGGTAAGCGTCTGGGGTCCGAGAGCGTCGTTTCTTTGCTCACATTCGACGACTTTCATCACATGTTGTGCAGCTGTTAGTAGTTCAAGGGTAGCAAGCAGGTCGCTGAATTGATCGGCCATCCGTAATCCAGGTGAATAGAGCTGGCGAAGCTTCGGGACACAGGCTCGTACCGCAGGGCCGGCTGCAGGTTGTACCAAGACAGGTTCTCGGAATCGAGGCCTGGCAGCGATCACGAGAGGCTGTGCGGCAAGGTCCGGCTGTCGTTGTTCCCCAGCATGGATGAGCTGGTGTTGTCAGAAGTCAGGGTCATCGGGGGGCTGATCGGGGATGTGGTCCGGGTATGGTTGGAAGTGACGTGCCAGCTAAAAATGGGGTGAATTGGAGCTTGTGCCTCTCCTACGCGCTAATTGGCTCCACACCCGAGCAGTATCAATATTGTGATGCATGCTCTCCTCCGCGCTCTTGTCTCCACTATCCTGCACCGTCTCGCCGCGGCGACACGATGGGACATTCTCCTCGTGGCGCGGGTCAGAACTAAATGAGAGTTTCCACAAGCTGACAGCCTAGCCAGGCGATATGGCCCACCCTTCCGCATCTCGGCATTATGGTGGCCTCGACCAAACAAAAGCTGGTGGCCGTTTGCATGTTCATCCAAGCCATCTGACGAGCTCCCTGTCGCCTCGAAGTTCGGGTCGAGGAACGCGGTAGAGACGCCATGGAATGAAAGGAAACTTGCTCAGCTCCATCGTAATGGCATACAAAAGAGCTCGGTGTTGTCCCCCCCACTGGTCCCGAAGACTCCTCCAAGTCTCTACCTCTCAATTTCACTGTCGTTCTTCTCTCGTTGAGCTCCAGTTATGTATTCCTCTCGTTTTACCTCCCTGTCAGCATTTGCTGCTCTCCTCTCGTTAGCTGTCACAGACCCAAACTCAGTATGCTACTCATTTGGTGTTGATTTTGTCGATGATCAACATTATTTCATCAACACCTTATCGAGCGAGAGTTTTACCTGTGTCTCAACGTTCAAGGGCTGCAATGTAGATGTTGCAGATGTTCTTCTCATAGACCCTAATGGCGATGAACTTCTGTGCTCTCAGATTCCGACAACCCCGGCTGATACTCCTGAGCTTTCAACATGTCCTATTTTGAAGAGTCAGATGGTCACTGGCGACTGGATCATCTTGATTCTGGGAAACAACGATGACGGCAACCCTTTCGCTTGGGAAAGAGGCTAGTCTCTAAGATCTTCCTCATGTCATCAAGTCTAACTGAGTATCAGATCTCTCCCTAGACTGCGGACCACAGGCTACCACCACATACACCCCGACAGTGACCTTCAACATAACTACCACTCCTACTATAACCTCAACAACTTCCTCCACCCTCTCAATCACCTCCACTTTCGGCCCAACCACAACTTTCACCATTCCGTCTAAAACTGCTAAGCGGACCAAGACAGTCACTCCCACTCCTGTTACTACTACAATTGTCAAAACCTTCACCAGGCAGCGAACAACGTGGACAAAGGAACTCACAATTAAGACCAAGACTGTTACGGCAACTTGCACTGATCCGCCTAAGCCTACTCATCCCGACAAGCCATGTACTTACTCTCCGACCTTGATCCATCCGAAGGCACTAGCGACTCCGACCTCTAAAGCTCACCGATATGTGCGCAAGGGTGATCGTGCCGTTGGTGTTGAGTACGCCCGAAGCCGAATCGAAGCCGCTAAACTCAAGCGTGATCTTAAAGCCAAGGCTGCTGAAGCTCAGCTCGAGGAGCGCGCTCCCGACGCACCTACCCTGACCATCACAGCAGACACCCCAGTCAATGCTACAGTCACGTACACAGATCCTGCTATCACTACCACCGAATCAACCATTGTTACGACCACTGCTTCGACAACTCTTCCTCCTGTCACAGTCTACTCTGGCGTCTTCACCTCGACCATTACCCTACCTACACCTACCAAGACGCGGATGTCTTTCACTTATACGACTTCTTGGACCACTAAAACGATCCATGCTACGTACGTATCGCTACCTCGCTTACTTCTTCGATTAGCTAACCAAACTGCAGCTGGACCCGTACTACCACTATCACTCCGAGCGCATCAATTACGGCATGCAGGAAGCATGGTGGGCACTACGGTGGTAGATTTTGAGCACTCTGAGACACCTATTTCTTTAGGTCCATAGGTCATTCTAAGATAGGCGCACATATATCTCTTCTTTTATATCCCGATAGCAATTGAATTGAACGATCTCCAAATTGAACAATGCACAACAAAGTTCATTTGCATCTTGAAGCTGTGCGGAGCTCCATCTGCAGTGGTACTGAAGAAGCAGCTCACAGAAGCTATCCTTGCTCCCATGCAAGCCTTCTCACTTGCATATGTCTCTGTCATCACAATATCAACACGTCAAGTGTCAAACATCATCACTCGCAACCGAGTCGTCCACTTACGACCCTAGTCTTGCAATCAATAAACCTCACACAGCATCTAACATCCTGGCCAGCGATCACACGTCAAAATATTTCTTGCACGCCGACGGCCCTGCGCCACAGCTCGGCTGAGGTGAAGGAAGAGCTTCCCTCTATGCAAGCCCGCTAGACTGACGCCATACCCCTGTCGTCAACCACAGCCGCATCCATGCCTCATCTGCAAAAGAGTCCCTACGGCTCTTTTCACCCGAAAACGACAGCTCCATGACACGAGCACACGGAAGATTCCAGGAACCCCCGTGTCTCGTCGCCAACCGCCTCGCCAACACTCCACTACTGCTTGTGCTTGGTCTGAAGTACGACCTCCAAACCCCATCACCTTTGATCTGCCTCAAGCCCACCAATACGAGCTCAGGCTCCCCGCACTAAAGTCCGAAAAGCCACCTCGTGTGTCCTGCAGCCACACTTGCTCGCCGTCTCTTTGACCGTTTCTACTAGCAATGCGACGCCGATAGCCGGGTTCTGAGCGTCTCGAGCGGAAGTGAGGTGGAGGATTTAGTCACCAGTGTGGCGCTTGTTTCGCCCGATGGCTTTAGGTAAATGGTGCCGTGGATATCAGCTCATCATCGTCACGATAAGTAGAGGAAACTGTCAGCAGAGCAAGTACTTCCGATCGGTACTTGTTGCCAGAAGTGGCCTTAGGCTTCTGGAATCCGGCTTGCGAATCATAAAGGCAGCCGGGGGAGTGCGGTCAAGAGAAACTCGTTGCGAGCTTGGTTTCGCATTGACTGAAGGCTCGCTACTGGACACTCACTTTCTTCCCTTCTATCCGACTTGTCATCTCACGCTCGTATCTGCATTCTGCTGAGAAAAGTCGGCCAAAGGCAAGGAGACCTGCAGAGGTGCAGAAGCAGCTGTCAGTTCACAACCAGGTGGTTGGTTTGGGGTTGAGTAGTTAAGCCTTGATGCCTGCTGGTCGATGCTTAAATTTAGCAAACTACGCCGATCACTACTAGACCGAGGTTAGAATGCTTGACCAATGATCCGGCACTGGACGTTACGGGTTTGACTTTGTCGACGAGACACGGGACGGCTCGACAATCTGAGGATAATCCAGGATTCGGGTTTTCGATGTTTTTTGATGGACAGTTTTCACGGTACTTCATTTTTAGTGTTAGATTTTAAATTTTCTTGAAAAGCTTTTGCATCTTGTATCTTGTTTTCCTTCGTAAAATTCGCGTTCTGATACTTCACAGCCAGCCTTCTTTGCTGCCTACCGTGAAGTTTGAGCTATTCCCCACAATCAATCTTTTTCCCCACGCCCACCTCGGTGAGCACAAAAGTTCACTTATCAAACAACACTGTAGCCAGCAGCCTAACCCCTGGTTCTTAAGGTGCGCCCATTACAGCTGTCAATGCATAAAGTATCCCGTTAGTCCTGTCAAAGCTTCAATCAGCAAAAGCAAACGAGGCCAAAATGCCCTCCACCAAGGAAGCACTGCGCTGACTGGAATCCAACAACTCCCATCCGACCTCACTCGCCGACTTCATTTGTCTGACTCGTGCTCGAGCGGCTTCGCATTCCCCATCTGCCACAAATCGATAAACGCCCACAACGCCCGGCGGGGCGCGCCTACGTCAGCATTGGGAATCCGTGCAGATTTCGGGCGCCGGAGAATTCCAAGATTCGTATCGAATGCGCATTTCATCCCCGCCGTCAATCACTAACTACCAATGATGCGGTTGTCGTAGTAAGAGCCACTCTCTGTTGGCCGATGAAGTGCATTTGGTGGCGATAGAGGATTATCCTGCCTGACATCGTGGCAAACTTTGAGGTCTTTCGATGCTGTAGCTACTAATGAGATAGGGAAAGTAGCAGTCAAGAAGAAGCAATTGAAGGCGAATGTGCTAGTTTACACTGCTTCGTGCAGCGGGAAATAGTCCTAAATAAGCTTAAGCTTATTCTTAAGCCTACATGTGAATTGCTAGCATCACACTTGCATTATCGGTACACTGCTTGTTGAGAAATGGGTGAAGTGCTTATCCGATCCGAGCCGCCTCGAAGCAGCCTTGCGCAAAACCCAGCCTTCGGACGATGACCCCAAGACCGACCGAAAGTACTTATGTTGTCAGGCCTTCCAATACCTGGTGGCTTGTATTGTGGGTCTGTTAGCAGACCAAGTGTGCAGTTGCCTTGAGTTGTTCGCGCTGTCATGTCAGAACTTTGAACGTTAGGTGCGCTAGCTCACTGTTGTGAGAATAGTGCGAATGCTGAAGACAGGATAAGAGCGCGTGAGTTAACAGACAAGGAGGAGTAAACGGCGAGGCCGAACGTTCTCTGTCGTGGGCTGTCAGCATGCCCTAAGCAAGCATCAACCAGGCACGAATGCCAGCTCTACTGCTAGTCAGATGTCGAGTGTTATTATACCATTGTCGATTCAAGAGACCACAGCCCGTTTTGGAAAAGATGTAAAAATAGGGTCGCACTCACCACTTCAGCATAACAAATCATGAGTGCCAAAGGAGCAACAATGGAGCGAAACACGTGACCCACTATTAGGGTACGTCTGTCGTGCTACCTCTTCTTACGTGCAGTCGATGCAGAGATATCAAGGTCATGCTATCTAGTACACTGAAATTATCTCACCATCTTGTTCCTATGCAGCGTTACATAAACGCCCGCCGCCCCGCATCTCAATCGCACTCCCATGTCAAAGTCTCTCGCCCGGCAAACTGCATGATAGTGTAACAACCACCATACCCACCAAATGCCTTCGCCGTCAGCGCAAACCACCGGCACTCTTCTTGGCTCCCTATCTCCCTCTCTTCCTTACCTTCTCCTCTTGTGCTCTTTAACCCATGTTTCCGTATGAGCAGAAACAGCTCTCGCACAAATTGAGGGGGTATGAAACCCTTCCACCTCATACGAATCATGTTTCTCGGAGAAAGACCATTGAAATTAGGAACTTCGTATCGGCTGAGGAAGGAATCAATCCGGTCTCCGCTTCTGATTCGGGGTGAGCCTAAAGTAACCAAATGCAGCCACTCTAGTAGCGCAAGTGAGTCTTCTTGTTCGTACAGATCTGGAAGACTAGCTACCACGATATTCGGCATTACAACGTTATGAAGCGTGGCTATTGCTGGAGGGACTGTGTAAACGAAGGGATGGTGCGGCGAGATCGGTTCTCGACCTTCAGGGAGAGATTCATTGCTCGAGGGGTTGAAGTTGTAGAAGAGCCAGGTAAGGCTTTGGTTCAAAACGTTCTTGCAGGCCCATTCAAGGCGAGAGAAGAGCTTCTTTCCGTGCACCATGTTGGAAGCGCGGAGATTGAACTCGACCACTGCACAACCCTATCGTCAGCAAAGATGTTTCGGACCTGCATGCCCAGAATACACGTACCCCACCGGGCTTTCTGATGTTTCTTTCCACCATCCTCTATTGGTGTACCTTGCAGACCGCAACGTTCGTACGTCGGCCTATCGAGTTCGATCCTTAGAACGCCTTCGTAGAGCGAGAATACGTTGTCGACGAGGGGTCGGCCTTCCGAGAGCATCATAATATTCCCTATTCCCAGATTAGCCTCCCATATCCCTTCCAGAATTTCTACTCCTCCCATACCTTTCTTGATATATTCCGTAAAAAAAGGGCCCTCCAACAGCTCCCCCAGCTTCATATATACCTTCGCATACCGCAACCTACTCGCCCCATCTCCGACATCCAATTGAGTCTGCACAAGCTCGTAGAGCTCTTCGGGAAGTATTAAATCCAACTAACACATAATCAGTATCCAATCCCAATGTATTTTATGTTCCTAACTTGCCGTACCGTATGGGAAAACCGCTGCGCATTGAAAGTCGAGAACGGCTTCTTCTTCGTCGGGAGATTCTGTGGGTCAATGTATCCTGGCAGCAGGCTGTGTGTGAAGTAGGTTTTCGGATTTGGTCCGTCATCCTTTTGTATGTCGAACATGGTGGTAAGGCTTGGTGATTACGCAAAACTGTGGACTGAAGCTTTTAGAAGCTTGCGCTTCCTGAAAGCGACGGAGTGGGGGTGGAGCTGGGCGGAATTTAGCCGCTCTTGGCGGAGTGATTCAGCCCTAGAAAGCTTAGCCTTATCATGTGATGCGAGATTCTCCTGCGACTGCAATCGACATCCCACGGAATCAACCTTCTGAATGTCTGTGCTCACGAATTTTCCGCAGCGGTCAGTATGCAATTAATCCCTTTTCGGCTGCTGTCACTTCACATAAATAGATTGACGTATTCAAGCATCAAACGAAACAAAGATGCCTCTCCGGTTCTCCACCATCGGTACCATCCTCCTGGTCGCCTCAGCAACCTTCTATACCAACCTAGTTGTGAGGCACCATAGCCAGTTGCCGCGCCATTTCCCACAATCTGTTGACTTGATTTCTGCAATAACTCAGGACATACTTTGCTTGCTGAAAACAACCGTCACTAGTGACCGGAGAGTGTCCGAATATCAGCGGCGCATTGCTCGTGATGATAGCGCAGAATTCCGGCCCAATCCAATCTTGGGCTCCGCCCGGAAAACAATCTTTTCAGCTTGCTAAACAGAGAGATCAAGAACGGAAGAAGAATCTCATTCGAGGTCCTCTCCATGGAGTCCCTTTCGTTGTTAAAGGTAACACAGCCTCATGCTATTGCGTGAGCGCCCTTTATAATTTATTGTCTATACCCTTCAAGACTATGTCCACTTGGAGCTTTCTTTCATCGTTAGAAAAATCGCAGAACGCTAATGCAGTTCTCATAGGTTGGGGAAATCTCCAGGAAAGTGACCTCTTGTATATAAATCTGGCTCCCCGTAGGAACGTGCGGGTTTCAAGTAATATTTTTCCCTTTAATATCCACATGATATGAGTTTAAGAGAGGCAGAGTTCAAAAATGCTGGATGGTCGAAAATTGGACGGCGTACAGTCTCTCCGTCTGACTTCAGCGTATGCTATCCAAAGTTCTAGCCCAGTAGTATCTAACACTTTTAGGAACCCTGTAGATCATCTTCAGGATTTGGAGTCGCGGTATCCTCCAAATTTTCACTTATTACTTTAGGAACAGACACCACAGAGCTCAGCGACCTATCCTGCTGCGTTCAACGCTCTATACAACATTTAGCCTACTGTTGGGCTACTTTCACGAGGCTGTATTCTCCATACATCGCCGTCTTTCCACATCCTAGGAGTGATTGCAAAATCGATTTTGGGATATTTCCACATTTTTAAATGCGCTATCAGGCCTGATATGAAAGGCACCGTCACTGTCGACGCTTCTTTCAAACGTGTGGTTGACTGAAACTAGCCGCTATACGGTAAATGGAGGAACTTGTACATCAGCGCCTTGGGTAAGGACTTATTTTGGAGCGAAACCATTCCAATATCAGACAAAACTCGCTGGGGACCACCAGTCCAGCGCTTCAACGATCTTATAGGCATTTCCTCTAAAGTTTCTATAGAAGTTAAGTCGAAACAGATGATTCAACATGTAATGCAACCTTAGTCCAATTCCAAAAACTGGGTGCTTCCATTGTTGAAAGCATTGAACTCCCATGGGCTACGTTGTGGAGCGGAAGCTAACCCAGTACTGCAAAATATTATCTCCGATTGTCCGTTACGACACTTGTCCGGATTAGCATCTAGCTAGCATATGAATATCACTGGCTAAGAACGAATCTTAATTCGTACTTCGCGACACTACGGAGCACGCCAATCCACAGCTTACGCAAACTAGTCGAATTCGACAAAGTTAACCCAGGTCCTGCGGATGACGAAGGTAAGTACTATCCTAATGTGACGGCATTCCATCCAGCGTTCCCAACCGTACGTACTACGACTCGTAGATACGTGAACGTAGCAGTCACGTGAGCCGTTGAAACGTAGGAGGAGTGTGAGCCGTAACGTACGTAGGAGCCAGCTCCCATTACAGACCGTAATACGTCTCAGAGAGACAATATTTTCTAGTAATATAAGGTCTTATTAGATAGCTATAAGGACGCGTTAAAAAGGTGTTTAAAGTTATATTTTTAGAGTAATAATTAAGTAAAAACTCTATAGTTTGTACAATAATTAAGAAGCTAGCAAAGAAGGGGATTAAGGCGTAGAATCTTATAATTTTAGTTAAGAATTATAATTGCTTATAAACTTACTTATTATAAGCTAGATATCCTAGTTCCTTTAGTGTAGCAAGTGTACAGCTTTATTCTAAGGATCTTTTTAAGCTAGCTTTTTTTACTAAACTAAGGTTACTTATTACGCTAGTTCTTATTAACTTGCCTAATTAAAGTCTTTGTTATTAGAGTTTTTAGTTTTTTTTTATAATAGCATGCTATCTAATAGTCTTTTAGCTCTTATAAAAAAGTACCTAGATAACTCTACTTTTAATAATAAAGTATTATTTGCTATTAAGTAGGACAACATCTAAATAGAAAATAAAAAGTTAAGGCTAAAAAAGCTTAGATACTAAGTAAAGCATAAGAGCTAATTACATAGTAATTATTAGTTATTTTAGATATAGCTTTATAGAGCTAATTTAGTGTATAATAATAAAAAAAACGCCTCTAGAATAAAGTTGTAGCTCTATAGAAAGTGCCACACTAAAGGCAATTATAAAGAGGTAAAAAAAGTTAATAGTTACGCTTATATTATCTACTACCTTAGGAAGGAGCACTAGATAGATATTAGTAAAGAAAGTAAAAGCGCTCTCTTACTTAATAAGCTAAGAATCTTTTTAAGTTTATTTAAAGCAGCTTATAAAGTTATAGGCTTATTATATATTATTTTTTATAGTGTTTAGCAGAAGAAAGCTTTATAAGTAGTAGTTATTAACTAAGTAATACTTTATAATATTTTTTTTTATACAGTATTATTAGTAGAACTTTAAGGTATTATTACTTAAAATAGAGCTAATCTTCTTACTGCCCTTCTAGCGTCTAACACCACATATTTGTCCTACGTGCAGTAGGGATATACGCAGCAGAAGTAGGAAATTTAAATAATGCTAAAAATAGCCTAAAGCAAAATTATGTTAAGCATTAATATATAAACTTTTTTAAACTACTTTTTTTTTCTAGGTGTAGTGTTGCACTTTATTAGTAAGTGTACTTTAGCTTATTAGTTTAGCGTCTTAGCATCTTTTATTAAACTAAACACTAACTAATAATACTGTGTAAATGTTAACTACTAACACTGCAACATCTTAATTAGCTTCTGCAACTTATACAGTAACTATACTAGAGCAAATTAAGCGCTAAAGATTATTAAAGTTATTAATAACTTTAAAATTATATTAAAATTTTATTATTTAGTAGCTAATAATATGTTAAATAATAATAATAAGACTATCTTTGCTTTTACTTAACATCTTAATATGCCCCTTACCTCTAAGCACTGTATACGCTGCGCTGGCTATATAATCTAGCTAGTAGTAAAAGCAGTTATCTATAGTAAAAAAATAAGCGCTTTTAAAGTAGAGCTTACTTAAGCAGCTTCTTAGAAATAATTTAACCTCTATTACTGCTATAAAGTTATTAGAAAACTTTATAATTTTATAAACATAGTGCTAGCATTATATAAATAATAAAAGGCTTTTATAACTTTTTAGGCTACTTTTAATAATAACAACCCTTTTTAAAGCTTTAGAACGCTTAATTTTATATAAGACAGTAGTGTATACTAGCATAGTGTTTATTTTATGCTTCTCTGCTGTTTTAAGCTTAAGGACACTATTACTAAGTTTATACATAAGTAAAAAAGCACTAATAACAACTTTATAAACTTTACTATCTTTAGTAACTCTACTCTTACTAAAGTTATTACTAAAGATAAATAAAAAAAGGTTAATTACTTTTATAAGTTTTTTAAAGTTTTTTACTTTATAATAAAATGCCTTAAGGGTAACAGCTTCTATAGCTCTCTTTAGATGTCTATTATTAACCTGCAACACCTCTATACTAAGCTCCTACATATAGGCAATAAACTTAAAGGTAAGAGTAATAATTACTACCTTAAATCTAGCGTAGTATTTAGCATAGAAAAGTTGCTTACATACTAAAAAAAGTTTATTATTAAGCTACTTATATTTTATTACTATGTAGTAATAATTTTAAACCCTTAACTTTATTTTATTTAGTTTAAGAACTACTAAAGAAAGCACTTTATATAGCATAAAAAAGCTAAGGCTTTAATAAAAGCTATTTTTTAAAAGTATGTTAATATAAAGGCTAAGGCTAAAGCTAATAATAATAACATTACTTAGAAGCCTACATAACATAAGTTACTTAGTAGTAACTATTATAATAAAAGCTTTAAAAGGACTTTCTCTATTAACATAAGCCTCCTTACTAGCAGCTGCTTATATAAAAAGCAGTAGAAAACAACAGAGTTATAGCAGTACTATAATAGCTACTATAAAGATATTACTATAGCTAATAATAACAGCCCTTTATTTACTAACTCTTTTACTTAGTAGAAATAAGTTAGATAACTTTTTTACTTTATACTATATAAAATTACTTTTAACTTTTTATCTATTTTTTTTATAAGCTGTAATTATAAGAGGTTCTTTTTTAAAAGTAGAAGAACTGTTACTTGCAACAGAAATAAGCTTTTTAGCTTAATAATTAAGGCTTTCTAACTGCAGAAAAACTAGCTCTAGCAGGGTTATATTTATAGTAAAATAGGGGACTTAGTAGACTGTATACGCTGTAACGTCTTACAAGCTGTTAAAATGTAGGAGGATTGTAAGCTATAATAGTTACGCCCTGTAAGTAGATTTAAATTCTCCCTTTACGTTAAAACGTACTAACAAACTAAGAAGTTACGGCCTAAAAAACAGCGAGTTGAAACGTATTACGTACGGTTGGGAACGCTGATTCCATCTCGATGAAGCAAAAGCCTGTTTCTACTAATCCTAGTTTCGCTTTATGTGATTTCTCATCTAAGTTCCACCTTAAGTCACATCCCTTCCAGGATGTATCACAGGTCCCTTTCTACCAGATTCTCTCCCTATGTCCCTATGTTCCACTCTAGGTCATCTAAGGCCCATCTCATCCTATCTATCTAAACCTAAATGCCGCTTCCTCCATAGATCATCCGGGCCAAGAGCGGCGTGAAGAGGCCCTAGCTTCAAATCTATCTTGGGGAGAATACCAAATGCTGCAAGCGGAACGCACAATACTAGCCAAAACACACGCCACTGAGAATGTGTTGGACAAAGACAATCTCGGTGCTGTGGTACCGTCTACTTTACCAATCCTGCCAAGCACTATGCAGTGAGTGGTAAGTACCTTGCAAAATCCGCAGCCTGTGCTCCGAACATATTTCACTGTATGTTACTTTTCCTCGACTTAGATATTTACCACTGACCAACCGCATAGCAGGCGTTCCTTTCGGAGTTATTCCATTTGGACAATATACCTCTGGTCGACTCTTCGGCCTTGGATTTGTCGTCCGCAGATTCGATGACGAATTACTCCTCTAAATCATGGGTGTAGTGGAGGCCATACTGAAAATCTTCCAGTACAACAGCCTCTTTGCGAAGACTAGATGCTGGTAGCTTCGCGCAAAGACTACGACACGAAATCCTCACCACTGATTCTGAAGCCTCTAAACCGTCCATTTTGTGGCGAGATTCCGAAGAAGTAGATTCCTCTTGGCTTGTTTAGGAAGGAGCTTCCTGGGGTGGGGAAGTAAGATGCCTAGAGCTTCCGGTGCAACATCAGGGACGGAAAGTTGCCCCCTGTTCCAAATAGCAAGGACGTAGCTTCTTGTATCGCCTTAAGCCCCCTTTCTTTCCTAGACACGCAATGCACCTAGCCTGGAGAATGACATGCAAATCTAACCCAGGCTCCAATGCAACGTATATATATTAAATCTGTTTCACACTTTACTAGACTTGTGCTAAAACAGTAGAATTTACATGTAGGTACTCACTCTCTTTTGTCATGAAGCTTATTACGGTCAACAACCCCGACGTAGCCTGATTCATCGCCAACGATATTTGGTATGTTATAAATGTCCATATCGCCTATTCTGTAAGCTGGGGTGGTAGTGACAGGTCCTGCATATTGCCACTTACGACAGAATGTAGCAATCCTCAAATTTGTAACAGACACAAGGATCTTAATTCTTGCAAGGCTGAGAGAGAGAATCTACCCAAATTGTTTTCTATTGAAAGGGATAACATGCTGTAGTTTGCGGAGCCAAATTCAGCAATCACTATATCTATTCATACCTAGATTGAGGGGGAATACACAAAGAGAACTCTCCCCACCCCTCACCCGAAGGAAATCTATCCACAATGAAAGGGAAGCCCATCATTCATAATTGCTCCCATGCATCCTACTCTGAACGCCACATTGAACTCCAGAATCCGCCCGGCTAGCCTCATCATTAATCGATTCCTCGCAATCCAGCCCGATAGACAAAGAGCAAAATGCAGAGGACCGGACCTCGAATGAACACTGCACCGAACCGCCATGAAATGCCTGTCAATAACGCCATTGATATACATGCTGAAGTTTAGACTTTGGACTCTGTGGGTTCCGGCTTTGCTTCTGTCTTTAGCGCCGAACCCCCGACTTTCACGCTATATGTAGCCTCGAGGTCTTCGACGGCTTCGACGACCGCGACTTGGCCCGCAGGAAGCATTTTGTGGGTAAGATCCCAGCCAGCGCGACGAGCGAGCTCGGCAACGACTGCGTCGCAATCACCGAGGAGGTTGATGTCAAAGTTAATGTGGTGGATTGGCTACAAAAAATTGTGAGCGTGGTTGCAAGGGTATCAGGGAATGACTCACATCACGAGATATGTAAATCTGGGGCACGTCCCGCGGCAAGAAGTTAGGAATCTCAGAAACAGGGGCAACTTTCATGCTGGTACCCATAACAATGACAAGATCGACTTTGTCTTTATCTTGGGTCTTGAGCCTGTCGAAGAAATTTGCTGGAAGTGCTTCACCGAAGAATGTGATGTCAGGCTTCATAATTCCAGGCTGTGGAATGTCATACGCTCCGTCGGAATCAGAATCATCATCGCCAGGACCACGTCGCTTCTTGTGTCCATTAGAACTCCGCTTTCGCTTCATACCGGGCTTATGAGTGGCAATCTCTTGAACACAACGAGCGCACTCAGCGGGTTTATGCGCGCGGATATCGTCGAATATGTCTTCGCCGGGGATCCTGTACTTGCATTTGCGACACGTTGCGGTGGCCCAAGAGCCATGACATTGGATCAGTTTTTCTGCCCGGATTCCCGCATGTGATTCCACGTTGTCGATGTTTTGGGTGTAATTGGTGAGCAGCTTGCCTTTGTCCTGGAGGAGCCGAATAAATTCATGCGTTGGGGTCCACTTTTTTAGATCCGGGAGAATGTCACCAGCCAGTGTGTAGAAAGTCTTTGGATCCTCGTCAAAGTTGCCGATATCGAAGACCTGTTCTGGCTCCGAGTAACCCATCTCCTGCAGCCTAGAATAGAAACCAGTGTTCTTGGACCGAAAATCCGGGATGCCAAGGCTTGTGGAGATGCCCGCGCCCGTTATGACCATAATATTCTTACGCTCCTGCAGCAGTCGCGCCGCGTCGTCGATTGTATTGTACCGTTCCAGCCGGCGACGCTTGTTCAACTCCCGATTTATAGCCAGCCCTAGCAACTGGTAATATGCCTCGTCATGCAGATTCTCCAGAAACTTGGGTATACGCACCCCGAAGGCGGTGCAGAGCTTGCGGGCTGTAACCTTGCCGGTAGTGATAGTCTCGAGGATAAATTGGCTGGTGCCGACCTCGTGGAGGCGATTCTTGTACGTGCGGGCTTCATCGACGGTACAGACATCTCCTCCTAGCCATGGTCAATTGCCGAGCCGACAGGGAACGATGAACGCAGACTGGGAGTGCGAAACTCACCATCGGCCGAATACTCAAACGCCTCAACTTCGTCGAGTATCTCTTCATAAAGCGAGACCGACTCCCACTCTTCTTCCTCCGCTTCTTTCTTAGGGGCAGACGCGTTGCTCGTCCTAGTTGCATCATACGCGCCTTCACCCAGTGGCTCGGCTGTCAAATCAATGATAGGAGCAGGAACCATTTCCTGCACCATGACGGGCCCTGAGGAGCTTCCGGCGGAAGCCATCGCCGTGGCAGTTACAATCAGCAAGTGTGGAGTGTCAGAGTGAAAGTCTTGGTCGGGAATCGCATGAATGCCATCAGCTTCCGCTTAGCCGAATACAGACTAGCGTATCTCTATTTACTCTCACACAGCCGCGCTAAAATACATTGTACCTCGCACCCTTTGCTAGCGCTAGTATCATTCTCCCTTTCTACGCCGGAGAAAACTGGCCAGACGATCTAGATGCCGCATGCGAGATCTCAGCGCGATCATGCTCGACGGACCCTCGATGTGCATGCTACCTGCAGCCATCACATAAAAGCAATGAGAGAAACGCAGAGAGGGATCGGAAAACTATCTCCCACTCTTCTCCGACTTCTCCCGTTCCTCGTCAACCTCCGCCACTCATCCTTTGTGTTGAACAAATGATTTGTAAAACCATCTATTCCAGCCATCAATCAATATCCTTGTCCATTTATACCCTTTAAGCCATTAAACGAAGCTAGATGGATTCCAGCTCGCTTTGGAATATTAGCCATTTACTTATCCTCCCGCTGGATTCTGCCTGCAATCACGCCACCCAAAGCGCCGGGTCCAAACGGTTTCCCAGAGCAGATTCAAGTTACTGCCTGCCGAGATCAGGCATCATATCTTGTCATATCTCGTCCATCCCTGATCAAGACTTCTGGGCTTTCGGAGTTGGTACAGTAGTCGCCAGTGTCCAGATACTAACCTAGAGAAGGCAGCAGGGGAGGAAGCATATTTTATGAACAAAACTGCTGCCACCTGTGTTGATTGGTGGGCAGTCGACCTTTTCTCGTGGACCAAACTTCGCCATCTATTCAACATCTTGGCACTCGCATCGAAACGTTGTTGAGCTCTTGTTGGGATCTTTAGCTCACATTTGGTGCGATCCAACAATCTATTTAACCTCCCAGTTTTCAATGCCGAGACTGATCAGACGGTCTATCCCGATCTTCGTGAGATGGTGAACAGACGATTTTGGCTTCATAATACACCGCGAAGGTGTGCTTTTTGGCGGCAAACTGCCAAGTATCCACCTCGCTCACATGTTTGTTTGGTTGTTTGCTGCTAGCAATGCTTCGATCCCCAAGTCTTTACAAATAGCATCAGGCAAATTTATGGCATCTCCCCCCTCCTGTTTGTAACTTGATATGTTCGATTATAAACCATTCGTCCGCTTGCAGTCCCGCCATGAAGTAAAGTTGCAGTACCATCCATCCGAATTCGACCTCCAAGCGAACCGTATCCGTGGTACACTTACCTATATCTAGCTTCTTCGAGTTGACATCGAGACGCTTACCCTAAAGCCGTACGGTACGAAGTTCCACTATGTTATACTGAGTGATACAATGAACCCTTACGGGGTTTGCAAAGAGGCCGGTTCGTTGAATCGTATATTAGCGATACGGAGGTAGAGCGAAGGTGGACCTCGTCGTACGGCCAATATCTGAGAAAGCGCTTGCTCAGAGTGTCACCACCAGCAGATGGCCTGTACTGGTTGAATGCTAATTCAGCAGGGCTCTATAATTATCCCGGATGAGTATCTCCTCTTTGGGCATATGCTGTCCTTCACAAGTCTCAATTACACCAAATGCCCTGGATTTCTCGAAACCTCTTTGGAATCAGCCACCCTAATTGGAGTCGAATCACACGCGCTGGATGATATCCGGATCTCCCACCCTCCCAGGCGCGGGTGCTCCCGACACTCGCGCCGTCGTATTCTCATCGTATGCGGACTTGCTTTCCGGCATAGCCCCCTCCATCTTCACCGACGTTAGCTCCGGTAGACTATTATGCTTCATCTTCGCCTCCTCTTTGGCCTTCGCCGCTGCCCTTGATTCTCGCTTGAACTTCGCGATGTAGGGATTCTTTTGTAAACTCTTTCCCAAATATCCTTTCCTCGCCAAGACATAAAGAACCGCTATAATAATGAGAACTGCCGCGACAACGGCTATCGGGATCGCGATTGCGCGTGCTGTGTTCTTGGAAGAGCCGTCTACTGGGCTGGTTATGAATGGACGTGTTGTCTGAACCGGAGGTTTAAGTGTCGAAGTCGATGCGAGCATCGTTGTTGAACTTGCAGTCGCAGTTACAGCCGTCGCCGTAGAGGATCGAGCTCGGCGGGATCTGGTAGTAGAGAGGGTAGATTGGCTCAGCCGAGTGTAGATGTCTGTGGGACTTGAGATGTACGTTATGATTGTTGTGGCGTCCCAGTCGCGGCCAGGTATTCCGGGATAAAGGACAGTTGTTATCCAAGGCATTATGAATACAAACGGTAGGATGATTAATATTGGGATTATGATTAGGTTGTTTTAAGGCTTCATGCAAAGTATGGTAACAGGTGTTGGAATGTGAGTAGAACGGTCAAGATGAATGACAGGAAGGACTAGATAGCAGCAGAATCAATGAGATATGAGAAGGAGCACTTAAAGGCACTGAGCCCAATTGTTGCCTTCCGCCTTGGAGTCATGGGAATACGAGGCGGATTTAGGATACCCTGTCTGAGATCCTGTCCATCCTTCGAGGTTCGAACATTACCACAGTAACAAAGTTCACATTGAGATTCATGTCTTCTTGGGCCAGAGAACGTATGTCTTGCAACCATGCGCGGCATACCAGCGTAAGATGAGAATACATGCTTTGTCAAATAGGCGCGTCAAACATATTGCTAGAGTGCTAAGCCGTGTGGAGGATGGCGTGAGGAGCAGAGAGCAGAACACATCAATTTTTCAGGAACACACCACGGAGATTATATATGTGCGATCTCGTGAGACCAGCCTCATCACACACAGGCTACGAGGCTTGAAGAAGCTTGGGAATGACCTGGGCGTGTGGGTCGGGCACGTGAGCTCCCAGGGCTGCCCGATTGCTGAAGGTGAAAGATGCGGTCACTCTGTTCCGTCATAGCTCAGTGGACTGATGATCTTGATGCGCAGGACGTTAGCTTGGGTGTTATTGACATGATATTGGGTAATGCGATGACCGTGCCGTGTTTCAAGGAGGCTTAGAAGCACATAATACGCGTCCTCCAAGCATCAAAAGCAAGCTTCGGTGCCTTTGAAAGTATTGAACACTGCGCCTTGCAGAGTACAGCAGTACGTGGAAAAGAGGATGGACCCGGCTCTGCAGGTCATTTTCGTGGTGCGTTCGGCGTGGGCAAACCGTTTTTCGGGGTTCAACTCTCGCCCCAAGCGTCCCTTAAAAAGTGGAAATGAGGCATTCACCAAATCGCAATTGCAGCATTCTAATTGGCCTGCTAATCAAGCTTCTCCACGTCTTATTTTAATGACCGAGGAACAGCGGGCAATGGTTGGCATTGCGTGAATTCGACATGTTAGCGCAAAATTTTGTTGCTCTTTGAGCTTCAGATTCCAGAGTTGCCCACGTCGGGTTTCTCAGCTGAGAATTTCTCTTTGTGTGGGTAATGTAGTACAGCGAATAGCTGCATGCAGAAAATGCGCAGCCACCATTCGCAATTACGTGGACGAAGCAGGCTCCGCCAGGACGGTTTTGTCCGATTGCCAGCTGCTTTGTACTAAGATTGACTCGGCCGTCGCTTAAACTTGATTCAATTTCATGCACGGTAGCTTTGGGGGGTTTAGTTTGGGGACAAGCAAGGGTAATTTAAAGGGCAGGCTAGCCGCCCATCGTGAGATGTGCCGCTCCCGAGTTTCATATATCACTAGGATCCTCGTGCTCAGGAGATTCCGCTCTTCACCCTTTGAATCTTGCACCTCCGCCATCGTTCTCGTTTTCCGCCGCCTAGATACCGTCGTTGACGTCGTGCATCCTTCTCCACACTCGCTCATCTTATTCCGCACATCATTATCTATTGAACATGCAGCTTAAGGCCTTTCTTTTCGCTCTGTCCGCCACGGGCGCCATGGCACAGCTCCCAGGCGTCACTGACAGCGTGGGCGCCTCCGTCCTATCTGTCCTTGCGACTGCGATCCCTCCGGATTCGGTCTCTCTCGCCCTCACAGATCCAGGTGCCTTCTCTTCGATGCTTGCGTCTGCGCTCTCCGCCGGCTCAACTCCATCCTGGTACCAGGCTCTCCCATCCGACGTGAAGAGTTATCTGCCAAAGCTGTATCCTGCTTCCACTGTTGTTGAGACCACTGCCTCTGAGACTGGCGCATCCTCGACCGACATCTCCAGCGCTGTAGTAACCTCAAGCGCCTCAATTAGCGCCAGCGTCTCTTCTTTGCGCAACTCCAGCAGCATCACCTCCGTCAGCCACGCCACTCTCTCCTCTACCGGAGGCGCCAACTCCGCAGCCCCATCCTCCTCTTCAACGGGTGGAGCCGCATACCCATCAGCCGTCGTCGGCGCCGGCCTCGCAGGAGCCCTGGGCTTCCTCGGTATGCTTGCGTTGTAAACACCACGCACAAAGCAAAACTTAGCAGCGACACGAGTGGGATGAGAAAATAGTGGATCTTCTAGCGGGGGCTTGGCGCATCCTGGACTCGAACCGTTCTTTACGACGCGACGTGGACATTCTTTTGGGGTCCGGATTGGGAGATTGGAGTTGGCAGCATTATACCTTGTTGGATGATTAGCTTTGTTGGGATAGTTGGTTTCGTCGTATGCTCCGGCCGTAATGTTTGATGGGATGAGTGGATGAGTGGATGGACGGAGGAATGTTGGTTGTGCTTCTTACCTCAAAAAACATGATTCTTTTATTTCCTTCTTACCTTTGACACCGTAATATCTAATCCTTTGCTGCGCATATCTCGCAGGTGACGGTAGATGGCATTTCTTGGTGATGTTCTCTCCATGTCGAAGAACACTGAGGTTGTAGCCTTCGTTGCAGTCACACTATGGTCAGTGGGGAGGGTAAGTTGTGTTGGTAGTTTGGCAAAGCAATAAGCTTAGTATGTTGCCGAAGTCGATATTCTTGTTAATAGTTGGTTGGATCGACCGGTTGGCACTTATTTTCGTTCCTTAGAAGCAGTTCGTTCCAGCACTACTTACCCCGGTAACCATAGTACGTTGTGTCAAGTCGATTCATGCCGGACGGTCTCCTCTCCACCGGAGACCCACGAGGACCCACATGTCCTCAGATCGGATGGAAAGTTTTCTGCCATATGCGCCACGACCCTGAAAAGCAGCTCGTCCTATTTCCTTGATCGCATTCTAACGACTCTGCCAACCCTAATTCTGCTGCCAAAACATCGCGACTTGAAGATCAGCATCGGTCTCCCTCATGGCTGCGCGCTACTTCTGCGTACCTGCATAAGTCAGTTCTGGGCACTTCAACATCGGATGAACTTGCTCCTTCAAGCCACTTGCATCATCCCGTGATTCTCGTCGGCACTCCGATAAGGGCTTCATATCAAAACACTCATACGGGGAACACAGGGTTGACTGAACTGTCATTTTGTAACAAAGTAGATGGCTAGGAAGAAATGTGAGTACTTGCACTCTCATGTCTTCTTTGTTACTATTGTTAATCTAAACTTTGACTTTTTCCTTACATCTCTCCGTGTTTAATTGTCCTTTTAACTACCTCCTTTCCAGATTTGATATTGTGGCAATCGCCCCACGTTATTCCTTTAATCGCCTTCGAAATACAAGTGTCAGGTGTCGCTATTCCGCACGTTCTCTCGACCAGGCATCCCGGGAGCATATTCCTTCCACGTATAACCTATCTAATTTCAGAACTTCAGATGTGTGCTGCGGTAGCACATGCAGGCTAAATCAATAGCAAGGGCGGTTAAGGCGCGCAGCATTTTTACAAAGGATTGGTTGTTGCACCGCATATTTCGGTTCTGCAGCTTTCTTGTCTTCTCCGCGCTCTAGCTGCCTCTTAAGGGAGATGAGCAAACTTCCTATTGCGAGCTGGTGGACCCCGGTAAACCCTTTCTGACGGCGCAAATCCTGCCTAAACTAGTTGAAATTCGAGTGACCTAGCATAATGTGATTTCTTAGAGGTAATACTAGCCCTCCAGATTTCATATCTTAGATTTCATTCAAGTCTCCACAGATTTGGCCCGCGTCTAGATCATCTCAAAGCAGTCAATATGTTCTATAAACTTGGTATACCGCATATTTATCTCTCGTACGGTTGGCCTAGTCTTCTTTAGTAATCAGGTTGGGTACGGTTGATATAAGACCGAATCAAGTAATACAAAACAACTCCCCTTTTAAATTCTAAGTAAGCGGGATATAGGGTAGGAAGAAACCCGATCTTGTACTGAAATAGAAGACGGCAATGATCTCAGCGCGTGAATGTTGAGCTAGAAGGAAGACATGCTAGCGCCAAGGATATTCTCAAGAGCGTCAAGCACGTTCTAATGAGATTAATCAAGCATAAAAAAGGACAAGAAGAGACAAGACCTTGATTCTGCAAAATGGTAGTAGCAAGGATTCAAGAGCAGCCGGCTGCACTAGGCAAGGCAATACGTACTGCACACCACCCCACCTCAGCGCTGCTTAGACCTTGTGCATAGCAGGCAATCCCACCGTTCGCTCGGCGAATGCAGCGGCCTGTTAGATTTTCTACCCTAAAAAAAAACATCGGAAGGAGTAGAATAAGGAAATACAAAGGAAGGCAGCAGGTACTCTACATCTTTACGACTAACTGTAATGAATAGTAGTACACTTCTGCAACACTTTTGCTAAACTAGCAAATGTAAATACCATAATTTCCAGTGTGAAAATGAACAGAAACGCAGAGCGAGTAAGAAGCAAAAGAAATACAACAAGACTTTTAAAGCTTCAAAGTCGATTAAAAATCGGGGAAGCAGCCATGCACAGTGCTATTGCAGAAGTAGCTTCCCCGGTTACCTGGCGAGAAACCCTCCGCGCCAAAACTGCTTCCAATGATCAGCATCTCAAGTCTTCCCTCGGGATCCTATAAACTTATGGTCAATGTTGCAGTTTTTTCAAACATGTTTCTACTAGCTTCTAGGCTGTAGCCAAAAAAAAAGTTTATACCAGTTTTGGTCATATTCTCCATCAGTCCTTTTATGACACGGAGAAATAGGCGAGAATGTCGCTATGCGAATGTAATTTTAATGTAGAGGAGTCTTGAATATTAAGGAATAGCTGCAGAACAAAATCTATACAAAGCATAGAAATTCAAACGCGTGCGAAGATTCTAGATTGCTTAGAACAACTTGAAGAACCTTAAGGTTGTCCCAGCGTGCGTAGGAGTGCCCGGCACACAGACGCGGAGGTTAACTCATACAAATGTTAGCATTTCTAATATGAAAATACATAAGAACAACTTGGACATAAAAGCAGAAGATCGCAAGAAAATATAATAAAAAGAAAGGCTACAAGGATCTACACGCTTCAACATTGTCCTGAAGTAGATACCTTAGATGAACACAGAACTATTAGGAGTCTACCTAATGGTAAAAATATACAAAAAGAGAAAGAAAAAATAGAGTGAAAAGAAAGTCAGCAGGGATCTCAACGCTTCGACACCATTCTAAAATCAAGGTTGCAGGAGTGGAGAGTTAGGGGTGAACGCTATTATGGGAAGACGCAAGAAGCAGTAAGATAATAGATTACAAAGGAAAATAGAAAGAATCCCAATACTTTATTGCTTACCTAAAACAAAGGTAGTGCTATTAGAATATTTCCCTGTCGTAGGAAGACACAGGAAGAGACAAGATGATAAGGTAGAAGGAAAGGTAGCAAGGATCTGAAGGCCACAAAGTTGTTCCCAGAACAGGAGCAACAAGTATGAACGCACTATCACAAAATCACTCACGCCTGCCACTATCTACGCTAGAAAAAGACACACTACATGGTATCATTGGGTCAGAAAATTGGAAATCGAAAACTTGTCCAGTACTCATTGAAAACTGACTAAAACGCGATCCACCTCTCTACTACCCTATCAAACCCACATCCACCACCCCCCTCGGCCCCCACTCCCTAGCACTGAGCGGTCCGAAGAAGGCCTCAAGCGAGGTCAACATCGAACCACTCGATGCCGCCGTGGCAGCCACGGCGGTAGTAGCTGGAACGACGCGGCAAGTCCCAACTCATCATCTTGGGGAATATTTTCAAGGCCTTCTCCATGATCTGTCTTCGGACCGGGATGGCCATCCTCTCGTCCGCCTCCTTCAAATCGCGCCGCTGAAGCTTTTGGTGCCAGGACACCTTGAATTGGCCTCCAGAGCTGACTAGATCAGCTCCCTCAACCAGATTCAGATCAATATCAAGGCCCTCCATGACCTTGGTGAACCAGACCAGGTTAGGCTCTGCAAGCAGGCTAGCCGTTGGGACGTGCAGAGTCAGGGCGCGCCGGCCCGACCCAGCTCGGGCCGAGAGCTTTCGGAGAACGACAAAGAGGCCAGTATCAGGATCAATGGCGGCATATGCGGGATGCTTCTTGAAGGTCTCGAGGCCGTGGCGCTCGGCCCAGAAGTCATAGTCAGTAGTGGCGTTGTTAGCCTTCTCGGAAGTCATGATCTTTTTGATGTTCGAGATCATGGTGGTAACGGCGCTGGTATTGGTCTTAAGGGTGTTGGTCTTAAGGGTGTAGGGACTGCGGTAATTGGTCTCAAACCTGAGCTGGAACTGCTCTTGGGCTTTGATATTTTGGCGAAGAAGGGAAAGAACCTTAGCGCCGTATTCTTCGTAGTAGAAAGGAATTTGGACGTCAACGTGGCGGATCATGCCGAAGAGGCCCAGATGAGTGAGGCGTTCGAAGAAGATGGCAGTATCGATATCGCAAGTGAAGATGTTGCACCCGTAGAAGACTTTCAGGCTCTCGTTGCGAACTAGCCTGGAGACACGGGTAACAGCCATCTGACGGAAGACGGCATTGTGCTCAGAATGGTTGGCGTCGTGGAAGCGGATGGCAGAGCCTTCATTGCAAAGTTGGGGACGAATGGCAGAACAGAAGTTGAGGGCATACTCGTAGACGCGCTCACGGATCTCGGCAGGAAGGAAGGGGAATGGGTGAAAGGTGGTGAAAGTAGGTGCAGCTTTTCTCTGAAGAGGCGTCACCTCGTGCGACTCGGCCTTGGGGTCGAACGGCTTTGCCATGGCATTGAACTTAAAGGGGGGAGCATGAACATCATTCTTCTCAAACCTGCTGATTGAAGTGTGAGCTAGGGTAGCCGGCGGACGAGCGTTCGGAGAAGAGGCCGGACCAGTTGCAGCAGCGTCGACGGTAGCTTGCATAGTGGGCATATCACACCCTTGTGAATTTCCTGTGACGAAAGAAGGTGGAATCGGGAGACCTGCAGGGGCGTCTGTTAGCAAATTGGACGATCACGCAGACAAATTGAAAGATTTGTGTGGTGATGGAGACTTGAAACTTCGTGGGTGGACATAAACTTGTAGCTTTTTGAAGTGTTCGGCCCACACTCCCGAGGTAATACCCAGGTTTTCCAATTGGGACCGACGATGGGTAGGGAGAAAGTTCACTCACCTTCTGGAGCTAGCGTACCGGAGTTTGGTTTTCTGAATCCGGGAAAACCACTGGCACAACCGCGGCTGTCGAAGGGAAGAGAATTATTTCGATGATTCCAAGTCTCAGGTCCTTTCTCTGAGGGGGTGAAAGCAAACGGGCCCTCGTCGGAGTCTGAGCCGATTCAATTGATCCAGTGTGGATGACCGAGGAAGGAGAGAGAGGAAGGGTCTGGCAAAAGGGCAAGCTCATGCATTCCAGGGCTTGGGAAGAAACCAGGCTAAGCTATGAGAATATGCATGACGACTTACTGTAAACAGTGTTCCGGCCCTCCATAACGAAGCCCGCCTCGCCATCAATTAAGGATGGCGGATTGAGGAAAGAGATTGAGGAGGGATCTAGTAGGAGGGTGAGCTTGCGCACCCAAAGAGGAACCAGGGTATGGTTGGGCAAAATGGATGATGACTTACGGTGAGGGGCATTCGCATTCCTAGATCTTGCGCTACAGACAGGCTGCTCTCCACTAGAGGAAAGACCAGTTTCCTCCGCAAGCACCAGGTCACGCTTCTCGTCAGAGAGCCCGTGAGAGGCCGCGCACACACGCCCAATGGAGTTTTTTTGCCTGGAAACCGAGCGAATATGACACGAAGTATTCTTAGAAGAGCCGTTGGTGTGTTGTTGGTTGGTCTTCGAGGGACAGGACACATGAGTTCATCTGGATAAGCAATAGAGTCCTTCTTACGTTTCATGATCCAACGGACTTCGTCTTGGGCTCTAGAACCGATGATCTGAGGCCTTTGATGTTGGCCACCGTGAGAGGAGTGTTAGGAATTTCATCTGTTGACGCTAGCCTATTAAAGGGTTTAGGAGAATGAAGGAGGATTCCTAGTCGGATGAGTAGAGGGGCAGAGCGCAGTAGGGAATATGGGTTGTATCGTCCGAAGCGTTAGTGCTAAAGGCTAACGTTCCAAGATTGGGGGAGAGTTATATATTTGGGGAATAGGAGTGCAGAATAGGAGTGCAGAACAGGAGTGCAGGAGGGGTTTACATGGAGGAGAACTTTGGAGGCAGTCAGGCTTTTGATACAATTGACACAATACTATCTGTGTGAGTGCCTACCAGCACCCGGGGGGAGGAGGGGGGGAGTTGGCGCGGTGAATGTCCAGCCTCCCGTTTCCGTCACCGCTTGCGAAAACAACCACAATTTCGCCTCTGCCAACACCTGGCTCACATCAGCTATTGTTCTCTATACTAGGCATTATACTCACGCTACAATACATCATAGTTCTTAGTTTACAGAGCTATTAAATATTGTTCTTCGAGGGCTTGGGCCCACGTTTATTGTTTTGCCTAGACTTTTACGTGGATTGAGATCACCAACGCTTTTCGTCGTTGAAATCTTTCCCCTGCCTCTCACGCTCCATTCTGACATCGAATTCTTTCTGTGCTTGTTCCCGAGCCCTCTGTCGCTCGTCGTCTGACTCAGCAAACGTCCAGCTGTCACCCATTGTTGACGGTTCCCTTTGCTCCCCATTGGGCGGCGTCGGTCTCCGCATCCCAGGGCGCGGACCCGGAGGAGGACCACCTGCTCGACGCAAACGCTCCCAGGCCGATTCACCGGCCTTGGATTGATTTTCTGTCTCGTCTTGAAATAGCCCGCCAGTGGGGGACGCATCATCCTCTTGTGGTCGAGAAGGTCGTCCGCCCCATGAGCTGGTTGGCTGGGTCGGTTGCGGTCTTGATGGACCATTCTCTTGCACTGGCTGCTGAGGCTCTGAAGAAAATCCAAAGTCACCATAAGATGAGTCTGAGGAATTTACTGGCCATGGGTCGTTCCCAGCTGTTGGAGACATGTCATCTTCTGGCGGAGGTGCTTGTCGAGGTTGCCCCAAAGGCCTCGGCGCGCCAGCATGAGGCGGAAGACCCTGACTCGGATTCTCATTACCTCCCTTGACCCCCTGACTAAACCTTTCTCGCTGCTTCCTCAAATCTTCATCATTGGCCACTTTCAGATCCAGTGCGAACTGTGCTAGCCTCGGATCATTTGCCGTATCCCTCGCAGCGACGGGCTGAGCAATCATCCCACCGATCAGCTTGCCCATTGCGCTTCCGACCAAAAAGTAACATGCAAATCGCCAGGACTGCCGAGCGACAGTGGCCTGGAGCGGGCCTTTGACGAACATGAATCTGTTTGGATTGATATCCTCGGGCTTTGGGAGGTAAAAAGGGTATCGGTAGGTCGAAAATGTCGAATACCATCTATAGCTTCCAGCGGAAACGCCTATGGCAGCAAAATATGACTTTGTTTGTTCCATCTTATAAACATGGAAAGCGAGTCCCCGGGCCTCCTCTACCGTGAGTGTCCGGTGAACTCTGCGCTGGGCATAACCGATCGTCTGCTGAGCCTTTGAGGCAATAGCTAAAGCGCTAAATCCGAGAACAGGCCCAAAAACGGGAATTGGTTGTGGGAACTGGCTGGCCTCAATGCGGGGATCAAAAGACGATGGGGATTGCGAATCACTACCGGGGGAAGAAGGATTATCCGGGAAGCTGTCAGAAGACGCATTCAGGTCCTCGAGAACCATGGCCAGGAGCGGCGACTGCAATTGGGCAGCTCCACCGGGGGGGGGGGGGAAGAAGGAAGGGTGAAGCTTCTCGGGACTTTGAGTGACGTTGGAGAGATGAGGTGAAGTTGTGGAGTGACGCAGGCTTTAGCGATGCAGAACACCAAGGCAGGGTATTGACCGGGATGTGTGTCGATCCAGCATCACAGCAATGAGCCTTGCGGGGGGAGGGGGGGGAGGGGGAGACTAAATACAAGGGTAAAATGCCCAATGTGATAGGAGCATGCATTCCTACTCCGCTGAAGGAAGCCTAGGGTGTGTACATGTCTGGTCTGATGCCGTTACCGCGGGAGGCAAGGGCGTTTGCTCTGGTAGTCTTCCCGGCAAGGCTCATTTGCTGTGATGTTGGACGGTAGTCAGAAGAAATGACCGAAGCAATTGCAAGCAACCAATGTGCGAGTACAGCCAGTTCACAGCAGGTATGCATTGATGGGGTGCTTCTTAGAGTTTGAGAGCCAGAGAGATGCGAGTCCGGTCACGAGCCTGCCAGTGAATGCCGGCAGCGCCATGATAGCAATCCACCAATGAGGGCAGAAGGGAATACAGGGGCTTTCCAGTGCACCAAAACCTGATAAGTTACAAGGGGCTAGCACAATTCAGGAAGCGTCTTTTGCAAGCTGCCCTCAGTTTGGGGAGAAAAGAAATACGACGGGCTACTGATAAGGAAGCTGATCTCACGCACGCGCGGCCAAGCAACGCACCGTTCGTCTGTGACCTGCTTGCAGTCTGTCCCTGGTCCTGTGGAGCGTGGAGGAGCGGCATCACGCAGCATCGATTTTGCGGAGACAGCCCCAACAAGCCCCAGCAAGGAAGCGGCGACTCTGCCCAGCCGAACTCCCGCGCGCCGACTCAAGAACACCTTTTAACACCCTTTGAAACATTCGTGCACCTCCTCCGCCCCAACATCCTCTCTAGAGTCTCTCCGCATTTCCACGCCTCCGCCCCCCTCCCCCGCAGCTCAGTACTAATCCTATCGCTGGTGAAAGCCCATCCTGCTCTCGTTTGCTTACCTCCAATCCTCCTCGTGCGCTTCCTTCGCCCTCCTCGCAGTGTCTCATTTCCGGGCCAGCAATGGCGGCATCAGCGTCAGACCAGCCCTCAGCAACTACGCCAGCGCAGAATGCATCCTCCCAAGGAGGCTCGCGGCCGGGCAGTGGCTACGAAGCAAGAGCAGCAAGTCCCGTTGAGATGAGGACATTACAAACACCCACATTGGAACCATCGTCCACGAACGCGGCTAGGCAACCCCCGGAATCCACTCCGAATCCTTCTGCAACAGAGGAGACTGCATCTCAATTGCAAGATGCGCCGCTACCGCACACTTCACAGCCGGTATCCGAGTCAATAGCGCCCTCAAGCACCTCAAAACCATTCCCTCCTACCGATCTCTCCCGTAGCGAAACCGAAGCAATTGGCTCTTCGACAGATACTCCGGGCACAAATCCGGACCCTTACAGTGGCCCGGTTGTCGTAATAACACTGCTCCTCACTACTGGCGCGCGGCATCCGTACAAGATTGATGAGAAGTATCTGAAGAAGCGAAATGTAAACGTCGATGCCATGGACCCTTATAATATCAGCGTATACACGCTGAAGGAGTTAATATGGAGGGACTGGCGGGAGGGTATGTCATTTATTCTACGAGCCCCGTTATACCAGAGCACTCCGGCGAACACCTGCAGTTTTGGCTCTACGTACACTGAGCAATGCTAACACATCTTTGCATGACAGAATGGGAGCCACGGCCTACATCTCCTAGCTCAATACGACTGATACACTTCGGCCGGATGCTGGATGACAAGTCGCCACTGAAAGGTGAGTCCAGCCATCTTTGAAGTCTTGGCGTGGCTTGTCCAGATTCTGGGCAATTACCCCCCTCCCCCAAATTGGTTCATCGCCAGCCCTTCCACCCTGGTCTTCATTGTGGCTGACAATTCCCTTCATGGATACAGAATGCCGATTCCAGACCGAAGCCCCAAATGTCGTACACATGACAGTCAAGCCCCAAGAGGTCGTCGACGAAGAAGACGCCAAGACCGGAAAAGGCGGGGGGAGAAGAGACGGCGAGGAGGAGGTCCACGCTGGATGCCGTTGCGTTATTCTCTAGATGAGCTTGCAAGCATCCGAGTCCCGCTCCGCTGATACATTTGCAGCAAGATGCAGCAAGATGCAGCAAGATGCAGGCATTTGCGCCTTCGGAGTCGGCTTCCTTCAGACCATCGCGACGCTTCAAAAGAGACTCGGGGATAATCAGTACCATGGGACTGCTCGGAATATCGACATGATTGCGGGAAGGATAGCAGAGACACGACTCCAACTGATCAAGCAAGCACCGCAACGGCCAGGCCCACCTCATTGTCTCCGTATTCCATATTCCCTACCCCCAGAGGATCCAGCCGACTTGGATCCGCCCTCACCTATGGCCTCTCTCTTTCATTTCCCCACCGTTCTTGGCACAATTCCATGGATAACCTTTAACTCGGCAACGGCGTTTCGGCATGACTGGGATGGATCTAGCTCTGTGGATGTCCCCTGATCCCCATTCACCGGTCCCCCTCTTCTTTCATTCCTCGAGACGTATGCATACGATTTCCAAAGTTTCTCCTCTTGATCGCAATTTTAAGGTTTCGCCTTTGTTAGACTTTCGGAGGGCATTGTAGCTCTTTCTTGGCTGTACAAGTAGTATTGAGCAAGAACTGGTCTGGTTTTGGAGCGAAGAATAAGGGCTTGTTTTTGTTTGAGACGATGGTTGAACATATGTATGCATACAATTCAGAGCATTTTTGGTCTCCCTGTTGGTTGGACGGTTTGATATTGTTGACTTTGGAAAAGATTTCGTTGATGATACTGATTTTTTGTCTCTCGGGGGTGACGTGATAATAACCATGTTTAGTGCTCCGAACACAAAGATTCTCAGGGATGGAAATGAAGCATTCTCCATATCTTCGACGCCTTGATACTATGACTCCCCCATGAGGAGGTGTAGGAGCTACATGGATGGCTGTTGTACACATGATCGACTGCCAAAATAGAGGCCAATTCTTCGAGGGAAACAGCGCCCTCTACAGCATCCCGTCCCCTAGAGTTGACAACCCTCTGCATCTCCACTCGTTGAATCTCCGAGGCATGTTAAAAACCTCTCTGCTCACCAGTTCATCTTCATCCTCGTCTCCATCTCGGTATGGAAGTCTGGGACCTCACGTAATTCATTGCCTGCCATCACATAAGTCAGCCACTGCAACCTTAAACCAAACCCCTCCAAAAAAGCCACACAAATCCAAACGCAAAACTCACCAACAAACACATCTTCCCACCCAACCTCACAATCCCGACCCTCCAGAATATCCCTATGCACTCCACTCGCACCCCCCAGCACCATCGGCCTCCACTCCCCAGCCCCCGTAATCTTAATCTCCATGCCTCGTCTCACGGGCTCCGCGATCCCGAATTGGCGTCGCAGCATCTCCATCTTGAGTTTGTCTTGCGTTTGGCGCCATTGCACGAGGCGGGCTTCAAGGGGGTGGGCAGATTGGAGTTGGATCGGGTGGTTAGAGGAGGAGGCGGTGGTGGTAGAGGTGATGGGGGCTGAGGAGAGGGCAAGACGGGAGCGCAGGGTGTCGTGGACGCCGGGCGCGGAAGGGGCGCTGTTTTCCGGGGTGGAGTGCGTAGGGTGGTTGGCTGGGGGGACGAAGCGGAGGGACTGAGTGGTGGGAGGGTTAGTTTGTTGGCGTTCTTAAGCTGGTGTGCGGTGCCGTTGAATATCTTACCATGTTGACTTCGGAGTTGCTCGTTAGCTGGCAAGATGTGGATGACGCAGTTTGAGGAAAGTTACTGGCCCCGATCTAAGCCAAAAGGTAGGAAGTCAGAAGTTGGGAGATGCAAAGGGGTAAGATGTTGGAGCAGCGTTGGATGTATTTGACCGTAGCTGTTGGAGCTCAAGGCTGCGAAGTGACGCGCCGCTAGCGTCTTGGCAGCAGGGATTCCGAAAGAGGAAGTCGTGTGTTTTGCAAGTGTTCAAAGTCACTTGATCTCAGGAAAATCTTACAAGGGTATTGAGGAGGCTACCATCGAAATTCAATTATGCTCAGTATAAGTCTAAATGTTAAAAGGCATACCCCAAATCGAGGAAGCAACAACCATAGAGCCTGTACTGACCAGTACTGCCATAAGCAGATTGACTCCGTTATTGTCCAGTATGTCGTGTCCCACTTCAATATGACGGCTCTCATGATGCCTATCTGTAAATGCCGCTCCCGAAACACCCGCTTCTCGCATCCTATTAGACGCCTTGGTGGAGTCACTGAATCCGGATGTCTTCGCTATTCCTTCTTTACTGTCTTCATGACCAACTACTTCGCTCCGAAGCTTTGCGGTCTGTTTCAGATGCAAGGGACTGGAGCGGTGAATGAGAACTTTTCGTCCGCCTTCACCTTCCACAATCTTACCGGAGTGTACATCCACAACGCTAGCTTGAAAGACCGCCCCCAGGTACGAATCCAGAAGTGTACCACAGAACCCAGCGAATGTCATGGCTCCAGTGAATTGGGCCTTTTCCTGTAGGTTCCAGTCTTTGCAGAAGGGTATCATTAAAGTCGAGGTTGCAGCGATGATGAAAGATCCTAGAAGGCCGGCAGCGAGTCCAGCCAAAGTTACTCCCCCGTTGGTCCCAGGAGGCACAACTCGCCAAGGGGCGGTTATAAGGCGGGGTTTCGTTTTCGATAGAATGCCTAGCTCGGAGGAAAAGGTATCGGAAGCCACGGCAGCATAATTACTACAGGCTATTAGCACGTAGGATGGCTTAGAAGCGCGCAATGGTGGGCTTACGCAACTATTCCGACAACCAAAACATGGCTCCCTCGCGGCCAACACAAATTAGACTTGGAATATGAGCCATCATCATAGATCTGCCATGTATGGAGCAGGATGAGAGCTGTGGCTACCACGGAATTGGCGAGAACTTGGACATGATTTCGGGGGCCTTCTCCCCCAGATACGCCGGTTGCGGATTGTGTAAGTTTTGCTTTGATATCATGTTTTACCTATAGCATCTCGTTAGTCTCACTCGTAAGCTCTGGGAAGGGTAATATACCTTAGTCACGGCTGTTCCAGCTAGGAAAAACACGGCCAGAAGAACGAAGAATACGCTCCAAGGATGCACCGCATGCGCTATTGCCGTCGCTCCAGCAGTAAATAATCCGAGAGGTGTAAGAGACTTCCGGGACCAAGCCCTGTACACTATCGCTAACCATGCTGGAATAGCTATTATGGGTTTCATTGTCGAACCAAGCTTTCTTGTTGGAGTTGTTGCTGGTTGGAGTTTGGTTCGGCCTCGGGAGCGTTGGAGGTTGCGTCAGAAGCGGGAAAGGCTCAGCCCTAATCCTTGGCGGTAGCAAGGCCCCACCGAATCCCCTCAACCACCTCAGCATTCAGTTTTCCCTCATGTCTAATATTAAGTTTATTCCTTCTTATCTACATCAGCCAAATTTACAGCTTCGCAAACATGACTTCGTAACAACGATTGTTGGCTGGAATATATCTAGGTACCCCGACTTGAACCCTCTCCTAAGAGGCGGCCTTGGACCACCTCAGCTGAAAACGGGACTTCAAATGCAATCTCTAACAGGTAGGCGCATATGCTGAAGTGAGAGGATGCCTACCCCTGTGTTGTTTTTGCCACAGCAAATGTTTCTCAGCTTTCAGGCCCCAGGCTGAACCATCAGCTGGCCGAAGAAAGGTAACGGCAAGGATGGCGGAGAATTTCACAATGTCGAAGCCTCAGTAAACAAGCCTCTGTGGCTGCTGAGCAGCATCATGATTGACCACTGCTCGATTGAGCCCTGCGCCAAGTTGCGGCCTCTTTCGGCCTCTTTTCAGGCGCCAGTCAAAGCCGAGCATCCAATGTCCTATTCCGTCAGTGAATAGGTTCCTATCATGTAATGCCTGAGCTTTAGTAATATCTTATTTACGCAGAGTTTCTTTCCATAGAAGTTCAGTAATCTGTTTCATCTCCTCTATACTTTCTAATCCTCAGAAATCACAAGTGCTTTATGTCCGTAATTGCCAATTTCCCTTCCCAGCCCAACAAATTCTTCCCCGGACCCACCGCTTTGGTGTGAATGGCGAGCCCTATTATCTCTCTATTACTATGCGAAGCTGAAAGGGCTGCCCATACACCGCTGGAGTCGATCGCCGGGTCTCTCCTCCCCCTTTTCGCTCACTCTCATTAGCAATGTCGTATCGACTGTGGGCATGGGATCATGAGGAGTACGAATTGCGGCCTAACCTGAGCTCGCAACATCTATTATCCGACGAGGTTGCAGATCTACGAAAGACCTACCAGAGAAGAGAGAGCAACGGACAACACAACTACCAAGAACTCCCAGGAAGGTCAGAAGAGTCTCTACGAACTACTTTGTCAAGTCACCGAGGCGGCCGCGTTAATCGCTCCACCGAGTCACACAGAACCCGTATTGGCGCAAATGAACCAGAGGCAGAACAGGACGGCGTAGACCAGTCCCCGCAATTATCACCTTCTCTAAATAACAAGTTAAACCAGAAAAAACATTTTTCTGGGCTACGCAATGAGACTCGAGGTACCCTCCTGCTGATTGTCCTCGCAACAAGCGTGGTACTTTGTACAATCATATACGCAAGCCAAACCGCGCTGACTGCGAAGCTCTTCACCACTTCCTCAAGCCAGTCGTTGCTGGTCTTGAGAGTGCTTTCGGAAATGTGCACCGTGATCCTGTACCTGCTCGTTCTCTGTATCATGGAAGATCTTCAGTGGGCATTCGCTTCAAGAACTAATGGGGTGGGATTGCTTGGTTTCTTGAGCCTCGATGCTGGCACCAGGGTATGGGGCTTATTGAGGCTTCTCTGTACTCGCACTCGATCGCCTAGCCCACACCGGCGATATTCATTTATTCGGTGAGTGTTGTCGAGCCTGTTGCACTGAAGAATACTAACCGCAAGATGCACAGGCTTAGTGTCCTAGCCATCGTTCCAATTCCAGGTATCACCATTATGAGTAAGGATATTCCCGTTCGAATACCGAAGTGAACGATTTATATGCCAACAATGATCAGGCAGTCTCAGGTTCGAGCCCTTCTTTTCATCCCGCCAATCCTACCCAATAGCTGCCGGCTTAGCGGATTTGAACTCGTCAACAGCAACATCCATGTCACCACAATGGGCTATGGCCCTATTATTCGACATCGGAAATCCACAGTGGGACAATAGGAATTCAATTCCAATGAAACCCCTCGACTCGTTCTTTGGGCGTTGTCGCACAGCATCTAATACAACTCAGTGGGCTCCCTGTGATGAGTCTTATTTGCTAACGGGCGGCTGCCTCCTAATAACGCCTCAGAAAGACGACCTAACAACGAATCCGGAAGCCACTATATATGTTGTTGAGAATACCAAGAGCTACCACGTGGAGTTCGGCGCAGTGCATAATCAGAGCGAGCTTCGATCACAAGGACACTGCAAGACTTACGGCTACGACATCGGGGCTATTCATTTCTGCGTTGCTCTTGGAGACACCCAAGAGGTGCAGCATGGTTGGGCAGTTTGCCCACAAAACCTCATGGACAGGGGACTGTGTCTAAACAACACTTCCTGGACTCGAGAAACTTTCCGATATTCTTCATCCTTCTATGTATATCGTCGCGCCGCCACAGTCTACTACTCCCGCTTCAATCTATCCATCACTGCAGTAAGGGACATGTCTACGCCAACTCCGTTTCTCGTCACCGCGGGAGACGTAGCCCTAGTCTTCGACATCGTCATGCGCAGCATTAACTTCCATGGCTCCAATTCGTCCGATCCTACCTCCTCCGATCTTGCACTCTTCATGTCTGCTGGCCTCCAAAAGAGCGACAACCCGTTCGTGCAACAACTTGCCCGGCGGCAAGCTAGGAAAGCTCTAGCAATGGTCTTGCATTACTTCCACGCCAATCAGATCGGTGCCGGAGGCCCAGAATCAGTCTGGGAAGCCACAGCTCCTCGACCCAGACTGCCGCCAGACATGTACACGACCTTGCAGATTGCGGTACCCTCCTACCATGTGGTCGCGAGTCGGTTGACCTTGTATATCTTTATCGGCATCTCATCCTCGCTTCTTCTGTTGTGTTTTACAACCATCGTGTTTACCTGTGGGACTGTTACGAAGTGGCCCGTGAGAACTGGATACCCGGCGCTGGACTTTGCTATTTATTGTCTTCCGACAAGGGTGACGCATCATAGGGCACTATATAAGACCCTAGCGCGAGTAAGGGAGCACCGGAATTCTCTAAGAGAGAAGGATGTCCAGAACAGCCGTTTCTATGCAAATTGACCTCTACCCTTTTACTAGACGACATAGACATTCGAGGGGTTTGAGAGGCATCAGCGATCGAGGGAGTTAAAGGATGTTAATCAGAATCAAAGAGACGACATGTAAAGAGTCATTCCATACTTGTCCAGTACTGGTGCCTCTCTCGCTTTCACCACGCCGATCTCCTCAAACTCGTCTAGTTCCGCTCCTGTTTGTGCAGTAATGAAGCGCTCTAATTGTAGAAACCCTAGCACTCCTGAAAGTGGTTTTAAAATGTCTGAACAAAACAATGTTAGGGAGAAGGAAATGAAGGACATATTGCCAAGATTGTTGCAAAGGGTAGAACTTTGCAGACACTCTTCGAGATTGGTCTGGAAAGCCAAGATGTTGATCAAGAAATTGCAAAGACGAACTACAACATCGAGCCAATTTAGAAGAGTGAGAATATCTTCAGCAATAGCATCCTTAAAGTCTTTCACTATCATTACCCGGAATTACCCTTAGGCGATATCAACAAAAAAGGTTAGGGAAAGACTACCATTAAAGATAAGATTGAGGACCAGGTCGAAGGGAAGGTAATAGAAGACACTCTGGTAACCTACCAGAGCCTGGAAAAAGAATATAATCATCATTCAGGGAAGCTTCAATGACAAAAATGACCAAGGATCTTGTCGCTAAGAACATGTGATGGTCTGATATGGTCATGGACACTTAGAAAGTACCCTGCAACCAGAACAATAATGGCAAATAGCTGGAACATGGGCTCATTGGAGATCTGGCAGACCTCGAACATGTGATGAGAAAGTATATTAAGAACAATACTGAGAAACACATGCTAATAGTGGCAATCGCTGAAACTAAAGATGGTCGGAAGGTGAGATCTTAGAACTGCTCAGATATTTCCTTGATGAAAAAGGTCAGGATCTGGACTAAACATACTACACCACTCTTCCGGAACTCCTCATGGGGACCACGTCATCAAGATGTTTAGCGATTACCACCAAACTGTGGGGAATCTGAGAGTCGATGGCTTTGGTATGTCAAGAATACTAATGTAGAGGAATGCGGCGCTGTCATTTTTCTTGCTAGGGCAACAAAGGGAGAGGAAGAGGAAACATATTAGTAATATTAGGGGTGCGATGCGGCTGTGAAGAGCCATCGACTATGGAATTGTTTTGTCTCCAATTATTGTCACATATTATTGTATTTTGTTTCTGTTTATTTAATTCGGGCTCGCAAGAGACGAGATTCTATTAGGTGTAGTGATATCGATTAGGTTTCAAAACTGATGCCAAGGCATAACCAATTCACCCGTGCTAAGTCTTTCTATCTTTGCTCGCGTATTCTTGTTGTAGCTATCCCGACTTGCGGCAAACTGTGCTGCGCTACCTCCCAGCCAAGATTATTACAATTGCTCGCTAGCTGACTAGGAATTGGATTCTCTGACATGCGGTGGAGGCTCTGGAGGGATATTTTCCCATCATCATATCCGTATCTATGTGGTATATAGTCTTTCAACCTTCTGGAATCTACTGATAGGACTTCTCAGACTTACTGGCAGAGACCGTGGACGAAATTCTTAATGAAACTATCCTCATCCGAGGATGGAAGTGGGCTATTAGGTTAGGGTTTGTTAACAGTATGTGGGGTTTGTTTGTCCCTCAAATCGGTGCTAATCGGTTCTTCACACTTCTTCGCGAGAGATCTTGCAGGTCGTTTGTTTTCATCACCTCCTGGAAATTTATCTTTTCTCACATCGGGCGTGTAGATCTCTCTCGCTACCTATATCTTGCACATCGCTTAGGGATCGAGCCGGGTAGCAGGAAATCACTGTTGCTCCTCATCCGGCAGATTGTCCAGCGTATAGTCTACGAGGTGAACAGCCCCTTACAGGAAGAAGATGGGGAACTTCAAAAAACGTACCAACTCCCTATGCTCTGCGGTCTGAGGATGTGTTCGGCTGGTTAATATCCAAAACTTTCGTCCCGGAGAGCGGCATGCCTGACGGAGTCGAGTTTCCTCGACATCTCCTATCCACTGCCCTCTTTACAATTTCTCCTCTAACTTTCAAGGCCTCTACTGAGCAAGAGAATGGGTCTAGGTGACGCAGTTTCCTGTCCAGCAAGGCGGAGGAGCTCGCAGTAAGACATAAATACCTTGAGATAGTGAGACTGTATTCCAGACCCCGTTAGTTTCTGAATCCACTTCGAATTGCTTGCGGATTTTGGGAATACCGATATTGGGGCAGATATTAATGAATGGCTGCCACGACTGCTTGTCTCTGCTACTGAGTTGGAATATACGGTTATGTTCTAGTTTATGCTCGAGCGAGGGACGGTTTTATTTGAGGAAGATTGGAGTGAGTGGGCAGAAACAGCGAATTCCGAAGGGCTTGAACCTATACTGGCACTCTGTGGGATAGAATCGGGTTGGTACGGGAATAGAAGTAACAGCAGGAGATAGGGCCTCAGCTTAGGAAAAGGTTTTCTGATTAAATTACTCTTATATGGATTAGGGTGCATTCGCGCAACTAATACGATTTCAAGTTAGTCCTTTTAACAGAGCGTAATAGTGAGGCGGTCAATAATTCGTCAATCGTCAGTCGTCGATGGAAAATGTGTCCCGTACTTCGGGCTTGATTATAGTCCCACGCCGACTATTTTCGAATTCTTTAACAAAACGTCTCACAAAGCTGTTCTCAAAATTTAAAAGTCGGGCTCGTACCTATTCTTCAAATTCACCACTTGTGCATGTTCGAGGTTCCTTACCTTTTCGGACTTCCAGATCCGTGCAAAATTCGACCAATGCCTGCTCTATTTGCAACAGGGGTCTTCTGATCTTTACCTAATTAGGTCACCATCGCGCCGTATTTCGCGTCGTGGCTATGCTTCCTCTGACCACATCGTCGCAGTCCTTTCCTCAAATGTCATCAACAAGGCTGAACATTCCCTGGGGTAGTTGTTGAAAAACTGGTAGTCTCGCCGTCCAACTTTTGGTGCTGCGCCAAATCTGCGCAAAGGTGTCTCAAGATGGAATGGCCTAGTAAAAAGATGTGGACATATAAACAGGCTCTCTTTCCTCGTCGTCTTTGATAACTCACCTATCCATCATTCTCAGCGCCTTCTGTCATTTCAATTTTACTTTTTTTGTTGTCGTCTTCAGCCCTCCACAATGGCAGTTTTTCTATATCGGTATATCAAGAGGAGGATCAACGAGAAGAAAAGTGCTACAACAGAGACAGGACACCTGGTTCCCCAAGTCGCTCCTAAACCAACGCACGAGCATGAGAGATTGGACAGCCAATCACAAGAGCGTGGTAACGCAAACACCACTGAATCTTCTCCCGTCTCTGCAGAAGAAATCGCGAGGTTTAAAGCAGAGACGTCACGAATGCGAAAGTATAGATGGAAGATCATCCTTGGCCTGTTCATCCCCAACTTCCTCGCCTCGATAGATTTTACAATCGTGGCTCCTGCTGTACCCATCATCTCTTCGCACTTCAGTAAGCTCCTCTTTCCAAATCACCTTCATGCATTCTACTAACAAATATCTGAAGACCACCTAAGCGGAAGCTTCAACTGGATCGTCGCCTCCTTCACCCTAACCTACACCACCTTTGTCCCCATCTCCGGGCAAATCGCTGACGTATACGGACGGCACTCGGCTCTCCAATGGCACGTCTTCTGGCTCCTCATAGGCAGCGTTCTATGCGCCGCCGCCGCTACCTGGGAAATGCTTCTTCTCGGCCGCGCGTTACAAGGAGTTGGATCCTCGGGCGTTGTAAATCTTAGCCGTATCATTTTATCCGATAATATGTCTCTTGCCGACAACTCGAAGAACAACACGATATTCAGTTTGATTATAGGAGTAAGTTACGCTGTGGGACCAATCATCGGCGGATATCTCGCAAACGACAACTGGAGATATTGTTTCGTGATATCCATTCCCCTAGCGGTACTATCGCACCTCCTCATCTTCTTTCTCATGCGAAAAGACCTCGTCAAAGGCCGAGCGTCCACCAAGATCGCCCAGGACAGGAAAGCCGGGTGGCTATCCGGGCTTTCCACCTTCGACTGGCCCGGGATGTTCTTCTTCGTCTTCGGCATCGGGCTGCTTATCCTGGCCATAATGTGGGCTGGGACACAATTCTCCTGGTCTTCCACCGCTGTCATCGTACCCCTAGTCCTCGGATCCATCCTCAGTCTCTCGTTCTTCGCACACGAATTCCTCCTGGAACCAGGCCACCTCACCGCACGACTCTTCCCAAAGCAAATCGCAATGATACCGTTTTACCTGTTTCACAAAACCGACACGCTCCTCCTCATGACGATAAACTTCGCAACCGGCGTCTCGCTGACCTCGGCCTTCTACTTCATTAGCATATACTGGGAACTCGCAGAAGGCTACTCCGCGTCCCGTGCCGGCGTACAACTGTTGTACTATACGCCGGGTCTGGGCGTGGGCGTCTACAGCGCCATGGGCTTCTGTAACCTATGGCCACGACAAACCTTTTATCCTCTCTTCCTGGGCTCCGCCCTCGAATGCACCGGCATGGCGCTTCTAGCCTGGGCCGTCAACTCTCGACAAAAGGCGCTTGTGAGCGGCATGCTCGCTATCGCGGGCGCAGGAACTGGACTACGGTTCATGCCCGTTGTACTACATGCATCCGGAATCTGGCACACACATCTTGCGGCCGTGTTATCTCTCTTAAGCTTCATGATCCCCTTTGGCGAAACCATTGGAATCTCCATGATGGGATCTGTGTTCACGAATAAGTTCAACAAGTATCTTCGTGGTATGAATGCGGGTGCTGGAACTGCATTTTCGACTTCCGGACCGCCGAATCTGAATATTTTGGATAATTTGCCGGAGGGGGTGAGGGATGAGGTGCAGGGGAAGGCGGCGAAGGCGGTTATGTGGGCGTTTATTGCGGTGTTGCCGTTTATGGCGTTGAGCGTGCTGGCGAGTTTGTTGCTGGGGAATGTGTGGATTGGGAGGCCGGAGAAGAGGGATAAGGAGGGGAGGATTAAGAAGGAAGAGGTTAGGGGACGGGTGTTGTACGGGTGTTTTCTTTCGGCGGTTGTTAGAGGGAAGGTTGAGGGGCAGAAGAGGGAGTTGGATCAGGTTGAAGATGGGGAGGAGAATGAGGACGGGAGGGGAAAATCTAGGGATGTGGAGATGGGTGTCCTAGCTAGGCGGGAACACAGTGTATGAGTATGATGGAAGGGTATAGGAAGATACTTATCGTGCATTTTCTGTAGTTAGACTTAAATATTATGATGTTAGAGCCATGCCCACAAGGTAGCTTGGCCCCTCTGAGCTGTCTCAACGCATCATTTCTCAATCATGAACACCCTCGTTCAGGGCGTGAATCTCGTCACGCCAGTTCTACAACCTACTCTCCCCTCCTACTCTCCCCTCCTACTCTCCCCTCCCACTCTCGCAGCCCTCATATTATCCACCTCCCTCACTCTCCTCTCCTCCAACGCATTTTGCTCCTAACCTCTGCTCATTTGTCACCCGTTTCTACGCTTCCTGCCTCTCACTCAAACACCTCTAGGCCTCTGTGACTGCGTTCTAGCCTACTAAGGTATCAGGATCATCTCCCACTCTGAATCATCTAAGCCCATAGCGCACGAATCCCCGCCGTCTTTCGCTGCGGCCTGTCTAGCGTTCATTCTAGTATTCGTAGCATTTTCTTCACCAAGGCTGCGAGGTGTCTTGGGGGGTTGGGGTCTTTATTGGGAACGATTGATCGCGAGGGAGAAGGGTTGGGGAAGGAAATGTTGGCAGCAGGACGAGGAACCATGTTTTTCTCGTCTCAATTTGGAGGCTGGGCGGGCAGCTGAGTTTGCCGCAGTAGGTTCTTATGGTATAATTCTTGATGATATTCCACTTAAAAGGTGGAGGGTGAAATTGTGTTTGAATTTTGAGGGCAAGGGGGAGCGTGTGAAGATGGGGAGGATGGGAGTTGTTAAGTTGAAGTGCTTGGGTGCGAAATTTGACTGTATTGGCAAGAGTGGAAATGAGGTTAGGTGTCAGGATATCGGGCTGTTTGACAGAATAGTGCAGGAGTTGGGGGATTTTGGTTGATGGAAAGTAGCCATTCGAGTATGGCAATGTGGGTGGGATAGATTAAGGGGGATCAAATGAGATTCGGACAGACATGGCAAGTATTCTAGAAAATATGGCAAGCATAAATCGAAAACTCCGTCCCGATGCAACACGAATATGCGCCAGCACAGGTCTCATCAATTCATCCGTCATAAGGCTGCAGCAACAGCGCATTTGGTACCTCAAGCACCCAAATGAGAATTTGGAGCGCAAACGGCCATGACGTATTGTCCCGCTCAGTTGTAATTTCTCGTCTCAGTCGCCGCATCTGCCTCTCGCTGGAGTCTGTTCTCTCGTGCAGCTTCTTGAAGGGTCTGACTCTGCGTTTGTTTCTTCTGCGCTTCCAGCTTCTTGGCGAGGTCTCCGCCGGTCGTCTTCGATGCGCGCGCCTATCGATAACAATCCGTCAGCGACACGATCCTCATCGCGGTATGGCATTTACGCCTATGGCGCACTCTCTACATCCAAACCGTTGTCGTCATGGGCCTTGCCGGGATGCGCCCAGGACGGAATTGCGACATTGAACTACGCACCTCTGCTGCTGCCGCCGCAGCGGATCGCGCACCATCGCCTGTCTGCTCTCTACCTACTATCCGTCCTGGGCCTGTGGAATTTCCTGCCGAACTCGTAGCTCCATCTGTCTTGGCTACTCTGGACGGGATGGACGCCTTCGCTTTGGGTGGTGGTGCAGAGCCCAATGTGCGGCCGGGGCCGGCGAAGTTGTCTTCCTTTGACTGCTTCCCACAGAGATTACCCATTGGAAGGATGAATGCTGGGCGTGGCTGCAGAGGATCGAAAGGTGTTGAAGTGAGGTTGGGGAGAGTTGGCAAGAGGCGGGAGTCAAGCGGAGATATCAGCCTTGTAGCGGGCGAAGGCTCCACATCGGGGGCTTGCCGTTTGCCGCGTCGACAGGCTGCCAAGCACTTGGTTCTTTGACGTTTGCACGGCGTGCCTAAGGCGATGAGACGTTTTTGCTGGTTAGCTCACGGCTTCCAAGGTGAATAATGGCGAAGATTTTTGGAGGTTCAAAGGGAGAGCCGCCTCGGCGCGTGATGTTGCCAGCTAGGGCTCTGTCCAATGAGAGACGCTGAGATTCGGGATTAGTCTTGGTAAACCATCACGGCGAAGATCAACGCTTTCAGCCCTCCATTCACTGCGGCTACACGCGACCGCACTATCTTTACGCCCCTTGTTGAGTCGCTGTGATGATAGTGGCAGCTTGATAGTTAGTGCCTCTCGAGCTGCACCCCTCCTTCCTCTCAGCAGCTTCGACCGCATTGCATTACCACACGCGAGTACCCTGATGGCGGGCGTTGTGTGCCCTCTTGAAGTTCCATAGTCAGCCCTGTTCGCACCCTCCAGCTGTCCAGAATGGCTCACATATTTCCAGATAACGATTGCGATTCAGCCTTTGGCGAGGACATATTCTTTTGGACCGCCGATGCCATGTTCGCTTCACCGCCTGCGCTGCTGGCGGGCACGAAGCGCCTCGCGGATAACGCTACAACTGCCTCTCAAACCATATCCTCGGGACTAACCGTCGAGAAGGAGTACCGCGCTGAGCACATCGATCCCCGGACCCTTTGCTGTTGCACATGTCCCGAGCAGTCGCCTTGCGAAGCCGTCGCGGATCCGCGGCCGGTGAAACGGAGAGCTTCCGCGTCGAAGGTTTTGGAATTCCACAATACTGATGGAGAACATTTGAATCAGATCTCGAACTCGGACCACCAGTTCCTAGACACCTGCTTCGATAAATTCTGCCAAGGATGCGACTTCGATCCAACTTGCTCTGACCCCTGCCCCGACCCGTGCCCTCTTCCATGTCCTGGGGACGATGCATGCTCACCGGAAGATGCCTGTTGGGATCCGCACTGTGACCAAGGCCAATGCTTCGACCACTGCGTGGATCCAGATTGTACAAAAGTTTCGTGTCCAAACGACCCATGCTTTTGTCAAAAGTGTGATACTCAGTCATGTCCCCTGGGAGATCCTGATAACGAATGCCATCAGGCGCATTCCGCTCCCACAGATTCAGGCACCATATTCTGCTTCGATAATGCGCCTTGTCACTTTAAAGATGGGCAAAACTTATTCCATCCGAGTCTTCCTGCTTGTGATGGGTACCAGTGCTTCTCACAAGCTCATCGAACCCTTGGACACTGCAATGTTACTAGTCGGCCCTCGAATACTGCGACACCAGCCTTATCACCAGACAACTACACCTCACTGGGCAGCTTTAGCAAACAGCCATCGCCAATGCCCAGTACTGGGTCCACGTCCAACTGTTTCCTTAACATCCCCTTTGATCACTGCCACATCAACCAATCCTGCTGTCATGGAACTGCCAGGGCTTGCGAAGACTTTACGACAGCTCCCCAAGAGCATCTCGATATGTGGGACTCAGCGGTGACCCAATCCAACGGTTTTGACAAGGAAACCCCGTATCAGATGTTCAATTTTGGTTTCCAGACGAGCCAACCTCAAAGTACACTTTCATTCCGGGCTAGGCCGACTCATTCTACCAATACCGCATACAGCGGTGGGCTGTCAGGCGGCATGCTTAGCTTTGACAATTCATACTGGATGCTCCCAGACTCCCACTTTCCTGATGTCTTCCCAGAATCTCCAACTAGTGCCAACAACAAGCTGGACTATCTCGCTTCGGCCATCCAAAACGAAGTGCTGAAACCCGTCATGCCACAACCCAAGAAAGAACCTCTCGAGAATAGCTCAGTTCTTGAACCGCGTCCGGCAAGCTCAATATCGAGTGACTCGCCCAAAGCTTGCGTATGCAAATGGAAGCACAACCCTAACAGCCTCTGTCTCCAAGTTTTTGACACCCCCGAAGCTCTACACAAACACATCAAAACCGCCCACGTCGACAACTGCACGCGCTGTTTATGCCACTGGGAAGGCTGTGACTCTCATTCTAAAGACTACAAACAACGTTCAAAACTCTCTCGTCACCTTCTTCTCCACGCTGGCTACAAGCCCTACACATGCAGTTTCGAAGGGTGCAATAAGATGTTCGCGACTAATCAAGCGAAAGACAATCATGAGAGAACGCATACGGGAGATAGGCCGTATGTGTGTGATCGATGCGGGTACACGACAACAACTCATACGCAGTTGCAGACGCACATCAGCGCGCTTCATTTGGGGAGTAAAAAGCACAAGTGCCGGTTCTGTGACTTCGTATGTGCGGACTCAAGTAATCTGAGTAAGCATGAGAGAACGCACCAGGTATGGTTGCCCGTTCCCCTCCCAGCCTCCAATCTATTTGTGTAGATAGAGGACCTGCTTGCTAACGTAATCAAAGACCCTTCGCCCCTACCGCTGTCCTCATCCCGGGTGCACATTCAAACCAGACTGTCGATGGGAGAACCTGAAACGCCACTTTCGACGCAGTACTCATTGCCCAAAGCTATTGATTGAAGGGAGTGAGGAGGCGAAGCAGTACCGGGAGAGCGTAAAGAAAGAGATTGAAGAATGGCACAGGCGCAACGGTGATGGAAGTGGTGAGCGTGCACTCAGTATTACGCCAAGGAGGAAAGGCAGGGGCTTATCTTCCGAGTGATTGTGAGTCGCTGGGATCACGGTAAAGATGTGGATGAGATTGGTGTTTTATGGGAAGGCTGACGCGAGATGAAGAGATACAATGGAATGGGATGAGCTATGGTCTGCCTACGAATATGCCTTGCATGATTTACGATTTGCGATTTGCGATTCGCATGCAGCCGGAGCTTGGGCATGATTATCAGATTATTAGTACTAGTCATGTGACATGCATGAACGGCCAGCTTCCGAATCGGGAAAGGGGATATACCACACACATGCTAAGGTATGCTTGCTTCAAACCCCTCCTTCCCCCGCAAGGGGATGGATAATATACTATGGTTTCTATGACTAGCTATATGGTCCAACCCCTTCGGCAAAGTCCCTAGGTTTGAAGTTTTGAAATACAGGAAACACTCCTCTCAGCATCTTGCATCTCGCATGCATACCTTTCTTCTCGCCAAAATCTAAATGCCTTTACAGCATAAAACTGTGTGCATTGCTATTGATATTCTTCACATCAGCGAGGCTTACTTCACTGCGAAAAAGATATGGCTACAAAGCTATGAATATCATATCGTGATTAGTTTCGCGTTTTGACATCCAATATGCCGGAGCCTAGGCGAGATAAAGCGGGATGAACCATATCTGCACGCAACGCATTGATATTCACAATAAGATCTCCTAGAGGCTATATTGACATGTTTGGGTCCACGGTACACATCCCCCCCATACTCACACACATGCACGCTCAGAACGAATAAGAACCACAAACAATTCTCTATCATGTATCTCGGCTCTTAAAAGACCACATATAGCACTCGTTTCACAACAACGTCCGTCGCAGCAACCAAGGTTCTGTATAGCGGCGCGCGCATATCAAAACTTCCCCAGATCATGCACTCCTAGCATATTCAGCCATTCATCTTCACGGTCCAAACATTTCACTCTAATCACGCTATTTCGTAATTCCCCCGGCCAGGTCGCCCTACCGAAGTACACAAACCTTGACCCAGCATCTAATTTCCCCCTTTCAGCGAACCTGAGTCAACACTAATAATCGGCCCGACACCTGACCTCCAGACCTTGCCTTACATTTGCCTACCAAATTGAAACAAGGCGGGTGCGGGCGAAAAGCGGACCATCGCCAGTGGTTTCTGTAGTTTAAGGGTTTAGACATAATTTTGTAATGATACGGGAGAATTCGCAAGAACGCGAAAGAGATGCTACTGCAAGTACGGAGGCTTCCAGGAAAGCATTTTGATATCCAACCAATATTTCCCATTGCTATCTGCTCTATCCAAACTCTCTTCACCCTATGCTCGATCCCCAACCACCATCTCCTAATCCCCTACAAAGAAAAAAGAGCTCTCCCATTTTTTTTTTCAAGTGAATCCAAACCACCCTTTTCCAAAAGGCGGGATATCTTAGAAATATAACAATCGACCCTCTCTCCCCCTACACCTCGGAGCTGGAGGCAAAGTTGGCATATGTACAGTTGCTCCAGGTCGTTGTGCATGGCCGACACACGACCCTAGCCAATTGCTATTTCTACACCTCCACAAAAACCGTGATTACAAGAAAGCCCGCGCTTGCCTTACGCGGGCTAAACGCGGGGAGAAGAGTACGAGAAACGAAGACTTCATACCCCTGAACCATGGCTGGCCCCGAGGGGTGGGTATAGAACGCAACAAAGTCAATCGAAGCCAACAGAATGGGAGATAGTTGATGTTGTGAGCATAGTATTGGTCGAGACCATATATTAAGGAGGGAACGTCGGTCGGCGGTTGTGAAGACCCAAGGTCGGTATGTATGTCGTTTGTGTTAAGGAACGTGGTGCGCTTGAGCGCGCAGTGAGTGTGATTACCCAAAAAGTGTATTAAATAGGAACCGCCGGCCATCTTCTGTCACCAAAGAGATAGGAAAACCTAAACTGGGAAATCGGTCGTCGTGACGTGGAGGTCGATGTGAGGTTCTGAGATATTACGGTATTACGTTCGGTTGAGGAAGGGTCGTCGTCGCTGGTTTAAGTCCTGTGACGGAGAAGTGAGGACTGACGAATGCTATGCTGGTGGATGCGCGCTCTGAGCAATGCAATGCAATCCGAAACGGGTATCAAGAAGCCTCAAATATCGAAAGTGGAAATTCGGAAATTGAAATCAACGGTGCATAGCGTAAACAGCCATCATCGTGTCGCATTAAATACGGTGAGGAGAATTGAGGAGGGTGCTCGATCCGGAGGAATGGAGAGCCGAGGATGCAGAAGTCTTGGGGCGTGCAGGTCGTGACATAGGATATAGAGGATAAGGAGGTGGCGGCGGTGATGAGAAAATCGAGTCCATCCGAGGGAGGCCGCCCGGAGAAGGCGGGCCTGGAGAAGGAGAGCAGGATGAGATAGCTAGAAAGTGTCAACGAACTGGGAAAGAGAGGTGTCATTATGGACTGGGAGGCGGTCTATCACCTCCACTACCTCCTCCCGTTGTGTCCGTTGTGTCTCCTTCTATAGTTTTCCGCCAGTGCTGTGGTAGACACACGCACACTAGCGGGAACGCCTTGATCTCGCTCTCACCCTCAACGGTTCGTGACTGCCTGCTCCCGTTGCTTACACCAGAATCACGTTGCAGGTTTCTTCTTGCTTCCCACTGCTCGGCTGACTCTGACAGCTTCACACCTGTCGCCCAACCATCATCCCAAATGCCAACGACCTTGAGCATGTCGCCTCGCTCAAGTTCGAATTCGTCGTTAGCGCGAGCTTGATAAGCCCACAGGGTGGCCACCGTGTCATTTGGATGAATGTCATCCTGGGAGTAATAGTCCTTGAAGAATTGTAGCTGCTCAGACTGGCCTGACGCAACACCTTCAGGAGAAGAGAAATTTCGATCGGGATTAGATCCTGAGTGGGGCGACGAGTGGCTATCGGTACCTGTAAGAGCAGAATGGTTTGATAGTGATCCGTCGCGTTTCGGCAGATTTCCACCCAGATGGCTGCGTCCTGAATCTGGAGACTCGTAAGCATCATCATGAGACCCACGGTACGCTCCCAGGGCACCACCTGCACGTGTGCTGTGATGACCTGAGGAATTGGAGCCTTCCAGAGCTGACATGCGTGCGACGCGAGCTCCGGGAAGAATAGTCGTCGGAGAGTTGCCATCGGTGTAGGCCATTGGTGGCGGTCCGGGAATGGTGGCGCGTGTCGGAGATGGCGTGTTCAAGATGCTTCCGTGCTGACTCTGTTTCTTGTTTTTCATTCGAATGCAGCAGAAAATGACTCCGGCGAGAATAAGAGCGGCACCGACAAGGGAACCCACGACGATCCCCGCAATGGCACCCCCCGAAAGTCCGGACGACTTGGCTACACCAGCACCTGCAGAATGTGTTGCAGATGGTGTTGCTGAGGAACTGGATGAGGGGAAAAGGGGTGGCATTGACGTGGTCGTAGGAAGATGGACACCCTGGCAGCGTTGCTCCACACCAGAGTTGACGCAACACGAGTCTGTCGCATTGGGAGAACTTTGCGCACAGAACGAACAAAGGCCTTGGAGATTCGACTGGTAGCCACAGTCGTTTGGTTCATTTGCGACTGCGCTGATGCAGGACCCGCTCAGCGAATCAGCCGGCAGGGCACAATTAGTGAAGTCGGCTCTGATTAGATCGATGGCGTTTGAGCCCGAACTGCCGCATAATTCAGGGCTCGCGGTTATTTCCTGCTCGCTAATAGCAAATTGTGCCTGGCGTTTCGATCAGCATTGACGCGAAAGCAGTTTCGTGAAATGGAAATGTTGAAACACTTACACAAGAATCGGCACACAGCGGTCTTGAATTGTTCTTGTTAAGGCCACAAGAGTTGATGGAATTCTGCACTATGGCGTTGCACAATACGCTGGTTGTATACCGAGCGTAGATGTCAGTGGTATTAGTTAGGTTGACGCTTGAACAGCCTATAAGCTGTTGGTATCTGTGTAACCATCAGCACAGGAGCTCCCCACAATTGAAGCAGGATTGGGGGGGGGGACATACTTTTGCTTTGCGTAATCGGTGGCGATGAACTGCCGTAATCGATCGTCGAATGTCTGTGTATCTGATACGAAGGAAAGAAACGGGCTGTTTTCAGCTTTCATTAGCATCCATGTCAAAGGTACAGCACGAGGCTGACGTGAGGTCACACATACAACAGCGCCGTCAGATTCGCGCCAGTACTGATGGACGCATTGGTGAAGGCTGGACACGCGGTTGAGCCCGTGAGTGGGACGCAATTCTGGGCCATTGTGGACGGCACGGCAGCAGTGAGGACCGAGAGGAGGAGAGCACTCCTTGCGATGGAGTGTTGCTTGGGGCGTCGGGCAGTACTCCTAGGTTGATGGCAGTCTCGCGGCTGTTGGCAGTAGGCGAGCGGAGAGTTGGGCGTGTCGTCGTCCATAGTAGCGGTGGGCGGAGTGGGCAACTGAGGCGGTTCGTCTGGCGGAGGAGCAATCAAGCAGCAACAGACGCGCAGCTTCACGACTCCATCCGTGGCAGGACACACGGGCGCAGGAAGGGTTTTTATTTATAAAAGGCAAAGCAGGAAAAAGAAGGGCCCCGCGGCGCTTGAAGATGCGGGCTGAGAAGGGAAGAGATGCGGGCGCAGGCCTCAATTGAAGGAACGACTGGGTTGAAGGAAGCTGCAGACGCTGGCCGTGAGAGAGAAGAAGGAGCATGGGGGAACGCACGCCAGAACAAGAAGGCTCGGCAGCCGCACAGCGTGGAGAGGAAGGAGCACAGCAGCACCCGCGCAGGGACCGGGGGGCAAGCCACGAAGCGCGCTGATTGGCCGCGGGCCGGGCCTGCACCTTCGCGGGAAATGAGCGCGACTTGACTAAAATTATCTTCGATAGCTCCTCGCCTCAGTTGTCCATAACAGTCCTCTGCCTCGACCTGCGTCGTCGTCCCGCTGCGTTTCAAGTGCCTGACGAGCGCCAGCAAACCCTCCGAATGCGAGGCTCTGTGGTGCTGCTCTTTCAATTTTCGGCCCAAGTACCAGCCCGCAGCACCACTGAGCCATGAGGCAGAGGCACTCCGCCTTGGCCGTACCTTGCTGCTGATGTAAAAACAACAACACGCATATCGACGCTTGCCCGCCTAATCAACTCAGCGCTTGCTTGCATGCAGCTGCTGCAGCTTGTTGCAAACTTGGCCGCCGCTCCAATCGATGCGGCTGCCCGCCGTCGGCTGCATGACACTGCTCTTCGTGATGCGATGGCGCTGGACATGTTGTCGTCGTCAGTCGTCGTTGCGGCAGATGCTGCCATCGGACCCTGCCCCCTCCCCCCCCGCCTGTCGTTCGCACTAACCCAACTTGATGTCGCTCGTATCGCTTCATAACTTCATGCACAGGCACAAAAGTGCTGTGAGACGTTGGCCCAATTTCGCGGCGCAGGGATCCCCGACGGCTACGATACCTTCATCGACAGGGCACGATAGACCGACCACTCTCCCTCACATCAGAACGCAACCTCAGGTTCGCCGTGTATCCTAGGTCCTGTCAAGTGGCTGTCAGCACGATGATCCGTAGACTACGCAACCAAACCCCGCCGGGGTGGGACCTTCAAACTTCTGATCCGTGGTTCCAACTTCCAGCTCACACGTCACAGCAATTCTCCGTCGCCGCGACAGATGGCGTCTCCCATCGCGAGGCCGTGCCTACAACGGTTCCAACGCCAATTCGCCCATCCCGTCCTCTTCCCAGTCCCTGAGCCCCTTGGTCAAGGATCACGGCGATCTGTGGCTTTGCCCCTCGTTGCCTCGTGGTCCACATGGAGCACAAAACTCAGCTTACACGCCTGTTCGCTGAGCAGCCTATCGTGGCCTATCGTGGCCGATGGCGAGGAGGATCAGGGTTGGGTCCAGGCCAGGTAGGGGGACGCTTTAATTCTCCGACGTATCTGTTATGTGTGCGTTTGAACTTGCGGAATGGCTTCCCCTCTTGATGGCGCCTCCGTCCTGCCAATGTCAGTTTGGCAGGCCCAACACCAAAACTTTGTAAAGCACTCACCGTCGATTGCACCTTTTAGGCACGGAATATGCTATCGTATTGCGCAAGTGGCTGGGTCTTTGGAGATCTGGACGGTGATGTGCGTTTGCTTGCGGTTCACATTTGCCATTCATGCGTTCCAAGGTTGCTTGGATCGTAGAAGCGACGGCTGACAGGTACGATGAACCACAGAAACGATTCGAATAGATTGATATCTGAATGTAAGTCCCATCATATGTTTTGTCCATTCGAGCCGAACCACAGTTCACTATAACGCTTCATGCGCTGTACAGATCTGTACCCTTTCTGCTTGAACGTGACTCCCACATCTGGTAATAGCGCGCCTTTCCAATATTATCCGCATTAACACCTCTCAATCTCTTCAACAGTGTATACGCAATCCACCACTACACTTCATCACACTCATATCTCGCTCTCTGTTGTCTTACCCCTCATCGTCTTGTCTCGCCAAGATCCGTATTTCACCGCTATTTGGATTTCAAGAGTATGCGTTGGATAGTCCGTACGATGAAGCATTTTGTGTTACCTCAGACGCTGCCAGTTTGAGCCTGCGGGGTGAGGGCGAGGGTCTCCCAGGCCAGAACAACCACGCTTGCAGGTAACACTCCGACCGATCCCACACCCACGGCGTGGGCGCAATCGATAGGTTGCGTAGACACCGCCACCTTGGAAGGAACAAACTCCAAACTAGAAACCTATTCCTTCACGTGGAGCCTGACAGTTCGTACAGCACAGATCTTTCAGGCCTACACCTTTCGCACAGCCCAGCATACCTGCTGAAGGCCTTGCTTCGGGCAGCTGAGACGACGGAATGTAGTCCAACATCTGCGGAGGAAAATCCACGTTCGACTACCTTTTTGAAAGAGTCTAGATGAGCCTGCTGATGCTCAATTTCAATTCTAGTCCACTGCCTCACCTGAGGCAGCATCCCTGAAAGGAGCAACCTACAGGTTGAGATTCGAAGACCCAAGAAGAAAGACTGAAACTTTTGCAGTTCGATAGATTGTGGGGCAGCTCGTTTACAGACTCGATCCATTGTCGGAGCTTTAAACTGGCCAAAGGAAAGGACAAAAAGGGACGGTCGGCATCTCCTACAATAGCTCATTAGCATCACAAACATTCTCCCGCCGCCTTACTCCTTACACGCAGATAGAAAAATATTCGCGGCTCGAGCTAGACGAAGAATAAATGTCGGGGTTTTAACCGAGTTGTGCCACTGGTTGCGACATCCATTGCAAAAGCAATCAGAAAACGTGAAAAGCGCCTAAAACTCGGATTTGAAACGTTCCTACCGGCAGTTGGGAAGCCAAAAGATACCGTAATCCGCCAGTTCTTGCAACTCGGGACGAGCCCGCGTGCTGACACTTGCTAGTGTAACTCTATCGCAGGACCTGCAGCATTTCCAACCTGAGTTGCTTTTGAGCTAACGTAGCTATTAGATCAGCAGTTCTCCTACTGTTGCTATGGTACATGGAAACTTTGCCGTAGAGATAGGGTCCACTCGTTGGTGTTCACGCCAATAGAGTGCTGGATATTGTCGAGATCCCCACACTGTCCCTCGACACCTGAAACCTTAACAGAACGTCCAGTCTACGGCAACTTTAAAACCCGAACCGTGAGGAACATTCCAACCTCACGTCTCCCTCAGTCAGTTAATCTATCCACGACATGATACTTGGAGGTAGGTATGTAGTCGATATCCCCGCACCGTGTGTGGGGACCCTGTCTGAAACCGAACATCATGTTCGTCCATGCTAACGGGATACCTAAGTCAACACCACTCTATCACAACCTAGTTCAAGGAGTTCTGTATAGCAAGCTCTTCGAAATATGCACCAGGACTGTCGGTAGCCGCTGCGTTTGATCGGAAGGAAGCACATCCGGATCACCAACACGATAGCTTCCAACGGTCTATTTCCATACGTACCAACATCTTCACTTAATTTCCCTAATCAATCAAACTCTTCCTAAAATCTTTCTATAAAAATATTTATTCCTTACACTGAAGTTCAGTTGTCTGCAGTTTTCAGATCCCACTATCCAGGACACCGGATAGCCGCCGCCAAGACCTGCAACCAGGTCGGAAGACCGCAGATCCGGAGGAGCAAAAGAAAGGTTTTATTATAGAACGAACCGACGAAAAAAAGAGTTTTTCTTTGAGAACCGACAATAACTAAATCAGCTCGTTTATTTCACCCTTGTGAGGGAATTGTTGAAACAATGGATTCTGCAAGTACAAACGAACTAAGATCCTAGGGAACGCATGCATTAGAATAGTAAGCTATGCAGATACAAACTAGTCCATATTTCTCAGGGCGGGAAAGTCCAACATGGTGAAATGATTAAAAATCATGAAGGAGCTTCCCTCATTCATGCCTATTTTTACACTAGATTTCATGTCGTGATAATAATACCAACGCCATCCATCAATTACAAACACGCAACTAGATTCTAGTCACCAAGCAAGGCTAGTAGAGCGCGAGAGTAATGCTTACTCAACATCCAAAAGACTAGGAATGCATACAATTAGAGTTTTCGTTTAACCACACTGCCCTCCAGGCTCAGATTCTAGTAGTGAATAGTTTCAAAAATCTGAGGAAAAGCGCAGATCACCCTATGGGCGTTTATCATTAGAATCAGAATAGTACGGCAGAGCTATTTTTTTAATTAAAAAAAGTTTATAGCAATTGACAAAAATAAACAAAAACATACAACAGCAGGTATTCGCTAGTGGTCACCCACCTAACTACTAATCCGCCGGTACCGAGATTATCTATCGAAGATCGAACGGGGTTCGGATTTTTCTTGGTCCTATGGTCGTATGTGATATGAATGTAAATCTATTGGCTTTATATAAGTGGTTTAATGGTCTGGAGACTAGAAGTCGGCAATCTGGTATTCAGGGAGTTGAGGCAGCAGGCTTAAGTGCTGGGTGTCTCTTTATACGGATGGTTCGCAATAGCTATCCTTAAAATTCGTAATGCGATCATACTAGCTTCCCACAAAAACTTACGCATCTACGACAAAGTCTCTGCGCTTCACCATCTAGAGTAAAGTTGCTCTCATCATTATTCTCATATCTTCATCACTTAATCCTAAACACCTTTTTCTCTAGCACCCCATCCCTTACCAACCTCTTGACCTCCCCATCCATAATTCCCCTCACAACAATCGGACCAATCAACCTCCACAAATCTCCTTTCCCCCCCTCATCACTCCCTCTCCTCCTCAAAACCATCGGCAACGGCACACCCTGCAACTGCACAACGACATCCCCAACCTCCAATCCTTTCAATCCGAAAGCGCCAAGCCCCGGGAATCCAGCTTTCGTGCGGAAGAAACAGCAGGATGTGAATAGTTGGGAGAAGATGTCTTCGCGTTCATTTTCCCAGGCTTGGAGGAGGTCAGTGTGGGTCCGGGGCAGAGAGTGAAGAGTCGGAGGTGGTAAGGGTATTGCTTCAAGCGAGGGTGTGTTGGAAGATGAGGAAGATGAGGTAAAGGATCGGGGCCGCGGAGATTTGGGAGGGGATGATTGCGCGACGAGTGCGGGGAGGATATCGATCGCTAGGTCACGGAGGTGACATCGGAGGGTTTCGTTTTGCTTTTGGTTGGGAGAGGTGAGATGTGATATTAGGGTAGAATACAGGTGTCTGTCGACAAGAGAATGGGTAAGATGCGTCGTTTCCTCCACAATAGTGCCGTTGAGGATAAGTTCTGTGGAGAGTTGGGCTTCCATCTCTGATTCAAATCTTTTGTAGTCGAAAAGTAGAGCCCCAAGTAATTCTTCCAGTAGCTCACTACTAATTTGCTCAACATAGTTCTCAAGCTCTGCATCAAGGAACTCAAGATAATGCTCTGAGCGCGAGATCAACACTGACACCATATGATCGATTGGGACTTTGACTGTCCATTCGAGGATACGATCCTGGCTGTGAAGTGATTCGATCCCAAAGTTCGGTTTGTCGATATCGTTCTGTCGGTTAGTCTGGAATAGTTTTTCTAAATGCCAGAGCTTGCCAATAACTTCGAGTCTATCTTCGGATGCAAACTCGTGAACTTCCGAGATGATGTCGAATTCGATGCCTGGGATGGCGAGGATCTGTTGGTAAAGTGAACAGTGTATTGTCGGGGGCTGCCCTGGAATCTCAGGTTCGGGTTCGGGTTCGGCCTCCTCACCAGGCTGTTCCCTGGATCCCTGGGGTTCCTCGATCAAGTCGGATGGCATTTCTAATGATGCTTTGTGTTCAGCACCAGAAATTCGCTCGAATGTGAGGGACTGTTCCCTTGTCTCATTCTCCTGGTCAAATTCCTCTTGACCGATTGGTTCCGCTGTTGACTTCGAGAAGTCACCTCCTTGAACCTTCTCAGCACTTCTCAGGGGAACCTCTAGATCGGTACTATCCTGATATTGCGTGCCATTCTCGAATTGCTTTTGCTGGGTTGCGTCATTTTTTTTGTCCTTGTCTTGGTTCAGCTGACTCTCATCCTTTATCCGAACAGTCCCTGCATCTTTCATCCAGCTTTTGTCGGCTTCAGCAAATCCAGTATAATTATTCGTTTCCCACTCTTCACCCTCATGTTTCTTGTTTTCTGCACTCCCCTCGTTAATGTCCTCTTTCTCTTCACCTTCGCTACCCTTTTTACTACACTCTTCATTTTCAATTTCACTTTTATTGTCCTCCTCCTCCTCCTCTTCATCTTCACTCTCACTGAAGATGTCATAGTCGAACGTTGCAACAAACTCGTGGTGTCGAGAGGTTGGTCGTGCCCTCCTAAAGTCCAACACCCACGATGGCAAACCGTCACTTTCAAAAGCCGGATACTGCACTAGCATCCTCGGCGACTGCTCCATCATCAGCATCCAAGCCGATGCTTTTGTAAACACATCTTCGACAGGTCGCGAATAGTCGGCGCTGAGCACAGCGTTGGCAACAGGATCGAAGAGTGCGCAGATACTAAAGATGAGGTCTCGCGAGTCTTTCGCTTTGCAGCCAGTGATGCCTTCGTTGCACAGCCAGTCATCAACGCGCTCGGGATATCGATTCGCCGAGTTCATTGTTTGGAATACAGATACTGCTCGAGAATAGACTTCATGAAATTGACGAGGTCTGATAACGTCGGACATTGGCTGCTTGAGTAATGTTGGCAGGAGGAAGACTGCTTCGCATAATAGATTGAAGGCGAGCTTGGGGAAATCTTTAGAGCGTCGGCCGCAAAAGAGCTTTGGTACCTCGGTCGCACGTATGTATTCTTGCCTGACCCAAATCCTGGAAAACCAAGGCCGGAAAAGAAAGTCCACAAAGGCTTGGACGAGAGATAGATGATGCTCGACCAGGTATGCAGCTGCAGACAGTCCACACAACGCATCTGTGTCTTCGGTTTGTCCAAGATCCGGTAGTTGAGAGTAGCCTTCTTCTAAGAAGTCGAACACGGTGTCGCTAGCTTGATTCTCAGGCCCAAGAAACACGACGACTTTCTTGGCTGCTTTGTAGATATCACCCATTTTCCCCACCTGGCTTGATTTCTCCGGAACGGAGGTCTGATCTATGCAGATTGCATCGACCCAGATAATCTTGGGATCTTCCTCACCTCGAAGTGAGCGGAGCGCGACTTCTAGATTCTGAGTAACCGCCATTTCCCAGTCATTAACAAATATGACTCGTTGGCCGTCCGTTGAGCCCCAAACGTAGGAGAGCGCATCATATTCGTACAGAGTGATGGAGTCGATTTGGAAAAGATAACAAACTATCGGATCGTCGTAGTTGCCAGGAAGCAATTGGAGGAGACGAATGTTGTCGGTCCCAGGAGTGAGTGTGACTTCGTCGTACGGTGGGAGGGGGTATCTAATAGGATTTGATGAATCTTCTGTGTGCTCTAGGAGTGCGCGCTCAGTGCGAACTGAAGTATTGGAAGTGCCTAGATCCAGCAAGTAGTTGTATCTTGAGACAGTGTCCTCTAACTCAATACGCCATGCTTCCTCCTCATCTAGGTCTGGGTAGGTGTTCTCCAATTCGGCGAGCGCATCTGTTCTTTCAATTAGCCCATCTTGAAAGTCTGAAAACTGGATTGCTGAGAGGAAGGCCTCCAGACCTAGGTTTACGCCAAAGTCCTCGTTCAGTCGCGATGGCAGTTGGGCAACCAGTTGCTTACGGAATCTCCAGATGTCGTTCTCATTCCCCATGACGATGGTTTAATGCATTTATATCATCTGATTGTAGGCATAGATGCAAAATATATTTCGTTGAAATGGAGACATTGGTGAATGAGGGTGGTACGAAGTCCGCTATTGCGGCCGACAATTGATTCGGCTCTGGCACCTTATATTGTATTCAGCTGCATCACTGAGGCGTATGCTAACTAGGAGCTGTGCTAAGACCTTCACCCTGACAGACACTGGGTAAAAGCCCCCCAGTCAGCCCCCAAATAGAGCAGCTTCCATTCCTACACGTTTGGCTGGGCTCATTCTGAAGGCGGATCGATGATGTGGTCTCCATAATTGGACACTTTAACTCTCAATTGCTGTAACACCCTCCTCGGTCGCAGTTGTGTTCTCGTGTTCTCCATGGGAGGATTGTGGTGTTCATACCTTCATCCTACCTGATGACTAGAAGGGCCGAAACCACAGACCACTCGGACACGGACCATGTGGCTGGTGCGGTATGTGGCTGTGTGTCCAAGGTATTTTCATCCTTCGGATATGCACGAGGGTTTTGCGGGGAGCGCCGACGAGATATATCTTCCACCCTTTGAGTGCATCTATTATCGTTAACAATGGTGGCAAATTACAGGGCTGCAGAGCTCTGCTGAGTACGGGACACAAGATTGCTGACTTTGAGCATTCTCCTAGAACGATGCAATCTGGAATTGTGGCTCCCAGGAAATCTATTCATATCCTTAGGACCAATTTTTTATGTTCCTAAAAACTTTGCGAAGCCATTCTGATCACTCCAGTTCAAACACCTAGCCTACTTTGCCTTAGTTCTCCCTGTCAAGATCAGAGTAGAGGTCCCATTGAAAGCTTTTGCTGGGGTCATTGGACCGCAATGTCTTATCGATCGAGTCAAGCTTTTTGATATCCTTCCGGGGAAGCTTGAAGTCGCTCTCGAGATTCAACTTGATGTGGTGTTTAGTCTTCGATTTCGGGATTACAGAATGACCCTTGGCAATGCTCCAGGCAAGGCAACCTTCGCGCCTGGCTTGCCGTGTTTCTTGCCAATCTCGACAAGGACAGGGTCCTCCATTAATTTTCCCATATTCTTTCCGCTATCGTAGATCTCGTTTGTTTCCTGAAGGTGGATACTGAGTGATGTGGATGCCCTTTTGCTTGGGGAAATCAGTGAATGGCTGTTGCTGCAGCCGCGGATGAAGCTCGATCTGGTAGGCGGCAGGTACCTAAGAAAAAGTTAGTGGGGCTGAGTTCATTCAAATACTCGCCACAGACCACACGAGGCTCACTGAGGAGGCGCTCAATTTCTCCTTTGCTGAAGTTCGAGAATCTGATTACTTTAGCTTTCCCTGACTTCGATCACTTCTCCATCTCCATGTAAGTCTCGACGTAATCAACGGCTCCCCTTTGCATCTTACCGTTACTACCCTTCAGCATTAGGACGCCTCCCGAGCGAATGGTGGCGGCTAATCTATGAGGCAGAGGCCGAGATAGTCGGTTCCAAGGTCCTTTAAAGAGGGATCCACTGCCTTCTCCACATCGTCGGGATGATGGGAGTTGTTCCACCCTTGATAGTGATGAAGAGGAGTCCTCGTGGTATACCAGACTTCTTGATGGCACTTCCTGCAGCCATGTCCGTGCCGTAGATTCGAGAGGTATCGACGATATGACAATAGCCGGCCTTGAGGGCGATTTGTAACAGCTGGTTCTTGAGTGTCGGCATCCTGCCAGGTATCGAAGCCAATGGCGGGGATATCTGTGCCCATGTTGAGCTGAAATTTAGTATCGCCATTCTGAATCGTTGTCGTGGTGTGCTAGGAGGTTGGAGGCGGCGAGTAGTTTGAAAGAACCTGCAAGCTGCAGTGTGGAATGATCGAGAAGGGGCAGTAGCAAAAAACTTTGTGAGGAAGGAATGTGCACAATGACCCTCAATAGCAGCTAGTTTCCGCTTTCTTGACCAAATCTTCGTTCCAATTGTTTGATATCTTCATGGCGACGTCTCGGAATGGAAGGGAGCTCTATAGACGGTAGAGATAGTGTAATATTTGATGATTGATGGCGTTAGTGGTTTGCCAGTGGCTTCCCGAATCCATTAGGGTATCGGGAGAGGCTCCTATTGCGCATCGGCAAAAATAGTAGCCTTGACTTGCTCTATTTGCGATATATAAGCCGCCGATCGGAATGCTTGATGAAGTTTGATATGTGATCGGGAGTAAGACCCTTTTGGCTTGGAAATTAGCGAGCGGTCACGTGGATTCTAAAGTCCCGTTTTATCATCTGCGATGGCTTTTTCTACCAAAAGGCTCGGCCACTTCTCATGACCACACACCTAAGGATGGCGGCATCTTCCTTCATTACCCGCCAACTTCCTTCTGAACGGTTTGTTGAAAGCTGCGGTGCCGTTCTGTTCGATCTTACGGCATCACCGGAGAAGAAAGTATGCTTGCTTCATTACCTGAGGAAAGACGAATGGCTTTTAGCGAAGGGCCGGCGTAACTGTGGAGAATCACGAAAGGAAGCTGCTCTGAGAGAAGTGGTGGAGGAGACTGGTTATCTATGCCATCTGCTCCCGGTAACGATGGCAACCCGAGCTCCACCTGCCGACGGATCAACGGACATTCCGGACATGGCCCGCACATATCCTAATCTCACAGAGCCTTTCATGTTCACAATGAGGGAAATCGAAGGGGGGTCGAGTGTTAAATTAATTTGGTGGTATATCGCTACCCTGGATTCGGGCTCTGGAGCCACGACGTTGACGGGCGAGGCTGATTTTGCCCCCGAGTTCTTTCCTTGTGAAGAGGCATTGGACAGACTCACATTTCAGCCAGACCGAGATGTCCTCAAGCAAGCTGTTAGGTTAGTAGAAGAATCAACAGCTTTAAGGAACTCAACATCACAACTCGATTATGATAAGAACAATTAGAAACGTTAGTTTTCTATCCCTGGTGCGTAGGTAGCACTGCTCACAAGCAAGTGATACTGATCAAGGCTTAGTAACAATGAGGATGTCGTTAATCATCCTTCGCCAGCCACTCTTTGGAGGCATCGTAAATCGTTGAGAACGCAGTGTCAAACGATAGGAATCTCTCGAAAACTCCTTTGTCAAGCCGTTTGAGAAAATGTAGAAAGGACACGAAGATGAGATCAGCGTACGACACTGCAACCTTGTTAGCCGGAATTACTAGACCGGCAGGCGTTTTACTCATGTAGAACTTACCGGTCTTCCCAAGGAAAAATGGCCCACCCTTCTTCTTCAGCAAATCCGCGATCTCGTTAATTGGTTGCTCGGCAGCCTTCCAGCTGGGCTCACCACCTCTATCCTCCTCGACTTGGGAAAGTGACATCCCGTAGCGCTCCTTGCGAGTTCGTTCGAAATATTCCACTGACGGCGGGTTGAGCAGCATTCGAGGAACTTTTGGAATGATATTAGGCTGCAAGGGGCCCATGATCTCCGGAATAAGGTTCCGGACTTGAACCACGATTGGGTCATCTATGTGGAGCGATGGAGATGGATACCGCTTCTCAAGTTCAATTGCAATCTTCCAAGAGTCCATGCAGTATGTCCCATCCCCAAATTTGACAGATGGGCTTGTGTATTCGGCAAAATATCCGACTCCATCCTTGTTATTTGGTGGCAAGCCGCTATTGAATCAGCGTTAGAAAATCTCCTGTTCTAAAATATAGTGGATACTTGCAAAGATTTGAATGTGGGCGCCAAATCAGGATACTCCACCCATTCCGTTTCATAGTCAATCCCCTTGTAGTTCAATATCATACGAGCTTTCCACATCAGCATACTCTTCACAATTGCCTTGCTAACTTACATTTCCATGGATTCGGTGACCATGAGGCACATGGTGGTTTGCTCGGTAGATCGTACAGCACGATTTTGGACATTGTACTCTGAGGACAGGAAATTTGGTGCAGCGCCTAACAATGACCGTAAACGAGGAGTTAAGTACCATCAATTGGAAAATAGGAGAATATGTTTCCCGCCGCTAGCATTTGTCATCAGTCTTGGGGGAATGATGTCGGCCGTGAGAAGTCAACGTGGAGAAAGCTAAACCTAAAGCAATCGTCTTCAGTTGACCTCGGCCGCGGTCCAAACCCCAGCACCAACAAAGTCATCTCCAATATACACTCTATGCCAACTTCCGCTCTGCAAGTTAGGAGTTCAGCTCGAAGCTAATTGACGCTGCATACTTGAGCTTAAAGGAACCACATGGAACCACCCCACTGCCTAATACGTCCGCTTACCCACTAGAGCTAATTAGTGACGCGACTCGCGTTCAGGTTCCCTCCACTCTCAACCCATCTTCGTATGAGAAGACTATGTGTATTCTCACAATCTACACCCCGCGACTGAGGCGAATTTAGATGGGTGTGGGGCCTATTCCAAGTCAGGTGAAACATAAATCTGATAAGAAGGGTTTCGGGTGGTTTTTGGCCCCCAAACTCTTCTCTTATCCCTGGTCAGGGGTCAATATTCTCCCTGCATATTTATGTACTCTAACCTCAGACCTTCTTAGTTTATCCATACCAACCTCATCCGCAACATGCGTGGCACCTCTGGACGAATTAAAGAGTGTCGATGAAGGCCTCATCCTCGTCGTTTCGCCACCTACTGACTCTAGTGGACGCGCTGTGCTCGACTGACACATATCTTCCACTTTCCACGTACAGAGGGGCAGCTTCGGCCGGCTTTCACAATGAGTACCGGTCGTGATTTCGGGTGGGTCGGCAGACTGTTCTATGCTTACTGAATAACTATCGAATTTCTCCTAATATATCGATTTCTTCACTTCGATCCTTCTCGTCTGTTCTTCCATCGCATTCTTCGCGCAGTTCACACTGCAGTTTACCTGGCGCCTTCCATCTGGCCCCCAAATCCCCAAACACGCATCCCCTCAAAACACCCGAACTCGTGACGCCATGCAAAATCCTCCGTGTCCAGGGACGAAATAACTAGACCTCAGGTTAACTGCCAACAGAAAAAGGTCACCTTCAAGCATCCCCACCTGGGCAATCTTGGCCGTCTCAACTCTCGTCAACCTCCGGAGCCTATTAGAAATACCCAACGCCCGGAATTCCGTACCTGAGCTTACGATCGGTGGCGGAGCTTTTGTGCAGACGTCAGCGTGTGTGGCGTCAGCCATGGAACCAGGCCTCCTCTCACCCATCAGCACATCCGGACATCAAGACTTTGGTGCGCGAGTCAGCAGAGCACATACAGAAACACACACAACGGGATTAGCAAACCAACGACCAGAATCACTCGAAGACCATGACGGAGACATCGCGATGTACCACATGGATGAAGTGCACACAGACCCAAGCCCCTCAACTCGGATGTTCATGAAAGAAGGCTACGGGCCTGTAGAGAACTCAACATTCGACTCTGACACCCGCTCACTTCTCAGCAACGCCAAAAGATTCGATCACCATGAATCGAGAAAATTCCTATTTAAGACGGGTGTATCGAGGTTTTTCGTGACGCTATTTTTTTGCGTGCTGATCGCGCTGTCGTTGAAAGCCTACGAAGGATTCAACTCACCCCGGATCATTAGCAAGAATGAAGTCCGTTTATTCAACTCCATCATGCTTGGACTGTCTCTTGGGCTTGGCCTCAACCTCGCCTCGTCGCTCAAAAGATACGCCGTTATTCTTCGCTGGTCGCTTCTCACCAAACGCTACGTTTCGCTCGAAGTTTTCGACTTAATCCTCGGACTAGAAACTTTGACCAAAGTAGGAAAACTAATGGTAATCTCCCTCCCCGGCGTGCGCAGGATCAAGTTTCTCCAAAAACTCCCCTGGTTCCGAGAAGCCAGAGACGACGGTACAAAACTGACATGGATCGTGTGTCTAATCTGGCTGCTCGTAAATATTGGCGCCCAAGTCCTTGTCGCCACACTTTCTCTTTTCTGGCCTGTGGATCCCTCTGATGCTATTCCACTGCTGACATACGGCAACGTGATGATATCCGATCTTGCAACTTGGAAGGTCGATCCGCCATATATCGACAGCAACGGATCTGCGCTGGCTGCCGCAAACACGTATGGGTTAGAGGCATCTGAATATCGCATTTACCCTGCCAACGGCTCTGAGAACGCGCAGTCATATCTGGATAGGAATGCCATGTATCGCGGGGATGATTACTACGAATACCGATTCTTAAACCGCAACCCAGAGCACCTGTACACAAACTATATGGTCTCATCGCGCGTGATCCAATCCCGAGCTACCTGCAAGCAACTAGCACTAGACGGCGAACTCGAAAAAGAATCCGGCCGCATCTTCGCAAACGGCAGCCTGGACGGCCGACACTGGCAGCAATACCCCGTTCCTATGTGGGTCAGCGGTAGCATCTCCTGGGTTGGTTCCCGCGGAGCTTATTGTGGTCCCCGCTGTACAAATCTCACTGTCTACCAAACCGCTGATGACAAGGACATCAAAACGTCTTCGCTCTTCCTATGCAACAGCACGATCTCCCCCGTGCAAGGTGGTCAAACAGAACTCACGAACCTCCGGCCTGAAGACCACAACCACATCTATAGCAACGATGAATTCGCTCGGATAGCCGCCGGTGCGATAGCCTGGACGGGGTATACTATGACGGGTCGGTATGAGCGGCAGACGCGTGTGTATCTAACGGGCCTGCAGTGGAGTCCGTATAAGATCGTCAACGCAGACGATGTATCGGATCTGATATCGAGGTTTTCAATATCTGCAATTGCGGCGTTCGACGATCATGGAATTCGATATACAGTGCCGAACCAGCACGTTCGCCCCGTGCAGGGACAGCAGGTAAACGTGGATTGGGCGTGGGTTTTAGGGCTGCTATGTGGGATTTGTGTGATTCAGTTCGGGGCGCTGATTTGCTTAATTTCCTTCGCGAATAAGTCGATTATCCGCGATGAGTCGTTCTTCAGTTTGGCAATGTTGCTGAGGCCTGTGGTGGATCGTATTGGGAAGGAGGGCATGAATATGAGTGGGGAAGAGATCAAGAATCATCCTAAGATGTTGTGGAAGCGGATAAGATACGATTATCGAGAGGGGAGGAATGGAGAGCCTAATCAGGTTGACATATTCTGGCAGGGGAGAGATATGGCAGAGAGCAGGAGGAGCTGGGCTCCTGGGGTGTACAGTTGAAGAAATGTATGTAGGACATTAACGAGACTAATAAATATGAATAAGTATCCTTCTAAACAAGATAAATTAAGTTCTATACTTCTCCTTCTGTAAATCCTAGGTATTTTACTAATCGCTCTCGACAAAAAGTTCTACATCCGTCCGAACAAGCACGTATACCCAATGTAAAATTTTGGGACGATGGGTAACTCCCCCATTCTTTGAGTCCTGCTGCTCTGGAACCTCGATGTCGTACTTGGCTTCTAATCGCCACAGCAACCCCGGGTCAGGGAATCCTCTATCCAGCACTGTTTGCGGAATGTTATCTAAATCGTCATCAAGATCATCTTCGAAGCTTTCTTCTTCTGCAATTGCAGACGTCGTAAATGTGGGTGATGTAGAGCCCGAAGCAATGGTCGGGTCTTGATCTAGAGGCGTTGGTAAAGACATAGGCAGGAAGGGAAAGCGGTCCTCAGAGTAACTTAACGATATCCATTTAGCACTAGGCTTTGTGACCAGAGCGAGGTGGATGGCAAGGATATGAACCGGATGAATCGGTTCTGGAGATTGGGAGAGCTTGCTAGCCGAGAGAAGTGCCTTATTGGGAGTTCTGATTGGATAGGGAAGTGGCACGTATAGATCATCCGCGCATGCTATACTGTCGGAGGTCGATTTATCCACTATAACAGAGTATTTGGCTGGTTCGCATACACCTAGGATGGAGGCATAGGAGAGGAGGTTTGCAGAGGACCAGCGCATGTATGTCGGCTTTGGAGCCTTGCCTGGACTTGACTCGGAAGGCTTTGCAACAACATTGGCCATACTAGTGCTTTCCCCATCGGTCATATTTCCCACTCCAATACTCCCCTCAAGCGCAAAAATCTCCACCTCCCTCTTGCGCCCCACCTCAATCGCAACGTCCGAATAATCCAGATTATGGATCTGCTCCGGTCCTTTAACATGCGCCCGCAAATGATACGAAAGCAGTGAAGTCCCACATCCAATATGTAAGATGTCCGGTTTCTCCTCAGTTGAAGTCCTCAGGGTCTCGACGAGGAACGGATCCAGCACATTCGGGGCTTCCAGCCATTCAAACGGATTCGGGTTTGCGGTAAACCGGGCATTCCAGTACTCTTGTGCGCCAAAGGATGGTGCGGAAGGCAGTGGCATTGGGCTGGGGAAGGCGACCTGTGAGGACGTTGGTCAGAGGCTATGTGCATTGTTAGTTGCTGTGAGATAAGTGCAGCTCACTGATTAGCAAGATGTATATGTAGATGTGATTAATTCTTTGCCTTTCAAAATCTGGTGACCCGGGATTAGGAAATATTGCTTAGGATGTATGGGGGTGTTATGGACATATCTTGAGGACTGAGGGGCTGGCGGGACGATTGCTGGGATCGGATCATCTATTTCTCCGAACAATTCTTCAAAGTGCAGCCATCAAACCACCACCTCCGCCCATCTCGCAATCGCACCAGCCGCTGCAACCACGCACTCTCCACAATGGCATCTCTTCCACCTCCAATACCCAGATTTCTCCTTCCCCGAGGCGCTACTCTCCTTCGACCCTATCCCCGTTATCCCCTCCTCCCACTCACCCAGCACCTCCGCAACGCCTCCTCCACCTCAAATCCTAAGCCTAAGAACCTTTCCGAAGTCCTCCGCCAAAAGAAACCCGCGACTCTCGCCCAACCCGACAAATACCGGCCTCCATCTCATGGAAAGCGCGCCCCGCGGAGTACGGATTGGGGCGAAACAGCCTCCAAGGTCTATGGCCCGAAACCTACTGCCGAAGATCGAGAACGCATGCGGACGAAGAAGTATCCGAATATGATGGCGCCTGAAGGGACATTTATGCATTGGTTTTTGCATAATAGGATTATTCATATTTGGATTACTATGGTATGTTCGCTTTCCCCTTTTGTGACGATGCAATGCGTTGTGTTTGATGAGATAGATGGGGGTGCGTTTCAATTAAGAGAGGAATTTTCTATTTGAGGAGGATGGACGTGGAAATGCAGAAAGACGCTAATTACACTAGGGCACCCTCGTAACCCTCGCAATCGCTGCTTGGTACATGGACTTCGTTTCCAAAACGCCCTACGGTGATCTTATACCCTCCAAGAAAGACTTCCTGCGGCATCCGTGGGAGACCAGTAATCGGTTCATCGACGTGTACAAAATGCACGTCGCACACACTTCGCAATTGGCTTACGAAAAGCGCATGAAGAAGACTGAGGATGCGGAGAAGAGGAAGCAGTATAGAATGGCGCGGATACAGGAAGCAGAGGAGAGAGGCGAGGAGTATATTGAAGACCCGAGGTATTATATTGGGGAAGATGGAGTACGAAGGAGGAGGGTCAAGCGTTGGTTTGGGATTTGGGAGTAGAGAGTGGTCGAGGGATACGGCTACGGCTGGAATGGTTTGTGCAGAAACACGGTCTGCGAGGGTTGCAGAAGTCATAATCTGAAAATACCTGAAGCTAGAGTACCAACTCGAAGGTTGGACAAATCTCTTTCGAGAAGTTTGAGAGATTGTAGGATATTGACTGTGAAGAAATAGGTATTGATGAGTCGAGAAAGGAAGGACTGCAAATTATGTATGAATATTTTGCAAATTCTGTAAATCTGTAAATGATAATGGTATCTAGGATCATATACCCTGCTCCAACTATCTGGGCGACGGATTAGCCATGCATATCGTCATGTTCCATTTGAAATCAAGACTTCGAGCCATGCCTAAATTGCGGGTGCATCTCGTTGATCATATGATTCCTCGAGCAATTTCAACACACTGTCTTATACCGTGAATTGGCTATTCCGCTCTCTATACCCCTAAGGAAGGTATCTGAAGAGTGAATACATGAATTCGGACCAGAGCGCTGATGTTTCACGGGAAGCAATGAGGTATTCTTACCCAGCCACCGTTAAACGCTAGGTACGTTAGACACACGGCTCTCGAAGTGTTTCGAGTCAGCCATGCGGTGTTGCGATTTGTGCCACAGCTGCACACGTGGCTATCGGGCCTTTCCGGTCCTCCAGGAAACGGGCCCAGCAAGGTGAAACGAAGTAACATCGTCCCAACATTAAATTGGGACTCGAGGAGGGCGATTAGCGCCAACCGCCGACTCTGCCTTCGTCCCATCTTTCTTTTCTCTCGGCCCGAAGGTATGCGATCTTCCGGCCTTCTCTTAATCTTCGGACAAAGTCTGTAACCTCTCTCTCACTGGCCACAGCGTCACTACTACCCACACCTTCCCCGTGCAGGAAACTCTCCTCGAGTCCTTGGCAGAGTGCTTCCTGTTCTGCAACGGCTGCGCTTAGACGTTGATACAATGCCGGGGGACTAAACTCCCGCAGCGCCGCATCCTGTTCCGCCTGCTTCGCCCTCCACTGGCGCTCCAGTGCTCGCAGCGTTAGAAGCCGTGACTGTGTGCTCTGCCGTTGGTGCTGGACATGCGATTCAAGCACCTTAAGTTGTTCCGCAATCGAGATGTTCTGGGAGAGCAGTGCCTGCAACGGTGCGATGGAAGCTGGCAGCGAAGGATGCGTCGTCTCGGGGCTGTGGAGAATGGCTTGCTGGAGGTCGGGATTTTGCAGCACGTGGTGGAGGTCCACTGTCCTGTCACGGCTCAGCACACTTGGGGTCATGCGTTTCAAGAGTGACGTACGTCTTATCCCTCAAAACATCCGGCAGCCAACCATCGTCAGGCGGCTGCACAAGGAGCGATTCCTGGCCTGCCTGAGATGGGTTTTGAGTGCAGGTCTGTGTGGACGACTGCTGAGGATCATAGTAGGGCTGAGACGGCTGGCCGGGCGGCGGTGGAGGGAGGGGAGGCCCTGTCTGTGGAGTTGCGCGCCCGCTAGAGTGGGCAGAGGGCTTTGGGGGCGGAGGTGGTGGGGTCGATGGATTGAATTGGAACAGATTCTGCGACTGTCGGGGGGAGTGCAACGACATGACAGCAAAGTCAGAGGGCAAAAGGTGAGAATTGAAGTGTGTGTGGCGTGTTGCGATGCTATATGGCTTGGTGTTTATCAACGAGGTATGACAAATGGCGTCGCGAAGCCTTCATGCCGACGGGTGGAGTTTGGAGTTTGGCCGCAGCAAAGTTGTTCCGCGCCGCCATGGAGATCAATCAGCCCGATCGATGAGCGGTCTGTCCAAGACTCCAAGTGGCTCCCCTTTTCATGAGCACAAGACATCTTTACAAAGTTAGCACCGGAGATGGCCACGGCACAAAGGCTTCTCCAAGAGGCTGCTGTGTGTCTGTGATGGCGCGCTGGCGCACTGGCGCTTCCCTTTAGCGCAGGCAGTTCCATTCCCATTCGAGACCCCAAGTGGTCTCTCGTCCCTGTTTAGGGGCCTCCACGAGGGGCCTCCCTCGCTCGGAGAGAAGCTGGCGCAATTCGCCCGCTTGCTTTTTGCTCAACAACGGTGATCGAGAATGGCAGACGGGGCGGTCAAAATTAATACCGCGCTCAACTTGCGAGTTTAGGTTCTTTTGATAATTTAAGTTCTGTGCACATTGTGATGGCGCACACGTGCGCGGCACCAGTCCATGCCTCGCACCACCTGCGTGCGGCTTGTGTCGAAGATGTTTCAGCGGTATGCATGACGGCGCTCACGGCATTGAACTGGGAAAGCCCTCGACTGTCAGCAGAAATAGTCCCTGGCGTCCCGTCGCAGGCACTCAGAATTAGTTGGGCAAATTCTGACCACCGCAATATCATCCTTCGAGATGCAGCCCTATCATCACTCCTCCCCTCGCCAGGTGCAGTCCCTTTTGCGGCCCTGAGCAGACTCCCCCTTGATCGTCAACGGTTCATTCGCCAGATCAGGTCGTGTACCTGCAGACCAAAGGCGTCTAACCGACCGCCCCCCTGCGCCCAATTCCCCACCCCACAGCGAACCACGGCGTTGCCAGGAGCGCCAGCAGTTCATTGCTCTGGATGAGCGCCTCGCCGCCGGCCAATTCCATCGTCCAGATCTCCTCACGAGGCCACACCGCGATCCTGCTCCAGTTCATGCGCCTAGCTCGGCACGACGCCTCCCCTTTTCCAGACAGCCTCGCGTTGGCCGCTATACTCTCCTCCACGCCCACGGGTCTCTGGCCTCCAGAATTGTGCAAAGCCATGACTGTCGTGGAGGGTAGAGACGGATAATGCAAGCCTTCAACCCTCCCACGCGTCCCGGCGAGGGCTCTCTTCCTTCCTCCTCCTCGCACCAGCGCCAGAAGCCCTCGACGCTGACCAACATTGCCATACAGTCCTTCGCCGCATTTCGATCACAGACGTCGAGCAGCCCTGCACCCTCCCCTGTGCGCAGAAAGCCCTTGCCAGCGAACGCATCGCCAATAGTGGGACGCTTCTCTTCGGCTGAATACACTGCCAACCCCAGACTTGTTGGAGATAAAGGCAATAAACAGCGTTCCTTCTCAACCAGCTCCCCGCCACTCCAAGCTCCTCGCCGCCTCGATACGATCCTATCGCCGCCATTGAGCGCAGACGAGGAACTTTTTCTCCCCCGGAACCTCGACGAGTGAGTAGCCTCATTTCCTTAGATTACAACAACCCCCCTTGCTGATATTAATTGTAGGAACCCTCATGGCGATACTCCCGTAAAAGCCAACGCACCGAGCAATCCGTTTGTGCCTGCTCTACAGTCATCAAAGAGCCCACTGTCTCAGTCCAACTCTGCGGTTCGGTCCGCAACAAGGCATGATCGCTCTGCTAGTAGCTTTGTTCCACTACGACCACAAAGAACGGAGGAATTGAAAGCTTCGTCCAACAAAGGCACCCACGTCCGGTCTCCCACCATGCCGAATATGCCATTGTATACATCAGAGCCACAACAACCCAACCTTAAACTGCAACTAGACGGTGTCACCGAGGACTTCATCGACGAAGATCCCTACGCCACCTCCCCGGAATCTCCACACCCAAACAAACCCAAATCTCCCGCTGCCGGAAAGTTCACATCCTTCTTCGGCTGGAATTCCTCGAAACCTCAGAACGGAGCAGAGTCTCCAACAACAACGTTTTCCGAGAAGTCATTGTCCCCAGCAGCATCGCCACGCTATCCAAAACAGCCCGGCATGCCTACCAAGACAAAGCCCGCAGGGCTCGACATTCCTATTGCCAATTCCTTCTCACAACCATCGTATTTCAACGTCCCAGGAACGCCATTGCTGTCATCATCACCCCAGATGAACGCCCACGTAGAAGAATTAGAGCGGGAACTCCGCGAGGTGAGTTCGGAGCTCGCTGCGTCGATACGAAGAGAAATGGAACTAGAAGATGAAGTCGAGCGATGGAAAGCGGAAAATTCAACTGTCATGTCCGATAATAACCGGAGAACCAGTGACTACTACTCTGACTCTGGCGCCAGCTCCGTGAGATACCCTATCGGGGATAGCGAGAGCAAACTAGAAGAGGTGGAAACGCTGCGCAGGAAAGCAGAACAGGAGCGTGCCCAGTTGAAGGTGCGTATGGCGGAACGCCTTCAGGAGGAGCTTCGACGAAGAAGAGATCTCGAAGAGCAGGTGCAACAGCTTGAAGACCAAGTCCATGGACAGCCGAAGAGGATCCCACAGGAAAGCGCAGGGCGTGTCCAAGAGCTTGAGAGTTCGTTAGAAGATGCGAAGAGAAGGCTAGCGGAAGAGCGACAGGTGAAGGAAAACTTTGAAGACCTATTAACTGCACTCCGTGAGGAACTCGAAAAACATCGCAACGAAAGAGACAATCTCCGCGACGAGGTTGTGCCGCAGCTCAGGTCCCGACTAGAAGGCCTGGAGACGGAGGCGACTGAGACGCAAACCCTCATCTACGAATCCACGCGCATGCAGCAAGAGATCCAGACACTCCGTGCTGAGAACCAAACACTCCTCAATGCTCGGAGAATGCAACTGGAAATGTCTCAGCAGACACGATTTCAGTCCATCGCCGAAGAGGACGCTCCACCGGTATCGAAGCCACGTGTTGGGCTGTCAAGATCGAATTCTCTAGCTCGAAGCTCAGGCTTCAACGCCAAGCGAGGCTCGTTGTCTCGTTCAAACTCTGTCAAAGACCGGTCAGGGGCAGAATCTCCGCGCGAAGGGCCAATGAGTGGTAACCCTGTCAAAGAGTTGGAAGAGCAGCGAGATGCTCTACATCGTGCATTGAAAGCCTTGTTGCAGCGACAAGAATTGCAACAAAAGGAGTTCCAGAAGCGCATTAAAGAACTTGAAATTGAGCGGGACGACGCCCTTAACCTTACCCCTCGTCGAACTACCTTCCACAACGAGGTTTCCCACCTAAGAGAGGAGATTAACTCACTGCGACGGCGTGCTGATGATGCCCTTGAACAGAAATGGCAATGCGAAAAGGGGCTGGGAGGCTTACGAATGGATTTAGACCGCGCCCAGCAGGAGACGACTTCTCTCCGTGTATTGCTACAGGAGCACGACATTGCCATACCAGAAATTAGGGTCGAAAACGAGCCCATCTCCCTGGACAAGGCCTACAATGAACTGCGCACGACTCATGCTCTCTCCATCGCTCGCATCAAGCAGATAGAATCGAACGAATCCCTTGGTGGTGCTGGAGTCGAGGCACAAAGGACGTTGGAGCTCCTCAAGCAGAGCATCTCCGATGCGGAGGCCGAACGAGATGCGGCTCAAAATGAAGCCGAACAGTATCGCCAGCAAGCCCGAGCTCTTCAGCAGTCCGAAATTGGACATCTTGGTAAAGAGCAGAGTCTAACAACTGAACTTCTTGCTTCGGCGACCCGCATGGATGAGCTCTCCAACAGGATTCAGCAACAGTTGCTGTCTAACAGATCCCTTCGCAACCGCCTCGCCGACGCCATTTCTCGAGGCGAGCAAGAGCAGGAGAAGTCGGCAGGAAAGATCATCGAGCTAGAGCGTCGGCTGAAGGCAGCGGAGGACAAGGTGATGATTGCTCAACAGTCTTCTGAAGAAGCCATTTCGAGGCATGAAGAGGAAGTCCAGACACTAAAGGAGAGTCATAACACCCACCTACGCAGGGTCAAGTCCGGCTTGCTCAGCCCCGCAGTCTTCTCACCTAAGATGCCTTCGTCCCCAGTCTTTGCTCAACGGTCGCCGCGCCTTGGCCAGACAAGTAGCGGCCCTGGCATGTCTATGGCCGAAGCAACAAAGACAGAACTGCTTGAGAAGCGGGTCTCGGAACTCGAGAAGGCTCTTGCCGATGCCGACCGAGAGATGGAAGAGGTGGTCGGCCGGATGAACGAGGCCCAGATCGAGGTTGCCAACCTGCAATATGAGAGGTGAGCTGACCATTATGTGAAGACGTATAAAAGCAATTTTCTGACCCATGGTTACAGGGACGAGGCGATGAGGCAGACAAGGAAGCTACAGGCTGACATCCTTGCTGAGCGCGAAAAAGTCAAAGCGCTGATGGCATCGAGCTAATATTTAACGACGGAAGACGAAAATCACCTCGAGTCGGCTTTATTTCATTCTCAACTACCTAATGGACCCCTTTACTGTTAATCGGACAGGATAAAGTATCTAACCTTTTATGGCGCGCGATTTGGCGCGCGATTTGGCGCACGATTTGGCGTCTTGGTGGAGGTAGCATTTACACGGGAGCCCTTTTCACATGACTTTTACAATCGTTGAACCCTCGCCAACCTCAGAGAGTACCGGGCAAACACGGCATCTGCTCTCTTGGCTGTTTCAATTTTCCTTTTTTAACTCGTCCTCTGACGCTTTTGTCAAGACTATTTGCATTGGGGCCAGATTTGGTCACCTGTCACAGAAGTTATATACCCTCCCCTGAAGAGGCGTTCCAAGCCGTGGCGGACTCATTGAGACTTTAGGATGCTTTATCCCTCGTTCATTTCTTGTCAATTCTTGTACAACACCTTTGTTCAGCTCCTTGTACTTGTTAATGATTTAATGTTTGGATGCTCAATCGAAGGATTGATCCCCGAATTGCCTTCCTGTCCGTCGGTCTTACGTGCATGTTGCGGACTATTAATACAAACCTGCCCAGCACAAGCACAAGTCCTTATTTCTCGAACGGACCCAGATGCACGTTGTACGTGTTCGTCTATGGTAGCATAGGGCAGGTATTCCAATGTGCTACAATAGGAGCAGACACGGAATCGGGTCGATAGGCTACATTCTTAATATGCGAGTCAGTAGCTGTGCCGTACAACATATTGGCCATTATAGAAGGCATTGGCAATGCTCGAACGTGGACTGGTCAGGTCGCGAGCGCTGCCCGACGCTGTGGACGTGCTCCGATGCTGTGCTCCAATTTAACAGCCTAGGATAAGTGATGGGAACTCTTCTAGAGCGTTTTAGAGACACACGTTGCAGTTGTCCTCGTTCGGCACGCGCAACTACTTGGGGGGGTGCAGCCCGGGGGGGGAGAGGGGGCGGCACGTCGGCGGAGTGAAATCGGACACGGAGATTGGATAAGTTGCTGGCGGCACAAAGGCATGATCGACTCCGAGAGCTCGAGCGGTACTATCCGTACTATCCAGCTATCTGGCGGCTGGCATCTTTTTAACATCCGTTTTGATGCCTATCGATAGCGCGACGCAGAAACACAGCACACCGCACGGCCGCCTGCCTCATGCCGCGAATCAGTGCCCGTGTCTGAACCGAGCACGAACTAGCCCAAGTCCAACATCACCCACTCGCTCGCTGTTTGAGTTTATCCCTGACTACACGCCTGCTACACTCCCTCTCCTCTCCACGCCCCAGGTCCGCCTTGCCTCCCTCCAGCGGGCCCCCTCTACCCTCTCCACCCTGACTTTTCCCTGCCTGCGAGCGTGTGGGCTCCTCTTGCACGCCAATCCCCCGCCGTCGCTTTGGGCCACACCTGGACTACGCCGCCCCCCTCCCCTCCCCCCACCCCCGAAAAGAATTGCAGTCATCTACGCCCTTCCTGGCACTTCCAGCTTGACTCTCCGCCCGCAATGAACAACCAGCAGACTGGCAACCGGCTGCAGCTCAATTTCGGCTTCGGCGGCGGCGGCGGCGATCGAAACCAGAACTACAACCAAGACTCCAGCGGTCGTGCGTTTCCCACCACTCCGTCCACGTTCCCCCAGCCCGTGTATCCTAACCAGGCCGGCCAGCAAGAAGTCTGGGGCACCCAACAGACCAACAATGGCTATGGATACTTCATGAATCCCTACCAGCAGGCACAGTACCAGGGGCAGCAGGGCAACTTACAGCCCCCCGGTACTGCTGCCCGCTTCAACGACGCAACGAATGGCTTGGTACATCAACTCTCTCACCAACACCTCGGCGGCCGCTCTGGCAGCCCCTATGGCCGCCAACCATCCCCTAGCCACCAACGCCCCCGAACCGCCGGCGCCACTGGTCAGCAGTATGGACAATATATGAACCTGCCCCGACAGCCTTCTCTCAATGACGAGGAGCCGCCGGCGAGGGCACCAGAGAAGTATTCGGACAATGTACTCCGGCAGGCAAAGGTATCGGTTGGTCTGGTGAGCACCTTCTTCAAGGACAGCGTCCAGCGTGCTCGTGATCGGAATCAAAGGTAAGTACTTCTGCATTGCCATTCCCTCAGATCATCTGCTAACAAACTCTCAGGGCTCTTGAACTGGAATCCATCATGAAAGAGCCATCCATCTCGGATGCACGCAAGTCCCAGAAGGAGCTCAGCTACCGGCGGGCCGAGGCCGAGTATCTGAGGTTCTTGCGAACGAAGGAGAAGCCCGAGAACTTCTCCACCCTCAAAATCATTGGCAAAGGCGCGTTCGGAGAGGTCAAGCTGGTCCAACGGAAGAATGACGGCAAAATCTACGCTCTCAAGTCCCTTGTCAAGTCTGAGATGGTAGGAATTCCCCGCTGCGGACCTTCTATGCGCATGAGCTGATTTGTGACAGTTTAAAAAAGACCAACTGGCTCATGTGCGCTCAGAACGAGACATCTTGGCTGAGTCTGACAGTCCTTGGGTTGTCAAGCTCCACACCACTTTTCAGGACAACACATTCCTGTACATGCTCATGGAATTCCTGCCCGGCGGTGATTTGATGACTATGCTCATCAAATACGAAATTTTTACTGAAGACATCACTCGCTTCTACATGGCCGAGATCACCCTTGCTATAGAAGCGGTCCATAAGCTTGGCTTCATCCATCGGTAAGCATAACACGGCCCGTTTCACACGGCCCGCCCATAACCATAACCAGTTATGCTAACTGTTGCAAGTGATATCAAACCTGACAACATTCTGCTGGACCGTGGCGGCCACATCAAGTTGACTGACTTCGGCCTGTCGACTGGTTTCCACAAGGAACACGAAGCATCTTACTACAAGAAGCTCCTGGCTGGGGGACCTCACAAATCCACAAGGGACAACCGGAATTCCATGAACATTGACCAGATTCAGCTCACTGTCAGCAACCGTGCCCAGATTAATACCTGGAGAAAATCTCGACGTCAGCTTGCTTACTCAACCGTGGGAACGCCGGACTACATCGCTCCGGAGATTTTTAGTGGTCTGGGTTACGACTTCGGCTGTGACTGGTGGTCTGTGGGCACGATTATGTTCGAATGTCTTATCGGTTGGCCACCGTTCTGCGCAGAAGAGCCTCATGACACATATCGCAAGATCGTTGACTGGCCACGGAACCTCCACTTCCCGCCTGACCAACAACTCGGAGCAGATGCAGAGAGCTTTATTAAGAGGTAGGCGTTTTCACCACTTCACCAAACAAACCTACTTGCCCCTACTTTCAATATGTGCTAGACTAACAGTCCCAGCTTGATCTGCGATGCCGAGCACCGTCTTGGTCGAATCGGAGGTGCCCATGAAATCAAACAACACCCATTCTTCCGCGGCGTACAATGGGATGGCTTGCGTCGCATTCGGGCTCCGTTCGAGCCCAAGTTGCAGTCGAACATTGACACGCAGTACTTCCCGATCGACGAGATCGACCAGAACGATAATAGCGCTGCTCTACGCGCCCAGACGGCACAGGCGGGCGACGATATTGCTGCAGAGATGAGCTTGCCGTTCATCGGCTACACATACAAGCGCTTTGATGCCTTCAGAGGATCTTAGATACCTTGCGTGCACCCACCACTGGCGTTGAAGCATTGGCCTAGCATGAGCTATTATGACCAGCTTTTTGGACCAACATTTTACCAATATCAAGACTTTACTTCCTCTTCCAATACGCGCAGCACATCTTGTCTATGGGTCGCATCTCCTGGTCATCATCGCCATCGTCATCATCATCTGTTTCCTAGCAGACATGAAGCTCTAGTCAGTCACATTGTCCCTCGCTCATCCTTCTCGGACACCCTCCACCTTAACTAGCCATCCCTCCCCGGTTCCCATTTAGTTTTATGCGGTCTTCCCTTATTGTCAGTCATTGTTGGCGTTTGGTCGGATCATCAATGTCGGCTGGGTTGTAATGCATGTGGTGGCGCTGTGGGCGCGGACATGAAACACATTAGTCTAGTTTAGTCTTTGTCTGTCTAGCTGGGAGCGGTCTCGTCTTTGCACGCACGGCCTTTGTGATAGGCATGGTATGTTACTTGGCATGTGGATGACTGGGGGATGGGTTCTTTGGTGTGTGGGTGGACGAGACGTTTGAATGGGAATGGGAATGGGAAGCGTTGGGCATTTGATGGATCAGTGAAGACAGAATTCACAACGTGGATTAAGAGTTTCTCTCTCGTAGTGTCTTCGCTTTCCTTTGCAAATGGCATGTGTGTGCAGTGTGATCTTGATTTGTACCCACCGCTATGCACAGAGATTGCAATCTAAAAAATGTCGCCCACTCATGCCAATAATAGATGTAGACTTATTAAAGTTCAGCCTTGGAAACTCTATATCAGGTTCCGCCGAGAAAATTGTACCCCATGTCTCCAACTTGAAATGACCTAGTTTTTATCGATATCGCTGCTTGGTGCGAGATCGTACTCCGGCTGCCGCATACTAGGGGTACCGTATCTCCCTGCAATACATCTGAAGGAATGCTTGCTCATCGCGCCTCGAACTGGACCATACTATTTCACTCGTTAGGCCAATCCTCATCACAGTCCTCCTACAGCACAAATCTCTCAACCTTCTCCTCTATCCAGCTCCCCGCTTTCCTCCCCTTCCTAACTCCAATATAATCCTCCATCCACTTCAAACGCCGCAGATGTAAAAAGTCAACTCACCGGTTCGTCCTCTGTTTATACAGCACACGATGACCACAGCTCCTGCACCGAATCGGCTCTCCGCGCTTTAGTGCTACCGTGCTGTCACAGTCGCCGCAAAGGTATTCTACTGAGCGCGCGCGGTCGTCGGCGGCTGTGGGCATTTGATTGGTTTGCTGGATCTGAGGGGTGTTGTTGTAGCCGTAGGAGGACATTTTCGTGGGTGTCGATGTTCGGAAGGCCTTACGTGCGGGGTGTGCGAAGTGGGTTGATTTTTTTGAGGTTTTGGATTGGGGGGTGTTTGGTTTTAAGTTATAGATGATGAACAAGGGACTTGAAGGCCGAGATATGTCGAAGGCGGTGAGTGGGTTTTGCCACTGGCTTGGCGGAGAGGACTTTTGGGCGGTGAGTCACGTGTGTGGCTTATCGATAACAGATGTGGCGCATGCATCTGGTTCACCAATTCCAACGTCCATTAGCCTGCTACCGCAGATACCGAGCGGGACCGAAAAATTCCATGTATTCTCTCGCTAGGTTCTACTGAATCGAATCGTATTAAGAGATGGAACAAACGTGGGAGCTACGCCGGAGGTCTTCCTAACAAGCGCACATATAATATGGGATTACCTGAACGAGCATCCACTTCTTTTGCGACTCTACCGATTTTTTTCCTGTAGAATTTGATTCCAACGTCTCTCTCCATTGCATCTGTTCCCGTGTGCTACTCATGGATGTCATGAGTAATGACTCGGGAATAATCATTGCGGGGCGTGGTATCCCCGCATTCGCTGTTTGCACTCCATGTTGCCGATCATAAGATATAAGCACAGTATAATCATCATACACCATCTTTGATATTCTTGTTTCCCGTCTATTTTCTCTTACCATGGTGGCATAATTCTCTGATCTCACCCCTCCGCACAATGGCATTCTCCCAAAAGAACGCCGAAGTCCCCACCAGAAGCCCAAGCCCTCCCATCGAATCCCCTTCATCCATCGCACAGCAGCGTCTCGAGAACCTCCTCAACACCATCAAGCCCCCCGCATCACGCTACGGCCGTCCAGTCCCAAAATGCTGGGTGCCAGTGCAAAACCAGCCCCTGCACCATCCGCGTAAACTTCGCATGGTGACGATTGGAGGAGGGATTTCGGCTATGAATTTAGCGTATATGATCATGCATGAGAAAAATATGGATGATATTGTTGAGGGCTGTATTTATGAGGCCAATGAGACCTTGGGAGGGACTTGGTGGGTTAACAGGTATCCGGGAGTAGCGTGTGACGTCCCGGCGCACATATATACATGTAAGTCCGATCCCGTTACCGAACGCCACAAGAATTTCTGCTTTAGGACTTTCAGAAGTTATGGGATATTTGGGAATGCATGTGTATGCTCAAGGGCGACCCCTAATTGACTCTCCTAAGAAGTCCCGTTCGAACCAAACCCCAACTGGAGCGCCTTCTATGCCAGAGGCCAAGAAATCCATGACTACTTCATGCGGACTGTTAAGAAGTATAATCTCGACCGAGACGTCAAAACAGGACATCGCGTCATCCATGCTCAGTTCGACGAACACGAGGGTATATGGAATCTGAAAGTCCAGCATAAAAGCCACGTGTTTGACGACTGGTGCAACGTTCTCGTCAGTGCGACGGGCTTTCTCTCCCATTGGAAGTGGCCGGATATTAAAGGTCTGCATGATTTTAAAGGCTTAAAGGTTCATTCTGCGGCTTGGGATGAGGAGTTTGATTATGGAAAGAAGAGAATTGCCATGATTGGGAATGGAAGCTCGGCGATCCAGATAATGCCAGAACTGGCCAAGGATGCGGAACATGTTACGAACTTTATTCGGAATCCGACCTGGATTACGCCTGGGTTAGGAAGTGCGGTTATTGGCGGGCAGATTAACAGGGTGTATTCCGAGGAGGAGAAGAAAATGTATAGAGAGCATCCGGAAGAGTTGAAGAAGCATAGAAAGGAGATCCAACATGGGAGTAATAGGGCTTTTACTATGGTAAGTAATATCGCCACTACAATGGGGGTGAGGGATGGAGCTGAGTTCCTGAAGTTCGAGAAGGACTCGCCAGCCCAGAAAGCAGCCTTCAAGGCAACATCTCAGATGATGCTCGATCGACTAGGCGGCAACAAAGAACTTGCCGCAAAACTAACCCCTAACTGGGAAGTCGGATGTCGTCGCGCAACGCCCGGACCCGGCTATCTCGAAGCTTTCACACAATCCAATGTCTCCTTAGTCACCGACCCCATCTCGTACTTTACTCCAACTGGTATCGTCACAAAAGACGGCACACACCACGCCTTCGATGTCATCGTGTGCGCCACCGGCTTTGACGTGACCCACCGTCCCACTTTCCCTCTAATTGGCCTCAACAACACCGATCTCGCATACCACTGGAAAGATGAACCCTTTTCCTACCTCTCACTCATGTGTCCCCACTTCCCAAATTTGTTCTTCTTCTCCGGCCCCAACGCACCAGTCGGTCACGGCTCACTAATGGCAGCACTCAGTTGGTCCGCAAACTATATATCACAGTGGCTCTCCAAACTCTCCACCGAGGATATCAAATACATCTCCCCTACTCTCTCAGCCACAGAGGAATTCAACACCTATGGTGACGAGATCATGGAGCGCTTGGTCTGGAGTGGCGGCTGTAGGAGCTGGTACAAGAATAATAGGGTTGACGGGCGGGTGACGGCGATTTGGCAAGGAAGTGCGATTGCGTATAAAGAGGTTGTAGATAGGATCAGGCCGGAGGATTTTCACTTTGTGTATAGGACGAGGAATCGATGGAGGTGGATGGGAAATGGGAAAACGAAGGTTGAGGGGGAGAAGGGAGCGGATTTAGCCTTTTATTTGGAGAAGTGAGGTGGGGTAGGGTTGGACGAAGCATGTGGGAAGAATTTAGTTTATGGTTAAAGAGAGGAGCTTTATATGTTGGCAACATGAAGCTAGGTCCGATGCCTCAAGTAGCGATTTGAGGTGAAGAAACCGAATAACTCTATGAAAGTTCGAAAAGGGAAGTATATTGGGCGGGCGAGCCGTCGTTCTTACTCAATTATTGTAGTGGGTTCCATCACCCCCTCTTTATCCATGCCAACTCGTCAGACACTCAATACAAACAGTGTATTTTGTCTTTCCCCACCCCCACCAGTGGCGATCTCATCGCGATTAGAATATGTGTAGGACTTATTATATGTCACTACTAACCTCTTGGATCGTGTACAAACGCTTCAATTGAATATTCCAATCACTTTGTGTCGTGACTGCATCTAATATACTTAAAGATCATCTATTGCTAAATGTCATTTCTCTTGCAGCAAATTAACCACTACTGAATAATATGTAAGTCCTTCCTCTTCGGTTTGTCCATCCATGAAGTCGGTGTTACGGAATGTCTGAGGTGAAATAAAGTGTTAAGATATAGTTGTTTTCAAAAGATAATCCCTACTAAATATTTAGAAAAATCCTTTTAATCAGTAAAATAGTTCAGAAGCCAGATACTAAGAAAACTAAGAAAACGAACAAGGTGAGCAAAAACCAACTTCTTTAATATAGCTTGATTCTACATCCCGTATGCCTAGCATTGCCAATTTAAACTAAGAAGCACAAGGGAAAGAAGAAAAATATTCTTCTTAAGGTGAAGGCCTAGCAGAAGAAGCCTTTGTCAAATAGCATGTTATTTTCGCTCAAGAAAGGGCCTTTGGAGTGGAAGCACTAAATGTCACTAGAAACTTAAGGATAGCAAGATGCATATACATCGCGCTCGATAATCATCGCCCTTACTCCACTAGGTTCGTCATCCCACTCCCATCCAATACAACTCCGCACCCTCCCAATTTGGGTATTATATTTAGATTTCTGAATTGTGCACCACTCGCTCCAGCCCTTGTTAATGGTACATCTAGCACACTTGTGCTAGGTGGGAGACGTACTGGCCCTCTTGAGTAACCTGAAGATTGAGGAATGCCTCAGTGGTATGATTCTGGTTTCCCTGCCGATGCATGAGTCTGCAGTGTCTGGAATTACTGTGGTGGGGTGAGACCAAGCATACCTGAAGGTCTCGGGGGTGTCGCTTTTAGTGGGATAGATAAGCAGCTGCTGGTTGCCTTAGCTTTGCTTGTCACTAGATTTCGTCCATCCCCAGGCTTTAACGCCGTCTGCCTTTCCTCTACAGAAATCCATGCAACCCAGACAAACATGTGTTAACCATTTTTTTCTAAGCCTCAATGCTTCGAAACCGGACACAGCGTTTATAGTCCCCAATTAGCTTCTAAAGGTTGTAGTACGGCCAGTCGAAGAAAGTTCCTTACGCACTACCCGCATTTGGGTTGATGCATGTTTGTGTCCGGCCATAGTCTTGCACTCAATCCATGTGCTCTTCTCAGAACTGGCTACAAGAAAGTAAGATGGGACGGAAATTAGAGTAGTGGAGAGTTGGTGTATAAAACCTGATGCTACTACCTCTGGTGTGGATTATGATGTGCTCTCGACAAATTGGTCGATTGGGCATGTTCAGGATGACATTGATTCCGAGGATCAGTGAATTTATATTGCGCTTTGTATAAGTCATGTCAGAAAACTTGGTTATCCATTAGGATGTTGCACAATCCCCCCCTATTATTAGCTCGACTCCTTGATCTTGATAACACACAGGCGTGGTGGGGGAAAGTATTATGTGTTAGAATGGTGAATGACCTGCGTCCCGAAAAAATTTCAACCAGCGGGGCACCTATTTAAATAAGATTGGTCCTTTAAGGTGTTATAATTATGGTTTCAAGTGGTCTTAAGGAGGACATTGTCCGTAGATTGATGGCAGGTTGAGGAAAATACTTGTGGGCAGCTCTCGCCGGTGTTGGGTAGCCTAGGTACTATATCTGATTTGAAAAGAAATGGCAATGCATACCGGCACCATCTAGGGTCACTACAAGCCTAGTACTCCTTCATTGGTCTTTTTCATGCGGACATACCATAATCAAGAATAAAACAGGAAAACAACGACTGCTGGGGAGAGAGATAATCATATCAAAATCACACTTAAAGAAGATTAGGATAAAGTCTTTGCCAATTAGCGATTACCAACAACTTGGACCTAAACCATCTCCAGCCGTGTAAGCTCGAGAAACAAGCTCTAGGGTTGATATGAAGGACCTGATGAAGTCGATTCAGGATATGGCTGTCAGTATCAGGCAGAACTTCGAACTTGAACCAAGCGACGAATGAGATGTGTAGGGAAGAAACTTAGTAAATCCCAGATCGATTAGGAGATATGGAAGCCGGAATTCTTCGATTGCATGTAGAGTGCAAGAGCCCCAGTAACTTCCGAGGAATTATTTCTGATAATACCAAGATGAAAATTCCAAGCTTAGCATATCCTCTCCGTTGGCGCTCTCCACGGCACTCCAAGAATCTCAAAGATCTTCTTCTCACTTTTACTTTCCACTAAAGTGCCTTCGTTCAACTTCTCTCTATTCTTGCCCTTGATCACGTCCTTATATAACCCTTTTTGGTTCAGCCTCATTCCCTTCTTACTAGCCAATAAACGCAGACTTCGGTTGAAGATATCATTGCCAGTGAAGTAGATCAACGCGGCGCCCATCTCTTCCTCAGGAACAAGCAGCAAATCCAGACGTCTCCAGATTTCCGAACCGGGCAGGCATGAGGCGCCCAACCACTTTGTACCATCATTTGTGCGATGACTGGTCGCGAGGGCGCATTTTAAGAAGCCAGCTGCAAAGAGTCGCGGAATCAGTGTGTCGAAGACCACTGTCCGGAGAACAGAGATGTTAGCTCCGGGTTTGGTAATGATCATATCAATATCTCCTGAGTCTTTTGCCCCTCGCCGATAGGAGCCCATAACCGTGACCTGGAAACCTGGATCGATTCTTGCCAAAGCACCGCGCATGAAGGCACCATGTGCTTCTACCTCAGCCCGCGGAATGCGGGTTGCAAAGTCTTCCCAGCGTTCTATGCCAATCTTCTGGCTGTCGGTGAGTTTGGCTTTTGCAACAAGATCGTCGAGCGTATGATATCCAGCCTGGATCCACTTGTTTGCTTGAGAAAGTCCAACACCATATATACCCATAAACAACCGCAGCGTTTGATCTGTTGGGTCATCACGTGTGTTTTCTAGTTTATTCAGTCGATTTGTCAATGCGATCTCCTCTATCTTCTCCGCGAGACGAGTGCCGATGAAGGGGAGTACGACTGCCTGTTCTTTTGTGGTTATCCAATGATCCTGTTTCCGCAAAGTTCCAACTCCACGCCGGTAGGCTAATGTCCGCCATTGATCGCCCATTTGGTCGTAGTATTTGCACATTTCCTCAAGCACTTGGATTGTGCGAGCGTTCGGGTTCGGATCTTGGGAGGAATCTTTGGGACTTGGCTGCATACATTGGAATGAGGACTGGTTGAAGCCTTTGGGGGTGTCAAGCTTGGATTTCGGGAAAGATTTCTTCTGGCGCTTGGGGGAAGGCCTCGTGGTCTCGACGTCGGTTCCACCATCGTAGAATGAGTCTTGATCTGCGGGGCTGGTGAGAATGCTTGGAGAGACATCTAGATCCTCTTCGTCAAGGGGCAAGTGGGATACGGCTTTCGTCTGCTGGATAGCTTCCGAAAGAGCGTCGTTATAGGAATCTGGAAGATTGGTAGGCTTTTCGATTGGATCTAGGCATGGTAGTGGGAAGCTGTCTTTGACATACTTTTCGTAAGAGTTGGTTGGAGTTACAGGGTAAGAAGAGGGCAGTGGAGGAAAACTAGCCTTGACCGGGATGAAGTCTATTTTCCGAGAGCCCTGGTTGACCGATTTCTTCCTGGACGGCTTCACACGAAGGGAGGGCTGTGGTGTTGAGGAGGGTGTAGGGGCTGGAACTGTAGTGGGTTTAGGCGGTGGAGCGCCTTTTACGAGGAAGCGTCCCGGTGTTGGGTCGAGTAAGGTGCCGAATTGAATGCACTGTGGGACATACGGTTCAAATTTGACCAGGGTCACGTTCCTCTTCAGAAACATTAGTGGCAAGACAGGCTATCAGTTGAGAGGTCCTACCGGAAGACCGGGTTTGTTAAGGTGCCTCAGGAGCTGGCTGTAAGTGTGATTGCCGTCTTCCACCATTATGTGGGTTATATCTTCTCGCCATTCTCTGACCCACGCTGCTCCAAGCTGAATTAGTTTGTGGAGTCGCATTCGACGTGCTTGAGAGATGTCGTCATTTGGGAAAAAATCTGGAGGGGTTAGCTCATTGCTAAAGAGAGCAAAACTTGCCGACGCACATATTATCTTCCCTCTCAACAATTGCTTTCTCTCTGGCTCAAGTTTGATATCCACTGGCTTGGCCTTTTTTGTGGTGCCAAGTGGCCGCGGTATAACTCCAGCCTGCTTATAGAACGGGGTCTGATCTTGGAGTTGATTGCCGGCAATTAAGTCCGGGAGGGAGAGACTGTGCTTCAACGTTTTCCGTGAATCTAGTTGCTCCGGCGCCGATGTAAACGGCTTCGGCTTTGCTATTGACAGAGGGAAAGTAGTCGAAATCGCAGCTTCAGGCGCGGTAGTAGATCGAACAAGTCCCTGTCCCTCTGGTCGCAAAGTCCCGCGCTGCTTTGAGGTATGTGTTTCAAACTCTGCTTGTCTTTCCCTCGGTGGTGGCCCCAGAAAACTACATCGCTGACGTGCAAGTCTGGGCGAGGGTGGAGGACGAATTTCCGACCCCGCGAATGCGCGCTCTGTATTCACGAATCCTTCATTAGGAAACCAATCTTCATCATCGGAGATATCTAGGAGATCTTGATCCTTGAAGTAGGCCGTCTTCTCCTCGAGTTCTTTGTCTGCCATGATGAAGGAAAACAATGAGAAATTAAGTAATGGCGAGGGGGGAATGATGTGGGTGATGAGAGGAAGACCCTACATACTTAACACAGTCAATGTGGATCGAAACATTCAGCCAGCAACGCGATGATTGAAGGCATACGTTCTACGAGAAAGGCAGCAGCCGCGGAGAAGTGTAACGCGGGTGCACGTGTCCACATGAGGGCTAAACTCTTTCAGGAACTAGTTGCCGAAATCGCCTTAAGCTCAACTTTATTCTCACGATAATCCATCTATCCTGGCTGCTACCTTCACGTTATTGCATCCTTCATGTTGTCAACAGATTTACTCAACTTGATTTCTCTCTTCCCTCAAGGACCCCTCTTCGTACGCCCTCCTAGGTCACGAAAGCTACATTATTGAAGTGATTCAAGATAATTCGCCCTTGTGACCTAAATTTTCCTATGGAGGTGGGTCCCATTTATTCTTCTACCCTATATCTTAAGGGGGGTGTTCATGACCTTAATATGTGAGGCCATCACACGAGGCGCCGACATGCAAAATACGGTGTTCCACACACCCATCCAACGGATTGGAATCCTACTGTGGCAATGCCAAGCGCCGACCAAAATCAGGCACCAGCAAAAGGAATTTCGCACACACTGGAAGTTTTGAAACCTAAAACCTAGCGCCTGCGGCAGAGTTGGGATAGGGTTATTTTCACGAGGCGTAACTTACCGTAAGGCTTCATGCTGTATAAAAGTTCGAAGTTTTAAAATGATATTCCAAGAGAGCAAGATGCCCCTGCGCACTCAGAAGCACTATTGCTCCTTTCACTCCAAAACTCTCCTTACAATTCCAATAGAATCAAAATCTCGTACCACTTCGCTGCACCATGTCTCTTTTTACCCACCTGTTCTGGTTATTTTCAATGTTTATTGGTGCTTGGATTCCCGACCATGCGGCATTCAATCCTTCAAGGCGTATTCTTACGCAAAGCCCCAGCCGATCATCATAAACGACATCTCTACCCTCTTCGAGTTATTTGGCGAGGTTTCCTGCTTGGCTCCGAGATCCATTTTGGGGTAGCAACTCCTCTTCTTGAGTCACCTTTGCAACCAGTAAGAGAGTCCAAGGTGGAGGCACTGTTTACTTCGTGGCAGTGAAGCCCCTCAATATCGCATGATTAACTGCGCAAGGCAGATGGATTGCCTTTCAAGATTGCTGTGACACAATGCTTCGCTTGATCCTTCTATACATCTTTGCCACGACACAGCCTATACGAAGGAGTGGCGTCTCAAATTTAGATACGGTGCTTCACTTATCCATTATTTCATCGCGCTATTGTTTTCCTCCAGTTCATCCCATCTTTCTCCTTTACCCCTTTGAGCTTCCTGAGCTGCGAGAAACCCTTCTCGCCCATTATGGCAGAAAACATACCTCTGTACCGCTCGTCCGAAGAAACAGATGTCGAGTCGACCAACTTTAGCGATTATCCTCACCATAATAGGAAGATATTTGACCAGATGCCTCCATCGTCACTATTCTCATGTCTCAATCCGCAATCTTTTCGAGTAAGGTGGAGTACACACTCACAGAACAACAATACATCCAGCCCACTGAACCATGACCGTAACCAGTCACACATTACAACGCGTTTCCTTCGGCGGCGGCGCAAGTGTGGCAGATTTCTCCGAATTCTTCTATGGCTAATCAATGCCTGCGCTCTGTTCATCATCATATCACTCTTACACGGCCTCCTCCGACCGTCCTATGTGCAGCCACCTCAGCACTACCTGGACCTCAAGAAGCGAACTGATGAACTTTCTGCCAAAGATGGCCAAGGGAATGTACATAACGAGAAGGTCTTCATCGCTGCCAACATCATCAACGAAGAGCTCATTCGGGGGCCCTGGGGCGAGAGCTTAGTTCAGCTAGTCCATCTCCTTGGACAAGATAATGTGTTCGTTAGCGTCTATGAAAACGATGCTGGGAAGGAAACAGCTTCAGCACTTCGCGATTTGAACCGTAGGTTAGGATGTACGTCGACAAGAACAAACAAAGCCACTCTTGATCTCAGCTAACTCAATAATAAGGTAATACATCAATTGTAGCAGGCGACCACATAACCCTCTCGAACTTTCCCACCGTCACGACACCCTCTGGCGGGCAACGCGTCAAGCGCCTCAAATACCTCGCCGAGGTTCGCAATCGTGCCCTACTACCTCTTCAATCTGGATCCCACGTCGACGCCTGGGAAGCCACACGTCCAACATTTCGACGTGCGGAGAGAACATTTGACAAAGTCCTCTTCCTCAACGACGTCTACTTCAACCCTATCGAAGCAGCCCAGTTGCTCTTCTCCACAAATGTAGGCCCTAGTGGACGAGCTGAATACAGCGCAGCTTGTGCAATTGACTTCGTCGCAAAAGTAATGTTCTACGACACGTTCGTTGTCCACGACATGGAGGGCTACGGTATGGGCTTAATGTTCTATCCTTGGTTCCCCGCAACCGGCGAGCAGCAAAGCCGCAACGACGTACTCGCTCTTAAAGACGCGGTGCGGGTACGCAGCTGTTGGGGCGGCATGGCTGCCTTCGATGCCGAGATCTTCCTACCCAGGGTCCTAGAGAACAACGACACGATTCCAGCGCTACAGTTCCGATCGATCGATGAGCCGTACTGGGAGGAAGCAGAATGCTGTCTTCTCTTCGCTGACATGGAAGTCCGACGCGCAATGTTGCACGAACAAGGCAAAGGCGTCTTCGTAAATCCATACATCCGTGTCGCATATAACCAGAGAACATGGGATTGGTTGCCGTTCTTCCGACGGTATGAGAGGATATTTCAGTTCTTGCAATATATTGTTAGCAAGATTGGGTATCCCGAGTATAACCCTAGGAGGGAGCATGCAGCGGGCGCGAGAGTGGAAGAGAGGGTTTGGATACCAGAAGGGGAGAGCGGAAAAGGGCGTTGGGAGAATGTTGAGAGGAATGCGGATGCTGGGGGTTGGTGTGGGCAGAGGAGGATGTTTGTGATGAAGGAGAATTTAGCGAAGGCGAATGAGAATGGTTCGGGGAAGAATTGGGAGAAGATTAAGGTTCCGTGGGGCGTGTAGAGATGAAAATGATACCCGTAGTGTGTAAGATCTGAGAATAGAAAGAGGCATTGGCTGTCAAATGTTCAATTTCTCAATTATAGAATCCCTTAATCCAATTTGAGGCTTCAAGGAACGATTGTAAGCATACCAAACTCATCTGTACCTCTGCCTTTCAACGTGGGTGTTCGTAATATTTGCAACAGTATAGAAGGACAAGAGGCCCCTTATCTCACTCCATGAGTTTCGGGCGAGCGCAAATATACTCCACTCACTCTTTCTGATGGCCTCAAACTGTACTGATCCTTAGCGCCCTCCTTTGCCTGAGGATACAGCATGGCAAGGCTGACGCGTTTGAACTGAGTATCACCGACTGGTTGAAAAAGCAGAGCCCAATACACAAATTCTGTGGTAGCATACTTTCTCAAGTCCGCGCGGTCGTGCTGTTATCATCTTAGCTACGATGTGGGCGGTCGATACGGGCGACGATCCAGCGAGATACTCTTTGCCCTCATTCTGTATCGAGCGCCATGATTCCAATAATGACATTCGCATCTTACGCATCAGCTACTCGATAACTTGAATTTCACACTCAGAATAGCCTAGCAGCATATGCTGCTCGAAAGGCTCTCTACACTACAGAAAAACCTCATGGACGCCTACTCAACAGCCCAAGATCTCGGTTATCACGATAATAGGCTGTACTAGGTCTCCCGTAGCTTTCAAAGACTCGGAGCGGGTTATGTCAAGTAACTGAGGAACTGATCTGATGTCTATCAAATAGGAGAAAGGAACCCATGCCTTCTCGCCTCCAGGCGCTGTCCGTCACCAAGAAGGCAGATCTAGTATGTCTTGCTTTAGGGCTCTAGAGTCCATCTCCCACATTAACCGCATAACGAGTTCGGACCTCCAGGGGCGATAGATTAAGCGACCTGAGAGCCAGTTTCGTTCATTAATCCCCAGCCACAGTTCCACGTCAGCCCTGATTGCGTGAGGAAGACCCTCTCGGCAGGCAAGGCACCACTCCTTGAATGCCCAGGCCCTTTGCATTAGAGGGCCCCGCTCGGGACTCTAAAAAAAAAGAACTAACCAATACGGAAGTAATATTAAGGGAGTCTTATGCAGAGTCATATGCCAAATAAGGGAGTTGAAAAGCCATGGTTGTATGCCGGTTTGTTATGAAGGGCCCTGGTTGGAATCCTCCAAGCCAGCAGCTGCGAAGACGAGGACGGCCTTTGCGCATAACGCACCCATGCGTTTTGCATTAGATTCCCAAACTCCATGGTCATCCTGCACAAACAGATGCTGGATCAACTCCGATTTACGCAGCCAAGAAGCCCGTATATAATATCCTTGACTTATTGGAACGGCATCTCAAGACGAACCTCATCTTTGCGGTCTTTATCACACTTTGATATCCTTTAGGCAACTAAACTGCTCCGTCTGGATAAAATCAAAGATATAAAGCCGAAAGTGAAAACTGGCTTAACTAGGACGATCAAATGGTCAACTAGAGCATGGTCACTTTGGCGGCCAAGCGTAAGACATCGCTAAAAAGGACGTCTTCGCCACGAGCTTCCACTTCCGGCACGCGTTTTCACCAAGATTAGCACTTAAGACTTCCGTGTCCGCTTACCCCTTTTCTGTGTGGAGGTACACCCTACATTACGGCTAAACCTAAGGTAAGAGAAATTTCGCTTCTAGAAGTAAAAATTTTTACCAACGCCTTTAAAGGCTCTTTCCCTTGGACATGTATCATAGTCGCGGTTTTAATTTGGATCAGAATCTGGATGAGCTTAGGCGGTAGATGGATTGGGTTTGCAAGTGTATAGCACTGAATTTTAGATTGTTGGAGCGTATGCTATACCACCACAGTGCAGTGCTAGCGAAGCTCAATATGCTCCCTCACCCTTTCGACCGCCCGCCACACATCATTATGTACTAGCCCGATTCCAACCCTTTCTGTTTTAGTTTCTTTAGTTACTACTAGCATGACATTCACAAGGCAATATTCTGAGAACTCCAACTTTCCGTCATCACAAATATGGCCAAACCAAGAAGCAGAATGTTCACCATATACTCTACCACGAGATACCACATGTTCCTTTGTCCACCGAGACCTTGACAGTGCAATGAATTTGTGGACTCCTACCTTGCCACCTTGGAAGTCATATAGAATGCTGCATCTAAGGCCATCCATAGTCCATATCTCTTCGTACGGGGCAATTGAAATATAATCCGACTGCCCATGTGTTGGTTTGCGAGGTAAAATTTGAAACGTACTCATTTGCACCGAATCAACGTTAAGGTGAAGAACGGAACTTCTGATCGTATCTTGAGGATCTAGACTGCTCGGTGCTTCAGGATTGTGCCCCTGCAGGATTTCGATTTCAGACTGTAGAGGAATCAGTGGAGCGTTTCCGATCTCGGACTCCACCCAAAGAGGATCCATGAAATTTTGGAAATTCCAGTGTGACCGGCCACTCCACCCTGCCCACGACCAGCTTGGGAAATTTGGATTACGCAACCGGGTAGGGGAAGCTGATCTCCATAAGAGAGCTTGACTCATGAGATGGGAAGGCATCCCAGCAACAAATCGCCATCCGAATCGACTTGAAAACACGGAAAACATGCCACTGATTGCTTTGAGCGAGTCCTCCGAGTACGTCAATTTCCTCTTGGAGAAGTCGAAAAGTAGCCGCGTGTATAGGCTGTACTGGTAACCAACATCTAGAGAATGCTCTTGCGTTTCAAATACTGGTGATAGAATATTTCGTTCAGGCCAGCCATCCAACATTGTACCCACTCCAGAATCGCTCTCTAGCCCAGAGTCGCAATGGAAAAAAGTTTCATGGTTTGTGAATATCAAGCATCGTCTAGAAAAACAGCTCTCTTGGAAAGTCCAGCCCCTTGAATTGTATGAACATTTTTTCAGTACGGTGTTCAAACATGGTCTGACGGCTAGGAATGTGTTCGGCAGTATTTCGTCAGTACTTGTAACTGACAGTTGGAGCCACAATACTCGCCAATCGTGTGCCTTGCCGAACACCTGGCAATGGAGATTGGGCACTGTCCGCGCTTAAGGAGATGATGGTGAGGAAGGCTTGGGCGTAAATTGAATCCATCTGTGGGATCAGCTTAGCCTTCTCAATTTCGTTATCCTGTGGAATGCACAGAGCGTCGATCCATAAGTATCGTTTTCCTAGTCGGCGCGAAACTTCGATGGCATCTCTAACCACAGGGCTTAAGGGAGGTTCGATGCCAAGAAGTGCTCCGGGTTGCTGAAGAGCGTTACAATTCGAGGATGTTGTTTTAAACATGACTGCATTACCCCATACATAACTCAGTGCCAAATACCTGACACTGGTATCTCTGTAGACAAGACAGTTGTTGAAAGTGTCGATGAAATAAGTTTGTGTCGAGGGTCCTGTGTTGCGCACAGAGTGAGCTGTTTTACAGTGAATGTGATCGGAGTCGCATTTGGTAATCCAACGGTTCACTTTGGCATAATCCAGGGTGTTCGGCGTTTCGCATGCGGTGTCTTTGAATGGAAACCACCAATTCGACTGAGCATTGATTTGATGGTTGGGGAAGAAATAGTTCAGCTCGCCTTGGATAACGCCGTCTTGCCAAATGATGAATCCATCTCTTCCCATTCTTCTTAGCACGATTCTTTGCGGTGACGGACTGATTTGTTGTTGCGGGCTAAATCTCGCAGTAGGTCTGGAAAGTAGCATGCAGAGTACTAATCGGCATACGGGACAAGTGCGCTTTGACTGGATTTCTGTTATCGTCCCAAAGTCTACCTCTTGGAAATTTTCAGTCATTCGGTGCAGTTTGCAGCATGTTTTGCACAGCGATTCCGACGTATCATGTTCATTCATATCTCGGTAATCCACCTGTCTTCCTGATACGCAAACAGATCCCGAGAGCTCGTAATGGTAGCCAAATAAATACAGTCCAAAGAAGACGTGATTGGTTATAGTGGTCTGCGTGATAGCGTTAATTTCAAAGGTGGGAAGGCTGGAAAGGCTGGAAAGGCTGGCGCTGTGCACCAGTGGATGGCAGCATAAGATTTGGATACAGATAGAGAGGGCTTGCAAGTATTTGAGACGGATTATATGGTGTTGATGCAGCTTTGCAGAGGGGTGCTCTGAGCTTTTTATACAAGCGAGAGGAGCCTGATTGGCTACCTCGCTGCACCCAGCGCTTACCTGCCGCTCACTGCAATGCACTACTACTTATCTAGTACTCACCCAGTGCTCACCCAGTGCTAACCTCCAATCCATCTACTACTCACCTGCTGCTCCCTTATTCATCTGAATTCCGGTAATGCCCCACTCTTACCCAACACTCTGCTCAGTTCAGGTGCTCTCCGCCAGGGGTTTCTCTTAAGCAGAGCAAATCAACAGTACCTCACATCACTTTTCTGCGCTTTGCCGCCCCTATCTGTAGAAGCGGAATTCATGCAGTTTCAAAGCAAGGATAGGCGGTTATATTATTACGAAGGACGGTAAGGTGGCACGAAGGCGGTATTGTTGGATGGAGCAATACATGTAAATTTCATTTCATAACACAGAGAGTATACTTCCCTAATTTGGAATACTAAATGTGCAAAAACAAACACAAGTGTTTGAAGCGTTGATTCGGGATTGATCGGGATGCGGACGCAGAGAATCAACCTATAGGTATCGGACACCGAGGGCAGGAGTGACTTTCATGGCGTCCTGTATCATCTTGGGGAATTCATGGAAATCAATCTATCTTCGGTACCCCTCAAAAGATGCTTTTGGTAATCCAGAAGCTTTGGAGCATATCCTCTAGGCCTTGACAACCATATGTCGTAGCGAGTCCAGGATTGGCGGATACGATCTTCCTGACTTCGGTATAGATCATTATACAGATGGAATACGAAGGAGGTGCCCTTCTAAGATGTTTGATGTTGAGAAATAAGGTTTTGCGGAGACATAAGTCGTAAGAAGTCAGTGTGGTCCAGACCCTCATGATTTCCTCTTATTGAAATGCTCGCACACTTCAATAGATGATCTAAGACCAGTGTTTCACGCCCTGAACAAGACTTCCTCGAATGAATGAGAGGTGGAGTCGGGGCAGCTTGGTCATGGCAACTTAAGTTACAATCAAGCCTGAAGAAGGATCATCTAAGTTAGAAGTAGTGAAGATACCGTTGTGGTTCTGCTACACCCATAAGTTACCTTTGTATTTAAGGAAGAATATCGAATCCCCTGATCTTTTAGGCCTCTGAAAAATTGCGCAAAGCTAAACGTGCCAGAGCTTCTGAACGATGTTATGGTAGACATGAGAAACAAGTAGGCTATGCTGGTAACCACGCACAGCCCATTGGCAATTATTCAATTAGTCCATGTAGTAGACGGAAGTCAAGTTGAGTTAATTTTCATCATGTTGAGCTGGATAATAAATCTAATGGTTGCGGTCCTTGCTATGGTAGACTAATACTAATTAGGAATAGCTATACCGCTAGGTCATTGTAGTCATCTACCCTACTGTATTCGTTCTAGTCTATTTATTTTCTTTGACAACGTACTTTTGCTAAGCACTAACTCTACAGACACAGTAAGATTGAGCATTGTGTGTTCAGAATGGAAACAGGAGGTCTAGCGCTTGCAAAGTTAGAACAAAGGACTAGCTCATCCTTGTCGTACTGTTAGCCTTGCTATGTTGGTGAAACTGGAATTGGAGACTGAATTACTTTACTATCTCTAGGTGAAAAAATTCTGGGTTGTGGACTTAATAGGTGATATTAGACGCAACAAAAGAAGAGAGGCAAGCCAAAGAAAGACAAGGTGACAAATCGTCCCAGGAAAAAGTAGCCTTCAATCTTCATTCAAAGTTGACCTGAGTAGAGGAGTGTGTATCTTCACAGAGTTACCCATATTAACCCAGATAAAGACTAGAGATGATATTTCAAACCTGAATGACATTCACGTAAGCATAGTCACTGGGTCCCAGGATTAGTGTGCAATTGTAAACAAGAACTAGAGATTCCTTGTCATAGAGAGAAGCCTTGCCGCTACTGTCTTTAGCAAAACGTCCGCAACTCACCTCCGCAGTCTTTCACCACCACAAATTCTTTCCAACCTCCTGCGAACAGTCTTTCTCTCACCCCCTCACCTTCTGGAATTAAAGTTTTCGAAGACATCTACATAACCCTCCCAAACCCCAAAACTCTCAACAGGATCAAAACAGGCTGCTTATGTGGCCGTAAGGTCCATTGGTACTTATACCGCTGAGGTGACAAGCCTGAGTCTGACATTCAGAATCGCCTCAACATTAGTTTTCGGCTTAACAAAATATAGGCTCAAGATTCCGAAACGGGTTCTCCGCCGTTCCTCCGCTGGCAGGCCCAAGGTTTCCGTTTTTCTATTTTTACTTGGCTGGTCAAGTGGGCTGGGTAGTGGCCGGGGTTGGGGTTGAGAAGGAGAGGGACAACCTAGTCAGACAGACACGTTAGTGAGCTTTAGTTTACCAACATCGTCGACGCTTACTGTGGGATGGACCATGCCGTAACCCTCACTCAAGACAACAACTCTACTGACTCACTTCACCCCCTCGAGGATAGGATCGAAATAATATTACAGTTTTTTTATTCCTGCTTTCTGAATTATTTAAACGACTCCTGCGCTCGCACGCAGAATCGAGTCTCATTCGGTAATCTTGTCTAGAGAGGAGATGGGATATCCAGGGTATTGTACACACAGGCGCACACAAATACGCACAACTCAGCTCAACACCAGCCTAAGCCATCAACAATTAACTCAACTCAATGCAAGCGCAAGACAATGCCCCAAATACGCCATCAAGCTTAATCCCGCCCCATGCCATGCACTCCCGATGCTAATCGCCATATATGCACGAGCTTGCCACATATTAAGTACGCCTCCCGCTCGCTTGCGATTATGGAATGCATGATGGGTGAGGGATATCCCATTCCTTGACCCACCACAACGCCGTCGCTTTTACAAAAGGCGGTAAAAAGCTTTGCAAGTTTCACTGTTGAAAAAGCGACTTTTGAAAGACGGACAGACAGGGTCCACGACGGGTAACGAAAGAAAGTTGGCCCAGCTGCACGCACCAAATCCTATATGATTCGGGTGGGCAGGGGCATGGGGAAATCTAACGGCCGTGACATGACACAAGGAAATGATGAACAAAGGAAATGGTTTCGTTCCGTTCCGTTCTAGAGCCCAATGTGAGAATTACAGGTATATGATTATGGAGCCCCGGTGGTTAAACCGAGGGGGAAGAAGTGTCGTTAGCAACTAGAGGTGCGCGTCCGCCTCCTACCAACTCGAGAATCTTGCCTGCGACAGCAGCTGGGTATCCGCGAGAAAGACCCTCGTTGACGACAGCCATTGCGCTGGCGCGGTCTTCGACAGCCATGAATGCACGTGTCATGGCTTCGTAGGTACTTGGTTCGCGCTTGTCCTTGGATACCGAATCGTAGATAGCTTTCGCCTTTTCAATGTCGTGAGCGAGAGCCCAGCCATGGATCAGCGAGTTTGCGATGTAGGGAGTCATTTCTACGTGGCGTGCTTTCATGTCCGAGAGAATGGGCTGCGTGTCGGAGATCTGGTGGTTTGCGACCATGGCTTCAAAGAGGGCTTGGTAGAGACATGCTTGGGGACGGACACGGGAGTCGGCGAGAATGGTGTCGAAGAGCTTGCGTGCGCCTTCCATGTCATGGAGAACGCACCCTTTCGCGTGGACCAGGGATGAGTAGTGTACGGCTTCTGGGACAGCGCCCGCTTGACGGATTTGCTCGAGGACGCGTTCCGCAGCTTCCATGTCAACTGGCTCAAGGGTAGCATATGTATCGATGAGGAGCTTGTAGGTATGCGTGGTGGGTTCAATCCGCTTCGACCGCATACGATCGTAGTACGCCAGCACTTTACTCCGATCGCGCTTCGTCGTGAGGAAGAATTGCATCATACTGTGATATGGTGCAGGTCTGGGCTTATAGTTCGGCATGCTCTCCATCTCTTCAAACAACTCTTCCGCGAACTTCTCGTCACTTACCCTGCACAGCGCGTTCACAATGGTACCATATGTCACACTCGTAGGACGGATACCCAGATTCCGCATCTCGGAGAAGTAGAATAGGCAGTCGTCGATACGGCGTGCTTTTCCAAGCTTACCGATGAGTGCGTTGTACAGGAAGGACGAGGGCTCGACACCTTCAGCTTTTGCGCGGAGGAAGATTTTTACGGCCTCGGTCGCTTCATCAAAGGTCTTCGTTGATTCTTTGAGTGTCGTGATGTAGAGACCGAAGGTGTTAGCCGAAGGTGCAGCGCCCATGTCGAGAAGATCCTGGTGGTACTGAGCAGCGAGACTACGTTGACCGGTAGTGAGACAGGCGGCGACCATGGCGTCTAGGATAGTAACCCATCCGTAGCGGACAATTCGGTACTGAGGAAGGAGAGGTACGTCCTGCTTAGCGAGGTTGAGGATGTCGTGAGCGAGGTTCAAGCGGTCTTCCTTTGCAGCAGCGTTGATCAGTTTGGCGTAGGTGAAAAATCGAGGATGCCGTCCTGCGCGGCGCATGTTCTTGAACTTCATCAAAGCCTCATTGAGGTGTGATGCAGATCTGCCATGGGTTTTCTCGAGCAGCTCGGTAATGGTAACGGAACCCTTATTGTCAGTGGTGGCAGCGTAGGGATCATAGGAGTCCTCAAATGTAGATGCTGCAGGGACAGGTGCTGTTTGAGCCGGGTAAGCTGTGAACGCGGCGGGTGAGTAGATCGGTTCCGGGGCAGGATGCTTATAGTTGTACCATCGATGCTGTAGGTCCCCGCGGTCAAGCTTAACGAGTACCTTCTCGACGAGACTAGCAGTAGACTTATTCACTGGCGAGCCAGTGGAGGCGATGACTTCGAGTAGGTGGGCAAATCGGGCGGCGTGGGATACGTCGACTTCAGCGTCGTTAAGAATTATACCAGATTGGATCTGCATCAAAAGAGTGATATCCTCGAAACTGAGCTGAGCGATAGCCTCCGGGCCCATACCGGCAAGCAAGTGGTGTGCAACTGGAGTGACCAGGCCGCCATTCTCAATCATCGACCACATCAACTCCATGCTAGCCCGTGGTGGGAGGATGATGGATCGCCGAATCATAAAGTGTCCAATGACTTCCACGGCCTCGTCGATGTGCTCAACGATTTCCATCTTGGCCTGGTTCGAAGCCGCTTGAGAATCTCGGATGCGGGCAAACATCTGACGGCCCTGGCGAAGGCCACGCTCAGCGTGACCACTTCCGATGAGAGCAATGCTGTGCATGGCCGTCGGTTCGATGAAGTCTGGTTTCGTAGGAGAAAGCTCCAACATTCTCCAGAACACATCTGCGGCCTCAATGTTTCCATTACGGATATGCATAGCGCCCATAGCCATAGCGGGACGAGACAAATCGACCTCAGCGGGCAGGGCATCGAAAGCCTCGGTGGCGACGTCCATTACATTTTTATCAGCAGCCTTAATGCAAATGGCAGCCATGGCGATATGACGTGCCTGCGGGCTGAGCATGTCGGCAGCGTGGACGAAAGCTTCCTGGAAGGAGTCGTTCTTCAACCATTCCGGCAGGAAGGCCTTCAAGCTGACAATGTCGCGTACCGAGGTGATGTCTTCCGGAGCAACGAGAGCACTCTCGATCTTTGAGAGGAATTTCTGTCCGCCTTCATGTCGGCCGCAGATTGTGTATGCTCTGATTAGAGCAGCGTAAACATCATTGTCTTTTCGCGACACATTGATTTCTCCCTTGTCGTGCGAAATAGCCAATGCCTTGTACTCGTCATAGCATTCGACAGCGCTCTTCAAATCACCGATTTTGCCAAAAGCGTGGATCATAGGCACAAACATATCCGCGGCCGGAACTACATGCCTGGATTCCATGTGCGCATAGATTCGTACCATGTCCTCAACACGTTCGCCTTCAGCGCAAGCGGTGACCAGGAGACGGTAAGTCTTCTCAGAGAGGTCGCGGCCGGCTTCAGCACTGACAGCAGCATCGAAAAGCTTGACGGCAATCGAAAGAGATCCATCTTCGGACAAAATATCAAACTCGGTCTCGTTGGAATGAAGCATGAACCTGCCCTCCTCTTCCATGCCGCCATATCGTACTCGCTTCTCTTCCAAACCTTGCTTCATAGAAACTACTTCCAAGGATCGTACGGAAAGAAGCTCGATGAGTGAGGTGTAGGTTGCGATGTTGGGAACAACTCGGCGACGGAGCATGTCAGAGTAGACGTCCAGAGCCTTGGGCACGACCTGATGTTTGGTCTTTGGAAGATTGATCGCCGCAGAGAGAAGTACATTGTATGATGAAACTGATGGTTTAACACCAGAAACAAGCATCGACTCGAATATAGCTGGAATCTCGGCATAGTGGCGCTGTTCCGCGAGCTTTTGGAGCTGCTCGGTGTACGTATCTACGTCAGAGACACTCGCGGCAAAGTTGGAATCGGTGCGGCTTAATGTGGTGGAATCAACAAGGGTATCCGAGACGGTGGCGGGTGACTCTGAACGTGCCTCCTCTACTGGAGACAAGTTTTCTTGCTCAACTGGGGGAACGGCAACTTCAACCTCGGCCTTGAATTTTGCGGCCTCTTGCGCGATTGCCTCATCCACTTGGGCGAGTGCTACTTCCTCCGCCTTTTCGTCACGCACAACCTTTTTGAAGTCGTCAACGGTGCTTGTGCTGTATGCGCGACTGACACCGGCACGTGGCGGCACAGGCTCCGCCGACTCCTCGATAGCGACACTGGCTTCTTTTGATTCGGCCTGACTCTTGGGCACCGTCGATTGAGGCTTCCACTCAATAAGCTTTCGAAATTGGAACTGCGACCATTCTTTATCTTCGACGCGTTGATGCTTTTGCCATGCTGCATAATATGCAGCTAAACCGGAGTCTTGATGGTCAGCATGGGCAGCCGCCTTGACGGCGCCTGTCGTAGAAGTCGAAGCAAAGGCATGCTGCTGTTTTTGTGCGCTAGTTTTGCGGAATCGATCTTGCGAGTGGAACGAGGCTAGCGGGTTGTTTTGCGAGACACCAGCGACCACTGACTGAGCATAACCATGGGTAAAGCCTTTCGCAAGACTCTGGCGCGCGAGGTGGAAGCTCTTAAAGACCATTTAGGATATTGACGAACCCTTCAAATTCGAAGGGTGAGACTGGCAGGAGGAGAGTCAGCATAGAGCTTGTAGGATGTTCTAGAAGGACGCGGAATGGGTGCGTACTATTATTCTCAGAGCGCGGCGATGTTGCAGGTTCATTTGACGACTATGGCCGCCAAAGAACGCGCTGGATGGGGGTATATGTGAAGGGTGCGGGTGGTGGGGAGGCTGGCGAAGAAGCTTTGCAAGGTCCAGTACCATGCAAGGAAAATTGTAGTGGATGGAATAGAAAACTCCGAAAGGACACAAAACAGGTGACTGAGAAAGGGCAAGCTGGCCTGAAGATACAGGAGAGACAGCCTGCACGCGGCGAGATGGCAGAAGAAATGGATGCCTTGAGCGCACAGAGAATCGGTGACGACTCCAAGAACCTTCTCGTCGTAAATTGCAAGCTAGCGGTTCAGTGCCATCCCGGCATTTTTTCTCGTGCTGACTGGCGCTAATCTTTCCCGGGACTGGATTAAAGCGCGCACTCCGCCCCCCCTTTGGCTGGCACACCTGGCCTTCTGGAGCTCGGCCTCCCGGATTTATGGCTGTCGGCGACGGGGCCGTGGAAATACCGGCGGGTCAGGGGCAGCATGTCCTTGAGTCATCGAGTCCACGATAAATCAACGGGATGGACATCGTCTTGTGAACTGCACCCCACCTCGCGCGTGGACGAAAGAGGATGTTGAGCTTCGATGTCCTGCAAAGACAAGATGTTGGCTCCCGCCCCAGCCTCGACCGCCCGCATTATTAACCCAGCGGAAAGCCAGCTTCGAGAGGTCGTCCGTGGTCTCCCCGCAAGTGCAAATGCCAGCCACGACCTCCGCACCCAAGGTTTCCCATGCCGGCGCTGGGTCCCTCGGAAAGCGTAGGAGTTGTCGGAGTACATCTGGTCACGAGCGAGCGCAAGCTCTTCGTGCACTCTTGGACTTCCAATTTGGACTTCCAATCCCAAACCCCCCGCGAACTGACCCGCCGTTCCAGCGGCCTCGCCGAACTGCACCAGTAGTTTGCCTACGAAGATCTCCTTCATAGCGTCGCTTTAAGCCTAACAAACCCATCACTACCTCAAGATGACTTCTCTGCACGCTCTCTCACCCAAGGCAGTATCGGCACCCGGCAAGGTCTTCTTGGCGGGGGGCTACCTCGTGCTTGACCGCAAGTACACCGCTCTGGTATTCGGCCTCGACGCCCGCATCCACGTCTGCATTGAGCCAATTCGCACCAACAGCGGCGTCACTTTGTCTGAGATTATCGTGCGCTCGCCACAGTTCAAAGAAGCTACCTGGGAATATGGATATCGCTTGACCGAGCACGATGGGGGAATTGGCGTCACTCAGTTGCGGGCGTGAGTGCGATTTCCCTTTTCGTCCATCGTCTATCTCGTCTGCGAATTTTTGCATGGCATGATCTTGAAATTCGGTCTGGATTTTTTTTTGCAAACTCCACCTTCCCACATCCGATCCGATACATGTCCGAGCATTAATACGTTTACCGCTATTTCTGCAGTGCATTGTGTGGAAATACGAAAGCTTCGTCTCGCCTATCAATTGTTAATATTCTGCGCCTCTTTGCTTCTTTAGTTGCACTTCCTTGAACTTCCGATATCTATCTTGGCAGGAACTACCCCAACCACGTGTCCATACCCGAACAGCCTCACGTTCGAACCTCTTCCATGGATATTACTACTACCAATCATGGGGATTTGAATGCCTACCCAATGGCGCATTTCATAAATGTCTGATGCTAGCTACCTCCTGAGATGTAGTCCACGGCGTCATTTACACTTCCATATTCAATCTTGCAATTGCTCTCTTACTGTCTTGCTCATGGTCATCATGCATTTAATCTCACACCCTAATCTTCCAACCTTACTTATCACCCCCTCTCTCTAGCTCCCACGACCTCCCCCTAACCCGGAACCCCTTCATCGAAACGACGCTCACCTACGCCCTAACCTACATATCCTCCAACCTCCCACACCACCTGATCCGCCCCTCTTCAATCAGTATCGTCGCTTCCTCCTCCTACTATTCCAACCGCGGCACAGCCCCCAGTCCAACCTCGAAATTCCAGGCCTTCAACATCCCACTCCATTCCGCGCACAAAACTGGGCTCGGAAGCTCCGCAGCACTCGTAACTAGCTTCACGGCGGCGCTGCTGACGTATTACTTGCCCAAAGAGGTGTTCGATTTGGAGAATGAAGAAAGTCTCCGGATTCTGCATAACTTGAGTCAAGCCTCGCACTGCGCGGCCCAAGGAAAAGTCGGATCAGGCTTCGACATCGCATCTGCTGTCTACGGCTCGTGTCTATACCGGCGCTTCTCACCGTCCGTGCTGTCCTCTGCCCCCGATCCCGGCTCCCCGGCCTTTGCTACAGAACTCAAGTCGCTCGTCGAAGATGCAAGCCGCTGGGACACGCAAATCCAGAAATCGGCCATCAGGATGCCGCAGGGCTTGCGGCTACTGATGTGCGATGTAGACTGCGGGAGCGAGACGCCGGGTATGGTGAAAAAGGTTTTGGCCTGGCGGGAGGAGAATCCCGAGACCGCGGAGGCGATTTGGGATGAGCTACAGGCGGGGAATGAGGCGCTAGCGGCGGAACTGACGAGACTGGCGACCGCGGATGTGCAGAATGGGGATGTAGCAGAGAAGTATGCGAGGCTGAGGGAGATTGTGAAGGCGAATAGGAGTCTGATTCGCAAGATGAGTGTCGAGTCTGGCGTTCCCATCGAGCCTCCTCAGCAAACTGCCTTACTAGACGCATGCTCAGGAGTTCCTGGCGTGATTGGCGGTGTGGTCCCTGGTGCTGGTGGGTACGATGCCATCGTCGTGCTAATCGAAGACAAAGAATCCGTTATCAACGGACTGAAGAAGCTCCTGGCCGGCTGGAAAGTCGACTCCAGTGCTGACGATGGAGTCAAGATTGGGAAAGTCGGGGTTCTAGGGGTGAGAGAGGAGATGGTTGGCGTGAGGGTACAGGATCCTGCGGATTACAAGGAGTGGATAGATGTCTAGATAGTTCGTAGAGGTATGGCGTCAAGGAACGGATGCGGATTTGGGAAGGATGGTTAGTACAACTTTCGTCTGAATAGTTTCCATAAGCTACTTGGGTCTTGAATGCGTGGGTTTAAACTGGATGCGTACGGGTTTGAGCCCCCAGCTAAAAATTGAGAATAATATTGGTCGTTCAGTAAAGCCCATAATAAAGATACCGTCGACTTGTTCCTGTCCGTTGAAGGAGCGAGCTTGCCTTTGTAATGCCATTATTTACCAGTAAAATGTAATCCCTGCAAAGCCCAAGTCTAATGCTACTGCACAGCATCACGCATTCATCAAATCCGAGGCCAAAATTATGAACTTTTTGATTCATATTCTCTTAATATGGACGCCAACCCATTTCCGTGAAGATCGCCCATGCCCAACAATCGCCAGCCGCCAACCACCTCCAGCTCGATCCGATCCCATCCATTCGTCCACCACCGTCTAGGGACTGAGTTGATTGGGCATTTTAGGAGGGTGCATAAGGGTACATTGGGTGAGCGCTGATTGGAAAAGCCCCGGCAATGCAATGCTTCGTGAGACAGAGGAAAAGAAAAAGGAAGACCAAGACCCCCGTCTATGCTTTGACAGCGTACTTTCGTTGAGGGAAGTGGATCTGTTTCTTCTTTTGCTTCTCTGTCACGAGCGAAGCCTCGTGCTTGGTGAGTCGTCGTCGCATAGCGCGGGTGGTCTTGGGTCGGAGGTCCAATGGGGTGTACCTAAATCGTGTTAGAACTGCCCAGATAAAAGTGAGGCTAGTCCGAAGGCCGGAAATACTAACTTCTTGTTCTTGTAGAAGAGTCTGTTCTATGTGTTAGCGATGCCTTGCCAAGCCTGGTGTCCAAGCCATACCTGAGTTGTGCCCGCTGGTTGGCGTTTATGACGGTGAGAACGCGAGCAATCTGCCATCCTATTAGCTCAATGGACCCCTCCGATTCCATTCACTTGTACGTACACCCTTCCTGACATCGTGAATGCGGGTGAGCTTAGTTGAGGCTCCGCCAGCGACCTTGCTAGTCCTCAGCTGGATCAACTCCCTTTAAAATATCCGTCAGCAATTCCATTCTCTTTCACATGTAGTTTCCCGTCCAGGGAACCCACGATTTCAGTTCCTGCAACTGGGTGCTCAACTCCTCCTTTGACTTGCTCCACAGCTGGCCGGGCTTCTGCAGTGGTTGTAAGTATCCATTGAGCGGGGACGTGGTTGTGGTAGGGGAAGCTGGCATACAACTTTGGACGCCTACACGCATTTTGTTAGCATTCTGACCATTGATTGAGACGTTCTGTAGAAGAGGGTGAGGGCACGAGCGCAGCAACGAGGTGGATTAGAAAGTCACCCTAATTAGGGCCTCACCATCGCAACTTGCGCCAGTAAAAGTATTAACAGTGCAATTTGGGAGCAATACATACCATTTCTTCAGTGTCGTGTCGTCCGTCCGGTCAATGTCGATGTTGGCAATTGCGTGTCGTCTGCTCAAGACTTTCAAAGTTAGAGAATATCCAAGCCAAGCGTGGGCTCGCTTACGGAAAATCCCCCTCCGACATCCGAGCACATGGTCCGTGCTCGGCTTGGCACTGCCCTCCGTTGCGTCGTCAAAGGCCAAAAGGCGCCTTCTCACGACACCCAAAGTCCAAGTGACTTTTTCCCACATTCTTCCTCGCTTTCCTAGCATTTCGACATGTCTTCCACTGGCGGCGGATGGGCGCAACTGCGCCAGCAAGCAAGAGCTTTAGAGACCCAGGTATGTAGACTTGGATTTGCGGAGGTTCAGCGTCATCGTACGTCCTGACAAGGGCTGGACAGACAGAAACGCTGTTCCACACCTTCTCGCAATATGCCTCGATGACGAACATACCCACGAAGCCATCGGAAGAGGAGCAAAGAACCGAATCACAACTCCAAGACGTCCTCGAAAAGGTAGCGTCTAACAGTCTATATTATGTCCTACTGGACCTACGTTGACCATCTCCGCATCAGAGGGAAGCAACCGTCTCACAACTAAACCGCCTCCTCGACTCCGAATCTGCCGTTAGCGCCTCCGCTGTCCGACAAAACAACCTCGTCCGTCATCGCGAGCTGCTGCAAGACCATCGGCGAGAGCTCAGCAGACTGAAATCCACCATCATCGATGCGCGGAACAAAGCAAACCTACTCTCAAATGTCCGTTCCGATATTGACGCATATCGGTCTTCGAATCCAGGGGCAGCAGAGGCGGAATACATGCTGGATGAGCGGCGGCGCATCGATAACTCCCACACCATGGCCGACAGTGTTCTGAGCCAAGCTTACGCTGTGAATGAGAATTTCGGACTCCAGCGGGAAACGTTAGCGAGTATTAACCGGAGGATCGTTGGGGCAGCAAGCCAGGTGCCCGGCATAAATAGTTTGATTGGCAGGATAGGAGCGAAGAAGAGGCGGGATGGCATCATTCTTGGGAGCTTCATTGCGTTCTGCTTCCTAATGCTGTTATGGTTCAGATAAACTTTCGTTCGCTGATTTGGGGCACGGCGTTTGGAGCATTCCGGATATCCATATGATGTTACATTGGTATGGCTATTTGAGATAGCCCATCTCAGAGGAGCTTGGTGTCTCCTCGTTGTTTGTACAAGTACCCCTTCCAATATATCTCACACCCCAGCAACAGACTGCTAGAAGCATTATTCTCGACTCCAAGCTCACAAACTGGTTCTGCGCTTTGTGACTTTCGTTTACGAAGCTCCAGCACTAACAGCCTGCGGTTCAAGCTCCCTTTCCTCACCTGCCCTAGCTTTCGGCCGGGACGTATTCTCTCTCTTGAAATCCTCAATCAGCCTCTTGAATCCTCTCGTGAGATCATCCTTCTCCGTCCCCTCAGCATTCGCACTCCCCGCCCACCGAATCTTACAGTGTTCATCCACCAAATATACATATCCCACCCGCCCATTTAACAACCCAATCTTCTCCCTCAAATAATCACTAACCCCCTTTCGAACTAAAAAATATCTCCCCCAATCCTCCTTCCTCTTCTGCCGTCTCAGACTCCACAGCACAATCTTCAAAATCCACGCCTTGGCAGGATTCTCTTCAATATTAACCTCCACCATCTGCGCAACGTCCCCATTCCCTTCTAACAGCTCATGCAATCCCGGGTTCTCGCTCTTCCCTGTAAAAGTCCTCGCTTGCTTCTCCCCCCAATCCGTACTGAACACACATACCACACTAACCCTGCCCTCCAACACCTCCGTTGTATCCCTTAGCACCCCCCTACTCGCCAACGTCTCGCCTGTGAAATTTGGAAAATACAGACTCACATCTCGGCGGAATATCTGCTTGTTCGCCATAAACGTTTTGCCGGATCGGTATTTTGTGATGTTTTTGAAGTCTTGGAAATAAGATTTTGACCACTCCTCCTTGAGGCCTTCGCGTTTGGCGAGGTTGCGCTGTTTGAAGGATTCTTTCCAAGTGGTGGGCGAGGGTTTGGGAGGAGTTTGGGGGGTGGAAGCGGATTGTGGAGGACTAGAGGGGAAGATGAAAATACCACTGGTAGGACGCTTCTTAAAGCCGATCGGACGGCCGAGGGGTTTGGGGATGTATTCGGGTTCGTCATCTGGGGAGGCGGCGAGAAAGGCCGTGGTGGAAGTGAAAGTGCGAGTGCGGGCTGGATAGCGGAGGGGGCGTTGATGGCATCGGGTGCAGATTTTGGGGAAGTTAAGGAGAATTGGGCGGAATTGGGGAGATATTCGCGGTTGTAACATTGTGGTTGTGGAGGAGTCTCTTTTGTGATCGATGATGGGGAGGTGTTGATGGGCACGAAAACACCGCCGCCAAGAAATTGTAAACCCTAGATGTACCAAACATCCATTTTAGCTTTCAAACGTTACCACACCCATACAGAATATTTAGAGGGAATATTTCCTCTTCCTATCGCCTAGCATCGGCCCTCCACTTCACAACTAATGAAGAAGGACTAATTCTCAAGCATCAAAAATACCGATCCGTAGTCGGGCAATTCTTTGCCTGAGATGGGTTGCAAGGATGCACTTTTTCCTCTAATGGGAATGTTCTAACCCAGAATAGTCAAGTAATCGACAATCTCACCAACGTGAAGAATGACAGGGTTTCATTTATCACGATCATTGCAAAGCGACACTTCTTGAGCAGCTCTTTGGGACTCCATCTATTCCTGCGCACTAGCAGATCTGCCTCAAGACTTCATCGAAGGGCCGGACTAGCCACACGCCCGTTGTCGTAGACTACAGCGTCCCCGTGCGCAGACCGATTGAGGCTTAATTAATAGGTGTAAGATAGTCTTAGCATAGAGCAATTTCTAGAGAAGCCTGAACATAACGAAAGCGACAAACCACAAGCCAGACAGCTTGATACTCCCCTCTAGCACCGCCGGACGTAGCACCTCGCAGACGGGCCGAAGCAGCAGCGCCGTCGGATGGAGGCGGTGGCAACGGAGCGCCTTCCAGCATTTCCCTCAATGTCAAATATCTAAGACAGGACTTTGATATCTGGAAATGTCCGGCTCCTATATGGGACCGAAAGCCATACTGGCTATATTTGACTTTATTGATAAACTTATCGAGCAGGTAGTCGGCAACTGATTGGTGGATGAGTTGGGCCTCGCGGTCTGAGTCTTCTCTGTTAGGTTCGTATCGCTCCCAGACCTCACGGCTTTGAAACTCGACCAGGCCTTTGGAGATGTATCTAGCGTGCCTCTCAAAGTCGACTAGAGTATCAGACCAATTCTCATCGCTTCTCAGATTGAAGACAGACGTATAGCTCATGTTCTCATCGGTAGCGAGCGCATCTCGAAGCTCTTGTGCAGACAACGGCCTCTCAGCAAACAGAACCCACGAGAATAGCTTTACCATCTGACGTTGCTCGGCTTCAGCAACCTCGCTTAGGAGTGCAGCGTATAGTTTAGTTAAAGCTTCCGGAGTAGATGCGAGCTTTTCTCGCAGCTTTTCCGCCCGGATCCCTTGCAGGTTCCCACTGGTCACTATTTCAGTTACTAGGATTACCCACTGGAACCCTGCTTGAGCCTTCAACAAGATTTCGTTCTCGATCCGCTGGCCCTTCGCTATTGACTGGATGTCCTTATCACTTCGCTCCTTGCCCGCCATCTATTATATTAACAATGATAACTCCCTATCAATACATATAAAGGTGTGGTTATCTGTCTTCCCAAATTAGAATATTAGAAGCAAATTTCTTGCTACAGGCTTGCTGCTATATGATCCCCAGCGCTTTTATAGTCCCTCCCAGTCCCAAAAACGGCCTCTCCATCAGGTACAGTCAACGGCCTAGCACCTTAATGGACGTTAGAAACACCACATACTACTGCTCAGCTAGAGCAGCAGGCAAGGCTTATACAAGACCTCCTTCAGCGCCAGTTGCAGTGCCTTAACAGCTAGGCAATCAACTAGCTTATTGAAGGTTGCGATGCATTTAGCAGTAATACTTGCGAAGGAGAATACAGTGCTCCACGCAGTTAATTAAGGTAGAAAACAGAAGCAACGGCAGCGCTGAGGGTATATTGGACAGGGAGAAGCCCTACAGGCTCAGCATAGCCAGCTTCTCGTTCAGAATTTAGAAAGTGCTGAGCAGGAGGAGGCTCACAGAGAAACTACTTAGGTGTGCCAGCGCGCACTACTGACGTGCTTAAATCGCCGTATCCAAAGCTATAACAAGCGTCAACATACCAATACCTAGAGAATCTATACAAAACGTTTTAATTAGGTTTGCTAGTCGTGATGCAATAATCGTGCAAAATGTGCGCCTTCTATGATGGGGTTCGTCGGGGAATGGGAACACGTTATATATTTCGCTGGTTTGACATAGTAAGCTTAGTAGGAATTGCTCTTGTCTCCATGTAGTTTATCCTTCGTTGACTCTGGATTTCTTAGGTGAGCGGGTATATACTACTAGTTGAAATATGGGGAAGAGCTGAGACACTCGTCGTGTATCATAATGTTATGTGGAATTGTTGGAGCAATATTGCCGGGCTAGTTTGAAAGCGGATTGTGAAAAAACAAGGTAGTCAAGGTGAAGAATAAGCAACGCAGAATTGGGCTGTTTTATCTGCTCTAGTGATGTATGGAATAGGTATCTGCAATGTGTTGCACGTGCATTTCTTCCGCCTATATTTATTCTTCTGCTATGCATGGTAGAATGTTGACCTTTTACCGCTTGCAACACAATGATCGTAGGGGCGGTGGCGAGAAGCTACTATCTGCGCTCAACCCGCTGTTTGATTTGTTGTACATCGGATTCGGATGGCTGTGAATGTTGTACTAGCGAGCGATCGAGTATTCGGATGCTTACTGGTGAATGAACATCAGGCCAAAGGTCGCAATGGGTTCCCCGAAGTCCACTCAGAGGAGCAACTCCAGTGGTGAGCAGAGAGTACTTAGCTCGGGAGAGAAGAGCACGTGGACCGCAAAGTTGACTGTCGCATTTGCGCAACGAGTTACAAATTAGAGTTGGTGCGCCAGATCTGAGCCCAGCGCATGGCGGTGGTTGATAACTGCGTATGAAAGGTAGGACAGATTACAATCTCAACTCCGCTCCGTTGCGTAGTCCAGTTCCAGAGCCAAAAGGAAAGAAACAGAGTTTGCTCGTTCTTTCCGAACAGTGAGCTCCCATCAGCCCAATCCTGGAAACTGGATCCAATTTCTCAGAGGTGAAGGGTATTCGAAGTAAATGTATGACAACCCGAGCCAAATCAAAAGGAAACAAAGTCTTCAGACCTTTGTGTAATTCCGGTGGAAAGGGAATGTCAGATCTAACTTCCTACCACACTAATCAAAGAAAAGACAGCGTTCTTTTGGGTCCGCAACCACCATCATGAAGGGTTCAGGTATATTCATTTACGGCTCTCCGCTTCCACATACTTCCCCGAGTCGCACAATGCCACCCCACTCTGTTCATGCTCGTCAGCGTTAATTGCAGCTTCTTTACCAACGTCTTCTCTTTTGATGCCAGCCATGTGTGGCTAACGATTAAACTTGGAAACGAACCACTAAATGAAGGCTCTCTAAAGAGGTATTCAATACCCAACGTAATAATGACATCCATGTTCTAGCTGAATTAATTTATCTTACGGGCAACTAATTCGCTCAATGTGCTGCCAGCCAGAGGCACATAACGTAAGAACTACCCTGCAGATAGGGGAAGGTAAGAAATATTTCCTGGCTCACCTCTTCACTCTGATATGGTATAATATACTGTAACATGTCACTTTATTCTTTTCCTGTATTAATTGTGAGGCTAGACAAGGGATGGCAGGTCCACACAGTTGACTTCTGAACTAGAGTAAATTTAGGGTATAGGATGTATTTAGTCGGCGCATAAATAGGTTATACCCTCTAGATACGTATCCGTAATTTAATAAAATATATCATTTCGGATGCGAGCGCTGCCATGGCTTCATTACATCCCCCCAATCTACGCTCAAGCCCTTCCTGAGCTGGCTGGCTAATGATATTCACAAACATTTCCCGCCTCTTAAACTTGTATCGTTTGTCGACTGCCTAAGCGCATCGTTGCAACTCGCAACTAAATCCGCTAGAGCTGTGCCCGTACCAATCAGGAAGGCTCTGCAATCGGTATTTGTTACAGGCGCTAGAATACTAGGCGTTAGACAACGTATATGATTGTGGAGACACTATCTACTTCCGCCCTACGTCTTTTCATTTAATGTTTGCACGAGAAATCTTTATCATAATCCTGCTACTTGCTGTTTTTGCAGCTTCATAGCTTTTCGATGTTGGTACACTTTGAACCCAATCCCAAAAACCAACCCGATAACACTTCAAGTTGCCGAAATAATCACACCTGCTAAACCACCTTTAGTTAAACTAGAGCTAGAGGGTGAGTTCGAGCCCCCAGTTCCAGCCACTGAACTACTTGGAGCCGCAGGGTTCGCGTTCGTTATTGTCAAAATCGACGGTGAGACCGTGGATGACGGAGAGGCCGCGGTTGACGGGAAGGCGAGAGTTGGTGGAGATTCTGCAGTTGACTGAACAGTTGCAGTTAGTATACTCTCCCTCGCTCTGGTCCTAACTTGAATAGGATACACATTTTGCCAGGAAAAGCGCAATCGTGGGTCTAAATTCCATCGTGAGGTTGTAATCACTCTCTGGTTGAAAATATTGTCCAATACAATAACCTCCGTGGGTAGCGACATTGGGCTGCCGCAGGCCTGGAAGCGATTGGGACTATCTGTTACACGCGGACAACCGTAATCTACAGGGAACGGACATGAGAAGCACCAGTTACCATCAGGTTAATATTCGCGCCAATTCATGGTTACAAACAATAATAGGGGTGAGAGAATTAGAATGGAGGTCTGGATACGCACTAATTGGACAACAGAACGCTATCGTCTCGCCCGGTGCTGTAGTCAGAGCACTAGGACTATCTGGCCCTGGACAAGACCGATAATGCTCGGGGCATACACCAGGAGAATAATAGCTCGTGACCCATGCCCACGGCTCCGTAAAAACGTTTCCATTAGGACAACAAGACTCCACCGCGCATCCTTGTGACATCTGAGTCCAAGGGAAGAACTTTGGGTCACTTGAAAAAGACCAAAGCTTGGAAAGACAGTCCGGGGGGAAAGTGGTGGGAGGGAGTGGCCCAAGGTTTGTGGAGGTGGTCCAACTCGGAATATAAAGGTCATAAGGGCCAAGTGATAGCGTCGTCATTGTGAGTCTTTGTGTGGAAGGTTTCTGGGAAGAGGTGGATTCAAGAGTGGACAAGAGATTTGCGGAAGCGAGATACAGAACCAAGATGCGCTTGCCTCATGACATAATCGCCCAAATCCGGTCTTCTAGAAACCGTGTGATAACATTCTTTTGATTGATGATTGGCACATGATGGAGATGGCTCGTGACGCCGAATCACAGTGTGGGTGTAGCGAATGGCGTACGTATCTGAGCAACTCAGCCTCCCATTCGCAATGGGCTGCTCCATAATCATCGCAGCGATCAGGTAAGCGAGAAATGAAAATTTTGAGTTCTCAGGACTCGTGTTACCCTTGGGACTTACTCCATACTCTCACGTGAGTGCGCGTTTGCGCGACAACAGAGGAAGCTTTCCCTCTAGAACCATACCGTCGCACCTACTTCACCTAGACCTCAACACCAACACCAATTTTGACTGCAACGGCACTACCCACAATGTTACAGATAATCCCTTTAAACAAAACCAGGGGATCCCACTGGAACGGCAAGCTATATTATGGCTTCCTGAATATCCACAGGACGTTTAAGGTACTCTATATACCGGGTTATGTTTATTTTGTGCAGTTCTATCTTTTAAAATATTTATTTTAATTAGGCATAGTCCGGCCACTAAGTCAACCCTAAATATGTTGCCGCCCTGTTTGACCCTCTCGAATGGCCATGGCTAGCTTAGGACAAAGAGTCCGTTCCTGCCTTATATATCTATAAATTTGCCTAAGGAAACGGGTATGTTCTTAAATGGTTTAGTGCCCTTTAATTCAGCAACAAACCCTCGCACTAAGAGTAAAAAGCCCCTAGCCAAACGCACCAAGGATTTGTTAACTTGCTAGCTTCCTCGGCGAGGTCAATCAGCTATGCAATGTTCAAAGAGGCGAGGAAGGCTTCTTCCGGGAATCTCGTACAATGATATCAGTTTATCAACGACCATGGCGCATCATGACAGCTACGGCTGCAAGAGATAGCACAGAGGGTTGTTTCAAGCCTCAAAAGCCTGATGGTCTCATATCGCAGCTATACAGCCCTGCAGATCTAGAGCATGATGTCATGCTTTTTGGCCTCGAGGATGAGTCAAAAGTGCACAATAACATAGTCAAGAGATAGCCCAACTGAAGAGAATAGGTTTTGCAAGAACTTTCCGTACTCCTAACGAACGATTCATTTTGTCGCTGGGAATATCACAACATATTTTTGAGCGAGGATGAACTTGACACAAGCACTGCTGCTGACTTAAAAGGCTTTTCCGACTAGGTCGCTTCTCTGCCGCATCATGGACCGCACCGTGGATTTAGTCGCAGTCCAGGACCCGAGGACAACAGCATGTTTTGCAGCGTGTGCATTTATCTGCGTATATATTGTTCTGCTGTGCTTAGCGGAAGGCTGACCTGTTGCCACTTGCAACATGTTCACCCTTGTCACCAACATGGACAGTATCTAGTCTCAACATGCTAAATATTACTCTAGGCGTAGGCTAAGCCGATCAAATGACAATATGCCTAGTATAATTCCTCCTTTTCTAGAGCTAGGAGTAGTTCTTGGTCATCCATTCCACCAAGGGCACTGGTTCGACAACACTCTTTTCGTATTTTCTGGTCTTCTCGGGCAAGCAGACAAGAATGACTTTATTATGAAACCACCTTGTGTTGCGTTTGCCAAAAGGTTAACCTCCCAGCTAGCACAGCAGAAGGATATATATAGACGGATAGCTGTACGCGACACCTTGTTCTTACGCACCTTCGTGGTCATGAGCACCTTTTCTTAGACCAGTCGATTTTATAGACACGGGGAAGGATTGCTTTGCTAATATAGATGAACACCGCCCTTTTTGCCTGCCACATGCGAAGCTCTTTTTCTCTCCCCGATCACGATCGAGTGCTCCTGATCCAAAAAAAGTATTGCACAACGAATCCGTCTTCAGTAATGGGCAACTTGTGTGATCATACTATGCACATGCAATGATATCTAATACTCTGTCTCTTCAAAGGGCAGGGAAATTATCAAGGTTGAACTGGAGTATGACATAGCAAAGGATTAACCATGTCGATTCCGGCACTTACGTCCGATGGAAGTGTGCGACTGCGTCGTCGCTGGTTTACTATTGAAAAAAAGGGCAAAACGGGCCGCCATCCCTTCCATGGTTATATTCTTGTTTTTGGCTATGCCTTCTTATCATGAAAAGCAGGGAAAGGCTGCTTCTACCAAGGGAGAGAAAGTTATCCAGCAAAGGGGATTACACGAGCTCAAACTCAGTAAATGCATCTCACCTATTGGTGTTATGTACTGCTATTAGCGAGGACATGTCCTTCACAGTTGATCCAGCAGGCACAGTGTTCGGAATCGACAGGTGGAGCACCTACAAATGGTGCAAGAGGGTGAATTGAGGTCGCGAGCCAAGCCGCCCACCCATCTAATTTATATGCCACGTAACATTCAAAAAGTCAAAAAGCTCCGTTGCACTTACCTTTGAACGCTCTGTATCAACTTGGTTCCTATCCCGTTGTCGCATTAGCCAAATCCATCAGCACAGATCTAGGATGAGGAGGCTTTTGGGGAGGTGCTCGCCTCTGAATCACAGCAGAGCTCCCATACCACCCAATTTCAATCGCAATTCACCATGCAAGAGTAACGGATGCTGATCCTTTAGCTGACGTTTCTACTGCTTCCTCACTCACTAAGTGCGACTCTACCAAGAGCGATTTGAGCAGCCCTACAAAAGGTGCGAAGCGCAAAAACAGAACTTAATCTGCTATAACCTCAATTTTCCTATAATAGAGTTGAGTTTTATAGAGAATTGATGAAACTTTAACTAGTTTAGAGTGACATTTGATCGAGATGTGATCAACTCTTGATGCTAAGCAGTGAATTGTTTGACCACCCTCTAACCTACACTAGGGCAGATTTGATAGAAAACTCCACATAAACTTCATCCCCGCTAACTATCAAAATGACTAGCCTAGCCCCATTGAGCACCTGCAGGTGGGCCACTTACCATCTGTCGGTCCCTAACACTAAGTAGGTGTTGGAGTAGCTGTAACAGAGCATAGAGAAGCATTTAATGGGCGTAGAAAGGGAGGCAGCAAGTTTCCTAAGGAGTGAAGTCAGAAAAAGGAGGGTTCGTTGGGTTCAATGATGTATACGAGAGAGCATGGCTAAATGCCTGCCATACTTATGTTCCACCAGGATATCCTTTCGACAATTGCGGAGAGTTCTCAACCAGAATGGCGACAACAGACTACCCACTTGGAATGAGTCGATGCAACCGTCTCCCTACCTCGGCCGACTTCATTAAACACACAGAATCCAGTGTGGCTAAAAGTGGCCAACCTTCTATAAGCAGGAAGATCGGGAGGTTTTACGATGAACTAGAGGTTCGTGGTTTTAGAGCCGCAACGAAGAAACAGGTTGCTCGGAAGATGGTCTGTGCAAATGCTTTAGGGACTTTACGTAGGCATTTCTAACCCGCACTGAAGTGTTTCGACCTGGTTTGTAGACATCGATGGCCAACGCAGCATTCGCCCTTCTCGATGCCGGATCGGAAAACCCTACACGATCTAAGATCCAAAGACCGGGCGATAGTTTATAGGAGCGTCGTCTGGCGGAACACTCCTGCTGCGTAGGGCAGGCTTTTTCGAGCTCTACTAGCCAGACGCGAAATGGTATGCAGAGTCGTAGCTTTCAGGACAGCATTTCTCTACGTCAGCGAACTAGTTCTCTCCAGCATAGGTGACCAAGCACACAAACACTTAGATGTAGAGAAAAAATGGTATCAGGGCGAGATCCTACGTATATTCGTTCTAACCTCTCAGTCTGCTCGAGTCTCTTCCTAGCACAATTGCCGTTGCACCGCTAACATCTCTGACTCCGTCTTCTTTGTCTGGTGATGCCGGCATGGGATGCCGTAAGTGTACCGACCAATTTCCCTTGGATTCAATACTTTCTCCACATGCTACCACCCCAGCAAGACTGCTGTTTCCACTTACCCCTATTGCAGTCTTTCTTGCACGACACATTCCCTCGGTTGCCTCTCGCACAGCTGCTGCCTCACACACGACAGTAGAAGGTAGTCGTCGATAAGGTTAAGTTGGGGAAAGATGGCAGAGTCTATCGGAGCAAAAACAAGGTCATCTAGTTCCCTAACCTTAGAAGTTTAGTGAAAAGATGAGCGTATTAGGGTCAACTTCAATTTCGCAGTAAATGGCAAGGTAAACTAGAGTAGGTGGCGACAACTATTAAAGCAGATATAGAAAGCAATCAAGAGTCTTGATGCATGCAGGCTGAAAAGACAATAGAGGCAGTAAGTGCCTCCGATGTCGTAAAGAGGGGTGATTTGGGACAAAATTTTGAATCCTATGAATGGTTTTACTAATTTTGGCAAGAGATTCTGCTAATCTAATCTACTCTACTCATGTCCCACTGAAGATGCGATAATGTCGGAGAAGTAAGTAACACTAAGGCATTCATTGTATCGGAAAGAAAGTAGAAGATACCCGAGAGAAGCAATACACACGCGCTTTTACACACAATCACAACGCCACAAGAAAGCATGCACACATGTATCAAGTACTTCCACCCGCAGGGAATATGGACTGCTCATCCTACAGAAGCCCTGACCGGCTGTCCCAATCACGCCCAAGCTCGTGTTTCCTAGATAGTCAATATCACACGCTTTTCTCACAACATCCACCATCACTAATCATCAATCCCATCTCATCTCATCCAAAGCTGATCCACTTGGAAACAAGAAAAAACGGGTCTGCAAGCAAGATTAAACTCGCCTCGCATTAATCCCCAAGCGAAAAAGCAACCCCCAACCTAACTAACCTCAGCCTTGAGTTCAGTCCAGTCCGATCTCGTCTAACATTAGCTTATATCCATGTCCATCAATTCCCAATCTGGCTCTTAGCCCGCGCTGACAGAGCCCATAGAAGCAAGAGGTTAGCAAACAAGCACAAATCGAAGCTCACCTGAATTAACATGATCAGCAATCTGAACCAATGCTTAGGTCCTCTCTCAGTCCTTTATCGACGCGTTATAATCCCCAAACCCTGGGCCAGTGGCTCACTAGTTTCCTAGATCGATTGACGCTAAACTGAAAGACCATCTTGTATGATGCCTGTGCTATGAAGCGCCAACTTCCACATTAACCCCAGATCTGATCTCATGATTGCCATTGCCCGGGCCTAGCGGGTGGTAGTAGACTAGAACGTTGGAGTCCAGCTGGCTAATAACCAGCGGTACCGAACGAAATGCAAAAGGCGCCCAAAAGCATTATTACAATTGGCCTGCATCAGAATTGCCGTTTATATTTCATTATCTGTGCTTACCAATACTATGAGACGGAGTCCAACTCCGACCTCCGCCGGTCAGATAGGCGAGCTCCTGACGTGCTCGTGCAAGATCGAGATTCGAAGTTTTCAGCTCAAAACGATCGGTCCCATGACCTTGGAAAATCACCTGCCATCCTCCTCGTTCATTATTATTACGTGCATTGTGTGCTATCTACGCATATCCGGCTGGCCCTGAGGTAGGCCGCTAGAGATAGCCTGAGGCATCGATGAAGCGAAGCGAAGCTTTCGAAACTTTGGTCCTGTCTTGTGCATGCATACACATCCCATGAAATGCGTGCAATCCAACCACGGGACGGTCCGCCTCAGAAGCACGTATTTGTGAACGTGCTACATATTGGAGACCCTTTATTCAGGGGGGGGATAAAGAATAATATTAATATTAAGGACACCCATCTCCTGCCATGCCATCTCCTAGTCCCAAACCCAGGCCTCGCCGAGCCCAACCCTGGTGTACCCAATACCGATATGCAGTCCAAGACATCAGGAACACAAGCGACAAAAAGAGCAAGGGGGAATCGACGCTCCATTCAGCCACCTGAGTGAATATAACTAGATATGGGGGAACATATGAAAAATGAGCCAATCCCTTCCAAATAGTGTGCGCGAGATACGAGTAGATCGGAGAAACTTGCAATCTGGTAAAATGAAGGGAAGCGCCACACCAACGTGGTGATGCAAGACAAGAGAAAACGAGGTAAAGGGAGGGGAATACCGTATGCCGATGCAATGCAGAAAATCGCAGATCCCAAACAGTTTCTCCACACTATGCGAAAGCACACAGCAATCCAACGCGCAATGAAATGCAAGCGAATGGCGTCCAGGGATACATGTAATGCGTGATAGAAATCGCAGAAGTGCAGATATAAAACGCAGTGAATTGTAGTTCGGGGGGAAACGAGTACCCAACATACTATCGAAAGGTGAAACCGTCGTGTGCCCATCCATATGCCGTTCCAGAGCCATACATCGTACTCGCGTGTTCTCCGTCTTCGTCAAATGGATACTCCGTTCGGTTCAATTGGTCTCGTATGCGTCGTGGAGTGTCGTTGCTTTGTATTGCGTCCAGATGAGAAAACGAAGAGCAGGCGCGGGCAAGGTAAGCGTATAGCAAACCTCCGGGGAAAGTGTGGAGTAGGTGTTATGCAACGAAGCAGCCATACCAATGAAATACGTTGCCCTAATTAAGCCAACAAAAAGCGGATGAGGGGGTTGGGCAGATGCTGTGCATAGTGTACAGGGTATGAAAGAAAATAATGAAAAAGGAGAAGAATTCACATTGAAGAAGTAAACGACCGAGTCCTCCATGATGAGTCTTCGTTTCAATTTCCCATCCAACGTCTGTATCCTCAATAAGACCTCGCTTGGACTAAGGTTGACCCATTTCTGAATACAGTCGAGGTAAGTCTGCGATGTCCGATTTGGAGATAGGCTGCCCGAGTGCAAGTTTTTGTTGCAGATGCCAGGGAATGCGGAGACTATTCAACACCTCAGTATGTCTGCCAGCCTTGTGGGGGGGCTTGGGCTCCAGGAGCCCACCCAGCCATTCCAGGTTGCTGCACAGCTGTGCTCTGCTGCATGAAATGTTGGGGACTTGGACTGGGTTGATAAGGATTCTGGCCCATAGCTGGATAACCGGGGCTGGGCATAGCAGCCATCGTCTGGTATCGCTGCACAGGTGTACCATGCATTGACCCGCTGCTTTGAGAGTGGTGAAGCTGAGGAGGAATATGTAGAGGTGACTGCTGAGGATGAGGGGACTGTTGGGCCGCATGTTGAGCGTACTGTTGCATGTTGTGCTGCTGTGAGAGGGGAGAAGGTTGCGGTTGGCCCTGAGGCCACATATGTGATGGAGCGTAGCCGTAGCCCGGAGGTGGAGCCTGAGCGCCACCAGGCGGAATTCCCATACTCGGGACGCGTTGTTGCATTTGCTCTGGTCGTAGCGGAGTATGCACCGGATGCCTTGGTGACTGAACCATAGGGTTCTGCGGATAAGACTGCTGCGGATACTGCTGGGCGCTTGGCATGCGACTTTGCGCTTGTGGTGTATGAGCTACCATACCACGCTGTCCGGTGGGAGGAGCAGTGCTAGTGGAGGGAAGACGAGGTGACTGAACCGCCTGTGAGACTTGCACATTATCGCCTTCCGCGGTGGCTGGACGAGGGGACTGCACAGGGGGATCATGGGGGCGTCTCCAGTAAGAGTCAAGGTACTCTTTACGATTCTTCCGTTGCTGCTCGAGCTGCTTGTTAAACTCGGCGGTTTGGGCAGCTTGATTGAGAATCTCGCTTGATGGACTGGGCCTGGTAGGGTCTTGATATGGCACTCCCGAAAGTTCCTGTCTTGGTCGCTGGACATTGCCATAATCTCTAGGTTGCAGATCTGTGGTAGTGGCATGGTTGAACGGATCAGAAGTCGCTGGAGGAACTGCACCCGGCGCTGGGGTGAGCACACCGTAGGGCTGCATGGGATTTACCCCGGCGCCTAAGTAGTCGTGATCCAGCTTCCCTGGATATGCACCAGCAGCGCCAAAAGCCAGGGCGTGGGCACCTGCACTGGCTTCAGCAGCCGCAGCCTCTCTCGCCTTTGCTGCTCCGGGTCTCTTCTCACCCGCGGCGTCCTCTTCGGTAAAGCCTTGCTTCCTGGCTTTGCTCTCCCAGTAGTCATCACGGACCCGCCTTCCGTTTACGATTAGCCTGCTCCCAAACTGTCGAAACATGGACCGTGCAGTCACAATCGCGATCTGTCGAGAGCGATACGAATATGGCAGGATTTCCTGATGAATTAAATCATCCTTCTCGGCCTGTGTAGCAATAATCTTGTAGAGCGATCGGTTCTTATTGAAGAGCAGATACGAGTCCCGGTAACCGAGAACACGGGCGCACTCTGTAGCAAGCATAAATAGCTTGACTTTTCTCTTGGGCACGTAAAAGGTGCGGCACCGATATTCTCGCCCGTCTAGCGGGTGCCCATTCGGGTCAACCTTCTTCTCGCCGGCTTCGTCAAATTCGCGAGGTAGATATTCGTCTCCCTCTGGATTGAGCTGGTCGGTAGTGTGGTCCCGAACCGTCGGCAATGCCTTGATCACAGTACTCTTAGTTGGCGTGGTCTTAGACGGCGATGTTTGGGTTGGGGAAGTTTGAGGAAGTGGTGTGTTCGGTAGTTGGGGAGTTTGTACAGGCGGAGCTGTGTTAGTCTGAGAAGGCGTGGGAGGTAGTTGCGAGGAATGAGGACTGTCTGCAAAGGACACCTTAGAAGATTTGGGAGGACGCCCGCGCTTTCGCGGCTTATTCTCATCTGCGACATATGCATTAGTACTTAGGCCCGAGGCGCACCGGCAGCCGCTGCGAATAGCCGCATTGCTACTGGGGAAATTCGACATACCTCCATCGCCGTGCCCTCCATGTTGCTCATCCCCGTAGCTGTTTTCTGGGGAGCGACTGCGCTTGACTCCGCGCGACGGTTGCGGTGGGACGGATTGTGGCTGGCTGCCCAGTACACCTACAAATTGAGGAGTCAGTGGAAATTGTGCCAACGGGAAGCTGGGGCGGATGTAACAGATGATGCGGGAGCTAGTAACTTTGCAGCCCGGGACTGTTTGTTGATGGAATTGCGCACAAACGAGAGTTTTGCGGTCGAAACATGGAAATGCATTTTTCGTACCTGGGGAGTTCAGCGCAGCGGGATTGATGGTGCCAGAGCCGTCCATGATGCCGTTCCCAATACCACCATTTGTCAAGGTCTGGACTGGATGCATTGAGTACATTCCAGGCGTTGCAAGGAGCGGCCGGGCTCGCAGGCAGCTCCGGTCGGGTCAGCGAGCTCTATTCGAGGCCAATCGGGCGGCGGCGATTTTAAAAAGGGGCGATGGGATGGATGCAGTGATGGCGGACCTGGGGCGTGCGACGCGACGGGCGTGGCATGCGGTAGAGTCGTGATGAGGTTGAGATGGGGATTCACGACGGGGTTTGTGGTGTCGACGCGACAGAGTAGCCGCACGTTCCCGAAGATGATCCAGGCCAAGCACTGGTGAGATCCGGGCGTCAACCTCAGTTCGGTCGGAGCCAGCAAGGCAGTCCAGTAGGGTGTGCGCGGTGAGGGTTTGGCGGCCTACTGCGCGATGCGTTGTTGGGCGATGCAAGGTCGCACAGGGACAAGAACAGGAGGGTGAGCGGGAGGCGGGAGGCGAGAGGCGTGCGCGGAGTGCGTGGAGTGCAGCGCGATGACGAGCCGCGAAGCTGATCCGCAACACCTGGGGGCACCTGGGGAACTCCGACTGCGACTCGGGCTGTGCAAGGAGAATAATGTTAGCAGCGTGCTCGTCGGGTGGGCGAGCGCACCATGGCAATAGCAGGGCGACAAGTAAGGCTGCCACGTGAGAGGGTGGATGGGAAACCACAAATCGCAGCACCCAGCGATGACCGATAGGGATGGGCGGGGAGCTGCTCGCACCCGCTGTAAGGGTTTGTCGTCAGCGACCTTGGGGCTTGCAGCGTGCGCACTCTGGGGCCCGGCAGCTGCAAGATTCCCGTGGTCGGGACGTGTGGAGAAGGGAGGACGTACCGTTTGGTGGCAGGCTCAGGCTGCCGTCTAACCCACGACGATATGATGCGAGCCAGTAGTGGGATATGTACGAATCGAAGGTGTAAGGTGGCCGCCGTCGCGGCTAAGGCCAGCGTCCTTCCGCGGCTGTGGATACGCTGCGAGAGCTGTTCGAGGCGGGAGACGAGTGGAGGCTGGCAGCAGAGACCAACAGGACCCTTCAACCGCACACCGAGGGAGCAGGCTGCGCAGCAATAACTGGAGCGCTGGGGGGTGGGGGGTCCACAACTGGGGTGAATTGCGATTGCGAATGGAGGGATACCTAATCGATAAAGTGCATGCAGCGGGGCGCTTGGCTTGGGCTGGTGCGTCGTCAGGGAGCAAGGAAGCGCAAGGAAGAGGCTGCGCTGGGCAGCTGATCGGGGCGGCGACGACGACGCTGCTGGGAGACACTGGCCGGCACACAACGGCGCGGACAGTAGCGAGCAAATGGCGGCGGATCTGGCGTCCCCCTTCACGCTTCAAGAGCGGCTGCAAGAGGTCTGGAGGCGGGTGCTGGACGGGCAACTTGGGGGTTTGGGGTCGGAGGGGGCACCACTTCCGTGCTGCTTCAAGGGCCAGGCCAGCCGCAGCAGCAGTCAGTGGTCAAGGCGTGGGCATGGAGCAGCGTGAGGGTGCATGGATGGTGGCTTTTCACAGGCGTCGCTGTGTCGCGGCGTTCGTTTCCTGCAATCCGCTTCAACAAGGCAGCGGACAAGATGACCTGCATAATTGCTCTGATAGTGACGCCTGCTCGGATCGCCCTTAGTGTCCAGAATTATTGACAGCAGCCCATCCGCCCCCCGACCAACGGCCAAGCTCACAGGATCCCGAATCTGCGCCGCCCGGCTCTGATTAATCACTCAAGAAATATTCAACTGCTGAGGGCAGTCCGCGCTGCTCACAACCCCTTCGGCCGTCTTCCATTGCTTGCTCATCCACACGCGAAGTCCGTTCCGGCTGAGTGTGCACAGAAACGGCGAGGCGGGCGTCCGGCGAGCAGGGCATCACGAACAGGTCCTTCATCTCTCCCACCACTCAGATCCGCCGTGCGCTGCTGATTGAGCAAAGGCGAGGGTGTCAGTAGGATGCTGTCGAATCATCGCCTGTCTAGGCCCAAGATGCCGCAGAGGACTAAGACAGACTGGATTCGGGCGTGCATGACCACGGCGGCCGCTTATGCATTCCCCATCCTCTTTTATCAACCTAGCCGTATCGTCTGACTCCCTCTCTCGTCGCCGTCCCCACTGAGAGGCCCTTTGCTGCCGCTGATGCTTGCCGCAGCAACCGAATCTAGCAGTTGACTTAATTGAAGTCCATGTCCGAACCTACCACCTTCCACGGCTGCCTGCTCGTAAATCCCGCCCAGTCCGCCCTCGGCGATCGGTCGCCAAATCGGCCAATCTATGTGGTAAGTGAAGGCGTAATCCATTCTTCTGTTTCGCTGAGTAACCTCACGGCCAGGCTTTGAGTGGCCTCGTCCTCAGTCAAAGCAGCCCCAATCCAACCTATGAGAGTCAAACACTGCTTGACCACGGCAAGCGGTTCCGTTAATCCGGTTCAGCTTCCCTGAGGTCTGGTTAGGGCCTTCCGTGAAGCAGAGGCCAAACTGTCCTGAGTATCTTCTGTGTGGTCTTGAACTTGAATTGACGATCCGTTCCACGATTGTCCCGCCTCCGTCCCCCCGACAAGGGAAGACTGTCGAGGGATGAGCCCTTAACTGTCCGTGCTGCAATCGATCGACCGCACGGTCACTTGCTTGTATCTTGCATCGCTTCCGCAGCGCGCCACACTGTTCCTCGGTGGCTTGAATCCGCCCGCATCGAACACGACGTCGAACCACACTTTGACCTGGCCTGTGCGTTACTTGAAGAAAGTGGAGATGTCCTTTGAGGCTCTCTCCAGTCGAAGCAGCTTGAGAGTTTCCGAAACGAAAATGAAAACCCACCGAGACACGGGGCTTGCATTGGCGGAAGACTTGAATTCCGTGAATCACGCTATCGCTGCTTGACTGTCCAAATCAGGCCCAGTTGAAGGAGGCGCGTCATGATGCTTTCAGTTCGGACGTGTTCGCCGGTGGGCTGTGCAACCATGGGTAATGTCTCAGAGTGGAGTTCGTCAGATGCTCCCCTGCAGGGTCCGTCGTCGCCCGTCAACCAGTTCCAATATAGCCGTCAAAGCATTTCACTGCGACGTCTCTCCAGGACAGCGGAGCCCTAAACGGTCAATTCAACTAGAGCAGACAGATTGTGCAGGGTAAAGGGTCTCGTGACGAGTATGAGTCGACATGATAAGGGTGGATTGCAAATACCCCAACCCAACCCGAAGACAATTGATCCCCCTTGCCTTTCGCCTGTAATGTTAGTAGATACAAAGCAACAAGTTACGCACTGAATAGCGTGATTGATTGCACTGCTGAATACCAAGAAAGTAGTAATCCAAGTGTTATCCCTAGCCACGACATCGAGAGGGCATTGTTGACTAGTCCGTTCTGCCGTCTTTAGAAAATTAGTGTCATATCTCAACGGTTCTGTAAGCACCACTGGACGCGCACTCGAAACGATCGATGGAGAATCCTGGACGAATTCCTAGCTTACAGCTTGGCGCTAGGTCTAAGGTGGAGCTTGATCAGATGATGCAGACGCTATCGTGAACGGTCGACTCGTGGAGCCGCTACTTTAGATGCGAGTGCGAGTTCCCCAGCCAAACTCCCGAATATCGTGGGTGTGAAACTAGGCACAGGTAAAGACGGGCTGTTGTTTGACTGACCAGTCGGAGATGGTTTGCTGTGGGGTTTTCGTTTCAAACTACCGCAGTGACGGAGCACATTACTTTGCGGAGCGTATGACAGCCGATGATTACTGCAAATAGAGAGGTGCGAAGAGTGCTCTAATTCCTAAGCCAGACTACACGTTCAGTGGTGCAGCAAGTCTTGTAGTACAACTCTGGCGGTGAGTCGTCCATCTTGACCGCTTTGTTCCGAGGGAAAAAAAAAATAAAACTCAATCACTGGTCGTGAGGTAATAGTAACATGGTAGGGTTTGCGAATCCTTGGTACCGAGCTAGCCTGTCCCTGCTTTGGCCTAGACAAACGGAAAGGACTCCTCGGGCTAGGGGCTTCTGTGCAATTGTTTCACACACTTCATGAAAAGAGAAGTTTGATAGACAGACAGACAGGTTTCAGGCAGCGGGTATGGAGAGGCTGCTCAAAGAGATCTCCAATGTAGGTGTCCTTTTATTGGTGTTTTTGCTTTTGGCAGGTCGGAGGGCGCTTCCAATACTCGTCTGCTGTTACATCCACTGAATACTACCACGGGGAAGATTGAACGGCTGGCATTGCCTGAAATGTGTAGCAACTGTTTGAATTTGTTTGCTTTCCCTATGTGTGTGAGTCAAAAATAACTGCTGCGTCGCGTCCACCGATATCCGTAAAGTGTGGCGGGGCCTTAATAGAGCAATTAAGTGGTTAGGTCTATCATAGCGAATAGAAAGCGGGAATGCGCCTGCCGTTGCAGAGAGAGCGATCAGGTGGAATGCGAGAGTTGTGTCGTCGTATCATCGTCTAGACTCATCAGATGACCTTAACACCGTTTGTTGAAATTGATTGGATAAGATGCGGCTGTAGTAGACAACCGAGCCGGGGAAGATCTGGTTCAGCCATCACGCGTACGTTCTCAGAAAGCTTAAATATTTCCTGATAACGGCTCCCTCCGACGTAAAGGGTGGGTGTGGCAAGTGCAGGTTCACATAGTCAAGCATGATCCAAGGTACATTGACGCCTGGATTTCTGGCCAGATGGTTGAGTTCTTCGACTTCGAATTGTGAGATACTACCTCTGTAGTGGGATGTCAATTAATCTATGTTGCCTGTCTCCACTAGGGATCACCTACACAAATTGGGGTATTCAGAGGCTTTCAATCGCCTCGCCTTCAACGCCAACCGATCCTTATCTTCCGAAGAAAAACACCGGAAGATACTCTGAGGAAAATCGGAGAGATAGAGGGCTGCTATACATCCAGGGAGTTTACCTCGATAGCTACGCTTTCGCTGCCTAACCAGTTGATCACACGCCGAGATCGAGATGATCTCGCAAACCATTTCCTTCACTTTCTCCCAGGGGCAAGGCCGGGCACGGCACTGTAACGCTCGTCACGTTCTGTCTTGAAGAGAAATTGGACCCAGAAGTCCCTGCTGTCCTCGTCGAACCATTGCCAGAACTTCCCTTCCCGCCTGTCCACCTCCCGAGCTTGTAGCTTGACAGCCACAGTTTCATATGGTTCTGCAGCGACAACAAAGTATTGGAACTGCGCATTTGGCTCCTCGATCTTTTGCTCATAAGCGTTCATGAACCGTAATCGGGGAGCGACGCCGGGGGCAATCTCGGGATAGTGAAATTGAAAGAGCAGTCCATTCTGGCGCGTCATCGGATCGCGAACTTTGGTGATTCTATATCCCGGCCTCCCGATTTTGATTAAATTTTTCTTCACCTGCACACCAGCGAGCAGGCCTGGCACCACCGAGTCAGGTCCCTTCCCCTCCTTTTGCTCCCTCGCTGCTCGACGCGCGAGGTTGGTCTGATGCTTTCGCCCCTGGGTATGTGCCAAATAAGATCCGTCATTCTGGTGTACTGTCAAGCATAGACGGCACTCAAAGCTGCCGACGTGGTTTTTGAAGAAGTAGGGGTCTTTGTCAAGATCGATTGTTTCCAGTGCGAGCTTCCGTAGACGTTCCCGGCGATCGGCGTTGGTTGCAGAGGTTGAGGCGACACCACCACCTCCATGTTTGGAGCCCGCGCGATTCTGGAGATGTTATTGATGAAGTACTTGGGATAAGATGCTGAGGTTGCGTACTTGGTAGTCCATGCTGGAGATCCCTAGCGAGACTCTTTGCCACTCGTTGACACTTGTGATGGATTGCGAGTAGATAATTCCAACGCTCAAAGTATGCTGGCAGGAAGGTGCTGTGGATGGAGTGGACGTGGCGCGTTGGCGTTGTGTCGTCGAAGAACTTTACCTAGCCACGCCAAGAAATTGTGCCACACCAGTGATATCACGTGCATGTCAGGCACCTCTGTGTTTACCGTCTTGAAATGCTTCACGCAGCTCAAATGTTTCCAGGACTCTGATTACCCAGTAATATCGACATTCTATTCCCAGAAGACTGTCCTTGCAGTTTTCCTAGTCTTTCAGTCTTTCTAGTCTCGCAGTTATCTTAAGTTGTGGATGATGCCTCCAGAATTTAACACCAACCAACCACCATAACTGTATTATCCGATGGCGACTGACCTCTACATCGGCAAACGCCTCTCTTTTGACGTACAACTGTGTACTGTACGGTATATTGGCAAGCTCAAAGGTACCAAAGGGGAGTGGCTGGGTGTAGAGTGGGATGATCCAACTCGAGGGAAGCACTCCGGGGAGAATGGGGGCATTAAATATTTCGAATGTGATTACTTCCTCTCAACCCCCTCTCTACTGTTGATTGCCATTTCTGTTTCTGGGGGGAGGGTAAGCTGACAATCCAGGCGCGAACAAACAACCAACCGCTGGCTCTTTCGTCCGCCCAGGACGCAAATCTGACCCGCCCCAGTCTTTCGTCGAAGCCTTGAAAATGAAGTATGCCTCCGAATACTTTGAAGACCCCGATGTGCAGATTGTTTTCACAATTCAAGATAATACCAAGCCTCCTTTGTCGCAGCCGAGTCGACCTATCCGGATTAGCGGTAAAGAGGTGGAAGAAGTCGGCTTCGACAAAATTCGGAAGCAGCTGGCAGATCTTAATGAGTTGCGAATTGTCATCTTAGATGGCTTGTGCATGTCGAGGCCGATTGCCACTTTAAGAGAAAGAAAAGAAGCATCACAGGAAGACGCTTGGCCCACAGGCCTCACAGACATCAAGGATGTGTGTCCAAAGACTGTCGAACTTGATCTGAGTCGCAATCTGTTCGAAGAGTGGAGGGAGGTTGCCTCTATTTGCGAGCAGCTGGACAAGTTGAGAAGCTTGAGAGTGGAGTAAGTGTTTCCGGGATTTCCCCGTGTCACTAGTCCTTTACGACTCGGTGTCGTTCCATATGTTAACGTTGGCTCTCAGCGGTAACCGGTTTCGAGATACAACATTGACCAACGCCGAGAGACAAAGATGCCTCAAAGCCTTCGGAAACATTAAGACACTCAGGCTAGAAGACACTCTTCTCTCATGGGAGGAGGTACAACCTCCCTCCCCCTCAAAGTCTCCTCTACTAAAACCCTCCAGATAACTCGGATAACCACCCTGTTCCCTACCCTTACAACCTTCGTCGCCTCCAGCAATCTTTACACAACCTTAACCCCACATCTCCTAACCCCAACCATCACCGACCTAACCCTGGAAGACAACCTGTTCCCCTCCCTCTCCTCCCTTTCCCCCCTAACCCGCCTGCCTAACCTCCAACGCCTCGTCCTCAAAAGCAACAAAATCTCCTCAGCCTCCCCATCAGACGTCCCACTCCCCATCTTCTCTCACACCATCACCGACGTCGACCTCTCCTACAACGCCATTGTCACCTGGGCGTTCATCGACGCCCTCGCTCACGTCTTTCCGGGCCTAACCTCCCTCCGAATCTCCCACAACCCGTTATACCACTCACTACAATCCGCCGACGGCCGCACGCTCAGCGTTGAAGATGGATACATGCTCACACTCGCTCGGCTTGGGGCGCTCAAAATTTTAAACTACAGTCCGATTACTGCCAAAGAGCGGCTAAATGCCGAATCATACTACCTGTCCCTCATATCCCGTGAACTAGTTTTCTCACCACCGGAACTTGCAGACCAGATCATAGCGTCGCATCCACGATATCAGTATCTGTGTGCGGAGTACGGGGAACCGGTTATCCATCATGAAGCGGGGAAAGTGAATCCGAATTCGTTGGCGGCGCGGCTTGTAAGGTGTACTTTTTACCTAGGGGCTAGTGCGAAGGCGTCCTTATCTACGGCTATAGCATCGTCTCTCTCTCTCCCAACTGTAGAACGCATTGAAGCGGAAGTCCCCACATCCTTCACTGCATACAGTCTCCTCGGATTCGTGGCCAAGGAATTCAGCCTGCCTCCTAGGAAACTGAGACTTGTCTGGGAGACGGGGGACTGGATGCTTGCGAGTCGTGCACTGCACGATGTCGCGGAAGAAGAATGGGATTCTGAGTCTGAGTCTGAGTCTGGGTCTAGTAGGAGCGGGGGTGACGATGGGGTAGAGTTAGAGCGGGATGGGGGAGAGAGGGTGATGAGGGAGGTGGAGATTGTGCCTGGGACGAAGTTGGTTGGGACATGGATTGATGGGATGGAGGCTGTGATTAGAGTGGAGATGAGATGAAAGTCTTACGAAAAATCTACCCGGGATACTATTGTGTATCAGAAGACTACAGCAAGGCACACACACTCTCTCAACTTCAAAGCATTAATAAATAGACAGAATGACCGCAAGGTGTGGGAAGACTATCTCCGAGGAAGTTATCATTAATTCCTCCAGCACCCCAGTTGAAAACCAAACTCCAGAGCCATGCTCAAAGCATTTGAAAAGGCACACGAACCCCCTCTTTTTATGTACCAAAACCACATGATCAACATAAGCAAGCAAGTAAGCATCCCAGCTACCCGCCTCGTTACCTAAGCATCTGACCCGCAATTCCCACCGCCACGCCGGCTCCAATCCCATATATGCGCCCACATGCATTTCTTCTCCCGGCCCCCGTATTCCCTGTATTCCCGTTGCCAAAAGCCTGACACGCCTGCACCTGCAACCCAAAGCAAGCCTGCGCGCTCAGACTCGAGCAAATCGAGCTCGCGGACGGCATTCCCACACTCGCAATGGCCGTGATGGTCGCCCCACCGTTCGGTGCAGAAATTGTGACGCCCTGGCGGCCACTCGCTAGTGCTGCAGTGCAGCTTGCAGCATCCGTCTGGCAGCTCGTATAAGCTGAAGAGCAAGCGGCTGCATTGGTGTAAGTAGTCGGAATAAAGGCGAAAGGGTAGTACTGGTTTGATACCGTGGATCGGACATAAGACTGGGATCCGCTTTGCTGGACGAACGTCGTTGCCGTGGACGTGCCAATGATGACGCCATTGTTCGTGGTCGTGACTGCCGTGACGAAAGGGACCGTTGTGGTAGCCGCGCCTCCTCCCGTATTGGAAGCTGTGGTTCCTCCGCCTACGGGCGCGATGGTTCCCGTGCAGGCAGCGTTTAGAGGGCAGCATGCGACATGGCCGGCAGCGTCAGCGGAACATACACTGCCCGACCTACAGCAGAGTCCTGGGGCCCCGAGACCAGAGCATGCATTGTAACCCGATGCGCAGCCCGTCTGTCTTTTAAGGAGCTCGAGTTCCCCCTCTCCTTCTGCGATTGTGTCGTTGGTTTGGGCGGGCGGGCTTTCGAGCAGTGGTTCAACGAAGGCGGCTAGGAAGTTGGGTGTTGCGCAGGCAATTGCGACGAGGAGGAACAGGGAAGCAAGAACATTCCGCATTGTGGGTGTCGTTGTACCGTGCCTGCGGGAGGAATGGAATGCGCCTAGAGGCGAGACAAGAATGCGGGAAGTGTCTATGCTGAGGCTGGCTATCGATAGCTGCAAGAGTTTTGGCGTGACGGCTGTAAACAAAAGTTTAGCAACGTCTATTAGAGTGCAACATTTTCCGGCAAAAGCTGGTAGACGTACAGTGGCCTTATCGTGTTAAATGTGTTGGAAGAATTGGCATGTGTCGTCGACGTCAATTGGACTGGGCAGCGATGAGGTGTGCAGCTCCAATGCCTTGGTGTGGTTCGTTGTCAAGGCGACCCGCAGAAATCAGCTCTGGGCGCACGTGCTTTAGCCTCTCAAGTTGGCAGTTCCTGCACTGTGATTGGCAGATCTCCCGTCTCGCTACCACAGAGGCACAGATGAATGTCCAGCATCACACTGCTCTTACCCCCATAGCACGACAGCAGCAAACGTGAGAGCTTCGCATGTGGCAGAATTTATATACCGGTTTGCATAGTCGTCATCCGGCCCTAATCCTTCAATACAGGTCTTAATCACGTAGTGAGTGAAACAGTTCCCTGAAAACGCTAGCAAAAAAGTGTTTGCAGTCACGGTCACAAAAAATGCACGACAAACGCCAAACTAAGAACGCATTGCTGCACTTAAAATATCAAGGATTATACTTACATAAGCGGCCTTTTAATTCTGGCAAACGGCTTGACCGGAATCGTACCAGCGTCTGGGTCATCTACAGTTGTAGCCCATCCACCATCGGTTGTTGAAGAGAATTGGAGTTTTGTTTGAATACATATGTAAGTCTGTGATTTCTACGATGGGCTGTCCAATCAACTCAGCACTTGACGTCCCACGATACTAAATCTATCACATAACATCTCGGAACCTCAGTCTACAAGACATCACTTCTCTCATACCCATGCAAAGAGGGAAATAAATTGTGTATTCCTAAAATTCCTCCGCATCATTGTAGTCCTTATAGAATCGGAGTAGAAGGTACCTAGGCCAAGGAGGGTGGTCTGGCGGTGAGATAGTGAAAGAGTGGATATGCGGAAGCGTTGAGTATCGCTTGGCGGGGTTGATAGAACATGCGCAGTACCTCGGTCGCAACAAGCAGAATAACCTCGTGACATGAGCACTAAGCCAGTACCCCAGACGACAATTCACTTTAATGATTAGAAATAGAAGGATTCTCACTTGTCTACTTGTCGACTCGAGTTTCCGCCAGGCCTTCAGGGCTCTACAACAGCACTACGGATATGAAGGAGGCAGTACTACCAAAGAAAGCAGGGGTATCTTCGAAAAACTCTCTACAAATGCATAGCCCCCACCCGAACCTCCACAAGCAGATCTTTACACGCTTACCCCTGCCAGCCTCCTTCGATCTAAACATGCTTTGAAGAATCGCAATAACGTAAATCCAGTATATTCTCCAAAGCTCAAAGAACTCCTCTTTGTTAAAGCCAAGTTTAAGAACAGATAATGTTCATACAAGCTGGAGATGGAATTTCAAAATTTCAGAATTACTTGAAGATATTTCTCGATACAGAGAAAAGAGTTTTGCCAGACCATGCAGGTCCCTAGGATATATCAAACTACACCCTGACATGAGCGCCTACTAGCCATCCACCGGTTACTTCAATAAACCGGACACTTCCTGAGGGTCGTCAGTCCTAGCTTTCAAATCCCTGCCAGTGATCCTAATCACTCTGATGGAAAGCTCCCAGGTATTTGGATTTCTAGTAAGGGTAATTTATTAGAGCCAACAAAGACAGGAGAATTTGACTAACCATGGGCGAACTGCTCATTTACATGCCGCCCGTAAAGCCGCTAGATGTGGCATGGTGGTCTCACGGTTACCGTCACTTGAAGTCTCGAATAACTCAAACAACAGAGAATAGCTCTAGAACCAGGATGGGAGAATTGGTCAAGGAACTGCGAGATGGTGTAGTCAGGCATTTACGGGACTTCGTATAAATCCTAGGAAGATCTAGTAGGGGTCTCAGCCGGCGTTTTAGCTTCATGGTGTCTATGGTCTGTTAGCTCCCTGGTGATAGGAACTTTCAATGTAGAGTTAAGGAGGGTGCAACACGCCTGTACTGTTCATAGTCAAACTTTGTTTAGAAGGCCTATACAATGGAAATATGCCATTTGTGCGGAAAGAACAGCGCGGGAGTCAATCTAACTGCCGCCTCGCCTCTTTCCTCATCTTCAAGCTTGACGAGCATCTGCATTCTCACAGAGCCAGAACCATCCCAACAAAACCCAAAACTCCAACTGCTGTCACCGGAACCTCAGTCGGAATCCCATACCCCGAACTCCGGATCGAACTCGATGCCCCAAAATCAAAACTTAGCGTCGGCTGCACGTGTCCTTGTCCAGTCGTCTGTACACTTCCTCCTCCACCCGAACTTACCGAACTACTTCCACTCTCCCCTCCAGAGATAGCACTCGCTGTCTCACTAGCACTCCCTCCCTTCCCCGACGCGGTAATCCCAACACTCGCACCTACACCTCCCGTCGCCGCCGCCCTCAAACTCTCAATCGCACTTTCCAACGCTACAATATTACTCTGATACTCGCTTGGCACGGCATCCAGCCAGGACGGATGCACGGTTGCTGTAAATGCGGATTGGATGATGGATACTGGATCCCCCGTTGTGGATTCCACCGATGTGTAATATGAGTACAATAGTGATTGGATTGAAGTTGGGATGTAGAGTGATATTAATTGGGCTGCGTTGCCAGAAAATGGCGACTGTGGTGGCAGGGTTGATGTTCTGGGGGCTGTTAGTCTAGGCGAGAGGGGAGAGGAGAAAGGCTAGGCATAAGGTACGCTTGTCTAGGTTCGAGATTTTGCAAGGCTAATGCGGGAATTGCGTAAGTGATGAGGATGGTGAGGATATGCATCTTTGGTAGTGAAGATTTCGGCTTGGATTCTGCATGTATTTGCTTATGGAGGTAGATGAGAGAAAAGGATTCGAGGGTCAAGGAAATGACAAGGGCAGAGTGGAACGCTCATTATTGAGAAGGCTGGTATCTATCTATCTGATCGTTTTCCTTCTAATATTGAAACAATGAGTGGCGGGTGGGGCTGGAAATACAAACGCGCTAGTCCGACTTCGGAAATCATGTTCTATTTGTGTTAGAAATTCTGAGTATACAGAATGTCTAGATAGTTTACGGGCCTGGAATAACTCTAGTGATTATTAAAATTGAATCTAAGGATCCTGTTCGTCGAGTATTCAGGGTAGGAGCATATTGACAATAGATCACATGTATTTTGGCAATGTGGTTTCCTTAAAGAGTGCATGGAATAGACAATGATGATGATAGTAGGTAGTTAGAAAGGACATGTTCTTCTTAAATAATGATTTATGCGAGAATTGAGCATAGGTGGAGACTCTAGTATTAATGGTATTCATAGATTAGTCTAAAATAATGACACTTTTAGAGCTCACAGCGTGCTCTTATTCCCCCTATCCAATGCAATACCTAAGCTCCGATGAAAATGCATACCCAAAAAAACATGTGTACGGCCGTATGAATACCCAGAAGCCACACCCGGCGTGATATTCTTTGAACCTCATCTCAAGCCACGCCTTTGGTATCCCATATAGATCATACCAACAGCTATATCTCCGCTATCGTTACCGTTACCACTACCTCCATACCCTCTTTCCCTTCCCACTCCTCAGATTCCTATATGGATCAAACCCCTTACCACGCCCCATATTAACCTCCTGCTGTTTTTGAAACCTCTTCACCTCACCCGCATACTCCTCATACCTCTCCTGCCAGAATTCGAACAGCCCCTGCACGTCATCCACAAATCCATCTGGCCCCCTCTGCCACACCCACAACGCGATCCCAGCCACCGAACCCCACACCACCAAGCGGAAGATAAGCTTGACCCAGAACATAACGGCGCGATACGCCATGTCGAGGATCTTGAGGGAGATGAGGAGCAGGATGGCGAGGGTGAGGATGGTGGCTAGATCGGGTTGTGTAGTGAGACGGAGGAAGAGCGGGGTAAGATGTGTTTGCAGCGTTTTGAAGATCCCGAACGTAGTAGTTGTGATGGTTATGATGGTGGAGAGGAGAGAGGGTGGGAAGATGTTTTGCATGACGTGGATGTAGTCTGATGAGCTGTTAGGAGTGTTCGCACTGAGGGAAATAATGCTGCGGCTCGTACCTTGGACGAAGTCCATTGTTGCTTTCATGCGCGAGAACGCGCTCAAGGTGAGTGAATGTGGTAGGTTGAGAGGTTGTATGTGGTTCGACGGCGCGTCGGAGGCTTGGATGAGGTGTTGTAGAGAAGGTGGGGGAAGGCGTGGGATAGGGTCGGCCTTTGATGCTTTGGGCTTTGTTTCTGCGAATGGAAGTCGTTGCCCGATAGCTTTTTTTGTTTCGAGCAAAGTCGGAGTTTCATTCACGGTTGGGATGATCTGCACGTCATGCGGCTTGGCATCGCGAATGCTGCACGGTCCATGCATGGAACACCTGGCGGCAGGTCTATCTTGCGGGAGCTTGCGATGCGTGATAAAATGAGGACTACTTGCTGTAGCTTAAGTATCCAATCGTTTCAGAAATCTAGTTGCCAAGGCTGCCTTCAACTTCGAGGTCTTTACTCCGCACATGGTAATTGAAGGAATTGGGATACTTCAATTTTGCACCTTCACTTAAGTAGAAAATTGTATATGGGTCAATATATCTGATTGCTTGATTCAATATCCTCAACGACTCTGCGCTGTTGCCTGCGTACATATAAGACCGGCTTCATCTCCTCCTCCACTCATCCATCATTTCAGATCCGCTTGTGGTGCCGCATATCATCCAGGCTATTAGCCTTCGGAGAGAAATGAAACTATGCTAACGAAAGAGGCCAGTGCCTGTGTAGGTGACTTGAAGTCTGGTATCACAATAATTCCTCCTAAAACGCCAGATAAAAGTCGTGTGCGAACGTAAATATGTATAAAGAAAGGTAAACGATAGAATGTCGTCTTGACAATTGAGTGGGGGTGTTTCTGGTCTGCAATCTTTGCCGCGAAGATCGTAGCAGGACTGGGGTTGTAGAGATCCCGAAGTAGGCAGGCTGGAGAGCGCCTAGAGGGGACTCCGTCTGGCGGGGGGTGGCGAGTTCTCTATGGACAATAATACCTACTCCTAACAGCACCCAGAGGCTGAGAAGTAAGGTTGTTTATGAGTTGGAAAAGTGGTATTAATCCTCGTTTGTGTGGTCTCACACATTGCCGTATCTTGCGACGGAGTAGAGAGGTCTCTCTGACTGGGTGGAAGGACGAGTTTTGTCCCTATCCCGATCACGTGGTGGGGAGTCGAAGCCGAAGTCAAAGTTGAAATCGAAGTCGGAAGCCTCTGACATAGAAGGATAGTGATTGTGTCGATGAGATGATCCGTACGATTTGCGAGATCCATGTGACCCTCTCGATCCTCTTCGCGGAAATTCGCCTGTAGTGGAGGATGGTGAGTAAGGCGTTGGTGGTCGATCTGCAAGTGATACGCTTGACTTGCGTCGAGCCTGTTCTGGCATACGAATGGGGGTTGAAGGGTCCTTAGTAGGGCTCCGGGGTGGTGTTCGAGGAGGGTCATAGAGGCCGAGCTCCTTCTCGAACATGTTCGGAGTTCTAGTGCTACGGACGACGGCAGGCTGCGTTGGTCTGATGCCGTACTTTTCTGGCCGTTTCGTGTACTGGCTGGGTCGCCTCCATGACTCGAATTCGGCGTCGTCCAAAGGAGTGACAGCTCGGAGTGAGAAGCCTCGGATCCTCCTCTTTGACCGCTTCCAGCAGAAGAGAACCAACACGGCGGCGAGAGTCAGCAACAAGAAGCCTAGCACGGCGGCGAGGATGATCCAGACTCGAGTCTCTATCATGGTGGGGGAAAGTGGGGAGCGGTTTCAGTGATTCTCCTCTTGATGAGATGTTCCAAGGTTGATAATGAGGATTGATGGTATGGCACAGTGTAGTAGCACCACACAGCCCAGGAGCGAAACGATAAATGAAAGGACGCTTAAGGTGAAGGCGAATTTCTAGACGGTAGGTGCTTTGCTCCAAGAGGGGAAGGTGTCCGGCGGCTCGGGTAGGGACAAAGCTTGAACACGAGATACCTAGGTAGTCGACAATGCCAGATGACTTTAGAGAGTGGACGCTAGTCGACCATGGTTGCTGGAGACGCACAGGACAGAGACGGTGGGTGTCAAGGAACAGACATTCAGAACATGCTCACAAGCCTAGGAGAGGCTCAGATGAGGGGTGGAGGGAGAGGATGGGTAAAGACTAAGTAGTGCTACGGGAGTAGGCGTGGCGCTGGGTCATGCGCAATCAACCTCGCTCCACCACGGCCGCAAGAGGGAGCAGTAGCAAGCGGTGTGTGTGTGGAGCCGGCGATGGTAATTGACGAGCAGAACAAAAGGCACGGCAGAGGCAGCGAGAGGCGCACTTGGAGAGGGGAAGCTCCCGCTTATACGCACCGGCGCCCTTAGCTGATGCGCGATGCAGGAACAAGAGATGGTGGGGTGCAAAGCGTGTGAAAAGGCCGTGGAGGCTGAAATATCGGTGAGAGCAGCACTAAAGACATCCATGAAGAGGTTAATTTTACATGCCTTGAATTCACCCCGCCGTTGGAAACATGGCGCACCGACCATGATAGGCAGTTGGCCCGCTGTTCGTCTGCGCACACACCACAGGTGCAGGTACCCATTGTGGACCAGGGACATGGTGACGCTCGACCTGCCTCCTGGAGTGCTCTGTACGATGCTCTGCTTTTTGCTGCTCGACCTCCCGGCGGGCCGCGAGCGACGTGGACGCCGCCAGGAACAGGAACAACCGTGAGCCCGTCATGAGAGCCACGATACGCTACCGCAGGGGCATCAGTCGAGCCGAATTAGAGCAGATAGCCGCACACCACCACACCACGTTGCACTCCAGCTCGCTTCACGAATTGGTTTTTGGTGCCCCTGACACGATGTTGTCGGAGGATCAGCACGATGGGGAAAAATGCTATCGATAATCGGGATAGCCTCTCAGTGGCGCTGGCCAATCCCATCCGACGACGAGCGGGCTCTAGGATGCGTGTCGTCCCGCAGACTCCTTTCGTCTGCCGCCATCTCACTGCGAAACCGAGCCTGCGCAGCCTTGGGCTGGCCTCAGCTTGCAACCCGCTCCAGCAAAGCAGTTTTTCGTCATTCATCGCCTTCCATGCAGCCATGCAGCGCCCCAGAAGCTACGGTTCTGCTAAGGTTGCAAAGGCCAGAGCTCCAGGGGTCGATTGAGTGCCTGCAGCCAGTCAAAATGTACGCATTGAGGTCCAAATGGATCAGCACTTTGACAAGGCGAGCATCCCTTGTCTTGCCCGCTCAACACCAGATCCTGAGTGGAACAACGACTTGTTGATGCAGGCAACCGGGAGCCATTTACTAAATGGCTCCCAGATAGCAGAGGCTGGAGCCATCGGCTGGTCGATTCGCCTGCCAACTCAGCAACCAACTCAGCAAGTGCTTACGGCCCTGTGATGAGTTGATAAAGATGCTTATTTCCCTGAAACCCAATGAGGACAGCGAAGTCGACAATTCTTATACAGAGTGACTTTTTTTGCATGTAGTAATGTAAATTCAGGCCCATCCAGGGACGAATTCCAGGGACGCAATTCACGTCTGCTACTTGAATTCCAAGGCGGCTCACGAACATCACTGCCACCGTGTGTTACCATCGCTCCTGCAACTAGCAGACCAGCTCGTTTTCGACACCGCGCATTTTCCCATCCTCGGTATTCCCTGTCGCGACCAGTGCGTCTAGACTTCACCTCTTCGTAATTTTAGTAAGTAGACCTTCGAAATCGCTGGAGGCGCTTCTTGCGCTGAGAAATATTTCCATCCCATCCGCTACCATATTACACGAGCTGTTTGTGCATCATCGCCTGCTGCATAGGGCTACATTCACCCTCTTTCCCAGCCGTGCTGACCGAGGACTCGCAATCTTACAGGGTACCAACCATAGAGTAGTAGCATCAGCAGCACAGGAGACGGGTTGGAAACGAGTTCATCAAGCTCTTCCCATAAGTATCCTCGCAAGAAAAGAAAGGGTCGCTTTCGAACCTTCGCCCCCGCCTTCATGATCTCTAGAACCGTTCCGTCGTCCGAAATGACATCAGGCAAACTCGCGGCGACGAATGACCAAACTGGAGATGAAGCGGGACCATCACGGGCAGATCGATGACCACAGAGCATACTCGGATCGGCGCTCAACCGTTGCAATGACTCGAGTAGTATGAACTGTTGGAGTCAGGAACGGCCGAATGATGAATAAATGATAAAGGCCAAGGGTGGTGTTGCAAAATGCGCTTCACGACTAAATCCATGATCCTGATTTCTCCATGTCCGAGGATGGTGGTTGGTCCGATCCTCGAACGCCACAGCACGAGGATACCCTGTCCGCTTCCTCTTGGCAGAGAGTCTTTGTCTTGGAGACTTGAAACCTCCACCATGAAGCTCTTCGTCTTGATATTGCTTTTGCCGCGCTCTGTGGAGAGAGGAATGTTCTACGCTTCAAACAAGTCGAATCCTCCAGGATTTCTCTGTCGCGAGTTAGTGTGATAAATGCAGAGATTCAAACCTTTTCGACGACTTGCAGGCAGCAAACCTTTGCTCGGACCAATCAGCTTACGATTGTCTCATTTCACCCATCCGTATATCCAGCTTCAAGACCATAATCGTAATTCCTGGGGGTAATCCCACGCAATGCTACATCCGGCCTTATAAGCCAAGTAACTCAGGTGTGGGGTTTCCTATCGCGAGAATAGCTCAGGCATACGTGTCCAACCATATATTCGGGGTGGCTATCGTCACGATCAGAGACCTGATGAAGCTTGCATCGTTTCCTCTATCATGTCTGCTGACCAGATCATTATTCCTGGGCGACCGCCACATCCGGCAGTTCAATATCAGCGCTCTTGAAACGTTAAGCCGTTTTGGCTTTTGCCTTGGGTTCCTCAGCATCGGGTCCCTTAGGCTTTGGTGAGAGGAGGGAATCCCTGCGTTAAAAGGCTCACCCGGGCGAAGTGATCACAACTCCCGGGAAAAAGTATCGTGAACCAGCCAAACACGTTCCGTTGCAATACCATGTGGCTTGCAGTTGGACTACCGATCACGGTTTTTCTCGTCGACCAGTGCGGCTGGTCTCAAAAAACCAGCTTTATCGCATCGTGAACGGTGAGGTGACGGCGCCGGATGAATTGGTGTGAATGCTGGTCTGGCCGTGGTTCGGCTGCTTGCGGGACCAGCGCTGCCCCTGACGAACACCCACACATTTGCACCCTCCATCATCACAACTCGGATTGCCCGCTTCCAAGGTTGCAATCAGCTTCTATCAATCTCATCACGGCTCTGGTCTGCTGATAGATGTCGCCTATTCTACTTGCCACCGGATGAAAAGTTCATCCATCCCAACTTGCTCAACACCGCCCCTCCTCAAATTTTCCAAAATCGCGGGAACCGCCCTCCTAATCTACATCACAGATGTACCTACCACTCTTTGAACACGCCGCAATATAGATTCCGGACGTATACCAGTCCGATACTCTGGTCGAGTCACAGCAAATCGTCGGCCGAAATAATCCGTAAATGAATATACATGAATCCTGCATCCCGGCGGTTGCAGACCCAAAGAACGCAGTCTTTTCTCTGAACAGTGCGGTAGGAAGTTAGATCGGACGTGCCCTTTTCGCCGTAATTACACAAAGATCTGAAGGCTTTGTTTCCTTTTGATTTGGCTCGGGTTATCGAACATTTACTCCGAATACCCTTCATCTCTGAGAAATTGGTGTCTCCTGATTGGGTTGATGGGAGCTCATCATTCAGAAAGAACGAGCAAACTTTGTTTCTTTCCTTTTGGCTCTGGCGGAGTTGAGGTTGCAATTTGTCTTACTTTCCACACACAACTATCGATCGCCGCCATGCACTCGGCTCAGATCTAGCGCAACATCTCTAATTTGTCCCTCGTTGCACAAATGCGACAGTCCACATGCTCTTCTTTCCTAAGCTAAATACTCAGCTCATCATTGGATCTACTCCGAGTGGACTTTGGGAACCCCATTGCGGCATTTGTAAAACTTGATGTTCGTTCACCTGTAAGTATCTGAATGCTTGCTTGCTCGCTCGCTAGCACAACATTCACAGCCAACCGAACCCGACGCACAAAAAAGCAAACAGCGAGCCGAGCACACATGGTAGCTGCAAACTCTGTTTATGACATGTATGCGCTTCGATGATGCCTCCCTTTCTCGTGATGTTCTCCTTGAAGAGGACCGTGGGTCAAGTGGTCTCATGTCAAGGTTCCAAGTTCTCTGTCATTTGCTTTTTGTCCCTGGGCAGGACATGTGGATGGAATTGGTGCCGCGGAGAAAGCTGAAGAGCGAGGAATCGTTTACGATGGAGGTGCGGTTTCGCTTTTGCTCTCGCGTCGATGGCCTCCAGGCTGGAGGACTTTCTGTGACTCATGCAATTAATCGTTCGTTCATCGCTAAAAAACGTCAATATACAATACCAAGACAAGAGATGCAGAGGCGTTTGTCAGCCTCCACTTCGTGCCCAGAAACACGCCACTATCGATTCCATGCTCTCCTTCTCCACTCCACTTTCCCTGAGTCCAGGGGCAGCCAGCTGGCCAAGTGGCTTCCGTAGGGTCCGATCGTGGCGTATGTCGGCGCTCGACGTCAGGCTTATTACGCCTTCTTGGAGAGCATGGCGAGGTAGGCCTGATCTTCAGTGTCACTTCTTCGTCTCAGTATTTTCGTTGCAAATGTATCACGACATCTTCTTTTTATCTTTTCAGTACCTGCCTGCCGGTCGCATGAACCCGCTCACCAAAATGTGGACCGAACGAGAGCGCCACAGAGATGAATAGGTGCGAAGTAAGTCAACAGTACACCATTTCGGAAGAGTTATGTATGCAACACTCGGAATGTACTCAGTAGTATCATTTGTTTTGTCCCTTACCTCTCTATTATCAGTCTCGCTCTCTTCACTTTCTGGTCCTTGCGCATTTTTCTTCTTTTCAGCTGTGCTAGACATGGCAGATGTAGCGCATTTTGCCTTCCTTTTTCACGGGCACACGCATAGCCCAGCCTTTGAAGCCTTTCCTCCACACTCACCTTCCGCGTAGTAGCTAGGTGCGGGTGGATGCCGCCGGCGGCGATCCGCAAAAAGAAGAGACATATAATCTTGGTAGCACACACAACTAGCCATTTTCCAAAGATAGAAGTGCTAGCTATCAATCCAATTGCTCGCTATGCGCCTGTCTCCCCCAGCCAACCCATGCATGCAGGTTACTTTTATAGACTTCGCGGCTCCTTTCCTACCCGAGACCAAAGCTCGAGGCAAGAACCTGGCGTCTAAAGAAAGAGCAAACCTACATGTTCTGTAGCAAGACTAGAAGCTAGCCAAGCACCTGGAAGACAGGAACAGCGTATGGTCAGCGCGCATCGCATGCGTGCATCGCATTAGCTCCGCGGTGCCGCACTGAGCAAGAACGTGTCAGCTAGGTGCTTCGAGGGATGTGCATCTTTCGGCAGATCATGTCACCCTTCCAGCCTTATCACATGGTGCTGATGGTGTGAAGTGTATGGATTACTGGAACAACCCGCTTGATCTTAACATGTCACTGTCTGGCCAGTGCGGTTGGGAAGTCCTGTTAGTTTGCGATTTAAGCCATTGATTGCCGACCCTTCCTTCTTTACACAGATAGCTGAAGGAATCAAGAGGCACGAGCAAGCCGCAGGGCTCCTAGCATTTTGCGTCGTCATTTTCTCCTCTTTCTCCTTCCCCTCCTGCTTCGTTAACGCCAATACAAACGCACTCAATGACTAAGTTAACTTCACCATCTCTCTTCCACTTCACATCATGGCGCACCCATCTCGACCTCGACCAGCAATAGGCTTGCCGCATATTGAGATAACGCACAATCAGCCAGCCTACTTCGTCCCAAATCCACAACCGAAGAAGCACGGCCGCGATGCACAGATGGGGTGTAACTAGTTTAGAGAATCGATCGAAATATCATCTGAGGTCTCCTGATAACGCGTTATCTTCCTCCGCCTAGTTGTTCTTTTGCTCGCTTCGTCTCGCGTCTGGGGCGGCAACTTGCAGGCCGGGGCGATAGGACGACGGGAGCAAGTCTTCCACGCGAGTGATCGGAGGCTCGTCCCAGACGCAAGCTAGACTCAGGGGCAAGTTGGGCTTCAAGCAGGTACCTCTCGTTGGCGATGTCTCGGTCTTGACCGTAGAGTGTTTGTTTTTTTGTGGTTTGGAAAATACATACGTATCCGCCCATCTAGTAGCACAGGTACAGACAGGATTCGTCTCGTATCTGAGATAGACAGAAGCCACTCAAACACACACTGCATATCTCCTCTTTCTGCCGAGATCAAACATTGCTTTTACCTTCCCGTCCCCCTCTATCCCACAGCCCACCTACTCACACCATCGAAATCCTAACCTTCCTCTTCCCCGTACTCTCCTCCTTCTCATCCGTAATCTTCACCCTAACCTTCTCAAACAACTCAATCTCTCTCCCCACACTCCCCTTAACCCTCAACACATACTCCTCGGCATCAAACTCGGCCTCCGGTTCCGGACTCGCTAAATCCCTTAATCGAATTAAACTCTCGATCCCGAATCTTGGGACAAAAACTACGAAGCCATTGCTGAAGATCCTCATCACGAAGCCTTCCTCAATGATGTTCTTACCCTTTAGAGCTTGCCCGACGTAGTACTCTATACTTGCCCGACCAGCCATTTGCGCGTTACGGTGGCGCACGTTGATGTTCTTGCAGACGCCTTCGAGCTTTGCTTTGGAGTGCAAGGAAGGGTCGAGGGTTTCGTAGTCGATGGCGGCGGCGAGTTGGCGATGGGCTTCGAGATCAGCGTACCGGCGGATGGGTGACGTGAAATGCGTGTAAATTTCAGACGCGAGGCCGTAGTGACGGAATTCAGGATATGCTTGGGTTCCACTGCAGAAATATTCTGCGGACATCATGCAGCGGGTTGCCATTATCCGGACTAGGGTGTTGAAGAAGGGTTCGTTGGGGTCGGTGCAGAGGTCAAGGGAGTCTGCGAGGGATTTGGAGGACTCGGTGCGTAGTTCGAGACCTTTCTTCACTTTGAGCTGGCTGCTGAGTTCCTCAAAGTTTGTTTTTGGCGGTGCGGCATGGCGGCGAAGGAGTGCGGTTTGTGGGAAGGCTTGATAGTTCTTACGGGCAACACTGATGTTGGCTAGCAGCATGAACTCCTCTACTAGTGAGTTCGTGTCGAGAAGCTTCTTGGTTTGTACATCAACAGGATCTGAGGTCTCGGATTCTGTTTGCACTTTCACTTCTGGGGAGGCGAGGTTGAGCGCGCCAGCATCCATACGCTTTTGCCGTAGTTTTTTGGATAGCATCATGAGGACTCTCATGCCGTTTGTGAGGTCATCTTGTCGGGAATTGTCGTCAATACGGATCTGGGCTTGCTCGTAGCTGAAGGCTTCGCGGGACCGGATGACAGATTTGGTGAAGTTGGCCGAGACTAGGTCAGCGTCCGGTGTGATCTCCCATAGGACTGAAAAGGCATAGCGTTCTATGTAAGGCTTGAGGGAGCAGAGATCGGTACCAAGAAGCATTGGTAGCATGTCTATGCGCTTATCGACGAGATAGACAGTTGTCCCTCGTTGGCTTGCTTCTTTGTCCATCGCGTTGTTCGGCTTGACGAAATGTGAGACATCTGCAATATGTACACCGACTTCGAAGTTTCCATTTGTGAGTTGTCGGGCGTGTAGCGCATCGTCTATATCAACACAGCCGGGGGGATCGATACTGCAGACCAAAAGGTCTCGAAGATCCTTCCGCCCTCTCCAGCCCGGGTCGTCGAGACTAGCCGGTACTTTCCAGTCGTGACCTTCAGCTGGCAGACAATCTAGGACAGTCTTGGGGAAGGGTCGGTATTGAACGTCCCATTCTAAGAGAAGAGCTTCGGTTTCAGCTTCTTTTGATTCGAGCTCGCCTAGAGATCGGACAAAGTGTCCAAATGGGTACCGTGAGTCTCGTTCCCATGAATCTATTGTTGCCAGAACCCGCTGTCCGAGAAGTTCTCCAGCCTGCCGGGTCCGTAACCTGATTTTCGGTATGCGTTTGTCCATCGGAACTAAGAAGACCACCTGTTGTTGTCTGCTCGTTTTGGATGTCGACCGTACAGAGTCTCGATCGATGTGACCCACGTACTGTCTCCAATTTCGCTTGATGATTCCTACGACTCGGGCGGTAGGCTGCGGCCTGCCTTCGGTGCTTTGGCCGTGAACGCGCTTGACCTCCTCTTGGAGTGCTCGTCGTTCCCTCTCGGAGCTGACGTTCTCGCCATCTTCAGCTTCGGGATTATCGTTCTTGTTCAGGGATTCTTCTTCGATAATCTTGGTTGGAGGTGCCTTCCATTGATCTTTAGGGAGAATTTCTACAACCACAACATCCCCAGATACAGCTCGGTTGCCATTTTCTCGACCAAGAATGAGGAGAGATCTGTCAAAGGCTGGTACATGTACAGAACCTTCTAGATAATTATAGGGTGAGACATTGAAGATGCCTTGGTGCATGGCGCCGGCTTTTAATCCCGTCATCATCCTCGACATGGTGAAGTATTCAGGATAGAACACCTCTGGCTTTCCGGTCCTGACTTCCCTGCGCTCTTGAGCAGCACTAATCATGTCAAGCAGGTCGTTTCCATTCTCCAGTCCGGACACGAAGTCAGATACTAGAATTAATTAGCCATGAACATCTGGGATCAAAGAAGACGATACTCACACGTAAGGGCTGGAATACCATCTGCCTTGGCTTTTCGCAGGTTATCTCGATCGTCGCTAATCATGACGACGGACGGAATCCTCTGGGACTTCTTACTCCGAGCAGCTTGGGCTTCAGCGATGTGTTGATTGTACCACTGAACGGCTTTTCTCACTGCTCTATCATTCCGGTCGTTGATAGTCTCCCCCGCGTTTCGCTGAACATGGGTTTCTTGGCGAAACTCATTGAAGAACACATAGAATCGCTTTCCCTCGTTCTTGGTCAAAGCGATAAGGCGGTGATATAAAGGCAATGAGCGGTTCTTTACTTCCTCCAGGACGGTCTGCAGAACGATGACATCGTGAAAAGCGGTTTCGACTTCAAACAAATCCATTCCAGTAAGAAAAGCATTAGTGTCGGGAACAAGATACTGTCCATTTAGAAAGTGTTTTGATCCAGCCGGAGTATCCGAGAGCACGAAAGGCACAGCTGCTTGCATTAGTGTTGCTCTGTCACGTGAAGCAGAGAATCCAACCTTTCTTCGAATAGTCGATTGGCGCAATCTGGAGACACGCTCTGCAAAGGTTCGACGAGCAGGGAATGTCTTGTCGGAGATACATCTCTCTGACGATTTTTTGGACCTTGCCACTCTTGGTTGATCGAACGTAGACCTTGCTGGAAAGATTGGCATTGCCGCCGTCAATGGCAGTCGATCGCTTGAGACTGAAGTACTCCATGTCTGTGTTGAGGAGTCCAACTGACAAGATTCGGCGGTTGTGATATTATTAGAGTTTGTCTGAAATTCTCCAGGTGAACGCCAAGATATCAAATGCCAATGTCACGCTAGGCCGAGAAGAGCTAGCAGCGAACGAGCCAGCCTTCCCTCCTCTCCTTTGAACGGGTGGAGCGGTAACAATCTAAATGGTATAGCAGACCGAGGTAATACAGAATATGAGCTCCACAGACTCTCAGTATTCATACAGAGGTCAAAGTATTACCATCATCAACCTTGGAAAGTGGTTTAGTGGAAGTGTGGGGATCAGTTGGTGGTCCAAGCTCCCCATGACGGTGGACAGCTTGGTGGGCCTGATAGCACGAAGAAGCAACACACCTCTGAGCTCCTGCCCGGACTGACACTCCTCCCACCACTCTTCTTCACGCTCGCCGCTCTCGCTCCCAAGTATAATCTGCGAGGGCTCCATCGCCATGTCATTAGATCCGCCAACCTACATTCTCTCCCTGCAAAACAACATCCGCGCCCGCCCTATATCGTGGGAAGGCGCAGTGCGGGCCAAGACCATCACAGATGCTGACCTGAAGAAGATCAAGTCAATTGACAAGGTGCGCAAGGAGCAGCGGAAACAGACCATAGAGGCCGATGTGGGTAGCTTTGTGGCGCTGTTGCTGGGTGGACATGGGAGTCCGAGCATCTTCGAGGCAGCAGCTAAACGCCAGGACATCACACAGTACATGCTGGTGTTGACGGGTGACTTGATCGAAGGTATGTTTGAAAAGTAACAAGGCGTTGAATATGGTGCCAAGCCACTGGCTAACTGGAGCTCCCAGATTCCCCAAGCCTTAGCTCAGCTCTCGTCCAACACCCGGCACCCTTCAAGCCCTTCCTACCTCTCCTCAAAGCTGCACCTAATGTCGAAGACCCTATCCCGCTTCTGACATCCTCCGTGCTTGCAAGTCTCCTATCCCATGCCCTCAGCCAACCCTCGAAGAGCACCTCCCAGACCGACGAAGCCCTCCCCCAGATCTACACCTATCTTTCGGCCCTGTCGAAGAGCTCGGATGCCGGCCTGCAAGACATTGCGGTACAGGAATACTCTGCGGTTCTCTGTAGCAAGAAGTCGAGACAGATTTTCTGGGAGCAAAGACAGGAGACGCTAGATCCTCTTATCGACATCCTCCGAGCGGCATCTGGGGCCGCTAGAGACCAAGACTCGACCCTATGGAGCGGAGGAAGCAATGTGCGCAGTGTGCCCGAAGGAGGGCTTGCAGGGGGCGTTGGACTCCAGCTGCTGTACCATGTCCTTCTTGTCATCTGGCAGCTCAGCTTTGAGGGCGAGCTGCTCGGCGATGGACTCCATGAGTAAGACAGTCCAAATACCTCATCCTCGCCCTACCGCTAACTTCCTCTAGTGAACACGACATAATAATCCTCTACACACATCTCCTGCGTCTTTCGCCCAAGGAAAAGACCACCCGGCTCCTCCTTTCCACCCTGCTGAACCTCCTAACCACCAACCGATCCACGCTCCTTCCCGCAGCCGTTCTTGCGCGCCTCCCCTCCCTTCTCACCACCATGAAAACGCGTCATCTCACTGACCCCGACGCCCTCGAGGACCTGCAGGCCCTCACCGAGCTCCTAGACGACTATACCAAAACACAAACTACCTTCGATGAATACGCCGCTGAAATCAACTCCGGACATCTGCGCTGGTCTCCTCCTCACCGCAATCCCACCTTCTGGAGAGAAAATGCCCGCAGGATCCTGGAAGAAAACAAGGGAGAACTACCACGCAAGCTTGCAGATATACTGTCCAAGGGCTGGGACAACGATAAACAGGTCTTGGCGATCGGGTGTAATGATGTAGCCTGCCTTGTTAAGGAAGTACCAGAGAAACGAAGCCAGCTGGAGAGGCTGGGACTTAAAGGAAGAGTCATGGAGCTTATGCAGGAGGCGGATGAGAGTGTGAGGTGGGAGAGTCTGAGGGCTGTGGGCGAATGGCTGAGATATAGTTTTGAGGGGAAGAGTGAACTACCCTTACGATAAGTTAAGGAAGAGCTATTGAGAGCCCGACAGCCGGAGTGAGTGTGAAATGGGAAGGAGAGAGATCATGTGTATTTTGTTTGAACTATTAGTATATGCCAACCAGCACGGCGTCCCAGCTTTGCAAATATATCTTGTTTGGAAGACCGTCTTCAAATAGAGTAGTAGGAGTACCATTAGACTGGAGTATCGGTCATCCGCTGGGGTGATCTGATGGAACTTTCCAAGCAAGCTTGGATGCTTATCTGGATACCTCCTGAACTGTTAATCCCGCCTGACACCTTCTTGAGTAGAAGTTGACGCTCTTCAAGGGGTTCTAATTCAAATTAAAAAGAAATCCCGGGCTAACTGCGGGCTTGTTTTAAGATAGTACAGAGTCCTAGGTGGGCATGTCCTCCCGGTCCAGATTAAGGGTGGTTGTGCAATCACGTGACAGAGCTAGCCATATTTCGTATTGCCTAAACTCCGTCCTCTTAATTCCACCCATAGAACCACCATCGGGGCGTTTTCTTCCGAGGCCAAAAACATCTACCAACGACCTACCGCAATGCAATACGACAGCGGGTTAGCTCTCCGACAATCACATGAGCTCACCCCGTTCTCAGTGCCTGACTACCGGATCGGCCATTTCTGAATTTCCTGAAAGGCTCAAATAGGTAAGAGTGAAGGCCATATCTATGTTTCACGGTGCCATATTCCTCCTCAACTCTGAGGGATTATATCCGGTAGGACCGAGGAGTCTTGGTTATGTGTTTCTCTGAGTTTCATAAGACTTGCATAAAGAGGTGTTAGTTCCCTAAAGATGACTACGTTGTAAGGCAATATCACATTCCAAATCATTCTGCGACTTCCTTTCCCATCTTCAAGTATAGCAAGCTGCTTTCTTTGCCTTTCCTATCAATTCTCAATCCCTCCTAATCTCAATCTACTCCCCATATAATACATCTCCTCAACCACCTACCCACCATGTCTGGCCAAAAAAAAATCTTCATAACCGGAGCCTCTGGCTACATTGGCTCCGTAATAACCCAACAAGCCATCACCTCTGGTTATACCGTCCACGCGCTCTCCCGCAGCTCTCCCTCGGACTCCAAACTCTCCTCCCTCGGCGCTACCCCTATCCGTGGAGACCTCTCAACCCACGACATTCTAACCCGCGAAGCCGCCGCCGCAGACATAGTCATCAGTCTCGCGGACGCGCTCGCCGGAAACTTCGGCACCATGACGATGGAAGAACGCGTCCGCATCAACAATGGCGCTCTCACCGCTCTCGCCGAAGGCTTGAAAGGAACCGGAAAACCCCTCGTAGTAACATCGGGGTCTCTAGCCGTAGCCGCGGATCCCGAGGGTAAGGAGACTAACGAGTCTTCACCGCCGTGGTCAGACTCGCCGTTTAGTACTGGTAGCGAGGACCATGCATTTGGGTTAGGGAAAGAGCTTGGAATCCGGATCTGTGCAATTCGTCTCGCGCCCTATGTCTACGGCCGGGGTGGAAGCGGAGTTAAATTGTTTATGGGTATGGCCGCAGCAGCCGGATCGGTCTTCTATGTTGACAGCGGCTCTGTGCGCATTACAACTGTGCATGTTGACGACGCGGCTCGACTCTACCTCCTTGTTGCTGAAAAAGGCCGAGCAGGAGAAGTATACAACGCCACGTCGGAGACGCATGTCACACAGCGTCAGCTCACTGAGGCCATGGGCAAAGTGCTGGCTCTTCCAGTGCGGGAGCAGTCGTATGCTGACACGGAGGCGAAGATGGGGCTGTTTTTTGCAAAGTTTTTGAGCCTGGAGAATAGGGCTGGGAATAGGAAGGCGATGGAGGAATTTGGATGGGTGCCACAGGCTAAAAAGGGGATTCTAGAGGAGATTGCGAGTGGTTCTTATGTGGAAGTTGCTGAGGGATTACGGAAGCCGAAAGCTTGATGCTTCCTTGAATAGTAGGCACGTGTAAGGAGAAGGAAGGAAGATACTCTCAATTTTTGAAGGAAAATACTGTCGTTCTTGAGATTCTTCTAGCTACTGCATATTGTCACCTGACGTAGGACTTGAAAGGGGCATTTTAGGAAAGTTTACGTTTCAACTTACAATACTAAAATGTGAAGCTGAACAGCGCGTCGTTGTGAAGAGTTTTTGGTCAGTTCCACACACTCGGGGGTATATCCATTTGCAGTTGCGTCGCATTTGGAATCACCACAGCAGCCAGATATGACAGATACAAGAGTCCTGTGCTAAATTCCAAGTATGTGGCAATAGACCTGATGCAATTGAATGCAACACGTATACTACTATTACTCAGATTCGCTGTCCACGTCTCGTCGCTTCGACTTCGCCTTCTTTTTACTCTTTCCCTTTTTTTCCTTCGCCGAATCGTCTGAAGAGTCATGGCCTGAAGAAACAGGCTTCTTGCCCTTAACTTTCTTCTTCTTCTTTGGCTCTTCATCACTACTGCTATTCGTGCTGTCACTAAAACTACCGTTGTCGCTGTCGGAGCCCGAGACTGAGTCTTTTTTCGACTCTCCTCCTTTTCCAGGCCGGAAGTCATATCGCTGCCCACTATTAGCAGCGATCTCACCCTCGTCTCGGCCGCCCATAAGATCCGTCATGTACTGATCGAAGCCCTTAGATACTTCAGCAACCTGCGCAAACTGCTTCTTCCCAAGTACAAGGTCAGGTAGGACGCCGTTGGCCTGGGCTTTTGGGGCATTGACGCGGGCTTCCCATTCGGCGAGCGCGACAGCCGTTTGGAATGCGTTGTGGATTTGTCTGTCAAAAATTTAGCAGCGTGGCAATGAGTACGGACCGTCAGCCTTACCTTCCATTCCACTGCCTATGCTTTTTAGCCGAGGATTTGAAATGCTTATCTGACCATGCCATAATTTCCTCATTTCGAATCTTGAAGTCCCTTCCGTGTGTATCTTTCCTTATCTCTAATGCCTCCTTTATTCGTCGCAAATGCAACTTATATATCTTCTTTGTTCGCAACCGATCTAACGGTTCGTACTCTAAGCTTACATGGATACGTGACTTGAATGCTGGATCGATATCACCAACACGGTTCGTTGTTAAGAACAGGATGCCTCTATAATACTCCAGTTGTCGAAGGAACACAGAGACCATTGCGTTGATCTCTAGTTCGTTCAATCGACGCCGCTGCAGGAAGACATCGGCTTCGTCTAACAAGAGGATGCAGCCCCACCGTGCAGCCAACGTGAAATGAACCTGAAGCTGGGTCTCCAAGTCATCCGCACGCACCGGTAAGTTTCCGGATGTAAGAGGATATAGAGGCTTAGTCATATGTGCAGCAATGCACTCAGCTGTCGATGTCTTGCCGACTCCTGGAGGCCCATGTAATAGCAGAACAATAGAATGGCCTTTACCCGCAACGAAGTCATTGAGTTGGTATGGCATGTCAATTTCACTGGTCTCCGTCGGCTTGTGAATATGTTTAGCGACTAACGCCTCAATGATGCCTTTTGTCCGCTTCCCGAGCACAAGGTCATTCCACGGATCAGAGGTGCCTTGAAATTCCATCAGGCGCTTTGGATTCGTACTGAGAATCGCCCAGGATTTGCGATTCAAAACATATCCAGGTACACGGTCTGGAAGGAGAGCAACCTCGGAGTCGTCAATAGATTCTTTGGGGTGGATCATGTGCTTGTTGTTCCAAAGGAATGCGTCGAACTGCATTGCATCGAGCACAAAATCTGGCCCAATAGAATCTCTGATGCACCATCCCTTGGTTATACAAAACCGGTGCTCTGGATACTCAACCCATAGTTCGCGCATATCATATTGAATGTAATCGTGCTCGGCATTGAAATTATTAACCGTCCACACGCTTAGCGACTCTTTGAAGTCGATAATTACCTCAGAATCGATCTGATCGAGGTTAGGTATTGTCTCCAGGAACCTTTTCTATCAAATGGTGAACTAGGAACAATAGCCTTACCTCTTCTCCCCTAGCATCTTCATCTAGATTCTTTCCATGGTATCTGCGATGTGAAAACGGCATAGAAGCGAACTTTCTAAAGATGTTCCCTCGTTCAATCAGTTTAGCTTTCAGACCCGACCTATCGAATTTAGATGGATATATGGGCAGAGACGTGATATCTACTTCTCCTTCATAAGGTCGTATTCCAGCGATTTCTTCCTGTGGCCAATATAGGCGCCCGTCAAAAGTGAGAGTCCAGCATTGAACGACGAACGCATGGCCCCACGATCCTGGGCCAAGGACTTCGCTGGCGAATCTTTTCTTCTGGTCTACGTTAAGTGGTGTATCTGCGTTATTGTTTCGACCTCCAGTGAACACTAGCACCCTAGCAGCCATTATCCTCGTAGGATTATAATTGTCCCGAAGGATTACCTCTTGCCCATAGTCGAAAAGATGCCAGAGATCATCAAAAGCTATTTTTTCGAGCGTTCCATCGTGGATTCGGCGCCGCAGGTTGCACAGATCTTTCAAATCCTCGTCCATAAATCTTATGAGTAAGCGAAAATCATCCAACGCGACTTGGGACTTTTGTATCCCAAATGGATTTGCCCATAGTGGTTCAGGGCCTCTATTGCCGAGTTCCGGCTGTGGCCACATATGCATTGTGATGGCCCAGTCAGGCTGAATTACAGTCTCCCATGTTTGCGGAAGGATGATCGAGCCATCCGGACCGACAAGATCTAAAGTAGGCAGTATAGTTAGTACGATCTTAGAGCGTGTTATCTGTAATAGCAGAGCCTGATTCGTATCTTCACCTGCAAGCTCTTTCCTCAATATACTGCCCCAGTGGTATGTCAAGGTAATATCTACAAAATCAAAGTACAAGAATGGAGTAATGGTATTTGCACTGAAAGCTTACATACCATAGTATCCATTGAAAACATGCGGTCTAAGAGCGCTGATATGGATGAATGCTTGCCTGATAAGGTCCGACATGCCACCCCATGACTTGCACAAATGGAAAGGAAAGCTGAATTTACGCCCTACTGCATCCTTGAACCTAATCGGAAGTTTTGGAGCATTATAGGGCGGCACGTCCTTTTTATCTTCTTCTTTATCTTTTTGGATATCTTGTTTGGGTGACGATATATCATCTGAGCTTGAATTTTCTATCCGTTCCTCTTCTTCCGGCGCCAAAGCTTTATCTATTACTTTGTCATCGTCCGCGGATGAGAATGATTGAGCCCCTGCCGCGATTTCGGTTAGCCCTCCTGGTTTGGCTTCCGTGCTCTCTACATCCCTCACGGCCTCAGCAGCTTCCTCTCGCTTCTGTCGTCTAGATTCTCTCCCACCCTCTTGAACACGAAGATCTTCAAGATTTCCCTCCTTTTTTGGCGGAGAGGAAGGCGGAGACAGAGACGTAAGTGAAGAGAGAAGTGGAGGCGGAAGTGGAGGCGTAAGTGGGAGTGGAAGTGGGGGCGGAGGAGGAGGAGGAGGCGGAGGAGGAGGTAGAGGAAGTTTGGAGCAGATATCTTCAAGTTCCTTAAATCGTTCACGGATTTCTGCTTCATGGAGAAATAGCAGTTTAAATGGCCGAATCAGCACCACCCGGCCCGCTTTAATTGAAGAGTCCCAGTTGAATTTAAGAGCCATATCCTTGAAGTTGGCAATTAACTCTGGAGACTTTATCACCAGCTGAAGAGCTCTCACTTTGCTCCACGATGGACCGATGGATCCAATGTTCCTGACGGGCTTGGGAGTTTTGCCAGAATAGGATTCATTGCCGGTTGGCGAACCAAGAAGAGGATTTACTTGTTCATCGTCGAGGAGTACCTCAAATGCGCTTTCCGATATATTTGCATCTTTTTGGGTTCTCCATTGTGCAAGGTGCATATATGCAATGGATTGTAACTTTAATGCTGGCTCTTCAGACTGGACGGATGACATGTTGTTCTTCACACTAACCGCTTCGCTATCAGTATCATTGCCTGCTTCGTTGCCTTCATTGCTGGCGCAATCGCTGCAAGCAAACTCAGATTTGGTATCGCCACTAACAGTCTTCACACCAACGCCATCAGCGTCGCCAGGTACCTTAGGCTCCTTAGTCTCCCCTGTCTCGAGCCCTTCTTTTCCAGGTTCCACAAGGCTGGCCTTCGCTTCCATGCTTCGTTCATCGCTGTCAACATCGAGCATATCTGTTTTCCGAGTCGCTTCGAACAGCTATACAATGGAATGGAATTGAATTTCAAGGTTGGTTTGAGGCGGGAAAAACTAATGTTTTGGTGGCTTTGGGTAGTGTCGTGTAGCTGTTCTCGAGGAAGTGGGAGAAGGGTCAAGGATTATATTTTTGGCCCCCATCTATACATGCCCTTAGTTCTTGGCAACATTTCAACAACTTTCTGCCTTGCTATGCGAAAACAAATATCGACAATTTGCATGCGTCAGTTCGTTCACATCTCAGGGAAATAATACTCCTCCATGGACCGCCCAGCTGCCGCAGCCATCCTAAGCTTGCACGCCATCAGCTCCTTTCCTGGTGGAATTTCGACTAATAGAGAAATCAGCTAGCACGTGCTTGTAGGAATATCAACGGCAGAGTTCATAAAGATTCACGCAGCTCAGCCTTCCGTACTAAACTCGGCGATTTTTACGGATAGCGAGGGCTTTGTCACAGAAGAAAAGGCCCAGATACTGGATAGTCGGCAATATGAACCTTCTACCCAGTCGTATGTCTTGCGCGACAGCTGAGAGAATCGCCTCATAAAGAGCCCAGATTTGGTATGAAGCGTTTCAAGAAGCACAGGAACTGGCAGGCATGCTAGAAGATAGTCAGACCAAGCTCAAAGCTCACGATAGTAAATTTAGGCAGATTAACGCGAAAAAGTTCACCCTTACCGAGCTTATGAGCTCACTCGAGGCGAATCGAAACAGGTACGAATACGAAGACCTGAAAGGTCCAAAAGGATTTCTGCGCAAGGGGTTTAGGAAGCTAGGGGAGAATGCGCAGAGTTTTGGACAGTGGCTGCAACTAGTACCGAACTCGCAGTATTCGACGCCAATTGTGGGGTCATTCATGATCTTTCTCAGTGTCAGTTCATGCCTTGATTTCAACAGTGCTTACGCCATCAAGCTAACGTACGACGCCTTAGATGGCGGATCGCATGCACAAGGTCCGCGAAGACATCTTCGAAACGATGACGGCCGTTCCTGCAGACTTTAATGACCTGCGAGACTATCTCTCCGTGTATAGAAACGTATCCGATGAAGATCTGTCTATCAAGGCAGCTAGTGTGTGCACCAATATCTTTCGGACACTTCAGCATGCCATGAGATTTATGGGTGAAAATCCATTCAGTAAGTAGCCCGTAGACGGGGATGGCAGTCTACTATATTCTAACAACATTACAGAGAAAGCATTTAAAGCTTTGAGGTTAGAAAAGTATGAAGAAGTGGTTAGCACCTGCATCATCAATCTACAAGAGTCCAAACAACAATTCCGTGGTGCAGTTGACAAACACTTGCACTCGAGAGTAGGATCGCTCTTTAAGTTAGCTAAGTCATCGAGCATGCTGCAAAGGATGATGATATGTGGTGAGTTTCTAGAGGACGGAGATATCTGCAAGTTATGTGGACTGTAATTGCTTACTTTCACCAGAGGTATTGTCCTACAAAAACACGACCATCGACGCTATCGAAAGCAGCCATAGAGACATCAAAGCAGAGCTAGAAAGCCTTCGGAACGCTGTCTCTAACGCCATGTATAACAAGCTCCTCTCAGACCAAGATGAACGAGAGTATCTTGCCGAAATGGCAGCGAGAAAGGTGCTGGAGCTGCAAAACCAGGAGATGACGTCCCACAAAAACGGTAGGCAGAATTTCAAGTATCCAGAATAGCTCATAATGTATTCACGGATGCAGGTATCAACATTTCCGAACAGGGCTTCCAACGAGGCGTAGTACTGTACGATTGGGCGATTTTGAGGCCTGTACGGGTGAGATTTTGTGTACGTTCGTACGACAGGGAGGAGGAGAGGTAGGTGTACGTATCGTAACTGTTACGGCTCACGTGATCTGTACGAGTAGTACAATTCAATTAAAGTACGCTGTACTCTAGTCAAAACAGCTAAGACTATAGGTCTCTAGAGACGCAAGATTAAGGTCTAATTAATTAGTTCTCCCTAGTAACAAGAGCAGATAGGACTAGATAAGGCCTGTAAGGCTGCAAAAGGCGTGGATAGATAACTCTGCAATAGAAAATGGTCTGTAATAGGCATTTTTAAGACAACAGACAGATAGATAGATTAAAACCCTTAGAAAGAGATTTAAGCGTCCACAGGCCTCCTGCTCGCCAGAGCCCTCATACCCCTCCAGAACCCCTATACAAACTTCCCAAAAAGGTAATACGATCCGTACTACGTACCGTACCTAGGGCATCATTAAACGTACGGTACGGCTCACGAACTCGGTACGTTCGTACTGAACACGTGACCGTTACGGTTCACTTTGTACGGACCGTAGTACGGCCCGTTGGAAGCCCTGTTTCCGAAATCGAGATTCCTGGTTTCGACGAGAACCGCGCACAGTTAGATATCCTTAGCTGCCTCAGCCAAGGCGCTGCCCTCTCTGACCTGGACATTAGCCACTTAGCATGGATCAAGCACAACCTAGTTATGCGTAATTGGGTTTTCGAACGAAAATCTGTGGCCGTTCACATCGATGGAAATATCGACATCGGCCCTGCTACTTACACCTCAGTAACATCCTTCCTCTGTGCGGAAACCGCTCATCTCTTTGATGCTATTCAAAAAACGTTTGTGCTTTCATACTTCTGTGGCTTATTTGCAGCTCCCACATCGAAAGACCGCGCAGACGCTAGGGGCATGATGGCGAACTTATTAGGTCAGATACTGCAACATAAGGATGATGAGGTGCTCCAGGAAGTAACGATTGATAATTCCCTTCATGTCGGTATCAAGAGTCTCGATTTTGACACGCTTTGTTTGGCATTCAAGGCATTAATGTTACAGCTTCCCAAATCGTGGACCGTCATTTGTTTAATCGATTCGATCGACTTTTACGAGACACGGAAACGCAGAGACAAGACCTTGGAAACAATTCGGTGGTTGCTGAGATTGGCCAAGAGCTTAAAGAAGCACGATGGGGCAACGTTCAAGTTGCTCGTCACAGCATCTAAAATGTCGATAGCCGTTCGGAAAGAGTTCCACTCTGAGAATCGGATTATATGCCCCGAAGTCCCGGTCGACAACTCTGTTCTTCCGCCAGGAGTCATAACAAATGACGTTTTCAGATAGGGGTATGCTGCTTTATCTACTTGGGGTGCCACGGCATAGCGGCTGAGATTCATCCCACTCAGTGGATGTTCTCCCATATAACCGAGTCAAAATTTAGGAATCCTCCAGTCAGAAACAGATTTAATATTCAAACGTGGGGTAGAAAGGTTTCTTCCACCGTCACCAACTAGGTATGTTACTGAAAGAATCCCGCAGACTCAAGTGGGCTAGCCTTGAGGAGAAGCGCAGTTAGCGGTAGTGAAAAGCAAAGGAGACACCGACTTCGCACAATTTAAGTAAGGTCAAAGAGTCAGTCACCCTTTTCTACGGTGTATGGGCTCTCTCTTGCATAATCCCTGATCAGGATTTTGGACGGCTCTATTTATCTGTTTCAAGTACTTTCCTCATTCGCCTTCGCCTTTTCGGCCTTTCGTGTCACCAGTTAACCTTTATATACCTTATTTCAACGCCCAAAGGGGGGGCCGTTGTCTTTACCCTTGAATATAGTCGTGGCAAGCGACACTGTTGTTATTGACCCTTCGGGCAAGGTGCCCTAACGGGGGCCTTTTCTATTCACTGAAATTAAAAGCAGCCTCCCCTAAGTAGAAGTAGCTCACCGGAAATTTCTATTGACCTGGTACTCACTTCTTATTTCGTGGGGAATATCTGCAGGATATCCAGGGGAAGCTACTTCCACAACCGATCCGTAGGTTCCTAGGAGCTACTAGAATTGGTATAGTTCGTCTAGGAACTTGTGAGCTAGTGAGAATCTATCTTCGTGTTTGATAGTTTATACTTAAGCCAGGTAGCGTTTCATAAAAAAATTATGCAACGGAGAGAGTGCTTTACTTGTAAGACATCTTCCAAGGGAGAGACTTGTTCCTCAATTTCCAGATGGTAGGTGGTGAATGGGGAGTCTGACAATGATTTTATTCCTCGAGATAACGATCGGTGTACAAGTTGGCACACACGGGCACGAGTACCGCACGCCTACTCTCCTCTACTCAAGGCGGTCAATCACTTTTAATACTAAAATATTCATTACATACTGCTGCGTTTATCTCGGAAAGTTTGTGATGGCTGAACTTGAACGCAAATGCCTATGTCGAGCCTGATTTACACATATCGAACCTGATTTACACGGTAATAGATATATGTTACTTATCTTGGGCTAAACATATTTACGACATAGGAAAGCGGGTACCGCTTGTCTTATATTGTCCTGAATAGCTTTCAACCCTCAGTTTTATCTACAATCACTTCCGAAACAAATCATTCAGCTCTATTGCAGTTCACCCCTACCATTTTATAACGGATACCCCGTTTCAGAAGGAGTTGGGGTAGATGGAGTTGCAAATGAGTTAAGAATTCAATTCAGCTACTGGAAATACGACTAATAGGGTTGTTCAGCCTTATACTCGAGATTTCAGACATTCTTTGCTGTTCCAGCGTCAACAAAACATGGCATCACATCATCTGCTGGAAAAACCTGATCCTACGCTTCTCCTTTCTAGGCCTTCTGAAGAAAACAGATTCGCTGGGACGATGTAAGGAGGTTTTAATGGGATATGGGCCGCATATAGGAGTAGTTTGGTTAAATGGCGATGTTTGAATTTCCTGCGCCTTAGCGTAAGATAGTTACAGCCAATACTATGCCGCGGCATCCCGTGACGTTATACCCGTTTTCCAAAGTGCACTCCCCTTTTATTAACGCACATAAATGGGTGAATAGAGGACTAACGCTAGGTATGGACGAAAGCGTACTACAACGTATTCAAAAGTGGCAACTAAAGCACAGCTCATGGCTCGGGGTGAGTCATGAGATCTCCTGTCAAGGAGTTTGCCGTTAAAGTAGGATATAATAGTCCAATAAACCAGGAAGTGGACTGCGATGGCCTTGAACAGAAGCGTTTGGCAAACAAATATGGTGTGGTCTGAAGGACCTCGTGTGGGCAATCCCTGAGATTGGCTTGCCCGCAGATCTTAGGTCATGCTGATTGGAACGGCAAATATATGTTCCTATAGGGTAAGTTAGGTACGTAACTAGTGTTTCTGTTGCCCTAGGAGGACGCGCAGGTGGAAGAGAGCTAGAGGGGGTGGTTTTACTGCTGCTTCGTTTATTGCGTCATGCTTTTTGAGAAGAGGGAATAGTATGCTACAGCCATTCGCGCATTGTTTGGTGAAGACTTCAATTTGTCGTATAATGCGACTGGATTTCCTCTAGCTAAGTATACTTCCAGAATACAATCCGTTGTCAGCGAGTATCCAAAGATTAGAAGGTGATAATCGAGGGACCGTTCGGCCTCAGAAGAAGCACCCTTCTCAACTTCAAAACTGCATTTACGGTTTCCATCTCACCGGCGACTACAATATTAATCGACATATACATCTCAGACTACATCGGCTTCCGCAGAAACCGTCAAATCAGCACTTTTTGCCGCTTTCATCGTTTCAACCATATACATTCTCGTGGAAGAAACGACAGGTCCGCTTCGGCCGTGGAAGTAAAGCTTCCGAACCCTCCCACTGCTTGAGGGGTTAAATCTGAATGAGATAGTAAAAATATTTGGTTGAAGTGTTTATTGCAGTAGCGGGATAATTGAATGTAACATGGACGTTCAAGAATTCTTATAATATGAGAACCCCCTATCAGGTTCTTGGGCCGTATACTTCGAAGACGAGGTAATGGTGTCAATAAGGCCCGCTCCGATCCCAACTAGACATGAGACATCAAAGATTTTGTAGTGTGAGAGGGACCGAGGGAATCCTAATGATAGGAGTCTGTAATGATTGTATGTACACGCAGTGTTGAGCGGCGCTGTTAGTGAACTACCTAGATGTTGGGCACGTTTCGCAAGCTATAATGAAACCAATGACTAGTGCCGTTGTTTTTAATAGGGCTTATACGAAAAACCATGTTTTCGAACCGAAGGATGATCATAGCTGATACCGAGCGCACAACGAGCTGAATATACCGGGGTGGCAGAAGATCTCGAAGCCGACACAAAACTAATCTCTGGAAGCTCAACATAGCATATTCGCACATAATATGAACATGGGCAGGGCAGATTTAATTGGTTGAGCCTCTCGCTACAATTAAGTAGAGCATCAACTGAATATAAAATTTTGCTCAATTCCTCCTGTCGGTCCAAGTGTGGTGATAATATGCAAATATGATGTAAAACTCACACCATAACCACCTCAACGCCCCTGCACTCTGCACCTGCTTCCAACACTTTGGGCGCTCAATTAGAAGCAACCCCACCTCTTTTATATGCAAGACATTGTGTGCTCTCTGCAGTGTACGGCACATTCCGCGCCACTTTTCGAGGCTTCCCCCTACCAGAGCCTTCGCCTCCAGATAATCCACTTTCCGAGCGACGCCATTGCTGCACCCCACGACGTTAATTCCGGAAATATACTCCGTACGTACTCGCTTCCTCCGGCTCAGCTGAGGTCGAATGTCCAAAGGGACCTGCTCATGAAACTGGGGCGGAATGGAATGGCGGTGAGTCTTGTTCTTAAAAAAGGAAGTTCAAATTTCTTGGCGCCCTAGGACGGTTCCATGATTAGATTTGAGCATCGAAGCCGTGCGCTGGTGATTGAGGATTGAGGATGGACGATTAAGCAAAGACGGCAACTCAAGACTGTATTATTAGTAGTACCAGTCTCAACAAAACTTGCTCGATGAGACAACCGAACATCCTTCCGCGACAACCGCAACACTCCCTTACTCTCGCCTGCCTCACAAAGAGTCAGCATCGCGACACTAAAACTGGGCGGTACAAGCACCGTGAGACTGCACTGCAGGTCACAAGATGTTCGGGGGATTCGGGCCAGTGTTAAGTGCATGCTGCATCGCGTCTGGAGTACCTTTGTCGGTTAAAAGTGGGCCTTCAAATGCCGACGACAAGCTGAGTCACCGATGCCAGTCTGATGTTGAGACGAGACTCCTTAGCGTCATAACCCGACGAGCCGGCGTGGGCAACCTTGAAGTTTCGAAGTCTGAGCTGGAGTTATTTGGAGTGGAGGGACCCGGCTGCAGGGAACACGTGGGTCGGACGAAATTACGACATTTGAGGACTTGCGGGGAATTTGACCTCAGTACCTGAGAAGGGTATTACTAGATTTGGAGGCTACAGTGTGGTATGTACAAGCCGATAAAGTCGGCGGATATCCATATCCCGAATACGCGGACCAGGGATTACCCAAAGGCTTTGTAGCCGGCGTTCTGAAAGGTGCATGGTGGTGACCACGCTGGTGGTAGGGCCGCGCAATGCTTGGCATAACCGGGCAATAACCCAGCTCGACCCCCGCGTTTCAACCCCAGGAGGCCTCAGCGTAGGTTTACTGGCCTGCTTCATGATGCAGCAATCAACTTGTTCTGTTCTTGAGCTAGTGTCAGTCCTTCTGGGGCCTGTCTGAACAGGACGATCTCTGACTGTTTGAAGTATCGCCTCGCATCTAGATCGATAAAACGTTAGTCATGCCTTAACGGCGAACAATGCGCGGAAGCATTCAAAACATCCGAGGAAGGCTGTAAAGCAGTGGGTCACATACCCTCGTCTATGAGCACCAAACTGAGGTAGTATCGCGTTGAGTACTTCTTGTTGACTTCTCGGAAAGTGGGGGTCAGGTCGAATCCGCCCAGGAAGAGCCGGATAGGGATCGTTTCTCCTACAAACCAATCAGCAGCATATCCGGGAGTGCAGCTTGCCCAGTGACCGGTGGAGTGGGAACAGACCTCTCGAGGGAGAGCCATCCATTATCTCGAATCGAACCAACGTCTCACTCTCGTTATATTGATTTGGCGCCGCACCGGTCGTCTCCCTTCGTATGATGGAGAGTTCCATATGCTTGATCTTTAACCGCACTAGCAGGAAGTATATCCTACCCACAATGACATCCTTAAGGTGGTATTTTGACTTAGAGTACTCGAACTCGATGTGGAGGCAGTCCTCAATGCCGACGTCCATCTTGATGGAGCTGTTCGTCTCGGGCGGTATGCGGTACGAGTACACCCAGAGGTCCTTCTCCCTCACGACATCTGCCATGCGTCGAGACACGGTGACGCGGACAAAGTAGCGCAGCTTGACATTGATGCCGTTGTACGATTCGTACTGCTTCTCGACATTCTTGAAATTGAATTCGAAGGTCTGCGGGTGCTGGAGGTCGCCGGGCGCAGCAAGTTCCTGGCCTAGGGAGAGGAATTCGTAGTGGTTGCCCCGATCGAAGAACATCTCTGGGGCAGCCAGCCATGTCAGCAATTTATATGTATATCGCCAGGCGAATCCCCCTTTTCACGCCGGAATACCCACCAATTGTGCCAATAAACTGCACCTTGATGCCCGTGTGCTCTAACCGCTTTCCATCCTTAGGCCTGATTGTGACCGCGCCCTTGACTGACTCCCCATCTAGATATAACGGGACCTTCTCTTTCCTAGTCTTGTCGAGCTTGACGTCAACGGCGGCGCGGTCATCAGTGTCCTCGAGCACGATGTCGATATCGACGGGGGTGGAGAAAAAGTACGACATGGCGAGGACTTCTGCTGCCTTCGCGCGATGATGTGATGCTGCTGGTGGTGTTGACTTTCGTCTGTGGTTGGCAGCTTGTACCCCAGAATAGGCAGGTGCAATCCTCCGCTTAGTCAACCTCGAGCCTCATCACACCTCGATCAGCCTTACCGACTTCACAAGTCCCTCTCGCCCAGCGTTCACCATTCACCACCAGGGCCCGGGCTCGGTTGCAGGCTGCATCCTCGTCCTTCATTCCTCCGCACCCGCATCCACGTCATTCGCAAGCAGTCAGCATGGTCACAGGACCTGTTACCGCCAGTAGAGTGATGCAAAAGGCGGAGTTGCGCTCACTCACAGCAGCCTGCAGGCATGCAGCGCGGTGAACGCGCACAATCAAATGCAACTTCGGCTTGTTGCGTCGCTCCAAATTGCCATGGACGGTCCGCAGACTCAGCGCTTTTCCCACATCTCTCCTGGACCCCCACGCGCCATTATTCAACAACTCCTTTCACTTCTGGATTCAAGTGCCGACCATCCCATCACGTCCAGCAGCAGCCTGGGGCTGGCGCTCAAGTCAGCTATTGGAGAGCTACTACTCCATGCGCGCAATTTATCCTGAACTGAGGGGCAGTTCAGTGTTGTGCTGGCAGCCTCGTAGGTCACGCACTCTACTGCAGTACCTGACGATGACTGGGATCGTCCAAAAGTGCGGGGACGGAATCACGGTAGGGCCTTTGATCCGCCACCAACATCCCACGCTCTAGCTGCCCTAATTTCCAAACGCCGACAACTTCAACTGCGACGTCAGGGCCTGGGCCGGGAGGCGCCTGGTTCGAAGCGCAATTCGCGGCCCCCAGTTCCTTTGACGCCTGCTGGATGGGTCGGATTTGCGCGCGATTCAAGCCGATTCGTATGCTGCCTCTGTCGTGACATCCAAATCTTGGCAATTTTCAATTCTGCACCAAACTATTGTCCCACCCTTGCCGTCATGCGCTCCGGCACCTACGCGGGAGAGATTCACAGAGCGCCCACATTCTTAAAACACAGCACACCCCCCGTCACACTTGTTGAGAATGCTATTCACATATTACTGCTTACATTCCGCCGTTTACAGCCTTGGTTACATCCCGTCTCACAATACTATATATCTGACCACAAGTCCAACTTGATCGTCTGTCCCCTTGAGCACGAGCTGGCCGGCACCTCTCATCTCTTTTGGTACCTCGTCACCACAACACTTGTGATCCTTACCACTGTTATAGTCAACATGTTGCAAACGGCCGAACCTCTCCACCAATCGTCTCTTCATTATGCTCCTTCACCCTCTGCACCTATTTCTACCTCTGCTGCTCCCGTCGTTAAGCCAAACCCCCCAGCCATGACTACTCCAGACCATCACCATATCTTGATTGTCACCGGTCCCGCAGGGTGTGGCAAGAGCACCGTTGCTAAGTTCCTCGCCGAGCGCTACTCTTACGTCTACATCGAGGGAGATGACGTGAGTCTTACAAGTACACATCATGTTCTTGAAGCCAGACTAACCTGCCTTTAGTTTCATCCTCTATCCAACATCGAGAAGATGGCGGCCAATATTCCACTGGACGATGCTGATCGATGGGACTGGCTGATCCTCCTTAGAGACCAAGCGTTGGCTGCTTTGAAGCAGGGGGCTAATGGCGTCGTCGTTACCTGCAGCGCCCTCAAGAAAAAGTACCGAGATGTTATTCGAACCGCCCGACTATACGACGAAGACCCGAATGCTTCTGTGCACTTCATCTACCTACGCGCTAGCCGAGAGGTTTTGCTTGCCCGAGTCGGAGGTAGGCAAGGTCACTACATGAAGGACACCATGGTCACTAGCCAACTCGCAGCTCTTGAAGAACCAGACAAGCAGGAGGTCGAGCGACTGAAGGATGTAAAGATCGTCGATGTAAGCGGCAGCCCACTTGAGGTCGAAAAACTCGCCATTGCCGCGGCAGACCAGATTATGGCCGACTCCTCATCAGCGGCCACTCGGTGACCCGAGTTCCAGATGAAATTTTCCATTGTTTCTTTTTCTTTCCAGAACCTGCTTTCCCCTGGGCCTATCTCCTAGCGTTGAGCATCGAAGGCGTCATGCGTGGGCATTGGGATGGGATATTAAAAATAATGGCGCAAAACTATGATTGATTAATATGTTATACCCTAGCGACAGGGGTATTGGGCTGTATTTGGATACGATGTGGCGAGTGCGGGTTAGATTACGCCGAGTGCCTCTTTTGCAGAATACCAATATCGACGAAAGTTTGTTGAAAAGAAGATGTGCAAGGCTCAAAGTTTGGATGCTTGTAATGAGTAAAGTGACGTCCAAATATGCATTGAAAGAGCCAGTCTGTCGGGCAAGATGATCAAGCCATGATCTCCAGCTATCGCAGAGGCCCAATAGTGCAGGTATGATTTTTTGGTGAGGGGGGCTTCCCCAGATTTTGCTTTTTGGGTTAGTGATTGACCGGGGGGACCGAGATAACACTTTTACTTTGATTTTTGCTCGTGCAGACGGAACCTTCTGACTTCGAAGTGAAAACGCGGAATGTATCCGCCTGAGGCTTCTGCGAAACGCGAACTGCCCGCGGTGGCCGGGGAAGGTTTTCTGGAGACTGAGCCGCCGGACGCTAGTCTGCTCCCGGCTAGCCTGCTTCCTCCCCCAGATTCTGTCATCAGGGCGACGGTTGCCATCGGCTTTACATTCACCTATGATTTCCACACCTCGGGGCTTATGAGCCTTCAAGACATGATTATGTCTGCACCTCACAACTCTTCAGATCGAACATGAAGAGCCTCGTATCTCGCGAAGCTGGACAGCTTTTGTGCCGCTACATCGTAACAAACAAGGCTCCGATAACACCAGCATGTCGTCATTTCAAGAACGCGTCCGTACCGCGACAGCATCCGAGGAGACTTTTTCATGCTTCTTCGCGTTTGAAGGCTGTCAAGCCATATCTTTTGGCTGATATTGGAGAAGGTATGTTTTATAATTAATGCTTCCATGAGGGATCCTAATGGATATAGGCATCACGGAATGCCAAGTCATTCAATGGTTTGTCAAACCGGGGGCCCGCGTCGAGCAATTCGATCCCATATGCGAGGTACAGTCGGATAAAGCGTCTGTAGAGGTATGGATCTCTGACTACATACTCGAGCGGGCAATGCTAAACCACGGTAGATTACTTCGCGGTTTGACGGGGTTATTAAGAAGCTCTACTATGAGCCGGATGACATGGCTAAAGTGGGCAAGGTACAATTCCTACCTACCTTGTGGTTAACGACGAAAGACTGATTCGCGAAGCCTTTGGTAGACATCGACATCCAGAGCGATATCTCCCCAGCAGACGAAGCCCTCCTCAACGGGGGATCTAGAAATGAAGCGGAGAAGAGAGAACCACAAGAAGAGGAAGTCAAGGGGCAAGAAATAGAGGTTGGAAGGAATGATACTATAGCTACAATTGGAGGTGCGCCACCACAGCCTTCACAACCTCTTCCTTCAGAGCTCGAGGCCCCGCAGTCGAAACCACAACGGCAGCCGGGAAAGCATGCTACTTTAGCTACACCCGCTGTTCGACACCTAGTCAAACAGTTTAAGCTCAGCATTGAGGATATAGAAGGAACGGGAAAAGACGGACGGGTTACTAAGGAAGATGTGCAGAAATTCGCACAGCCTCCAAAAGACACTCAACCCTCAGAGTCGATTATTCAAACGGCAGCTCCAGTGCCAGTTCAGCAAGTCGAAGACCACATTCGGCCACTAACGCCCATTCAAGCCGGCATGTTCAAGCAAATGACCCGTTCCCTATCAATACCACACTTATTATACACCGATAACGTCGATTTAACCGCCCTAAACTCCCTCCGTAAGAAACTCAACACCAACAAGGACAAAGCTCAGCGCATCTCACTCACGCCATTCTACGTGAAAGCTGTCTCGCTCTCTCTACAGCAATACCCTCTCCTCAACGCTCATCTCGACACCACCACCCCCGAGAAACCGCAGGTGCTTGTCAAAGCCCAGCATAACATCGGCATCGCAATGGACACACCATCTGGTCTCCTTGTCCCCGTCATAAGAAGCGTACAATCGCATTCCATAGAATCCCTTGCTGCAGAAATCAAACGTCTCTACAGTCTCGGCCTTGCCGGAAAACTCAGCTCCGCAGACCTCAGCGGTGCAACGTTTACAGTCAGTAATATCGGGAATATTGGTGGCAGGGCTGTCGCCCCTATTATTGTCAGCCCGCAGGTTGGTATCCTGGGGATTGGAAAGATATCGCCGGTTCCAGCGTTTGGAGAGAGTGGAGAGATAGTAAGGAAGGAGGAGTGTGTGTTTAGTTGGAGTGCAGATCATCGGGTTATTGATGGTGCGATGGCAGCGAGATGTGCGGAGGCTGTAAGGGGGTTTTTGGAGAACGTGGAGAGTATGCTTGTCAGACTTCAGTGAGGTTTTCGTCGTCCGTGACACAGAAGAAGAGGACTGTATGCATTCAAACTAGTCTTATAACTTAGACTACATGTGGCGAATATCATCCTTGAGAGACTTTGCGGAATTAATCGAGACGTCCTTTTAAGCTTTCCCATGAATCCCGCCGCTGGTAAACATCTAAATTGTTTGCAGCACATGCAGCAAGTCTCACCAGACACTTGTATGATCTCAAACTGCCAAGACGATAGGGCTGAGTGGGACCTGCAGCCCCACCAAGCCACAGCATCACAACTCCAACCCTGCACCCTTGGGCTCCCACAACTTCTCACATTCCTTGGCCGTCCTCGAACCTCCCCTCGCTTTCTCTTTTCACCAAATAATCAACCACCATGGCATCCTCAACAGCCTCCTTCTCCAACTTCTCCACCGCACCCACTCTTGCCTCAAACCCGCCACCCGCAAAGCCATCCCTCAACCCCGACGAGCCCCCCGCCTTCATCTTCCCGCCTCATTACTCCTTCCCTCCCTTCTTCACCCTCCAGCCAGTCCTCAGCACACGAACATCGCAACTCGCATCCTGGTCCACCCTAATCCAATCCTACTGCCGACACCACCGGCTCTTCACCCTCTCGCTCATCGACGCGCTTTCCACTCCCCTATTCACCAACAGTCGTATAGATCGGAAACTCAGCTTAAGGGATGCGTGGGCAATAGTATCATGGATGGCGAGCGCAGAGGGCGGGAATCGCGCGGAGTGGATATCAAGCACCACCTCCACTACCAGCAAGAAAGCTAACGCGGGTGTGGGGGAAGGGGAGGACGGAGGCGGCGGGAAATGTTACGTCTACTGGCGACGCCCGGAAGAATGGGCGGCGGTGCTGGAAGAATGGGTGGAGCGGACGGGACAGCGGGGGACTGTGTTGACGTTGTACGAGATCTCGGATAGTGATGCGACGAGAAGGGAGGAGTTTTATGGTATAGAGGCCGGGTTGCTAGCGAGAAGTTTGGGGGTTTGTGTTAAGAGAGGGAAGGCGCAGATTTTTGGTGCAGAGGGGAGTGAGGGGGTAAAGTTTTTTTAGTGGGAATGGTGGTGTGAGGGAAAACGATGTGTATGAATCTGGTGTAATGGAAGGGATGGATGATACCCCGAGGTGCGATGTACTTACTGAACGTGGATCATGACAGGGGAGCAATTTAGGACAGAGACATGTATTCTGTTTGCTCCCTCTCTACTTCCAGTGAGAGCTTTAACTAAGAAACCTCATCCTGATGATATTCCACGTTGTGTGATAATATACTGTACTTGTACAAATATGATGTTAATTGGTGTGATATCTCCATCAATACCGTTGCCAACTCTACCTGCTTCCAACCTTCAAGGTTCGAAACCCTTCACTTCAATAAAAGCCGAAGTCCAGCCTCGAACCCAGCTCCTACTTCAGTGCAAACTATACAATGGGGTCCTAGGACTTCCAATTCCCAACCTCAAATGAGCAGGCAGAAAAAGCGTCCTCAAACAAAGTATCGCCGAAACGAAGTCCAAATGCAGTCCACACACCGCATCCTCTAAGACTATCCTTTGCCTTATCATCGTCACCCGGATGTTTATAAAATAACTTCCTCAAAAACCTGACATGGTGCCCATCACTTCCCTGCATTCACCACCTCCTCGTTCAACTCCCACCCCTTATCCCAATGCACGTACTGCGCCATCGCCACAAACAACAACCACTCCGTCTTCACAATCCTCGGAACCATATCATGCTTCCCTGCGAGTTCTCTGAACTTAGTCCAAAGCGGGAATTCCTTCTTCACGCCCTCTGAAACCAGATACAGCACGTCACCCTCATCTTCTTCCTGGTTCTGACTGACTTCACCTTCAATGGGTGGGTCTATGGAGCGTTTGGATGCTGTTATATTGGTTGTGCGACCTTTATATAGTTGGGCCGAGCCGCCGTTTGAAGTGATGATGTCACGCCAGGTTTCGAAGCCCCCGCTGATGGAGTCGCTGACAAAAATGGTCCAGTTTTTAAGGAGGTGCTTTTGGTTCTGTTTGGCGCGTTCGAGGGCCTCGTCGAGGCGGAACCCATGAGTTTTCTCGAAGCCACGGTCGGCTAGGAGGTGCTTTTCTGGGGGAGGCAGTTTGTTGTGCTTGAGCGCATAGTCGAGGTATGAGGTGCCGACAAGCGTGGGAGCGCAGGCCATGGCGCAGACGAATTTCTTGGTGCGGACGACTTTCGGAGCGCAGAGGAGATCGACTTTGCGGACGTCGTCGGTGATGAAGAGCCCGATTTCACGCATTTTAGCCTAGGAGTAGATGTTAGCTCTATAGAGGAAGATGTTGAAGATGAAGATACCTTGTCGTTTGCTTCCAGCTCTTGATTATTTATCCATCTTTCATTCTTCGATACGAGCATTCGGTACTTGATCGGTGTCAACTTGTCCTTCTTCGCCTTCTTGCTCTTCTTCGCGGGCTCTTCGATTTCATCTTCTGTTGGCTCATCCTCACCATCCACCTCATCGATTGACCGTTTACTCGCGGTAGAGTCTCGTCCTTTTGTCTTCTTAGCCTTCTCCGTTTCTGCATCCTTCTCACGCCGTCCGCCATGAATGACGCCTCCTTTCCGTTTCATCTCCTTTTCGAACTTGGCAATATCGGGTGCTGAGTCGTGAAGTTTTGTTAGGGCTCGGTCCTTGGCTCCACGGCTACCTGTTGTACCTGGGGTTTCATTCTCCTTGCCATCGATACGACGCGCCGCCGAAGGAGTTGAGATTTCTGGTCCAGTTCGGGTACGCCTCGTCTTCTCTACTAAGGGTGAGCTTCGAGCAACTGGATCGCTGCTCACGCGGTTTGGTATGCTTGATCCCGGAACGCCGTCTTGTTGTGCAGCTGCTTTTCCAGCTTTCGGTTTGCGGGCTTTTGGAAAGAATATCTTCTCAATCGCAGTGCGATCCATCTCTGTCTGCCCAAGTATTTCGCCCAGATTCGTCCGCGCCGGAAAGAAATTATATCGCGGATCCGTGAGTGCCTGATGCTTGTTCTTCGAGTAGCACTCTTCAAGCCAGAGATGGTTGACGACGTTGACGCCCCACTCTTGCGCCGCATCGCACTTCTCGCTCTGCATATGGGCGGTAATAAGGTGGGTGTTTTCCTGCTTGAATGTCTTGGTGAACGTCGCGCCGCTAGCCTTCACAAGATTCTCAAGGTACACACGGGCTTCGCCAGTATAGCTAGAGATGCTGATCTTGAAGTTCTCAAAGCCAGGAATACCCTCGCGAGGCCGAGGATAGTGCATCATTCGGCGCATGGGGTTTGTCCAGGCGTCATACGTGACCAAATAGTAAAGCCAGCTTAAGTTTCCGACATCCTTGCCGGCCTGCGAGGCTCTGACATAGTCAGGTCCATCTCGGAAGTTGCACACGTAAATTTCTGCTTCTTCCACACTAGTTATCATCTGTCCACCGCCTGCGATGATCAACCCCTCAATAACCCCCTTGAGGCGATCATTCAGTTGGAGGTCTTCACCCAACATGACCTTCTTTCCGCTGAAAGCTCGTATTTTACGCGAAGACTTGGATTCGGCAGGGGACGTGGGTGGGGCTGGGTCTTTTGTTGGTACGGGAGTTGTGGCATCACGGATATGGGGGCTGACTCGCGTGGGAGGAATGGCCCCGGCTTCGATGTCGAGAATCTCGGGGCTGGGGAGGGTGTATGGTCGTTCAGATATCCTACGGCCAACCTTTAGGCAGTCGTCGAACCTAAGCGTGTGGTTAGCGCCGATTAGAATGCATTTTTGAAGAGGTATTACCAGTGGGGTAGAACAATGTTGCACCGTAACCGCTTGTCGACGGCAACCTGAACCCTCTCGTCCTCCATATCCAGTGCAATAAGGTGTGTGACAAACTTGGAGAGGGCGGTCGTATACTGTCCTCCCATTGCCAACACGCCACCTGCTATGGCCTCCTTGTCGCCCTCTGGAATACTCTTTGCGCAACATATGATGACCTCGCTCATGAACAGAGCAGGGTCGGGACTGTACGCGCGTGGGTTCTTCATTTTTCCGACCTTCACGCATGCATCCACCCATGATGGTTTCACAACGTGTTTGAATTGCTCAAGTGCTTGGTGGTAGTCGGGGAAGTCTGAGGTGGTGGAAATAATATGCGTGATGTCGGGGAGCTTCTCAATGCGTCCATTCGCAGCGTTGAAGGGGACCACTCTTGCACCATTTTCGACAACTTCGTTCCGTAGCTATAGAAAGTAAGCACGTGTATTCGGGGGAGACGGACGCGTCGATGTACCTGGCGCTGGCGGTCCTCGGATAGGGAATTAGGGATGATTGTGAAAATCACACCGTGGAATAACAGGTGCTCATCGTCCAACATAGTAGTGTCCTCCATGGTGGGTGAGGAGGGGCAGTGTTGTTTCCGTGGGTAGCGTGGGACGAGACACAGCATTATACGGCGCGTACTTAGGAAATCCTTGGCGCGAATCGCAGCTTCCTCTCGAGTCGCGTTACAGGCGAGTTCACGTGATGCCACATCCCCACTCTCACCAGGTGAACTCCAATCACTGCATTTAACGTTATTTTCGGGCAACTACTTATTTAACATTATTTTGGCCTACAGTGCTGAGAGCGAAGTAGTCACTGAGACCTCATTGTGAGCGAGTAGAGGCCCGCTCTTTGACTTGGAAGCAGAGTGAATGAAGATGTGGCACTTAACCTCGGCTCGTGTCCCTTCTCACGGCAATTTACCTGCGCGAGCTCGAAACCTTTCTTCCAAACACCTTGGCTTTCCCCCTTCGCATCGTCTCGGTTCCTTCTACTCTTTCTATCAGTATGCTGTAATTTTGTTTTTATTGTCTCTCCTTCAAAATTGGAATAGAAGGGATCTGGGCTTTCGTCCTATCATAGCTCGAAACACAATTGCCGAGAATCTTCAAATTCGTCTTTCACAGAGTAGAAATGTCTTCAGACTACTTTAGAATTGACGAGCATAAACTCGAGGGCTCGCACATTCGAGGGTTCCCTCGGTCCACAGCAACAACTCAGGAAGAAGTCCTTCATCTCGCCATCAAGCAGTACACCCCCCTCAACAACACCTATCCCGAGCCAGGCGATATTACAATCATTGCGGCGCATGCAAATGGTTTCCCAAAGGTATCTTCGAGCTCGTTCGTTATAGAGAAAGCCTGTTCATTTTCATTTCTCTGGCCGCTTTGGATCCTCTCTCTGTGGCCCCACATTGCAAACTTGCTCTCGCAGGTGCTCTGAGAAATTTGGCATCTCGCGTTTATTTGGTTACGTATCTCGGTAGATTATCGTATGGGGTTCTTGTATAGTGTCTAACACACAGTTAGGAGCTCTATGAACCACTCTGGGACGAACTCCTCAACGTCTCAAAACAACATGGCTTCTCTATCCGCGGTATCTGGGTCGCAGACGTCGTCCACCAGGGCTGGAGCAGCGTTCTCAATGAAGACAAACTCGGAAATGATCGTGAGACCTCTGCTGTTCCACATATATCTGCGCTCTAACCCCTTCGCAGCTGCTTGGCTCGACCACAGCCGTGACCTCCTCCACATGGTCAACACGTTTCGCAAGCAAATGCCACGCCCTATCATCGGCATTGGTCACAGCATGGGCGGGTGTCAACTCGCAAACCTCGCCTTAATCCACCCACGCCTCATGGAGACCTTGGTTCTCATCGACCCTGTGATCCAGCGCATGGTCTCCGTAAGTGGCAACGTCTCGCCCGCCTATTCTTCCGCCATGCGACGCGACCGATGGCCATCCCGCGAAGTTGCCGCAACAGCCATGAAGAGAAATAAATTTTACCAAACGTGGGATCCCCGCGTATTTGACCGATGGATCCAGTACGGTTTGCGAGAGCTTCCTACTCGGTTATACCCGGAGTGTTCAAGCACGCCTGGACCAACACCCGCTGCTGTATCCGCAGAACCTACTGCCACCCCAGTAGCACCTCAACCCAAGGAAGTCACCCTAACGACAACAAAACACCAGGAAGTAATGACTTTCCTACGACCCAATTTCCCCTTTCGGCCCGGAGACTTAGAACCTTCGTCGTCAGAATACAGTCTTACCAATCCCACCGCTCTTAACCGGCGAACACATCCGGACCTCTCCCCTGGGCCAAAAGCACAAGCTCCCTTCTATCGCGGCGAATCGATACTAACATTCCATCAACTCCCACATCTCCGTCCCTCGGTATTGTACATCTTCGGATCGCAATCTTTCTTAACGACGCCAGAGATCATTAAAGAGAAGATGGATCTAACAGGAACAGGTGTCGGGGGTTCTGGCGGCGAGCCAGAAGGAAGAGTCAAGAACGTCATGATCCAGGATACCGGACATCTAATCCCTATGGAAAAGGTAGAAGAGACTGCTTCTGAGGTTGCTGGATGGATTGCGAAGGAAATGGTGAGGTGGAGAGCTCATGAGAAGTTAACGGAGCAGGAGTGGGGGAAAAGGAGAGGGTCAGAGCGATCGATCATGACGGAGAGATTCGTAGAGGAGTTGCAGAGTACGATGAAAGGGCATAAGAGGCCGCAGAAGAAGGAGAGTGAAGCGAAGCTGTGAGCGAGATTCAGGGATTTGAGTGCTTGTTTGTGGACAGGGGTTTGGGGGGTTATGTACCCGGGAACCCGCGCACAATAGACCACTTGATAGAATCGCAAGACCCATCTGTTTATTGCATGCCTTGGAGGGCAGACTTTAGAAGCAATAGGGGTGTTGCAGATTGCTCCTTCTCTGTTCTTCCTCCTTCATCTGGCTTGACATCCTATTATCTTGCTTTGTTAAACTTATGATAACTAGGAATCCCAACGTCGCACGTTCTCCATAAGGGAAATACGACGCTCAAGACATGGACAGGATCCCGATAAAGTATGTAAGTGTCTAAAAATTACTTTCTGCTGATGACGAAGACTTTGAGAGCATGGAGTTAATGTATCCCGAAAAGTTTATGTCCGGTCGCGTTGTACGACCCGTTGTACAACATGTTGAGGTCCGTCATCAATCCTCAACACTCAAATCCCTCCCTCAACCACGAGGTTCACAAGTTCCCTGCACAACATTTTAGCGCCAGGAGTCCGAATCCATGGTCAATTTTGTATCCCGAAGAAATTGTGCAACAGCATCAGGATGCCTAGAACATGGCCTTGTCGGTTTTAAGCCTACATATAAACGCGAGGTTACACATGCGGCAATCGTCCGCGGGACCCGTGGAACTCACAACTGGGCTCTTTTGAGCCTCAGTTTTGTTGCTTCTCGGCCTTTCAGCTGCTGCCTTATTGGTCTACGCTTTTATCAAATCTTCTCTTTGCGGCGGCCGCGGATCCCTTCGTCAACTAGCGCTGATCTTGCTGGAACTTCCCGCGTCATAGACTCTTGTCTACCAATAGTACCATCGAACACCTTTCAAAAAGTTTGGTAAGACTCATACAGATAGCATCCTAGAGTCATGGGCTTTAGTAAACCATACGGTGTCTACGCCTCCCGAAGACCGAAGGGCCGGAACGGGAGTATGGGATGGCGCCGGATCCGAGTATGACACATCCTTCCGGGTTCGTGGATACTCTTAAGATGCGATGTATGTATCTACAAAAATATCTAGGATATCGGTAACCTTGGAGTGTCGAGTTCTTGGAATCACCCCCTCGAATATTTGGAGAAATGGTCTGGGATCTCATCCGCGATTCGGCCTTCGGCCATCTAGTCCGTTTGACGAGCGGTGGAAAATGGTTTCCCTATGCTGAAGAGAGGGATCCCGAATTGTGGAAACAATTTGTGAATGAGGAGAAATCGGGATACCTTGCTCATCATGGAGACACCAATCCACCAGAAGACTCGTCAAAAGACCAACTGGATGCTGGCTCCACGACATCTTCGAAAAGTCGACAGTCTGAGGATGGGAATATTGATAATGAGGTCAGTGAACCAAGGGTGGACCCTGAGAAAGGAAGGGACAAGCACGTTATCGATTGGTTTGGTCCAGACGACCCTGATGTGAGCATCCGCTTCCTAGATGTCGCCACACTATCTAATTGTATTTGTAGAATCCACGCAACTGGTCCCGCGGAAAGAGATTCTTCGTCACTTTCGAGATATGTTTCCTCACTTTTAGCGTATACATCGGCTCTGCGATTTATTCCGCCGGCATCCCAGATGTGATGCACACGTTTGGTGTTAGCCAGGTTGCTGCCACCCTTGGGCTCACTTTGTAAGCTTATGTTAGCCTTTCATAATTGCAGAAGGCTCATATGTCGCAGATATGTCGCAGGCTACGGTCTTGGCCCTATGGTTTGGGCGCCTATGAGCGAGATACCATTTATCGGCCGCAATCCCGTGTATATGATGACTCTCTTCATTTTCGTAATGTTCCAAATCCCAACTGCGCTATCATCGAATTTCGGTATGCTCCTCGCTTTCCGATTTCTGACAGGCCTGTTCGGCTCCCCGGCCCTTGCCACAGGTGGCGCGACGATTGGAGATATGTACCGTCCGAGGAAACAAGCATACGGTCTCGGTGTATGGGGCATCGCTGCTGTTTGTGGCCCCGTCCTAGGCCCTCTTGTAGGCGGCTTCGCTGCGCAGGCCAAGAACTGGACGTGGACAGTCTGGCAAGTGCACTTTAGATGTATTCAGCTGTGTTAGATACTAATACAAAGCAAAGGGAACTGATGTGGCTGTCTGGATTCTGTTTCGTTTTCCTGTTCTTCTTTCTTCCGGAAACGAGCTCGACGAATATCTTGTATCGTCGCACGAGGAGGCTTCGCAAGATAACAGGCGATGAACGACTGACCTGTGAGCCGGAAATCATGGCTGAGCACATGACTGGCAAGGATGTAAGCGTTTCTCATTCCTCACACTATCTCAGGAACATAATGCTAATTCTTTCTTCAGATTGTCCTCATGATTCTCGTCCGCCCTATCACCCTTAACTTCACCGAGCCTATGGTCTTTCTCCTCAACCTCTACATCGCTCTCATCTACGGCCTCCTCTACATCTGGTTCGAATCCTTCCCAATCGTCTTCGTCGAAATCTACGGCTTCAATCTCGGCCAAGAAGGCCTCGCCTTCCTTGGTCTCCTTGTCGGCGCCCTCATTGCTCTCACTTGCCTCTTCTCTTGGCTCTACTTCTACCAAGAAAAGCAATTCAACTCCAACGGCAACCTCCAACCTGAAAAACGCCTACCCCCGGCCATGGTCGGTGCCTTCTTCGTGCCAATCTGTCTCTTCTGGTTTGGCTGGTCCGCTCGCCCTTCAATCCACTGGATCATGCCTATCATTGGCTCTGGCTTCTTCTCCATCGCCGCATTCCTGCTTTTCAACGCCGTGCTACCGTACCTCGGTGACGCGTACCCCGATCACATGGCGAGTGTCTTCGCGGGCAATGACTTGATGCGGAGTTCATTTGGTGCCGGGTTTCCCCTTTTTGCAAACGCGATGTATCGGAATTTAGGCGTGAATTGGGCGAGTAGTACGTTGGCCTTTTTGGGCATTGCATTTATTCCGATTCCGTTTGTTTTGTACATTTACGGGAAGAGGTTGAGGCATTGGAGTAGAGCGGCTAGGAAGGATATTTAGGGATGGACAGGTGGGGCGAATCATTGGTCGTTGTTTTTTTTGTTGCAGAGGGGTTTTAATCTCTGCGGTTTCGATAGTGTTATTCCATCGCTATTTTGCGTTGGTATAGCGGTTATAGATGTAACAGTAATGATGTCTGGGTATGAGCGTGGCGTGTCCTGGGTTTTGTTGGAATAGTCCGGGATTGAGAAGTAATATAGATTGTATATTAATGGAAATACCCGCTCTTCAACCACCGTCACCTCTCCCCAACCTAGATACTTCCGCGAGCTCGATATTACCGCGCGTCGGAAGCAGTCGTGGTCTTTCGCTTAGAATCTTCCATTTGGGAAACAAATGCTACAGTATATCCATGTTACTATTTCCGCTGCCATCCTACACTGGGGGATGACTGGAGTCGCATTGAGAATACGATGGTGAAGATCTACCTGCATAAAACTTCACGGCGACCGTTCATTCTTCTCGAATTCCAGAACAGATACACCATACCCACAATTTTGAATTTTGAATTTTATTTGGCTTCTCTGGCTACCTAGTCTCCGAAAATGAAGCTTTCAACTACCAGCTCTCTCCTCCTCAACCTCCTCCTCCTCCTGTCACTCCTACCACCAACATCTGCTATCCAAGCAGACTGCTCAATGTCGGTCCGTGTAATCCAAACCTCTCCCCTGCCCTCATTCCATTCCATCTCCCTTCCCCATTCCATTCTATGCCCCATTCCCCATTCCATTCTACCCCCTCCACCATCCGCCCTTCCCCCTCCCTTCCCCCTCACCTGACCCACCAGCACCTACACTAACCCCCCTTCCTCGGAACAGGACTCCACACGCTGCGACTGCATAATGCCGAATAACAGCACGCTCCCCGGCACGGACTGTCGCGTTTGCCGGGTCGAAGGCAAACTGATGTGCGTGCTGTGGGGCAGTTCAGGAACGATGTACGGGCCGCTGTGCGAGGATCCGAAATGCGTGAATGGAGCCGATGGGAAGAGCACGTCCGGCACAGGGTGTGTGTGTGATTGGGGACAGAAGGTGCATTCAAGAGCGCCTTGTCCGACGCCGGTATGTTTGTGTCCCTTCTACTAGACTCGTCGTTCAAGACAGCAATATCTGCAGTCTCTGTCCTAGCCCTAGTCCCATCCCTCAAGCCGCTAGCAGCCTACTAATCACACCTGCAACTCATAGGCTGGTGACTGCCGATGCAGTCCGCCCAACACCAACATCTCGCTTCCAGGTAATGTCTGCACTGTGTGTCCTGATCCGGACGGGTCTCGGTATTGGTGTGGAGAGACGGGGAATATGAAGAATAACTATGGGCCGTTGTGCATGGGGGAGCAGTTTGGACCGGGTTGTACGGGGAAGGGTGGGTGTGTTTGTCGGTGGTATCCTGGTACTAAGTAGTGTGGAGGATGAGCGAGGAGGACGTAGTAAGAGTGAGGTATATGTGTGATGAAAAGGGTTAGGGGGTGGTTGGTGGCGTTGGGGTTCAGTGTACAGAAGGAAAGGTGTAGGAGAGAAGGTTGGAAATAAGGAGAGCAGGAGGAGTAGTTATAGTAACAGCGGCAAGAGATATGGGAACTTCAAGGTGAATAGAAAGAGATGAGTATTATATGCCTATATATGCTAGCCAACCAACCAACCAATATCTATCCAACCCATTCAAAATATTTTTAGGGTATCAACAAGATGCAGCCGGACCACCCTCAACCTGGTTTCCACCATCCCATCACCCCCTCTCATCATCCTATAATTCAACCGGCCACCTCTTCCGAACATACCCCCCGTATTTATATATTAGCGCCGGTGCCGGAATCATCGCAACAGCAATAAATCCCAACAAGCTATTTCCCCAGCCTAAGCCTAGTTTATCATACATGCTCGGTGCGCCAAGTGGTAGTACAGCACCAAATAGACATCGAATAGCTGTCATACCAGCAACCGCGCTCGCAGCGTACTGGGGGAAGGAATCAATGAGGTAGGTTTGGATGGGAGCGAAGATACCCATCATGCCGAAACCGAAGGGGAGGAGCCCGATTATGGGGACGATCCAGTGGGCTTGTTTGTCTGTTGCCCAGCCGTACCTAGTATATCCTGTCAGCAGCTTGGGAAGAAGAAGGGAATGAGACTTACCAAAAGAACGAAATCGGAATCAAGAACCCAAAGAACACACAAGTCGGTAACCGCATTTCGGGTTCATACACCCCGTTATTCTTCTTCGTCAACCGTATGATAGTAGCATCACTCGTCTTGGCAACAAAAATAATCCCCAGAAAAAATCCGAGTCCGACACCGAGATAGGCCAGCCCGCACAGCTCGGGGGACCATCCGTACGTCTGGATGTATACCTGAGTGATGGTCGTGAAGAGCAGGAACAGGAGGCCAAAGACGAAAGAAACGTAAAGCGACAGGATGAAGACAATGGGAGAGGTGAATAGTAACTTCAGAGGCCTGTACATGCCACGCCTTAGAATGACGCTGGTGCGGAGAGAGTTGGCGTCCTGTTTGTGGGTGAGGATATTTCGGAGTTCAGGGCGGTTGAGTTCTTTCCGTAAGCGTGCTGTTTTTCGGTCGATGAGAACGATAGCGTTGGTTTCTCTGCCCATAAGGATAATTCCGGAAGTGATGGTCACTCCTGCGATGAAAACCACCCAGAAATCCCACTTCCACCCAGCACGTTGGGCGATGAAACCTCCGCAGATAGGTCCAAGCACGGGCCCGAACAGAATGCCTAGCGAATACATCGCCATGGCTTTTCCGCGCTGCTCGGGTAGGAATAAGTCAGAGATGACACCTGAGCCAATAGTTAAACAAGCTGAGCCACCAGTACCAGCGAGTAGACGCATGATGATGAGACCGGTAAGGTTGGGTGCAAGAGCGCAGCCAAGGTTGAAGGCGCAGAAGAAGACGTTAGCAATGTTGAGAATGATGAGGCGTCCATAGATTTCGCTGAGAGGACTCAAGAAGAGGGGGCCGAAGGAAAAGCCGAGGACGAAGACGCTGACACTGAAAGCGCCGAGGATTTGAGAGGAATTATGGAAATCTCGGCTCACGAATGAGATGCCGGGAGCAAAGATTGAGGATGCAAGGGGACTATGGAAGGTGTTAGCATCATCTTGTCTCATTCCCATTAGGAAGGAATAATCTTGCCTCAAGAAAGTGATGGCAGAGACGAGGCCTAGGATGAACCACTTCCGTCTATCAGCAAAGTTTCTACACACTCATATTAGTACGATCCATCTTTGTTAAAGATGACGAACAAAACAAACCTTGGATTCGCCGGATCATCCTGATGATCCCACCCAATAAGTCCCTTATCTAAATCAGTCAAAAGGTACGTCTCCGGTCCCAACTTCACTCTTCTTGTGCTCTTTCTCGACAAATGACGTTCAAGTTCATCTCCAAGATCGTCTTCAGTCTTTTCAGATTCCTATGGCGGATCAGCTGACGAGGTCACGGATGGGGGAGGAACGTGGTAGTTTACCTTTTTCGCAGGTCGTATCTCTTCATCTGGGGGGGAACTTCCCTTCTCAATATCGACGTTTTCGTAGTCAGAGCTCTCTCTAGCTACCTCTTCCTTATCGTCCTTAATCGACATGATTCGGTTGAGAACCAAGTTCTATGCCAAAATATGGTCTTGAACCAGGGTACGTTGGAGAAGCCAAGCCCAACGGCGATCTGTTACACTCCAGATCTCAAATATTCTCAGTGTCCCGCGATCCAAGTCGTCGGAATCCCAAGAAAGCCCAAAAAGTGCGTGAATGAAAAGATGGGGAGATACGAGGAAGAAAACTCTTGGAAAAGGTCCCCCAGTGTATGTGGAAAGAGATTCCTCCTCGAGGCGTGGACCTATGAGCTTCACTAATCTCCGCGACGGACTAGCCTATTTTGGAAGAGAGCTCGGCCGGCCGGCATTAAGTAGAGAGCGAGGCAAAAAAGATTGCGGGGTTTTCAACACGAGGTTAACCTCTGAGGATAGTTGATGGAGGGGAGGCAGGTGATCGTAAATGTTGGATAGAGGCTGTCTTGTTCCGGCTGGAAGGTGAGGAATCTTAGGTGCATATGATGGCGATTGGGGCGTACTTGTAGGAATGCGAGAGACGCATTGTGAGTACGAGTATCTTTTTCTGACGCGGACGGACGAACGAATTCGTATCCTGGTCAACTTTTACTCAGGCCTGCGGAGGGTCGCGTCTCGGGTGTACCGATATGGCGAGATGAGGTGGAGATGGACATCTCGGCCGGCTCGCTCTCAGCGAAACACATAAAACCGAGAATTCAAACTTATGCAAAAGGGGAGAGACTGAAAGGAGAATTGTTTGCGGCAGAATACGAAGAAACTTGTGAAGCCTTTTCTGATTGACAGGAGGAGAGGAAGAGAAGAACGCAAAAGCATACCAACTGCAGAACAGTGAAGCCAGACTGAATGGAATAGTTAAATCTTACTCCAGGTTCTCTTCCTTCTACGCGGCTCTCCCTTTCCATAAGGCTGAATCCTCCGATCCTAAAATCCAGATCTACACCGCGGTCTTTCCGTTCCTCCAAGCTCCGACACCGAGCGGCGAGCTCATCATGCGTCTCCATCGTAAGTCCGCAAACTCCGCCATCGCCGTCGTCAGATGATTCAGTCGTTGGATCCCATATACCTCTTCACACTAGTCCTCTACCAAAATATATGTGTTTCTCTCTCTTTTCGCGATGCAAGTGATGTTGATGACTTATCCCGTAGTTGACTTGGACATCTGACATCAGCCGCTACCAGCAACAGGCATTTGTCATGAACCTTGGATGTAAATGAGAGACATCAACGCCAATATAAAGGCTGTTCAAGATAGGATAAACAAGAATTCGTTGTGTAACAGAAGGTACTTTGGGAAGAGGGGAGTGGGAGTACCTAAAGGTTTACGAGCGGACAAACGACTTTCGGGTCTCCTCCCGGAATATTGGCGCCGCAAGAGAGTATTGGCACCGGGATTTGACTAGCTCAACCTCTTGCTGGAGTCGAGAGAATGCCAACAACATGCAAAGGTCTGTCTATAATATCCCTCCCATATTCCACGTCTGGTGAAAAGTTGCAGTTCACCAGTCGGACGGAGTGTGCGAACATTTACGCAAACAGGTATGGCACTGCAAATGTATGCATCTAAACAATTACGGGGCTTCAATTCGCGGGGAAACTTTTGTTGTGCAAATACGGCTGTCTACTTAGAACAACATTGCTTTGCGCAGCAAAAGCAGGAGGACTAAACCCCTACGGTGCATTGCAAGAACTCCACCGAAGCAAATCAGCCAATGCTGTACACTCTTGAATACTTCTGCGCCTCTGAAAAATACCATGTCAAATGGCCTCCAGCGCCATTTCATTTCTTTGCGAAATCTGTAACCTTTTAGAAGATGCCTCCGTATCCTATGGACCTTTGAACGCCCCATGCGTCCGACGTCCTACGTCCTGTAATGATCAACCCTTACCCGCTGAGGAGGTCCTTCACGCTCATTCCCCTGGCACTGTTCCAGCTCCTGCGATCTGTATTCAGCATCAATAACGCTTCTGTTGCTTCGTGGTCTTCTCGGTCGGCTTGCGGACCAAGCGCTGGCGAGGTGAGCGTGAAAGGAGCCCCTCCAGGGGCAGAAATGGAACCTTTGCTGGAGGGTGCGGTTGGGAATGGGTTGTGGAATTGCGACTGTGACGGCGTCTGTCCTCCGAATGCTGGCGAAGCCTGAATTGATGGAGATGTTGCCGTAGAGCGGATAGAAGAGGCTAGTGAGTAGTGGTGTGGATCTGAGGGTTGGAGATTCGGGGAGATGGTAGCTGAGTAATGGCGCGCATCGGATGGCTGGAGATTCGGTGAGGTGTTGGTGGTGGAATATACGCTCCGGTCTGAGGGATATATGGCCGGCGAGGTATTTGTGAATTGGTATGTGGGCTTGGGTTCGGGGTGGGTAATATGAGTTGGCGACACAGCATCGGACATTTCCTCATCTTCGTCCTCATCCTCATCCTCCTCGTTGTCTTCCGCTAGATTACCATTGGCTTGAGGGATAGGCCGGTCTTGTTGCGGCGCTGGTGGGGAAGGTGAAGCACGTCGGGACCGGTGAGACGCTTTCAAGTCAGCGACACATTGTTCCAGATAGCGCATGTACTCGATGCTGGCCTTTAAAATGTCAGCCCACGTTGGCGTAAGGGATGAGTGTCACTTACTTGGAGAATGGCAAGCTTGTGCATCTCCTGACCGGTGCACGCGGGGATCATATCCTTGAGCACGCCAAACTCTTCGTTCATCTTGGATCTCCTCCTCCGTTCAATTAAGCTATGCGCGGTCTTCCGAGCGATCTTCCGGCCCGCAGCCGTGCCATTTCCTGCTTGTTTCCTCTTGCTGCCCGTTCCCGAGGGAGCTGGCGCCGCCTTCGCGTTCGTTGATGCCGTAGCTTGTGGCTTGGCAGGCTCCTGCTGCTCTTTCGGCTTCATCTGTATGATCTTGCGTGAGCGCGTCGGCGGCGGTGGCAGAGAGTAGTCATCCTTAGTAACTATGCTGCCCTGACTTGTGCTTGCACGTTTGCGGGATGTGGGAGCGGCCTTCACAGTCGCCGCGGGCGAGGTGGGTGAAAGGGGACGGTAGGATGAATCGGAGGCGTTAGAGGTAGCAGATGAACTCGTGCTGCCCCTACTGCCCCCACCTATGGCTGCTGGAGGAAGCGCAAAGCTGGCATCAAACGGCGCAGCATTTGCGCTGCTCTTGCCTGCAATGTCGGTCGAAGGAGCAGGCGTGGGCGGATAACCAGCGCTGGGGCGAGGCATAATGGGTCGCTGGGCTGTCCTCACGCTCATGAGAGGGGAGGGCGTTGAGACTGACAATCCAGCCTCTGGACGAGGGCGAAGAGGGCAGGGTAGAAGAAATGATGGAAGAGGGTCGAGATAGCCATGATAATAATGGTCGCGTGGGCCTGTTTTGGTGGGATGTGTCGCACTCTTTGGCAAGACAAAGAATAGCAGGCACGTGGGACAGCTGATTGGCCAGTTTGCGCCGGCCAGCGCCAAGCACACTGGCCTCAACTTCAGGTTCGCAACGCCGCCTCGAATGAGAGGCACTCACAATGCACCGTGGGCCAGGGCGTGCGCCGTGAACGCTGAGGGCTCGAGCGTCTGATAATGCACCTCCCGAAACTCCCATCGCCATGCTGATAGACAACCGTCGCGCACGTGGAACGCCTGGGGAGGGGGACACGTCTCTTCAGTTCGGACTGGCGGCTCACTGAGGGCTCGAACGGTTTCTTAAAGTCGAAATGAAACATTGCCCATGTCGTCTGGGATGGCTGGGTGTTGTGATGGAGGCGTAAACTCGCCATCACTCAGCTGGATATCGCAATGTCTAGCGTGGTGTCGAACCAACCCAATTGCCAAAAAAATAAATAGGTCCTATTGCCCAAGTCGCACGAACGCCATGCCTAGAGATCTAGATCTGGGCACTGTAAGGGGACTGCTTCAAGATATTCATTTTTCTAGCCTCGCAAAACCCCCTGACATTGCAATCCAGTCTGTGGCCTCTAGCTCCATAATCGGCACGTCCCGTCCGCTCCAGCACTCACGCACCACGGTTCCCTCGGATGCCAGTCCATGTCCATCACCCCTAATCTGCTCTTAACCTGATGTCCCCGTAGCACCTTCAGTGGCACAATCGTGGCGTTCTCCATCAAATCTCCCACAACTTTGCCGTGGAAGATCTGCAAACTGCCGTCATCGCTGGCGTCTGCGAACAGTGGTAGACCGCCCTGGTGGAAACGAACGGCGCGAATAGCTTCTTTATGATAGCGTAACGTCTTGTAAGGCTTGGTGGATAAGTCCAGGTCGTGCCAAAGCAGCCGTTTGTCGTAAGTACCGACTATGAGATTGTCGCCGCCGGGATGGACATCGAAAGATGAAATCCACTTGGCACCTGGCTGTAGTATCTTGACGAGCTCTTGCCTTGACAGGTCATAGCTGCGAATAGAGTTCTTCGTAGCTACGAAAAAGACTGGCTTCGACGGATGGAACTGGGCCGACTGGGCTAGACCTTTGAGTCGGCGGAATGGTAGCTGGGTGAGATGTTTCGACAAGGTGTGGATGGCAACTGCACTACTTTGACCACGCGGCGATACTGTTGCAAAGTATTCACCTCGCCTATGCCAGTGAACAACTTTAACAGTCGATCGAACTGTTGTCTGAACCAGAACCCCCTTAGATTCAAGCCGGGTGCTAGGTCGACTCCACCGGGCCGGTGGTTCCTTTGCAGGAGCTCCGTTCGTTGTAGCCGATGGCTTTGATGCTGCGTAACCCCAGCCCGCATCCAGAATATCGCGGCTACTCTGCTCGATGTCAGGAGATAATATCGAGAATGGCACGATCAAATATATGTGTTCTCCAGCAGCAGCAGCGAGAACTGATGCGTCCTTTCCTGGCCTCCACCTCACCGTGTCAACAGCATCCTCGTCCGAGAGCCTGACATTCCACACCTGGCGCCCTGTCAAAAGCTCCCAAATCCGGACATGGCCATCGTCGCCTCCACTGGCAAGAAATGTGCCTTGGGGATCAACAGAGACGCTGCGGACCCGGCCTTCATGACCCCGGAAGACAACCGCACACGTGGTTGGAAAGGGTTTTAATTCATCGGGGCTTGGTAGTTTTGGTAGAAGCAACTCTGGGTCGATGTTTAGTTTATTCCTCCGCACGCGAGGTGCGAGATACAGGTCCAAGCATCGCTCGAATTTCTCCTTGACAAATCGCTCATATCCCGGGACTTTGCGTAAGGCTTCGTGGTCTGTCGGGAGGTAGTCCTTTTCTCGGTCTTCTTCGTCTGCCTCTTGCCACGCGGCTTTCTCTTCCTTATCTGGAAGGTACTCTGGGGGAGGGTGGTAACTCTCATCGTAACCTGGAGGAGGCAGTTTGGGAGCGGGGATATGCATAGAGTGTTCTGGCCGCGGGACCTCGTCAGCCCAAATGTCATATGTTTTAAAGTCCTGTTCCTCTTCCTCCTCCTCGGCCGGAGGCTTGTACGGCTGGATGCGACCTTCCCTAATCGCTTTAACTATCTTCATCACCCGTTTCGCCTCATGCTTGGAAGGCACGAATCGCCGTTTTGGCTCGGGAGCGGCGCTCAGTGGCATAATCTCTTCCTTGCCTGTGAAGTAATGCACCATCTCAGGATATGGGTCGTACCCCTCTTCTGGTAACTCGTTCCTGGTGATCTTTCGCAGGACATCGAGCTCTTCTTCAGTGAGCTCCAACGGCTTGCCTGTTGCTGGATCCGTCAGACCTGTCCATCCTTTTGGAATGTCAATGCTATCGAGCAAGGCATCCAACGCCTCGCCTTTTGCCGGCCGCATAATCTTCTTGCCATTGATATCATAACCAATGTGAGGATACGCATCGTAGAAGGAGAGGGGGATATTGCCAATTGTGTTCGTGGTTTCTGGCGCATCTGATTCGTCTGAGTCGTAAACCGGCTCGATTTCTTTGTAGAGGTATCGTGGGTTGCCGTTGGCATCTGTGGTGACAGTGTAGTTGGGTTCGAGCTCTTCGCCTACTGGCTCATCTTCCAGGCCAACACGCAGCTCGGCGTCGAGTTCGTGTGTCAGTTGCGAGAATTTTTTGCTAAGGGAGCCATCAGTGGTCTTCAGGCCGCGGATCTGCTCTCGGATCTCATCCTCGCCGTCGGACGGAACTTCGGTGCTCTCCAGGTCGCCATCTTCGTCTTCCTCATCTTCATCCACGTCAGACCCTCCTTCGATGTCGCTACTGACTACACTACGCACATCCTCATCCTGGCTGTCTTCAGAATCGTCTTCACTGTGCGATAGAATTCCCTCGAGAAGCCCCTCCGCTAGCTCCTCCTCAGACGCACTTTCCACCGGCAACTCACGCGTCGCAATCTTTCTTTTCCGTGAATTGGGCGCCATTATGTGCAGACACTGCAAGTTACGGCTCCTCAGCGTCACAGTCCAAAAATTTCAAGTTGCCAAGATTTCGGCACGCTAATTCACTGCGAGGTCCCGAGTTCAAAGGCCCGTGCGCAACTACCTCATCTGCCACCTCGAAAGGTCTTCCGCAAGCTCTCCCCTCGCCCTCCCCTCAACCAACAACCTGTTGCGCCGTATCACGGCCCATCACAAGAAGACGGTCACTGAAGAACACCCTCCGCCTAATCCTACAGAGTAACGCTCCAGACGCCGCCATGGCCGGGCGCCGAGCTGATGAATCAAGGTCCTATCGCTCCGGCGATTCAGCACGAGGTCGCAACCCGCCTCCGCCCCGCCGCGAGGAGCGAGAGCGGTACGACCGCCGAGACGACCGCCGTGAGGAGCGTCGGGTCAAATATGACGGTGACAGGTACGACCGCCGCGACACCCGCGACCGCGACTCGTATGCCCCGTCACGTCGCTCGAGGTCGCCGGATCGCCACCGCCGCCCCGACCGCGAGCGCTCCAGAGATCGAGGCCGCTATCCTGACGACCGCCATCGTGAAGATAGAGCCCGGCACGACCGTGATAGAGACCGTGCACATGACAGGGACAGGGACGACCGCAGGCGCGATCGACGAGACGCATACGATGGAGACCGCCGGCGGACCTCATTCTCGTCCGCTGCATCCCCGCGAGATCGGGACATGAAGTTCCGCTCTCGTGACAGATCTGAAGAACGCCTCTCTCCTGAAGAAAAGCAGAAGCGCGAAGAGGAGAAGCTGGCAAAGGAGAAGGAGGAACAGCAGAAGGCACGGCAAGCCAAAGTCGAAGCGTGGAAAAAGAAGAAGGCAGAGGAATTGGCAACCAAGGCAGCTGTCATAGCCTCTCCATCCACTACTGCGCCCTCCACACCAGCGCCGGGTTCCACACCCGCTACGGGCCAGGTGACTCCGGAACCTGTCAAGGCTAAGTCTGTCTCTAAGGGCCCCGCTGAGAAGTCCATGCAGAAGCAGAAGTCAGGATTCACGCTCGACGGCCAGGTCAAGGTCAACCCACTGACTACCAAGGTTCCCGTCCCATGCAAGGAAGCCGTAAACGGAAACGCTGACTCGGGTGTGCCCCCCTTCTCTCCTGCATTCAAGAACCCTATGCTCACCGGCCAAGATCGCGTTACAGCCCCACCACTAAAAGCCAGTGGCAACATCAGCTCCTTTGGACTCAAGGCGAAGCCCGCCACAGATAGCAAAGCCTCCAAGAACGCTCTCCTTGATGACGACGACGATACGAGCAAGCGGACCCTTCAACAGTTGCCCGACTTCGACCCCAAAGACGAACCAACGTTCGAAGGGGATGACACAGCTATGGATGACATTGAAGGAAGCGACGACGAGGACGCTAATGCTCAGGCTCAGGCTCAACTTGAGAAACGTCGCGAGGAGCTGGCAAACGAGGACACGGCTATGAATGACGCCCCCCCTGCCGTCGATGAAGCAGATGTCAAAATGGCTGATAACGATGCAGCTAGTGCCGAGGAAGATGACGTTGATCCTCTTGACGCTTTTATGGCTGGTCTCGAACCTGGTGCTGAAGCTAGGGGCTTGCACGGCCAGACTATGTTCGAAGACGACAACGAGCTGACAATGGACGCTGTTCAGTCGGAGGATATTCTTGCAATCGCTGCAGCCAAGAAGAAGAAGCGTGAAATGAAAACTGTCAATCACGCCGAGATCACATATGAACCATTTAGAAAGAGCTTCTACTCAGAACCCGCAGAAGTTACGTTGATGGATGAGGATGAGGTTGCCAATCTGCGGTTCGAGCTCGACGGCATAAAAGTCACACCTGACGACGCTCCAAGGCCTGTCACTAAATTTGCTCAGATGGGTCTTCTCCAACAAACTCTGGATGTCTTTGCGAATCTGGGTTATGACAGACCCACCGCTATTCAATGTCAGGCAATTCCCATTGCCGAATCAGGTCTGGACATGATTGGAGTCGCCAAGACCGGATCAGGCAAGACCATTGCGTTCGGTATTCCCCTTATTCGTCACATCCTCGACCAGCCACACCTGAAAACTGGTGAGGGCCCCATTGTTCTCATTTTGGCACCGACCCGCGAACTTGCCGTTCAGATTGTCAGAGAATTGAAACCCTTCCTCAAGGCCTCCGATCTCAAAGCTGCGTGTGCCTATGGCGGTGCTCCGATCAAGGACCAGATTGCAGAAATCAAACGGGGTGGCATTCATGTTCTCTGTGCAACCCCCGGTCGATTGATTGATCTTCTCCAAAGCAACTCGGGTCGTGTTCTTAATTTCAGGCGGGTCACCTATGTCATACTTGATGAGGCGGACCGCATGTTTGACATGGGCTTTGAACCACAGGTCATGAAGATCATGGCACAAATTCGTCCTGATCGCCAGACCGCTCTTTTTTCCGCTACTTTTCCGAAGACCATGGCTGCTTTGGCCAGGAAGATCCTTACACATCCTGTTGAGGTCATCATTGGTGGTAAGAGTGTCGTCGCCCCAGAAATCAAACAAATTGTTACGATCGTCCCACCCAACCCAGAAGAGAAGATGAAGCAGTTGCTTCTTCAACTCGGTAAGCTCTTCGATGAACACGAAGAAGATGATGCTCGCGCTTTGATCTTTGTTGAAAAGCAGACTGCCGCCGAGGACCTCCTCCCAAAAATCACTAAGCGTGGTTATCCCTGTAACACAATCCATGGCAAGAAGGACCAGTCTGATCGAACGGATGCTATCAACGACTTCAAGAACGGTGCCCTGCCTGTACTGATTGCAACTTCTGTTGCTGCTAGAGGATTGGACGTTCCGCAGCTCAAACTCGTAATCAACTACGATTGCCCCTCTCACCTGGAAGATTACGTCCATCGGTGTGGGAGAACAGGACGTGCCGGTAATACTGGCACTGCTGTCACGCTGATTGAACTACCAGGGCAGGAGCGTTTTGCTCATCATCTTGTTAAAGCCTTGAAGGAAAGTAACCAGACGGTTCCGGATGACCTGCTCAAGGTGGAGGCAACATTCCACAAGAAAATTGCAGCTGGTGAAGAGAAGGCTTATGGCGGTTTTGGTGGCAAAGGGCTCGAGCGCATCGATGAAAAGCGGAACAAAGAGAGGCGGCGTGAGAAGCAAGCCTTTAAGGCTGGTGACGACGCGGATGAGAGTGAGGATGAGGAATTGGAAATTCCTACTGTCAAAAAGAACGTTGCTGAGGCAACAAAACCCGCCACACCTGCTGCCGTTGCGACTCCAGTCGCAATGGAGGAAGAAAAACCAGCCTGGATGAAGCTCCTCGAAGGCAAAATTATTGTCAACAAAACCGAACGTCCATCAGACAATATGTCGAAACCTCTCACTGCCATGGAGAAAGTTAAGATGGCTTCTCAAGCTGTCAATAGTCGTTTAAGTAAGAAGGGCATGATTCATCACGGCCAACCAATCGACAACAAAGGCCCCGATGCCGGAGCGTATCACTCAACAATCGAAATCAACGACTTCCCACAGAAGGCTCGTTGGGCTGTTACCAACCGCACCAACGTTGCTAAGATTCTCGAGGCAACCGGTACCTCCATCACGACGAAGGGCACGTACTACCCGGCAGGAAAGCAGCCGGGAGGCAAGTGTTACCCCACCTCATTCCGCAATCATGATTCTAACCAGAATACAGAGGGCGATTTACCGAAGCTCTACATCCTTGTCGAGGGTGACACTGAAACGGTTGTAACTTCCGCTATGATGGAGCTCACTCGTCTTCTCAAAGAAGGCACCATGGCGACAGACGATGCACCAGCCCGAGGAGCAACGGGTCGTTACAGCGTCGTCTGATTCGACACTTTCCTTGGACCTGGTCAGTCTCACCGTCAAACTATTCTAGAAATGGTTCCGCTCCTAAGATACATATGCGCTTATGTCATTGAAGCCAATGCCCATTTCCATTCCAAAGCCTCTGCCTGTGTCACTTGCTTTTGCACAATGATTCGGGCGAAGTTTGCTCCGGATTTGACTTAATAGTTGGTGTGGTTTGTTTGAGTTTCATGGCACTGAAATTGGAGGGGAAACGGTGTATAAATTATTGGCTCGGAGTTTCTGGCATGGCACATCTGCATGAGTGGGTAGCTGGGTGATAGGGCGGAAATGGTTTCCTTCGATCATGTGAGTATTCCCACCTTTACCTTGCTTCTAGTAGTCGCTAATGTCATAGTGCTTTTTCCAAGGCTCTCTTCCTTTGCATCACAGTATCGACTTCTCAGTGAAACGACGGCTGAGCCGAACTTACTCATCAGCATTAAGGAAGCAGCTCATGGAGGATCATCATCGGACATGCATTGTTTGTGGGGTGAATGAACTACATGGAATCATGAATGGTGGAAACCCCATCCTTTTGCTTTGCGAAATCTATCGCGGCTATTAATAAATCGTTTCGGATCAGCAAAGTTAACAAGCAACCCTTTCGCCATCTTCAAATGTTTCTTGCATGAGACATGCGGGGCTTGCCGTTCGTGCATTTAAGTAGCGACCAGACATCCAATTGGATCGTACCTGGTCATCCCACATGCGTTTCGACGTCACCACCGCGCTAACCCCATTTATGTAGAGTATTTGAACATGTTCCTGACTTCGGACAGAAAAATACTATAATAAGCAGTCTCCTTCCTAAAGGCTTCAAACGTACTACAATCTTTGGTGCTTTGCATTTGTAAAGAGATGCTTATATAGTACACAGCACGGAAGCTGATTACTGCCTACGCGCTTCCAGGATTTGTCACAGGCCTGCCAAGGTCGCGAAACTCGGAGTTTATTCGGTTACCTTCACCATTCTCGGCACCGCCGTTGAGTTTTCCTCTATGACTATTCTATTGTACCACATCTGTTAAGCAAGTAATGTGGATGTTGTCCTCCCAATACTGACAGTAACAATTGATTATATTAGATCCCCACTCCTTTCCCGGTTCACGAAAATGCTTCAATATTCTCAAGAGCCCCGCTTGACTAGTAATGATACTACCCAAGGTACATTTCTAACTTCGACGTCTAACGATCTCATAATGCAAACCGACCAAGAGCAAGGAAGAAAAAATAAGGTTGGTCTAAGGGACCGGCTCAAACACTTCACATGGGCGTGGTTCACTACGACAATGAGCACTGGTGGACTAGCACTTGCATTGGGAGAGACACCGCACAAATTTGAAGGTATATCACTACAATTATTTAGTAGTTTCTTCTGGCCGTTTTATTGGCGGCTTCTTCGAACTTAAAGCTAACTAATATTAGGACTGCACACCATTGGTGTCATCGTCTTCTTGTTCAATATCATCCTCTTCCTCCTATTCTGCGCTCTCATGACCTCCCGATTAATCATCGATCCGCCGCGATTCAAACACTCCTTTGTAAATCCCTCGGAAAGCTTTTTCTTTCCCTCTTTTATTCTCAGCCTCGCCGTCATCCTAGGAGGCATCCAAATCTACGGCGTAACTATAGGGCCAGAGGGAACCTGGCTCATCACCGCAATCCGTATCGTATACTGGATCTATGCTAGCTTCTCTCTCATCAACGTCATCTCCCAATACTGGATCTTCATTTGTCGGACACCAGCTCGACCCCTCCCAATGAATCCTTCCTGGTTTCTCCCTGGATACTCCACGATGCTTACGGGTACGATTGCCAGCATGATTGCAGGAAGCCAACCTCCAGAACACAGGGTACCTATAATCATTTCCGGTTGCGCATACCAGGGGTTTGGGTGGCTAATCTCATTCGCTCTCATTGTCATGTACCTGACCCGACTTATGGAATCCGGACTTCCGACCCCAAGTCTCAGACCAGGTATGTTTATCCCAATCGGCGCACCCAGCTACACAATCATCGCCCTCATCGGCCAAGCCAGAGCCATACCACGATCTTACGGTTACTTCTTAACCCATGCCTCCGCTGCAGATATCTGCCAAACCGTTGCCCTCTTTGCCAGCATTTTTCTCTGGATCCTGAGCTTTTGGCTCCTTTGCATCGCGCTACTGGCTTGTCTAGAGCGTGTGAGGGAGATGGGATTTGCACTCTCTTGGTGGGCGTTTATTTTTCCGAATGTGGGATTTATAGTGGGAACGGTTGAGATTGGGAAGGAGTTGAATAGTGAGGGGATTTTGTGGGTTGGGAGTGCGATGACTATTTGTTTGGTGATGATTTGGTTGATGTGTATTTTTGCGTGTGTGAGGGCGGTTACGAGGGGGAGGATTATGTGGCCGGGGAGGGACGAGGATAAAGATATGTGAGAGAGAAATATAGGCGAAATGAGTGAGAATGTGACTGGGTACCTATAGAGGATTTGAACTGCTGCAAGAGAAGGTAATAACGCACAGAACGTTATCGGTACCAAGGAACATATCCAGGACGGATTTGATCTATTAATCATCTCTGCTAACATGCGAGAGGAGGTCAAGAGGATGCCAATATTGGTTGCAAGTAAGGATCCTTGTTATTTTCTCTTGTAACGTACTTCATGGGCGAGTTGCTCACACACCCGAGTCGCTCACTTTTGCCAAGACCCCACTAAACCACCCTTCCTACACTAATGCATTCCCCACAACACCACTTAGACGCGCTAAAAGAATGTTAGATACAGCTTACGCTCTAAGCTTTTAAATAAAACATAAAACTTTTAAAAAAATGTGCTATTACTATGTGTAAAGTCCTATAAAAGATAATAAATAACTATAGTGCTAGATAACTTTTACAAGCTAATTCTACAGCTAAATTATAAAGGCTAGGTAATAAAAAAAAGCAGGTAATTATTAAGACTATACTTAAGCTATATGCGCAAGGAATTTC